TAAACAGAAAATACTTTCAAAAGGCTAGTGGGAAAGTATAGAGTGAACCACACTGGAGAAATCTAGCAGATATAACATGAAATATATTCTAATCGTAGCATTCATTGTTTAAACTAGTTACTTAACACTCACAAAGAAATATACTAGTCAAAACACAGTTACGTGCTTTGTATTTTTTAAAATTTTTAAATATTTTTTCTCGATGTCATCACAGAATTTTTTTGCTGCAGCAGTTTTTCCATCAACGATGAGATGAAAAGTAGATTAAGAGAAGAAAAGAAGAAAAGAGTATTTGTAGTAATTATCTTTAAATAGTGATGTTGGAATTCTTATTAAACAGAAAACAAGGTTTCAATATGCAGTGGTATATTTTATTTCTAACATGGATTGGTGTATACTCATGATGAACAATTGAAAATAGTTATTTTTGTCCTTTTATGATATGTTATATAATAGTGGTAGTAACCTACCATCTTTAAAAAGTATTAAACATGATATCTCAATATATTCATAGTGTGATAATATATGTTGTGTTTTTAAAATATCAATATACCTTCTTAGATATTATCATAGTTCAACTATTAAATGAAGTACATTAGCATTTCAAGTTCTCTGGATAGAAGTCTGTTTAAAGTGTTCTTTGCTATGCTAGTTTATTAAACTTTCATTATGTTAGTATATATGGATTATTTATTAATGTTCAGTTAAATTATTGTGGTTTTATAACTCCATTATTTGTTGTTGAATGTTAACAATTTCTGTGTTATACTGTTACTTTTATTATGTCGTCGAAATAGAATATTTGAGAATGAAACAAATGGAACAATGAGATTCCAACATATGACACCACTGGAATGCTGAGGAACTGTTGCTTACATGTCACAAAATGTTAATAATACTGCTTGCTTGATTTTTGCCATTCATAGAAGAGAAGTAACAAAATTTAACATACACAAAGACAACATTTTTTCAAATCGTGTTTCTTTTCCCGCATACTTTTCACATATTATCATTTCTGTGTTATACATACAGAAGAAGATGGAAGAACTTTAATACAATTTTGTAATATATATTTATCCAATTACAGTATTGAGAATGTTTACTATTTATTCAATGACTACGAGTGCCAATTCTTAACAACTTTAATATACTGTAATAAAATATATATTGTTAATGTGAGGTGTGGGAGAGGCAACTATGAATTTACAGAATGATTATTCATATGCTATGACTATTACTATTATTCAAAGAAATCACAATCCACAAAACTATTTCTGAAAGTATTTCCTTCTCTCTTATTTTTGAGTTTGGAAAGATCATTGCATTCTGACAGTTAATTTTCTAGAACAGTAGTTGTCATAACTTTTTCAAATGAACTATACCATAGCACTCTTGAGAATAAAAATATAAATTGTATATGGGTAATTGTCAAAGAATTCATTTTCTGTAATTGATATAATTTCTGTATTAGTTATACAAACACTCTTACTTATATTCAGATATAGTTTTTAACTTGTTGTTGTTGGCCTTATTCTATAGTAAGAATTATCTTCTGATATCATCCCCAACATGAATGTATAAAGATATCTATGAATGTATTTCATTATCACGACAATACATCATCTTATAAATTACTTATATCCCTATGGATCTTATTAACAACAAAATTATTATGTTAACATCAGGATAAGTTCCATTACATGAAAGTATTTGCAGACACGTAACAATCGATAAAATATTTTGTAAAATCTTGTATTAAACGTCAATAAACAAAATAGCAACTATTAGATAATCATTTTATCAATCTTTTTTTCTACAAGGATAAGACAAAACAGAAAGAAACTATTCGTTTTTATGAGTCTATGATTGTATTTCTGCTGTATTTATCCAGTTTTTGAATTGTTTTGAAGAACACTTTTAAAGTGGTATGATGGGAAATATTTGATTTTTCTTTTATGTTTTTTTGACAGCACTTTATCAATAATATTCTTGCATTTGGTTTAATCATCATGAAAGTTTGGGAAATGTCATATCAATTCTTCGTATATTTATAGTTCTTGAGGTCTTGAATATGTTAGCTTATGCTGTTTTGGCTGTATTGTTGTTAAAACACAAGTTTTTTGAGAATCAAAAGTATTAGGGTGTTGTTTATATTCTGTTTATATCTATTTAGCTAGTATTAATTCCTCACGTTTTGTAAATAGTATTGAAGCAAGATATCCGATTTCATGAATACCTTAATATACAATCTTGTGATGAGAAGATCAACCCAAAACATTACAAAAATTTGTAGATATCTACAGTTGTAATTATATATAAATAAAGAGTTGTTACAAGTTCTCCAGAGAAGTGATCTTTATTTATATTTCAGACCATAGTGCTAAGGGATCTGTTTTAATAAATAAACAATAATAATAGTATTTGTTGATTGGCTTTTAACAGATGTATCAAAATCTTATACTGGAATGTATTCTAATTATTTCAAAATATTTTTTTTCTTTTGAATATTAAGCCATACATAGCCTTTAATACTTTTTAGACTGTATGAAGTTGGTTGTATTGCAATCTCATATCAGAACTGAGTATATAAAATTTTATTGCTTATAAAATAACCACTTTATATTTTCCCTTGTGGTACTCTTTATGCTTATTAATAGTATTTAGTCTTAGAATTTGTTTTTCACAACCTTTCCTTTTAATTGTTTCTGGTTTTAGTCTAACATTCATGTGACAGAATTAACAAATTATATTAGTCAATTATGTAACCCACTCATATCATACTGAGTTTGTTCCCTTCACTACTAATCTGGGATGTTTCTTTTAAGAGTTAATGTCGTATAAATGGATAAAAGAGTTTCAATTAATATAAATTTTGACTGCTCTCATTTAGCAAGTATATATGGTATCTTAAGTATTGTTATTATTGCTATTTCTCAGGAAATTAATTTTAATAGATGTCTAAAGATAATCATCTCTAACTTATCACCATGTTTTAAAGGTATCTCAAGAAAACCTGACCTGGTTATTACTAACGTTGAATTCTTCGTTTATGTCGATACCCATGTACGTAGTGTTTTATATTCAAACATATCAATCCTTCATCTGAAAACTTGACTATTTTCTACAAGTCTATGTATACACTGATTTCTAGTCAGGTCCCTTACATAGTATCATGTAATATTAAAATGAAACAGCAAAATAAAAAAACATTAAGAGTTAATAAATAACAATAAAATGGGAAAAATATTAACCAAAAAAAAAAAAAATAAAAAAAATAAAATAACAGATACGAAAGCAATGTAAGTCTTAGTAACATAGGTTTAAGAAAAAGTTGCGGCTTAGCCCATTGCAATTTTTACAATCTAATAGAACAAAAAATACATTTAAATAAAATTTTTTCTAACTTTACATAGATATGTAAAAAAATTTCATTTAATCATATGAGTTTGAGTTTCTGATATGTTTAGTTTATAATAATTGCACATCTAAATATATACTACAGATAGTAACAGATTGTAAGGAACGAGTATATTTAATACTAGATTGAATATTAGCATGAGAAATGTTAGATTGAGTACTTTTTGTAGACATAATCGAATTTCTATACTTCTCTTCTTTTATATAATATAAACTTATTAATCATTATACTTATAATTCCTGACTTCTTACTTCTAGTATTATTCAGGATTTTCCTTCTTTGTATATTTTATGGTTTTGAAGTACATACAAGATTCTAATATCTGGTAGTTTCTATTTTTAGAAATGAAATATATCATATTTCGAGGCTTAACCTATTATATTTGTAAGCTTTAACATTTTTTCTTAGAATCTTGTTCAACGCAGATTTCTGATGAACATAAATAAAGCAGTAAGCATGATAAAAATAACATACTCAATGAAAACCGATCTTTCGAGTGTGTGTAGTTTCAATATTTTTCTGGTTGCTTTAATAGATGGATAACGGCAACAGGTTGGAATATTTTTAAATAACAGGGAATAACTTAGAGTCTTGATGATTAACAGTACAATAGCATCTTTCAATGTTCCTGATATTTCTCCAAGATATTTTTATAATCAAGATATAAATACCTTTCAAGATGGATAAAACGTGAAAAATGACAAATTTCGCAACTCTCGTTGATCCTGTTAAACTAAAATGCGTCAGTAGAGCAATGATAAAGACATTATAATTTGCCTCTATTAGAATTATACCAAATAGAAAGGAATCCTTGACGAATCTTTAATAGCATATCATCATTAAAGCATATGTAAATCTCATCTCAAAAACAAGTTCATTATATGGTAACTGTCAATAAGTGAGTTGAAACTAATGAACTATCTTAAATCTTGAATATACGTTTCTGTTGAAGTATGTGTTTTACATGATTAAATCATAACAACAGAAACATTCTTACTTCTTTTCTAGATCTTTTCTAATAAATATATCATTAAGTTTGCATTTCATTGTAATGTTTTTGAGCTCTTATCCTATTGACAGTTAATACAGTGTACGTTTTTGGTTCAAAACCTTTGATATCACATAAAGTTGTGTGAAGACAAGAAGACTTAGAATAAACCAAAGAACTTAACTGTATTGTTATAACAACTTCAACACATTTATAAATTTATAAAAAGATATACTAATGCTTGGTACATATATTAGAAAAGATAATAATAATATGAAAATACAGCGGTATCATAACTAAATAACCTATTTTTCATTCAAATGCCAGGGCAGCATCCCAAAACTTTATTTCAAGGTCACATACCTCACCATAGATTCTGATCAATTTTTCAATTCCCTCTGCAGGGTAGGTACGAGCTATTCGGTTTAAAAGCGATACACCAAGTGCCATATCTTCTTTAAAGTTTTCACTAGAATATATTTTGATCCATTCATCATATAAGCCACCTTCAGGGACAGTAACCTTATCTTTATACTTCATAGCAGCAACACCGTAACCTATCATACATGGAGTTAAAGCAGCTACCAATTCTTGTCAGTTGCCTCTCCTAGCTACATCGTTAAAATACTTAAAATAGTTGTTCAAATCAGGACCCCTCTTAATAGTTTTAAAGTATCTATCATCTTTAACACCGAATTTCTCCTTTAATCTCTTTCCGTGCTGATTCATCTCTTCTTTAATTCTGCTAACAATGCATAATTCTTTTTCTATATCTTCTAATTCTGGAGATTTTGAACCAGCAATACAATGCACTCTACCATAGTTAACCAAATAAGAATAATCTTGTTCAACGAAAAATTGAAATTTCTTTAACGGTAAAGTACCATCAGCAATTTGTCTTACAAAGTCGTGGTTTACATAAGTATCCTAATATGGTTTAACGAGTGGATGTTCAATTAGATATTTGTAGAAGTTTTCAATAATTGGTCCAAACTTCAATGGTTTAATAATTGTTACAAGTTCGTGAGCAGTGAAACATTCATTTTGGACTATCTTTTCTAATGGTATCTCGATATGACATGTATAGTTTGGTGACTCGTTGTCATCATTTTTAACAGAATGTGTGCTTTGAGCATATTCCAAGGCACCATAAATTGCTTCGCTTAGATTGAATCCATGAGCTATATTGGAACTGATTGCAGTAGAAATAATACCGTTTAAATCTTTAGTTTCAATATGTGCTTTAAAGATGATAAAATCTTGGAAACCACTAGTGAACAGGACATCGTTATTATTTTCACCATCAACTCTACAATTTGTAACTAGAACATTTTCACTAGAAGTACTTTCTGATATTTGGGTAGCAAGTTCAAAAACATCTTCCAAAGTTTTAACGTTCTTTGAGACTTTTAAGAATTCTTGTGCTTTTGTGATACTAACAACAATCAGTATGGAATTTTTAAAAACAGATCTTTTCATGAATTCATAAGTTTCACTATTTAAAGAATCCCCTGATATAATAAGAGGGATAGAAACATTCTTGAAATCCTCAGCTAGCAAAACAACAATATCAGTATTTATTTGACCAATTTTGGCAAAGATTTAAACTTTTCAGATAGGAATGTACTGGGTATTACAAAGTCTTCTGTATTATTTGAAGTTAATTTGGTAATTAAAGTTTCACCATTACATCTATGAGCGGTTGAAAATTTGAGATCTGTTTCCACACTGTCTTTATTAGTTGGATTAGATTGTCCTATAATTAAAATACTTAGAATCTTGTCATGTTTACGCAAGATCAAATATTGGGATGGCGTGTTAATATTATAAGAAGAGTAGGTCATAGAAACAGCAATGAATTAGAGTAATGGGGTCCTAAGTGGTAGTTCTGTGCCTTTTTCATTTTTTGGAATAAAATTGAGAACATAAAGAGTGAATAATTTAAGTATTGCACTTTTTAAGTGCCCAATGATTTGTTAATATATATATGTGCGTGTGTGTATGTGTTTATATTTCTGTGTTTGAATGCTAGGTTGTTTGTTTGACGTTTGAATGACTTTTGTATGTTACTCTAAAGATTTCCTTTTAAATTTTTTTTAAAGATTCACTTTTATAGATCACACTGAAAAACAAAACCATACATGAATAATTTTTCGATTCCTGTATCCTAAATCAAATTTTCTTTCCGGCAAACGAACGTAGAATAACTCACATAAAATTATATTAAAAGAAATAGGTTCTTTTCGAGTAACTACTATGCAGTAAAAAAACGTCCACCTACCATGTCGATGGTTTTTTTTCGAATAGTACCGTACAGCAAGATGATCAGAATATTGTACTTGTCCATCTTTAAATCTTCCAAATTGAACATAACTTTTTCTTGAGCCTTTACCTAAGTTTAAATTCAACAAATTCTTTATTAATAACTCTAATCAACGAGCCCCAAAGTGTTAGGTTTTATATATTCCTGCTATTCTGTAATTAGGAAATAATGTTTAAAAGCTTTCTTAGTATAGTAAAGAAATATTCTCGACAGAAAGATTTGAAACAAATGTGTATATGTGCGCATGTGTCACTAGGCATATCTTACATTAAGAGACATGATATAAAGAAAATGATTCATTTATAAGCGATTACTTTATTAATAATACAGTTGTAGATCATCAACATAAAATTCTGCCTTTGTTTCCTTCTTTGATAAAATACATTATACGACAAATTAAGTTTGTTCTATCAATATAACAGAAATAAAATTTGGTAATAGTCAAAAAGCTATATAAAACTATGTATGTAACTCCTTCTATATCATTGCTTATATTTTGTGTTTAATTTTTGCAAATATCAAAAGTACGTTTTAAAGGAAAATCCCAAGAATTATTTTGTAGATGATAATTCTAAATGTAAATCTTAATTAAACAATTCAATTCTTTTTTAGGACAAGTCTGAGCAATATGGTTCAAGAAATATATACCCTTTCCAATAGTTTTTTTCAGAGGTAAAATAAACTAAAAACTGGTCTATTTTCTATGAATTGTGCCTGGCTCAGATTCTGTCTTATTTACATATATAGTCATATCTGCACATTATTCAACCATACAAGAGGCTAATTCTGCGGTTAGTTTACGTCAACTTTCTCTTTTTGCAAGGTCCCGCATGTATTCAGTATGTTCATAAAAAATATTATGTGATCTATCAGCAAAAGCTGAACTGAATGTCATAAATATAGCTGCAAAAGTTGGGTTGTTAAAATTGGATAAACTGTATATAAATACAAGACTAACAATAGATTCCAAAGCAGGAAGGAATCGGCTAAAATAAGATTATCTAATACTTAGAATAAAATATCTTAGAATAAGATTAGAAAGGTTGAAAGAGTGTGTGAGGAATAATAAAGTTGCAATGAGGAAAATAGAAAGGAAGAAAAAAGTAATCGATTCACTCACAAAGAATGTTCAAAAAGAGTAATGTGAACAGGTAAGAAAAATAATACAACATAAATTAAGAGCAAATATGTTGCTTTGAATCGTCTTTTGCTTGAAGCTTGGTACCATTGGATGTTTATATGTTAGTGGAGGGTAGCATGAAGATAAGAAAAAAACATCTTTTCGAGAGTGTGTTGAACTTATCATTATAAACAACATTTATTTAAAGAAGTTTTTATGATATAAATATCGTATGTGGAGTTCAAGGATATGTTCAACTTAATTACCAAACGGCAAGGAAGCAATGATAAAAAGATGTAAATTCACTTATATACAGTGAATACATACATACATATACATACATATATATATATTTGTATCAAATAATAACTACCAAAATATGCAAGCTATCATTTGTGAATTTTTCAGTCCATATTACTCTGTTATACCCTGTAGGTTATAACCTCATTAAGTGTAACATAGCACAAATTATGCTTTCCATGCTAACCAGTATAAGCAAAGAGTATAATAAAAAGGCAAATATAGAATTATTAACTTTGCATGTTACATATAATTTGTAATTGTTTATTTACTTTTTTTTTGTAAATATCGAAATATTAACTGAGTTTGTCAATGCATAACTTTGTTATGTACTATTACCTCTCTTTTTTGATCCTTTATCTAGAGTTTTTATGAAAAACAACATCAATTTTGTTATAAGACAATTTCAAATACATATATACACATCTTATAATTTTTCATGACTTTATTTAGCTTTTTGCTGAATAGATAATATTTATTAAGGTATCTTTCTACCAATACTGTGTATCTTTATGTGCGTATACTATTTTTTTGTCCCACTTCCCATCGTCATATTAACGTTTTTTCCCTTTTTTTCATTTGTGCGAATGCCAAACCAAGAAAAACAAGACATGTGATTTTAAATATGACGGAAATTTTTTCTGCGTCCTTATTTAAGCCAACATTGTTTTTCTTTTGCCAGATTAAGGCAAAACTGAAAATAAAAACAACAACTTAAGATTTGGAATAGCTTCTGTATAACATATCACTGTTTCTTTTTTCTTTTTTTAAATGATCATACGTTATTAAAGAAATTGTTTTCTATCTATAATTATTAAAATGATTCACACTTTATAAAGCAATATATATAACTCCTAAAGACTAAAATAATTAGGATAAAGCGATAATGAGTCAGGGTGGTTGGTATTTATTTTTTGTATTGATCTATTTATCAATCTTTTTTTTTGTTAATTTAATGATGTTACATTTGACAACTAAGAAAATTGTTGATAGGTGTGGTAATTCATCAAAACGCGCTCTGCGTGAACAATTTTGAATTAAAATGATCATTGATTGTACATAGAATAATATTTATTAATTGCCATTCACTATAAAATAAAAAATGTTTTGCTGTCGTTTAAAAACTTCTCGAATTTAAAAATACTAAATAACAAATTCTTCTGTAAAGGTTCCAGTATATGTTAGTTAAGGATAGTATCATGTGATATGTATATATCTGCAACTTTCTAGAGGCATTCTTCTAACTGAATCGTTTGTTAATCTGCAATATACCATTATGTTTGTGTATGTATGTGTATATATTTAACAGTTACAATTAACTTCTGTATCTATATTTTGAGATTTTGGACATCATAAATAAAATTAGCAATAAGGTAATTTATTATGTTAAAGTTTATAATAATGTAATCAAAATCTTTATTTCTATATGCAATTATAACATACATAAAGTATTTGTTGATTTATCATTTAGATTTCTTCATGTTTTTTCTGCATAATAACAATGGTCTATGGATAAAAGTGGAATACTAAAGTACTAACAAATTTTTTTTCTAATGTAAACTTTAACTGTTGGCAAAACAAAGTTGTGGGCTAATGAAGAATATACTGATGATCGGTTGAAAATAACACAAATAAAATCAAATAACATTAGACAAGTTTTATTAATATCATTAGCTATAAATACAAAAGTTCGTTTTTGTTTTGGTTATTTTTTATCTACCTCTACATACAATGATGTTATTGAAGTGGAAGTTTCATATTTTTTTTGTTCCTTTAATTTTTTCTGTTTGTTATTTAAAAAAATGTTGTGAAAAAATATCTATCTATTTCCTTTTCTGGTCATACTGAAGGAACACAATAGTTAAAAAGTACGTCACCCTTTTTCAGAGATTTCATGTTTTTAGACAGATCTGTTTGAAATTATTGACATTCCTTAAATATTTGTCGACGCATAATAACAAGGAAAACCTCTAAATTGTTGAGCCAGAATTGGTTATATTTACAACTACAATTATATTAAATTGAAATGTATAAGTTATATATGTTGTGAATTTTTCGTTGTTTAACGTTTACCCTTTTTATTGTTTTGTTTTGTAATTATAATACATTTTGGAAAAATGTTTCATTTGATAATAATCAGCTAAATCTTGCCAATTGACTAAAAGCGTCTGGATCACATCCTTCAAAGTTATGACCAAAAGTGCGCTCTTGTTCAAGTATTAATTTACCAGTAGAAACTAGTTGCTGCCAATTTCCTGGTACTTTGTCATTCATGTCAACTATACCTAGATCACTATAATAGTGTGACATAATATTACCAGCATTTTGATCAACACGATTCCACATTGCATCCCAATCATATCTACTCGTAAGTTTGTGATAATCTGGATGGCATGCATTATATTTTAGACCATAATAGCCATCAAAGATACCATGAATGTCCTCATCCCTTTTCTCCAAATCACGTTTGGTATTTGCTCCAAAGTGTGTCAAAAAGAGAGAGACCGAACTATCTGTTTTATGGGCATCAATAGAGAAAATTGGGGTCCCATTAAGCTCCACTGTCATATTTTTATAAGTTAATGAATCATCCCTTTTATAAAATTGCGTGTGCTCGTTTGCCACTAAGTTAAATGGTCCACTCGCATATAACAAAGCACGTCCAACTTGTGTATCTCTTTTCAAGATAGTGGCAACAAGTGTACCAACACCTACAACAACCGCTGCTGTCATCAAAATTGCAGATATGGCTGAGCGAGCGCATGCACCACCACTATAGGTTCCACTTTCTCCCTCTGTATCAACACAATCATCTACAAAAGTTTTCCATTTATCAACTGCATCAGAAGCTGAACCAAGTGTACTGCTTAGTAAACCCCACCAAGCACCATTAACTCGTGGACGGAGTTGAGAAGGACTATAAACTCCACTACCCACAATGATATTACCATTTTCATTAGTACATGGAAAGGTAAAACTAGTATTACACGATTCATACTTGGAATTGCCAAGCAGCATATGAATACAATCCTCTTTGCCCATACAAAGGTCGATTACAGAATCATTATAAACAGCTTTCGTTAATTTACAGATAGTAAATAAAATAAATGAAGCTTTTAATAGCCAATTGCCCTCCTTCATGTTTATGATGGATGAACCCTTGGATACAGAATCAAGAATGATTAATTTAATATTTTTTTTTTTGCTAATGTTATGTTTCAGTGAATCTAATATACAAAAACAAAGAAGATGATAAATTTTTTTCAGAAACCAAAAGACCCTGCTCCTTAAATAATCTTGGAAACGTACTTAAATTTTCAAAATTGATCTGTTAAAAATATATGGAGCTAGTAAAAAATCTTCAACAGAGAATTACATCATAGGGGCTTTATTTGAGATTTATCCACTTTAATTAGTAACCAAACACAATTAATTGAAATATCAATTTTGAGCTATTTAATTTTTGTAACTAACAATCAAGAAGACAATTACAAAGAAAATAAATCATTATTAGTCTTATACGAAATTTAATTGTATGTTCATTGTTTTAATTTAAATTTACAGTAAATGACTCGGAATGTGAAAGTTTGTAAAAAAAATTTTTAGAAAAGTGTACTGAAAAAAAACTTTCAATTCTTTTTTAGAAAATTATATGCAATTATTAATTTTCACAAGTATCTAAAAGTATAATGAGTACCGTTTTATTCTTTACAATTAAAGATTACAAGTTCCTCCAATTTTTCTTTTTGGGAATATATTTGTCAGAGATCTTTTGTTTTTGTTGTTGAGCTTTTTAGCAAATGAATCTATTTTAATATTAGGAAGGAATAGAAAAATTAAAGCACCACTATCCTCAACATAGGATTAACCTTGTTTAAACGACTACTGCTGAATGTTTCATACGACTTTTTTTTAAAACCATACTAGAAAGCGTTTCTTAAAAGTATCTTCTTACATATAATATACAAGAAAAATGTTAAAATTATCTTTAAAAAATGGAAGTTAGATGTTAGTGCCAATCTTATTCATTATTCTTGGGTTTTATTTATGGTTGAATTTTTCGCAATATACAAGAGATTGTTCTGGGAGATCTGATTTCGTACCTATTAAACAATATTTCTTAGTAATGAAAATTTGTATTTCTCTTTTTTACTCTTATTCCTTTTCTTATGTAATATTCGTTTAATGTTTTCTGTTGATAAATAGCAGATGTCATTTGTTGTTAGATATTACTACATACAGTTATGCAATATAATTTATCCCTATATGTAAGCCACTAGAACAAATATCACAATCATGTTATATCTTAATCACGAGAACTTTTTTTTTGAAGAAAAAAAAAAAGTACTTTCCTCAACAGGAAAATATTCTGTATTTAGTGATTTTATACATACATTTTTGAGGGACATTGCATTTTCTAGTCTTTACAGCGTTTTCATATGCTGTGTTACATAATTCTATGGTTCCCAAATAGTAAAATTGAATTGGAGATGCATCAAACATTATCAAAATAAGAAACAAAAAATACTCACATAAAATTATACAAGTTAAAAAAGATACAATTTATTAATGGCTAACATTTGAATGAACAGGTGTCTTTAGTTTATAGAATCAAATAATGAACCCCTTCCTGTCTCTATTCTTCTGTTATTATAAACCTACTCTTTTGAGTTGACTCACAAGAAAATAAAAGTGTTGAAATGAAATTAAAGATGTATTTAATAATCTAAATATATCGTACCAAATGATTGGAAATTTTATAAAAAGAATATAAAATGGAGGGGTTAAAATAAAGTATGTTATAAACTATGTTGATTGTATATGTATATCAATTTTGTGGAACAAAAGAACGATAGACAATACCATATAAATCTGTAGTACCATTAATTTCCTACTATGAATAACTTAACTTATGATTCTACCAATATCCTATCTTGAGTATATAGTATTCAATCACAATGATCTAAAATTAGTGATAATAGGGTTTTTTGATACTGAATACTTACTTAAACAGAAACATTTTTTATCTTGTCTGTTAAATGTATTTGTTTATTAAATATATGCTATATAAGAACTATTTGGTAATATTATACCTATTGTTTCTCTGCCATTTATATCAGAAACTACAGTATTTCGATTGATTCTGAAATGGCTAACTAATATTAGTACACAGTTAACATTAGTAAGGTTGTAACTATTTTTATTTGATAGCATAATTTTTCCAATTAGAAAGGTATGTTAAGAAACCTTAATTGGCAATCTTGAAATATGAAGTCCGTGGGTAGCATTAAATGTCAAGGTAAAGGATTTGGAACAGCCGAAACTCTGGGTCCAAAGCTATGAATGTATTCGAACGGATGATCATAGGATTAGTATTGTGGTGGTAAATTACTTAGGAGCTTAGTTGAGACACTATTGATATAGAGAAATGAGGTTAGAGGTAAGTATCAGCACTAATATTCATATTCTATTTAATGGGATCTACATGGAAGAAGAAGAATATCGAGAATAACAACGAATAATCTAATTATTAGTTAAAATTGACGAATCATAAAATTTGTAAATGTTTATATATATAATTAATATTCGTATTTTAATATACTACATATAATTATCCTCACCATATAGATTTGCATATTAGTTAGCAAAAGTAGAAGAAACCGTATCAATTGTAAATTACTAATTCTAATAAATTTACATTAAAAAATCCTGGGCGTTCGGTTATAACAAAAACGCAAATGTTAATTGTCTATAAATAAATCCATCTGTTAATTCAAACAACAACTACTAAAACATACATACCATCACTTATGGAATTTTCAGTTCATATTGCTTTATTGTGACATCTAAATCGTAATTCTACCTCTCTAAACTGTGACATCGTCCATATTATCTTTTCCATACTATCTACTATAAACAAAGAATATAATAGAAAGATAAATTTAGAATGTCTAAGACTACATGTTCAATATAATTTGTAATTGTTTAGTCTTTTTTTTTTACATATTGAAATATTAGTTTAATTTATCAATTCATCACTTTGCTATGTACAATTATCACTCTCCTTTGATTCTCTATCTTGATTTTCTATTAAAATAACATCAATTTTATTATAAAATAAATTCAAATATACATGCGTATATAACATTTAGATTTTTATATATAGAGAATAAATTAAGGAAAGGAATCAGACATTCAACTAAGAAAACTATAATGCAACATATCCTCTCAAATAGAGTCAAATTATCAATACTATTGATTCATATAATATTGTACAGTGTAGAGTACAGGTATTTTTAAGGTATGATATTTTTGATTTCATAGAACTATTAGCATACATTTATATTAAGTTATTTTGATTTTTGTAAATTAGTTTTCTCTATATACATTTCATGTTCAATTGGATCTTTACCACAGGCCTCTATAATATATTTAGTATGCTGCAACATTGCTAAAATATTTATTATCACAAAGAGCACAAACCACATTACAGAAATGATAGCACACCATATCAGAGGGTCTATTATATCTTCAGACATGATTAGTTAGCAGGATTAAACTTGTAATATATATACTACGATAACTTCCTTAAGAAAACAATAGCAAACAGATAACAGAAAACAGAATAAGACTTTATTTAGTTTTTTGCTGAATAGATAATATCTATTAAGGTATCTTTCTATCAATAATGTGTATAAAGTATGTGCATATACTATTTTTTTGTCCCACTTCCCATCGTCATATTAACGTTTTTTCCCTTTTTTTCATTTGTGCGAATGCCAAACCAAGAAAAACAAGACATGTGATTTTAAATATGACGGAAATTTTTTCTGCGTCCTTATTTAAGCCAACATTGTTTTTCTTTTGCCAGATTAAGGCAAAACTGAAAATAAAAACAACAACTTAAGATTTGGAATAGCTTCTGTATAACATATCACTGTTTCTTTTTTCTTTTTTTAAATGATCATACGTTATTAAAGAAATTGTTTTCTATCCATAATTATTAAAATGATTCACACTTTATAAAGCAATATATATAACTCCTAAAGACTAAAATAATTAGGATAAAGCGATAATGAGTCAGGGTGGTTGGTATTTATTTTTAGCATTGATCTTTTTATTAGTTTTTTCTGTGCTTAACTTCATAGTATTGAATTTGACAGCTAAGAGAATTATTGATAAGTGTGGTAATCCACCGGAGTACGTTCTGCATGAACGAGCTATGAATAAAAATGCGCCTTAATTGTACATAGAATAATATTTATTAATTGCTATTCACTATAAAATAAAAGGATTTTGTTTTTGAAATGTATTTGTTGTCATTTAAAAATCTCCAAATTTTAAAATACTAGAGGCTAACCTCTGTTATAAAGGCCTTATTATTAATATGATAATTACTGGTAGAATAATATGATATATGTATTTATATATGACTTTATGAGTATCTTTTTTAACTGAACAATTTGTTAATCTACAACATACTGTTACTTTTGTATATGTGCATATATGTATGTATGTAGTTGCCAGAATTAACTTTTGCATCTATATTTTAAGATTTTGAACATCGTATCTCTGTTTCTTTACTATATTATGACATAGAGCTAAGCAGACAGTCTAATTAAACATTTTAAAAGAAAACATATATATCCCTGTTGTGACATCTTTTTTGATTCTTTTCTTTACATAACTTTTAAGATATCAAGAGAAGCGGTTAGATGGTTGAATAAATATTATGCAATATTGAAGAAATTTTTTATCTTGTAATTTGTTCGTTATATAGTTAATCCTTAATGGTTTTGAAAAATTATAAATTTTTCTGATTAAACCTTTTAACTCTGTTTCTTACAATTATTTATTGGGTGAACTGCGTACTATACAAATCATTTTACTGCATAGTTTATCGACGATAATTATCTTTTAGTAGGGAGAATAAATCTATCTGATTAAACAAAACAAATGAAAACTTTACGCAGCAATTATCAAGGATATATATGTATAGACTTCCGTAAAAAAACTTGGAGAAGATAAATCTTACTCAATTAAATAAGACGAATCTGTAAATAATTAGGAAACAAATGTGAAGTTCTTTACTATGAGAATGAAGTAAACATTAAATTGTTACCACCTTGTAGAGGAGACAACAATTAGCAACAAACTCGACTCATAAGATCTTCCTTACTCGACATCCAATCAATATACCTTCAGAACGAAGGTAACAGAAGGAAGCAATTCACCCCAAGAAGGGATTTTTCAGAACGAAAAGTTAAGTGAATTGAGAGTAATATTAATATTCCAAAACTGTAACAGAGCTAATCAACTGATGTGCTCCCCGAATATCTCTCTCGCCTAATAAAGGTAAGATCCGAAGATATGATAAACTCCTGACAAAAAGTTATGGGTTGGGAAGCTATCCATAGTTATATTTTCGCAGAAAAGAACAATTCAATCATCTGATTGATCTTGTAATTATGTAAATATACTATGAAAACTCGATTGTAAAGAGGTGGCTAGGGATAAAAGATTATATTTGCATAAAATATAGGAACGTTTGTATTTTCGATCCACTTGTATTCATACTGGGGTGACTTTTTGAAACTACCATGAATTTGAGCTGGGCTAGCCATGTAAATACGCTTGTAAGATTAAGTTGCGTAACGAAGAACACGAATTTTTTTTTTTAAAAAAGTAAAGGAAGACAAGCTGACTTCTCTTTATATTCTTCCTGCAAAACTTGAGAAACAGGAGAAATGAAAATGAAAACAAAAAAAAGACTCTTAGAAAAAAAAAAAACAAAAAAAATTTTTTATAGGGTTTTTAAAGAAAAATTCGGGTAAAAAAAAAGAACTATAATTGAATAAACTATAAAGCTACACTTCCTAATGTACATCACACAAGTCTGTTGGGTTAGGACATAATTTATTATTATTGTAAATTGAAGCTTTGACACTTACAAAAAAAATATTTTGAAAGTTGGTTAAGTTAAATGTTATCAACAAAAGTCATTCCTAGTTCAAGTTTTCAATTATATTGATTGTAAGTATTAATTTCAATCAATGAAGTGTTGTTCTCGTTTTTCATTATTTAGTTTATTAGATATTGCAACTTAAATTTAGGTTGTTTTTCTGTTATTACTGTCAACTGGTTAAAATAAGTGATTTTTATTAAGGTATTTATTGGACATTATATGTAGCTGTTATTTTATTGTTGTGTGTATTAAAAAGTCCGAAAATATAACGACAATACAAAATGATGGACGATTCAAATAATAATAGTCTATTTTAGAACTGTATTACGCATTTATGTTATATGAAGTAAATTCAGGGATAGAACATATGCTTATTTACAGGTAAAAAAGGTATTGGTTATTAGAATAAAATAGAAAGGGAGCGAATGAAAAATAAGACAATATTTACTATGAGGTGAACTGAAAACATTTATTAGCTATTTGCAAAGACTTAATTTATTCATTAATAAGGGTGAATAATGTAGAACAAAGAAAAAAGACATTTCAGACTCTTTTTCGAAACGAGTATAATTGAAGTTATTCACGTTTGAAGAGCTTCATATCTAATTTTTAGTATGTCATATGTAAATCAAAACGTCATCTTTTTATTATTATTCTTGTCTTGAGCATAGCAGATGAATTATCAAGATTGATTAATAAGTCGTTCTTTTTTCGTCATAAAGAAAGGATGAAATAAAGAGAAACAAAGCGAAACAAATAAATAATAAAAAGGCTACTTCATAGTTTTATTCTTTTTTTTTTTTTTTTTCCCAAATGACAAAAAAGTAATTGCAATAACGATAACGATAACGACAGCGATGGCGATGGCGATGGCGATAGCGATAACGTTCTTTATTTTTATTGGCTGTTGATAAGAAGTTACTTATTGATACCCGGAAAATGTAGAGTCCACACAGGAATCTTTTTAAGCGACTTTATAATCCGTACTGATTTCAAACCCTAAGTAGGAAAGGAACTTTTTCTTTTTTTCTTTGGACTCCTCCCCAAGTATAATGAACACCATAAATAAGTCGGTGAAAAAAAAAAAAAAAATTGTTTTTCTTAAGTCTGTAATAACTACACACAAAAGAATTATTTACTTATTTTGCGAATATTTTAATCTTACACCCTACTTTTTCTTCAGATTTAACCAACGCATTATGACTACTCAAGCGATACCAACCCTCTTTATTTTCTTTTTTTTTTTTTAACAAAAACTAGAGAAAAAAAGAAAAAAAGAAAAAAAAAGGAAGATGCTTTCTTATCAAGGTTGGACGAAAGAAGAAACGATTCCTTTCATTGGCAAGAGATAAACCAGATAAGAATCCTTAGGAAAAAGAAATTACATGTCTTTTTCTTCTTTCTGACAAACAAAAGACAATTTTCCCTCCCGCTGTGAAATCTATCTCCAAATTTGAATCGACAGTTGTTTGTTTGTCTATGTGGATGGGTTGTAGTTATCGTTTCTTTTTGTTCCTTTTTATCCCCCTGTGGGTGTATGCGTAAAAATCATACTATTCACAATTATTGTCCGCGCACAACTTTTCCTGTTATTCTCGTTGCCCTTGCCTTCATTTCTTTGTTTCTTTGTTTTTTGTAAGATCCCTATTTCGATAAGAAATCGGGCTACGTTTTTGTCGATGGCATTCAAGATCGAAAAGTAAATAATTAGTAATCGAGACGAGATAGTGGAAGAGAAGGAGGGAAACTGAAACATACAATAAAAAAAGGAAAAGGAAAAGGAAAAGGATGAAAAGAAGATTCCTTTAATATATAAACAAATGTCTTTTTTTGTCAACTGATAACAACTGCTTGTCTTTTTTCTCGCATTCATCTTTCCTTGTTGTACATTATGCAGCTCCAGGGTGTAAGGCATAGAACACTGAGCTGTTGTATAATTTACTTCAAATTCACCAACAGTAAACAACAATAATATAAAAAGTGCATATAAACGTACAAGAGAATATAATCGAATACATACATACATATATAAAGAATGGCTACTGAACCTGAATTCCAACAAGCATACCACGAAATCGTTTCTGCTTTAGAAAACTCCACTTTATTCGAAAAACATCCAAAATACAAGAAGGTCTTACCAGTTGTCTCAGTCCCAGAAAGAATCATTCAATTTAGAGTCACCTGGGAAAACGACAGGGGTGAACAAGAAGTCGCTACTGGTTACAGAGTCCAATACAATTCTGCTAAGGGTCCATACAAAGGTGGTTTAAGATTCCATCCATCCGTTAACTTGTCTATTTTGAAATTCTTGGGTTTTGAACAAATTTTTAAGAATGCCTTGACTGGTCTGGATATGGGTGGTGCTAAAGGTGGTCTGTGTGTCGACTTGAAAGGCAGATCTGATAATGAAATCAGAAGAATTTGTAGTGCTTTCATGAGAGAATTATCCAGACATATCGGCCAAGATACTGATGTCCCAGCTGGTGATATCGGTGTCGGTGGCCGTGAAATCGGTTACTTATTCGGTGCTTTTAGACAGTACAGAAATTCTTGGGAAGGTGTTTTAACCGGGAAGGGTTTGAACTGGGGTGGTTCTTTAATCAGACCAGAAGCTACCGGTTACGGTACTGTTTATTTCACACAAGCTATGATTGACTATGCTACCAAGGGTAAGGAGTCCTTTGCTGGTAAAAGGGTCGCCATCTCTGGTGCAGGTAACGTTGCCCAATATGCTGCTTTAAAAGTTATTGAATTAGGTGGTATTGTCGTCTCTTTATCCGACTCCAAAGGTTGCATTATCTCTGAAACTGGTATCACTGCTGAACAAGTTGCTGCTATCGCCGAAGCTAAGGTCCTTTTCAAGACCCTCGAACAAATTGTTTCTGAATATTCTGCTTTCACTGAAAATAAGGTTAAATATCTGGCCGGCGCTAGACCATGGGCGCATGCTGGTCCGGTTGACATTGCTTTGCCATGTGCTACTCAAAATGAAGTATCTGGTGATGAAGCTAAAGGTTTAGTCGCTGCTGGTGTGAAATTTGTCGCCGAAGGTTCCAATATGGGTTGTACTCCAGAGGCTATCAACGTCTTTGAAACTGCTCGTGCAACCGCTCAAAGTCCATCTGAAGCTGTTTGGTACGCTGTCGGTAAGGCCTCAAACTGTGGTGGTGTTGCCTGTTCTGGTCTTGAAATGGCCCAGAACTCTCAAAGAGTCCGTTGGACCAGAGAAACTGTCGATAAGGAATTGAAGAAGATTATGATCAACTGTTTCAATGAATGTGTTGCTGCTGCTCAAGAATACAGTAATGAAACTAATAAGAATGCATTACCATCTATTGTTAAGGGTGCTAACATTGCCGGTTTCGTCAAGGTTGCTGACGCTATGTACGATCAAGGTGATGTTTTCTAAATTAGATAGATAAATAGATCCACAAACAATCAATCGAAAAAATAGATTTTGCTTTGTTTTTTTTTCTCCATTACTAACACTATTATTAATACTATTCTTTCTTTTTTTCATCGTATTTCTTCATTTTTTTTTATTCAAATTTAAGAATAATACTTAACATGGGGTATATAGTATCTTTTTATAGATATGTATTATTATATGGGTATGCAACGAATTCAAATCTAATAATTATTAGTACTTAATGATTTTTTTTCTCCCCTTTTTTTGAAGAGTCTTTATAACTTTGTATTTGTGCAAGGGTGCTGCTGCCTTGTATTTTTATTATACTTCTGAGTGGTACATTTTTATATTTATCTTTGTTTGATCTTTTGTTATTATTTTTATTTAAAAATCAAAAAAGTAAAGTCTGCATCACAAAAAAAAAAAAAAGAAAATTTCACTGAAAGAGCGATGAGATGAAATATTATTTTGATTATTTTTTTGTCAAACATAAAATAAAGCATATGTTTAGATAGAATATACGTAGAACTACTAAAGGTGTACGTGTGTTTAGAATCCTGTCTCAACTAAGTAAATGGGTAGTGTCCATAATTAATTGGTCTAACATTACCTGTTCTGGTTATATATTATTTTATTTTTCTTTTAGTATTATTTTGTTTTTTTCGTTTACACATTTTCTCACAAGTGATAAGTAAAAGCTTATTAGAATATGGCTAAAAAGATAGGTAAGAATTCAAGAGCTGCAAGACAGGCAGCTGGCTTATATGATGATCCAGAAGTAGAAAGCTTAAAAGATTTACCTCGTGCTCAGAAAACTGATCTAAGTAATATTATGATTAGAACAGCAGCTAAAAATGAAGCATTATTGGACGCAAGGATAAAAAAGAAAAGGAATGATAAGAAAAAAATTGGCAAAAAAAATTTAGAAGACAAATTATCAAAATCTGTCACTCATATGGATAAAGAAAGATTGACTCGTGCGTTAAACATTTCTAATAAACTGGATGGCAAAATATCTAAAGCTATTGCTCGTGCTAAATATGTTCAAAGTTCCAGAAAAGCTGGTTGGGATACTACTAATGAGATCATTAAAAGAGAACTTCAGTTAGTTAGTGGTGGATATAATAATAAAAATCAGAAGAAGAAACACACTGTTAATGGTGAAGAAGTAACGGAAGACAATGAAATTGAAAATAAAGAAATCGAGGAATCAATTCTAGAAGAAGATTCTGAGAGTAAACAAAATAAGGAGAAAACCTCAACAAATATTTTTTCCTTACTTGAAAATGGAGTAGAACAATAGATAATAGTTTGAGGGTCTGTTATTGTTATTGTTGTTTATATTATCGAATTAGCTTAGGACGAATTTCTTTCATGCGATTATTTGGTATTTATGATTTTCAGATATTTATAAGTGTATAAATGGATTTATGTATTTTATAACTATATGTACAATAGTGAATTCAAAAGTAATAATAGATATATTCTGTTTAATTATAAGAATATTGTTAAGGATACTCAATATTAGCATTGTATAGCTCATTATTTTTTTCTGACAATATCTAGTAACATCCTATTTCATGATTATTTCATGATTCTGTAGTAAAATCTAAAGTTTGTTCAGCAAATTCATTTATGAAAAATTTACACATATTTTTTATGTTTCTCCACTTAAATTTATAAAAACTATAGAAAGTTATTATACAAGTTATACACTACTTCTTTTCCTTTTTATACCAACCAACACAAGGTTAATCGATTTCTCAATAAATTACTTGAAGCATGTCTCTTATAGTTTACCTTTTCTCGAACACCTACACACACTAACCACTCCTATCTGTTTCTCTACTTACGTCCTTATCGTATAGGGCAACCCGCCTCAAAGATCTACTCATACTATTTCTTTTCTTTTCTTTTTTTCCTTCTCGACAAACCATTACTAATAGTTTATGCAAAAAATAAAAGAACTAAAAAAAAGAAATCCAGAAACATGACTACAAGATGAACAATACAAACTAATAATATAAAAATGGCTTGAATCTTGAAGACATTGGCTACGAAATGAAGACCAATCATTGTTTTTACTTTTCCTTAAATATATTGGATGTTATACTAACACATTGGTGAACTTTCCTTTTTGTTTTAAGTTAAATATATCATAAACCGTCAAAAAAAAAAAACGAGTGAGAAGAAGGGTAATAATAAAATTATTATTATTATTTTATTATCGTATTTTATTCTACTTCCCTCAACCTATATAAATATACCACTATTATTACCAGTATCCTCTATCATATGCATTGTGTGCAGGAAAGATGGACATAAATGTATCCCTTTTAACGATGCCACAGACCGAACCATTTCAAGAACCTCAACTAAAATCAGAAGAAGATAAAGAACTTAATGATCATTCACCAGATCCTTCATTTGAGACCTCTAAATACAAATCAATACCATATTTTTCAAACTATTACCCCATAATAGATACAAGAGAACAATACAAAAGAAATATTAATAATCTCTACGCTCAAACGAACTATTTTAATAATACATCCCTACTTGAAAAAGATGATGTATTATTTTCCAAGAAACATCATTCAACAGGTTCTAGTAAAAGAACTGAATATCTATTAAAAAAATATTATGAAACAAAGAGAAGCACGTTTGATAATAGTTTTAGTGGTTCTGATCATAATAGTAGTCTCCACCAAACACATGATGATTCAGTAGTAGATGGTATTTCTAATAGTAATAATAAAGTTGATAATAATACTAGCCATAATAATAGTGCCAGCAATATCATAAATAAACCTGATCTCCAGAATCTGCAAAAGGAACGAAATATGTCTCTTTTATATGTAGATGAATTTTTGAAAAGTTCTCCGGATGAATTATGCAACAGTTTTATTGATAGCAAATTTAATCCAATATCTAATCCTTTTATGATTTCAACAGATCCAATACAATTGGACAATCAGATTCCCTGTAATATAAAATCAATATCCTCGTATCTTAAATATATGGAACAACTACGCACAGTAATGGATACTGATAATAATGAAATCAATAAACGAAGACTATGGGTTCCAATGCATAATAAAAATGTTCAGGAAAATGTTATAGAACCAAAAATAGTAGATTCAAAGATTATCCCGTGTCCTTCTTCCAAACCATTTATTTCTATGGATTTTAATAATATTCCAAAATATGAAAATACTACTATTATAAACTCCTCAACTCTTACTGGAGAAAACTATATTGTAAATTTATATGGCCCCCATTCTGGAATAATGTCATCACCATCAATATATGCAGAGAATAAATTACCATCATTTATTTATCACTGTTCTGTAGCCATAAATGACGAAATTTTTATCTTTGGTGGTCTTGTACCATCATATAGATACAATGAGGAGGCACCAAATTTAAATGATTTTGACGTTGATGGAATTAAATATTTACCACCCCCATTATTAGATGAAATACTGAATAATCCATGCATGATAGCAAATCCTTTTGTATATATTGTCACAACCACTACAAACCATGTTAGAAGAGCTCCATTATTGGGACAACTACCACCTAACCTTATATGTGCAACAGCTACCGTGCTAAATGAGAGATATATTTTTTTATTTGGTGGTATTGAAGTGAAAACAAAGACAAATTTCAATCCTATAATGGGAAAGTATTCTATCGAAAAAAAAGCATTTGTAAATAATATTGGTTATATCTTTGATACAAAAACTTCTTATTTCACTAAGATTGAAATTTTATTAGACGGAGACTCAAGTAGCCTAGGTACTATCACAAATTTTGCGCCAAGATTTGGCCATGCCCAAGTATCAATTGATTTTAATGATTCTTGCAATTTTTCAATCAATAGTAGTTTATCCAGTTCATATGAAAATGGTAATGGAGACGAGACTTTAAGATCATCACCTTCAAGTCACCATCAAATAAGTTCAATCCTTATTTTTGGTGGTTACACACAAATTGGCCACAAGGAGTGCGTAGCTACGAATGACTTATGGAGAATCGATATACCTATAACCATGCTTAATAAAAGGGATCCAATCAAATTTGAGACTACTGCTACAGCACACTTAATTATGGATGAAAATAAAAGTGGTAACATGAAACTTCCACCAAAAAGGGCATTCATGGGTTATTCTTTAATGAATAGAGTACCATATTCTAATAATATTAACGTTGAAAGATCCACGTTTATGAATTTAGCAAATGTCTTGAAAACGGTTGGTATCAAGGAAAGACATGATGAAGATGGTAGTCTTATTAAAATTAACCGAGATTGTGATTTATTAGAAGGGTTAGAATCAACTTTCAGTGAAAGTACTAACCAGAGAAAAAATAAAAAAATAACACAACAAGCATCTTTTGGCAATAATGAAGACCATATCCAGACAAATGAAAATTACATGAAGTCAAATGAGAGTAATTTCTTGTTTAATAACTGGTTCCATAAAAATTCGGATGATTCCAACGCATGTAAAACATTTTTGATTCATGGTGGTTCAAATAATACTAATATATATAGTGACCTATGGTGGTTTAATTTTGATTCTTATAGATGGGAAAATATAGATTTATATGGGAAAACTACGTGTAGTAATGATCAAGATAGTTCTTTTGTACCAATTAAATTAGGACTTGTTGGACACTCACTAAGTGTTAATTGTGGAATATTATCTCTAGATGGTGGATTAAATGAAAATGATGTTGATATATTATATAACAATAAAAGTATAGAATTAAATCCCAAAATTTCCCTATATGATGATACCATAAAACTAGATAATCTATCGAGCAAGTGTTTTGATTTGAGCACACAATGTTTGTTTGATAGAAAAATTGTGCATTACTGTGATGATGACTTGGAGTCCAATTCAATTACAGTAAACGTTGTCTCACCTTTTGATCATTATATGCCAACATTTTTCGGCACTAATGGTGTTTATGCTAACGGAAAATTAGTTATTATTGGTGGTATTTATTGTAAAAGGAAGAAAATAAAAAATTTGTATCTTAGAGGCACAATGCTTTACGCTATTCCTATGAGATACGATCCATCTTAAAACATTTTTAATTACTTATAATTTTCACACATGTACACTGCATATATGGATATTAACAAAAGTATTTCTCTTGTAATAAAGTCTCCCGAAATCTTATAACTTAGAACTATTAATCCTAATAATATTGGGATGTCAATAATATTTAACATTGTAAAAGAATTATTAATAAACAAAAAGTATCATCATTATTATGTAAATACATAAAGCACTAAGAATATAAAAATATTTTTGCCTAAAAAGTGTAATATCAAGATTAACATGCAAATGAAATAAATTCCATTAGCAATAACCTGTTATGAATGTCAGACAAAAGAGAAAACGGTAATCATCCAAACAGGCAAGCATAATGGGAAGAATGATTAATTTGAAAAATTACAACAAATCATCTATGAGATATTTACATTTTCAAATATGTTTGCTTCACTTTAGGTCCACTTATAATTTCACTGAATTAAGTAAGTGTTGAACCACTTCTGGATTTGAGAGAGTTGTAACATCACCTAATTGGTCAGCCTCACCTGCCAAAATCTTTCTTAGAATGCGTCTCATGATTTTACCAGATCTGGTCTTTGGTAAATCATCCACCAATACAATTAATTTGGGTGCAGCAAATGGACCAATATCCTTTCTTACAGTCAAGATCAAATGTTTTTTAATATCTTGTAATTCTTCTTCAGAAGCATTTGACACGGTAGATTTATTCTTTAAAACAACAAAGGCAGCGACTGCCTGGCCTGTTAAGTCATCATTAAACCCAACAACAGCAGTTTCAGCGACCATATCATCTTCAATTAATGCAGCCTCAATTTCAGCAGTAGATAGTCTATGACCAGAGACATTAACCACATCATCAACACGACCCAAGATCCAAATATAACCATCTTTATCTCTTGCAGCACCATCACCTGTAAAATAGTAACCTGGATAAGGCTTCAAGTAGGTGTCTAAATATCTGTCATGGTTCTTCCAAATAGTTCTTGCAAACGACGGCCAAGCTCTTTTAATGGCAAGAACACCTTCTGCATGTTTATCATTAATTTCTTCTCCAGTAGTTGGATCCAAGATAACAGGTTCAATGCCAATAAACGGGAAGGAAGCAGAACCTGGTTTCATTGGTGTGACACCACCGGCCAACGGAGTAATCAAGTGAGAACCGGATTCAGTTTGCCAGTAAGTATCCACAATTGGAATTTCATTTTTACCGATCTGTTCAGAGTACCATTCCCACACTTCTGCTGCTATAGGTTCTCCAACAGAACCTAAGACACGTAAAGACTTTAACGAATAGCCCTCAATAAACTGGTTACCAGCACGTTTCAATAATCTTAATGCAGTAGGGGCTACATAAAATTGAGTAACTTTGAATTTATCAATAATATCCCAATAACGGGAGTAATTTGGATATGCTGGGGTACCCTCAAAGACCACAGTGGTACAACCAGTCAGTAAAGGTCCATAAACCACATAAGTGTGGCCTGTGATCCAGCCGATATCACCAGCAGTAAAGAAGATATCTTCTTTATGAACATCAAAAGTGTATTTCATAGTCAATATAGCACTAATCAAGTAACCTGCAGTGGAATGCTGCACCCCCTTTGGGGTACCAGTGGAACCGGAAGTGTAAAGTAAGAACAAAGGGTGTTCTGAATCTACGGGTTCACATGGATAATAAGTTTTATATTTGATTGTTTCTTCGGGCCAAATCAAATCTCTACCTGGAGTATACGATACATTGGGGTTATTAGTTCTTTTAAAGATAAGGACGTTTTTAACAAAATCCAAATTTTGGATTGCATCATCTACGATTTTTTTAGTCTCAACGATCTTACCACCACGTACAGATTCATCTGTGGTGACGATGAATTTACTGTTAGCGTCCAGGATTCTATCCTTTAAAGAGTTAGAAGAGAAACCGGCGAAGATAACTGAATGGATTGCCCCAATTCTAACGATAGCTAAGAGAGTGATCAAAGCCTGTGGGATCATTGGCATGTAAACTGCGACGGTATCACCCTTTGAGACACCCATAGAGAATTTTAAGACCTGCGCCACTTGGGAGACTTGTTCGAGCAGTTGTTTATAGGTCAATTGGATAGATGGTTTGCTTGGGTCATCTGGTTCATAGATGATGGCCACTTTGTTTGGTGTTAAGAAGGCATGTCTATCGACACAGTTATAACAGGTATTTAGCTGACCATTGATGAACCAGGCGTTATTTTCAAACGATGGCAACCCAGTAGATGGGTCTGGGATGAAAGTTTGGTCAAACAGTCTAAACCAATGCAGTTCATTTTTCGCTAAATCTCCGAAATAATTCGATGGATCGTTTAAGGACAGGTCATAAGCAGTCTTATAATCATCGAAGGTGCCATTGGGGCCTAGATTAGGATTATAACTCTGGATTGTGATTCTATCTTTGATAGATTTTTGTGGGATGATTTTAACATTAGTTAAATGTTCGTACTCGTAGTGTTTAGATAGTTCTTTTTCTTTGGAAGAGAGTTTAGCTTTAGTGGTATTGATGGTGGCATTAATAATTGATTCTGTGTTATTTGAGGTGGCCACAGAAGACATGTTTTCCTATTTCTATTTCAATCTTTGTTTTTTTTTTTTTTTTTTTTTTTTTTTCTTTCTAAAACAACAACAATAATAAATAAAAAAAAAAAAAAAAGAAGAAAAAAAGATAAACGTTTCAATGAGCAATAAGGAGTTGATAATCATCGAGTATTCTTTGAAAGTATAATCATTTATATATAAATTAAAGTTATATTTAATAAAAGGTGAATAAGAAAAAAAAAAAAAAGAGAAGAAGAAGAAAAAATTAATTACAAAGTGTCATCTACTGAATTCGTTGCATGAATCTCCAACATTTGGAAGCAAGGAAGAAAATGAGCATGTGAAGCAAAGAGTAAATATCATTAAAAAGAGATGAATTGGACAAGGATAAGGAACCTCTTCTTCATCATTGGATATTGATATTTTTCACAACCATTCAAGACCGTGAATATAGCATGACTCAACTTTACTATAGTCATAATAATAATTGTGATGATGATGATATGTCCAACATGCACATACACATAGTTGTTCTATATAAAACATACTCTTTTCTTTTTCTTTCCTTTCCTTCCCTTTTATTTTTGTTGTTGTTTTTTTTGTTTATTTGTTCTACCCCAACACAGTGTCAGTGCTACTATTACCAACAGAAGTATTATTAACATTAGCAATACCAGCAGCAACGGCGATGCCAACGACGACAACAACAGCAACAACAGCAACAACACATGTCGACGGTAAATTAGGGTTAGACAAACAGTCGCACTGTTTTTCCAGAAACCTTTTTTGACCTCACGGCTTTAATCGCCTGTTTTGGAAAACAGCACGGGAAAATTTGATCACTCCAAGAGAGAAAGAACCCTATAAAAAAAAAATACACACGTTAGAGATCCCTGGGTGTACAATACGCTTTGAGGGAACTACTACAACACACTCGACTCTAACCCTAACCCTAACCCTACTATTTTCCAACCTCTCAAGAAAGACAAAAAAGGAGAAGAGAAAACAATAACGGCCTTGCAAACATTGTCCTTTCCCCCTCCCTCTCCTCTCTCTCTTTGTGTGTTTTTGGCTTACTAGAAAAAAAAAACATAAAACAAAAAAGAGGGGAGAGAGTAGCGGCGGAAAACAATACGTGCCACACGCAAAAACACAGAATGGCAAACTCCGAGGGAAACAGAAAAGTACAATACAACAAAAAGAAAAGAAACAAGAAACCTGCGCCCCTAAATCTTCAACAGTAGCCCCCCCATTATCTATGTGTATATATCTATATAAATATAAGTATGTATATATATATATGTGTGTGTATGACGTGTACCATTGGGGAAAGCCAAAAAGAAAAAAAAAAAAATTTTTAACAACAATAAAGAACTAAAAAAGCACATGTTCGTAGCGAAATGAACATTTTTCTCTCTTTGTGGTGTATCAAAACAGCCGATTTGTCTATGACAATTGAGAATTGACAGTGTGGCTAACATCACTACAATCATTTTCTCTCTCTTACCATATATATATATATATACAGACAAGTAGATGTGCGTACGTGTATGTGTGTGCGTCAGTTTTGTTCTGGTGTTTATATCATCCAACACGAACGGTGTAAGTTTTTATGTGGGTGGGGGGCGCGTCAATGTCTTTTTCTTTTTTCTTTTTTCTTTTTTCTTTTTTTCTTTCTTTTTGCGTCTCTCCGTCTCCACAGCACCAGCAGTTCAAACAACGAAATGAGACTGAGGAAAAAATAAAAAATAAAAATTTTCATCTTACGGAGGAAAACAAGGCTTGTAAAATTTGAAAAAAAATAAGAAGAAATAAGTTTCTTTCTCTCTCTCCTTTTCAACCTTGCAAGTAGTACGCAACTAGCTAAATAGACTGCTCCCACTGCCTGTTATCCCGCTATCTCGTCATCGCTACCGCATTATTAAGGAGTAGTCTTCCTTCTAACTATTATTATTGCTGTTGTCGTTGTTGTTATTATTATTATCATCATCATCATCATCATCTTGATATCTATTCTATTTTTAGCTTGGCACAGTTTCCTTCTTTATCCATTTACTTTTCTTCTTACCTTTACATTAGAAATACCACTATTATACATTCATACATATATACATATATATATATATATCTTTTTTATTAATCATTGTTATCATTACGTTATCTTACCTACTCATTCCTCTCGCTGTCCCTCCTTCTTCGTCACTCTATACTTATCCATCGATATATATACATACATATTCATCTATTTATTGAAGGAAGTTTTATCTTATTAGGATATTGACACTTATTTATATGATATTACATTACATTAAACATTAACATCAAAATCTCGTTTTTTGTTTTTGTTCCATTTTTTCTTTTCTTTCATTCTTTCATTTCTGCTTATTTGATTTGTTAATATTTAATAAGACTATTCCATATCAACTAATTATTTATTCATTTCACAAATATCATATCATACAATACAATACAATACAATACAATTCTGTTTTATAATCATATCAACAATTACTAATTTATAGATATAGTTTTTTTTTTGTTTGTTTGTTTGTTCTTTTTTAACTTTCCTGCCCCCTTCCCCATTCATTTCATATCATTTCAAATTTGCTTCATCTTACTTATATTCAAAATTCTTTTAAAGAATAAAAAAACTAAAATAAAAAATAAATAATCAATTAATAATTTTTTAATCAATATGAAATTTTCACTGTCAAACAATCACATGAATAACTGTAATAAAAAATATATCTATAATTGGTTTTATTTAATATTTTTCACCCTATTCTTTCTAATTTCTAATATTCAATTATCATTAGCACAAGATATTGCAATAACAACAACAACATCATCATCATCATCATCATCATCATCATCTACTGCTGCCGCTACTGCTAGTACCACTTCACTCTCATCGTCCACCACATCAACTTCTTCTTCAACTTCCTCCTCAACTTCTAAAAATTCTAAAACTACTAAATACTCGAATAGAGTACTAAAAACCTCTTCTTTACTAACATGTATGGACAACTCCCAATTCACCGCACAGTACTTCGATGTTAGATATTATCCAGACAATAAAACCGTGGTATTCAAAGTCGACGCAACAACTACCATAGACGCTAAAATTATTATCGATGCTGAGGTCATCGCATATGGTCTACAAGTTTTAAACATGACTATTAATCCATGTTCGCTAGGCCAACTTGGTATCTGTCCTTTATCCCCAGGTAGAATCGATGTAGAATCAACATACGTGGTAGATTCAGATGCAACCAATCAAATCCCTTCAATAGCGTACACCATCCCCGATCTAGACGCTCAAGTTAGAGTCATTGCCTATTCCGTGGACGATGTCACTAAATCTAACCCGTTAGCTTGTGTACAAGCAATCCTAAGTAATGGAAAAACCGTACAAACTAAGTATGCATCATGGCCAATAGCAGCTATCTCGGGGGTAGGTATCTTAACGTCGGGTTTTGTCTCAGTCATTGGCTATAGTTCCACTGCAACTCATATAGCGTCCAATTCCATCTCTCTGTTCATTTATTTCCAAAACCTTGCAATCACTGCCATGATGGGTGTCTCAAGGGTTCCACCAATTGCTGCAGCTTGGACCCAAAATTTCCAATGGTCCATGGGTATAATATACGCTAAATTCATGCAAAACATTTTCAATTGGTATGTTCAATCAACCAATGGTATATCCACAGTCGTTATATCAAACAAAGATATTCTTTCCATATCTGTACAAAAGAAAAGGAAGAGAGGTTACTCTGTAGTCTCATCGAGTGACTATAACTTTGATGCACTCACCGACGATTCAAGTCTATATACTACCAATGAAAGAAACAGTGATAACTATTCAACAAAGATCCTGGTGTTGAGGGGTATCCAACGTGTTGCATATTTGGCTAACATCGAGTTATCGAATCTGTTTTTAACTGGGATAGTAATATTTTTGTTTTTCTTATTCGTTGTTGTCGTATCTTTGATCTTTTTCAAATCTTTATTGGAAGTCTTGACTAGAGCAAGATTAATGCCACAAACTTCTAATTTCTTCCAATATAGGAAAAATTGGGGCCAAATCATTAAAGGTACGTTATACAGGCTATCAATCATTGCGTTCCCACAGATTTGTCTTTTAACAATCTGGGAATTTACTCAATTGGATTCACCTGCTGTGGTGGTTGATGCAGTGATAATTTTAATCATTTGCATGGGATTACTCATCTACGGTACGACTAGAGTGCTGTTGAAGGGAGTAGAATCAAAGAGACTCTACAAGACACCTGCATATTTATTATATGGTGATACTACCTTTTTGAATAAATTTGGGTTTTTATATGTACAATTTAAGGCTGATACATTTTGGTGGTTACTTGTACTGTTGTGCTATTCCTTTTTAAGATCATTATTTGTGGCTGTATTACAGGAGAATGGGAAAGCGCAAGCAATGATCATATTCATCATTGAATTGTTCTACTTCATTGCATTATGCTGGATTAAACCATATTTAGATAAAAGAACAAACATTTTCAATATTGCGATCCATTTAGTAAATTTAATTAACGCATTTTTCTTTTTATTCTTCAGCAATATATTTAATCAAGCCCCTATAGTGTCCTCCGTGATGGCAATTATTTTGTTTATTTTAAATGCAGTATTTGCATTATTTTTATTAATTTTCACCGTTATCACGTGTGCATTAGCATTGGTTCATAGAAACCCTGATATAAGATATCAACCAATGAAGGATGATCGTGTATCATTTATTCCTAAGATGACAAATGGAGATGGAATGATCGATTATAAAAATAACAAATCCGAAGCAGAATTATTTGAATTGAGACAAGCTGTCCTTGATACAAATGAGACAGAGAAAGAGAAAGAGTTAAGAGATGATGCTTTTACAAAGAAGAATCAATATGAAACTAATAGTAACACGTTTGATTACGATTTTGATAATGATAGCGGTAGCGTGTTCAATTCAAATAATATGAGATCATCAGAGGAATTTGTACAGCCATTCTCCACCATAAACAACAATAACAATACTACTACTACTAATAATAATAATAATTACCTTAGTGTATCCAATAGATCTGCATCATATGCAGGCAGTTCGATGTCGAATCTATTAAAAACTGGATCAAGGTCGCCTGTAAAGAATAGCAGTAACAATGTAGAAAATTTAAAGAAACCAGAAACAACTTTTTACGGTAATAATCATTCATATTCTAGGGACTTTTTGTAAAATTTAAATAGTTGTATATATTTGTGTGTGCGTGCCCGTATGTATTTATTAAATATCACACTTCAAGCAACTAAACTTTAGTATTTTATATGCATGATTACATATCAGAAGGGCTTGTTCCCAAACATAATACTACCATTCTAATCCATCAATATCACACCGAAACAACATCAATTATATAAAATATGAACTATGATAATCCTAAGTTACTTTATAATCTTATTTCCAATAATTTCTAAAAATGCGCTTCTTTAGCGGAGATTGCACCAAAATTACTTAATCAGGTAATAAAATTACTGTGACAAAGAGCATAATCTTCAATTTTTTTTTTGTATTTAGATTATTTTTTGATTTTGAAAATATAAAGAAAATAAAAGAAAATAAAAATATTTGCAGTTCAAGGTGAAACTAGAGAATAATAGTGCTGAGATAAGGTATTTGAAGTATTACTCCAATTCTAAAGTAGCTGAAACGAAATGGAATAGATAATCAATATATATATATATATATATATATTTGCATAAAGAATGATAGTTATTAAATCTGAGGGTACTCCAAACCAGAAACCACAATCAACAAATACTTCGAATAATGATTCTATGACAAAATCCTTTTCTAAAGCACTTAATAGTGACAATACTAATATGGATAATGCAGCTAATAAGCAGATACAAGACACTGTCAATAATGAGAATAATGTTGTCAGCAACGTGACAACAACAGTTTGCACAGATCCAGATCAGAAAATAACAAAACCAATGGCAAAAAAACAGATTAGAAATAGGTTGTCATTTGTTTGTCAAGCATGTAGAAAATCAAAGACCAAATGTGATAGAGAAAAACCTAAATGTACAAGATGTGTCAAAATGAACATTGAATGTGTCTATGATGTAGCCAAACAACCCAGACCAAGGATCCCAAATAAAGACGCCACTATTGCTAAGTTAGAAAAAGATGTATTGTATTGGCAAAATAAAGCGATGAAACTTTTAAATCAACAAGAAGAAATATTGCACTCGTTAAAAGATACACATATTTCGAATAATAACAATAACAGCATTTTAAGTCATAATCCTACTACTACCAATAATAATAATTCCAATGTAAATGCTCCCAACACTTTACCTTTCATACAGATGGCCAAAAATGTCAATAATAATGATGATGATTATTTAAAAGATATAGAAATAAACTTATACAAAGACCATCCAACAATGATACTTAGCAAAGTGTTGAAACATGATGTTAAACCATTATCAGAAAATTACATTATCATTCAAGACAGATTTATGGCTTGTTGTATAGCATCTGCATTTATGTCGCAAAATTCTAACTCTATGATTCCAGCATTAACTGCAAATGCAAACATATCTAGAGCTAAGGAAAGTGTTAGGAATAATGTTGCAAAATTGAAAAATATTCTCATGAAGCAGTGTACAGACCCTGCAAGAAGAGCCAGAATTGAAGAATTTACCGATAGAATCCTAGAAAATACAAATTCCTCTAAAAGTTTGAAGATTGGAATGATCCTTTCTATGTTATATAACACTGTGGGTCATCAATATTTGGAAGATTACTGTACATCAAGCGACAACTATTCTGACCTTTTAAAATTATTTATCCAGGAATTTGAGAGGTTATTACCACCGTATGAAATCATTCAAAGTTACAAAAAACATTTCTATCAATATGTTTACCCTAATTTGCCTTTTTTACAGAAGGAAATTTTTGAGGAATCAATATCTCAAACTATAACCCGTAATCCTGATGACCCTTCCAAGATCAAGTTAAATTTAGGATGTAATCATTTGAGAGACAAAATTGAAAATTTATCAATTTTAATGGTAATTTTGAAGTTGTCTTATGTTTCTTTGAGAGCAATCATAAACTATGACGAAAAAGATGATTCTGGTAAAAATGTTACGGGTAATAAAGATTTGTCATCATCTATGCCTATATTTGTAACACAGGAGCAAATTAATAAATATCCAATATCAAATGATTTTATATTAATAGCGCAAAGGTGTTTAGCGTCAGAAAATTGGTTTGCCTGTGCTAACGAAAATATCATTACATGCTTATTATTTATTTGGTCTTTTTTTGCATTTTCTCCAGAAGAAGGTGATTTTTTCTTAGAGCATCCAACAGATATAATTAGCAGTCTAATCATGATGCTCTCTACCTCAATAGGGTTACATAGAGACCCGAGTGATTATGCTCAACTAAAAGAGCCCTCTTTATCAGATCAAAGATTGCTAAATCAGAGAAGACTTTTATGGGTCTCAGTAGTAGGCATTTGCTCCTTTGAATCCACTTTGAAAGGCAGACATCCTCTACTTTCTTCAGACCTCATGTCGTCGTTTCTCGATACAAAGGCCACTAATAGTATTAAGCATTACATGGAGAGAGTATCATTAGATATGACAGGTAATGAAGATGAGCTTTTAATTAAAATTCATGAGTGGACTGTTAAGAGGGCACAGTTATCATTATTACTTGCTGATTTGGACAGTATTACTATGTATTATAATGATACATTTTCTTTACGGTATCTAGAGCTTTCTAGGGAAAAAATTGAAATATTTGTAGCAGAAAATTTTCCATTACTGGAGTTAGAAAAGAGAAAGACTAAAAATAATAAGAAAAATACAGAGGATTTTAATCCACATTCAATTTTAATAGCTAATAGAAATTCCAATGCACTACAGAGTATTTTAATATCAAAATTAATGTTTCTAAGAACATCAGCTGCCATATATCTTCATTTTGAGGTAAAAAGTCTAGAAGACTCTTCTTTACTACCATATTATTACAAATACTTAATACAAACAGCTAGTGACTGTCTAAACTTAATTAAAGTCATCAACGATTTTTTTAGTGATGAATACCACGATTACATATATAAATCTAATTCATTTAACATCACTAAAATAATACAATTAGCATTGCCTACTGCATTGTTCACTTTAATTGGTGTCATTATAAGATTAACTCTAACAAATAATAATATTTTCAATGATTTTCAAACTAATATTAATAATTATACTTTTCACCAGAAAGCAGAATTAAACATGAGATTTGAACATACAACATTTATTCAAAGAGAGTTAGAAAATACACTAGAGTGGGTGTATGCCTTTGCTTCAAAGAATCTCAGATTTACATATTTTTCTATTTTCAAGTTATTTGCAGTAGGCGATGTTGTGTTACAAAGAATACGAAATGGTGAAATATGGCAAGGTATCTGTAAACTTTCTAAGTTGAAGGGTCTACAAACTAAAATAACTAAAAATTTAAGAATGACATTAGGTGTTAATATAGAGCAAGGTGCAGATTTAATACATGATTTAGAGAGAAGAAATTTTATTGAAAAAATGCCTGTGAGGGAATTAGCTAAGTTATGTAAAATAATTCATGATATACATTTAACCATAAAAAAACCCTTACCAGTATTTGGGGAAGACCAAAAATTATATGCTCCACCTTCTGTTCAATTAACTTTAGAAGGTCAATATCTCCGCCCTTCCCTCGGTTCTACTAGTGCAAGCGTGCCAACTACTACTGCGTATTATAATTATGCTAATATTCCATATAATCAATTTTCAATTACATCTCTTCCAGTAAATAACAAAAACATGCATTCACAGTATCCCTATAATAGTCAGGCCTCAACGTTTACAAGTAACTCAAATCAATATCATATTGATCCACAAATACAGTCAGTTATGTTAGTGAACCATAATAGCCCACATATGTTAAATTCAATGACTCCTGTACCGGAAAATAACAATGTCAAGTCTTTTTCAGGAGCAGTGAATCATAACAACTTTTCTCCTTCTATAATAAATGGACATTTACCTCCACTAAATGCACCTATTCCTTCTTCAGCGATGAATATCAATAAAAACATTCCCAATTTTACGACATTTTCCCATGAATATAATACTACTAATTTCAGCAATTCACCTTATAATAATCCTAATATTTCTGGTGGCCAGCTTCAAAAAAACACTAATATATCTAATTTAATTGTTAGCAATAATGGAATTCAAAATGGCAATGATTCGAGTAAATATAGTGGATTCTCTATTAATGAAAATATGGCCAAAGAATTTTTGGAACGAACAAAGCCTTCTAGTGAAGCATATCAAGATGAATTTTTTGACGGTTTTGATCTCTTTGATTATGACTTTTTATTTGGTAATGATTTCTCTTGATTATATTAGACAGTATATTTTGACTTTTTATCTGTAGTCTATTTGTGCTGGGTCATAAGTCTGCAATCATTTTTGTCATAAATAGAGGACTGTACTATATGATAATTTTATATATAATTATGTTATCTATGATAAAAAAAATCAATTAATTGGTTGGAAATTTTCAATAATAAATCACGAATATTAAAAATCTTATGTTATTAACAATTTACAAATGAGAATAAACATCTTGTTTACTTCTGATCTAACTTGTTTTTGGCCAATTTATACAAAGTATATGACAGCAAAGTTATGAAACCCATTGAAGATCCTAAAATGACAGCAGTTTGTCGATAATCTATATCAGTGATTGTTTTCTTGACTTTTTCTGGTAAATCCGGGGTGTTGTCCTCTGGCACTAGTGCAGCTTCAGTGATTTTAATAAATAGCTCATTTAAGGAACTTAACCATTTAGAAGATATGTGTAATGGATGATTTAGAAACATTTTTTCACAAAAATCATCAGGTTGCGTATAACACCTTTGCTGTTGCTTATCTAAATCGGCTTTGAGTCCAACAATAATGATAGGTAGACGTTTAATATCTTCATATCTGTTAAATAATTCCAAAATGTATGAAAATGAATCAGGATCACTTGAATCATAGGTTAGGCATAATACGTCACAAGTTTTCAATTTTTCCTTATTTAAAATTAATTCTTCATTGGTCTCAATAAATTCTTGCAAAATCAAATAGTACTGCTTCCCACCTTTAAGTTCTAAACTATTAACTGCAATATGAGGCATTATCATCGGCTCATAGTTATCTGAAAATTGTCTTCCTAAAAACATCTCTAACAAAGTTGTCTTACCACTGAATTTTTTTCCAAAGACAAAACAGTTAAATACTTTACGATCTGAAACTGATGATCTATATATTTTCCCCTGTCTTCTTCTATGTTTTCTTGCTTTTGTAATTTGTAATGCTAATCTAGTATCTTCTTCAAAACCAAAATAAACCAAATATTCAGTGACAACTGTATAGTCTAAGTATGTTGTCATCGCCCATTGCGCTAACCAACCTTGTAAAGTGATAAATCCTCTATTATTTATCACAGTAGAATAAGGAAAATTCGAGGCCAACCATAACTTAGGTAAACCTGGTGTAGTTTTGAACATAGCTTCAAGCTCATTATCATCTAATCCACCATCTTTATTTCTGTCAAATTTAACAAATAGGCTTACTAGAAATCTATATCCCTTAGGACTCAATTCGACGCTAGCTGAATTTGGTACACTAACCTTAGGGTGAAGATAAGTATCATCTAGTGATAAAGAATTAGTATATTTAAAAGCTCTTAATATACCCCAAATTGTTTCATGTCTCCCCTTTTCAACATACATCTTATTCAATGCCAAAAACCCCTTAATAGTAATACCAGCTCCTGGCACATAAAGAGGATAGTGAATATCACCAAAATAGGAATCTTCACTTTTGGTCGTAGAGTCATGAAAATTGTTATAGTTGCTGACTGATGCATACTCGAGTTCTTCATGATAACTATTTCTTTGAGTGATTAAAAGATTTTGTTTTATGTATTCCAATTCACTAATAGCAATTTCTTTACGGAAACATTTTCTTTGTAAATAATTCATCTCATCATCATTTAAAAATCCATCTTGATCATTATCACATAAGAGAAAGATTCTTTGTAAAGCCCCTATTGCTAAAGGTTTCAAGTCTCCGCATCTTGCATCAAATAAAGGTGTAATTGGATAAATGATAGCCCTTTGACATAAATAAAATGCTTGATTGACATTGTATTTAGTCTTTGCAGATGCTTTGATACATGTGTCTATTTCTTTAAATTCCATTAAAATAGGGATAAATTCTTCATCTTCAACTTTTGTATCTTGAATATTACCGTTGTTTTCACGAGTTTGATTTGTTATTGTAGTAACTGTTCTGTTCACAGTCTCATTTACATTAGCATCATTACTGATTGGAGTATCACATTTATTTTTACATAATATAATAGGTATATTGAGCCCTAAAGACCTAAACATCATCATCCAATGGAAGGATATCCTTTCGTAAGAGTCATGGTCTGAATATACAAGCCAGATAACATCTGCCAATTTTAAAGTAGTGTGTAAAGCTTGTATATCTTCATTGTTCGTATCAATTATAACCGTACTAAACGAAGAATTTGCATTTGATGAGAAATCTCGAGGTATTGTAATGGGACTTATTACATCTTGTAAATTCGATACAAATTTATTTTTTATTAAGCTTACTAACAAACTTGTTTTACCCACATTATCATCACCACAAACCACAATTTTGATTGTCTCTTTTGTCATTACTTAAAGCTCTAGTACTCTTATCCCAATGCTTACTTAATTGTAGGGAAGGCAAGTTGAGGAATTCTTTTGATGTATAAGCTGTTTGTATTTGAAATTGTAAAGTGCCTCTTGAACTTTGCCGGAAATTCCAATTCCCCAAAAAATCATGTGGGCATATTTTATTGCGGAATTGCTACGGAATGTAGTGTTTCCAAATGTGTTTTTGAAATCCGTGTGGAATCCTTGCAAAATCCGAAATTTGTAGTCGAAGATTTACAAGAATCTGATCGATGTGATTGGATTATTGAAACATGGTGAGATCTATGGTTATAATAAAAATGTGTTATTCCATTAAAAGTGATCTTCTTCCTAATTACAAATTTATCTGAATCCTGTATCGTTAGGCAATAGAAAAAGAGATGATACATCTGAAAAAAGTCATGTTTTATAGATATATCTATCATTATATTATCTTTCTCTTTTTTTGGAATTGCTGAATTTCAAATGAATATTTATAAATAAACGGTTTACAACCTATAAACTATCATAATCCACTGTAATAAATATTAATATTTTAACCAAATGTTAAAAGTAAATAGTTAAAAGAGATCAAAAGCTCAGTAAAAAGTTATAAAAGACTTGTATTTCAATACTTGATTCGTTGGGATATTTGTAATTGTTGTTTCAACTTTTCATTTTCTATTTCCAATTTATTAATACGTTGTTCTGTGATATTTGACTCAATCTTTCTAGATTCTCTTTCTATTGACCAACGTTTCTCTAATTCTTTAATTCTTAGTTTATACTCCTGCTCTGAACCTGTAGGTGATGGTAAAGGAGAATATAATTGATCTAAGTTATTTGAAATGATTGATGAAGAAAGCATTGGACTATTAATAATGAATGATGTATACGATTTAGTTAAAAAACTTAAAGCTTTTTCATTGAACCTTAATAATGACTCTATCTTTACTTGTAATTGCTTTATTTTATCTAATCCGTTTTCAGGATCTCTTACAAATGAAATCTTCCTAAATGATCTTTCTATTGACTCCTTTTCTAGAACTGGTTCTAATATATCAATTATTTTTGATAAGTAGTTGACCAAAGTTTGTTTGAATGCAGAAAAATGAAGATTTTTACTATCATTGAATACTGATGCATCATGTTTTAGCTGATAAAAGTCCTTTTGTAATAGTTCGTACCTATTTAAAATTGAATCTCTTTCCTTAGTTATTTGGGTAATCAATCTCAAATGATCTCTCTCAACAGTCTTATAACGCAATTCTAAGTTCTTTAACATATTAGGATATTTTTTATTGACATCATTCATTGTTTCTCTTAATTTATTTCTATTTATTTCTGACTGTTTATCAAATTTATATGTTAAAGTGTCGATTGATTTTTTAATTGTGTTAATATCATCAATTTTGACATTTTCTTTGAGATCCTTTTCTTGCTTCTTTATTACAGAAGATAATTGGGCTAAACATCTATCTTGTTCAGAGATCTTGGACATTAACTTACCATATAAAGTTAACGATTTTCTTAATTTTTCTCTTACAGTTACCATATATGCATCATATTGTCTATGTAATTCTTCGATTATTGAAGCAGTGTCGGGGTCTAATTTTATTTGAGTGTCTGCATTTTCTTTTTCATTATCAGTTGTTGATGTTACTTGTTGTTTAATGTTGAGATTTTCACTCATATTGTTAGCCTCATCCTCTAAATGTTCAGTAGAATCATCAATAGGGATAATATTCCGCTGTTGGAATTCTGGTGATGTAATTATCTCAAGCCAATATTTTTGAAATTGCAAAAGCTTATTCATAACAAACGAAGATTCTTGCTGCAAAGTGCCTTCCAAGCTTGGAATTATATCATAAAATCGATCTGAATCAGAATCTTTTTTCATAGCAACAATTAAATCCTCTAACATCGAATTAATAATCACAGACATACGTTCGTAGTCCTTTAGATGCTCATCCGTCATTTGTAAAGTGTCATTATATTCTTTCTTCAGATCTTTTAACTCGTTTTGGGTCTCTTTTAATTCCATTCTCAATTTCTGATTCTCTTTTTCTACTTTATTAATTTCATCAGGATAATGGTTATTCATATTATTTTGGCTATCATTGCTGTTATCCTGGATAGATGTAGAAATATTATTGATTTTATTGAATAAACTGTCAAATAACGAATTATTGAGTTCACCAATGTTTGACTTGTTGGAACCTGCTTCGTTAATACCTTTGATTATTTCTTCTAAAGCAGATATTTTAATTTTATATTTTTTTAATTGATTTTGTAGTCCTTCTAATTCATTAGGAGTAATCAACGATTTAAACTGAATTGGTCGCGTATCAAATGTCATAGGATCTGAAGCAGGTTTAATCAAGTTATGGTCCATGGAATGAGGTGAATAAGAATCTGAATTGACATCTTGGTTTTTCCAAGGTGTCATGCTTTCATCGATTTGAGGGATTGATTCTTTTTTTAATTCACTGGCATCAATATTTTCTGAATTATCTTCATCTAGTGAACGAGTACTGTTCCCATAACTTTTGACCTCTTGAATCTCTTCTAGATAGATAGCATTGCTTGGTTCAACTATTTTGGTTTTGTTTGATGGACTGTCATTATTACATACGGATGTATTTGCAGACTGTTTATTAGGTGTGGAAGCTGTAAGTGGGATTTTATTCAACTGAGACGGGCTCATTAAATTTAAATCACTGTGGTTAATACTATGTCTCTCGTCCTTGAAATCACATGTTTTGTTTTGTTTAATATCCTCTATTTTATTTATCGGACTGTTAATGATCTCGCTATGGAGTGATTCTTGTGATACATCTTTGTTAATATCCAATATTGATTCCATTTGAACCATTTGCAAATGATACAATAGTAAAATTACTTTGGCTAACTATTCTACTCTAATATCCAGCTGCTCTATTACAATCAAATGTATTTGAGCATATCCTGTGTATGTATATTTATGAATATGTGCATAAATCAAAGATGGTTCGATGTATAACAAATTATTTTTAAATGAAATAAACCCTTGTAATTATGAAGAAAATTAAATAAACAAGCAAACCTTTAATGCTCGCTTACATTGAGACAGAATAAGATAAAAAGCTAGCACATATGGTTAGTAGATATTGATACCATACAGTAGAGTTTAATAAGGTATTTTGGAAAAAGCCAAGAAGAAATTACGAAAAGAAGGGCAAAGTGTTAAACAAATCCAAATATTTAATTAGAGTTTTAACCTACCAATGATATATATTGTTAAAAAAAGAAGTTATATCCCACTAGGATATCGACAGATTCTCTATTTACATGATTTTGACCCTATATGTAATCCATATATATAGATATAAATGTATAAAGAAAAGAAGGGAAAGAGTGAGAGAGGAATATCATCGTTAATTTTTTGGTTTTTTTACTTTTTTTGTAATCAATTGAATACCATGCCATTTTGCAATATCTTCTTTTAAGAACTCATTTACCATTTGGTGCTGCTTAAAAATAGGTAAATTGTCAAACTTCTCGGAGGTAATATGAATAGAATACATGGATCCGCATCCACCAGAAATATCATTTACAGATAGCGATACTGGGTGATATTCTTCTAATAACTTTTTGAAGATAGTTTCCTCTTCTGTAGTGAGAAAGCTTTGGTCTTCAAGCAACTTTATTTGATCCTGCGATAATCTATGAGTCTCCTTGTTTTGTTGTTGCATCCATTGGTAACTTTGTTGCGCGTATAATCTATCTGAAATTGCTATAGACCCTCTGACATATCGTAAAGCCGAAATATTTACATTAATATCATGCAAACCAACTTTCCTTCCCAGTAAGGTGGAGGATCTATAATTGACCATACTTCTGAGCATTTTATGTTAATATATGTTATTCAATAACTTAATAGACTACCTGTCGGAATCAATACGTTGTAATAAAGTTGTGTAGATTGAATTTATTCTTCACGATTATGCTTCTTGTCTTTTAATTGACTCCGCTTTAAATGAGCTAATTTATACACATGTATCATCCTGCACAACCATAGATAAATGATAGTAAGTAGTGGTATAAAGGGTTAGGGTGCAGAAGACTTACTTTTCAAACGCTTTTGGCTTCTTCAACTGCACATTATTTGTTTTGATATATGTTATAGTGACTATACCAAAGTACATGACAGCGAACAACCAAAATTGAAAATAGGTAAAAATAAAAATAAAAATAAAAATAAAAATAAAAATAAAAATAAGAGGTAGAAGCATAAAACAGAAAATGCAATTTTGACGTGAAGAATTGCTGTGTTGTAGGGCTGAGCTGTTGGTAAAAGAATAGCATATTTCTTAACCTTATAGCACTTGTAAAAGTTAGACATATCTTTATTATAGTGTGTGTGTTGCCATTGATAATTCACAAAAGTTTACCGAACACTATAGATCAGTTAGTTTCTTTTAGAAAGGATTTTTAGATTATTCAGTGATGATATATTCATTTTGGATTTTTGATAAACATTGCAACTGTATATTTGAAAGAGAATGGACTCTAGGTAGTAACACAAATAATCCCAATGCTCTGAGTAGTGGCACTATAAACTCAAAACAAAATGATGAGATAGGGAAGTTATTATATGGGATGATATTTTCTTTGAACTCAATTACTCAAAAACTATCAACCTCAATATCTGACAATCAAATAAACAATAATATTAGATCCATATCTACTGGTAAATTTAGAATTCATACGATGCAAACAGCTACTGGTCTTTGGTTTATTTTGATAACAGATTTTAAACAACAAAACTATTCACAAGTATTACATTACATCTATAGTCATATTTATATTAAACATGTGGTTCATAATTTTCTTTCGCCATATGATTTTGCATTGAATCCAAAAGAACAACGAGGTCAAGGCGTTAAAAAGATTAATAATAGACATTTTATCAACACTTTAGAGGCATTCTTGCAACCAATGTTGAATTAAATTATCTTATTGATAAATATAAATAAATTTATATGTATTTAGAGAAGGAGATGGTTATATGGGTGGATAAGCATTTTCAAAGATAAAGGTACACTTTTTTCTCTTTCCTTGTTATCTTATCTTTTTACATACTATTTAGGAAAGTTTTACAGAAACAACATAACAGCATGAAGATGTAATGATATTCGGTAAATATTTACCGAATATCATTACAATATATATATGTTTATTTTATCCATAGTGAATATTTATATTTAATATAATTACATACCACTGAAAAGTAAATCTGTCCAGAATTCATCGTTTAAGGCGTCATAACCTAATGCTAAAGAATTCATATCAGTCAAATATTCATTCAAATTATCACTTGCAATTGATGGTGAAGAATCTTTAAGTAGTGGTAATTGATCATTTATCATATTAGTTTTATTAGTGGCTCCTGATAAAGGATTTAACTGAAATGGGAATCCATTTTTATTTTTTTCAATGGGAAATTCTTTATTATTGGAGACAGTAGAGTTTTGCTTAGAATCTAAATATACATTTAAACGTGCATCACCATTTAGAGCACTATTATTATTATGATTTGATAACTCCACTTTAATAGTATTGTTTTCATTGTTTAATTTAGGTACAAAATTAGCATTATTAACAGTGTTGATCTGATTATTAATAGTATTTAAATTCATAGGATTCAAATACAATTGACGTGAGTTGACATCTTCACTATACATCAATTGTGTATTAAATTGAATATTCTTATTCATTTTTGCGTGCTGTTCGTTATGCTCCATTCTTTCTGCTAATTCTGTAACTCTTGTTGCATATGTTTGACCAAATAAGGCTATCACATATTGAAATTTATATAACCCATTGTTATAAGGGTATTTTCTGGATGCGCTTTCCAAACTGGTTGATACTTGTTTTACTAGATCTATAGTACCATCAGTAATGGTAGCAAAATGGTGAAAAGAAGGTATTGACACAGCAGCATATCGTAATTTTAATATTAATACCCCTACAATGTAAATAATTCTTGACATATGAAAAAGAGGTAAAGATGCTATTAAAGTGTCTGACAATTTTAAAAATTCCATTAAAGATTTAGTACAGCATTCATAACACCTTAAAAATGCTTTTGTTACATTATCTGGGAGATCTGCATTTTTTTCTATTGCTTCAAAGTGTATATAATCATTTAATGTGAATTGGTGTAAGTATGCTTCCACAGAATAGTAAAACGCTAACACACGAGGACGAGAATTTGGAATTCCTTTGAAAACTTCATCTAATTCCTTTTGGTATATATCAATTAACCCCTGAATGTATTGTTCAGCTAATTTATAATTTGACAATGCTTCATCGTATTTTATATCTTTGATTTCATGTAAATGAATATGTATCTTTTCTAATAAATGATTTAATTTAGAAAAAGTTATTAATGTTTCACATCCCTCTATTTGAAGACTTAAAGATGTTGTATTATCGTTTGTGTTCTTACTTGCTTCAAGACAAGCTTTTAAATCGTCTATGTTTTGCTTTATATCTTCAATTGCATTCTCTGTAATAAAACTCCATCGTACATGTATTGTTTGTTTCAAGTAAATCGAAATATTCAGGGCAGATATATATACTAATAATGTCAGTCTTGGGCCATTTTCAGCTTGTTCTAATAGACTTCTCCTTGGTGCTTGACTTTTATTTGGGGCCTCATCATTAAACATTCCAAATACTCGATTAACAGAAGCGGGACTCAGATCTTTTAGAAAGCAACAACAAATATAGTTGAATAAGTGGTATCGTGTTTTGTTAGACCATTCAAGAAAATTATACCACATGCATAATGTTACTAATGCCTCGATAACTTCAATTGATTTATTATTCAACTTAAATATTTGAATAGTTATCAAATTAATAACAAAACTATCTAACTTCATTACAGTGTCACGTGTTGTTTGTTCTTCTGTCATAACTTTTGAAACAATAGACATAACCACAGAGAAAAATATTGGTTTATCCTTACGAATATCATTAATGGAGGCGTCATCCCGTATACAAACAAAAGGTAATCTGCTTTCACGGGCAATTACCTCTGAGTATAGTTTTAATCTTAATTCAGCTTCTTCCATGGATATAATCCCAAGATAAACAGGATCCGAAATAGTTGGCAAAAATAAACTATTTTCAACTAACTTATTCCATTGTGTAGACCACAAGTTAAATTTATTGAAAATCCCACTGACTTTCCCCTTTAGCAATATTAATAATGACCGTAGGTTTCTTTTAAATTCATGATTCATGTGGTATTGTGTCTTTTTCTTAACAGCAATAGCGCTAATATTGCTTTTATTGGTTGGTTTATCCATAAATGCTAGTTCTTTATGCTTGTTCAATATGTTAGTAGTAGGTTGCTCCTTTCTGTCGGAAGAGGTCTGGATATTAAGAGTTGTGGTTGAGGGTGTAATGATCTTTTGTGGAGCATGGTTCACAGTAGTTATTTCATTGCTTAGTTCATTTGAGGATTTTTTTGTAGTATCTTGGTTGGAAAAAATTGCAGTCTGAAGTAAGTCCAATCCAGTCGAATTCAGACATATATTACTAATATTTTGATTGTTGCTATTAACAATTTGTGTAGAAGGCTGTTTTAAATTCTCCTGGGATGTGACGGGATTGTATCCAGATGACACATTATTATCTGCATTGGTGGATTCAGTGTAGTATTTTTCATTGTTTAATAAATTATTTTTTGTTAGGGAGTTCATTTGGATTGGCAAAAACGTTGTGCTAAATTGATTAATATTGGTGCTATTATGTTGCTGGTTAGATACATCTATCTTCATTGTATTCTGCGGCGCTGATTGGTATGGTTTAGTATTATTCGATTCTACTATATTTTCTGATGAATCTAGTGGAAAATTGCTTTGGTATATGTTGGTATTTTTGTTAATGTGATTTCCTACACCAGTGTTATCATTTTTTCTGTCTGTACTAAGAGTAGAAGTGGGATCATATGCAACTTCAACAGCCACACTGTTTGTAATAGGTGTACTCATATAAGGTTCCCGTGATTGTGTAGTGGCAGAATACTGTGTAATGGATGAGGATTCAATAGAGTTTGAGTTTACAGATGATGTGCTGTCAATAGGACTTGTTCGATCTCCAATATCAGGAACATTTATCGGTGTACGTGCCCTTCTCTTTCTAGTTCTCTTTGCCAAATCAAATGTACATTTCTTTTCTCGTTTTAAACATCGAACACATGGTTTTCTATATATATCGTTAGGATCGGATGGAACACATTTTTGTTTTAAACTATGACATCTAACACATGCAAATGTATTTCTTTTACTCTTCCCCTTCGTATTACTTTTTAGATTGGTAGGACCCAAAATCCTAGGATCGTCATCTAGTATACCTTGGATGACAGTTGTACATAGATCAGTATTATCTTCAGTATATATATGCATACTTTTGTTTTTGTATTCCCTGAAACAGACTTGTCTATCTTCTTCTTTTGTGAAAGTTTTTATTTCCTGTTTTGTACTCTGAATATCTGTTTACTTCATATATTTCCCAATGACCTTTATAGACTGATTTCAAATTACAATAAGTAGTAATGGCTGGCTAGTACCAATTAATGTATAGAATATCTGATGTCTTCTATGTACCTTTTCTCACAGCCATGTTGAATGAAGTCATCTTTTTTAACGAAGATTTACCGGGTTTTATGTAAACTGTGCAGATTTTTCCTTACATGACAAATTTTTTTTGTCACAGTTAACGAGGTATGCCAAGCCGTTCATTTACCCTTAAATTTGCCAAAGAAGATACAGTGTTTGTTTTCTTTTCATTTTTCATTTTTTTTTCAGATTTACTTAGATTTTCGTGTGTTTTACGAAAAAAAAAAGTTTTTTCAGAAGACCTGAGTCATAGAAAATAGCAAAAAAAAAAGAGATATATCCATCTAAATCTTTCAAAATGAACATATTATACTATCAAATACACAAAATAATCTTCCTTCTTCACGTTTCATTAGCAAATTATACCTGAATTAAGTATAAACATTTTAGACAAACCATCATTCACAGTAATGTTTTCTTTGTTAAGTTAGATTATTGAGTATCATTTTAAAAATAAAATAATATTAGTGATATTAAGATTTATATCATGTTCATGTTCATGGCGATTACATAAAAAAATATTATCAACGTTGTATATAAGGGTACCTTTTTAATTAAATAAAACATCATTTTTATATAAATGAGTTAAAATAGTGATTTTAAAGACAGTAAAGAGAATAAATATATGTTTAAATATGTGTATACTTAATAAATAGGTTTAATAATATGTAGGGGAATCGTAGATAGTGGCGAAAAAGGAGTGGTAATGTTAACATTTTGTATATACACAGCAGAAAAGGATTAAATAGAAATGCATGCATGTATACTATATTCTACGTTATGATTTAATGCAAACGTGTGATCCTTTCTTTAATCTTTGTAAATCTGCGGGAGATTGAATTGCTGCGGGTGTAGGAGTAGCATCTGGTTTCTTTGCACGGTTATGGGTCATATGACTTTGCACTAGATGTCCAGCAGCTAAAGCAGCGCATAAGGACAATTCACCAGCCATAACTGCACAAGCAATAATTCTGGCCAATTGACGAGCATTATTACCTGGATTAGTTGGATGAGGACCGCGAACTCCTAATAAATCTAACATAGCACCCTGTGGTTCTAAGACAGTACCACCCCCAATTGTACCAACTTCAATACATGGCATTGATACAGAAATTCTTAAGTCACCATCAACTTCTTTCATTAACGTTATACAGTTAGAACTTTCCACGTTTTGGGCTGGGTCTTGGCCTAAAGCTAAGTAGACAGCAGTTAACAGGTTTGCTGCGTGAGCATTAAATCCACCTACAGAACCAGCCATAGCCGAACCAACTAAATTCTTGGAAACATTTAATTCAACTAGTGCTTTGACATCACTTTTCAATACTTTTTTCACGGTTTCAGCTGGAATAGTAGCTTCTGCAACGACACTCTTACCACGGCCTTCAATCCAATTGATGGCAGCAGGTTTTTTATCAGTACAATAATTACCAGATACAGAAACAATTTCCATATCTTCCCAACCAAATTCTTCTCTCATTTGTTTCAAGACGAATTCTACACCCTTTGAAATCATATTCATACCCATAGCATCACCTGTAGTGGTTCTAAATCTTATAAACAATAAATCACCAGCTAGAGCAGTTTGAATATGTTGTAATCTAGCAAATCTGGAAGTAGAATCAAATGCCTTTTTAACTTTAGTCTGACCTTCTTCAGAATCTAACCAAATTTTACAAGCACCAGATCTTGTTAAAGTTGGGAATCTGACACATGGACCTCTTGTCATACCATCCTTAGTTAATACAGTAATTGCACCACCACCAGCATTGATAGCTTTACAACCACGCATGGCAGAGGCAACAAGACAACCTTCAGTAGTAGCCATTGGGATATGGTACGGAACGCCATCTATGACTAAAGGACCAATCACACCAACAGGTAAAGGCATATACCCTATGACATTTTCACAACATGCACCAAAGACTCTATCATAATCATAATGCTTGTATGGTAATCTTTCAGTGGCTAAAACAGGGGAATCTGATAAAATCGAGATTGCTTGACGACGAATGGCAACAGCCCTAGTAGTGTCCTTTAACTTGGTTTCTAAGGCATATAATGGTAATTTATTATTTGTGACTAATTCAGTGACTTCTTCATCATTCAATGTAGCAACGTTACCTTCTTTTAATATAATTTCTAATTCAGCTAAAGTTTTTGGTGTTTCGACTTCAGATTCGGCTTCAAGAACAGTTGCTGCGTTCTTATTCTTATTTTTTGATTTACGTTTATTTTTTTTAGATTTGGAACTAGAAGCAGGTGTTTCATTTGATACAGTAACTTGTTGGTCGTTATCTTTAATTGTATCACTAGAATTATTACTTTGTGATTGTGTGTCATCATTGGCAGTTATTTTATTGGCTTTATTTTTGGAACCACCAAGTGAAGAAGAAAGTAATTTGGACTTGATACTGTTCCTTCTCTTCAAAAATTCAGCCACAGTGTAACTAGTATGAATCTTAGCAGCATTTAATAAATATATGTTGATAGAGGCACTAATAATCAAAGAAACAAAGACCACCTTACTGACAAATCTGTCACGAATAACTTTACTTAGATAATGTAACAAATCCATGAAATTGTCACTAAAATTATAAATAAAAGTCGATTTGGTATAATAACGAATTGGAGTCACTGAAACAATAATGTTACCCTTTGATAATAAGTTAATATTTTTTTGTAATAAATCTGGTAAGATAGGGTCTAATTGAATAGAAGTAGAGGTTGCTAAATTATTGTAGACATCATTATTTGAATTATAATTTAATAATGCGCTCATTACAGATAATGATTGGGGTACGAAATTGATAATGTTGATCACAATTAAACAGGCAATTAAAGCAAGTTTACCTAAAACAATAGCAGTTTCAGATTTGAAATTTTTATTGACCTTTAAAATTGAATTATTATCAGTATTAGAAATGATGTCAGCAGTTTGTGGTGTCACACCATCTTCTTCCAAAGTTTGTTTGATAAGTGTGGACTTATAGATTGAATTAATTTCCAATTTCAAAGATAATATAGCGGAGAAGAAAGTGATGGTTAAAATAAATTCGAATAAAACGATTAAAGCACAAAGAAGAGAGAAATTTGAAAGTGTTGATAACTTGTAAGTGTAAAGAGAGCAACCGATAAAAGCAATCAGACATAATGATGTGTCTTGTACAAAACGGCCGCCATATTCTACCATTGCATCATATATTATATTATCGTTTGTTTGATGATGATTATGGTTGGTTTGATGACTTAAAGTAGTACCAAGTTCATTCGAAGAAAGATGACTTGAATATAAGTTGGATTTATATAGCACAGAAGAAGCCAATTTGATTTGATGTCTAAAACCTAGTACTACAACGATGAATGGAATACCTTGTAAAAGAGTTGAAATAGACACGTCCTTTTGAAAAACGTAATGAGATACAAATAGAGAAATAAAGAACGCACAAGTAGAATTGATTAAAGTGGCAAAGCTTAACCAAAATTTTGAACCGGTACTTTTCATTTCCTCATATAGATTAATAAAGGTGTAACCCATCGTTAAATAAGCCATTAAAATGATAAAAAAATTCAAAGAATCAGTATTTTCAAAGTCTTTAGATAAAGAATTGATGGATTTGATCAATGTATGGTACAAGGAATGTCTTTGTTGCCAAAATTGACTGATTATATCGTGATTATAGTGACTTTGTAATCTCCAGTTAAATTTTTGGCCAATAATCTTTTCACTGGTCTTTGAATTAGTTGATAAAATATATTGAGTATCATTGATTTGGTATAAAGAATTATTTAAATTGGGTAGGATGTTTTCAGAATCAATAAATTTTAATGGAGATAAGTAATAATGTGGTACAAGTGTATTTCCAGATAAAGAATTAATAACTTGGTCAAAGGAAACTGAAGTCAAATCATGCTTAGCAACCTTGTTATTGTTATTATATAGGTAATGCGAACAACTTTGTAGAAAACTGATATCCGAACTTGGTAAATTCAAAGTGCTATTTATATTATGACTATTGTTATTATGTTTTATAGATTCAAAAGAAATATCATTAAAATAATATTGTATAGTAGCAACATATGCAAAGGTTGACCATAAAAGAATCAATAAAATAATGTGGATTGGTCTTCTAGCAGAGAATCTAGCTAGATGCGCTAAAGGTGGAGCCAATATATTGAATTTTTTACTGAATAAAGGCATTTTATTTTAAAGTTAAATTAAGAAAGAAAAAAGATGTAGACTAAACAAATCTACAAATATTTAGGGAAAGGAGTAATAAAATAGGTAAATAAATAAATAAGGAAATAAATAGGAAAATATAAAATATGGACTAGATTGAAATTGTAATAATAATGGTTATTAGTGTGCTAAAAAAGAAAAAAAAAATATAATTTGTTTGTTTGATTTATTTGTAATATGTTAAAGTTCTATAATGCTCAGATATCAGTTTTCTTTTGAATACTTCTAAATACGCTAATTTCACCTTTAAAAAAAATTGTCTATCAATTACACTTTATTTGTTAGTTTGAGTGCTTACATAGACACTGACAGGTGTTTCAACCTTAATTCATCTATATATATAAGCAAAGAGCAGAATCTGTAAAGAGCAGGAGCATATTACACAAAAAAGAAAATTATTCCGGAAAGTTTATATCGGTCTTCTCTTTTTCAGTGAGAATTATAATAATAGAGTTTCTTGCTTTTCCTTTTTTTTTTTCAAGTCGCTCGAGGAATAACACCATAACAAAAGAAAACAATAATCGAGCTTTCTGTTCTTTTTTATTTTTATGATATTCTTTGTTTCTTCCTTTGTTCGTGGAAAATTACAAACTGCCAGCGAAAAAATCAAAGACCTCTTTAGTTATGTTTTTTTTTGCCTTTGTCCATAGCCCTAGATATTCTATTTGTATAAAAGTAAATCTTGTTTTTTTTTCTATGGTATACCCTAATATAGTGTTTGTTGATATTATAAGAGAAAGAAAAAAAATACGTTAATATTTTTAGTTATTTCAACCTTTTTTTCTGTTTTGTTCCTCATTTGTAAATAAACATCCTAAATTCTTTTTAATCGTGTTTTTCCTAGATAAGAGAGTCATACGGTGACACCCTAGAGAAAGAAAAACAGGGAAGGTTGACAATTTTCTCATAATAAAAAAAGTGTTTTTAAGTAGTTTCCTTTTGTGGTTATGATAGAGTAACTGTTCTTGGATCTATGCAATACTATTATTTAACGGTGTATCGCTGTCAAAATAAAATAATGAAAAAAAAAACTAAAGAAAACTAAATATCCGATGATTCCTTTTTTTTTTAAGTCCATACATAACTTAGATTATATAACATATATCAGTAAGCAAGGTTCTCCACATACTAAAGCAAGAAAATACGGCAAAAAAAGTTATTTGATTTTAAATTTGATTCTTTTTTTTTTTTGGGTTCTTATTTTCCATGATTCCAAAGAATCTACTCAGTAACCTATCATCTATCAAATATATCCACAGCCGTAGTAGCTTAATTTAGAATATAAGCACCTGTTATGAACATGCCTCTTGGGCCTCTTACCACCAACTGTACATCATCATCAGTTTCTTTGGTAAAAGTTAAATCCATTTTATATTGACTAGTTAATGGTCTTTTGGTACCTAAATTAGCAATCACATATTCTTGAAACTCATCCATTTGATGATCTTCCATGTTATCTTTATCTTCTATTTCTTCTCCATTTTCTTCTTTCATTTTTTCTAAGTATACTAAAATGTCTTCTAACTCGTTAAGACCTGAATTGCCTGATCCAGTGTATCTTACTAAATATAGTGAAGATAAATCAGGATTTGTCGTATGATCCACCTCTTTTTCTGCTTTTTCATTAGGTATTAACTCTTCAGGGTCTATACTAACAAGTTTAATTTTAATTTGAACAGATTGTTCATCCTTTAAAATGGAAGATAAATCATCACTTTCAAGCAAATCAAAGAGCGATTTAGGAAGATCTGGTTCTAAATAAATTTGAAATGATGTACCACTAACCATGCAGGACTTATTAAGGAAAATGAAAAAGGCGAACTGTTTCTTCTGTCAATTTTTTTTCTTTATTGAATGATAAGTGCCATTATTGTATAAAAAAATATTTTCAATTCTTTCCCTATAGCCATTTTTTAAATTATTCATTTTGTTTTTTGTTTTTTCATTTTTCATTTTTTTTGTTATAGAGATTCATGATATAATAAAAAATAAAGAAATATTAAAATAAATGTTCATGACTATTAGATGAAGAACATAACATATAGATATTTTAACAGAAAAGACTAGAAGAACAAAAACTTCATTGTGATATATATAACTCTGGTACCATTTTTGATTGTCTTAAAAATACGTTGTCTAACAATGCGTTTTCTTTATTTTATTTTTGTAAACTTCATATATATTTATCTACAGAACTCCTTATCCAGTCTATAGTTCATGTTCTACTTGTACTCAAATGAGCCAACAAAAGTTTTCCCTATTTTGTTATGTAGAAAAGGTATCTCTTGTAGTATGACCATTATCAATTAATGAAAGTTTATGCATTTTGTGCCATACGTTGTCTTGATGTCATTATAGACGATCTTGTGAATTCTTTGGTTGGTGACAATATTCTTGTTTTTCTTGTTTATGTAAGTATAAGTATTTCTGTGTATCTTAGCTACTCCTAGTGTAAAGGATAGTTTATGTATCTTAGATAGACAACCAACGAACAAGTACTTATCTATTTTAGTGTTTTAGAAGAGTATATTCCTCATAATAGATTTTCATCTATTATATCACACATGCCGTAATAGTAGGGATATTACAATCACATTATCAAAAAATTTTTGAGAAATAAAGATGGACGAGTCCGGAATCGAACCGAAGACCTCTCCCATGCTAAGGGAGCGCGCTACCAACTACGCCACACGCCCAGACGATATTGAAAGTTGTTGTAGTATGGTATGGTGAAGTTCTTTGTGTATTCCAGGGAAGCGCAAATAATATTAATAGTAATTCAAATAATCGAGACAGTAATCAACTATAGTCGATAGTATAATTACTAAAACGGTCTTATATATTAAGCGGCTTATATCGAGCTAATGTACTTATTCGAAGTTACTTGACTTGTTACTTGCTTGTTTTTTTTATTTATGTTGATATATAATATATATATTATTCACAAGAAACGGTTATGGAAGATGGTCTTTTATCTCCAGAAAACGTTGTCCTTTTATATGTTTTCTGGAGCTCGATCGATTATTCAGGTTAGTACATTAAATTAGTACTTAATAATCTGACTGGTTCAATCCTAAAATTTATTACATTAATTTAGTGGATTAGAACTGCATCCCAATTCTCTAATCATGGTGATTAGTAATACACATGAGACTTATTAAAACTGTTGGAAAATGAGAGTTTATTACTGTCATTTTCATAAGAATTATTTTTAATTAGTTTTTCTATATATTATGTGGTGTACGGATGTACATAATATCAGGAAAACATTTTAATTGTCACCAAATATGTCTTTCGAAGATTTGAAAAGAAATGAAAAACTTTAAAAGAAAACTTAAAGTAAATAAAAGAATGTATACTGAATACACTATATAATAAATATGTACAGGTATTTAATACAAAAACATAACAAGTATCTATAACTTAATGATGTCTATCATTACCATGGACGCAGAAGGCTCCAAATTCCAACAAAAACAATAGGTAAATTCTAGATTTGCCAAAATCTTATGTAATCTAATCTTTTTATTATGCAGCATCTAACTTTGTAGCACGTATGTGGCTTATTAAGACAATAAATAGTTCTAGATTTATTCAGGATCTTATGTAATCTTGATGGTTATAATTATTCTATTCCACACCAAAAAATGTCCTCTCGAGTCCGATGTAGTGTAACGGCTATCACATCACGCTTTCACCGTGGAGACCGGGGTTCGACTCCCCGCATCGGAATGTTTTTTGCAATTTTCTAACATATGAAATCTGTAATATCCCTGATTTTACTGTTTGGGGTTTGTTTAGAAAAATGAGGGTTGACGATATTTTTCTAAACTTTCCTTTTTGCAAATTTTACAAACATAGATAAAAACAGGAGTAATCAACATAAGCACAAGAGAGCAACCAAAAAGAAGAAGAACAAGAACGAACAAGGGACCAAGGATTACATAAGTTTAGATATATAGTATATAAGTGTATACTATTAGGTTATCTTAAATTAGGGATATATTTATATATCTATATTGTTGGAAGTTGGTGCCCTCAGCATACAGGGTAATGGCAGATATCATTAAGTTATAGATGCTTGTTTTACTTTTGTATCAAATACATGAATATATTCATTTTATAGTGTATACAGTATAAATTTTTGTATTTACTTTAGGGCTTCTTAAAGTTTTTCATTTCTTTTCAAATCTCTAAAAAGCATATTTGGTGAAAAATAAAATGGTTTCCCATATATTATTGTACATCTGTACACCACATAATATACAGAAAAACTAATCAAAAATAATTTTTATGGAAATGACAGTAATAAACTGTCATTTACCAATGCATACCGATTATACCAATTACTGTCTTCGACTATTATAATATCTGTTAGATATTTTCTGCACTTCCTGACTAATTAATAAAATTAGAGGCCAGTTCATACCACGACAAGTTCTGTCTTGTTGTGGTATTAAGTAGTTTCTAGTTTATAAATACAGTGCATATGAACACAATAGGTAAATTTAGATTCGACTAGAATCATATTTAATCTCGATGGCAATGGCTTTTTATTGCACAATAGGGAGTTTCTGTGTAATAAGATGTCACTACCGCTGACATTATGTAAGGTTCTGGTTAGATTTGGAAGTATGTGTTGTGTTACTACTATTACCAGAACCTGTTATCAAAAATACTCCATGAGGTTTCATTGAATTATTATTATTAATAATTATTATGTAAATTGGTAATTGACTAAGACATTAAAGTAGATAGCGAATTGAGTTCTGAAAACATATAAAAGGATAATACTTTTTAGAAAATAATATATCTTCCTTAGTTTTTCTTTTATGTATAACTTGTATATTACAAGTAGAAAAAGGCCAAAAAAGCACAAGCAATACTGTTCAATATATTTTCCATTAAAATTGTAGAATAATCGATTTATCGTCTGCAATAATTGCTGTCTTCAAAATATTTATAACTTAAACGGTGTTACCTATTAGATTATTAATTAAGTTATTTAAGACTTACTTTACCACATTTCTTGGGGGAAAGAGTATGTAAAATTAGTGAGTTGTTGAGTTATATTCTTTTAATTGCTGGAGATTTATTCAACAGACAAACTGTACTATTTAATATAAATATGTAATAAATGTAATAATATTTTATTTTTTAAAATATGTTATCCTTTATATCAACATTTTTAGAAAGTAGTAAAAATAAACCACATTTTTGTCTTGACTTAAGAATTAGGTAAGTCAGAATAGAGTTTTTTTAAAAAACTATATTATCTTATAAATAATTTGATAAGATGGTGCAATTCATTATTTTATATATAAAATTAGCGCTAAAAATTAGCGCCTTTAGTTATTGAATAAATAGTATATGTTCTCAATGTTAGATTAGTATATATAGTGTACAAATTTATGATTAAGTTCTTCGGTTTTTTTAGTTATACATAATATATAAGAATGATTTATAAAAGATGAATAAGGGAAGAAACATGATATGAAAAAAGTGTTGGCTTTATGTATTTTCATACTTAGAACATCCCAGCTATGCGCAGCACCTAATTGTTGACAAGGCTTGTTTACATCTACTAATAAGTAAACAAGATGTTCTCCATTTTTTGTTATAAATTAATATTTACTAAAATCTAATTGGCCTCTCTATTTATTCTGGAACGTTCTATTTCAGCAAATATGTATACCTTTCTTGGAAAATTTTGTAGATTCTTAATGTATATATTATTTTGTATAAATTGCTTTGTATTTGGATATTAAAAAATAATATATTACAGCATTTGTTAAGTGTGTTTCAAGCCCTTTATTAGAACAGGCAATATTAGTGATAAAACAAACTTGAAATGGTCTCTATCTGAATATAATTTTAAGGATATACTTGTCAAATCAGTGCTTTTAAAACTAGTATTAGTTGTATTAATTCTTTTATTAGTTAATCGTTGTTAGCTTTTTTTGTATTATTATTCATTTTTTATATTTATGAATAAAGTTAAATTATTTTGAGCAAGATGTTATATTTTCTTCGCTTAATCTTATTTTCAGAAGTTTCATTGAAAAAAAGCTACTGATTTTGATGTTTGCCATATTTTTAATTTAACTCTAATATGACTAATGATAGTAAAAAGAACGGTTCTGGAAACACTGTGTAATTTTTTTTGAATATAACATTAAGTTATTGAGAATTTTACCTTGTGTGTTGGCAATGATTACTATTTCCAGATCACGAAAATTAAATGTTACGTCAAGTAATAATTATGAAACAGTTAAATTCAACATGTGGTATTTAAATTGATATTTATTTAATGTTGAACATATATAAACACATTAGATATTCTGCATTGATACTTTATTGAATTTGATTCTTATGTAATTACATATTATGTATGCTGTATATTACATTATTTTTTAGAATTCACAAACGAAGAAATGAGTTACATAATATATTATCATATCGAATGATTTTATTTATTTTAAAAACTAGCATGATGTTCGTGTTTTTTAGTTAATACAGAATTACATCAAATATCTGGTATCCAAATTATAGTCCATGTATAAGTTCAGTGAGAATTGAAGTTATATGGAAAGCACACAACTTTATGAAATACGGTTAAAATTAATAATAGCTTCATATTGCATAAAAAGGCTTAAATCATACAAAGCAAGAAGAAAAAAGTTGGTTAGTTCTATCATCTATCAGTAGTCATTATTGTCGATATATATGATACTAGTAAGAAGGAAATAGAATGTAAAAAAATATCTGTTTGGTTAATGAATTATCTTATATTGTGTAAGACGGCAATGATACTTATAATATTTAAAAGTCGTTAGAACTTCTTTTTGCCTTTTTTCCAAAAGCTACAATATATATAGATGCAGTAATAAAAACAATCTGTGAAATATCAATTTCTCATATTTTGAATATGCGTATATTAGATATTTTGAGGTGGTAATTAATAATTATAGTAATGATATTTTTTTCTATTTTTATTTTGTTATTTCTTCTTGATTGTTCGGAGTGATACGGTTTATTTCTCATTTATTGGTGTACAAGATAGATCATAACAGTAAAATTCAACAGTTTATGTATAAATATAAATTGCATATAGAATAAAAAGATATCTTAAGTGCTATACACTCTCAATAGTATATTATATATTTTCCGGATAAAACGTCAAGTTCTATTTATATATATATATGTATGCATGTATTAATAGTAGTTCATGTTAGTTATTCAAAAGTTATTTGTTTCAATATATATCAAATAAAATTTACTTTTTATTTTCTTATCTTTACTTGTTCTTCCGTTTTTTTATTATCATTTAGCATTGCCAAGTAGTGGAAATTATGAACATTTCTACTATCAAATAAAATAAATATTCTCAATATATAGCTTGGTAGAAAGAATTTAATTAGTTAAGAAGCATTCAATTTACTAGGGTGTAAATAACCAAATGGCACAAAAGTAAAAAAACACTAATATTAATGTAAAAGAACTATGACGATACAACGATTATATTAGGAAATTTTTATTTAATTTATTTAAATAATATATGATATACTTATTTATTCAGATAATATTTAAAATTTCAATAAGTGTGGCTTGTCACCGCTCTTTAAGGAGAAAGAAGCAGCTAAGTATTGCTTTAATAATGGAGTCTTCTTGATTTCAGCTAATAAAGCCTTGTCAACAACCTTTTGGTCTTCAATCCTTTCGGTCTTGATTTCCTTTTGTTGTTGTTCTGGGAATAAGTTAGCTTCCTTCTTTTCCTTCTTAGATAACTTAGAATCTCTAGCGAAGTATTCAACGTTGAATTTTTCGACATTGACAGATTCGACGTTAATCTTAGTGGAAGTGGCAATGACGTAACGAGCATTGACTCTTCTTAATGGAACACCGTTAACCTTGAATGGACCAGAGACTAATAAGGTGTTGTCTTCTAAGTGCTTTAAGTAAACAACTCTTTTACCTCTGAAACGACCAGCCAATAAGATCAAGACGGTACCTGGAACTAAAGAGGCACGTAACTTTTGTGGTCTAACGGCCTTTCTAGTCTTCTTTGGAGCTGGGACGTCTTCAGATGGATACCACTTTGGAACCTATACAGAAAAGAAATGATTAATTGGAATCATAAATGTAAAATTAATCACACATGAAACAAAACAATATAATGTCATGGAGAATATTATCACTCTAGACAAAGTATTTATAATTGTTAGTATAACGAGCTCCACCAAAGAAAATCTTATGTAAAACTGAAATGGTTTCATATTTAATATATCTTTTTGGGTGATATAGTGGTCATGGTTTCTGGGATTGCAATTTCAATTCTTATTCTATATATTTAGTTATCTCTCCTGATGACAAAATATTACAACATATTACATTTCCACTTGATTTCCATATTATCCGACTCATTTATTGCTTTTATATAATCTATTTTCGATACTTGAACAGTTTTCACACACATGATATTTACCAGTTCATGTATACATAATTTTATATTTCTTCATTGGTTTTTCCATTTCTTTTATTTTTGCAATGGTGTAAATTTAACATACGGCTTGGGCACTCATTTTGTTATATATGTTTCGGGTTTCCTTAATCGAAGGTTAAAAAGTCAGCACTGCTGTGCAACTGCTTATTGTGTCCTTAAATGTAACCTTCAATTTTGTTATATTGAAATTTACTTCAAGCTAGTAATAACAAGGTTAACATTATTGAAGGCTATTACACATTATCAGAGACTCGCGTCAGAACAAAGAGATGCAAGTATTAAACAACTAATTCAGTTGCAAGGGTAGCAGAGGGATCCTGTTTCGAACAGGGAATGACTTCACCCACCTATCCCGTCCTCACCAGTAACGTTCTTGGTAATGTGATTGCTTCTAAAGGATTGGAACTCAATCACCATCACACTAACTCTCTCTACTCAGGAAGAGGGAGGAAAGAAGGATTCCACCAAGAGAAAAGAAATCCTTCCCCCCCGTCGTCCTTCCTGCATTCCCCAGACGGTAACTTCCGAAACTAACTGTCAGTAAAACAAGCTGTCCAATTTTCCTGGTCGATCTTGTTGCTCAGCCTAACATTGGGTTCCTCGGGACCGTGCGGGACAAGTGTTGTAATGAATGTGCTGCCCCAACAGGGTACCCAAAACTTCTCCTGTTTCCCCTTTCTGAACTTCCTTCCAAATCAAATGGGAGGTAGGCTGATTTTGGGCTTATATGCTTATGCGGAACGATTCCTTCTTGAGATATTTTTGATAAGAGACGAAAATTGTTCTTCAAGTTGATGTTTTTTTCCCATGCGGAGATCGGCATCCTAAATTAGAAAAACAGTCATGGTGCCCTTACCTCTTAAAAATGAGAATAAAAAATATACGTTAATTTTGTGGTGTCCAGATTTTTGAAATACAATACAGTCATTAATATTTTTTATATTAGTTTTACCATAATTCTATATACTTTTAGTCATGCGGTAATAACATTTATATAATTTGAATTTATTAACTTAATTCATTACTTATTTATTATATTTTACATAAAGAAAAAAAAGAATAAAGTTCGACTTTAGAATATATATTAACAAAAAAAAAATTAACATGAAATTTTGTGTATTTGTCTACGAAGTTTTATGGTTGATATTGAATTTGGAAAATAATACGACCTGTACCAATATTCACAGCAGCCTTCTCGTTGTCTTTGATCTCCGGATTACTTAAACTAACTTTACCTACACCAATGGATTTGTCTTTGGTTAATTTATGTGATTTCAAGGCCTCAAACTCGATGATACCGTCAGGTGGAGAACTGAAATGAGCAGATTGCGCTTGATAGTAGCATGACCCATCGGAGTCCCACTTACCTAAACCAGTTTTGAATATTTCATCCCTCTGCGCACCTTTAATTAGTGTGACTCTAACAGAAATATTCTTACCCAGGTCTGTAGCAGCCAAAACAGATATTTTGCCATGACCTTTAGATAAACTGAAAGAGGAACTGGACTTGACACTGTGATTTGAACCTTTCATTAAGTGACTAACACCACCCAGTGTAGGTATGGTAAATTTACTGTGATGACTATTTACACTTTTTGCTCTACTTTTTACACTTTTAGCACCATCAGTAGTCATTCCATCATTATTTGGCATGTTTGGCTCCTCATCATATGAAACTCTGTACTCTGGATAATTTTCACCAGAATCATGATTGCTCTTATTATACTGTTGATCACGGTTGTGGTTCAAGGGGTTCCTCATATTTTGAAGTTGTTCGTTAGTACTATCATCATTATTTCCTAATGAAATCTTGTCAAGTTCAGATGGTGCTATATCTTTAGATTTAGATTTCTCAAATGAATGTCTATTTGGGATCAATTTATTGGGGTTAATTGTCTTAAATATGTGACCACCCGCTTTAATACCACCAGATACAACAGTAGTACCAGTGCTACCCACAATTCCTCCGACTGTACCGATTGCTTTTAATGGTGCTGAATCAGTTAGACCCTTTTCCTGGTATGTTATATCTGGCTTAACATACTGAGGGACAAATGTAGTTTGTATCTTAATGGTACCTTGGGTATTCAATGGGTATTCCCAAACTTGTGTATTGTTGGGATTGATCTTTTTAAGGTCAAGGATTACTTCGCCTAAGAAATCATTGTCACCTGCACGATCCCAATCTAATAATTTCAACATTATTTTGCTTTTTATCATAGATGGAATTTTTAAGTTAACAGTTTCATTCCATACAGGATCTAGAGTCTTTTTAATGATATGTGTTTTGAATGTTTTATGTTCATTGACATAAACTTCGACAAATGGATCAGACTTACCGTTTCTATCAGCTGCCATTAAGTGAGATGCACTAACTAACTTCAAAGATAGAATACCAGTATCCATCACAGTTTCTTCGATAGGCAAATCCTTATAAGTTGGGTAGTAATCGAATTTTACTTCTAGGGAAGCGTTCTTGAACTCTATATTAGTTGGTGTATCAAATCCATTTTTTAATAAATCTAAAGTTGATAAGTAAACATCAGAGACAAAATCATCTTTATTCTTCACTACTTTCTTCCTTGTTACTCTAAACAACAGTTTGCTGTGTTTCAGATCCCTAATCATGACATTGGTGCTGTTACATAAGGATGATCCACTAATGTATTTATTGGAAATAAACACTGGATAATTGATATTGTCTACTAAGATCTGCAGATAGGATGAGGGAGGTACCTTCCCTTTTGTAATAGAAATAGATAAAACACCTGAGTTATGGTTAATTAATTCATCAAAAGGCATCTTTTCTTTGGCATTGATCTTGTTTTCATCTTCCTCAAACGGATCTTTAATTTCTACAATATGCCAATCATCAGGGTTCTTTTTCATTTCCTCCTTATATTCTGCCTGCATCTTTTCAAATTCTTCTTTCTTAGCTCTCAGTTCATTTTCTAAAATTTCAACTTCTTTTAATTCTTCTGCTGAGTATATCTGCATTGTATTGACGAACTCAAAACCTAAATTGATAATATCAGATGTTCTAATATTAGATTTATTAAACAGATTATATGTTTTTAATTCATTGTTGAATTCAGGTTTACATGAATAACCCTTAAAGTTTTTATTTTTTTGTAAAATTGAAGACACAGGGAAGTGAATGGTACCAATATGTCTATCAGACCCAACAGACTGATAATCAGCAACAGATAAAGATAATAGTTGGTTTTCAGACGTAATTGGAATATATACAACCCTGTCAAAGTGAGGTTTGTGAGTATCTGAGATATGCTCAGATTTGTACCTAACGTGCTTATTAAGACTAATAGTAAAGTAAGGATCAATATCACCAATACCACTTAATGCAGATCTAACTTCTACTGAAGCTACATATATTTTCATACTGCCTAGTGGCGAAGTGCTTAAAGTACTGATGGTACCGACACCAGTTAACTTGAGTGGCTTCCATTGGGATACAAAGAATATTTCACCTTGTGGAGAGGCTTTAATACTATCTTGGCCAGCTTCACCTACATTAATTAAATCTTCTACATAACCAGAATATGAACACAGTAAAACCTTACCAGAAGCACGATTATCGTATACATTAAGCGTTAATTTAGAATTCTCTTTGGATGTAACCAAAAATTCATGTAATTCATTCCACGAAGGTTCATTAATACGTTTTAAAATCCGATAGCGTTTGACTAGTTTCTTGTCTAAAAATAATTCTACAGATGGAGATAAAGAATTTGATATTTGGGAAGTAATTGGTAGGTGTCTGATTTTTTGTAATGTGAATTTAAGAATACCAGTATCAGACTCCTCTTCTTGCTCTTCTTCCATGTCTTCTTCTTCCCAGGACTCTTTTTCTAGTGTTTTTTCCTGTATATCCTTCTTGGGTTTTTCGATTATTGGATAATAATGGATAGAATAATTCAAAGTACCTTTATTTTTTGAACCAATAAATAAAGTATCTGATGTATTTTCAATAATAGGTGTTTGGTAAAGTGTATTCATATCAAATTCCAGTGAGCCAATTAACTGATCTTTTCTAACATCGTTAAAGTCCCAACAGTTCATAGTTAATTTCTGATCCAGGGAATTAATTAAGATATACTTTGTTTCATTCCAGACGGGGTTCTTGTTATCAGATTTAATTGTAGTATGAGCTTCACATTCTTGATAAGGCAATGATTTCTCAGTCTTTAAAACAACATAAGGATCGACGGTATTGGTGATAAAATCAGAACCAATCAAATTATTAGCAGAAGAGACTGTTATTGCGACAACACCAATGGCTTCGTTTGACTGAGCTGCCATTATCTCTTCGATATCAATATCCATACAATTTGGAGCATATAACATTGGACCAGCATTACTGTCAATCATTTTCTTAACAAAAGTTTTTAAGCCTGGTAAAAACGACATCACATCAATACCCAATGTATCGCCACCTAGTGGTTTTAAAACGAAATCAATCAATGGAGGTTCTAGAAATTGGATAGACACAATTTTAATGTTTGGGAAAGTCTTTCCAAATGTGAGTCTAACACGGATCTTACCAGCTACATTAATGTCTTCGACAAGAACAGAAAGAGTTTTAGATACAATACCTTTACCTAAAGTGACCCCTAAAGAAATTTTGGGGTTGATCTTTTCTTTAGCCTCATTTGGAGTCATATCAGAAACATCATTTGGGGTGAATGCAAAGGACCAATCCATCTCTACAACATCCTTGCCAGCTTTCGTATAGGATTTAATTCCCTTAATGGCTGGTGCTTTAGAACCTAAAGTGAACTCTTCTAAAGTTAACGCATCAATACCATAACCAGGAACCATATCAGAAAGGATTGGGTTTGTAATATCCTTGACTTGTCTAGATAGAACAGGCATATAGATAACCCAAAATTTGGATAGGAAGGAGTTCAACCACAGTGTAGTTTCAATTCTACCTGACATCGTCTCATCTAGTGTAATTCTTTTTAAATCATCTCTGATATTTCTATTGAAACGACGATATTCTGCATTATATACAGAAGTAGTGCCAAAAAAGACAAATCCCAAGGACCACCAAGAGAAGCCAAAATAACCAAAAAGCCATGCAAAGAAGCATGTGCCTACCATAAGTACAATATTTGAGTACCAATCACTATAAAAATTTTCTAGAATATATTTCTTCGTAAAAGTAGCATTAGCAATATCTATAACACCTCTTCCAGAAAAACTAAACCCCATTATCTTTTTCCAAGGGAAGAGGTTATTCACTGAATCAGTTTCTACTAGATTTCTTAAAGCAGCTTTATCAGCCGGTGATAAATCATCAAGTATACCCGGACCAGAAATCGATGTGTCATATTTGTTTATATCTCTACTAACAATACCTTTTATATCTTTAGAATGTAATCTTTCTAAAAGAATAGATTCTAAAGTACCTTCTTTATTGGCTACCGGCAAGTCCCTAGTTTGACTCATATTTGCAGCGACAATAACATCTGGAATACCATTGCTTTCCTTGGGGTTGCTATCAGAGTCATTTTGACTAATACTAGATTTTTTGTTAATTCTTAGGCTGTTATTATCTATAGACGGATGGTGTTCCGCCCCTGAAACATACGTTTCTTGAACCTGTTTGTTCGAATTATCAACCTTGACATGTTGTTCATTGCTGGGTGACTCTAATGGAACTAGTGGTTCAGACTCCTGTGCAAATGTTGACATTTTAGTATTTTTCTAATTAATGAAACGTCACTTTATTATTATGAAGTCACACAAGAATAATTAATAAATACAATAAATGTTGATTTTTTTTATGAATGTTGTTCTTGCTAGGATGAACATTAAGAAAGAACTAAAGGAGGAATAAAGTTTTTTTGAATAAACAGTAGAGGTTATTTATAAGGTGATTATGATTCAATGTTGAAGGATCATAAATAAAACTGTAAATCTAACAATATCAGGCAACTCCTTATTTGTTTTGTTTTGTTTTCGCTATTGTTTTCCCCTGGTGTCTTGAGGGAAGGAAATTTTTGCTAAGTTGGCGACGCTATCAAAATGCATTTAACCCGCACTTTACCGGCAGGAGCCTTTTATATTCCGTTAGATCAAGAGAAGATGTATAACGTAGCAGTATGTAAAGATATTATTATTCGATGTAAAGATGTGTCTATCTATTCATATACGTATGTAAAAGCTCTGTATATAATAACATTTCTCAAGAATATCTAGAAGCTAGCTCCGCACGTTTTTTAACGGCTTGAACTATTTGATCTTTAGTGAACAACCTGCTTTCAAAAAGTCTATTTAAGAAACAATAATGATAATTGATGTTCAAATCACTCAATCTAAAGGAACAATAAATTAGTTGAAGACAGATGGAATTGTTTAGAATTTCTGTAGAGACATTTTTGAATTCCTCTAACAAACAATTAATACATTTACTGACCATCTGCAACATTAGTGGATTTGTGTCTACCATGTTTGTCTGTAATTGAAATTGTGGGATTAGATCATATTCTTCCTCTTCATCTTCCTTATCTTTCGTTGCTATATTGTCATATTTTGTTTCTTTTGTCTTAACATTTCTATTGTCGTCCCCTGATACAGCATTTGATTGTGTTGGTGATATTTTTTCACTATCATTTTGTACAGGTTGTTCTTCAGTATTCTCATTTTCAGCACTACTGTCTTCGTCTTTCAAAATATTGTTGGCAGTACTTGTATCTTTTATGTTTTTTTTGTCTTTTGATGGAATTAATTTATCAGTAATATCTTTTATCAATGGAATAAGTATAGGTATAGATTCAATACTAAAATTTTGGGAATATATGTTCAAAGAACTGTAGAGATGTTCTCGTACTACTTCAATCTTCCTTTTAATAATCATTTCAACTAGAGAATCATTCATTTCTGTATGTGCATCCAATGAATATGAAAGAATTTCATTACGAATAAATTCATACCTCATTGATAAATATACATTTAACAAGGTATTTGAACCCTTCACGTCGAATGGTGGTATGACACTTAAATAATTTAGAATCTTTTTGATTGAATTTACACTTAAATTAGTAGAAAGCAATTTTACCAAACCCACTGCCATGGTATTACTTACCTCGTTTAAAACATTGTTAAATATCCCTTTTACAATATCAGAATCTGGAAATTTCATTTTTAAAGATTTGCAGTAAGAAAAGACCATGATTGCTTCTTGGTAGTGACCGGTTCTGATACATGTTCTGGTCAAAAATGGTAATTCCATCAGGTCTGTGATATTTTGTAAATTGATCAAAATAAATGTCAAATTTTCTTGCATTTCTTCCTTATGTTTTTTTTTATTAATACGTTCTCTTAGTTTATCCAAAGCAATATGGAAATCATCTTTCGGTTTGTTGTTTTTGTGTGAACTCGAGGAAGACTGAGAATCCATTTTTGTCGTATTATCTGTTTCCAGTAATTCATCCACTGAAATCAGTTGGTCATCTTTTTTTTCTGGACTAACATTGGAATTTCCTTGAATATTTTGTGGATCCATTTCCCATAATTGTTCTAAATCTTCATGTAATTGATGCAAAACAGATTCGTTTAATGTTTCATTAAGGATCTGTGTTGAGACTATTTCTTTATTTTGAACCAAAATTTTTTTCAGTTTTTTCTCTAATATGGATAAATCGGCATCGATTTCACCTATTTCTTCCACTATTGTCTGATCAAGTGCTTGAGATGATAAATATGTCTCATAATCTCTGTCTGGTGATTGCAATATTTCATTCAAGGTTTTTAAACAATGTTCACGTTCTTCATTATTTGATACAATGTTGTCCAATTTTAATCTTTCATAAATAACATCCATTCTGATAAAATGGGAAGATTTTAATTACAATAACAATAATAATAATAGTGTGGTATCAGTTATATCTCTTTGTGGTTGATTTGTTAAAACTTAATAATAGCAGTAATGAACAAGAAGTGACAACGTTTGAAGGAAGAGATAACGGTCCAAAAAATTAGTTGAATTGGGTTTCAATGGTAATTCAAACAAAATGGTTGTTATTCTGTTAATTACATTTTTAAATTGTTCGTTGCAGGTTATCTGTATTTGTCTTCATGAAGATATTGTCTTCCTATTCAAGTGTTTTGTTATATTTCAATGATCGAGAAAAATGACAAAGAAAGGAATTGAAAAAATAAAAAGTGAAAAATAAAACTAAAACAGTACAAGAGAAGGAGGGGGGGATGGAAAAATAATCTGAAGGTTAGAAATGATCTGGCACCTTAGTGTATATTGTGTGCGCAAATTAAGAAGGTGTTATTCTCCCTTTTTTTCCTTTGTGACATGTAATTGGATTATAACTGTAACAGCTATAACAAAGGAATAACTCATTAATCTGTCAGGATGACAATTGTTAAATCTTTTGAAGTTCAAAACCCTCTTGAAACCAGTTTAAAAGGTTTTGCTTTGGCTAACCCCTCTATCACTTTAATACCAGAAGAAAAAATCCTTTTCCGCCAAACAGACAAATCTAAGGTAGGTTTAATCTCTGGAGGTGGTTCAGGTCATGAACCAAGTCATGCAGGTTTTATTGGTACTGGTATGTTAAGTGCTGCGGTTTGTGGGGACATCTTCGCTTCCCCGAGTACAAAGCAGATTCTCAATGCCATCAAACTCTTAAATGAGAATTGTAATGGTGTATTATTAATTGTTAAAAATTATACCGGTGATGTACTTCATTTTGGTCTCTCTGCTGAAAGAGCTAGAGCTTTGGGTATCAATTGTCAAGTCGTAGTCATTGGTGATGATGTTGCTGTTGGTAGAGAGAAAGGTGGCATGGTTGGCAGGAGAGCATTAGCAGGAACAGTTTTGGTCCATAAGATTGTAGGTGCATTTGCTGAATTGTATTCTTCTAAGTATGGATTGAATGGTACTGCTCAAGTAGCCAAGATTGTCAACGACAATTTGGTTACCATTGGTGCTTCTTTGGATCATTGTAAAGTACCAGGAAGACCATTCGAAAGTGAATTAACTGAAGGACAAATGGAATTAGGTATGGGTATCCATAACGAACCTGGTGTTGATATCTTAGAGCCTATCCCAATTACTGAAGAATTGATTGAAAAGTATATGTTACCAAAATTATTGGATGCCTCTGATAAGGATAGGGCCTTTGTTCCATTTACTAAAGATAATGATGTTGTTGTTCTAGTTAATAACCTTGGTTCAGTCTCTAATTTTATTATGTCTTCCATCGCTGCCATTACCACTGACCTGTTAAAGAAGAAATATGGTATTGTTCCAAAAAAAATAATTGTAGGATCTTTAATGACAGCATTCAACGGTAATGGTTTTAGCATCACTTTATTAAATGCATCCAGGTGTTCTAAAGAGCTACAAAGGAATTTCGAAGAAATCAAAGACGTTATGGATTTGATCAATACACCAACAGATGCACCCGGTTGGCCAATCGGTGAATTTAAGAATAAGATGGCACCAAGTATTGATGATAAGATTTTATCGAATGATATTAAAGTAAAATCAGTAGGTAAATATGATTTCGATGCCTTCGCTAAATGGATAAAAGCTGGTGCTAAACAAATTGTAGAAAGTGAACCTCACATCACTCATTTAGATAATCAAGTTGGAGATGGTGATTGTGGCTACACCTTAGTAGCTGGTGTTAACGGTATTGTTAACAATTTAGACTCGATCTCAAAGGAATATTTGTCTGAAGCCATGGCACAAATCAGTGACATTATTGAAGATTACATGGGTGGTACATCAGGTGGTTTATATTCCATCTTAATTTCGGGTTTTTCTCATGGATTGATCCAAACAGTACCAAATAAAGATGAACCAGTTACCAAGGAAGTAGTGTCTAAAGCTTTGGAGATTGCATTAGAAACTTTATTTAAGTACACAAAGGCAAGAAAAGGTTCTTCAACATTGATTGATGCATTAGAGCCATTTGTTAAGGAATTTGTCTTAACTAAGGATTTCCATAAAGCTGTTAAGGCTGCAGATGAAGGTGCCAAATCAACTGGTACATTTAGTGCAAAATTCGGAAGAGCATCTTATGTTGGAAATTCATCCAATGTGGAAGATCCAGGTGCTGTTGGGTTTGTTGAATTTGTAAAAGGTATGGAAAGTGCCATGTAATAGAAAGGTTAATTAAGATAAACCCGTATATCTACATATGGACATGATTTATGACTTTCTTAGTTTATGTATTTTTTTATGAACGCTTTTTTTTACATACACGAAATGATTTATAGAATTGTCATATAATGGTGAATGTGTATATATATGTATACGTATATATATATATATATATATACTATGTTATGCATCTATTATAATGAATAACATGTATTACCATATTATCCCTACCCTTACTATTACAAAGGTTACCAGAATATTGAAGATGGAAATATCACTTGTTTATTACATTGACATTTTAGACTGTGTGCATAGCTCATTATACTATAGATCAGATGGATACCCATACCCATATTAGCCGTGGTATCAATATTAGATGATAAGAATAAGCATATATTCTTCGTGCACAAATCATTTACAGTGAAACATGCCATTATAGAGACAGCTGGTTTCTTTTTCTCAACATACAGCAAGAGTTCCTGTTATCACAGAGGAGGGTGTCTTGTGTTTTTCTTTCTTTCCCCCGCAAGACGAAAACATTGCTTTTGGAACTTTTAATTCAAGTAAATGGATAAATTTGAAAAATTTAGTTGAAATAAATACAGAAAGAGAGAAATGAGGGCTAATTTGATGAGGAAGTCTGGAACTCTATATTAACGAGACGTAGGACATAGCTAGTATTGTGACATTTAGTTTTGTGTTTACTGTGTATTGTGTTTAAGAAGATTACGTAGGAAATAAAAAGCAATAATAATAATAATAACATACCAGAGATATCAATAATGAGTACTGATTTTGATCGTATTTATTTGAATCAATCTAGGTTTAGTGGTAGATTCCGTATTGCTGACTCTGGTTTAGGTTGGAAGCCATCTGCTGCTGGTGGTTCTGCATCCCATCAACTTAGGACACCTTTTCTTTTGCCCGCTGCTGAATTGTCTACCATACAATGGAGTAGAGGTAGTAGAGGCTACGAATTAAAGATTCAAACAAAGAACCAAGGTGTGATCCAATTGGATGGTTTTTCTGTGGATGATTTCAATTTGTTAAAGGGTGATTTTCATCGTAGATTCAATATCCAGGTAGAACACAAGGAACATTCTTTACGTGGGTGGAACTGGGGGCAAACTGATTTAGCTAGAAACGAGATGGTTTTCGCTCTTAATGGTAAACCGACTTTTGAAATCCCTTATTCCAGAATCAATAACACTAATTTGACCGGTAAAAATGAGATTGGTATTGAATTTAATTTACAAGACGAGAACTATCAACCTGCCGGTGATGAATTGGTGGAAATGAGATTTTATGTTCCTGGTGTTATAAATACTAAGAATGAGGATGAAGATGGGAATCCAATCAAAGAAGAGGATGAAAATGGTGAACCTATTGAATCTGATGGTGTGGAAAAGAGTCTAGCGGAAGCATTGTATGAAGAGTTGAAAGAGAAAGCAGACATTGGTGAAATGGCGGGTGATATTATCGTTTCTTTCCAGGATGTCTTTTTCGCTACTCCAAGAGGTCGTTATGACGTCGATGTCTATAAAGATACTATCAGATTAAGAGGTAAAACATATGAATATAAATTACAACATCATCAAATTCAAAGAATCATTTCTTTGCCAAAAGCAGACGACATACATCATTTGATAGTTCTTGCAGTGGAACCACCATTACGTCAGGGTCAAACTACATATCCATATTTAGTCATGCAATTCCAGAACGAAGAAGAAACAGAAGTGCAATTAAACATTGAAGATGAGGAGTATGAATCCAAATATAAGGATAAATTAAAGAAGGAATATGATGCAAAGACCCATATTGTGATGAGCCATGTGTTAAAGGGTATCACTGGTTGCAGAGTTATCGTTCCGGGTGCATACAAATCCAAGTATGAACAGTGTGCAGTTTCATGTTCATTTAAGGCTAATGAAGGTTATCTTTATCCATTAGATAACGCCTTCTTATTCTTAACTAAACCAACTATGTACATACCATTTGCAGATGTTAGTTCAGTTAATATATCTAGAGCAGGCCAAACCTCTACTTCTTCAAGAACATTCGATTTAGAAGTTTCCTTGCGTATGAATAGAGGTAGTACCACTTTTGGTAATATAAGTAAAGAAGAACAACAATTATTAGAGCAATTCTTAAAATCCAAGAATTTGAAAGTTAAAAATGAGGAAAAAGATGCCCAAGAAAGGCTACAAGTTGCTTTGGGTTCTGATAGTGAGGACAATGATATTAATATGGGTTCAGCTGGTGAAGACGAGGAATCACCAGATGAAGATTTCAAAATGGATTCAAGTGATGAAGATGATGAGGTGGCTGAAGAATTCGATTCTGATGCTCCCCTCTCAGATGACGAAGAAGATGATTCAGATGACAATAGGCCAACAAAAAAACCAAAGACAGAGTAAAAAGTTATGTTAAGAGTACATTACAGATAAAAATAGTTCTAGGTGATGTATATATATGTAAAAAAAGAGAGATAGAAGAAAGTGGAGTAATATATAGATATATGTATTTTTTTTTCTTTAAATTGGTGAATAACTAACTTTTTTTTTTGAAAGATTCGGATATTGTAGACACTTATCTAGTGGTAAAGTTGATGCAATAATTGTAATATAGCTAATGTGTATATCACAGTAGTAAGTTGTTGATAACTTTCTTGTCCAACTCAATTATTTGTCAAATTTATTTATTTTACGTTTCGTTCTTGTACGTTGTATTTCAATTTTCAACTCTAATTTATAGAATAGAAAAATTTAGTTCTATTTTTCTTTTTTTTCTTGGAAAAATCTTTAAAAAAATAAATAATTTTTAGAATAAGGTAAACCAAGCCTTGATTATATAGGAACTTAAGTATTATAAAAATAAGATAAATGTAAATATGTGGTGTTTATATAATATCAAACGTCGATGCAAGTAATTTTTGTAATACTATATCATATAACTAGTCGAAATAAGTGCAGATAACAAAATCAATTATCTACTGTTATGTCAAATTTAATAAATAAAACTAAAAGTTGACCAAAAATACAAATTACAAACAATACATCTTAGCCACAGAACGTTTTGTTGAGAATTTCTAAATAAAGTAGAAATGAGCAAATATTCTAATTTAAAAGAAGATTTAAAAGTTTTGAAGGACATGTATCCTGAAGTAGAACTGTTCTTCGATATGAACGCTATTGACAAGAATATTGTGCTTAGAGGAAAACTTCAATTTGATATGTTTCTACCAGGTGACCATTTGTTAGTTCGTTGTGAAGGATTTGAAGATTTAACTCTCCCTAAATTGTCTGATAATGTCTTATCCTTTTTAATTAACCCGGAATTTTATCCAAGCATCGAATACGGGCTCAAATTTGCTATTCATTCCTCATGGATGTCCAAAGATGATAAAACTTTTATAATAAAGGCTATCAATAAAGAGTTTAGTGAATTAACTAATCCAATGTCTGATTCATTTGATCCCACTACACCCATATTGATGTTACTTTTTGATTTCCTTATAAATGATGTTTCCAAACTTATATTCCCTAAAGATATAAAAATATGTCAAGCTAAAGAATCCTATAATAAATTTAAACTTTTGTTGAATATAATAAGTAAAAAGGAAAAGGAGAGAACAAATTTTAACTGCTGTATTTGTATGGAGACTAAAAAGGGTAATAAAATGGTTAAATTGCCTTGTTCTAATGAAGAACACCATCTTTGTATAGATTGTTTAACATCATATTATAGCACAATGATTAATGAGGGACGAATGAATAATGTTAGATGCCCTGAATGTGAATATCATGAAATTCGCTTAGAAACATTCCAGGATTTTCAAAAAATGAAGAAAGTATTGTTTACACCCACCATTCCATTCGAATTCTTTGATGGACTCTTAGCACAAGATATATGCCAAAGATATAGGGATATATTTTTCTCTCAATGTGCCATTAAATTATCAAAGTATTCACCTTATTCATGCTGTACCTGCCCCAGATGTGAAAAATGGTGTATCAAGAATAATCTAGATGATCTCATGATGGAATGTGATAATTGTAAACTCACATTCTGTTTCGATTGCCTTCATTCATGGCATGGTTATAACAATAGGTGTGGTAAAAAAGTCACTATCCCAGAAGAAGTTCTTGAAGAATACATCAATGAGACAGAAGAAAATAGTGCACGAAAGAAAGCTATTGAAACTAAATATGGGAAAAGAATGTTAACCCTAGCTGTTAGTGATTATATGGCTGAAAAATTACTTGAAATCGCTATTAACATCGAAGGGTCAGACTTACAAAGATGTCCTAAATGCAGATGTGTGGTACAAAGAAGTGAAGGTTGTAATAGAATGAAATGCGAGATATGTGGCACTTTGTTCTGTTATCTTTGTGGTGATTCATTATATGTTGATGATTGTTATAAACATTTTAGAGATCCTAAGTTACCTTGCTACGGAAGATTATTTGAAGGTATGCCAGGAACAGAAGACCTGTAATATTTAATATACAAATGTGTATTATCATCAATAAATAACAGAGAAAACCTATATCTTCATATATACATACACATATATACATATATATTCCTAATGGTTACGTTCTATTCCAGAATCCCATGGGATTGAATATCTGGTTGATAATGTAATGACCACTTAGGTCCTATAAAAGTAACCAAAAACAAATCTATTAGAGTGAAAAGCCATGATGCAATATAAATTGCAAATGATGTTATAGCCACTAATCTAACGACAAATTGTAAAAATGTTAATCTTTTATCCATAACAGCAATAGTCAAACTCTCGAAATTGTATCTAAAAAAGATACCTGGCACATACCCTGAATGTATCATGGAACCATCATTACTATGATAACGATATTCAGAAACAGAATATTGATTCGTATCTACCTCTGCACCCAATTTTTGATATATCGTAGGCACCACTGAGGTATAGTAAACATAAGCTGCTTGGGGATCAGATATATCAAATTTAGCCGAGGCGTCTAATGGATTATCGATATAAGGGTAGAAATCACCAAAGGAAAATTCATTAATCACATGTGCAAAATTAATTAGTTCAGACGGAGTAGTCCTAATATCTCTGTAACCAACACCTTTGGCAGTAATTTGCAATTCACCTGAGACTCTATTAACTGGTACAGAACCAAATATGTGACAACCATTAAGTTCAGGTAAATGATGATGAGTATCTGGATCATTTTCATCATAATAACTTCTCATATCAATCTTTTCTCTAAATTCAGCAGGAATTGCCTCCCCCAAGATTTCATCCATCTCTGGGGTAATAATATGTGGCAGATCATTGACTCTGACATCATAAGGGATAAAAAATGGCATATCTTCAAACTGTAGTTCTTCGGAAGCAATCTTTCTATCCATCGTGGAATCTCTAACATTGACATGAATGTATTCACATTTTAGATGGACATATAAATCTAGATTGATTTGCACATTTTCTCTTATTTCGGGATCCACAACATATTGTTGTTCTACGTAACCGCCAAAATAGTTACCAAATTCTGTATAAGCAATAAATAGTAAAAATAGATATGTCAGAAGAGTGGTAACTCCACCCTTTGATGATTTCTTCTTATATTGTTCCTCAGTTTTGGCTATACATAATTAACATTAATTAATTACTACACTAAGTAGCTTCAAAAATTGATTTGAGCATACGTAGATGAACAAAAGGTTGTATAGTTAGTAATAAGATACGTCAAACAGAATAAAATAGATATTGAAAAAAAAAAGACACATACGAAAAGCATCAAATGTCCTTAAACCAGCCATTAATAAGTTACTGATATATGGTGATCGAGATGGTGTGAGTCTGTTCTTGGTATATATCAGATTAACGATACATATGTTTATGTATAACTTAACAGTCCATATTTCACCAGAATCTTATTCAAAACGTTTTCTTTTCTAGTAGTCCTATTTTTATCGAATTTTTCTTAACTACCAAAATTGAAAGCAATCTCAAATTTCAACAAAACAAAAGCAAAAGAAAAAAAAGTGTCACCTTGAGTAGTGTTTGTCAGAGTATGTCGTTATATGAAAAATGTATTTTTACATGGATATGGTTTGTTACATACTACCTTCTCTCAAGATTGAAGTTACGTATGATCACACCAGTGATTATGTGTACAATGATGATCAATGGAAGGCTCGGCTTGAATAGGCGGTAGAATTTCATTGAAAAGCTTACTTTCATCACATTGTTTTGATTCAGATCCATTTGATTGTCTTTTCTGGAGACATACAATTATTGTGGTGGCAATACAGAATAGTATTTGGATACAATATCTCACACATCCAAAAATAAACCCACTACCAACACTAACCCGTATAAACCCCCAATCGTCATCAAGAGTTGGAAGAATATTATCATAGTCATCTACAATGGGAGACAATGTTCTTAATATGATTTGTAATATAACTGAATTCAAAAAGGTTGTCGTTGCTAGTAATGCATACGTAAGTGCAATTAGAAAGGTGATTATACTTACTTTTTTTTTTGTTGATTTGATCAATAACCATAGAGAAATGAGGGTAGAAAAAAAACAAACACAAGCCATACCCATTTCAATAAATAATATTATTCTAATACCTTCATTGAAAAGAGTAAATAATCTTGCAATGATAATAATTTTTTCAAAGTTAGTAAGACCTTTTTTTTTCTTACTACTGCCGCCTCCACTTCTACTCGTATCTTTAAAATTTTGAACTGTTGTTTTAATTGGAGACTGCCTTCCCAAAATTGTTTTCGTAAAAATGTTGCCTTCCCTTCGATCATTATTAATAAAATGGAACAAAGACCTAGTAACTATTTTATAAGTGTAAACAACGGAGTTACCCAATTTTACACTACTGTTCTTATCTAATAATGATAGTTCACCGAATTGGATACCTATATCTCTCATCAGAACTGTCATTATATCCATGCCATTATTTTCATTGGAATAACACACTTTTTTTGTCATGTGTTTATATTTTCTGAGTTTACAATAACCATGATAATTTACTTTAAAGGAACTCCCCCGGTAGAATGTGTCAACCAAGCATTCTTTTGAATAAACGTCATTGTTTCCATAAGAATTATTGAATTTTATAGCGTCATTCGATTTCCAGCCCATATCTATAGTCAAGAATGATAATAATCGAAGAAACTCTCTTGCTGCATCAATTAATTCCTTTCCTAACGATGAGTCATCCATCGAAGAAAATACAAATTGTGGTGTACAAAGAGGCAAGTTCAAATTCCCTGTACATGTGAACGTTGGAATATATAATAAAATCTGTGTTATTGCGAGTATCAGTACTATACTCCAAAGTATTAATCGTTTTAAACCCAACATTCTTTTATCTCTGAATATGTAATGAAATTATATGCAAATTTTTCCCAATAGTTTTTTTGGCGAATTATAAATCATTAATAGATCAACCAACCAACTAACAACCCACCTCTCTAACTCTATGTCGGTACATGCTACTGCTGCCATTTAGAGTATGTATCTCTCTTGCTTTTAAAGCCCAGTGAATTTGTGACGCTGACATTTTATTATTAGAAAACACGTACTAAAAAATCAGATAATGAAAATTGAAAAAAACAAAAAAGAAAACGAAAAAGAAATAGACAAATAAACAAATAAATCATCAATACACATAAATTACAAACCATGAATACTGCAAGACAATCAATCACAAAACCACAAAATAATTGATGTATAAAAAGACCCTTTTTAATTCTTTAATAAGGAATATAAGGAATTTTTTATTTAAAAGGAAATAGGATCAAAGAATATAACTAAAAAATGGCTGAAAAGTTGAAAGATATGGAAGGATGGAAAATCCTTATAACGGATCAAAATGGCAATATTATCGAAGATGGGAAAAGAAGCAGGTCACGTAGAGACCAAAGGATAGAGAGGATAGTTATAGAAAGATGCTCGGATGGGTTGCGACTAACTCGTGGGGATAGTGTTAAAGTACGAAACGCCAAGCCTTCCAAAAAAGCTCCAGATGCTTTTTTATTCCGTTTTATATCAGATATTAAACTAAATACACTGAACAATGTGTTAGAGATATGGGTTTTTGAGTTTGTGAAAAGAAATAAAATAGATCCATATACTTTTTACAGAGATATGAACCCAAAAGTTTTAGAATTGAATGAGACATCAGAATTTTATTCTAGAATGTTTGAAGATGAAGTTGGTCAAGATGAACTATTTCTAACTTTGGAGCCCTCGGAGATATTATTATCAAATTTTGTCTCTAAAATAAATATAGTTCAAGATAAAGGCTTAGTGAAAGATCCAGAGACAGATCTTGTCTGTAGATATTTATGTGATGCTAATTTTATTAAATATGCTACCTTAGACTACAATAAAGAAACAATATGTATCCAGGATATGTCTTTTAAAGCCATTGAAGAACATTTCAAGAATATTTTATTTCCTACGGAATCAAAACATGATAATTCAACTAAACAGAAATTGTCACCAGCCGAATCCAAAAAAATTACAAAGAGATATAACATAGAATTATCAATATCTTCCTCATCAGAATCAGAATCAGAATCAGATGTAGATAACGATATTTCTTCCTCTGAAGAGTTTAAAGATAATGAAAGTAACACAAGTATCGACCATTTCAGCTCCGAAGAGGAAGACAGTGACGAAGACGAAGATTCTATAGAAGAAGAATCTGAAGATGGCTCTATGGAAGAAGCAATCGACAATGAAAAACCTTCAAACATTATCCGCAAAAGAGGGCGTCCCAAAACTTTAAATACCAGATCTAAATATATTAGAAAGACCAAAAAACTAAAAAAGATTCAAACTGAATTTTTCATCAAAAAATTCACAAAGAAAAACGTAGTTAGAGCTAAAAAGAAATATACGCCATTTTCAAAAAAATACAATTCTATTGATGATATTCCTAATCTTAATAGCACACCTGGATTTTACCAACAATCCCAAGAAGATATTTATAATTTATTGGAATCTAAGTTAGAAACAAAGAAACAACATGAAATTGTTGAAACTATCTTTTCTAAAGTTAAGAAACAATTATATTCATCCCATGGTAAAGAAATGATTATGCAATCAAAAGATTTTGATGATATTATACCTGGTAGAGAAAATGAATTTGCATCGATATACTTAAGTGTATATAGTGCTATAGAGTTGGGTTCTGCAACCACTGTCTATATTGCTGGAACACCAGGTGTAGGGAAAACTCTAACAGTACGTGAGGTCATGAGAGAAATATCAAAGTCTGCTGTTAATGATGAATTACCTCCCTTTTCATATGTAGAAATCAATGGGTTAAAGATGGTAAAACCTACTGATAGTTACGAGGTGTTATGGAAACGAATCTCAGGTGAAAGTCTAACTTGGGGTGCTGCAATGGAATCATTAGAATTTTATTTCAATAAAGTACCACAAGAGAAAAAGAGAACAATGATTGTATTATTGGATGAATTAGATGCATTAGTAACTAAAGGTCAAGATATCATGTACAATTTCTTCAATTGGACTACGTATGAAAATGCTAAATTAATTGTAATCGCTATAGCAAACACAATGAATCTACCAGAACGTCAATTAGGTAACAAAATATCATCTCGAATTGGGTTTACAAGAATTATGTTTAGTGGTTATACACATGAAGAATTAAAAACTATTATTGACTTCAGATTGAAAGGATTAAATAATTCCTACTTTTATGTTGACATCAAAACAGGGAGTGCATTTTTAGTAACCAATAATGAAGAAGAAGACAGTAATACAAATAATGAAGGTAAAGCAGAGAGTAAAATACCTTCAGGAATGAAAAGAGTTCAATTGCGTATGAGTCAAGACGCCATTGAAATTGCATCAAGAAAAGTTGCTAGTGTGAGTGGTGATGCAAGAAGAGCTTTAAAGGTTTGTAAAAGAGCTGCTGAAATTGCAGAACAGTACTATATGAACAAACATGGTTATGGCTATGATAGTACCAATAGAAAGAAAAAGAATGAGGATAATGAACAAGATGATGATGATGATGAAGGAACAAGTGAAGATACTGATGAAATCCAAACCGTCCATATTAACCATGTGATGAAGGCTTTAAGTGAAACAATTAATCCCTACTCTGTTAAGTATATTACAGAATTGTCATTTACAAGTAAATTATTTTTGTTTGCCTTCCTAAATTTAATTAAAAAAACAGGTTTACAAGAACAAACATTGGGTGATATAATTGATGAAATCAAAAATTTAATTGAGGTAAACGGTAATAATAAGCTAATTATTAATTTACAAGATATGCTCTTTGATAGAGGAATACCTGACCATTATGAACAATTAAGAATGATATCATGGGAATATTTATTGAATGAATTAATTGAAGCTGGACTAGTAATCAAACAGACTATGAGAAATGAAAGATTTTCATGTGTTAAATTAAATATCCCCACTGAGGATATCAAAAATACATTATATCAAGATGAAACTTTAAAGAATCTATAAACCTTTTGCTTTGGTATTAATTTTTCTTCCCAGCATACATATATATATAAATGCATATAATTTATAAATTTATAGGACATGATACTTTATCAAGGATGATGATGATTATATGAGGTCCTTATGGGGACCGGTGATGCTGAAAGAGGTGCATTATTAATATTATTATAGTTAGCGCCATTCCTGTTATGACTGTTATAATTGCGGCTAGTCTTTCTTCGGAGGTTTGCAGTATCTGAGGAAGAATTATTTGTGTGACTGTTATTTCTAGTTAAAGTAGTGTCATTTGCTCTTTCACTATAAATCAATAATGGATCTCCTGGTGTTTTTATCTCATCTATAGTCAATGTTAAATTAAATATTTTAGCTAATGCAATTTTGAAAATTTTTTGAATATGAATTGATCGTGCTGTTGAACAAAAAATCAATGGAGCGTCCATTGCTTGTGAATATTCCATTGCTACTAAAGATATGTCTTTTTGATATTTCATGTCCATAGTATAAAACAAATCAAACTTGGTACCTACCAAGATGGGTATAGCCAAATCATTCAACCCTTTAGATTGCCTATACCAGTCCTTTATAGATTTTAATGTCTTTGGTCTAGTTAAATCAAAAAGAAAAATTATCACGGAAGACCCGACAGCAGCAAGTGGTAGCATGTTGATAAACTCACTTTGCCCACCAAGATCCATCAAAGAAAATACTATCTCTGTTTGCTTTAATTTAATTTTCTTTTTCAGAAAATTTACACCCAACGTTTGAGTATATTCATTATCAAATATATTCTGCACATATTTTACCATTAATGACGTTTTCCCTACTTGTGCGTCCCCCACTAAACCAATCTGAATATCAATTTGATTTTTCACATCTGGAATTGGATCATGACGACTTACATTGTTTCTAGTGGATGGAGACATTATTCTACCTGATCTATTCGATGGAAAGCTCAATAAGAAAAACTACAAATTGCAGCAGCTTAGAAAATGACTGACAAAAACACTTATAACAGATGGCGATTAAAGAACCCAGATAAAAATGGTCCAGAAAACAATTGTTAGGATAAATCTAGCTAATTGCAGAAACGAATTAATTGTTGTGCCTATCAGCGTGTTATCTTTGATATATATTATTTTTTTTTTTTTTTCACTCTAGCCCTTCTATATTACAGAAACTGCTCCCTCCTCATTACTCTCAATATCAAATTTCTCGAACAGTTTCAATTAGGATCTCTCTACAAATTGTCTTTATGATTTTTTTACATATATTTTCCTATTATGTATTTATTTTTCTTCTTTAGTTTTCCCCTTTTCTTGCAACAATCAATTAATTTTCCTAAAAGAGCAATACAGAAAACATACAGAAAAAAAAACACCAAAAAATACAACACTACAAGACTGTGCACGGAGGTACGGATGTTATTAATTAATTTTCTATCTAAACAAACAAGTTTTTTAGTATTTCCTAATTAGGTTAAAGAAACAGAAGGGGAAACAAATATGACACCTTTAGTCAAAATTCGGGATTTTTATATCGGAAATTGATGATCCTGAAGGACAGCTACTAGGAGAAAGTTTCAATTTCTTTTTTTTTTTTTTTGGTTTTACAAGAAAGAGACTTAGAGCGGAGAAGGAAAGGAAGACTATGGACGAGGAACTTCTTAGTGACTTTTCCTTTCTAGACCCTGAGAGGGGGGGGAGGAAAGATAATCAACGGAAAAGTCCATGACCCAGCTGTACGGACACTCATAGTTTCCCCTCTAACTGTTTCACAAGACATTGGTACGGATATTCCCTTCTAGAGAGACCCCATCCCCCCCTAGCCTGCCCACAGTTCCCTCTGAACTCTAGGCCCCAAACCAGATGTAGTTGTAAGGGAGAGAGACAGTGGTCCTGATTTCCCTCCATGACAGCCACCCTTTCTCACTACCAGCAAGAAATTAGCGAGTATCCATTTCAACTGGAGAGCTGGAGGGCAGGTGCCAAAATTATCCTTCTTCCCAGGCAGACAGGCAGACAGACAGACTGCAAGTAAGAACATCTTACAATCTTCAACTCCACCAAGGGATACAATGAGCCAAACCAACAAGGAGGAAACACCCTCCTGAACTTCTTTGGAAAGTCCAAACTCCAACCTCAATAATAGGATAGTAAGAAATTGGAAGTCAGAATGATATGTGCTGTCCTTTGGATAGTAGCAATACTATTCAATCTCATCTACAGGTTTCTTATTTCGAAACGGGTAAAAGTGTATATTGAGACCTGTTACAGAAGTAGCCTTTATTAAAAGTACTGCTGTGGTATTTGAACTTGGACTATTTGGTGAGAGAGTTCCCTTCAGTTTTAAGAAAACCGAAATCAAATACTAAACTGACTCAGAATGGCTGTTGGTAAGAATAAGAGACTATCCAAGGGTAAGAAAGGTCTAAAGAAGAAGGTTGTTGACCCATTCGCCAGAAAGGAATGGTACGACATCAAGGCCCCAACCACTTTTGAAAACAGAAACGTTGGTAAGACCTTAGTTAACAAGTCCACTGGTTTAAAGAACGCTGCTGACGCCTTAAAAGGTAGAGTTGTTGAAGTTTGTTTAGCTGATTTACAAGGTTCTGAAGACCACTCCTTCAGAAAAGTTAAATTAAGAGTTGATGAAGTTCAAGGTAAGAATTTATTAACCAATTTCCACGGTCTTGATTTCACCACTGACAAAGTTAGATCCATGGTTAGAAAGTGGCAAACTTTAATTGAAGCCAATGTCACCGTTAAGACTTCCGACGACTACGTCTTAAGAGTCTTCGCCATTGCCTTCACCAGAAAGCAAGCTAACCAAGTCAAGAGAACCGCTTACGCTCAATCCTCTCACATTAGAGCCATCAGAAAGGTCATCTCTGAAATCTTAACCAGAGAAGTTCAAAACTCTACTTTAGCTCAATTTACCTCCAAGTTGATTCCAGAAGTCATTAACAAGGAAATTGAAAACGCTACCAAAGACATCTTCCCATTACAAAACGTCCACATCAGAAAGGTCAAATTATTGAAACAACCAAAATTCGACTTAGGTGCTTTGATGGCTTTACACGGTGAAGGTTCTACTGAAGAAAAGGGTAAGAAGGTTTCCGGTTTCAAGGATGAAATCTTAGAAACTGTTTAAAAAAATAATGTATGATTAGTTATTTATATTTTACTAGATATATACACCTACATCATATACATACACTATTAATAATTTAAACAAGAAAATAAAACTATCTATTATATAATGTAATTGTTTCTGTATATTTTTTTGTTCTTAAATGTTGTTAGTTACGCTGACAAGTGTTTAAAGGAGTTACCTATATAAGCATATTTATGGATATTTCCTCTAACATGCTGGTGGATTCTGTCATTGTTTCTTTTGATGACATACCCATTATTTTTGACAGTAAATGGTACATGCTTGCTATTTGAATAGTACATAAGTTTTTAATACATATTATTATCAACTTTATATATCCATATTGGAGTCCAATTCTTTGTCAATATTTTCTTGAGGTACCTGTATTTCAGATGTGCCCTCAAGCTCATCAATCTCTTCTTTATTTCTTTCTTGTACCTCATCATGTTCTGATTCTGATCCGCTATACTCATTTGACTCCTCCAATTCATCACCTTGCCTAATTTGTTCTTCTAAGCCAACATCATCTGAATATCCATCTGAATAAACCTCAAACTCGCCTGCTTCCACATCTGGTACTTCTCCATCATTTATATCCATAACATCATCTTCATCTTCGTCTTCAACATCTACGTCCATATCAACATCACTATCTTCGTTATTTTGATTAATAGTAAGTTGCCTTTTCTTAAGTTCTTCCTGGAATAAATCAGTTATTTTTGTAAATATTTCTGCATCTTTTAACCACTGATCTTTATATTGATTCAACTCTTTGTTTAATTTTATTATATCATCTTTCATTGTTCTGTTGACTTGCTCAGCTTCCTGTGGTCCTACACTAAAATCATCAATAGTACGATACTTAATTTTATTTACATCCTCAACAATAGTTTTCTGCATAGCATCCTTTCTTAAATAATTGTTTTTAATCAAAAGGTCAGTTAACGGTTGACCTAATTGTGACTCCCATTGCTCTCTACTAATACTAATACTGGTTCTACCATCGTTTAATGACTCAATTTCTTTGTTGATCATGTCAATGTTTTTATACATCTTGGTAATTCTATCTAGTCTGTGGTTCAGTTGATCTCTACATTTCTTCAAATCTGTTAAAATGTCATGAGATCTATCATCTAATGTATTCAACAACACTTGATTATGATGTACCCAATTCTCATATGCAACTTTCTTACTTTCAATAGAATTTTGCAATGCCAAGTATCTTAGTTGTGATGTATCAAGCATTTCATCAATAGTTTGAACATTAAATAAATTTATATCTTCCTCATTATTCTTATCTAGAGTACCATTAAGAATCTTGTGGGTCAAACGTGTAACCTTACTTAGCACGTCTAAATATTTATTAAATGGTACATCAAGTTCACTATAAAGTACCTTAGCTTTAACTTGTTTTGTAGATATGTCCACTGGGCTCATTTGTATAAACTTTTAAAGCTATCTATAAATTCTGGGATTATAATTCCTTACTCTTTTTTCTTCACAACATTGTAATAATGTTTGTATTTCACTACGCAAAAATCTAATACATAGTTCTCACAGTCTCAGCTATGTTTAAAAATAACATTTGTAATATCTTCATACAAATATTTTTAAAGATCCTTTTAAGAATAATCTGTAAAAAAAAAAAGAATGATAGTGCCGTTTAAATAGAAGCGCTCTAATACCACCGATTGGAAATTAAGTAATACACTATTCTACTTTTTGATCAAAATATCAGCTCTGACATTTATTGTTAAGATTGATTATATAAATAATTTAATTCTCGTATCAGTATATGGATGCTGGCGTATAAATGCAAATTTAAGTATATATATATATATACATGTGTGTGTGTATGTGTGTATACAGATAATTTTTATGTTAACCTTACTTAATTTTTCTTTTTATCTCTTTCTCTTATTAGCATGTCAGTAATGCTTTCTGAACTTTTTACAGGACTACTATTCATGCTACTACTTCTACTGGCTCGACCTACATTGGACCTCTTACGATTTAAAATATGTTGTAAAGGTGGTGCATACTCTAATTTGTGTTGAAAAGTGAGTCTTCCATTAGTCACACTCCCGTTTTGACCACTTTCGCCTTCATGTTTATTATTTAACTCCCGAATAGCATTCTCTGCTGACATTAATGTTTTATAGAACTCAATTACTCTCTCATGGGCACCAACTCTCATTTTGTTAAAATTCAAGACTTGTAATCCTTCTCTAGAGACTGCACGAGATAAAGCTACATATGCTTGTCCCTTTTCGAAGACTTTTTTCAAGTCAACTTTCACACGAGGCAAAGTCTGCCCCTGTGATTTATGAATAGATAACGACCAAGCTAACAATAGAGGAATCTGTACTCTAGACACCAATTGTTTACCATTTTCATCTTCAATAGCCCAGTCTTCAGGTTCTACTAATACAGTTCTTGTGGACATATCGGAGGTTTTAAATCTAACTAATGGTAATTTTCTTTGTTTGGAACTAGAATGCAATTCTCTTAATAACGCTTTTTTACGGTTTATATTTTGTCTTGATTCTTTATTATCGGACTGCTGATCTTTTAAAAAATCAAAAATCGTTTCACTAAGAGGTGTATGAGATTCTTCTGGTTCATATTTACAGTAGGACTCCTTGACTAATTTTTGTCTCACTTTAACATCATCATCACCATTTAACTCGTTCTCTTCATTATACATTTCCTTCAAAACTGTCGGATCTTTCTTGATTGTCTCTAATTGTCCAACACTGAGCTCTGGGTTTTTATTCATTGTCTCATAAAACATATACGTATCCCTATCAATAAAATCTATAACTTTACCTAAAGACCCATTCACCAAGGTGGCATCTACATTTTTAATCATCATAACCTGTGCACCAATCTTTAATTCAAGATGTTTTGGTGCCAAAAAATTTTGCAGCAATTTCTCCTTTAATTCCACATCATCTAAAGAGCCCCCATCAATAGCATTGAAATTATGCACTTTCCCTGGCAATTTATTTAATCGAATTGAATTTGCTCTATCCACTTCGTTTCTAGTACTATACAATTCTGCAGGAATAATATCATCATCAGGAAGTGGTCTATTTAATTTTTTAAATTCTTTTTCAGTTTCTTCATCAATTTCTCCAAGTCTCATTTTATTTAACATATCTATAAATTGGGTATCACCTTGTTGTCTAAACACTTTTTGCAGCATTATTGTGCATTTGATCCCAGATTTCCATGCATTAGAATCAAATGCAAATTTTGTTGGATTTGTTGGATCTTTGGAGACTGGTGGTAATTGGAAAAAATCACCACAGAATATAACTTGAATACCACCAAAAGGGCGTGGATTTTTCCTAAGCTTTCGGGCAATAAAATCTAATTTATCTAATAAATCTCCATCCAACATTGATATTTCATCAATGACTAGAGCACTAATATGTTCTAATCTTCGCGCATGTTTCTTTGATCTTCTCACCTTTTTGTATAGTTGCTCTGCTGTGCCTTGTCCTAAACCAATTCCTGCAAAAGAATGGACTGTAACACCACCAATGTTACAGGCTGCTAGTCCAGTCGAAGCAGTGACAGCAACTTGGTCATATCCATACTTTTTTTTTAGAACTTTAATCATTTCTCTTAATAGAACTGATTTGCCTGTACCTGCAGACCCTGTATAAAAAATATTGTGACCCTGTTTAGCTAATTCAATAACAGATTCTTGTTCCTTGGATAAAAATATTGGTACTTTTATTTTTGTGTTTGCTGGTAATTTGATAGCAATGTTATCTACATCAGTAAAAGGCATCACTTGCGTTTGCAAAGAAATTTTACCACCCCATTCACTCATTTTTTCATTATGCATAATTTTCAGATCAGGTTCATCGATAGTATCTGGAATATCTATTGTGATAGGATCAATTGATTCGAAAGAATCATTATAAGTTGGATTTGTAGTATCAGTGGTTGTCCGCGCAGAAACCTGTTCACTATTATTCATTATTGCCTTTTCTAAACTTTTGTCTAGATCTTCAATAGATAAATCTTTCGCTTGAATAGTATCAAGAATATATTTGTTATCAGCATCAGTATCTAAACAATCTTCGTCTATCTCTCCCTCATCTCTATTTGCATATATGCTGTTATTACTAAAATCCTCACCGCTTATATTAATTGGCTTCAATAGAGAACCAGAATCCAAAGAATAATCCGACACATTAAACTCTGAATTTATAGACTGCGATTTTCTTCGTTCATTTTCTTTTGATGAATTATCTTCATTCCATTTTAATGTCGGTAATTGATTCAAAATAGGTTTATTCAAAGAAGCATTTATTCGACTCATAGTTTGACTATGGTTATTATCATTTTTTGATCTGTTTGCCCTCTTAGATAAAATTTCAACATTATTGTTATTCTCCTCCAACAATCGATCATTATCTATAGTAAATTCCCAATCACCGTCTGAGTCAGAGAGAATTTCCTTCAAATCCTGAGCTGATAACTTAGTTTTTTTAACAAAGGATTGGGTATCCAGTTGATAAAGCGTCCTCTTGTGTAGCATTTTAAAAGTATTCCCGACTGGAACAACCAATAGAGACGTATTTATAATACTGAAGCGAATATTCAGATTTTTATTTATCCGCAATATTTTCTGCAAACACTTTCCACAATTCATGCATATATCATTGGGTTAATCCAACTGATATATATATATATGTATGTATATATAAAGAGAGAGAGGTACTAGAATTCACAGAATAATAAAAAAACAACAATACGAACAGGAAGAAAGGAAATATAAGAAACAAACAGTTACTTATATAAAGAAAATGGTAGCTAATTAATATAGGTATATGAATCTATTGGTAAAATCTTAGCCTCGAGAAAATGTAGCAATTTACCGAATACAGAAACGAACCAGATTTGTTATTATCAAAGATATATCTATTCTTTCGTTTGTCTTCTGTTATTATCAAGAGTATTTATAACAGCAGTTGTAATTCTATTAACACCACTTGAGCTTTACTGTGGTATATTCCAGTTCAAAAGGATCTCAATTTTTGATCTTGGCTCTCTCTTCTCTTTACCATTATTTTGTCTACTGATCTGCCTTTTCTCACGTAATTTATCGAATTCATTGTTTCTTCTTTAAGATAAATGAGCAAACCCTCACTTTACTATTTAGGACTTGTTAACTTTTAAATTTTTTTTTTTTGTAAATCTTCGAGTTTTGTGAACGCGACTAGGAAAACTTTTCTTTACGCGTCCTTTCTTTATTATAAGCTCATCGATAGTCATTGATCTTCAAACATGGTATTACTTTATAGATCACAGTATTACTTCAAATAAATACAGCAAAGAGACAAAGTTAACATTCTATATTTAGCAGAGGTGGAAAAAACTAGAGGGAAATCTTCATTTCAACAATAATATAATCTTTTAGATAAGAAATAACAGAATCATTCAATAAATAAATAAATAAATAAATAAATAAAAGAGAATTTATTTTGAATACAACTTTTCATATTTCTTTACTACTATACGAAAATACTTATTTATGTATTATGAAATTTCATAGAATACTAGTAAGTCGTGAAGCATTAAAATTGGAAAATGTGCTACAAGCAGGCCAAGCGTTTCGATGGATATGGGATGAAAAAAATGATTTGTATATGACATCGATACTCATTCCAGGGCATGATAAGTATGGTATTGTAATTCTAAGGCAAAAACGGATTAAAAAAGAACAGGATGATGAGTATATTGAATTTGCTTTTAAACACCCCACATGGGAGTATTCTTGTGTTGAGAATTACTTAAAACAGTATTTTAGATTGGAAGTGGATCTTGTCGCACAGTTGGAAAACTGGACTTTAAAAGATCCTAATTTCCTCAATATATCTTCACAAGGGATTAGAATATTGTCACAAGAACCATGGGAAACATTGATTTCATTCATCTGTTCTAGTAATAACAACATAAGTAGAATAACAAAAATGTGTCACAACCTATCTACTTATTATGGGAATAAAATTGGTAAATTCAATGATATGGAATTTTATTCTTTCCCGACTAGTGAGCAACTTATAGAAAAGGCTACTGAACAAGAACTAAGAGATCTTGGTTTCGGATATAGAGCTAAGTATATTATAGAAACAGCTCGGAAGATGATTCAAGATCAAAAAAGATTCAATGTTTCAACAGATCAGGAGGTGCTTTTCCATATTTCAAAAAATTTTAGCTATGAAAAGATAAGAGAGCATTTAATGGGTTATACTGGTGTAGGTCCTAAAGTGGCAGACTGTGTTTGTTTAATGAGTTTACATCTAGATCATATTGTTCCAGTAGATGTTCACGTGACGCGTTTTGCGAAAAGAGATTACAATATAGCGGCCACAAAGACTGAACTTGCCAAAATAAGAGAATCATACAATAGCTTAAACCTTCCCATAACAAAGAAGAAGATTAATCCAGAATTGGACTTCATTAGACGGAAATTAACAGAAAAATGGGGACCTTTTGCCGGTTGGGCACAAGGTATTTTATTCTCAAAAGAAGTCGGTTCTACTGCCGGGGCCACTGTGGCTGGAAATGTGAAAAAAAGGAAAAGATCGCTCGATGAAGTTGATAATGTAGATTCTTCTATAAAAATGAAAAAATCAATTACAGCTCCAAAGATTGAAGCATAATGGTGACTTAGTTGACTTGATAGATAGTATGGTATGTATTTATCTCATTCAAGCACGTAATATCCATACATACATATACACATGCACATATGTATATATATATTCATTATAAATATGTATTTGAAATTCTAAAAGAAATAAAGTAAGACTAATAAATATATATAATATTAATAATTACTCACATACTATTACGTCTGTACAATAAGGATACAGGATCTATAACACCTGCTGTTGTCTCTATAGAACCTGGAATATATGGCATATTATTATTCTCGACTAATTGTTGAAAAAATTCCCTTCCATAATTAACACCTACTTGATAAATTTCTTCAAATTTTGCAAAATCCAAAGTGTTGTACTCATCAATTGGTGGTCGTATGTATATTACACCTGGTGTGTGCTTTGCCTTTTCCAAAGCATTTACTGAGGCTACATAACCTAGTCTCATTTGAATTTCGGCCATGTTTGGAATATTAGGATGTGACGAAAATGGATTCCACCTGTTAAAAATAATCCAAAACCCATTCAATGAATCACCATAATTCATTGGTGTTTTATCATCTACAGATCCAACATCAATAGCAAAAATTATTTTACAGCCACGGGCCTTCATCTCATCAACAGGTAGGTTATCTACATATCCACCATCTAATAACATAGAACCATTGTCTTCTAAAGGTGGAAGCAAACCAGCCAAACTCATGGAGGCTCTAATATATCTCCAAGCATAACCGGAGGAATGAATTTCTTGAACTGATTCCGTAATGTTTGTAGAATTACAATAATATTGAATCCAGAAATCTTCTATTCTTGTATCTCCAAAAGTTTTCCATATTCCACGATTGAATTCATGACCTGTAGTGTATGATGTCACAGGCCATGTTAAATCCGACAGCATTCTCCACAAAGAGGAAACTCGACCAGCAAATTTCTTAATACGACCATAGATTGGGACGACATCATAATCTTTTGCATAGATACCTCCTATGAATGAGCCAATAGATGTTCCTCCAATGATGTCGATTGGTATTCCTTGTTCTTCTAATGCCTGCAATATACCTAAATGACTAATTCCTCTTGCACCACCACCACCTAAAACTAAACCAATTGCTTGACCAGACAAAAGTCTTGCTAACCTTATAAAATCATTTTTATGAAAATGAATTGGACTATAAGAATGTTTTTTTGCTCTCATTAGCCTTGATGTAAAAATGCCTACAGTATTTTTGATTGAGTCAGGCAGTAGTTTAGAAATATTGTATGCTCTTCTACCCAGTTCTGTTTGAGTGATTTTATCCAATAAAGATATACCTTTTGTATTCAACCATCTATCATTTCTTATGGTGTTTTTTGCCAACAAGTCTGTGTCAAATTGAATATGGTGATGGGAATCAACCCATGGCCTATTAGATAACCATTTACGTGTTAATCCAGGTTCTACATATCTTTCTCCATGTAAAAGAATTAATTCAGTTCTTGCTGAAGTTTTCGATCTTAGTAGCAACCTCTCATATTCACCTATTTGACAACTTGATTTAGCGTCTGCCAATAAAAGGATACAATCCCCTTGATCAATACAAGTTTTTGTCCATGAAGAATTTACAGCTGTATCTGCAATATATACTACAAGATTATAAGTATGTTCTAAATCACTGAAGTAACCACTTTGCTTCAGTTTAAATAATTTATCAAAAGCGTGTCTACCTAAATGAAGAAGTGTAGTTCTTTGAGTTAAGCCAATAGTTTTTTTCCCAACCTGTTTGAAAGCATGAATTAGTTTCATAGCAAATGATTCAACAGGTAGTCCATTTGTAATTGGCAAAATAGTAATAGTTCTATAAGTGATATTTCTTGGATATAATTGAGAAGATAAAGGAGAACCCAAAAAATTAGAATTATGATGGTGGTGATGAAATATGTTATTTTCCAATGAGGAACTTAAGGGAAAATCGTTCTTATGTCCCATATCTATTAAGGATTTTATTGATGATGATGTCATAGTAGCAATTGAAGATACGGAAGAAGACATTCCAATATTAGTTACATTATGTTGGTTGATATCTAATAATTTTTTAACAATCATTCTCGATACTCTAATCAATATGGATGGATGTTCTGTCGCTAGCAATTCAAAAAGTGATCTTGATAATCTGGCTAATTCTGAATCTCTCACAGCCATAATAGTAGAAGACCTATTCATAGCAGTTAAAACTTCAACTTCTCCAAAGCTTTCTCCCTGAGCCAACTCACCAACAATTTTTGTAATACTTTTTTGACCAAGTTGGAAACTTTCATTTTTTACAGTACTTTGATATTGTCTTAATCTACCATTTAAAATAACATATATTCCATTTGCACGATCACCTTGTCTGAATAAGGTATCTGAAGCATTTATATGTATCCATTCCAGAGCATGATCTAATTTCCACATCTTAACAGACAAATTGTTAATTAAGGATTCCACAATTCGTAGATTTATGGAATAGTATTTATCATATAGAATTTCTAACATATCATTAGAAATAACCGCAACATAGCAATCTGTCTGAGCAAATAAGTTCACAAAAGATCTATATCCAACTAAGGATGATAAGTAGCCTGCCACACCACCAGACTCCACCGTGTAGATCAGGTGTTCAGTTAATATCTCTTCAGCTTCTAAATTATTGATTTTATTTTCATGTGTAGATTGTGGAGACGTTGTAGAATAAACGGTAACGTCTACTTTACCTGATATCAGATAAAAAAGGCCTTGGCTATCTGAATTTTGTTTTACAATTGTTGTCCCACTTGGGTAAAATTTTATATCTAAACATTGTGCGAAATCATTCCTTGCAGAATAATAGTCCAAACTTTTTTGTATAGTGACATTTCTTGGGTGTTTACTTTTATGTGAAGACAAGGATAATGAAGATGAAGAAGCCCTTAAAGTTGGTTCTAAGGGACTTGTTGTTGTATCAAAAGAAGTTGATAGAAGAGAGGAGCGCGGATATCTGTTCTTTTTAATAACGGCAGCAACACTTGGTATAATATTCAGATCTGTTGGTGGAAAGCCTATAACAGAAGATGATCTTGAAGACGGGTTACTGTTGTAAGAATAATTAGATAACAGGAAGTTTTCCTTCGTGATACCCCAAAAATTAAAAATTATATCAACAAGAGCCATTTTTAATACTGAATCATCAATATCATTTGAATCATCCTTGATTGTATTAAAAGTAGAATTAGAATTAGAATTAGAACTATGAAGAAGTGTATTATTTTGTGTCGTTTGATTACAGTCGACAGTTTCAATATCCTGATCATTAAGAATTTTATGATTGAAGTCAAAGGAGTCAGTGGATTGATTCAAGGATAAAGGAACAGAGTTTTGACGTTGTGAGGACGGGTTAAAACCTTGTATAACATTTTTTAGCAAATAAGAAGGTAATTGTTTATTGTTTTTATTATTTAAAGACTTTTCAATTTGAAATAGTTCATTGGTCAGACCCAAATAAGAGTTAGTAATTTGGAAATTGACATGATACAGTCTATTTAATATTGTTTGAATCAAATGAGATGCATCCTTTGGATACTTCGATAATAATCTTTTAAAAGCATGAGAAGGAATCACTGCAATAGTAGATTCTACTGAAGCACGCGCAATTAAAGTTGGTTGTGATTCTATTATAGGGTTAACATTTGAAGTAAATAACTTTAAGATGTCTATTAATGAAGAGAGGGGATTTCCTCTTTTAATAATATTTAATAATTGAAATTTTCCCAAACCATTGTTTAGCCAAATATAGTCTGAATTCAATGGATCATACTCTTCTTCTTCGAAGGTGATGTTTTCATCAACTGAAAAAGCACTAAAGTTTTCATTTAATCCAGTTGGACTTAAAATTTCGCTGTTAGTTGGAGATGAAGAAGGAAAGGATTTGTTTGTGGAAAATGTGGAAGAAACATTATGATAAACTTGAAAAGACCCATCGAGCACTACAATTAACCCAAGGTTGTCATTAAGCACAATCATATCCCCTGTATCAATTTTCCTTGTGTAGAGGTTATTAATCAATTCTTTTACAACATGATTATCTAGATAACCGAAGATTCTAATAGCTGAAATGATTTGTTCCCAGATTGATTGATGAGTATTGGATCCATTTTCAGTTTTTTCCTGTCTTTTGGTGTTGTCGTTAAATCTGTCATTGATAAAATAGTCGTTATTGTTAGATATTTGGTTTTTCTTATTTTTGTTTATAGTATCGTCATTTATTAAATTTGATTCGTTCAAATTTTTGTATTGTGAAAGTATTTTACTTTTCAAAAAAGTGTATACAATATAGAGAGAAAAGGGGATAACAAAACATGTCGATATGACTGTTAATATTAATTTCCAATGAATAATTAGATATATTGGGAAAATTGGTAAGCGGAAAGTAAATAAAAATAAAATAAAGGAAAAGAAGCGGTTAATAGTGTACGATCTTTGTGTTTCTATTAAATACTCGGGTAAAACAGTTGTAAGGTTATTCATGTGTTTTATTGTAAGTTACTTTCTTTTGGTCTTGATAGGATTTATTATTATAGAATGAAATAAATTAATAATAAAAGGAAATAATAACAAGGTATGTTTAAAAAGGATAATTAATAAATAAAGGCAACAATTTTGTTCGTTATCATTCACTCCTAGTTTATCAATATAAATTATTATTATTATTTATTATTATTAAAAAAAAAGAAAAAGGAAAGGAAAAAAGGAGAGAAAAAAGTGTCAAAAACAATTTACTTTCTATTACCAACCCTAATGTTTTAGAAGATACTTTATTTCCAGTAAATAATCACTTTTGTCAAACCCTACAATTTAGCTGTTTGTTTTATCTTATAGAATAATCAAAAAAAAAGAAAAAAAATTTTTTTTTTATTTCTGTTAAACGAGGTCATTGAAAGTTAACCACCATAGAAATGTATATAATAATAGCTGATATAAACAAAAAAATACGAATGAAAAAATATAAAAAGGGAATACCACTAGAAAAGGAAAATACAAGATTGTTATCATTATTCTATTTTTTTGTTTTTTTTTATTCATAATTGAAGGCATTCAATTCAAATGAGGAAAAAGAATGAGATAGAGATTTATATCTGTATATCTGTATACAGATATAAATAAAAAAAGAAACGATATTGTATGTTGTCGTTTCTTTTTTTCTTTTTTCTTTTTTTTTGTTTTAATATGTAGTTTTTAGTGGTAGAAATTTTTGTTTCCTTGTTGCTATGGGAACGGTAGAGATGTGAGACATTACAATAATTGTAAAAGTATATAAAGTAATCAATTTTATGTTAATTTAGATATAGTTTTTGCTTACGAAGTATTCTAATGTGTCTTTAATATCTATATAAAAATGTATATGTAAGTATAGTATTATACTAAAAACAAGAAAAAAAGAAAACAAGAAAAGAATAGATTTAATAATTAAGCTAAGATGAGTGCTGTTGTTATGAATACTGCTGCTGATATCACAATTGCTACAAAAAAATTGCATGATATGACCATTGATGAGCAAAAACAACTTTACGGAAATCAACCAACTTTGAATGTTTACCTAGCAAATCTTGCAAGGAGAGTTAGAGAGGAAGTTCCAAAGGGATATCGATTACCAAAATCCATGAAGCAGATTCAATGAATAAAATGATATCGTATTATTTTTTTTTTTTCTTTTTTCCTTTCCATAAATAAATAGTTTACATAGTTATGTATATATATATATATATATATTATTTTTGCTCTTTTATTATTTTAATTATTATTACTATTATTATTATTTTTCTTTTCTTTTTGTAATGCAATTTGATTTAATTTACCCGGTTCTTTCCATGTTTCCCCTTTTTCTTTTCTTTCTTTTTTTTTCTTCTTCTACTTTGATATTTCTTTCAAAAATAAAAAAAAAAATAAGGGGGGAGGGAGGAGCATGCGGCGAAGACGAAAGGGGGTGAGAGAGACTGAAGGGTGAAGAGGTAGAGCTTCAGCTTATCTTTTTTATTAGCGAGTAATAATAATATTTAAATAAAGCAGTTTTAAAGAACAGGTACATATATTGGTGTAGTGCTAAACTCATGAAGTTTAAGATATCTTCATAACTAGAAAAAAAAAAAGTAAAGAAAAAAGAAGACTAACCAATATTTATAATAACAAATCTAAATAGATCAAAAAAACATGACTGAAAGTAAAAGTGCTGGTGTCACAGAAGATGCTTCATACCACACAGGCTATGAACCTGGTAATATGGGTATGGCATGGTACAAGAAGAACTTTTCTGAAGAATTAAGACAATTGGGTTCTAAGATTAAAAAGAGTGTAGAGGCAGGGTACCGTCTACCTGTCAGTGAAAGTGAAGGAAATTCAAAAATGGGCCAATAATTTTTACAATAACGACAGTTATAATGACCAATTAATCTATAGTTATATATATATATATATAGACGTGTCTCTTATGTACAGTTCTATATATATCTTATAATAAAAGTTTCTTAGTTTAGTAAGACTATATATATGAGCTTAATTATATGAGCTTAATTAATGAGTCTCTTTTCTTTCTGATGCACCTTTATGTACGAAAAACGGCAATATAAAGTAAATTTTTCCTATATTGTGCAAATACTATCTTTCAACCGTACAGGTAATATTTTGTGTTTGTTTTTGTAGTTCACGTGACAATGAGAACACAATTTTGTTTACCCTCTTTGTTTACACTTCCGTGCACCACATATTAAAATCAACTGTTTATACAACAAGTGTGGGTGCACGGATGTGGCGTATTTGTAATACATATTTCGGATGAAACAAATTTTCTCTTCACTGCGGGTTTCTTCCTCCTTATCGCTCTTTGGATTCCAGGCTTTCTCTGTTAGCGGAGATTCTTCATGTGAATGGATATATGGCTTTTTTTTCGTTTTTCCACATTTTTCACCGAAAGTATATAAGCAATGGGTAATTAACTTAAGCAGGGTTGATCTGTTAACGAGGGGGAATGTAACTTTTAATCTGATCTTCCCTTCTTTTTCTTTCCCTTGTTTTCACCCTCCTTACAAGTCTCAAAAAGTACAAAAATTACATATATATACATATATATATATAAATCATTTTTTTGAAATCCGTAACTCTAGCATATCTGTATTACTAAAGAAAAAATAAAATAAAAAATAAAAAAGAAAGAAAGACAGACTAATAATAATAATAATAATAATAATAACAGATTAATAACAAAGAGACGAAAATGCAGACTGAAGAACAAAAACAACAATACTTGAAAGAGGTCAGTGAAGCTGCCGAAAGAGTTAAACAACATATCAAAATACAACACTCTCCACAATTGCAAAGACAACAACAAGAAACATTTGAAAGAGTGCCTTTACCAGGTAACGGTGCTCCAATGTTGGGGTTGAACGCTACATCAGGTAGTGGGTCTACTTTGGAGATGTGGGAAGAATCTGTTGATCAAAGATTAAGCGAGATCGATTCGAAATTGAACGGTTCCGATTTGTCTGCCATTTTAACTAAAGATGATATGGACTTCTAAATAAAAAAAAATTAAGCATTTAACTGATCTTTTCTCTCCACTTCTTCGTTATTTTTTTTTATACTTTCTTTCTGTTTCTCTACTATCTTTGAAGTTTTACCTTTTTTTCATCATACCAATACATTCATAAAACACATATATCCATACATACATACATACATCTGTATGTATGTATGTATATGTGTATATACGTATATACTTCCCTTTATTTATTCCTATAGTTTGATTTTGTTTGCATTTAATAAATACATTTGTTTGTTTATCTTCCAATTTTTGGCTCGAGGCTGTTTCTGTAATCCTTCGTTGTGCATTCTTAAAAAAAAAAAAAAACAGAAAGAAAAAAAGCCAAGACTGGGTGGTAAAAAATCCCGGCACTACCATAAAACTAACTATTGGGTGTACGGTTGTTGCATATACTGAATCCGCTTGGTGTTTTTGTTGTTTTCCGCAAATGTATTTGTGCGGAAATATGCGGGTTTTGCTGTTGATTTTTCTTATTCTTTTATTTTTTCTTTCTTTTTTTCTTTTTTTCTTTTTTCTTCAAAGGCACAGCAGAATGACCCTTTTCCGTTTTTTGGTTTTCATTTCTTTCTTCACAACAAAATAAATAGTGTATTGAAATCATATATACAGTCTACAAATACAAAGCATACGTATGTAGGCGTATAAAGATACATCTACATCCATATCTATATCTACATCCAAATCTATACTTGTTGTTCAGAATTAATAGTTTTTTTCCTTTACAACATAAAAACTAGATATTTGTTAGTTGTTATATTATTTCCATTACTTTTTCTCCCTCCCTCCCCCCACACACGTATACATACCCCGCATCCACCATATAATCTCTACATATCAATACATACATATATTTATATTTATATTTATATTTATATTTATATTTATATTTATATTAATCAGTTTATCCATATCCACCAATAGAGTAATTCCTTCAACATGAAAACAGATGCTGAAATTAATACTGAAAAGATTAATAACGCTATAAAAGTGATAGAGTGTAAGAATCATGCACCAGACATTTCAATAGATTCTTCTAACTTAGCTCCCTCCAGTCTTAAAAAATCTATCGACCTCACTAAATATACACTGGAAAACGGCGAGGTAGTTTCCACTATAAACAGATTAAATAATAACGTCCCACCAATTACTAATTATATTCCATCCGACGAGGACGTGTTCGACCCCAAGACCGGGCTTCCTAACCACATCTTCATCAGAGATCACTTTAAGAAAGAGGGGAAACTGACAATAGGGCAAGCTATAAAAATTATTCAAATGGCTACAGATTTACTCTCAGAGGAACCCAATCTGTTACACGTACCTGCTCCTGTCACTGTTTGTGGTGATATACATGGTCAGTATTATGATTTGCTTAAATTGTTCGAAGTGGGTGGTGACCCATCGATGACTCCATACCTTTTCCTAGGTGACTATGTGGACCGTGGTTCCTTTTCTTTCGAATGCTTAATCTACTTATATTCGTTGAAATTGAATTTCAATGATCATTTTTGGCTATTAAGAGGTAACCATGAATGTAGACATCTGACTTCGTACTTCACTTTTAAAAATGAAGTTCTTCATAAATATAACATAACTGTCTACGATGAATGTTGTAATTCCTTCAACGCTCTTCCCTTGGCTGCTCTGATGAATGAACAATATTTCTGTGTGCATGGTGGGATATCTCCTGAATTGAAAACTCCTGAAGATGTTAATACAAAGATTAATAGATTTAAAGAGATCCCGTCCCGTGGCTTGATGTGTGATTTAGTTTGGGCAGATCCAATAGAAGAATACGATGATAATACAGATATAAATCTACAAGAAAAATTCATGCCAAACGAGATTAGAGGTTGTTCCTATGCATTTACGTATAAGGCATCTTGTGATTTCTTACAACGGACAGGTTTACTGTCTATCATCAGAGCACACGAAGCACAGGACGCAGGTTATAGGATGTACAAAAATACTAAGACTTTAGGCTTCCCAAGTTTGTTAACCCTATTTAGTGCACCAAACTATTTGGATTCTTATAAAAATAAAGCTGCAATTTTGAAATATGAGAATAATGTCATGAATATTAGACAGTTTAACATGTCTCCTCATCCTTACTGGTTACCTGACTTTATGGATGTTTTCACTTGGTCTTTGCCCTTTGTTGGAGAGAAAGTCACTGAGATGCTCGTCTCTATTCTAAATATCTGTACAGAATATGAATTGGAAGAAGATACACCCATTATTGAAGATCAACTAAGACAAAATATCGATTCAACAGATCAAGACATTAACAAAACAAAAAACAGTAAATCTATATTGAATGACGAGCACAGACGGAAAGCTTTGAGAAATAAAATATTGGCGATAGCCAAAGTTAGTAGAATGTACTCTGTTTTAAGAGAAGAAAGGGAAAAGGTTCAATATTTGAAGAGTATGAATCAAGGAATTTTGCCTCGTGGTGCCTTGGCACACGGAACAGATTCATTGAATGAAACCTTATCGACTTTTGAAAGAGCAAGAAAGGAGGATTTGATCAACGAAAAATTGCCACCTTCTTTAGATCAAGTAGAAAAGGTTAAAAAGAAAAGATACGAGGATATATTGAAAAAAGCAAATGGAGGGAAATGATTAATTAAATATGTACATATTTATACGTATATATAATGTTGCATTTAGTGGTATTAGATTCATATTATAATACCAAGTGATATTATTATTTGACAATTAATAGTTGAGGAGGTCAACAAAGAAAAATCAAAAAACTCTTTACAGTTACTATATTTATTAATTTACAGTTATTTAGAAATATTTAGAACTATATATGCATATATAAAAATAAATATTCCTTATACATTTATGTTTAGAGAGAAAGTGAATGTGCATATTTTGTTTATATGTATTGTGTGATTCCTGAATAAAACAATAAAAAGACGCTTACCAAGTCAAAGATTAGTGTTTATTATATCTTTTAGTTGTGTAAACGTTTTTCATAGGAATGTAAATCGTGGACACCACCTTCTAATTGTGCAGAGGCAGTTCTGTATTCGAATCTGACGTTACCCTTAGCAGATTCTTCTTTTAAAGCGATAAGAGATTTAACACCAATATCTTGGCAGGAGTGTTGTAAACCGTTGTATAAGTATGGTAAAAACTTGTTAATAGAACCTTTGTCAACCACAGCACCAGATACACCTTGAGCAACTAAGACTTTGTCGGATTCAGAGAAGTATCTAGAAGTGGAGGCATTACCTTTCTTACCAGTCTTTTGCATAGCATCAATAGAACCCATACCACGATAAACCTTCAATCTTTTACCGTCTCTGTAGAAGTAATCACCTGGGGATTCGGTAGTACCAGCAAGCATACCACCCATCATAACACAAGAGGCACCTAATGCAACAGCTTTGGTGATGTGACCAATGTTTTGAATACCACCATCAGCAATACATGGGACACCGAATTCTTCAGCAAACTTACAAACGTTGTAAACTGCAGAAGCTTGTGGTCTACCACAAGCCATAACTTCTTGGGTGATACAGATGGAACCAGTACCCATACCGATTCTTAAACCATCACAACCATGTTGAATTAAGTTAGCAGCTTGTTCTCTAGTAGCGACGTTTCCAGCAATAACTTCTAAGTTTGGGTAGGTCTTCTTGATCCATTCTAACATTTCAATTTGGAAGATGGAGTTACCTTGAGAAGAGTCAATAACAACAACATCTAAACCAGCTTCAACTAATAAAGATAATCTTTCTCTGTCAGTTGGTAAGGTACCAATAGCAGCACCACATAATAATTGTTTAGTGGTAGCAGATTTAGAAGCTAATGGGTAGTTTTCGTTCTTCATTAAATCAGTTCTAGATAACATTGAGACTAAGTTGTTGTTGTCATCGATGATTAATAATTTACCCTTTTTGATGTCTCTTAAAATTTGGTTACCTTCAGATAAAGTGATACCTTTGTGACCAGTGGTTAAATCGGCAAATTTTGTCATAATATCGGAGACAGCAACACTGTCATCTTCTAAGAATTGCACATCACGAGAAGTAACCAGACCTAATAGTTTACCTGGGAAAGTACCATTTTCTAAATAAAAATAAAATAATAAAAAAGGAACAAGAACGATCTCAGTCTTAATCTCACACAAACAATTTTTCTTCTATTCATCATAAGGGATAATGACGATATATGTTTATGAAGATATCGTGTGATCATCCGTTAATAACGAACATTAGACGAAGAAAAAAAGATAATATTCGGAGAAAATAGGACAATGCAATGTTAGTAACGATATTTTATCACAAGAAAATAAATGTTGGAAAAGATACCATTCTTTCACACACTATATTATTATTACATTGAAAATTTAAAACAAAAACAAAGCTAGACATAAGTATATCAGAGTAAAAGTTGTCTACACGATCGTTTGATCTTAAAAAAATTTATCAGTAGAACGAAAGTTATTAATTTTTGAAGTTAGATCATCATACATCTTTTTGTATCTCTCTTTGTCTTTGAATAATAATGATAATAATAATAACACACGTATTTGGACTGATCAGTATCGAGAAAAAAAAGGTGGAAAAAATAGGAAAAATAACATACCAGTAACAGGGAACCCAGAAAAACCTAATTGTTCCTTCATGGCTTTAACTTCAGCAACAGTAGTCTCTGGAGGGATGACGACTGGGGCGTTGATAAAACCATTTTCGAAACTTTTGACCTTTTTGACCATAGCGGCTTGTTCTTCAGGGGTACAGTTGTGGTGGATAATACCAATACCACCATTCAAAGCCATGTAGATAGCCATTTCAGATTCAGTGACAGTGTCCATAGGAGAAGAAACAAATGGAGTGTTCAAAGTGATCTTCTTGGTCAATTTGGTTTGTAAATGAACAGAAGAAGCTGGGAAATCAACAAAACCAGGCAAGACTAAGAAATCGTTATAAGTTAAACCACCTCTGACATCGGAATCCATTAATTCGGAAACAGATAAACCGTCCTTCTTTTTAAAGGTTTCCAAGTATTCTAAAGCGGTTCTATAATCTCTCTTAGTGGCAACCATTGCTAGTAGTAAATGTGTTTGTACCTTGTTTTGTTGAAATCTGTCAGTTATCTTGCGATTGGGTTTTTGTTAACTGGAAACAAGACTAAGACACAAAAAAACGGAAATAGGAAGTAAAATACACAATCAAAGAGCCCAATATGGTGAAAAACATCGGAGCAAAAGCAAGCCCCAAAGATTTCCCCCAGTTGTATGATACAAAGATACAAAGGGAGAACGAATGAGCAGGGTGAGAAAGAGGAGTGTTTGACAAGGTAAAAGAAGGGAGGAATAGATTACGGATCAATAGGTGTTCTGAGATCTGTTGATGGGAAATTCATTAAGTATTTATAGTTTTTGATTCTTTCAAAAAATAAAAAAAAAATAATAGAAAAAAAAGAAAAAGAAAAAGAAAAAATTTTCTAATAAATTTCAGCTCATCGCAATAAAAAAATAAAAAAATAAAATATTTTTCATTTTTCTTTGTGTTTTTTTTTTTATTTTTGTCACCCCTCGAGAAAAAAGAAAAAAGAAAAAGTAAAAGAAAAAGAAATAACAGCAAAATGAACATTTCCAAATTAGGCAAATTGGTCTAGATCAAGTTTTGTTAAGCAGGGAGGAAAAAAAAAATAAAAAGGAACAAAATTTCACTTCTGTTTTTGTTTTGTTTTGTTTCTTTTGGCGGATTTTTTGTATAATTTTGATATAACGAATTCTTGCTAGACAGAGTCAAAATGAATATTCTCCCCTTTTCCTCATCCCCATCATAGAAAACGGAGTCTTTGAAGAAATATCATTAGGGCTAGAGAACATTTTATTTCCATTTGGCGAAAAATAATATATAGTAGAAAAAGCCTAAAACAGTAAGTAATATATATATATATATATATTCAATAATCTAACTTAACAAAGAAAACATTACTGTGAATGATGGTTTGTCTAAAATGTTTATACTTAATTCAGGTATAATTTGCTAATGAAACGTGAAGAAGGAAGATTATTTTGTGTATTTGATAGTATAATATGTTCATTTTGAAAGATTTAGATGGATATATCTCTTTTTTTTTTGCTATTTTCTATGACTCAGGTCTTCTGAAAAAACTTTTTTTTTTCGTAAAACACACGAAAATCTAAGTAAATCTGAAAAAAAAAATGAAAAATGAAAAGAAAACAAACACTGTATCTTCTTTGGCAAATTTAAGGGTAAATGAACGGCTTGGCATACCTCGTTAACTGTGACAAAAAAAATTTGTCATGTAAGGAAAAATCTACAAAATATAGTGGAGGATATCTTAGATTATCTAATCTTCAACAATAAGTTTTCATCTAATGTACAGTAGAAAAAGTACAAGAAAGAAAGAAAGAAAGAAAGAAAGAAGAAAGAGAGGTCAAATTAATATAACCCATGAATCCGTCACTAATTTTTGGTTTTTGATAAAGAAATCAAAGATTAAAACATGATTCTATAGTAATATTAATACCCAGTTACATTTGAGGATTTAATTTAATCCAGTATCAATGTATGCACATATATGCATATATATATACATAAAGGTATGTAGAAGATAAATATGTGTTACTTATAGTAATGACTTCGTTTCTGAATCTATATTTCTTGGTTCTTGTAACTAAAGGACACATGGTGTCTGGATGCGAGGGATTTACAACGGCTTTGTCTCTGTGTATGCGGGAATGAAATCATTCCGGCAATTTTATATGGATAAAAAAATACAAGGGAAACCGCATATTAAAACCGCGAATCATCCAGTAATTTAAACATGTCGGAATTTTATTTAGCAATAACGGATTCTTTCGTTATCTTTTTTTTTTCGTTTTTCTCTTGTTTCTAAGTTGTTTACTTAATAAACGATGGAGATCTTCATTAGTTTCAAATTCTACGTAAAATGCACAAGGCTAAGTTAATTTTTTATGGAGAATTAAAAAAATGCTAAACATAACCATATTTTATATGCAGATACATGTATACCTCGACGATTTTTAGGATTATCAAGGCAATCTTGGTTTGCTAATAGCTTATCATTGTTGTTGTTGTTCTTTTTTGTCGTCTAGATTTAGGTATAAGAAGTAAAAGGAAGGGAAACAAAAAGACCAAATATTCATATATATATATATACATATATTAATATTAAAAGTGAATAATGACTAAACCAGTCAATGTGTATTCCATCGGAGAAGTAGCTCAAAGATTAGATGATGAAGTTCCTATTGTTTTTAATAGATTGGGGTATGAACAATCTTTTAAATTGATTGACATGAAGTTATTTATTGGTTATTCAATTGCTACTGTTGCTGGTGTCAGCTTTATTTTAGATAAGAAATTTGGACACAATAACGTTATTCAATATCAACGTATCCTTGTCATAATATATTTCGTTTTATCGTTTATATTTTGGTATTTCAAAAAATTTGTGGAAGCTTCTACCCTGTATATTGGGAAGAATAGTAAAGAAAATACCACCATAGTATTCAAGAGAGATTATAAAGAAGCTGTTCCAATATATAAAACTGTTTTTATCCTAAAGGATCAACAAAACGAATCGAAGAGTTCAAGCGTTGAGTTGCAGGTTAATCATGTTTTCAATGAAAAAGGCTATTTACAAACTGAATTGTTTTTCCAATGGGTTAAAAAACAAGTAGAAAACATGGAGTCGAAAAAGGATTAAATATTTTCTAATGATAAGCTTCAGTAACTGTTATTTACTCGTCTTCTATTTCAGTTTAATATTAATACACGACTATATATACATATATATATGTTGATATATATAATTTCATTCAATCTAAATTATCCTCGTTGATTTCTACAGTTTGAGGTGGAATATAAACACCATTATATAATTCATCCTTTGCAACACTTACGTTTCTATTCTTTAGTGCGGAAATATCCAAGAATTCAGGTCCTAATTCTTTAATGGATCTTGCCCCAAGTAATCTCATATTCATTTCTAATTCATTTTTCAAGATTTGAATAGCATGAGCTACACCCTTTTCACCATAACAGGAATTGGCATAAATAAATGGTCTACCTAGACCAACACCTTTAGCACCAAGACATAAAGCTTTTAATATATCTGTCCCACGGCGAATACCACCATCAATGAAAATTTCGAAATTCTTGTCTAATCCATTCTTCATCAAAATTGGTTTTGCTTCAGCCAAAACTTCTACTGGAGAACGACTAAAATCTAACTGCCTACCACCATGGTTGGAAATGACAACACCAGCACAACCCATTTGAGCTGCTTTAACCACATCTTCACTTCTTTGTACACCCTTTATGATGATAGGTAATTTAGTAAACTTTTGTAATTTGGAGATGTCATCCCACGTCAATGAGGGATCAATAAATTTGGAGATTGCTCTTGCTGCACCGTGGTCTGTTTCATTTTTATTATTTTTAGCCATCACTTCAGGACCATTCATTTGCGTTGAGAATTTGATTTTCAAATCCTTTTCACGGTTACCTAAAGATGGGGCATCAACAGTGACAAACAGAGCTTTCAACCCTAAACTTTCAACATGCTTAACCAATTCACGAGTAATTTTTCTATCCGAGTTAACATACAGTTGGAACCATTGAATTTGTCTTGAATCGTCACTTTTAGCATCAACAATTTCATCTACAGAACATGAAGCTAACGTGGAGATCATTTGTGGAACTTTCCAAGGTGATAATGCACAACCCTTGGTGATACCTATTTCACCTTCTTGTGGATTACCTAATTTCATCAAGGCGGTTGCACTAATGTAGAATGGCAAATCCACTTTTTTACCCAACATCTCAGTCTCTAAATTGATTTTACTGACATCCACAAGAACTCTTGGCTTGAAAAAGATTCTGTGGAATGCATTATGGTTTTCTCTCATGGAGATTTCATCATCTGCACCAGAGGAATAATAAGCCCATGCTTGGTTAGAAAGGATCTTAGAAGCCAAAGTTTCGAAGTCATAAAGGTTGATGATATTGTTTATGGTTGGTAGATGCTTTCTTAAATTTTCTTTATAAATAATCTCTTCAGGTGTTTCACCTGGAGTGTAAGGTGGTGCGACTAAGTTATCAGGCATCGGCCCAGTCAATTCACCTACAAACCATTCAGGCTTAATATATTTTTCTAGTGTACCTTTTGCATGTAATGGTTTAAAAATAGCGGTGACGTCCATACCGGCGTTCAATTTTAGAATCAAAGGACCACCTGGGTGGATGTCTATAAAATCTGTTAAATTGTAAACTTTACCTTCGATAACGACCCAGCAATCGTCTGGTGTATTATGTTTAGCTACTTCAGTTGGAGTCACAAATTTTTTGTTTGGAGACATATGTAATCCTGAATCATTCAATATGTCTAAATCAGCATTGTCTTTATTCAAATATAAAAAACTGGTTGCAGTAACGATTGCAGCTGAGGTCAAAGAAAGCGTAGTTATTTTTTTGTTATTTGGAGAAGAATATGAGGAGGATGAGGAAGATGAGGAAGAAGAAGAAGAAGTTTTGGTATTTGTAATGGATACGAAAGTTCTGTTATATTGTTTAATTATATGTGGGAAGTTCTTCTTCAACTGACTTCTACTTATAATTTTTACAGTTTGTGGAATCATGTTATATTCGGTTTATTTTTGCTATGGTGGTTTATGTCAGCAAGATACATAGTCAGGAAGCGGAAAATAGCAACGAAAAGTACTGTGTTTTTTCCCTCATTTTTAACTATTCAAATCTTCTCTTGGAACCAATTAATCAATGTTCTTATATATTATTGCGTTCGTCTGTGTGTGTGAAGTAATTCATTTATTATACGTCTGTGTTTATGGTATAAGCATGATTTTTTGTTAAAAGAATTATCTTTGAAATTTGCAAGGTCAGATTACGTCAAGCAAGTCGGCAGATATCTACAACTTTCAAACACAATAAGAAAAGAAAAGAAAAGAAAAGAAAAGAAAAGAAAAAAATAAAATAAAATAAAAGTACAGTTATAGAGATCTGTATTATCTCCATTTTGAATTGATCTCGATTCATTGGCTCAATTCCATCTTCTCCAAGTAATTAATAACGCAATCAATTCCTGTGCGCTTTTTTTTTGTTTGTTCGTTCATTCGATTGAAAGAAAAGATTACAAAATTAAATTTAAAGTCAAAGTCAAATAAAACAAACAAACAAACAAATAAAAGATAATGTACTTTTTTTATTCACATTTCATTTAGGCAGAAGAAAGTCGGACTTTCGCATTTCCCACCGGCTTTACCGGATGTAATTGATCTTTCTTAGAATTTTATATCATTTCGGGTTTTTTTAGGGTAAATTTTTTCTTTTTATTTAGTTTTTGTTGTTGGGGGAAGACGGGGCAGTTCATTTGTTTTTTTCTTTTGCTGGTGGTGGGGGGGGAGGGGGAAGGAGAAGAGTGCGCAACTGTGGCGTGGGGGGAGTAGAGTAGAAGGGGAGGAGAGTAGAAGTAGAAGGAGAAAGTTGATAATTCTTCTTCTTTAATAAAGGGAACAACCTTTTTTTTTTTTGGGGTTTGAAGGTCAAATTGGACCCTTGCATTAGTTCAGTAATTGTTTTTTCTTTGTTTTTTGTTTTTTTTTCTTTTTCTTTAGTTTATTCGTTAAATGGGAGATAAAAAGTTGAAATAAAGCATACAGAAGAAATAGATAGAATTTTTGAATCCGATGAATCCAGTTTATATTGTGTGCTGGCTGATATTCCAGATGGAGATTAAATGTTGTTGCTGATGTGTTTTTTCTTACAAACTTAGACAGTCGGAAAATGCAGTTGCATCCTTAGTCAAGGGGGGATGGAAGATGTGTAATATTATTATATTAAAAAAAAAGTGCTTCTGAAATGTTGGCAACTAAAACATTTTGACCATCTAATTTTAGTATATTTGTTTGTTTATACAATTGCATGTTACCAGTATGGTTGTTTGGCAAGAACGAATATGGCCTTTTTTTTAATTTTTTTCGACTACTTTGCTAATAAGAAGTAGCAATAAGATTTTGTTAGTTTGCAATTATAAGATGTGGAAATAGGCACGTTGTTTTGATTATAAATGACTAGATATTCACCGTTACAGTTTTCTCAAAAGAGTAAAACTGTTGGTTCATTTTTTTAAAGTTGTTTTTCTTTTTTTTTTAATTGTTAGTATTAATTATATATTCAATCAATTCTTTAATTTTTAGTATCTTGTAATATAAAGTTTATTTGGTCGATATATATGATAATACAATTACAAGGGGTTTTTTTTTTCTTACTCAATAATACACTTACTTTTGGTTGTTGTGAAATAATAATCATGTAGGCGTTTCCAGAAAATTAACTAAGATTTGTACAATTGAGGAAACCTTTTTTCTTTTTTTTTTATTTTTAGGAGAGCAGTCAAAGACTTCAGAATACAAGAAAGATAATTGAAGTAACTTGTCCAAAACAGAGAGGTGATCAAAATTCCAATCTTATATACTGTAAAAAAAAAAATAAAAAATTAAAAAAAATTACTGTTAGCAAATTAATGGAACAATTCAGAAAAAATTTTTAAATTAGAAACACTTTGATCTACGGAATTTGACAAACTGTTTTTGTTGAGAATGAGCGCCTTTATTCATTGGATATATAGTAAACATTCTCAATATTATATTAAACAGATTTAGTATACAAAATTATAATAAAGTTCTTCACTTTCTTTCTTTATATACAACATAGAAATAATAATATAGAAAGATTGTAAATAAGATAAAAATAATGTATGATGAAATCCTTGGCTTTATATATGTTAATATTCAGCCATTTTCCTCTACGAACAGTAAGATATTTAATAAATAAACTCAACAACTTTTGGTGACCTCTCAACAATTATTACTCAACAATTTATCGTTTAGTGTCTGCTAAAATCTTATTGTTCTATCTATTTTATCATAAAACATTCTATTTCAACAGTTTTGGATAAGCGTAATTTGATTTTCCATATTGTTAAGAAATGGGAGTTTATTATTGGCATTTCTATAAAAGAATTTTTTATAGTTTAGTTTTCTTACATATGATGTGGTATATAGAGATGCCATATTATGTGGGAAACATTTTATTATTTTTTTTTTTTTATCCACCAAAACTATTCTTAGAGATTCGAAGAAACAAAAAATTTAAAAAAAAAAGAAGTGTTGAAATGAATAAAAGAGTTTACATTACATAGAACAAAAAACAAGGATTCATAACTTAATGGCTTCCATTATTACCATGGACGTTACGTACTCGAACTTCAAATAGTTTACAATCAATACATGCTTTATATTAAAAGGAAGAGATATAGTTAAATGGCAGATTCTTATATATTGAAATAAAAAAAATGGTTTAATTCAGTCTTAATTTGCCTATAGTATATTTGAATTTACTAAATATTAAAATCTCTAGAAAGAAGTCATGCTGTTGTAATATGAGATGGTGAGATTCTTTGTGTCTTCCAGGGAAGCGCAAATAATATTAATAGTTATTCAAATAATCGAGACAGTAATCAACTATAGTAGATAATATAATTACTAAAACGGTCTTATATATTGAGCGGCTTATATCGAGCTAATATATTTATTCGAAGTTACTTGACTTGTTACTTGCTTGTTGTTCTCTTTTTGTTCATATATAATATATAAATTATTTACAAGAAACGGTTATGGAAGATGATCTTTTATCTTCAGAAAACGTTGTCCTTTTATATGTTTTTTGGAGCTCGATCGATTATTCAGATTAGTACATTAATGACTTGACTGATTCACCCTAAAATTTATTATATTAATTTAGGTGCACTACTGGATTAGAACTGCACCCCAATTCTCTAATCATGGTGATTAGTAATACACGTGGGACTTATTAAAACAATAGATAAATTCTACATTTGCCAAAAATCTTATGTAATCCAATCTCTTCATTATGCAGCATCTAATGTTGTAGCACGTGTATGGCTTATTAAGACAATAAATAGTTCTACATTCATTCAGGATCTTATGTAATCTTGATGGTTATAACTATCCTATTCCACAACATATTTTGACGAGTAATGACTCCATGGCCAAGCTGGTTAAGGCGTGCGACTGTTAATCGCAAGATCGTGAGTTCAATCCTCACTGGGGTCGTATGGCTTTTTTTTTCTTTGAGAAATTGTGATACTTCTGATATTATTGCTTAGGGCTTTGTTTAGAAAAATGAGGGTTGACAATATTTTTCTAAACTTTCCTTTTTGCAAAATTTCACAAACATACATAAAAGCAGGAGTAACCAACATAAGCACAAGAGTGCAACCAAAAAGAATAAAAGAACAAGGAACTAGGGATTAAATAAGACATATAGATATATAGGAATGTTACGTCTAGAGATGTAGAAAGAATTTATATCTTATGTTTATCCAAATGAAGTATTATTGTGATTTCAACAAGATTGCCTGTTATTAGAAACATGTAACCATAAGGTTATCACAACTAGTAATAAAAGCAAAATGGTTTACAATGCTACTATGACAATATGCATCACAAAACATATGTAATATTGTATTATCTCTTGATTAACTGTGTATATTAGGAATGATATCAATAAATTAACTACTTGAATAGGTATAAGTACAAGCTCGCTTTTCATCTTTAGATATAAAGGACAGTGTAACTCTAACTAGTCTACCAAATATTTCTAATTCAATTAGGTATTATATATACTATATACATTGTTGTCTTGAATGTCTCTTGTTGTTTTGTTGGTTCATTGCTTACATCTAATTTGTGGATTTATAGTTTTATATCAATAGCTTCTTACTTTTTTTTTCTTTATGACACTAGTATTTTTAATAAGTCTCGAAATGCAATGCCAATTTATTGAAGAAAAAGAAAATTTAGAAAAATCCCTTTGCTTAAGCTTGAATAAATGTTCTTTAATGTTATATATTTGTTCTTAAGATAAATTCACCTTGCTACACTTATTTGAATTGTCTAGTTATAGGTCTTAACTTAGAATCTAGCATATATGTAAGTAACAGATAATGTAAGATGAGCAATTGAGTTTGTTTGTTCATATATGTATACTTGCTTCTCCATAGATCTAGTGTAGTTTGTTGTTGAAGAAAGCTCTATTTTTGTTGGAGTTTGTAGAAATTATAGATTGCAAAAGTTTACCGTTGAATCAGGCAGAATAACACCAATATTATGAAGTGAGTTATAAGATATGCGATATTGAAAATTTTTTTTTGGTAAATTTTTTTGCTTAATACATTACTGGATAGTAGTTACTATTGAATGTTGTGAAGAGAGAAAATAATTTAATTATAAAAGCTAATAAAGTAAAAAATTTATTATTATAGTACATAGTTAATGAACATTTGATACCAATGACTTGAAATTCTACATGATTATACAACACGAATTAGTCTTCTTAGCTTGTTTATAAAACATTTTGGAGCTGGCAGTTAAAGATTCAGATTTATCAACTAAATTGTCTAGTTTCTCCCCTCTTTGTAACACATTCTCTATAGTTTTATGAAGAACAATCTTAGTTTCATCTAATTCCTGTTGTACTTTCATAATAGCATCAGCTTGAGATGGATCTTGGTATTTGCTGATGTATGGTTCTAAATCTTTCATTTTCAACGATTCGTTAGTCTCAGTTACAGAATCCCAATCAGCTGGAGGGTGGGCTACTAAATATTCATCTAAAATTTTATTTAATAAAGTATATGCAGGTCTAACTGGGTACTCTTTATCTGTGATTAAAACACCACATATCCCTTCGGTTCTTGCATAGACATGGCCAACATAGTTTCCTTCTTCTACACTTTGTCTTTGTCCTGCAGAAGTTCTTGTGGCTACAGTATCAGCAAAGAAAGTCATGAATTGACCAACACTGCTTCTTTCAAAGAAACCAAATTGGGAAAGATCTTTTACTTCAGTCAATTCTAATGCCTTTTCTGTATTATTGCGAAGAATACCAATATAATATATTTTCATTTTATGATTGTTTTTTTTTTGTTCACTTATATGTATATATGTGTGTGTGTGTATAATTAGGAATCAATTGACTCAAATATCAGTTTACAATGGATACAACTCTAGGTGCTGTTTTTGTTTGAAGGTCCTTTATTTTCAAATGGATGATTTCTTGGTCATTCTACTTGTTTTATTTCATTCATAATGTTGGTCTCTTAAATTTCAACACATTCAAGAAGATGAAAAAAAAAAAAAGAGAGAGAGAACAAGATAATGAAGATGCATCGATAAACAAGGAAAAAAAACAAACAAGTTTTTTGCAACATAGTTACAATGTTCTATAACTAAAGGGTTTGAAAAACTGCTGAGATATTCAATTTTAACCCAAAATGTATCTACATTGCAATAACAGATTTATCGTTACTGCTTAAAAGGGCAATAAATTTTAAATAATGTTATTTATTGCAATTATAACAGATAAAAATTAGAAATAATATTCAATGGTTCCGATAAAAGAGACTTTAATTGTTTTGCAATTACTCTAGGTATAGTAGACATTCTGCTAACTGTTTATTTCATAATTCCAAAGAATACTGATACAAATGATTACCAAAAAAAATGGAAATAATAATTTTCAGCAGCAGAAGCCTGTCATAATCAAAAAAATAATTATAACTGTTCTATCTAATGTTGTAACGTCTGAATCTCTCTGATTAAATTATATAAGTGAAAATTTATGGGATTAAAGAAGAGTATAAGGATAAAGGGAACAACTTTTATAATTGTAGTAGTGGCTGTGGTACAATAGAGTCTCAATTTCATAAAGATATTAAAGCAACCAAGACAAAGTGGATAATATTAAATTAGACGAAAATGTCATCCCTGGATATATTACTTTTGTTACTCTATATAGAGGTGCTTTGTATCATGTTTTTTAAGAAAACAATATTATTTCTGATAAGATATTTCCTCTAATAGGGGAAATTGATTTAAATAATAACGAAGATGAATTGGAAACCCTTGAGTCATTTAGTGGAAACGTTTATTCAAATAGTGGTATCTATATTGATGCATAACATAAAGCAATTCAAACAGATAAGGAAACATTATATGTGACATCTTGGTCAATTCAAATCAATGTGTATATTAATACAGCTCAATCAATAGGATCTAAAGGTCTTGGAGACAATACTGGTATTGCTGAAGCCTTTGTTGAAAATGATTTTGAAATAGATAACAGATAAGATCTAAGTAATAGAAAAGTGTTTGATAGTAAAGAAAAGAATTTTAATACTATTGAAACCCATTAGGAACTTGAGAATAATATATTAAATAATGTGAATTCAGTTTGTTCCATAGTTTAGGCTGAGGATGAAGAACAGCAGTGACAGTAAGAAAAAGATTATGATTCTGACAGTAGAAAGGTCAATTGAGACTGCCCCTGTTTTGGTAAAATGGCTCAAGGTCCCTATGGTGGAGAATTCAAAGTGGTATGCTCTTATTTTGTTTGTTTGAAGAGTGATTCAAGAGGGAGGGGAGGTGAATATGTAAAGCAATTTAGAGTAAAGAAAGACTATTTTGAAAGGAAGACTGATATTATTCAAATGAATATAGTAATATTAAAGAGAGTGTGGTGACAGTAAGTAACAATAGTACTACAGCATGAATTGTAAAAATATTAACAAAGGTCATTGTTTTTAATGTTAATATTCACTTCATATAACCATGTTGGGAATAGTTCATTATTTATATAAAGTGTATGTTTATGTACTTGTGTATAATATATACAGGATTTGAAAAATAATAATTTTTTGTTGCATCAGTCGGTAGTTTAATCACTGAAAGCTCCTTTCTAATTCACAAAATTTTTCGTAGATTTCATCTTCTGTTAATTGATGTATGGTCCTATCTTCTCTTGTTCTCACGCTAAAAGTGTTATTGTTAGCCTCATTTTCACCAACAATAATTAAATAAGAGTAATCTTTATATAATGCATCTTTGATTCTGTAGCCAACAGATTCTGACCTTTCATCAATATCAACATTAAAACAATGACTATTGAATGGCATTGGTTTTAAAGTATCACTATTATAGTCATTAACTTCCCCACACAATCTTTTTTTTAACTTTCTACATTGATCTACTTGTTTTTTATTGTCGGTCTTTATAGGAATAATCATCGCTTGGCATGGGTTCAACCAAAATGGCCATTTTCCCTTATAATGTTCAATTAATAGAGCCATAAATCTTTCAATAGAACCAAAAATAGCTCTATGGATCATAATTGGCATTTCATATTCATTATTTTTATTTTTAAATTTTAAATTAAATCTTTGTGGTAATTGAAAATCTAATTGAATGGTGGCTACTTGATGTTTTTTGCCATTATGATCAGGTACCATAATATCTAATTTAGGACCGTAGAATGCACCATCTCCCTCATTTAATTGCCATGGTTTATTTATTTTCTTGAGGACGGATTTTAAGACATCTTCAGCATGATTCCACACAGATATGTCACCAATGTAATGATCAGTAGGTCTAGTTGACAAGTTAATAGTGTAACTCAGTGCGGAATCGCTTGTTTTATTAAATTTAAACACTTGATTATAACAAAGATCTACCAATTTCAGGCAGTTAACTATTTCAGATTCGATTTGTTCCTTTGTACAGAAGATATGACCATCATCTTGATGAAATTTTCTTAATCGTGTTAGTCCACTTAAAGCCCCTGAGGCCTCATTTCTATGTAATGGAGAGAAATCTGTGTATCTAATTGGTAATTCTTGATATGAATGATCAAATCTGCTAAACATTACACAATGACCTGGGCAATTCATAGGTTTTAAACCCAAAGTTTTCTTGGATAAGTCGATCCCTTCCACTTTAAACATATCATCTTGGTAATTTTCCCAATGACCAGATCTTTCCCATAAGGATTTTCTATAGATTAAGGGGGTTATGACTTCATTGTATTGGAATAAAGATTGTTGTTGTTGTAATTTCATAAACTGTACCAATTTATTGAATATTTTGGTTCCATTTGGTAAAAAAAAGATGGAACCAGGGGAAACAGGGTCTGTTATATACAATTTTTGTCTAAGAGCAATATCTTGAATCAAACTGGTTGGATTTGAGACAGAGTTTGTCGTATGAGGAGAAGTAATCTTTGATTTAGTTGTTAGAAACCTTCTATTGAGTATCGATATTTGATTTTTACACTTCATTCAATTTGTTAATCTTCTATTTGTTTGTAGTGTGCCGTAATGTACAGTAGAGTATTGTAATATTATTTCCCTTATATATAATATTCTATAAACTATTATTTGAGAGAATGAAATGAACAGCTAGGTAAATAGACATTACTACTTCATTTAGTTCAACTTTGAATCTTTTTCCTCTCTTCCTATCCTCCCCTCCCGAACAAAAGACTCTCTTACGGCAAATTAAGAAAAAATAAACAGGTATGAGCACAAGAACATAAAAATAAGTCATATTGAAGTGAGTTATAAAGGTATGTATATATATATATATGTGTGTGTGTGTGTGTGCGTTTGTCAAAAAAAAAATAGATAAATAAATTTATTTAACCAGATATATAAGTGGCATCTATTTTTTGTAAAGATGGACCTAAATTTAACATCAATTTTCTTCTATAAGAAGTTTGATTGTTTAGTTGTATCGGATTACCTTCTAAATAGATGGTCTCTAAATTAGGCAAAGATCCTAATTCTTGTCCTAGGGATTCAAAACTTTGATCAATTTTATTAAACGATGCCCATAAATCAGTCAAATTGGTTAAATGGGACAAATTTTCTATCCTGGTAATACGATTTGACGTAATATCCAATGTAGTCAATTTTGTGTTTTTCTCTAACCCTTCAATGGAAGTTATGAAATTATGAGATAGATATAATTCTTCCAAATTTGTCAATTCTTCTAGCCCCTCAATTTTATGAATCTTATTACTTTGAATTGATAAAATTTTTAAAGATTTCAAATGGTGTAAATTAATTAACCTTGGGATATGATTTTTACCTAACCAAATTTCTTGTAAATTTGTTAACCCTTCAAGACAATTTTCACCAATATTTGTAATTTCATTACCACCAAGTTCTAAATTTTTCAAATTGTGTAAGTTATTCAACCCTTCTATTCTTTTAATTTTATTTTGGACAAAATAAAGATTCTCCAACTCTTTTAGATTATCCAAATTTTTGATATGTTTAATATTGTTGAATGAAAGGTCCAAATTTTTCAACTGAACTAAGTTGTTAACATACTTGGAAATATGTTTGATTCTATTATCATAGAAATCAAGGTCTTCTATTGTATTCACAGGTAAAGAATCCACCTCACTGATACTTTCTATTAGATTTTGTCTAAGACATAGACTTTTTAGTTTGGTGAAACGAATCAGATTCAAATCTTCTAGAGCTTTAATCTTTAAATGTACCAAATTGATCACCTCAGTATCATCAGGCAAATCCGAAGTTAAATCAGAATCTGCTGAAAGATATTCAACATTATTGTCTGGTAACTCTTGCATAGATAATTGATTAACACCTTTGGAAATCTGAGAATCCTGTTGATTCTCTTTATTATCTTGGTTATTTTCACTGGACATTAAGACAAATTTGGTATATAATTATTAATTAGGATTGTATAAAAAATTTTGTTGATACTATTATTGTTATTATTATTGTTATTATTATTGTTATTATTATTGCTTATTATTATTGCTTATTATTATTGCTTATTAGCCCTTCGTAAATAAGCAATAATATAATGCGAAAGGAGAACTATAAGTAGAGCTACAAGTATATATGAAGATATATTTTGTATGTATGTGAATATTTGCGTGTGTAATCCATCTTTAGTGGCGAAGACAGAGGAAGAAAGAGAAAGAAAAAGAGGAATGTGAATGTAAAAGTGGATGTGTGTTTAAGAATTATTACCTGGGTTCGCCCATACACCACACCAGAGTGCCACTTTATTAATTGTTTCAACCATTTTGAACCAGTTGATCGACCACTAGTAATAACAATCAATGGGTTATGGTGCTTTGGATGGATTTTATATTGACGTTTATCCAATTGCTTTGTAAATAAATCAACCCACCTTAGAATATGTGGAGAAATATGTAAATACATCTTTAAATGTATACCTCTGTATGTTTGTGTCTATTACTAATCAACTATTACTAATCAGAGATAATCCAGTAACTTTTTCCTAAGAAGAAAAAAAGTAATTTTGGAAGAAAAATGTTGCAATGGAAGTGAAACCGAAAGCAGAGGGAAATGTGATGGGATGCGATGGGATGAGACAAGATGAGATGGGATAAAATATATAACATGTGTATGTATCTATATTCTTATTATTTCTACCCCTCTCTCCTTTTTCTTTCTTTTGTTTATATGTATTACAACATTTTCAATGGAAATTCGTCAACAAAGAAACGAGGAATATAGCTCACACAGATTTTTATGATGGATCAAGAAGATTCTATTCCAATTGTCCCAGTAGCAGTCTCCACAGCTCAAACAGAAAATGAATTCACATTTGATAAATTTGATACAAAAATTAAGGATCGGCAATTTTATCTTGGTGAATATGATGAAAATGATTATAACATCCTATCTGATAAAATAACACAGTACTATTCCTTGCCTAAGTTAATCCGATATCTAAAGGACAACAATACAAAATTTCACAATATCACTTTACAATTCCCAGATTCTTTAATCATGGATTCGTCAATCATAGTAAACGTTTTGCAGAAACATTTCCCTAGTGCACAATTTCATAAAGAAAATATAGGGCTAGGTGTGAGTGACCCTGTGGATTCTAATGGATCTCCAATTAGAAGGTTTTGGATCTTGGCCGATACCGCATACAGTGCATGCTGTGTAGATGAAATCGCTGCAGAACATGTTAATTCGGATTTAGTTGTCCATTTTGGTGATGCTTGTTTAAATGCTATTCAAAAACTACCTGTTGTTTATATTTTTGGTCAACCTCGTTTAGATTGTGACAAACTTATTAAACAGTTCCTCGATAGATATCCAAATAAGGATGCTAAAATATGCCTGATGTCAAATGCACCATATACTATTCATCTGGCGAAGATATACAATACTTTGGTTAATTTAGGTTATTTGAATATTGTATATACTCAAATCAATAAAGATATGGCAGGTTCAAATGCCGTCATAATGGACTCATCAAATATTAATAGCGACAATGTAAATGATTTTGAAGTTAAAGAAGTTTATACTTTAGGTAATAGAAAACTTTATGGTAAATGTAACATTATCGAGGATCCAGCGGAATTACAGTCATCTTTTGAATTATTTTATATCACCATCCCACAAGATCCACATTTACTATACTTGACAACCACTTTCAATACTGTCACTTTATATGATGTGGAAAATAACTCGATTATAGATAGTGCATTTCCCTCATTAATGAAACGTTATAGGTTTATGAATGTGGCCCGAACCGCAGGTTGCATTGGTATCTTAATTAATACTTTGTCTTTAAGAAATACAAAGGAGACTATAAATAAGCTGATTAAATTAGTTAGATCAAATGCGAAAAAACATTATTTATTCGTGGTTGGGAAACCAAATATAGCCAAATTGGCTAATTTTGAACCAGTAGATATCTGGTGTATCCTTGGTTGTGGACAAGGTGGGATTATTATTGACCAATTTAACGAATTTTATAAACCAATAATAACACCATATGAATTGACATTAGCATTAAACAAAGAGATTATATGGACTGGTAAATGGGTTACAGATTTTGAAAATGCATTACAAGGACTTACAATTGAGGATGATCAAAATAATAGTGACATAGCCCCTGATAGTGATGCTCCAGAATTTGATGTTGTTACCGGTAAGTTTGTTTCCACATCAAGGCCCCTAAGAGAATTAAAACATTTAGAATTAGAATCTCCCTTGAATGATTCTGGTGATTTGGTGAAAAGTATAAGAGGAGGTGCAGTTATTAAAGGTACTGTTTCAACTTCAGCAACAAATTTACAAAATAGATATTGGAGTGGGTTGGGTAGTGATTTTAAAAATGATGAAGATTATGATGAGGATGGTGCCATTGTAGAAGAAGGAATTATTGGTGTCGCTCGTGGATATCAATTTGACCGTCGTGATGCAATTGAAAAAAACCAACAATAGTTTTAATGATGTAAAAAAGAAAATTTTCTATTTTCATTATATTGAAATAGAGATAAAACAAAATATATATTTAATTGGATACATATAATAATGTATATTTTATTTATTTGGAATTGTTGACTGTCACTTTGGAATATTTCTACTATTAGCGAAAAGATATATATGGAGTCTTTTGCACTAAGTATCAATATACACTCTTTTTTATTAATGATAATTGATAATGTTGATGCAAGGCTTCTGAATCAAAAATTCTAGTAGAGTTCATTTTAGACTAATATAATAAGATAATGTAACTTACAATAGGATATTGGTAGTATTATAAGTTTTATTGTTATTTACAGTAGAAAGTTAGTGGTACTATAAATTGTTATTGTATTGCTTTTTCTTTTTCTTTCTAGATAATTAATATGCAAGATACAATATTATACAGTATACTCATTTTATCTTCGAATCTTCTTTAATGTAAATTTTCGTAACTTTTTATCACTTAGTACAGTGAATTTAGATTAGCAAACATAACTCTAATCATATTTCAACAGGTAATAAGTGAATCTGCATGCTTTCAAAAGATTTTTTATACAATTTAACTCTATTAACAAACAAATCTGTTGAAATAGAATGTTCTATAATGAAATAGATAGAACAATAAGATTTTAGCAGACATTAAACGATAAATTGTTGAGTAATAATCGTTGAGAGGTTACCAAAAGTTGTTGAGTTTGTTTATTAAATATCTTACTGTTCGTAGAGGAAAATGGCTTAATATTAACATATATAAAGCCAAGGATTTCATTATACATTATTTTTATCTGATTTACAATCTTTGTATATTATTATTTCTATGTTGTATATAGAGAAAGAAAGTGAAGAACTTTATTATAATTTTGTATACTAAATCTGTTTAATATAATATTGAGAATGTTTACTATATATCCCATGAATACAGGCGCTCATTCTCAACAAAATCAATATAAATTGCTTTTTTTTTACAATTTGTTTATTACGGTAACCTCCTTTAGAGGACGTAGATAAAACATGAAATACAAAATTTTGTAACAAACTATAATTTTTACAATTCAATCTATATATAAACTAAACTTTAATTCTTTTTCAGTACACAATTTATGTTATTTCAATAATAATAGTTATTTTTCTGTTAATTAAACCAATATATATTTCAAATATTCAAACTAAATCATAATAAATAGAAACAACTATACAAATACAGGAAATTATGGTAAAGTAAAGTAGTAATTATACAAATATTATCACAGCAAAAAACACTGATCGTATATACCAGGGATACAATATGCAATTTGAAAACAATAATTAATATAAACAGTAAATTAATTACTAAATGGTATTATATACAAAAACAACGTAGCTTTTTCACTGTTTTACTCTAATTGTCTTATTTATTTATCTATCTATTTATTTATTTATATATGCTTTATAAATTATAGAAAAAAAGATAAATCATAGAACATGAAGTAACAATTTATAAAATGTCCTTTTATATGTTCTCCAAACTTGATTAACCCTCTAATTGGATGTATTAATGGATAAATAAATTATACACAAATTAATTTACAAAGTATATACTACCATATATCTTGGACTTCCTGTTATAATATGATGTGGTCAGAGTTTTGTGTTATTCGGGGAAGCGCTAGAAATATCAAACGAATAATCTATTAGTAATCGAGACAATAATTGATACAATCGGTAATGCAATTATTAATACAGTCTTATATATTAACGGCTATATCGAGCTTATATAATTATACTATTTGCTTATTGTATTCTGCGTTCGATGTTCGTTGGTTGTTTTGTTGGTTGTTCGTTATATATATAATATATTTAAATTATGTGTAAGAGAGGAGTAACAGAAGATAGTTCCATCTACAGAAAACGTTGTCCTTTTATATGTTTTTTGGAGCTCGATCAATTATTCAGATCTGTATATTAACGAGCTTAGTGATCCAAACCCTAAATTTTATTATATTAATTTAGGTGCACTAGTGGATTAGAACTGCACCCCAATTCTCTAATCATGGTGATTAGTAATACACGTGGGACTTATTAAAACAATAGGTAAATTCTACATTTGCCAAAAATCTTATGTAATCCAATCTCTTCATTATGCAGCATCTAATGTTGTAGCACGTGTATGGCTTATTAAGACAATAAATAGTTCTAGATTCATTCAGGATCTTATGTAATCTTGATGGTTATAACTATTCTATTCCACAGCATCCCGGCGAGATAATTGGAGGGTTGGCCGAGTGGTCTAAGGCGGCAGACTTAAGATCTGTTGGACAGTGTCCGCGCGAGTTCGAACCTCGCATCCTTCATTTTTGCTAGTTTTTTTGGAAAAATTTTTGACTAAATTACCTTGGTAAAAAAAGCAAAGAACCATCTATACATACTACCATTTGTTTAAGAAGTCATAGTTGCACAATCATTTTTTAGAAAATAATATAAATAACAGATCAATGAATAATATGTCACCAAAGAACCATAATATTCCATTTAGCACTTAGTTTTTTAAGTTTGTTTAAAAATAATCTTGCAAGATAGAGAAACTCATTGAATGATTCCATAAAACCATTTCACTATATAATTAACCTATCATATATATTGCTATTAACTTCAATTATCTTATTAAAACAAAAAAACTAAAACAAAAATATGTTCAAAAAATATAAAAACCAGGACTTAGATATGACTTTTTGGTGGAAGAAGAATCCAAAGACGCCTATTGATAATGTCAAACTACTTATAGAACAACTTTCCAAAATCAACACTGCGTCTACTATTGATAATAAAAAGAAGTTACAAGGTGAATGTTGGAACTATTTGATTGCTATCAAGTTGTATACTATAGGAGAAGCAGACCCTAAACCTACACCTGAATTAATAGACGAAATGTTTAAAGAAATGCATAATTTAGATTTATTTTATGAACTATTGGAGCATTTCACTGATTTAGAATTTGAAGCAAGAAAAGAAATTGTGTTACTTTTTGCCATATGTTTGAACTACTCTAAGGATAATAAGTTTGTTACTGTTGATTACCTTGTATCCAAACCTAAATCATTAAATTATATGTTACGATTGATGGAATCCTCCTTGCAAAAAAGGATATCTCCTCAAGATCTTTTTTTGCTTGTTGGTAATATGGTTCTTGAATGTGTGAAATATGAACAACTGAATAGAATAATTCTAAAAGACACTCAATTATGGAGATTTTTCCAATTTGCTACAATAAATAACTTTGAAATCAGTACCCAATCATTACAAATATTAAATTCTGCATTAACAGAACACCCTAAATTGGTATCCCAAGAATTCTTTTCCACTGAAAATAATATTACTAAATTTATTCTAAGTATAAATAAATTAATTGCACATGGATCATATGTAACAAAGAGACAATCCACTAAGTTATTATCATCATTAATATTAAGAAAGGCTAACAACCAATTAATGCAATATTACATAAATTCATCAGACAATTTAAAATTGATCATGACTGTAATGACGGATAAATCGAAAAATCTTCAATTAGAAGCTTTCCACGTATTCAAAGTAATGGTTGCTAATCCAAGAAAGACAAAACCAGTGTTTGATATTTTAACCAAAAACAGAGATAAGTTACTAATATATTTCGAGAAATTTGGAGCGGATAATATGGATCAAACATTTCAAGACGAAAGGAATTTTATCATACAACAAATTGATGGGTTACCGAGGTTAGTAGTATCCTCCACAAACAATGAAGGTGTATTAAACCCTTCGCTTTCAATTGTGTCTGCCTCATCATCTCCAATTCAAAATACTTAAATAGTAAATACAAATTAAACAATTTCTTTATTTATTTTTTCGCATATAGCATAATTAAACAAGCAATCAATATTGTTCCCTATATATTCATGTAGGTTTTTCAAAAAAAAAAGAAGCTTTTTTTCATTTTTAGTGTTAAATTAAGCTGATATTATTACTTTTAAATACAAACTTTGATATGAAACTGAAAAATCATCCAGCAGAATACAGTATATATTCCAGACATTTACAAAATCAACTTTTCAAGTATTTGTAATTATTCACCGACTTTTTTTAAGTTGTTCTCCATCCTTCATCAAAATGTTCTTTTCCTTTTTTGCTTTAACTCTTTGATTCTTTAAATTTTGTTTGTTAATATTTGGATTATTCGATGAATTTGATCTTAATAATTGAACTGTCGTATCTTTATTTTCCTTATTTGTGATTTTCTTAATTGGGATAATTGGTGTCACAGATCTTCTCGACAAGAAATTTAATTCAGTTTCAGATTTTTTAATGATATTAGATTTTCTAGCTATTGTTAAATCATTTAGACGTTTCTTCCATATAGGAACTTGCTGTTCTAATAAGTTATTAATCTCAATTAATTTTTCTTCATTTTTTAATCTTTCTACAGGGTTAAACGGTCCAAATTGATACCCACATTTTCCATCAAATTTGAGAAGATAGTTGTGGAAATGCCATAAACTTGTTCTGTGACACACGGAGATTAGTGATATTCCAAAATTCTGAGCAGTTTTATACATTCTTTGTTCCATCTCCGGGGAGACTGCAGAGGTGCATTCATCTAATACAGCAAATTTAGGTTTATGATAATACATTCGTGCCATGGCTAATCTTTGTTGAACACCAATTGACAGTTTTTCGGTCCAGTTTCTACATAGATCAAATGCCTCCTTTAAATCTACAGATAAAGGTGTTTCCATATCTGAAGTTAACGTAGATACTTCATTAACTACATTTTTAGATTGATTTTTGGCCAATAAGATAGACATATTTTCTGTAATCAAATCCTTTAAATCTAATAATTCCAATATTTTTACCAATTCATCATCCCCTTTAGAATAATCACCCTTAAATCTTCTTTCAAATTGATAAATAGAGTCTGGATAAATTATTTGTTCTCTAAAAGTAGATTTATTACCCATATAAGGCCTTTGTGGCAAATAAAATATACTACACTCCTGAATTTTATCATTATTAACATCATCTTTTAGAGTAGTTCTTTTAGGAATAGTTAATTTTGGTATACTATTTGAATAGAATTTTCTAACGGGCCAGAGTCCACCCAAAATACGGAATAAAGAAGACTTACCACAGCCATTAGGTCCAATAATCAACAAATGGTCTCCATGTTTTAATTCAAAACTTAATTCTGGTATTAGAACTTGATCTGTTGGTGTTATAATAGGGACGTTCTCAAATTTGATTAATGAATCATTAAATTCAATCAGAGCATTATCTTGTAATTCAAAAGTGTTAACATTACCTGACAAGATATACGAATCTAAGATATCATTAAACTGATTTAACCTAATTCTAACACCTTTCAATTGTTGAATATTTCTCTTCAATTCTACAAACCTACCAAACGATGTTGATGCAGTGACTAGCAATCGTCTATTTGTAATAAAATCTGCTGTCATATCATGATATCCTTTATTTAATGGGTCCTTAATTAAGCTGGCTTTATCTTTAAAGAAAATTGGAATCGAACACAGGGCCAAACCTGCAGCACCCCATGTATATTTAATAACAAATGTGGTAGCCAAATCGTATAATGCCTTAGCCCTTATCTCCCTATTTAAGAAAAGGACCAACTTATAAAAAGAATAATCCAAATTCATCAATTCAACTTCCTGCCCACGTAGGAATGCTATTTCTTCATTGTTTATGCGAATATTAGAATGTAAAAATCTGAACCAACTCTCTAAAGAAGATCTTATCATAGTCAAATTAGTAAAATTTGGCTGTAACAATCGTAATAAAGAATTTGAACCAGATACAACCAGACCCAAAGCCAAAGTGCCTTCCCCCATCATACTTGAAGTTGACATTAATAGCTTAAAAGAACAAAGAATTAAATCCAAGGTTGGTTTCAGTAATTGATTCAACAAGATTGAACTGTTTGTTGCAAACGTATAGATATCTAAAGTTAAATTATCTTGAATCTCTGTCGTTGCAGTGGCTACCGAGTAAAATGTACGGGAATTAGAAAGATATTTATCTAATAAAAAATTTGATACCTTTCTATTTATTGTAATTGAAAAGAATTTTGTCACATATGCTATTAAAGAGTTAATAAAACTTGCAGGGATACCTAATATCATCCATTGACCTAATAAAATTTTTAAGAACTTACCAATTTGACCTTTAACTAAAGTTGACACTAGTTTACCATCTAAAGTAGCCACATAGAGAGATAGAAAGGTTCTAATAATTAGAAGACAAGATTGTGTAAAAAACAACAATATACATTTTCTATCAGTTAAAATCAGTCTCAACAAAAAATCTCTCCTCTTTCGCGCCTTTAGATTGACATGATTAACTTTTGTTGTTTCTGTTGTTTCTTTATCGTTAAATAAACCAATTTTATTCGAGGGACGTATTTGATCCTCATGCAAAAGCAAACCATCGTCTCTCTCTAAAGTAAATGTTCCAGAACTGCTTGAACTCTCATCATTTTCATTCTCTGTATCAGTTTCAAATTCAAAACTTGTCTTTTTGAAATATTTGGAAAGTGATTTTTTATTATTTTTATTTTTACTCCTATTCTCAGTTTTACTCCTATTATTCATAGTATCCGCATCATTATCCTTAGTATTTTTTAAATTCAAATTCTTGTCATTATCATCATTTTCAGCGGATCTTTTAGTTATATTACTTCCCGTACCTACTAGTGTAGAAAAGAGTAATATCACGTACGATGACCTTAGAAGAGTCACTCTATATTTTTTATAAAATTTTAAAAGTAATTCCTGCATTACAATGTTAAATAATAATTTTTTCTCTTTTTCCCACCCTCACTGTTTGTTACTACCAACCTATTCTGACCTTTCTCTAAAAATCTTCACATCTATAGCATTTCACTAAATATTACATCTAAAAAGCACAAATACAACTATATATACTCGTAAGACTTGACAATCCAGAGTTATTCAATATTTGCCCGAATCAAAGGGCTATCTTCCAATACCTTCCTCTCCATTAACTGACCACTAACAATATCCTAAAACTGAGGTTTTAACCACAGACAGCCTAATATTTCCCCTCTTTACCCCTCTTTAAAGACCTCAGAGGGCTTGCGGGAATAAGTCTCCAGGACTCCGAACAACCCTGTGTCAGTATGGAGAGGAAACAATAAACCTGACTAGATTGCATTGTATTTTACTGTATCATATTGTGTTGTATTGTATTCTATTGCCCAACAGAAAAAAAAGAAAAGAAAAGCCAAAAACTCCGAGATTGGCAGATATCATCGATTTTTTCTTCTTTTCTATGGTAATGATGTCTACTTCTCAATTCCAATATGTGATAATATGGACAAAAAGTTGTTGATACGTCAATATTGATAGAAATTTGGCTATCTGTGAGAAAACATGATCCTTAGTTTATAAAGTGGTATTTTTAACAAAATAACAAAACATCACACAATAAGGAAAGAAAAAGAAGAAAATCAAAAAAAAAAATTTACAACTTCTTTTTAACTGTAATTATTACAAAAAGATAAAAATAAAAATAACCAAAAGAGTTACTTAACTGCTACATTAGATACTATACACAATAACAACAAAAATCACTGATTGTTGTCCTTCACTTAATCTTCTTCTTTTTTCCTTTTTATTTTTTATTTTTTTTTCGTTTTTTTATTTACAATCAATCAAACCTTGCTATCAGGATGTGATGACGAAGTCACAGGTAGTGTAGTTTCAAGTTTTTCATCAACTGATAAAGAAATAGATGGTGTATGTGGCATTTCAAAAATATCTGATGAAGTATTTCTTATATAACTATCATTTGTAACTGCAGTTGTAGGTAAATTTGTTTTGGAAAATTTAGATGAGCTTGGAGAAATAGAAGATGACGAATCAGAATTTGATGTCTTTTTTCTTAGGATCTCAACTTTATCATAACCACCTTCTTGTTTCTCATCAATCACAGAGATATTCTCTGTGGATTTTGTCTTTAGCAACATAATACTACCACTTTCATCGAGTTCCTGGCCCTCATTCTCAGAATCATCACTGTACATACCCACATTCTTTTCTTGTAATTTAACCTCTCCTTTCAAATACCTTCTTGCCTTCCAACAAGCTACTAACACAATTAATGTAGTTAGACAACTTAACACAAAAGCTGTCCACATTAACCCTGAATAGGCTACACCAGTTTGATACACAACACCATAATCATCATGGTGTGTCCCTGACTTAATAACCTCAATAACAATAGCATTAATTGTAGCACCAATACCATTAAACAATGCAGTGGAAAAGGTGAAGCCAAGTAAAATATACCAGCACCACATATGCTTCACGTCAGTGATTAAATTATAGATGATAAAGCCAATGACTGCAGCAGAGAAAATAATTGTTAAAAGATTCATAGTCAGCAAAGCTGAAATTGAAGAAACATATTGATGTTGTCTATTCAATAAATCACCTTCCAAGTGTAAATCGTTGGCTGAAATGTCCAAGCCTTTTAAATATGGTTGGAAATCAGATTCCATTAATGAATCATATATGATATTTCTGAAATCCAAGTCTTGTACAGCATGAGGTTTATTGCAAGTAAGGATATCCTTATTACCATTGGCTTTACATAAAGTAAAAATTGACAATCTGTAATAAATTGGAATCTTCAAATAATCCAATAAAATTGGTGTCATTTCACGTAAAGCCAATTCAGAAATTGGTTGAACAGATTGTGCATCATTTAGAATATTAACAATTGGTGTAAAAGTATCAGGATTTTCTTGAGCCCATGAGGTTAAAACGACTAACGATTTAAATGTTGATTCTGGATTAGTTGACGAATTCATCAAAGTGAATAAAGATGGGATGTATTTAACTGTAGTTGAATTAGGTGTTAACCCATTTTGTAACAACCCAACAATTGAAATCGATTTTGTTCCATTATTGGACACACCTAAAAGACCTTCAAGCGCCAATAGTTGTTCACGTGTGGCTGTAGTGTTTTTCACTAACGATAAAGATTTAATAATATCGAGAGCCATAGTAGCATTATTTGAATTATTGATAATACTAACTAGTGCAGGTAAAGCTAATTTGGCATTTTCATTATTTGTAATATTTTGCTTAATCATATCGGTCAAAATAGTTAAAGTAGAATTGAGGTTAGTGGAAGAAGTCAACAAACTTTGAACAGAGTACAAAAGTTCTTCTTGGGAAGAAGAAGATGAGGAAGAAGAACTTAGGCCATTAAACACTCTTGTTAAATTTGCATTTGGGTTTGATTGCAACATTGTGGATAATGTGGAGAAGTAAGTCGAAATTTGTTGCTGGGGGATTGAAATGTTTGCCTGAATAATTTTTATTAAAGCATCATTTAATTGTGTCACATTATTAGTTGTTTGATATAAAGAAAATACGGGTAATAAAGCAACTTTTTCGGATAGAGTCAAATCATTCAAAACTTCCAATTGTTTAGTTGTATTCAAAGGATTAGCTGAGTTTGATAACAATTTTAAAGTAGATTCACTGGCTTGTAATAGTTGTGTATTATTAAAGTTCTGTAAAATTGGTGAAACTAGTTCAGATAAAAACTGCAAAGTTTGATTCCCATTATTGGAATTATCGACTAGACTTGAGATGCCAACTAATTCTCTTGTTGATTCAATTGGATCACCTTCCAATGCCAAGGGAGCCAATTTAACCAAAGAGTCTATTGTAACAGAAGTGTTATTTGCATTAGATAATAATAATAGTAATGGAGATAGAGCTGGGGTAGTGGATACGGTTTTTAGAGCGCCAAAAATGTTATTCAAAGATTGATTTGGAGCAGTTAAAGCAGAACCTAATATTGTTAAAATTGGTTTCATTTGTGGAATAACTTTTGAAACATTGATATGAGCTATATCAGCGTCACCCAAATAAACATTATTAATTGGTGTATAGTTTGAAGTAGAACCGGCAGTAGCTACAATTACCAAAATAAATGTAGTAAAAATAAAAATTAATGCAATTATTAACCAATAGCTGTTTCTACCAAAATCATGCTTGGTCTTAGATGAAACTATCAGTCTCATATTATCTTATTAAAACACGAAAGCAAAACAAACAAACAAACAAACAAACCAAAAATATCAAAAAAAATAAATGTCGATATTTTAATGGTTACCAGCTATTATTAGTGTTATGATTGTTAATTGTAGTGGGTTGCTTAGTATTTGTTAGAAAGAAATTAATCAACTATCTTCTAAAAGAAAAAAAAGACCAAAAAAAAGGGAATATAGTTAATAAGTCAAAGGACGATGAACAAACATATTCAACATTTTTTACAATTTCAATCAATTATTAAAAAAAAAAACCTTTGAACCCAATTCTCCATTTGCATACAAAATTAGTTATATATATATATAAGTATAAACATATATATATACATAAGTATGTGTATGTGAGTATGTGTGTGATTTGATGATAAGTTCTATTTAGTCAAACAACAATTGTTGGGGAAAAACATCAAAAAGCCAGAAAGAACAAAAAAAAAAGAATAAAAACAAGTGATAAAAGCAACAGTGAGTAGCAATAACCATAATAACACAATATTACGACTAATTAATATCATCGTTTAAAATCAAACAAATGAAAAGGAAAAAAAGAAAAGATAAAAGCAAAAGAAATGAATCAACTGTTAAACCAAGTTTTATTATATTCTCATCCTCATCCCCACCCTCACCATATCTCTTATTCATCACAACTTTCTTTCAACTGTTTAGTTGAGTTTAGTGACAGTTCGCAGATCATAAGCTCCATCATCCCACTATCCCACTGACCTGCTGCCCAACTTTATACACCGAAAGCAGTTATATATTCATGTTTTCGTTAGTATATGTTGTCGGTCTTATAATAATAGCCATCATCTAAAAAAAGACATCCCACCTCCCTTTGTTGTTGTAATCTTCGAAGTCTTATCAGTTTGTTTGAATGTTGCAACAACAAATGTTGAATTTTGAGATTACATAATAATGAAGCAATGATGTCATTGACAGACACGCTCACCATCCAAAAAGGGTTATTTTTTTATAGCAACAACAACAATATGGATGATGAAAATGATGGCAAATAACAATACCAATATACAACGAAAACAAAAGAAAAGGAAACGAAAAGATGAGTTGAAATATGTTTTGTTATTGTGTTTACTTTACTTTCCACTCGGGGATTCCCTATTGTTGCGTCTGCTGTTGCTTCTGCCGCATTCTATTTGTCTTTCCCTTTTGTGTTCTTTTGTTTTCCAGTTGTTTGTATTTCGGCTTCTCTCCTCTTTTTTTTTTTTTTTTTCTATTTTCCATTTTTCTTCCACTCATTTATATTGTTGCTATTTTTTTTCTTTTTTCTTTTTTTTTCTTTCTCTTTTTTTCTTTAATTTATCTCTTAGAAATGATATATAGACACAATATCTCCCTCTATATAAAAATTGGGTATTATACATTATATGGCATATATAGCGTCATCTTCATTGTTTAAATGGGTAAAATAGATAAAACTACTATATACTTGACAAAGCAAGAAAAGGGCCTTTTTCTTTTTTTTTGCTTTTTTATTTTTTTTTTTTCAATTTTCAATTCGTAAGTCTCAATTCTCAATTTACAATAAAGTATAAAATATTTGTTTGTGCAATTATAATGTATATGTTTACATTTCCATAAGGGAGTCTTCTGGTTTATAGACTACAGTATAGTTAAATGTTTGAATCACACCTAAGAATTGGTTAGAGTAAATAGAATCTGCCAATACCAATTGTAAAGATATACCAAAATATGGTCCCCAAATATGTCTTCTATTACCACTACTACCAATATTGCTATTGCTATTTGGACTGTTTTGATTTCCTTGTCTTATAATCGAATCTTGTCCCATTTTATCTCTCCCACTTTCGTCAAATCTTACTTTACCATTTATATTACATATTAATGTACCTGAACCTGGTATAACATGATAATCTAAACTTGTTAATGTATGTTGTGTAGCAACCATTTGTTGCTGCCACAATGTTAGAAATTGCATCGCATCAGAGAATGGCGCTGAGTTATATATTATCTTGGCATTTGGAGGTTGTGCAAATAACTGCAAAAATTCTTGTAATTTGTTTACATCTGTGTTATCCAAATGTGCTAAAATCTTCTTAATAAATGTCTCTGTAATTGCACCTTGTTGATTCGTATTAATATTACTAGTGCTATTCATTCTTATGTATATTCCTAGACTCTTTATTTTTTTACTTCTGTTTCTTAACAGTTATTTTCTTCTTTTTCTTTACCATTCCTTTCAATAAAATTTGCCTTTACGTTTTCTTCCATGGCCTTCAAACATTGGCTATTTTAGTTTTTTTCTCTTTTCTTTCCTTTCAATCCTTCAAAATTTTTGTTGAAATTTTCCCTTTCTGATTTCCAATCTTTTCCGAATACTAAAACAAAATTTGCCAGAAACTACATCAGATCAAAAATGAAAAAGAAAAGAGAAAAGAATCAAAAAAAAAAACAGAAAAAAAAACTTTATTAAAGGAACGCTGGTTTTTTACCCCTTTAGGTAAAAAGTACAGCCTTCGAGAAACTTTATTACCTGAAAGACAAACTTGGACAATAATTAACAACACACACATAATAAATGATATCTGCACAGATAAAGAGAACAAAATTGATTTAATTTTTGAAAATTTCCCTTTTCAGCCAATTATTGCAAAATTATATTTCTACTTTTGGCAGATTTTACTATATTTGTGTTTCACTCTCGTAGAGATACATTAATTGATTGATTGATCGATTGTCAAAAAATAGTAAAACCCAGCTCTCTTCACCCTTTTTCTATTTTTGATCTCAATAGATCTTTTATTTCTTGGTATGATTTCAATAGCTCTTCAGTTGAAAAACAATTTACATAACTATACATACACACACACACACATATATATATATATATCTATTGATTAATAAAGACAAAATAAATAATGTGTGATTAAACTACTTGTCTTTTTTTAGAGTTTTTTGTAAAATCACGTATTATACTACGATTATAAAGTTCCTGTATCAGTTGCAAAACAAGTAATGATATTTTAGTTTATCTTCTCTTTCCTCTTTCTTCATTCACTTATCGTATAACACTAAATAAAATAAACTAATCCATAATAAGAACTATCTCATAGGATCAGCAATGCAAACATCTCTTTCAATTCAAACGAATACATCTAATATTCCGATGCTTGAGAACCATATAATATCATCATCGTCTTCACTCTCGCAGATCCCAAAAAGTTGCACAGTGTCACCAAAATTATCATACTCTCACAATGAGTTAAATATTAAAAAATCATGGACTGCCCCAACCAGTCCAATTCGCACGTATAGATGCAACATCCAAAATAATAACCAGTATCTAAATAAACATTTAATGACTCCACAATCTTCCCCTACATTTCTAGAAAATTCATCTTTACAGCTACCTGAACTTCAATTATCACAATCCAACGTTTCAAACCCTGGAATCACGAAACAAAATGTAACTTTGCCTTCTTTGAGACACTTGCAATTACTACCTGATCCAAGAATACAAGAAAATTCTTATATCTACCCAGATACGTCAGAGAGAACTCCAATGTGGAGAAATACTCTTTTAAATTGGTGCAAAACTGAGAAATATCATGATTATCTATCTATTAAAGAACAAAATATCAAAACTAGAAATTATTATACTGCAAATATCCCAAAAATGAGGACCACAACCACAAATACAATAACTACATCTAATACTAGTACCAATGCAAACATGACTACAGATACTGGTTTATCGAAAGTCTTCAGCACTTCTAATGTCCCATCAATTCTGCAAAGCAAAGACCCATTTTATGGTCTTTCTAACAAACCATGGGAGTTTCAAAGCCCTTTAACACCACCAATGTCTCCCGGAAGAACCTCCCAACCAACATTTGATAAAAAACACAATACTACTAACCAAAAGGATAATCTAAGTAATGGTACAAATAACCATGATATATTTAATCCTATTATAAGTGAAAAGTTGATTCAGTGTATCAAAAAGCAACAAATAATTAATTCTAATCGAATCAGCAAATCGACATCCTCTGTTAATACTCATAAAAAAACAAACAGTTTTAAGGCATTACAGATAAAAAAAATGTTAATGGATAGAGACGTATTATCTATCAATTCAAAAAAAAATTCAACAACCATTGACAATAACAATAATAATAACAACCAATCTAAAAGTTCTTCCAAAAGTATTGTTATTACTAATTTTATCACATCATCCACCACTACTGCCACAACAAATGAAAAAATCAAAAACAACGATCATAAGAATGATAGTAATGTATTTATGCCTGCAAATGAAGGCACGACGATTACTGCTACTACCACATTACTATCTTCTCCAACCTTAAGTCCAAATGTATCAAGATCTGATTCTCCCATCAGAAGAAAAAAAAACAAAGATAACAAGACACCTAACAATAATACTTCAAGATCACGTTCTAGATCACATTCACCAGTACGTATTGTTAACTTTTCTAATACAACAACTACACCACCCCCACCTCCTTCTTCTTTACAATATAATCATAATAATAATAACCATAATTGTCAGAAAACTAATTATTCATTACCACGTTATCATACTTTTTCCTTAAGTGGATCATCTAGTCCTATTTACTTAACACAACCCACCAATCATATTGAAGATAACAATTATTGTAAGACTATTCACAACAATCATAATACTAATAGTTATGGTAACAATATCATGTTGTACTCAACCAATTCAAACAAAAAAATATCTTCCAAAGCATTACCGAGATCGTTTTCAGCACCCAATTCCACAAACACTTCTCCATTAAGAGGCAAAGAAAGACGGAGTTCTCACACTACTACGAGGAAATGTGTTTCGTGTAATTCCCAGGATTCTCCTTGCTGGAGACCAAGTTGGTCAAAGAAGAGACAACATCAATTATGTAATTCTTGCGGGTTAAGATATAAGAAGACAAAAACGCGTTGTTTAAATATGAAGTGTAAGAAAATCCCTACAAAAGGTGAATTAAATATAATGAAATCACAAGGTAAAACAACAGGTACCGTAGCTAATAATCCCGACATAATTGGTCCAGTGGTTGGGTATCGTTGTTTGTTCTGTAATTCAATCACAGAAACTTTGGATTAAAATTTAATTAAAATACACGTATGCATATATTCCTATACTATATAATTTTCATCATAAAGTAAGTATTCTAGTATCTTTTTTTATTTTTGTATTCTATAATTTTGATCTTATTCTTTACAAAACTATAAATGATATTTATTCTTTTGTTCTTACGTAATTTCTTCTTAAAATGAATCAAAAATATCTACAATAATCCCTCACTATCTAGAAATAAAATTTCCTGCCATCTTTCATTGCTGTAAGACTAAACAAGTTCCCATTATCACCTATACAGTTAGACTACACCAATGGCACTATTCTGATCTATCTCTTAGTAACTTAAAGACACTAAAAATAGAAACAATGGAAAACAATAAACAAAAAATGTTTTTTTTTCTTTCTCTTCGTTTTTTTTTTACTGGAATTTTTAATGAGAGAAGGCAAGAAAGAAAAAAAAAATTGCGATGCCCAAACAAAACTTGAAAAAATTTATCTTGTTTTGCCAAGTTTTCCATGAACTTTCTCTAACTCCTTTTTGGTTCACTAATCGTCCAAAACTGCTCCTCTCCTTATTCCCCAGTCTCTCTTTCTTCTAGAGATTTTGATTTAATCCCGTTAAATAAATTTGCTTTATTAAGTCCTACTCAGTTTAGTTCCCTTTACTGCTCCTCTTTCACCCCCCTCCTTTCACTGTATTCTGAAAATATCGTTAATAGTGTTTATTAACTGTATTTGCCTCAGCACAGACGCGTGTGATCTATACCCACACATAAATATTGAACAATTTCCATTTCAACAGGGAAAACACACACACACACATATATATACATATATACGTACATATATACATACATATATTTGTAACTCGATCATTTATATTCAACTATAACTGACAACAAGTTGTAAAAAAAGTATCCAACTAACAAAACAAATAAAATTTCTTTTGAGATATTGTTATTATTTTTATACACACATTTATCCATTTCACATATTTTCACAAACTCAAGTAGATACAAATTACGATGTCTGGTTCTACATTAGTTGAATCTGAAGTTTGTTCTTCAACTACTACTTTGACCGATTTATCCCCTATTAACAGTACCACTCCATCTACTTCTGCTCTTATCTCCACTACCAATACCATAAACTCAAAACCGGTAGCTAGGTTAAATAATGAGGCATTGACTGCTTTACTAGAAACATTCAAACATGATCCTAACCTACATACTCTTCCACATCAATCTGACCATATTGGTATTTTTAATACATTAAAACAACGTATCAATTCTATTAATGATGATACATGTTCCCCTGGTGAAGAAAACTCCTTTTTTGTTTGTGATATGAAGGAATTACGTAACTTATACAAGAATTGGAAAGTGGAATTACCTCGTGTTCAACCACACTATGCAGTGAAATGTAACCCACAGCCTGAATTATTAAAAGTTCTAGCTTCCCTCGGTGTTAACTTTGATTGTGCTTCTAAGAGAGAAATTGATACAATTTTGAAATTAGGTATTGAGCCACACAGAATCATCTATGCAAACCCATGCAAGGTTGGATCTCATATCAGATATGCTCAACAAAATGGTGTAGAAATGACCACGTTCGATAATGCTGAAGAATTACATAAGATTAAAAAATTCCATCCATCAGCCAAACTATTCCTTCGGATTGCTACTGATGATACTACTGCACAATGCCGGCTATCTACAAAATTTGGTGCCCATTTATCTGCCATACCAGAGTTATTACAAACAGTTAAAGACCTGGAATTAAATCTTGTTGGTGTTAGTTTCCATGTTGGCTCGGGTGCATCCGATTTTAGTTCCTTATATAAAGCAACCAGAGATGCTCGTTGGGTTTTTGATATTGCTGTTAATGAATTTGGTCTACCACCTTTAAAGACCTTGGATGTAGGTGGTGGTTTCCAATTAACTTCCTTCCAAGAGTCCAGTAAAGTTTTAAGATTATCTTTGGATGAATTCTTCCCAGAAAATTGTGGCGTTAATATCATTGCTGAACCAGGAAGATATTTTGCAGAAACAACCTTAACTTTAGCCACACACATCATCGCCAAACGTAAGATTGACAACGATCAGGCTATGATCTATATTAATGACGGTGTCTATGGTAATTTAAATTGTATCCTTTTCGATCACCAAGAACCAACACCAAGAATCTTATACAGTAATAACAAGTTCCACTATGATGACTTTAATTCTACTTCCGCTGTACCAACCCCTTCCCACCCATATAAAGTATCCATTTGGGGTCCAACATGCGACGGTTTAGATTGTATCACTAAGGAATATTACATGCGCCATGACCTTGTTGTTGGAGATTGGTTATATTTTCCAAATTTAGGAGCATATACTTCTTCTGCTGCTACTCCATTTAATGGATTTGATCAACATGTTGATACGATTATTATCAATGAAGATCTTTGACAACACAAGAAATAAATATGCTTCTTTACTTATTTATCTTTATTTTTATCAGTATTTCGAATCATTATTAATAGACTATATTCCAAGAGGAGTAAGAAGTTCAACACCTGTTTCTTCTAACCCTTAGTTTCCATCTCTTTGTTCATTTTCATCCTTCCTTGAACAAGCATCCCTTTTTACCAAATTGAAATTACATACTTTGAACTTCAATTTCTTCCTTACACGCGTTTGTGTAACAGAATTATTAAATAATGAAATATATCTAAAAAAAAAGTTCCCTTTCTTTTAGTTTATACTATCTACCGTTTTTATTTAATTCTGCTATCTCTTGATAAAAGATTTGTAAGTGTTTACTCTTTACAGACTTTTTCTTTTAATTTTTTTAATAACATTCAATTCAATCCGATCATAAAAAAAGTACTAAAGAATGTCAATTTCCATATGCAGATGAATCACTACATATTATAAAGAAAACACACACAAAGATAATACATGCTATAGAAGAAGAGAAATAAATATTCAACTGAACCTGCACTAATTGTTTCCTAATAACAGAGTTTTCTTCTTTTAAAGAGACAAGATATCTAAGATATGAATACCAAAGAAGTTTGTAAAATTGCAATTATAAAACCTACAATTGAAAATGTGGTACCGTTCAACGTTTATAAAAAGACGCAGCCTCGACAGTTAGATAATTCTAGTAATTTAGGTATGACCACTCCATATCACAGCAACAGTAATAACCTAAACACTATCTCAATACCGTTAGATCAATGTATTCTGTTAGGTGGAGGAAGAAATTTCATATTAAGTTTATTAAACAGTTCAACATATCCCACCGAGAAACTAGAATCGGTTGATTTGTTTATATTAAATACATGTGTGGTATTATGGTTCGATGTTTTAGGTCATGGTCTTGAAATACCCTACACTTCGATAGTGTACCATGCTATAGAAAGAAACCATAATCATAACATACCGCCAACCTATGATGATGGCCACTCACTAGCATTAATAATAACTGTGATAAAAGACGCTGTATTGGATCAGTTTTTTCCAAGTGAACAAAGACATGAATCCAATGTAATAATAGATTCGGTAGAATTAGTATTATATCCAAAGTATTCAACATATGAAAGACACTATAACAATCAAGTAGAAACTTTATTTACGTTTACTAATTTTGGTATGAACAGAGGTGATGAAATGATCAGTAATTGTAATAATGCACTTGCTATGGGAATGGAATTACACACGGATTCGTTTGAAAATGACGATAAGACAGGAAACACCCATTTGCAAGATATTTTTAATCAAAATGATGAAAGTGCTGGAGCACATGCCTCATTTGTTGGTATAAGCAGTTTTCTACAGAATGTCACATACAAAAACTCAGGATCTGCCGATGATTTGGATAACGATGAAGTTTTTTTAGATCAAATTGTCAATAAAAATCCAAGTGAAGCTGGAATGTCATTACAATTCCAATTGAATGACAAATCAGCTGGAAAAAGGAATTTTAACTCTGAATAAATGAAGTGTTCTTACCTCTTCCTATTTGGCAGTTTTCTTTTATTACTAAAATTATGAAAATACAAATAAAATAATATTAATCACTAATGCTGCTTCTTCAAATATAAAGATTATAGATAAACTATTTTCGACAATACTAGTTATACTCGAATAATTTCAATAAACCCTAGATCACTTTAACATTATATTTTTGACTTTCACTTTACATATATATGTTTGGATAATCTTCTTATTTCGCATCTATTTTATTCTTTCTAAGATTTTTGTTTGGAAAATGGCACTAACAAAATTGAAAAGATCATCTTTTTTTTTTTCTTTTCTTTTTTTTTTTTTAACTAAAAAATGAAAAAATTTTTTTGCCAATGAAAAATTTTGAAATGTTTCAATAGAATTAACTAAAATTTTCTTTTGTTTCATTTACTGATAGATGAGCGTTTTTTTATATTAATACTTGTAAAAGCGATGAAGAGGGAGGGTTCATTTGCTAACCATAGTCAGTTGTTGTATCAATATGTGTCTACGGTTCTGTAGCTACCGTTGTTTATCGTAGTCTTAAATCACCAATGTTTATATTGACTAATATGATTTACTCTTGGAATAATCATTTAGTAATCTTGTTTGTATAGTAGTGCAAGTGAGTCTTCGAGATTAATAAAGCATTTGGTGCTACTTTTTCTTTTGGATTGTTTCATATTATCCAGCACTATTTCTCCACCTCCTAATCATCTAGGTCTCCCATCTCTCTTTTAGATAAAACCATTATTTCTTCGTCCTTTTCAGTTTAGTTACACTTTATTCTATTCTAGTCTAGAATTGGATACATTGTCTATCATCGATATCTTCTGCATTTCTTCATTTGATCAGTTTCAATTGTTCTTTTGATTACTCCATTTTTTTTAGATCCATATTTCTGCATCCTATCTCCAAGTTCTTATTATTTTTAAATCATTTAACTAATCATGCGTAAGTGCAAAGTCTTTGTTGGCAATTCACATCCTGAATTGGGTAAATTAGTTTGTGAACGTTTAGGTATCGAACCTGCTCCATGTACTTTAAAAAAATTTGCTAATGGTGAAACTTCAGTCCAAATTGGTGTCTCTGTCAGAGATGAAGATGTCTATGTCATCCAATCAGGGTCTCCAACTGTCAATGACCATATTATGGAATTATTGATCCTAGTCTCTGCATGTAGAGGTGGTTCTGCAAGAAAGATTACTGCTGTGATTCCTCAATTCCCATATTCTAAACAATGTAAAATGAAGAAACACAGAGGCGCTATTACTGCAAGAATGTTAGCTAACTTATTAGTCATGGCAGGTGCTGATCATGTTGTGTCCATGGACTTACATGCATCTCAAATGCAAGGCTTCTTTACTAAACCAGTCGATAACCTTTATGGGGCTCCAAGTTTAGCTAGATGGATCAGAGAAAATGTTCCTGATTACCAAAATGCCGTTGTTGTTTCTAAGAATGCTGGTGGTACAAAGAGGGTCACTGCTTTAGCCGATTCTTTGAAGATTAATTTTGCTATGATCCATACTGATCGCCGTCGTTCCAAAGATCTTTACTCCCAAAATAAAGATTTACAACAATTAAAACTAAGAAAACAGTCTATGTTAAGAAAGAATAGACCAATCATTAGACCAGGTGATCACCCAGATGAAGAAGAAAATATTATATTGACCAACGGTATCCAAACTGCTAGAATTCGTAATGGTCATGTAATTGGTGATGATGAAGCTGACGAAATTAATAACGAAGAAGCTATGGAAACTGATGAAGAAGATCTGACTTTATCAGTAAGTGATTCTCATTCCTATGCCCTTGGTGGTACCTATGATGCAGCTGACTCAGAAGATGAAGATGCTGATGCATCAACTGTTCCAAAAGAAAAGTTAATCACTTTAGTTGGTAACGTTCATGATCGTGCTGCCATTATCTTAGATGATATGATCAATAGACCGGGCTCTTTTATCAGTGCTGCTGAGCATTTAGTTCAAAACTGTGGTGCCAAAAGAGTCTACGTCGTTGCTACTCATGGTATTTTTACCGGTAATTGTTTGGAAGAATTAGAAAAATGTCAATATATTCATCAAATTGTTGTAACTAACACTTATCCAATTTCTAAGGAAAGTTCTGAAAAATCTAAGAAGTTAGTTGTAATTGATGTGTCTCCAATTTTCGCCGAATGTATTCGTCGTGACCATTACGGTGAAAGCATCTCCGTTTTGTTTGATTCCTTAGCCACTATATGATCAAAGATAGATGTATTTTAATATCTCTACACTCATTTCTTTATCTTCCTAATCAATTTTTATTGGCGATACTTTATTCTATTTTTTTATACTTAGATTTAATTCATTTTCATGAAATATCCTTCAATTTATATCTTTATTGAAAAAAATCTTTAAAATATGCAAAGTATTGGGAATGAATATGCGTACATAAAATATATATCTTATTTAATCATTACACGTTTTTATTCTATTTTTTTATTTCTACACTTCCAATTTTTTATAGTCATGTTGTTAAGTTAGCATGATTGTCTCAAAATGCATTATGGCAATTCACTTTAGAGTATTTGTCTTATATGTTTCATTATTTCATACATCTCACATATATTGTTCCTCATCGAAAAAACAAACCCATATCTTTTATATTACTTATTATTCTCAAATACATACCTCCTCAGTGCACTCAAGTCCATCTTTTCTGCTTTATTAGTAGGTAATAAATTCTTTTTATTTATTACTGATCTCTTTTCCAAAGATTTACCACAATTATAATGCACAATGATTTCCTTTCCATTCGGCATATAACACCAAAAAACACTATCTGTAGTCAACGAATGAAACTTTTTTTTACAAACATAACAAATATTATTTGAATTTACCTCAATAAATTTTGCAGATTTATGGTTAATAGAATAATTCAAATTAGTTAGTTCATTCTGCATGATATTTTTCTTCAAAGAAAAATCCTCATCTTTTGTCTTCTGATGCCTTATAGCAAAAACTAACAAATCTTTAATATCCTTTACTGGGAGCCCAACTGGAAGTGTCTTCAAAGTTTGGACAATATCTAATTTATCTCTATAGTCCTTTAAAAATATAACTAATAATTCGTTACTTGAGTGATCCCCAGCTCTATAATTTGACTTTTCAATAATTGCTTTCAATAAGTAGAGTAATATTCCAGAACCTACTGTACGATTTGCTAGATAAACTTTATTGCAGTATTCTCGAGCTTCTTTGTAATCACCTAATTTATTAAATAAAATATCAATTGATATCTCATGTTTATGCAACCTGTAATATGGGTAAACTTGCATTAATAAAACAAAGTTTTTCATTTCTGGCGTCAATGTTTCATCAGATATTGCATTTTTCAAAAGTACAATAATGTCAGATGGATTATACTGCGAATTATTTTTAAGAAAATCTTGTAATTTCTTATTGTTTATGTCGTTGAGATCAGAAATATATCTTCGTACAAGATAATTATGCATTTTAGGATTTATATCATAGACGGTATGAATAATAAATTCTAAATATTCTAATGATAATGCTTTATCGATATTTTTCAAATAACTATAAATTTTTAAGCTGTCTCTTTTAAGGTTAATAATGTTACAATTTTCAAATATAGATACCAAAACATTATTTCTTACGTGTATATCACTAATCTGTTCAAGCAGCTTAGTAAGATAAAAAAATAAATCATCTAAATTTTCATTTGGTAATAACATTAAATATTTAATAATAAAATCTTTTATGCTCATGTTTGGTCCAATTCGATTATCTTTGAATTTATCGTTCAAATCAAATAGAAACTCTAGTGCATCATGATGCACTTCCTTATGATAATAAAAATCAAGAAGTTCTTGATACATCTTCTTTTCTTTTAAATCGTTGATAACTACTTCCTCATAACATAAATTCTCAACTCTAATAAATGGTCCAACCATTGATGGAACATATAAAACATATACTTTGAAAAGAACAGTCTCTACTAAGGATACCATTGTTTCTATTTTTATTGAATCATGACTGTCTAATAAAAAAAAATCTAAATCCTGAGATATGTGCCTACTTTCATAATTCCAAGTGATGGTCCCTTCAGAAGAACTCTTCTGTTGTTTCACCAACAAATTTCTTAAATGACGTCTCATATCAATTAAATATGGCAAGACCCATTCCTTTATTAGTATCGGATTAATCTTATAACTTTCTCCTTTATTTTGAGATGACAAACTATTGCATTTATGTTCTTGTTGAGTAATTAGTTCCACTAAATATGATATCTCTTTAGGAAAAGTTTTAAGAATAATTAATTGAGGTGGTGCCCACATAGTTATGAACATGTTGAAAATATCTCTGATAATAATTTCTTCAAGTTTATTCAGATATTCGATAAAACTTTGCTTGCTCTTTAATTTATCTTTATATGTATTATTATTACGAAGCCCTACAATTGTATTTTGTAGAGCGTCAAACATTTGAAGGCACCACATAACAGTTAATTCTCTTAACTTCATTGCACATATATCTAAAGATTTATATGGATCATCTGAAATACACAGCTGTAATGCATAAGGAGACTTAAGAAAAAATCTGTAAAACAAAACCTTTCTCCAAAGATGATAAAAGTTTGAATCATGATACATTGCACAGATAGAAAATTCGCTACTATGCGATTGACTGTCATTACTATTTTCCGGATTATTTTCATACAAGAGACTAACGTTGCTCATACGTGGACTATTATGTGTTGACAGATATCCACCTAGATGTTCACCTTCATCATCATCAACCTGGTAGATGTACATTAATAACTGGTCATCAAGTGTCCACACAATATAATATATTCCAGCCAAATTAATAACTTTCTTAATTCCTTGATCAATTCTTTCTTCTAAAAAGGTAAAACCATTATTATAATCAACAAATTTAATAGTGTTTTTATTATGTAACAATAACAAATCAGACGATATGTTTTCACAGTGATTAAAATACTTATTCCATTGAAAAAATTGTTTTTTATCGACAGCAATTAGTTTACTTTCTTGATCATCAATATCTACTGTAAACATGTTTTGTGTAATCCCATCAAGAATTAATATTTGATTATTTGAAGGTTCAAAAATATATCTTATATCCTTATAATTAGTGCTTGAAACCATATTCGGCTCAATTGTGTCCTTTTTTTTGTATTTCTTCTCAACTGATCTCCAGAATGTATATTTTGTTTGCCTTGAATCATTGCTGACCATGGGTATATTCCCCAATGACGAAAATGATGGGGTACTTATTCCATTCTCAGTTGAATACAATCCTTTCAAACTAAATATTGCATCAACAACATTATCAGGGTATCGTTTTGAATAAACTTGGCTAATTTTCAAAAGAGCCCCTGACGACTGCGTAGAGAAAGCTTTAGATGAAGCATTAGATAAGCTATCATTTTTTATTTCTTTAAAATACCAAATGTAGACACCACTCGACATAGTAAATAGCATTGCATCACCTTTAGAAACTATATGTATTGATTTAATTGTCTGATCTTTTAAGTGTTTTGGTAAATTTATTTCCAACATTTGATTGTAAGTTCTTCCCCTCCAAAATAATACCCTTAAAGTAGACGCTTTTGTAGTAGAATAAACTAAATATGTGATAGGATCACCATTACTACCAATATTTATGTTACAGACTTTGTTACTATTAATATTATCATCAGATGGTTTAGTAATACTAGAATTGTTCAAGTTATCCATATAAGTTTTAACCCAAACTTGATTAATGCCTCTCTTATCATATATTTTATCATACACTTGGAGATTAGCACTATTGAGTAACACTAACATAGACTTACACTTTATGAAAATAGTATTTAATTGTTCAGAATACAACATATCCTGTATATGTAAATCTAGATTAGAGGCATTGGGCAAATTTCTTAATAAATTAGAATATATCTGAGATAATTTAAATTTCAATGGTATAGAGACACTTTCTGTAAGAGAATTTGAACTGTCAGATGAGTATGAATTATTAAAAGTTCCATTGATATCATGATCTGTTATATAGACCTCAATGTCCCCATTGTTTTTGGCAACTAACAATCTACATGAATCATCAATAGCTAAAACAGATACAATTCCGGAAGAATTAATCGAATTGACTAGCCTACTTCTTAACATTATAGATTGAAAACAATTATTATACGAACATGAATATGAAATGTAGTATACTGATCCTGCGTATCTAGTTTTCTAGGGTAGTAGCCTCATGGATACTAGTGCAACTTTACATAGTTTATACTACGAGGATTTTCACTCACACTTATATTGAAATTGGATACTGCGGCATCCAGAAAACGAAAATAAAAACCCCAAACCCAAATATAAGAAGGTCAAGAAAAATCATAAGTTTTATAAAATATGGTCAATATACAAAGTAGTACATACAAAAATATATGTACAAACGGTCAAACCCAACTGGATATTGTTACAAAATCGCTTCTTTTTCTAAACTCAATAGAATGAACACCATAACTTAGTCCGTCATGTTCCTCAGCACCGAACCAATCTCTCGACCTTAAACCAAATCTTTTTGAACCCTGATATCCCACTAGAGTATCTAGAATTAAAATATTAACAATCAAATCAGTTTGTTCTGAATGTTTTAAGTCCCAAGTGCCCACAACATTATCCATATTATTTAAATTAACGGGTGTTCTTCTTTGAACAGGCACTGCTGGTCGTATAGAGGTTTCATAATTCCTCATTTTATTGCCAATTTCTTTATTCTGGAATACACCTAGGTGTGATAAAACCAATAGAATATCAGAATCATCTGTATAAACGTCTGTTCCCCAAATTTCACTATTCCTCCATCTCTTGTTTGATTCCATGCGATTAATAAATTGACACACAACTTGTGCAGGAATATAAACCGATATGATTTTATTAATGTAATCTGCACTTAAACTAGGTAAAAATGGAGGGAAATCCTCCAGCACTTCATTTAATTTATTCTCCAGAATGATATTATTATTTCTCTCTTTACCCACCCAACTGTTATATTCATCCATCTTACTATATCCATAAGGATTATAATATATATACTTCATAATTCTAGGTGTTTTCTTATATATATTTTTGGTAAAATTTAGTACATTACTTGAATCCACTATAACATTTTTATTTTCAACACTAGACAATCTTTCTACTGGCTGTTCAGGCGAAGATCTATTTTGAAGTTGAGCATCCCTTGTTGAATCCAGAATGGTTTCTTGCAGTGACAAGATCCTAGATTGTGTTAGTCTATACTGCTCATCAGGGTCATATATGCTATTTTTTGAAACTGAATATGGTTTTAAGGGCTCGGCGGCAGATGGTATAATTTGATTAGAGTTATTAGTAATTGTTGATTCCATTTTTTGAGACCACGCTAGTAGTTTTAGTATATGTAACAGTATTACTCAAAATGATAGCACAATGAAAATATGAAAATAAAAAATCAAGAAAGTAACTGTATATTCATATATATGAAGTTCCTGTAAATTAGTTTGCGTATACCTTTTTTTTCAAAACCAACTTTGAGATGTCATCCCTACCTTAAAATTTTCTGGTTCATAATAGAATTTTTTTTTTTTTTTAACTCTTCTTCGATTACTATTCTATTATAATTTTCAAAAAGACCTTCACTGAAAGGGGAAGCAATCTCTATGACTGTTAATCTTTTAATATTACATCTGTACATCCAAAGCCACAAACGAAAACTGCTTATTTTCTAATATTTCCTAATTAAGTAATATGTGTATTTCCCTTCTTTGCGGAAAAAAAAATAAATGTATACTGAGAATTTCTGACGTAAAACAATTCTGTGTATCACACTATACTGTAATGTTTACGAACAAACATACTAACGGATAGATTGGAATGTGCATGAGAGGGAAGGGAATCTGTGTTTTGAAAGAAATAATGAACACTGAAGCTTTTCTCAGGATAGTGATTGGTATGTTGCCATTGCTAGTGAAGGGGAGAGAGGGGGGAGAGAGAGAGAACTCTCTACTGAGAAATTGTGCCACGCCTAGGTAGTAGGTGGACCTGTAGATGTCTCTCTAAAAGAGGTCATTACGTTCCTCCCTTCCCTCAATATCTCCTCTCCCAGCACTTGCTCTTGCCAGGAAACCCGTTGCTGTTAGACAGAGAGACACAGAGGGAGAGAGAAAGATTACGTACGGAGCACAAATCTGTTAGGGAGAGAGCCACAGAAACAGACAGAAGCAGGAAAGAGACAAACAGAAGCAGATGGATACAGAGGGAGAGAGACAGATATGCAATGACATGGAATAAGGAAAACAAGTTGTGGAGGATGAGTTTCATTCCCCACGAATAACAAGGATATTGCATAACAATCTTCCAACCTCTCTTACCTACCTGTAGTGGTAACAACGTGCACACATCACATCCAAGCAGTAGTACCAATGTATTCGGTGTGCTACAGTGTAACCAATCTCTTGCTTTATCATTAACCAGTATTAGAAAAAAAACAATGTACGTTAGGTGGTTAAAGGAGGCTGCATCTTGCTGCACTTGCATTTGTATATATCAATCCCCGGAAGACAATTAAGCACAGATACTCGATAAAATGGCCGGTTTAAAAGACGTTGTCACTCGTGAATACACCATTAATTTACACAAGAGAGTATGTAGAATAATACTAATTCAAGTATAGTAACTTTGAGCGAAACAGGACAAGGAATAAATGTCATTTACCAATATAAAAAAAGATACTTTAAGCTAGGACACTAAGAACAATGAACTTTGAGTAAATCATTAAATAGAAAAAAAACTGTAAAATATTAGTGGGTTATTAATCATTTTTTTTAATTATTCACGTTAGTTAATGCTTAGAGATTCCAATATTTACCAATATATTATGCATTTTTTGATTTAAAGATCCGATTTTATTGAAATGTGAAATAGAGAATTAAAATAAAGTATATATATATAGAACAACTATCCGCATCTAACAATATGATAAATTCATTTCTTCTCCTCCTACGAATAAAGTATGAGTGTTCCTCGTTTCAGAAGCTAGATTTTGTCTGAATAATTGGTTACTAACAAGAAAATTATATATGACGGGATGAAGTCATGAGTATTGTATCTTGTGTATATTCCGACTTAATTTTTATTTCTTTTTCTTTCCTTTTGTTTTGAATTTAGTTACACGGTGTTAGCTTCAAGAAGAGAGCTCCAAGAGCTGTCAAGGAAATCAAGAAGTTTGCCAAATTGCACATGGGTACTGAAGATGTCAGATTAGCTCCGGAATTAAACCAAGCTATCTGGAAGAGAGGTATCAAGGGTGTTGAATACAGATTAAGATTGAGAATCTCTAGAAAGAGAAACGAAGATGAAAATGCTAAGAACCCATTATTCTCTTACGTTGAACCTGTCTTTGTTGCTTCCACCAAGGGTTTACAAACCGTTGTTGTTGAAGAAGATGCCTAAATTTAAATATATACATTCATAATTAATATATATATTTTCGTTGTTACATTTTTAAGAGTATTACTTTAATAAACAACACTGTCCACTATTTATTTTTGTTAATTAATTCTCTGTACATCAAATTCAATACCTTCAAAAGGCTGTAAACATTTCTAGTGAAATGATAAAACTAATACAGCACACTATATGCAAAAATAGAGTGAGATGAATTATTGGCCGTTTAGCAAATGTACAAACAAATCTATTCTACACAGTAAATGTCAAGTTCAAGAAACAAGAGATACTATTATTATTACTATTACTATCACTATTACTATTATTATTATTTATTAATCAATGTCAGTGTAACTATGACAAAAAAAACATTGACCACTCATCACATTAAAAGATCATTCTATCATAGCTATAATAATCAAAAAAACTATTCTATCAGAACGATAAAATAGTCAATTTAATCAATTATAAATAGATCCATCTTATAAAAATAGCCATTAGAAACGCCGACTACTTTCTGTTCTCAATAGGTCAACAAAAAATAAAAAATTTTATCATCATATTAATTAATAAATAAAATAAAAAAAAGATAAAATGATTTATCAATGCCCAAATGTACAAACATCGTAACGAAGGAAATATTGACAACAATAACATATCAATTTGAAAATACACAGTAGTATGCTCACTCAACTTAATATTGTTGTTCAAACCACAACATCTTCAGTTCAAGTCCTGAAGAAATATGCAGTTGACCGTGATGTCCCGACGCCACCGGAGAGATTTGTGACAGACCAGGCTAGTCAAACTTTACTTTAACTGCATGTCTTGTCCTTTTTATAGTTAAAAATTTTTTTTTGGAAAAAAGAAAACAAAGAATTCCATCTTTATGAACTCTAGGTTTCTGAAAAAATTACCCGAATTTTAAGTAATTTCTTGGATATTCAGTAAAAAAATTTACTGAGGTTTCAGTCTTTTGCTTGGTAATATATTATATTAACACATATGGAAGTTATCTTCGACAGATGAACATAGTTTCGTGGGTTTTGAAATTATTTTATAGTTCAGTGATATTTATACAGACTTATATCAGTCAAATGCAAATTGTACTATATATACATACATATATATATATGTTAACATACCAGGTCAATGGACACATAATAAATACATTTAGCTTTGTATCTCTTCTTAATAAAAATTATTGTTATCACTACTGTTACATCATAAATGAATTGTGACCAGATCAGTAGCTGCAAATGGATGGTTACATGTGGGGCACTTTCTCATTCTGGCTGCCAATCTTTCCTTAACACAATCTTCACAGAAAGTATGCCCACAGGTCCTGATGGCACTACTTTTCCAATTTTTAGAACATAACGAACAATATACCAAAGTCCTGAAATTTTCTAATTCTTCAGTCAGTGAATCATTATCCTCATTCATATTTTTTGAGACATTTAAACCTTTTGATTTCAATCTTTCTTGTAATTTAGAAATAACCTCTTGGCTTTGCTTATTCTGCATTTCTAGTATTTCTTTATCCTTTATGGCAAGATCTCTTTCCTTCACTGTCTCATTTAACTTAATTACACACTTGGAGTTCTCACCTTTATAATATTCATTTATCTTCTTTAATTTTGTCATATCATTGTTTAAATCGTTAAATTTCCTTGATTCTAATTTATTTGTGTTCATTAAAAATTTCCCATTATTCTCCAATAATGTTATCTGCTCCTGCAAAGATTTAATCTTATCCTGTAGTATTTTCTCATTATCTTTCAATTGAACAATAAATTCATTGGATTTATTTACAGTTTTTAATAGATTTTTGTTTTCAATTAAGATCGAATCTTTAGATCTCATTGAGGCAAAATATTTTTGATCTGCTTTACTCTTCTCAATTGTCAATTTGGATATTATTGATTCATGATTTAATAGTGTCATATATTTTTTATTATTTAATGCTGTTAATTTCTTGAATGCTATTTCCATATCTTTAATTTCTTTAATTAAAAGTTGTTCACTTGAATTACTAGTATTGTTATCGCTATCGCCACTGTTTATACTACTTCTATTATTGTTATTACTCTCATTAGTGAATTTGGACCATTGCTCATTCGATAATTTTAAGGCCTTAGTAATATCTTCAATAAGTTCACTCTTTTTAGTTTGTGACTCCAGAATGGCAATTTTACTTAATAAATCATCTCTAGTAGTTCTAATTCTTACCAAATCCTTTTCTAAACTATTATTCACTTTTAATAAATTGTCCAATTTGTTTTGAAGAGATTCGGCTACCTTCTGTGAAAAGACTTCTCTTTCTTTAACTAACGTTTGATATTTCTTTAAATATGAATCATTAATTTTATTTAATTCATTATTTTCTTTAGTCAAGCTTTCAATTTTATTCAAATATGTATCCTGTGTAGTAATAAGTTCTTTATTACGATCATTAGTAGCCAATAATTCATTCTCTAATTTAAAAATTTTCTCAAAATTACTTTTATTGGAAGATTCTAAATTCTTCACTATGATTTGCAAAGAGTCAATCCTATTCTTTAAATCTATTATTTTATCTTCATACTCTTGAAATTTCTGATTTGAATTACCATCAGTGATAGCACTAATAATATCTTTTTTATTATATGGATTTGTATTAGAAGTAGATTCAGTTTTAATCAACACATTCTTAACATTAGAATCAACATTCACTTCTGAATTAATAGACATATCAGCACTGCTGTTAACACTACTACTATTACTACTGCTACTATTATTTTTTAGGTTAGGATTACCACTATTTTCTTCAATTCTAACCTCACCTTCTTTATCAAATACACGTTTCAAACTCAAAGAATCACTTCTATCGTATTTTCTAAATAAACTTTCATAATATGAATTCAACTGATCCAGCTGTTTTACAAGTGTATTATTTTGAATAATCAATGATTTCTTATCACTTTGTAAAACTTTAATATCATTAGATAGTTTCTGCAAATCAATTGAATCCTTCTTATCTTGATCTAAATATTTCATTAAAATTTTCATAAAAGAATCATTTAATTCTATAATAGTATCTTCATCACCACTTGAAATTTTCTTTAAAATCGAAAAATCATCAGGATTAGCAGCGCCCTCGTCATTACTGACAATACTAGATTCTAAAAACTTAGCTAATGTGACAATCACGGCAATAATATTAGATAAAGTTTTAGTGACTTCAGAGTAATCTGCCTTTAAAGAATCAAACTTATTTTGAATAACATTAACCTGACTTCTTCTTTCGTTAAGGCATCTGAATAACGCTTCCTTTTGGAAATAGATGACATCCCTTTGTTTTAAAGGTTCATTTGGATCACTTAGGAAAGGAACAGATTTTGAATTTTCATCTAATCTAGGTCTCTTTTGAACTGGTTCAGACATCCCAATGACAAATTAAACTGAAGCAAAATAACACAACTAAAATTCTCGTCTATCAATTTCTACAGATTTAACCTCTCTCAATTTGCTTTTCTAATTGTTAATCCTACCAAGTAGACCAAGCCTGCTAGTGGTTTCTCTTAAATTTAAGGGTTAAATACGATGAAAATACTTGTATGATGACGATTAAGTAATACCACTAGTTGTTATATCTATTGAAAAAAAGTTGGTTAAACAAGATACAAATTTGGAATAATCATAGAAATAAAATAAAAATGTCATTAGAAAAACAAAAAAAAACAAATAAACAAACAAACATAAAAAAAAAAGAAAAAGCCGATGTCAACACTAATATCATTAAACACGAATCACGTGACCACTTTTAGTTTTTCTCAATTTCAAATGTATGGGTGTAACAACCGGAGTGTGTGGGTGTTCTATTTTTGGTTTTTACACCTGAAAAAATAAAAATAATAAAAAGAGAGGCAGAAATGGTTTATAACCAGCTACATCTTGTTTAAAATAGAAAAGAAGAGAAAAAAGGAGAAAAGCAGTCTTTTGGCAATTATTTTAACTTTCTGAGACTTATTAATAACTATCTATATAATTACATAGGTATAGATCACCAGATAAAATTGTTGCTGCGTTTTATTTTTTTATTTTTGTTTTTATTTTGTTTCTGTGACAAGGATATATACACCTATTGACTTTATTCACTTCATTTTTACTGTTTTTGTCATTTTGGTTTTGTCGGTTATCTATCACCACAGACACATTTAGATGACAACCAATACTTGTTTCCTGATAGTTATTGCTAAGTCAAATTGGTATGATTGCTTTATGAATTTGTAAAATTTTTACACTTTCCCTTTTTTTTTCTCCGACTCTTCTCACTTTCTTTCTTTTTGCATTATACATTTTAAACGCTTTGTTTTATTTTGTTCTGTCGCTTATTTAACAAGTCTATTCCTTTTATTTTCTTCTTTTGATGGAATCTTTAAGATCACTTGTCTTTATCAAAGGAAATAAGTTGTCAGATATATGGCAAAGGGTGAATCTCTCGAATGGTGATGATACTAATAATGAATCCATTACAGATCCCCCACCCGAAGACGAAATATTGCTGTTACAAAAGAATTCTGATATTAATAAGGAAGCTTATTTATTCCATTTATTGAATCAATTTATTATCTCGTTTAATAACAGAAATAAATCTGACATCTCAGACTTGATTACTCACGACAGTAAGTTGCAACATTTATTAAGATATGGATTACTGAAATATTTAAGAGAATGGGATGATGTGTCATCTTCCACTATTTATAATAACATTACTACTACTTTAAGACAAGTTCTATATCACTGGTGGATGGAAATTTTAAATAATTTAAAGTATGAACATAGGAATAACCATTCTTTAAAGTTGGATATATCACTTCTAACAACACTTATGGAATGTTTAAACAGAATAATGAATCTACTGATCTATGTCCCATTGAGTGTTGCGCCAAACACAGAAGGTCATAAAAAAAACTTTAATAATAATGATATGGGTGATGAATTGACTAATTATTGTAAACATTTATTGTTAACATGTCATTATATTACATATCAATTAGACCAAAACTCCAAATCAAACTTCACATATCCCTATTTGAAACAGTTTAATGATCTACTATATGATCAGTTGGGTCTTATAAATGCCTTAGCATTTATTTATTTCCCTGATAATTTTAATTATAATTTATTGGTTATAAATCTTTTAACAGATGGTAAATTTAAAATCATATCCAATCACAACGATCCTTTATTACCATGGAGAAAGAAAAGTTTCAAAAGAATAAGAAACTTCCCACAAAGGAAGCGTCCTATCTCGGCCGCCATTACTGACAATAAGACTAATATTAATAATATTAGTTGTTTTAGGATCATTATATCATACTTACAGGAAGAGAAAACTTTCCAATCCTTTACATATCACTATTGGCGTTTGATATTTTTAATATATAAACATAATAGGGGTTATATTGATAAAAATTCATATGGTGTTAGTAACACTAATGGGTCATTTCTAGAGATGGTTAATAGTAGTGAAATAATTATTTACTATACTGTTCATAGATTTTTTGTTCAAGATATCGACAGATTCAAGAAGATAACAAAACAAATGAACAACAACAAAAATAACAACAATAATAACATTCAGTTCAATAAATTTATTAATTATCTTAATTCAAATAAATCAATCAATGCATTCCTTGAAAAGAAGTTCCAAATGTTAATATTGTGGAAACATCCACTAAATAAATTATTTCTCCAATTCCAAGATATTGAATTAGTATATTCTCTCTTATTATATTATGATCAAAAACAACTGGAAGGTTTGAAAAGAATATCTTTATATGAAACTCAATTGACCAATTTAATATTCAATAAATTTCTAAGCGTATTAATCCTAGACATATACAGGTGTAATGAGCTTATAAATTGGCATTCGTGGAATCAAATAATAATTAATTGTATCAATACCAGATCATTTGAAAATCAGATCAATATTTTAAAATTTATATTCAATATTTGGGAATATCTGCCTAAGGAGAATCAAACCATGATTCTTAAACATATTATTGCAATGAACAATGAAATGTTGCTGAACTTCCAACATTCACATGTCAATATCATCATCATTAAGTTAATAATATTTAAAATGTTACCATTTGGAACAAATAAAAATTCATTAATATCATATCTCTTAAGTTTGGAAAAGAATTATAATCACTTGGCAAAAAATCAAAAAAAAGCGGTGAATTGGAACCATCATAATTATAGACATCCTGATTCATTATTATTATTTGATAATAACAGGAAGTATGTATTAACTCATAAAAAAGTACCAATTAATGAGGACTTTAAAAATTCATACATAGTAATTGATAAAGAATTCAATGATTCTACAAGAAGCAAAGAACAATCAGAAGATTTAGATGATGAGGAGGTACCACAATACACTGCTAGAAATGAAAGTAGTAAACAAAAATTAATAGCAATATTCAAAAATATTATTATGCCGTATAATAATCAACAATATGATACTAATCATTATAATAATATATGGGGAAATGTAAATTCAAAAGTTAATGATCAATTAGATAATAACTCTAATCAAATGAATGTGGAATCAAATAAAATATTAACATTTGATTTATCTGTGTATAAAATCAACAACGATATTGTAATACCAAAAGACAGATTACCAATATTGTCAAACACAAAACTTTATAATAATAATAGTGATAGAAATAACGAAATTTTATTAACCAATTTGCATAACTTTATAAAAACATTCAATTTAACTATGATAGAGTATTATGATTTTACTAGTTTATACAATGAAAATGATATAAGAATTGAAATATAGAATTATCAAAAATATATAGCATGTATATATGCAGATGAAACAAAAAACTATTTTAATCAAATATATATATATATATATATATATGTATGTAACTAAAACAACATAATAAAAACAAAAACAAAAACAACAATTACCAAACGGGAAAAACAAACCTATTATTCCTTCAATTCCTCTTGTTGTAAAGCAATAACTTTTTCCTTTAGACGATCAATTTCTTTATCCTTTTCCTTAATCATTTCATGTAACTTTTCTTTATTAAAAAGATTATCTTCTCTTAAATTAGACTTTAAGGTCAATAGTTCATCAACCAAATCAAAAGTTCTCGTTACAATAAAAGTTAGAAACAGAGTTATGCCAGTTAAATACATATTTCTTTGTTGTAGGAACTTTCTTGACATAATTTCAATCTTTTCTGTACCTTGGATCAATCCACTTTTCAATTGATTCAATTCATGATGATTGATATTATAAACTTTATTTATTGAATCAACAAACAATAGCAGAATGAAACCAAGCACACATTTCACAGTAATTTGAACCGTTTTATTTTTGAAAGGCTTAATTAGCACTAATGTCAAAGGCTTTCTATATTTACTTGGAATAGGTAATGCCAATAATGAAAAGACAACAACCTCAGCAACTAAAATACCAAAAATAATAGAATTATAAAGTGTCATGATTTTTATTTATTATCAGTTGAACAAAGCAAAAGCTCAACTTTTTCTACTTTTAATGACTTGTTAACAATCTATCTTTTCGTTAATGTTGAAGGCCAACTATGGTAAACCAGAAGCAAGTCTTGAGTCTCACACTCATTTCTACTACACCACCTCCTTAACTTTTGTTTAATAGTTTTCGCCCTAACTAAAACATAACATAACAATAAAAATAAAAAAATGAAAAAAAAAGGAGAAATAAAACCTTCCAGGACAGGGAAAAGAGAAAGGAGGAGTTTCAAAGAACAAAAAAAAGGAGGGAGAAAAATCGAAACCAACAGCTTCATCACCAAAGATCAAGAAAGACAGAACACAAACTCCCATAGCAGAAATCAGCTAAAAACTCTCTGACGAAAATGAACTTGATGTACCATATTTTGATATAATCAATGAATGTAGTAGACTGTGATTCAGGCAGTGATTCAATTGGCACCAGCCTAAGATAATCAGCAAAGCTCTATTATCCATAGCAGCCAAGATGCGTGAAGGTATACCAAGTGGTTCCCTATTAAGAGTATTACCTTTTAATGAGATACCTTGTAAATCATGTTTTTTAATAAAACGGGTAAGATATCTGTTTAAGGAATGTGACCTATGATAATTGTTATTATTCATGTCTTGCCTTTTTTCATTCCAATTAAAATCATAACCGTTGATATCTAGGGAAGACCTTCTGTAGAGTCGTAATTGTTCCTGTAACAATAGTGAATTCAATAAAGCTCTTGACATAGTGACTAACGGATCCTTCCATTTTTCTTGTTGGTCTAATTCAATCCTTTGCACTAGTTGTTTAGTATCAATTTGATTCAAGGGAGATATTAGTTGTAGTAATTTTTTTAACTTTATTATTTGCTTTGACATCGATTCATAGACGTTAGGTTTGTATGCACTCTTTTAGTTCGTGTATCTAAATATATACAATAAATAAAATATTATATAGGTAAACACTGTTCTAAGACCAACGGAGATTATTTCTCTAAGTATCTGTCTAATTGATCATGACAATAAATATAAAAGAAGAAGGAGAATAAGTCGATTAAAAGACGATAATCATACACACACAATGTATATAATCATTTATATAGCTAACATTTTCCACCAATATAGATGAGGAAAATAAAATGTATTAGATTAAATTAAAAAAAAAAGTTAAAAGCAAAGAACATATTTAAATGTTTTTAATACATATTGAACCAATTTTTATTTTATATAAATATAAAGATAGACAGAGATAGACAAATTATAGATCAATATATATACACATATACATATATGCTATACCGTAAAAAAAGTACAGAAATAAAAGAATAGCATAAAATAAATAGGAAGATAAAACAGGAGAGAAGAAAAAAAAAAGGAAAACAAATTTATATTATAGTATTAACATTAAAATTTTTATATGAATATCATCATTATTATAATTAGTTTTTTCGAATAGGAATGGATAATAACAACACTAACAGTGGGAACAATGTACTAATAGTAATATTGTTTATATTTAATCTTTTTGTTTCTTACTTTCAGCTAACTTAGCATAGAAATCTTCTCTTTTGTTAATTTTATCCATATGGAAACCCCACCACCAATATGACGCTAAACAACCGCCGATACTAATACCGGTTACAATATCAATCAAGACTCTTCTCTTGAAAGCACCTTGAATTGGCTGTATTGGCATTTTTTTCTAATTTTCTTGTATACTATTAAGTCTCTTTTGATAGAAGTAAATAAACAAATGGATATATATATATATATATATATAAACTGTCAATCGTTCAACTTACTTTTCTCACCAGGCGTACAAATAAAGTTCTAGGGAAAGAGAATAAACAAGTTGAGATGAAATAAGTCGGCAGATGATGAACCATCAAACATAGTAAAAGCAAGGAAAGAACATATGCCAAGTCAAAAAAAAAAAAAAAAACTTATAAGGCCCAAGCGGAATTTGGTAGGTTAACAAAAGTAGCACTGACTGTGGAAACAACAACAATATCAAAATATACAAGACGTCAATGATCATATATATCCGTGCAAACACTCGCAACAAACAATTCCAGATCTCCAACTCACCTAAAGCATATTTATATCGTATGGTATACAAGCTTTAACTCCTTCTACAGAAAAAAAGAGATAGAGAAAAAAGAAAATTCCAATCAAATCAAGTCTCTTTTAATTTTACCTCCTTCTTCCTTGCTTTTCTCCCCCTGCGAATTAATAAGTATTATTTTTTTTTTTGTTTTTTTTCACCCTCTGCTTTTTTTTTTTTTCGGACTTTATGTTTTTTTCAAAAAAATAAAAAACAAAAAATAAATTCTCACCAATCGTTCTCGAGAGTTTTGAATTTCTTCAGCACATTCAAAGTTTCAAATTTTCCAGGTTCCCCTACGATAACTGACGCTACCATATATTGAACGTATCTGCATCCAACATTATCTGCCTTACTGTGTATATGAGAGGAAGAGAGGGTGAAGTCCAACTTTGTTAAGAGATGGATATTGATCCTAGTATCTAACAATTAGTTGTACTTTCACAAACACTAGAGTACATATATGAGTTGTGCACGGATATACCTATAAAAGCTATATTTGTATCGTTACATTATTAATCCAGAAAAACTGTAATATTTAGTATAGATATGTCACCCTTGATTCTTGTTCATCAAACGCATTTACTCAACGGATTTAATTTCCTTTTGTAATCTCTTTTCAACAGCGTCTAAAAATTCATCGGTGTTAACGTAAGAAGATCTATCAGTCTTGCCTAAAGTTAAAGCCAAATCTTTGGTCATAATACCATCTTCTTGAACTGTATTTAGGGTGGCAGATTCTAAAATATTAGCAAATCTGACAACATCTGGAGTACCATCCAATTCACCCCTCTTAGCGATACCACGAGTCCAAGCAAAGATAGATGCGATTGAATTTGTAGAAGTCTCTTCACCCTTTTGGTATTTTCTGTAATGTCTTGTAACTGTACCATGGGCAGCCTCAGATTCAAAAGTCTTACCATCTGGTGTAACAAGAACAGAGGTCATCAAACCAAGAGAACCGAAACCTTGTGCTACAATGTCGGATAGAACATCACCATCATAATTTTTCAACGCCATAATGAAACCACCTTTTGACTTGAGCATCTGTGCCACCATGTCATCAATTAAACGATGTTCGTAATTAATGCTCAATTCTTCAAATTTGGACTTATATGTGGATTCATAAATTTCCTGGAAGATATCTTTGAATCTACCATCATATTTCTTTAAAACAGTATTTTTGGTAGAGAAGAAAAGATTCATTTTCTTAGCTATAGCCAATTTGAATGAAGAATGGGCAAACCCTGAGATACTTTCATCTGTGTTGTACATAGCTAAACCGACACCGGGGCCTTTATAATCGAAAATATTCAAAGTCTCCTTTTCTCCAGTCTTTTCATTTGAGTAAACTAATTCTAATTTACCTGCGTCTGGAACTACAAGATCAGTGGCTCTATACTGATCACCATAAGCGTGTCTACCAATGATAATTGGTTTTTTCCATCCAGAGACTAATATTGGAATCCTTGGGATCACAATTGGTTCTCTAAAGACAGTACCACCCAGGATGTTTCTGATAGTACCATTTGGGGATTTCCACATCTTAGATAGATTGAATTCTTTAACACGAGCCTCATCAGGAGTAATAGTAGCACATTTGACACCGACACCATATTGTTTAATTGCATGTGCAGCATCTTTAGTGATTTGATCTTCAGTTTGGTCACGAGATGTGACAGACAAGTCATAATATTTCAAATCGACATCTAAATATGGTAAAATCAATTTATCTTTAATCTTAGCCCAAATGATTCTTGTCATTTCATCACCGTCTAATTCGACGATAGGTGTTTTAACCTTAATTTTAGACAATTGCCTAGTGGTAGATAGAAATCTTCTAGAAGTAAACATTTTTTCTTTCTTTCTTTCTCTTCTATAATAGGTGAAAACCAAATATACTTAATTAATGGTTGTTTCTATGCTCCTTTTACTATGTGAGTAGGAAAAAAAGAAATGAATTAATAGTAATGCTAGCAAAACCCTTCAGCAACCTTCCCTAAAAGAGGTACGAGAAAGAAAAATACTCTAATAAAAATACAGCTAATACACTTTAAAAGAAAAAGGTAATCATAACTTTTCGGTAGATCTATTTATCTCTCCCTCTATATCTATCTATCTGTATATATATATATATATATATATATAATTAATTAATGAAAGAACTGTTATTTTGGCAAGGAAAAAACATAAAAAAAAAGAAAAGAAAAGAACAGAAAAGGGGAATGAGGACCACAACTAGCCATCCACACACCTTAGAATTGCGATCACTAGTGAAGAACTCCAAGACAGCGATGAGAAGAACCATTATAAAAAAGTGATCATTATATGAATCGAGAGAACAATATTCCAAGAAACTAGAGAATAGATGACCAACGATGTCTAAAGAGAAAAGAAAGGCAGGAATTATTTCAAATGATTGATTCTTTAATCAGTTATTATTATTATTATTACTATTATTATTCTTTTTCATTGCGGAAAAAAAAAACCAAAACAAAAAATTCCCTCGATAGTTTTTCAATAAAACAAAACGGAAAACAAAAAAAATCGAATGACTGAAAGCGTCACTACTAATTGCTATTATTATTACTATCTTTGATATCAGAGATCCATTGTAATGTTTTAGAAATCTACATAGACCATCAAGCAGTGTCTCTCCTTCCTCTTACAGCACTTGCCACACAAAACACATTGTTCAAAAAAGTAAAAAAAATAGATATAAACAGGGTTATTATAATTTTTTTAAAAACATTTCTTTAGGTTGTCATTTTTTTTTTGCTTGTCTGATAAAATCCTAACGGTAGGCATTTGACCAAAATACAATTACATAAATAGTATTGAATATTACCAAAATAGACAATGGGATCTTTACTACTAACTATTCTATTATAATTATATAAAAGTCTCTCCTCTCAGTGCTATGCTTACACGTAGTTATTAAATAGAATATTTTATCCTTTTCATTCATTTATTCTACCTAAAAAATTTCAACAATAAAAAAAAAATATAAAATTGCTAGTTATAACACATATGTCAGTCTAAACAATTTTCTTATCGGTTTATAGATTTACGAAAAAGTTTGTATGCATAAAAGAAGACATACTATTGTTGTGTTTTCCCAGTATAATTTATTCAAACCAAGTGTTAACTATCTATAAAATCTAACCCTAATTTCAAATGTTTATGAAACTTGGGAAAATCTAAAGTATCGTTTCCCATCTAACCTTTTTCACATTGGTGTTGTATCTGTGTTTCTTTTTTCCATTCACTTTTTAAACCCTCTGAGACCATATATGTGTGACCTAGAAGTCTACTACTATAAAGAACAACATAATAAACGAAGTTATACTAAAAGAAGAAAAGGAATAGTCTGCCAGCATCTTTTATACGAATTTCACCCTTGATAATATAAACTTGACCATATTTGTATCTTAATAATGTATCCATTAATCTTGAAAATTAAAATGATATAAACACATATAATAACAGTAAAGATGAAAGACGTTTTCAAGTAAGTATAATTTATGCATTGCATAAGAATACGTTAACATATATACGTATATATGTTTTTTCAGAGAGCCTATTGCGGCGAACAGTTTTGTTCCATCTCTTGTAGAAGTTCTTTTTGCTCTTTACTACTCATACCACCTTCACTAGCATCGTTTTTATCAAAAGTGTTTATTTCTTCCATGGCCTTTGTAGTGAACTTCTCAATAGTATCGAAAAATTCTTGCTTCAGTTGGTAATACGGTTCACCATCTCCAGGTTTTTCATCTTTATTATTAAACCCTCTTTTAGCTAATGGGAGTGGTTCATATAGATATTTAGTCTTTTCTAATATACCCATAACCTTCTCGTTCAACTGTTCATTATCTGGTGAATAATCTGGCGAGTCATACACTGCAATAACCTCATCATATATCGTTAGTTCTTGTTTACGTGATTCTAATACTCGTTCATCTGCATCAGAATGTTCCTTTATCCATTGTTTCAGATCCTCTCTATATTCAATAGCTGATTCATAAATGGTTTCTTTTTTCATCAATTCTTTTGAAAGTAATGCTATAAGCTCATCTTCCTCGTCAAACTTATAAGCTCCTTCTCCTTCTCCTTCTCCTTGTTGTGGTTGATCACTATTGACAAATGGATGCGGTATCTGAACATACTCTAACGCCAATTTTTTCAATTCTTCACCATATTTAGCATCTGTATAATCCTGCCGTTCATATATAGATATCCTTTTATTCAAATTGTCTAACTGTAATTCTCTGTCTTTAATAATTTTACTATTTGGGTTTTGCTTAATCCACTCATCTAAATGATCCCTAAGAATAACTATCTCATCATAAAAATTCTCTTTAGTTTGCATCATCATAATTAAATCATTAAATAATTCAGCCCCACCACCACTGAAAAAATCATTAGCTATCGATCCTTGAGATGCCTGCAATATATCCTCTTTCTTATCCTTTAATTTCATATTATTCAAACGTGACATAGTGTTTCCTATCACCGTACTGAAATCTACTCGATCATCAGTCGAATTGGGTTCTGTATGATCTTTTTGATTATTACAATTTTCATCCTTTGAGTTATCCTTATTAAAATCTTCACTCTCATCCTCCAATAAAGCATCGAGATCATCATAATCTAACTCCTTATCACTCATCTTCATATGTTGGTCTTATTAGTATTATTACTTACAACTATTTTCCTCCTCGTTTGAAACGTGAGTACCGTTACTGAATAGACTACTAACAAAAAGTATGTACGTCAATATAGATATGTTGTTACTGCACAAATACTTATCCTGTTCACGTTACATACATGTACAGAAACCTCATGTATATATATCACTATTTACTTGAAACAATCCATCTTCTTCTAGTAATACCCCCCACTCTCACTTTCTTTCCTACAACTACAAATTCTTTCACGTAAAATTATTCAAAAAAAATGCTAACAAATTGTTTTTTTTTTCTTATAACTCTCGAAACCTTCAATAGCATTACCCTTAAATACACAAATAAAAATTACTACAGAGCTTATATTGCTATATGATGTTGTTATAACTATCGCCGCTCTACGCATTTCTTTGAATTCATTGATTTTAAGTAAACAGGCATTTTCTGTAAATTATTGCACAGATGAATCGAACACTATAACTAAGTATATATATTTTACTATAATACAAGGATTGTGAACATCATAATTAAATGATATTAAAAATCGAGACTAACCGACACAAATAACAAAGAGATAAGAAAGTACTGTTACCCACCACTTTCACATGATTTCTGATCAAGAATAAATCTATTATGGTAGCATAGAGGCTATTGATTATCAGAGTATATGAATTGTATAAAGACATCAGTTTTGATGTCGCGAGAAATCTGTATTGAATCTGCAGAATCATTATATAATGGATATACCGTGGTATATATTTATATTTATATATATTATAATATCTGTCTCTTCACTGTTTCTCTTATAATCTCAGTCAATAATTTTAACAATTCCCTTTTTTTTTTTCTTCTCTTTTCTTCTTTCATAAAAAAAAAAAATACGATGATTTATCTTTTGGAGTAAAGTGTAAAATTTCAAAGTTTATTGAGTTCTAATAAAAGAGGACATAGAAAAGAAGGAAAAGAAGAAGTATTTTTACTAGATACCTATCATAATTCTTTTTTACAAATCTTTGAGAAAGCATTAAAATAGATTTAGGGAAAGATAGTTCGTTGTATTATCAGATTGATTCTACTCTCTATTTCACTATTATATTAAACAAAAAAAAAATTAACAAGAAAACACAAATAGCGCTAAAATATACCATCTAATTTTTTTTTTTTGAATAAACATATACAATCACATTATGAGTAGTCTTTGTTTACAACGTCTGCAGGAAGAAAGAAAAAAATGGAGAAAAGATCATCCATTTGGTTTCTATGCAAAACCAACCAAGAAAGCTGATGGTTCAATGAACCTACAAAAATGGGAAGCTGGAATCCCAGGCAAAGAAGGAACAATATGGTATGGCGGGTTATATCCTTTGACTATTGAATACCCCGATGAATATCCTTCAAAACCACCAAAAGTTCGACTACCTGCCGGCTTCTATCATCCAAACGTGTATCCAAGTGGTACTATCTGTTTAAGTATCTTAAATGAAGATGAAGATTGGAGACCTGCTATCACTTTAAAACAAATCTGTTTGGGGATTCAAGATTTATTGGATAGTCCAAATATTAAATCCCCTGCACAAGAACCTGCTTTTAGAGCTTATTCTAAAAATAAAGAAGAATATAAAAAGAAAGTACTTCTTCAAGCTAAGCAGTACGCAAAATAGAACATAGAATAAATAAATAAATACTTTATGAAATTTCACATACTTTATTCTATACATTTATATGTATGTAGTGTAATTGATTATGCCTATTACTCATTTTACTTATCACCTTTTTCTTTATTTTATATATATATATATATATGTCACCAGGAATAATAATATACAATAATTACAGAGAACACCGCACTCTTCTATCCCTTTCTTCATGTACTCACCGTCTTTCATTAGCTTTATAATGAAGAAAACTATCTAATGTATTATAACACTTTGTACATCTTTCCTTTAACTCAGGTGTCTTGTTTTTATCAACCATCTTAAAAACATTTCTCAAATGTGGCTGGACTTTCTCCCTCAAAATATCTAAGTATCCACCTTGAACAAACACTATTTCATCATAATCGTAGTCACGATCACCATATATTTCAAACATTGCATATATCATATCTATTAAGAGTTCTGGGGGAGTCTCTAACGAAACCATCTTTTCAAGTAAAAATTCAGATACAAATTTATTGATTTCTATTGACTGACCTTGATATGATGCTATTGTAATCATTATACCACAACACTTTGTTCTGTATTCAATATCATCATTCAGTAAGTATTCTTCCTTAATCTTTGAAACAAACCCCAAATTATTCCATATCAACCATTCTTGTAACAAGTCAATGTATCCTAGTATCCCACATAACTTTAATATTACCCAAATAACACTCATTTTACCAATTTTTATAATCATATCTTCTTGTGTTAATGTATCTGTTTGATTAGTTATTTCGTTCCACAATTGCTTTAATATATCAGATTCAATTGGTTCGTCTAATGTCACATATAACCATAATAAATTATTCCATGCGATTAAGACTCTATCTGGGAATTCTTTTAATAATACAAACAAAAACTGTGGGATTAATTCATGGATAGATTGTGTTAATTCTTGGTTTAGCTTAATGTCAGAAGATGCAATAATCTCAATGATACCCGTAATAACATCGATCCCGACTTCAATAGCTTGCAGTTGCATCATTGACTCTTGTTTAGCCTTAGTATATTCCTTCAATTTTTGGGTATTAGCTGTTACCAAATTTGAATCAATTGTACCATCACTGTTACCATTATCATTGTTACTTAATACAACATCACTATATAAACCTTTTTTCATTTGGTCGAGATTAATATGCTTGATTGAACTAATCACTTTTATGACAATTTCATTACAATTAGTGGATGTAATTTGTTCATCAATGACACCATCCAAAAATTGTAATTTTATACCTTGTATCAATATTTGAGTCAATTCATTATTAATCTCCAATTTATCTAATGAACTTAAAAGGATAGCAATAGGTTCAAATGCCATCACAGAATCGATGAAGTCCAAAGATTCGGAACTAAAATCATAGATGAAATCTAATAGGGTGTTTTGTAAATGACATGGCAATTTATTAAACCCATATTCAATAAATTTGACAAATGTATACAGTATTTCATGTAATTGATCGTCTTGTAAGATTTCATTCAAAATTTGATCTGCCCCATTACTTAATGCGACTATCAAAGAGATTAAATTGTCCGAATAATCAAACAACAATCTTTTAGTGTGCTTGCTTATATCCTTTCTTTCCCTTTCAGACCCACTCTCCATCTTAGATTTAACCATCAGATCCAATGATTGAACAATCTTATTTAAGCCATCTTTAATGGCAGTCCAAATTTGGTTTCTCCATAAATGAATAGCCAGGTCATAGCCTTCTTCTAAAGTCAAATTTCTCAATAAACCGACTGCCTCTATAACAATATCCATATTGTTATCATTTAAAAGGTTATTTAAAATGATTTGAATCAATTTTTCCTTCAGTAATAAATGTCTCATGTGTGGATCTTCACATAACACACTGATTGAAGATAAAGCAATATTTCTATCATTAGGAACTGCACTTTGTAATTGTTTAATTAGTGGCTCAATCTTTCTTGCTACTAAACTGGCATCCTTTTTAGACAAATCAGTCTTATTTCCATCCTTATTTAAAGGGTTTAGTCTGTTTCTAGAAACCCTTGATCTCTTTTTAGATTTCCCCATTTTATTCTTATTTATTTTATTTTTTTAATATTAAATAATTAATTAATATTCTCGTTCTTGGATTCAAAGAAACAATAAAGTAGGAAAAAAACAAAAAGATCAAACATTATAGAACTATTGGTTAAAATAAATATATATTAAAAGCACAAAATAAAAAATAAAAAATAAGAATAACTAATACGATTTTTGCGATGAGACGGCCTTACAATCCTCTTTAATAAAATTACAAAAAAAATTTAACTATTTAATCTGAAAATAATATAAAATTTAAAAAATAACAAAAAAAAAATAAGTTGATTCATTATTCGTTTAAAGTGATGAATGGTAACGACTTGTTAAATCATCTCAAAATATACATATAGCATATACTCTAAATAAATCATAAATAGTTATATCAAAGAAGATAAATGGATAAATGTTATATACATATATATAGTGCAGTAATGAGTCATAAGGTGTTACAAAATGGGTTAAGGATGCTAATTATTCATTCCTCTGATTTAACTTTAATCTTGGACACATAGAGTCCATCAATAAAATAATTATTTTCTACTTTTGTATCATAATCCAGAATTATTTGTTCGAATCCAAGCAAACATTTTTTTAATGCATCATTAACAGCCTCTTTTTTGGCTCTACTGAAACAGTTCCCTTTTGATGGCATTGTTGCCTTTCCTACACCTGATCGTTTTGTGTTTGTACCATCTTTTAATATAATTTTTACTTCAGCTTCTGCAATAACCATATAATTAAAATCTTGATCTTTGAGTGCAGTAGACAACTCACTATTCATGTAATGATCCGTAGGATCATCTAGATGCTTATCCATCATTTCATTCAAATGCAAAGAAGATTGAGCAACTGGTACTTTTACACACTCGGTAGCCTCAACAGTCAAAATTTCCATCTTCCAACCATTAAACCCAAATGATTCATTAGCAAACTGTTTCAAGATATAAGCTGGTATAACTCTAGCCAGATTATGTTTGCCAAATCTGTTCCTGTGATATATCCTGTATGTGAAATGTTCGATCTTTGATTGTAATAAGCCAATCTTAGACACCGACCAGTCACTTGCTGGCCTACCATCCCAATCTTCTATTATATTCAGTTCCTTGATATCTATTTTAGAACTGGATGCACTGGTGTATAATGTGTTTGAATATGATATGTGTGTATGCGATGCCATTGTCAAAAATGTATATATATATATATATATATATATAAATATATATTTGAATTGAGTCGTGTATGGTCTTCTTGTCTCTTTTGTATAAATATGTATTATTTAGTGGATGATGAGTTGTATGCGACGGGAATAAACCTTTTTCTAATTTAGAACTAAGTTAAACCATCAAACAAATCAAAAGAAAAAACAAAGGAAAAGAAAAGAAAAACAATCGAAGTGAAAAGGGTTATAGAGATTGTCTGCTATTTATCTAAAAGAAGACTAGAGTATGACATAAGAATTAGAGTGTTTATTAATATTTCAAAGTACATAACTTAATCAAGCTCGATCAAGTTTCAAAAAAAGGAAAAAAAAATAACATACTATTATAAGAAGATGAGGAGTTATATACAGTATTACTATATATCTGGAACTTGCAATATGTTTTTCCTGATTCTTTTTTTTTTCATTTTTCTATTATTATTTTTGTTATGTTTCTTCACATACCACATATATGAATTCCTTATTCTTGATCATGAATCAGCCATCTTTGGGTTACACAGTTTTAGATAAATCCAAGGCCTGATTATTATCTATTATTCTCTGCTTCTCTGTTTTTTCTGTTTTCTGTGTTTTTATATAACCCTTGACTTATTTCGCCATACCTTGAGAAAAACTGTGTGGTTTGTCTGTAAAACGTCGCAAAGAAAGAAATAAAAGGTTTCCCAAAAAAGGTGAAAAAAAAAAAGAAAAGAAAAGAAAAAAAAAACGAAAAATTCACACAATTTTTTCCCCTTTCTTTTTTCTTTACTTTGACATTAAACAGGAGAAAGCTTAGGGTTGTTTTTAAAGCCCTATTAAATTGCCACTTTCAAATAGAAATCGTACCAAAAAGACAATTACATATGCATTATATATATATATGTACGGATGTATATGTATGAATAATTGGCTTAATCATCATTTGTGCTTTGACTTAGGTGGACAATATTATGAAATGATCTAATTGAATAAACAAGGAAAAATTTCACGCAAAAGTAAACAATTACTTGTTTGAAACTAGATTCATATATTTTTAAATGGCTCTCTCATATAAACATTAACATCCATCTTCAGTATATAAAAAAAAATAAGAATGAAAGAAAAAAACAAAATAAAATAAACTGTTGTCGTTAACTTATATCTGCATCAGTAACAACTATACAGACCAATGGTAATTGCTTACTTTAATAAGCCGTTATCGTTACAAAGGAAGTATATTGTGACTTAATTTCTTTTCACTTCATTTCTTCTCCTTTTCTTATCTTCAATTTAGCATTTTCGGGTTTTTGTCTTGCTTTCTTTTCTTTTTCTTTTTTTTATTTTCTTTTATCTTTAGGTTGTTGAATTTTATCCTTAGAATTAGATTACATCTTTAATATACTTGATTATCTAAAATCAAACACCTCTTAATGTGCTTATATTTATTCTTACATCTGCTAGAATAAATACTCTGTGTTTCCTTTATAATAAAACAAAACAAAACAAAATACCAAATATTGATAAAAAGAATATTTAACAAAACAATTACAAAGATATAACTGTTATACTCTAAAACAAAACATAAAACTATACACTTTTTATAAACTATTGTAATATGCCAATCATTATTGCAGCCGATAACGAATTTCATTTGTCGCACGAAGAAGAAGATAAATTAAACCAATTCAAAGCAATATCAGATTTTCCCGATGAAGACTTATCTTTAATTATCAGATTATTAAGAAATCATAGTTGGAATCTAGAAGCCGCTTTATCCCGCTATTTCGACGGCAATTGGAGAGAAAATATGGGATCTGTTATCACTCCTTCACAGAATAATCCATTTATAGATGTTTCTTTCCCTGAACCAGTGACTAATACATTACCGTTATCACCACAAATGACAACGGCAACAACAAGAAATAATTTCAATACTACTGATCCCAATATATCCACTAACTATAATGATATTAATAATACATCCTTTTTCCGCACCAAAAGACTGATTCCATCGATACCTATAGTCAATAGGCTACCTGCAGACTTTAAAAGTAAATTTCAATTGGTTGGATTAACTAAGGGTAATGTTCCATACTATACTACAGCAACCACAACCTATAATAATAGCCAAAACATATTTTATTTACTATTTCTTTTCATCCCACAATCTATCTTCAAGATAGTCTCTTTTCTTTGGTCTGTCTTATCAAAATTGTTTAACAATGGTTCTGCCACAATTGTTAATAAACCAAAGATTTTTAGACTGCCTAAACACCCAACTCAAAATACAAATCCAATAAAATTATCACAAGTATTGATATCCAATGATACTGGCACATTAAATACAACGTTAATGAAACAAAAATTAACTAAATTAAATGACTTACTTGGTAATATAGATAACAACCGCGACTATAATGACAGAATACCATTTAACGACATGTTGGACATCTGTGAAAAGGAATTCAAGTTTTTGTTAGTGATTCTATTGGGTGATCTTGATATGGAATCCAGAGATACTAATAAATTTGATACCAATTCGCAAAAATTCTTGTCTCATGTATTATTAGATGACGGAGTAATGAAAATCCTACATGATTATAAAGATGATTTACTTGTGTATATGGGTTCGGTAACCGAGATTGAACCATGGTTAGTGGCTAGGAATTTAAATGTTAAATATACTCCAGAATGCTTTATGATTGGTAATGTACTTAATTCAAACAACTCAGTGAATGGAACTTTAAGGTTAAGTGTTTTAAGTAAGTTAAAGATTACATCACCTAGAAGGTTACAAAATTCCTTGAAATTGGTATTTGATAGGTATAATGCGGAACTAGTGGTTGGTAGGAATGAAATGGAAGAGTTAAAGATGTCTAGAGAAATCAAACAGTTACAGGAGCAAGCATATCAAGAATCCTTGTTGAAGGATCAATTAAAGGAAGAAGCCAAACAATTAAAACTACAAGAAGCAAAACAAAAACAAATGGAGGAAATAAATAGACTGAATCAATTAAAAATTAAAGAAACTTATAAATCATTAAAGTGGTTATCTAACTGTATTAATATCTTCAAAGATGAATTATCGAAAGTCTCTATGAATCAAGAAAGTCATGATTGTAAGAAAAAAAAATTGGCCACATTGCAATTTAGAACTTCGAAGGGTACTAGATTTATTAAAAAATTCGATGAAGCTACATCCTTATATTCCATCTATATAAATATTGGATGTCACTTATTTTTACAAACTGATTCATTAAACATCGATTCATGGAAGCAAAGTATATTGGATAAAATAAAAAAGTTAAAAAGTGATGAATCATTACTATGTTTTAAGGGTGCTGCTTCCATGGTAGGAGGAGAAAATATTGATGTTGCAGAATTAGAAACATTAGTTCAAGAAGAGTTAATGAAATTTAAAAATATAGAAGGGCAAAACAGACTAAATCGTGATATTAAGAACAATCAGTCTTTTGAATTAGAGTTTAACTTTGAACTAGTGTCTCCATTTCCAAGGTATCAGGTGCCAATAGAAAAAACAGTGACTGTTAAAGAAATCCCTCAGTTATGGCCAAATGGGAGTCTTTTAATAGAAGAAATTATTAATGAAGAAGAAACTTCTGAAGAAGGATCGGAATATGACGAAGAAGAATAAAAAAAGAAAGCAAGGATAACTAAACTAATGATATATTATGTTATTAATATTATTATAATATAAATGATCGTTTAATAATATATACATTTTTAAATCCATCTTTCAAATTTCCACAATAAGAATGATCAACATATTTTGTTATCTTGATTCACCTGCCTTGTACCACCTTGGATAGTTATCTTCCCTGACTTTTAAAAATTATCTAAAGAATCCTTTGAGTTTGACTCTCGTATTATAGATAATTTAAAGACCAAAAATGGGAAAAAACCGTAACAATATTTTTTTTTCTTTTTTATGTGTCGTCTTTCGATATATTTTTTTTCTTGTTTATCTTTTTCTACCAGTTGGAAAAACATTTTGAAAAAAAAAAATAATACTTAAAAGTTCTACAACCCATTGTAATTTATTTAAAATAAGCAAAACACGTAATACGTAAAATAGTAACATTGATACCTCGAACAAACTAAAATTAGTGTTAGGTGTATTCTCACTTTAGATATCCGTATTAGAATACACTGGTGAACTCTTTATATATAAGAATATAGCCAAACACAAATACCGACATACACATAAAGAAAAAAATAGAAAAAAATGTTTGAGCAAATTGCTTCAACCGCTTGGATAGCTTTCTTATTCCTTCTAACTATTCCTATCAATGCTCTACATTTAGATATTCCAGCCACAATGCACCCTGACCCCATCTGTATTCGTGATTTCACTAACGAGGGTCAATTAGTGGTTCTTCATGTTCATTCTGATGGTTCTGTTGGTGATGGCCAAAAATTGAGTCTATTTGTCCGTGATTCTCATGGCAACGAATTCCGTAACAAAAAGGATTTTGCTGGTGATATCAAAGTTGCTTTTACTGCACCATCTACCTCTTCTTTTGACATCTGTTTTGAAAATGTTGCACAATCTCAAGGTAGATCAATGTTTAGATCGGTTGAACTGGACACTGAAATTGGCTCTGAAGCTCGTGACTGGAATTTAATTAGTGCAAATGAAAAATTAAAACCAATTGAGGTTGAATTACGTAAGATTGAAGAATTGACTGATGAAATTGTTGATGAATTAGCATATTTGAAAAATAGAGAAGAAAGATTGAGAGATACAAATGAATCCACCAATAGTAGAGTTCGTAACTTCTCTATTTTAATTATTGTCATATTGGCTTGCTTAGGTACATGGCAAGTCAATTACTTGAGAAATTTCTTTAAAGCTAAACACATTATTTAAAATCAAGTATATTTATCTGTATATTTTTTGTTTTATATTATATTTATAGTCTAAATTTCTTTGCAAATATATATATACATAAATGTATTTTGATAAGAAATAAGAAATAAAGAAAATATTTACAAAGATTAGCTGTATGGCTCTTCTTTTTCTTTTACTCTTTCTTTTTGAAATTATTTAGAATTGAAGGTATCCTAATCTTCCTAAAACGTTAGCAAAATCTAGATATGTCATATATACCCTTGAGCCACCTGTGGCACAGGACATCATTCCTATAATATCAAAATGCTTACTGTTGCTTTTACTACTAATCACATTATTATTTAAAAGAGTATCAATCTTTTGTAAATCCTTAACACTTAATACATGGTCCTTTAATCTCACATTAGGAAAATTATCTAACCTGCCAGAATTTTTTACCAAAAGATTCCAAAACGAAGTAATAATATCATCATTATTCATATATATTAATAAATGGTAGGTAACTTTGACAATTTTATCAAAATCTATCACTTTGGTATCCTCAACTACAACATCCTCGATTCTAACCAATTTATATAATTCATGAGGCATTTGTAAATCTTCAAAATAACTGTTAAGATCTGTCGTATCCATATCATGTTCTATGCTATATTTAGCAAATGTTTCCAGAATTTCATCTTCAATTTCTTGCGGTATTTTACAATTTTGGAAATTATCTACTACTGAATAATCTAAACTCTTCTTTCCACTCATGGTTTAGCTATTTCATAATAATAATTATAGTAATAATGACTTAAGATATTACTGAGAGAAGTAAAAACACTCTCCTATTCATAATATGTAAAATGAACAACGTATCAAACCTACACTTATATCCGTATATTTCTTCTCCTATAAAAAGTATTAATTACACAGTTCTGAAAAGGAATAGATGGTTCACATATTGTAGCTAGATATACTTCATCAACTTTGTACATGTCAACTAATATGCCCCTGCTTTGTGTAGGTATAGTAACCATCATCATCCGTTGACTGCATTCAAAATACCAACATTCCATTTCAATTGACACTACCATATTTCACAAATTCTTCTTCTAAGATATTGTTCGTGGTAAATGATATTGTCTAGGTGGAGATTGGAAAAAAAACATGTTAAAGAAGAAATAACAAAGATAAAGAAGACAAATAGATCAGCCAACTGCATAACAATAACAACAACTACAAAAACTACCAAAAATTTGTCTAATCATTTGCTTGTTTAGCTCTAATAATTAATTGAAATAAGAACTGGAATATCACCATAATATCAATTATTTTTTCTCTAAACTTTTGCTCTTAGAGTACCATTAGTTAGAAAAATTAGTAGTAAAATAAAATAGAACCAAGATGAGTGAAAACAGTCAACTGCAGACTGAAGTAAAGCAATCAGATAGTGCAGAGTCAAAACCAGACTCTGTAGTATCAAATAATCAAGATACAGATTCCAATAATATATCTACTGAAAGTTCAAAAGAATCACATAAAAGAAGTTATGATGAAATGTCCAAAGAATCAGATAATCAAGTTAAAGATGAAACAAAAGAGGAGGGTATAGATGAGGCAACAAAGACAGAAACTAATGAAAAATCCGAAGAGAAAAATATAGCAGAAAATGAAGAAGATCAAGAACAGCAACAAGAAGTAGAGTATGATGAAGATGAGCTAGATGAAGATGATGAAGAGGAAGAGGAAGAAGAGGTTCCATCGAAAAGACAACGTCATGAAAGAAATAGATTTTTGGATATCGAAGCTGAAGTTAGTGAAGATGAGGAAGAAGATGAAGATGAAGAAGAATCTGAATTAGTCAGAGAAGGTTTTATTACTCGTGATGACGAGCATGATGAAGAAGGTCTTGGAGGTAGAAGAGATGATAGATTACATAGAAAGTTAGACAGAGATTTGCATAAGACATCCGAAGAGGATGCTCAACGTTTAGCTAAAGAGTTACGTGAGAGATATGGGAGAAGTAGTTCCAAGCAATATAGAGCAGCTACTCAGGATGGTTACATCCCACAAAGATTCCTTTTACCAAGTGTGGATACTGCCACAATTTGGGGTGTGCGTGTTAGACCAGGTAAAGAAAAGGAGTTAGTTAGAAAATTGTTGAAGAAAAAATTTAATTTGGATAGAGCTATGGGTAAGAAGAAGTTGAAAATTTTATCCATTTTCCAAAGAGATAATTATCATGGTAGAATTTATATCGAAGCGCCTAAACAATCAGTAATTGAAAAGTTTTGTAACGGTGTTCCAGATATTTATATCAGTCAAAAGCTGTTAATTCCTGTCCAAGAATTACCATTATTATTAAAACCAAATAAATCTGATGATGTTATTTTAGAAGAAGGTAACTATGTTCGTATTAAGAGGGGTGTATACAAAGGAGATCTTGCCGTTGTGGATCAAATCAGTGAAAATAACTTAGAAGTCATGTTAAAAATTGTTCCACGTCTAGATTACGGTAAATTTGATGAGATTGATAGTAAGACCGGCCAGCGTAAGGCTAGAAGGCCCACTTTTGCACATAGACCACCTCCACAACTGTTTAATCCAACTATGGCTTTAAGATTAGATCAAGCTAATTTGTACAAAAGAGATGATCATCATTTTACTTATAAGAATGACGATTATATCGATGGGTACCTATATAAATCCTTTAAAGTTCAATTTGTGGAAACCAAGAATATTCAGCCAACTGTAGAAGAGTTAGCAAGATTCGGGTCAAAGGATGGTAATGTTGATTTAACTAATATTTCCCAAACAATTAAGAAGTATCAGGCCTCTAAAGTGACATTCCAACCAGGTGATCGTGTGGAAGTTTTGTCTGGTGAACAAAGAGGTTCTAAAGGTATTGTTACAAAGACTACTACTGATATTGCTACCGTGAAGTTACCTGAATTCCCATTAAAGCCATTAGAATTTCCAATATCTACATTAAGAAAAATATTTGAACCTGGTGATCATGTTACAGTTATTAATGGTGATCGTCAAGGTGATGCAGGTTTGGTTCTTGTAGTCAGACAGGGCCAAGTTACTTTTATGTCAAATCAAACAAGACAAGAAGTCACAATTACTGCGAACAATTTATCCAAATCTATTGATTCAACACCCACTTCGAGTGAATATTCTTTGCATGATATTGTTCAGTTAAGTGCTAAAGATGTAGCATGTATTGTTCAAGCAGGTCATGATATTTTTAAAGTTATTGATGATTCGGGTAAAGTAATTACCATAACTAAAGGTTCCATATTAAACAAAATTAATACATCTAAGCTACGTAGCGCCACAGTAGACAATAATGGTAATGAAATCAAAATTGGTGATACTGTGGTAGAGAAATTAGGTGCTCGTAGAGAAGGTCAAGTATTGTATATTCATAATCAGCAAGTTTTTGTTATGTCTAAAAAAATTGTGGAGAATGCAGGTGTCTTTGTTATTAACTCGTCAAATATTGACGCTGTTGCATCTAAAGATAATTTGTTGCATACACAGATGAATTTAAACAAGATGAATCCAGAGATTATGACCAGAATGAGACCACCATCTATGGGTGTTGCTCAATTGAATTCACAACCAAGAATGGGACGTGAAGTTGCTATTGGTAAAACAGTAAGAATACGTTCTGCAGGTTATAAAGGTCAACTTGGTATTGTTAAAGATGTCAATGGTGATAAGGCAACTGTTGAGCTACATTCTAAGAATAAACATATCACAATTGATAAGCGTAAATTAACTTATTATAATCGTGAAGGTGGTGACGGTATTACATATGAGGAATTGGTCAGCAGACGTGGAAGATTACCACAAGCCAGAATGGGACCAAGTTATGTCAGTGCTCCAAGAACTGATGGTACTATGCCTGGTGCAACTGGTCCAGATACATCTGCTTTAAGCAATCCACTATCTGGTGGTATGACTCCTGGTTGGAGTGCATTTGATGGTGGTAAAACGCCTGCTATACATAGTCAACAGGCAGTGGGTTCAGCTTCCACATGGGGTGGTGCGTCTACCTGGGGAGGTCAAGCGTCAGGTTCTACCTCCACGTGGGGTGGTGCTTCTGCATGGGGAGGTCAAGGCGCGGGTGCCACATCTACTTGGGGTGGAGCATCTACCTGGGGTAATAAATCTGCTTATGGTGGTGCTTCTACATGGGCCTCTGGAGGTGATAGTACAGGAGCGACATCCACATGGGGTGGTGCTTCGACCTGGGGTAATAAGTCCTCTTATGGTGGTGCCTCTACATGGGGTAATCAAAATGTCCAAGGTGATAAGTCTAACTATGGTGGGAACAGTACATGGGGCTCACATTGATAAAAATATACTGCCTATATTTACACTAAAAAATATAAAATAATTAGAAATAGAAACGTTCCATTCGCATGATGTGTACCAAAAAAATATGGGATCAAGTTTTTAATGTCATATATAATTATAAAAAACTAAATTCATCTATATAATATTAATATTTATTTTTACGAATAATAAAATTTTAAAATAGAGTACTCGTGTATGTGTATTTTTATGTGCCGTACATTTTTGTTAGTGTATATGAGAAGTTGGCCAATGATGAGCTTTATTACTGCGTTTCTATGCATTTTAATAAAGGGTTGAATATTATCCCATTAACAATATTACATATACATCTGCATATATATTTAGTCCTATATATGTATATATTTGTGTATCATTAGATTTTCCATTGAATTCTTTTATTTTATTGTATATGTCTACACTCATTATACTATTTACAGATATTACCTCTTTTATTAGAAGTTTTATACTTTTACACCCTTTGGTGCTCTTGAAAAGATTACAGGTTTTCTTTCAGCAACTTTTCTATTCTTTGATTCTTTAAATAACACATGTCTTTTTACCACAGGATCGTATCTTACTTGAGTCACCATTGGTGCACCCTTTTTAACTGTAATATGTCTAAAATAACCGGTTGCAGCAGTAGAAACCAATTTTATTACCGACGTCTTAACTTTTGCGTTAGCCATTGAATAAATTAATGATTTTTCTTTGTACTGCCAAAAAAAAACAAATATGCAAATAAAAATAATAAAAAATATATGATATTTTGAATTGTTTGTTTAAATAAATTCCAAAGACAACAGATTGTTTCTTCTAAATGACATAGAAGATTCACAATTGTTTACAGGATCTTGTTCTTTTTTGCTATACTCCTAAAGAAAACATATCACTTTAAAATCCTTTAAAGCAAATAACCAAAAAATAATAGATCAAGAAAAAATAAGAAAACTAAATAAAACAGAGCGATCCTCAGGGATCGAACACTGTCGCACAAAATAAACAAACCCTAATTTATTCTTGATCATAACTTACGAACCCTAATTTAACACTACAAAAAAAATTTTTTTTATTTACTAAAGGCAAAATCTAACAACAGATGAGAGAAAAGATAAACAACTGATTTATAATGTAAGACAATATATAGTAACGTTAAAGTAGTCTAAAGTATTATCAATCACTTAAATTGACTTTTCAAGCCTGCACATAAGAGAAAAGCTTAAATCTAGATTACTGCAGTAATAAGAAATACATCTTTATTTAAAGCAGAATGTCACAAGTAGTAGCTCCAGAGATTATTGAAAACCCAGATGGTTCAAAATCTGTGATTACATATAAAGAAGAAAATGGTGAGAAATTTAAAATCATTCAAAAAATTAGAGAAGTCAAAGTTACTGAAAAAGTCCATAAATCTGTTGCTGAAAGAATGAAGTGGCATAAATATGGTCTAGAAAAAAACTCACCACCAGGTCCCAATGATTCTACCACTCAACTAGGTGAAGAAGTAGAACTAAGATTAAGCAGAAATTGGAAACAAGTTGAATTTGAAAGAACACAGAAGACAAAAGTTGCTTCTGCTAAGACACTTACTTGTAGATTATGTGGTAATGATCATTACACTATGAGTTGTCCATTCAAGAAGATCTTGAATGAAATATCTGCTTTAGAAGATCCAGCTTCAGCAGGTACTGTCACTGAAGAAGATGCTGCTGAATTAAAGACTGCTGAAAGTGCTGATAATAGTAAGGCTTCCGGTAGTCGTTCATATGTTCCACCATCGTTACGTGCTGGGTCCAGAGATCCATCTTCTAATGCATACAGAGATGCTAGAGAACGTGATGACATGTGTACATTGAAGATCATGCAATTGAATGAAAATGCTGATGAAAATACCTTAAGAGAAGAGTTATTATTTCCATTTGCACCAATTCCAAAAGTTGTTGTTGTTAGAAATAAAGAAACTGGTAGATCTAGAGGTTTTGCGTTTGTTACTTTCTCTAGTGAGGAAATGGCTGAAAAGGCTTTACATTTCTTGGATGGTAGAGGTTTTATGAATTTAATTTTGAAAGTTGACTGGTCTAAACCAAAGCCACCAAAATAAACTTAAACTGAAATTGTAAAGTTTAATAAATAAAGTTAGTAATTTGAAAGGCCATCCTTGTCGAAGATGAAAAAAATAGGAAAAAAGTGGGATGCAAATGTAAATTACAATAATTAGAAAGCCAAATAAAAACAAATTCTTATATAAAAAAAAACTTATTGATGTAAATTCATTAGTGTATGTGTATATCTATCATTATATATTTGTAAAGATTAACCAAATACGATATTATTATTTTAGTTTAATATGGGAAATTGTTACTTGTAGTAATACTGGACATGTTGTAAATTTTTACTATTTATTTTTTCTGTACTCTTAGTTAATTTTGAGATAGTAACTGTCCAAATTATATAAATGTATCGGTATATGTACATACAATGTTTACATACCTATTTATTAACACATGTAAATAGAGATGATATTTATATATTAGGATAATAGCAAACAGGTTTTTATTAATGTTCATATATGTATTGGTTGACTATCTTATTCTCTTTATATGCAATCAATTTTTGCTTTTGTTTGATGCCACGTGGTTAGACATTCTTTTATCCAATTTAATATAGCTTTTGTAATATTTTTTAACATCATGTGACAAGTCTTTTTTATAAATCTTAGTAAGTAGTTTAGATTCTTTAATGTGGATTCAATAACTTGTTGTAAATCCGAATGAATGAGAGTTTCACAATCTTTCAACTTGATTAACTCTTTATTTAATTTCTCGATTTCTTCATCTCTTTCCATTTTAGTTAAAAATTCAGGTTCAATTTGACCGAATTTATTCTTAATTTTATTTTTTCTTTTATTCAATCTTTTTTTACTCTTCTGTAATTGTAGTTGGATCAATAGTTGAGAATCATTAATTATTTGGGACGTGGAATCAGTTTCCGAGAATTCTACTCCAATATCATCGTCTGAATCAGTTTTCTTGTTCTGTGTGTTCATATTTTTAATAGCAGTTGCTATTGTCGGTGATGAAAGAGCATCTCTTTTTAAAACCATATCTAACCTTTGCATTTTATTGTCAAAATTTTTTAGTTCATTCAATCTATGCTTTCTTCTATGTATAGTATTAACAATGATTTGATATTGAACAAATTTCAGATTTTTAAATAAGATTATCCTTCTTGAGTCCTTAATAAATTTTATCAAATCATCTAATGGTTCCTCTATAACATTTGTCAAATTTTCAATTAAAATTTCCAGTGTAACATAGTTCACATCGTATGAATGGCCTACTTTTTCAATAGCCATTTGTAATTGTCTAATGGATTCTAAAGGAGTCGATGAAGATGTAGCCGCGAATGATGGGAGTGAGGTTTCCAATGACAATGCATTATAATATGCTCCTAATTCAGCAAATTGTGATGATAAAGAATGAATATGAAATTTATTATTTTTAATCTTTGATAAAAGTGGTTGTAAGGAATATAAATATTGATTAATTTGAGATTCTAGTTTATTAAAATCGTTTAAGTGGAATTTTTGGATTGACTCCATTGACATGTTTTGATTTAGAAGAAATTTATTCATGATATCATTATAATTATTATTATTGGTAGTTGTGGTGGTAGCAGTAGTTATACTACCACGGATATCATTATCACTATTATTGATAGTATTATTATTAGCTGAATTCAAAGAATTTGGAGCAGGTAATAAAAGATGCAAAGGACTTGGTTTAGTCACGTTCAAGGGTGGTGCTAAAATGTTATTATTAGGCAAAACTGAGATTGGAGGAGAATTTAATACATCTTTCCAAAGATAGTTTGGATTTAAAAATTTTTGAAACACTGATAATTTTTGAATCTCTTCAATTTTATTACAATGATTTAGAAACGCCATTAATCTTCTTTGTCTCATGGATATAATTCTTTGATCGTTTTTAGCATTAATGGGATTCAAAAAATATTTGAATATTGAATGTTTTGATGGAATTGGTGGGATTATTACAGTTGGCAGCAATTTAAGCAATACTTGGTATAAAGAATAGAACTCAGAATAACGTCTTGTTACTTCTTGTTCGATAGTTTGGCCTGTATTCTCATCAATAATCTTACTTCTAATGATATAACCAATTGCATGTTTTCCCCATGGATCATTATATTCACCTGAATCTACAATAACAATTGGACCATTGAAAAATGAGTTTGACATGTTATTGTTATGGTCCTGTGTGTTCTCATCTTTGATATTATTACTAGTGGTAGTAGTAATATTGTTGTCCTTACTATATATATATGGATTGTTAGTTATATAATTTTTTTGATAAGGTAAAGACATCGAAATAGATAAATTTTCAAATGGTTCTAGATCAGTTGTATTATTACTTGAATTGTTTCTATTACCTTTGCTTGTGTTATTATTATTATTATTATTATTATTATTTGAAATTGGATTTATGGAATTATTAAATGGTTGATCCAAACTAAGGATATGTGAATCTGAATTATTTGAATTTATTAAATTTGTTGAAGAGGAAGAAGATGATGAGGAAGATGGAAAAGAAGCGGAATGCAATGGAGATGAAGAGGACTTTAAGAATGTTATTGAGGAATTATTCTTCGGAGTATTATTTATTGAGTCGATATGATCGCTATCATATAAATATTGAGGTCTTGTTGGTGTCAGTAAATTATTATTATTATGATTAGTAGTAGTATTTATGTGTGTATATAAGTTAATATCATGGATACCAGACGCAAACAAATGAGTAGTGCCTGAAAATGGATTATTATCATATTCAAAATTATCACTTACATCATTTTCATCATCATGTATGTTATTTGAAGTGACAGAAATTATTGGATTCTTATCTACAATATTATCTCTGTTCGAAGCCTTATTTACAATTATATTGTTGCTACTCTCGTTGTTATTAGCATTAGTAGTAGTAGTAGCAGGACTGTCTATTATTGAAGATTGCGACATTGATGGCAATACCAAAGACTTTATTGTATAATATTGGAATATGAATTATTAGTTGAATATTCAAGTATCAAATATTAAATGTCAAATATACTTATTTCTTAATATCGATCATAGATAGACAAAGGGCTGCATAAAAGTGGGCAAAGTATAACAACAATTGTACGTTTTTATCTATCCAGGTAATAAGAATTACAGATTTAAAATAAGAAGGTTTCTTACTGTATTCTTCTTCTTCTTCTTCTGTTTTTATTTTTTTATTTTGTTTTAGCTGTGGCCGTCGATCTTTTGTGGTATTTGGATTTGTTTGAAAACCTGATGTTGAGTGTTTTTATTTTTATTTTTATTTTTATTTTTTCTTTTCTCTCTCTTTCCCATTTTAATAACGTCATACATACCTAGAAGGTGTTATTATATGCAGAAAAGAGAGTGAGTAAGAGTTTAGTTTGATAGAAGAGGATCTTTGTTGTGTGAAACCTGGTATGAGACGTTTCTTGAATTGGAAATGTGCGTGTATGTGCATGTCATTAGTTCAAATAAAGAATTGTTGGATGATTAAGATATACATACAGGTATATATGATTTAATTCGTGGCTACGTAAAAAAAATATAAAAAGTACAAAAAACAAAAAAAAAAAAAAAATAGTAATAATAATAGTAATAATAATAATCTATCTATCTATCTATCTATCTATTTCATTTATTTGTTTGTTTGTTTGTTCAGTTATTTCTTACTTAATCTTTGTTTTCTAGTTCTTCATCATCTTCTTCATTTAGAGGTTTTCTTGCCACAAATAACATCATTGGGGTGAATAAACCTTGCTTACCACCAGCCACCAAACCGACAGCGGCATTTTCCAAGGCGTCAGTGACTCTGGTAGAACCCTTTGGGATGATCTTGAAGGTTTCCAAACCGTAGATCATGAAATTGGTCAACTTTCTACCTAAGTAAGAAGTTCTGAAAAAGGTTAAATAGTCGTTTAAGTTTTGAATATATTTCCAATCCCCAGTCAATGGATAGTACCATGGGACTGGATCCTCAGGAGAAGCCAAATCCTCTTGTTCCAAAATTTCGAAACCAGAATCGATCAAAGCAGACTCTGCGACTTCTCTTTTGTACATCTTTGGGATACCGTCACCGATTTCGATGTTGTAGGCGATCTTTCTGTGTTCAGGGTTGTTTTCATCGTATTTGTCGGTCATGACCCATTCGTAGACGGCGAAGACACCACCTGGTTTTAGTACTTTATAGATCTGTGAGTAACAGTCCTTCAAGTTTGGAGCATGGCAAGTAGCCTCGATGGCATAGACTTTATCGAAGGTGGATTCAGGGAAATCCAGATTCATGAAGTCACCCTTCACAAAATGGACAGATTTGGACAGGCCTTCCCTGTCGGTGTATAGGTTAGCTCTTTTGATCTGGTAGTCGTTGTTGTTGATACCGATCAATTTACAACCGGTGAATCTAGCGATTTCGCGAGCAGGACCACCGACACCACAACCCACATCTAGGACAAGATCTCCTTTCTGGATTCCAGCACGGTGGGCCAGGACATGTTCGTGTCTTTTGATGGCCTCTGTGAATTTATCGTTTGGAAAGAATTTACAGAAATGGAAACTTTGGCCCCAACCGTATTCGTAGAAGTCAGTGACTAGATTGTAATAGGAGAAAGTGTTTTCGTTATAAGAATTCAAACGACGGTTCTCAGTTTCGTTATCTGTCTTACCGTCCCATTGTTCCAGGTAGTTATCGACAGTTTTAGCTTGTAAAGTTGAGTCCTTAGAAATCAATTTCCAAAACAAGTTGTTTGATTCGATCGGTTTATCACCGTGTAAATTGTCGACCCATTGTTTTTGTCTACGTCTTAATTCAGCAGTACTTTCATCAGTCATTTTTTTTTTTTCTTTAATGTGTCTACAAAAGTATATGTGTTTGTGTTTGTGTTTATATGCAAACTGATTTCATATAGTAGTTGGTGCAAGAAGAAACACGAGAGCAATAGAACAGGGTAGGAAAAAGGAAAAAACAAAAAACATGGCAAGAAAAGTGAGAGAAGAAATTGCTTAGACATAAGACGAATATAACATACAATTGTTACATTAGTTAACCATATAAAAACTAGAAGATTTACCTTTTCTATCTTATCGGTATATATATATATATATATATACCTACGGAGTATATAATACAAATGAGACTATCCAGTTATAAAAAGCGTTAAAGTACGAGACGTTGCGGTAATAAGCGTCAAAATTGTAAAGAATAAAATCTCTTCCACTCTAATTATTTTTTTTTTTTTTTTTTTTTTTTATTTTGCCCTCCCACTCGAAGAAGAAAAAAGGAGTAAACTAAACGAAGAAAAAAAACAAATAAACAAACAAAGGAAAAAGAAAAAGAAGGCAAGTCAATTTTTGGTCTGTTCTCCGAAAACAAAATAAAACAAAATAAAACCGCTCTCCAGTTGTATTCCGCCAAACAGCTTCCGCCAATCGGAAAGTTGTTCCGTCCTTTTTTATTCCGTCTCCTTTTTTCTTTCCTTGATTTCTTTTTTATTTTTTTTTTTTCGTATATATTTTGGGTAGGGTGTGTATGGGTGGCAGCGACTACAGAAATCTTCCCCCTTTTCTTTTTTCCTTCTGTTGTTTTCCCTTTTTCCCTCTCCCTTTTTTTGTTCTGGCAAGTAAACGAAGACCGCCAACCAAACAATAAAAACAATTAAAAAAAAAGAAAAAATAATAATAACAATAATAATAAGAAGAAGAAGAAAAACAATTCAGGTTCTGTGTCGTTTGATTTCCGACTCCCTTTTTCTCTAATTTTCTTTCTGAAGATACATTGTGGTTTCGTTGTTTTTAAATGTGAAAAAAAAAATACAATAAAAACAAGAAAAGAGAACGGCAGGGTGTCTAGTTGTGAAAAAGGGCACGTGCTTTTCACGTGGCTACAGGGCCTCGCCCAGGTGTATGGATGTAGTCTCCAGATCAGTTTCCGTTTCTCTTGTATGAATTATGTAAGATTTTTGTTGGTGGGCCAGAAACAGATTTTTCTTATTTTTTTTTCTTTTTATTTATGAAGATGATAGGGAGATGAAAATCTGCGACGGAGGAAAAGAACAGCCACATAAAGCAAATAGAGTTGGCTTCTTTGGTTTCTTTTCCTTTTCCATTTATTATCTATAGGCTTGATCATATATTATAATATATCTATTACATATATATACTTTTTGTATTTTTTTTTTTTTTTTTTATTTCTCTCCTTCTCTTCTCTCTTATTTTTATTTATAACACAGTGCTGACTTCTGTCTTATGTACTACAGTTTTTCTTTGAAAAGATAAAAAGACTGGAAAAGTTATCGATCTCATCTAATATCACATCATTACTCAATTCCATAAGCCGTATACATATTTAAAGAATAGAGAATAAAATAGAATAAAAATATAACCACTATAATAAGCTAATATACTCACTATGTCTACCTTAACTACATCGTCTAAACGGTCCTTAGATGATGCGTTATCCTCTAATCTACCCATAAATTCCACTATTTCTAATAACATCATTAGCTCAGATATTATCGATAATAATAATAGTGGAAATAATGATACAGTAACTACAACTACAAGGAGTAAAAAACCAGCTTCTAAGAAATCTAAACAATTGGATCCAGAAGCAAGATTGAAAAGAACTCAACAGAACAGAGCTGCTCAAAGAGCTTTCCGAGAAAGAAAAGAGAAAAAAATGAGGGAGTTGGAGAATAAAGTTAGCAAACTGACAGAAATCCAAAAACAAAATGAAATAGAATCAAATTTCTTAAGAGATCAATTGAATCTATTATTATTAGAATTGAAAAAGTATAGGCCAACTACTGATAATGACTTAAAAGTTTTAAATTATTTATCTCAACATAATAATAATAATAATAATAATAATAATAATAATAATAAAGATTCTGTTTTTTCTTCTTCTTCTTCGTCTCCTTCACCCCCTTCTCCTCATCCATCTAAATCTACAATAAAAACATCAGATATTAATAATAATAATAATAATGATGATGATAATAATAATAATAGTAGTAGTAGTGGTAGTAGTAATAGTAGTAGTAATAATACCATACCTACTGGTACTATTACTGTTAATACCCCTGATAATAGTAGTAGTTGGCTAGATAAACTCTTATCAGATAATGATTTGTTTACTCAGCAGTTGTTCGATAATAATAACAATAACAATAACAATAGTAATAGTAATAAATTAAATATTAGTAACAATAATTCACCTTCCCCATTATTCTTCTCAAATAAATACAACGATAATCAAATCATACCTCATTCAACTAAAGTTAACCATAGCAATAACATTAGTACTAATAGTAATAGTCCTAATAAGGATCCATTGAGTTCTGATGCTTTATTAGATTTCGATAATCAATTTGATGAACAAGTAGCCAATTTCTGTGTTAAGATGAATCAAGCTTGTGGCACAAAGACTAATCCAATACCCAAAAATAAAAGTTCAGCCTTTTCTGGTTCCTCAATATCCACTAATACACCATTCACAGATAGTGTAATCACTAATTCACCATTATCTTCAACTTCCCTATCATTCGTTTCAACACCTTCCACATTTTCTAACGCTATGATGAATAATAATATCAATAATATCAAAACTAATAATGATATCACTGCATCTGTACCCTTCCTGAATTATGCAAAGAACCTGGATATCAATCCATTCGAGATTGATACAAATAAAAGTGTGGATTCTCCACAGTTGACAGTTTGTTCAACAGATACCTCAACATCAAGTAATCACCTTCATAACACCTTCAACAGTACTAGCACTGATGATCATATCAAGGACAAAGACGGTAGGAGTACTTTTGATTTGCAGTTTCTTTCCAATGATTTCGAGATTCCGTTCATTAATGCAGATTTAGCGTTCCCAAATATTAATAACGACAATGAAGTGTTTTTCAGAGACACTAATCCATTAAAGGGTACTAACACAAACAACATACTAGACGATTTTATCGACGAAGAAGAAAATGTCATTTATGATAATGGAATTAAAATTAAACAAAAATTACCAACTACTCTATTCAATGAAGTTCCATATACTGTTCAATTGGCAACTAGCAATAACGTTTCGACAACCATCAAAGATGCTACTAAGAGTGATAGTGTTGTTAATGATGATAATGATGATGATGCAGAAGATGGTGATCCTCAAGTTGTACCATCAAAGGATGATAAGATGTTGAAGTGTTCAGAAATTTGGGATAGAATTACTACTCATCCTAAATATTCAGAATTGGATATTGATGGATTATGTGCCGAATTAATGGCAAAGGCTAAATGTTCCGATAGAGGTGTGGTTGTAGACGCTGATATTGTTCAAGATGCTTTAACAAAACACATGCAATGATGTTTCATTTCGATATTCCTATGTTATTTTTCTTTTCCCCTTGCCTGTTTGTTTGTCTATTTTCTTTTTTTTCAATATATATGTATATATATATATGTATTCGTATATTCATATATTCTCTAGAATACTATTATGGAGTTCTGGTAGTCTTTTTATTTTTACTTCATTTTTTCTCTTTCTAATTGTGTGTGTATACTCTGTTATACTTTATACATTCTTATGAGTATATGTGCCATCTATTTGTATATTTATGAATATAAGTAAATTAACTATATGTATATGTATATATAGATATACATATACATATAGACACTCATATTCATATCAATAACTCTCTTCTTTATTTTTTTACATAATAATACAAATTTTATCATCAGCATCTTTTTTAGTATCATTTGCTCTTCTGAATCTTTTTATCTTTAATCTCCACCTTTCCCCGCCGCTATGAACAATGCCATCATTATATTTTTTCTTTCTACGATTCAGATGATAATTACTATTCAACTTACTATTTAAACCGTTATTACTGTCGCTGTTGTTACGGTTATCATTGTTATTGTTATGGTAAGGTACACTTTTCCATCTAGCAATCTTATTTTTCTTTTCAGTACCGTGAGCTAGAAGTGAATCGTTTTGAAGTGTCTTAGGAGAATATTCACCGATTTCAGAACTTTCATTATCAAAAGTTATATTACTTTTCTTTCTAGAGGTCCATTCACCCATAGTATTAATTGTACGAATTGATCTATGTCCAACTGTTGTTGCATTAGAAATTATTCTCTCTGGTATATACATTTGGGGTCCCTTATTATCATCATATAGTAATTCAGGACTTTCGTGTTCGATATCATCATCACTTTCTTCTTGAATATTCAATCTGTTGTTAATATCTTCAGATATCTTAATTATTTCCTCAGGATGATGTTTATTGTTAAGATAATTGTGGTCATTTTGAATATTGTCAGGATTGTTATTACCATTACTATTATTGTTGTTGTTGTCACTTGTGTCTTGTGCAGTTATTATAGGAGTTGTATTGTCAACAATAACCATAGAATAAAATAATATTTTAGGCATATCGTGACCAAATTCAAATAAATCTTTTAATGTTAATATCGTCAAATCATTCATATTAAATTGAGAATCATAAAGAATCCAGTCATCATCAACACTGGCTGTATTTACGACGTTATTAGACTGTCGGATTGCAGTTAATATCTCTTTATTTTCCTTGTATAATAAGCAACTCTGTAAGACTAACCTAAAGTGTCTGCCTTTATCGTTAATAGAGATTGATGGTAAGATAGAGTAATAGGAAGAAGTAGATGAAGTTGTAGAAATGTCTGAAAAATTAGATGAGGGGTATGAACTATTACTTTTGCTGGAAATAAATGAATTTCTATCGTCTTCTTCGTCATATTGAGGGTTAGTATTTGTTGGTATATTGTTACATTGGTCTGATGAATGATTTTTTTCATTTTCATCATCATAAGATATGGAATGTTTATCATTAAGGTTTGTTACGTCATCAGCTCGATCTTCTGATATTACCATTCTTGTTAACGGATGTCTGCAAAGTCTACGACCATCATCATTATCATCATAATCACCTTGGCTAAGTCCTAGTTCATTGTAAGAGATATTCTCTGCATATGAATTTATATCATTGTCATTATAAAAACTGTTAATTGACATCATTTCTGAACCTGGAGGAGTGAAAACATGATTATTACTAACACAGTTGAAACTATTATTGTTATAGTTATTATCAATGTGCAAATGAATAAGAGAATTATTTATATTCGCTATGGGTTTGTGATTTTGAAATTTTTCGTTTGAATGCCGTATATGATGCAACGCAGCTCTTGGAAAATTCAGTACGATGGAACTTTCTCCATCATCAGAGATAATTGAATTGTTTGTTGGAACTGTAATTTTGTTTTTTGTATTTGAATGCATACTATCATCACTATTACTGTTATTGTTATTGTTATTGTTATTATTGTAGTGATTGTTATTGATGTATAAAGAAGAATTTTGTTCACAATGAATATCATTACTATTAGTTTTACTTGATTTCTCTTGTGAGATAATGATATTATTAGACTCATCTTTCGTTATTAGTATTGATGGTTGCTGTGTTATTTCAGTTTCACTTAAATAAAAACTATTATTTGCTTCATTATCTATGCCCAGACCCAAACTAACATCAGTAGTTGTGGTATTGGTGGAGGTCTTTGTATTAGTACTTACTATTTGATGAACATTATTCTTAAATTTGTTATATCTTTTTGGATCCACATAATTTAAAAAAGTTGGGTCATTAAAATTATTCATTGTATCAATTAGTAAATAATGGTTTTCATGACTATAACAATGATCTTTGGTCAATTTTTGGATTTTAATATTATTCAAATCTTCTAAATGGAAATAATCTTTTAAGAAAGTCTCCAAAATGGAAATATCACTATGGATCTTATCAGGTATTGAGATAAACAACAACTTTTGGTTCTTATTAAAATTTTTAATACTTTTGTTATTATAGAGATTACTGTTCAAAAATCTTCTTAATAGGGTATATTTTAATTTGTTTGTAATTAATTCTTCAAAATCTCCTGAACGTAAATTTCGCAAATACCATACCCAAAGACCATTTTCATCATTGCTATAATAGTCATCTACTTTAACACTCAAAGTCATATTTCCTAGAGAATATAGTAAATATGATAAAAATGATATTAATTTATTTTTTTTTTCAGTGATTGATTGATGACTATTTTTCCTATTTCGCTTTAGTTGAGTAATTTAATAATATTACAATCTTTATAAAGGAATGGTTGTGTACCAACTATTTATATCGGGAAGAAAAGCATAATGGTAGACTTTTATTCAATCTCATTTAATCCTCAATATCAAAATAATGAAAATATTTTTTTTCTTTTTTCCTTTTTTCTTTTTCCTTTTTCCTGTTTGTTCGTCTCTCTTTCTATTACTTTATTGATCTTTAAGAAAATCACTTGACGGATAAATCATACAAAAAAAAACTCAAGGCATTAAGAAAGAAAAAATAAAAAATCAATTAAAAAATCAAAAATCAAAAAAAAAAAAAAAAAATCAAAAAAACCTTTTGTTTTTTTTCTTACCAACGAACATTTCCTGTCAAAAAAGAATAGAAATTTTTGAGGAAAAAAGAAAACAAAATACAATAGGGATGTGCTGCAAGACAATAGCTGTGTAACTTTTTGGAAATCAGATTTATTTTTTTTTTGTTTGTTGGTTTTAAAAAAAACAATGAGGAAAAGTAATACTGTTCATAATAAGCAATATTGTTTTGTTTTTCCGGAATTGTATAGGGGAAAGGAACAGAGAAGATAAGAGAAAATATGTTGTAACCCTATATAGTACAATTAAGGTGAAGCAATTCTTTTTTATTCGCAATAAGCAAGCCCTAAGAGTTTTTTTCAAAAAAAAAAGAGAGAACGAAAAAGAACAATAAACGTGATAATTGCATATTATTTTCATATATTGTGGGGTATAAATAAATAGTTCCCAAAAAAATTATGCAGAATATAATTTCTCTTTATTGTAAATAGACTTTTTTAATATGTAATAGTTGAAAAAGTGGTGGTAAGGGATGTGGTTGATTATCCCAAAATTGTAATTGTGTGATAATATATCAAATACCTGACCTTTCTTCTTTTTTTTTTTGTACATCATATTGAATCTAGTAACTTCATTATGGTTTATTTTTCGTTATTTATTTCTTCTTCCAAGATATGTTTGGTCCTAAACTATTTTATTTAATTTGTTTATTAACTATTTGTAAGGAACCTAACTGGAAATCCAGTAGATATGCAATTTCGAGGGTAACACCTAAGTGTCTGGGTGGAGGATTGGTACAGCCATGTGCGCAGTGGCTTGTATAAGGTATTGAATCTGATTGGAGGATTTCCAGGGAGCGATAGTTATATCAGATCTTGTCAAGAGGCCTTTGATTATTGAGAGATAGGCTAGGGGTAATCATCTTATTTAAATACATCTTAGTAATGATATTAAGAAGTAACTCTTAACATCATACAAGAAAAAGACTAACAACAAGAAGAAGTAATAATACAACACCAGGGTTATTAATTAGTAATATATAGAGCTTACGTAAGAGTGTTTATACTTATGCTAATTGATATGATTCATCCATCTATATACAGCAACTCTTACACATACATACAAAGAAACTAACTATTATTTTTCAATAACCAGTGATAGATTGTCACAAATACTAAGATTTTTCTCTATTTAATTGTCCAAATGATATATTTGTCTTTTAAAGTATTATTTGCAATACTCATATGGTGTTGTTAGAACCTTTGGTCTAATTATCTTCGCAGAAACTCTAGCAATATCCCATGGATCACAATATTTCCTCCTGACATCTGCCACAACATTGCTGCCATAAAAATATATATTACAAAAACCAGCAATTCTGTAAATGTTTTTAAAGGTTTCTTCTTCTCCCATGGGAGAAACATGTTTATAATTATTCAAATCATTGTGGCAATGTTTCAAATTTCGAATATTCAAAACATCGTGGTTAACAGTGTCTTGGTCAAGTGCTAGATGAACAGCATTAAGAGGATGAAGTTCTACCACCGCTAAACAACAATATAATTGAAATAAGAATTTATCGCTTGCCTGAGGCTTTCGATGGACTTCACGATGGATTGAAACTTTTTGTGCAATCTTAAAATCGGGTCTCAAGGTCTTATGATTTGCTCGTTTAGACTAATATCCTGAATCCTCTGCAATATTATATGTCAATGGTTCCTTCACTCGCGCAGCATGATTCACAAGTTCTTCAACATGGGATAGTACAAATTTAGGAAGAGCCTGGAAGTTGGCGGAGTTTCTTGAAAAATATTACAGGAGATTTAAAATTTTAACATATCTAGGGTGAAAACCATAACATGCTAGAAATGGGGCTGTCTTAATAGTAGATTGGTAGGTATTATTGTGTGCAAACTCAACTATAGGTAGTATATCTGACCATTTGTTCCCATGTGGATCTGAAATAGAAGTGATCTTTTCTGCCAAAATTTGGTTAATTCTTTCAACTTACCAATCTTCTTAAGAGTTTATGACCTGTCATCATTTGTAATTTAATACCAGCACACTGCGTGAAAATTGTCCATGCAATGGATGTAAAAGTTTTGTCTTGGTCTGAAACAATTATTCGAAGCATGTCATGCAACCTGAAAATTTTCTGAAAAAAAAAATTTAATTATGTCTTCTGCTTTCGCAGATTTCTTGCAAGCAATAAAATGGGACATCATCGTCAGTTGACAAGTAACCACCATAATATTGTTGCATTTAGTTTTTTTATCAGGTTTCATACCTGAAATGAAATCGATGTCAAAATGTCTCTAACGTTCCTTAGGAATCATTAATGGCATATAAGCGTTAAATTGTTTACCAGTTCTATATTTAGATTTCTGGCAACTGGAGCAATGACGAACATACTGTTTAATAGTAGCACTCATTCGAGGCCAATAATAATGAGGGGACAAGTTTGTAAATGTACGAAATCCGTCATTATGTCCGCCTGCAGTAGAGTCATGAGCTAACTTAAGTAGCTCAGTTCTAATAAAATTGTTAGAAATACATAATTTATCAACAGTTAAATCAGTATATCCATGATATAGTAAGTCGTCGATCACTTTGTATCTTTTAATTATAGTATCCAATTTGTGTAGTACCGGAGCTTTATTAACTAAGCAATTATAAATTACTTTGAAAGCTGCATCCTGTTGGTACCCACTCTTTAATTCTTCAATATATTCAAGTCTGAATTTGGTTAATAAAGTGACTTGATTAGGAATACTCAATTCATATAAATATGTATCATAACCAAAAATCATCCAGAATATATGTTGGATTTGGTTCAGGATTCTGGGGAGAAGGATAGGATGGGGAATTCTGTGGTGTTAAAATTTTTGTGCCTCTGATTTCTTTCAAATCAGGACGACGACTAAAGCCATCCGCTTTATTTCGTTCACCCTTAATATAAACAATCTCGAAATCAAATGAAGCAAAAACATCTGACCAACAGCCAATTTTAAAACTACTATTTTTTTTTTCGAATATAAATATTTTAGCGATTCATGGTCAGTATATAGAATAAAGTGTCTGCCTTTCAAATAATGGAACTGTTACATCAAAGCAACCCAAAAAGCAAAAAATTTTTTTTCACCAGTAAATTGATGCAATTGAGAGTTGTGAAACTTCCCACTTGAATAAGCAACTACACCTAAGTGACAACCCGTAAAATCACTATGCTCTAAAACAACATCTATGGCAAAATCTGAGGCGGTAGTAGTAACCAAGACATCTTTCGTTTCATCAAATGGTAGTAGAACAGGAACTGAAGTCAACTTCTGTTTCAACATGTTGAAAGCAAGGTCACAGCCATTATTCTAAGATATTAGTTATTTATTGACAAACTCATATAATGGATTACTAAATTCTGCAGATTTTGGAATAGATATTCTAAAGAATGAATATGTTGTCACAGAAATCGAAACATCGTACACACCAATAATTCAATATCTACACAACTCTAACAAATTCAAAGGAAGATTGGAGACATATTACTATTGATTTTATTTCCAGTATGAAACTTAATAAGCAATAAAAGTATGATAACATAATGATGATTATCTATTATTTAATGTAAATGTTCCATTTCATTGCTTATAAAAAATCTTATAAAGTGGAGGATATTATTCAAAAAAAATTTTTTGTTCAGGAACTTTTCAAGTTACACAACAAACCTAGAATAAATGATTATCATGTAATGTATATGGCTATTAAATTACAGATGGCAATATGTCATAATCCTCAAGCAAACGGACAGGTTGGAAAAGTTAAACAAATTTTAACAGTAAATATCACTTCTGTTTTAAATCCACACGGGAGTGAATGGTTAAATGTACTATCAATGATTGAGTTTGTATATAATAACATCTATCAATCTACAATTAAGTCAAGTCTACCTTTAGCATATTATCTTCAGGCTCTTCCTAAATTTGCATTATCCCATGTTGAAGAGCTTGTCAATAGTGCTGTGCAAGTGAAAGACCTCTTGACTTATAATATAGCAAAGGATCAAGAATACCAGCCTGAAAGAGCCAATGCTAAAACCCTGAGACCAGGCTTCAAGATTGAACAGAATGTTTTGATCCATCGAGAAGTGTATCAAATGCCCTACGCTGGTGATAAACTTCAATTTTAATAGTTTGCTCCTTTCGAAATAGTAGAGCTTCATCCTCCTAATGCGGTGCATGTAGTACTTAATCAAGACACTGCTAAACACGATATTTTTAATGTTAAAAATTTGAAACATTAACATGATCATTTAAATGATTATGGCAATGTTCCTCCTGTGGAAGAAGAGGAAATCCTAAAAAACATCAACAAAATTGCTGATTTTAATAATACCTATTTTTATAACTGCAATGTTGTAGCAGATGTCAGGTGGAAAGATTGCGAACTATGGGACACTGTCAGAGTTCCCGTAAAGTTAATTAAACCAAAGGCCCAGCGACACTATATGAGTATTGGAAACAACACCTCAATAGACAAAAAGATCGTCTGGACAATTGTGTAGAGAAAAATCGTCACCAAAAAAAGAATGAAAAAAATTAAGAGGTGAAGATTTGGTTAATCCAAAGGTGACATTATGACATTCTACTCTGGCGATTGACAGATAATAGTTTTTTGATTATATTGTTTTATTACATTTGTCTATTCTGATCCTTATTGTGTTTTGGAGGTGTAGAGATGACCTTTTACCAAACCTCTAATCCTTGAACTCCTATTTTTATTTGTAAGCAATCTCTATAGATATGAATATCTTTTAAGATATTTAATTTCTCTATTATCGAATTCTTGGAGTACCAAAATTGATTATTGCTATATTATGATATTTGCAAATCCTGATGATTACTAAAAGCTACAGATCGTGCACGTTGGACACCATTGTGTTCATCTCTTTAAATGGTAATTCTAATCCTTTAGTTTCATGTAAGATGATGGAAGCTAGAAATTAAATCCATTAGCTGTGTTTTCCCAATTAGGCCCTTACTTTAGCTTTCAGATTCTCACAGCTAATCGCTTTTATTAAAATTATTAATTTTTATACAGTTAATTTACTGACAATATAATTGCAACTCAATGATATTGGAATCTTGGTGGGGGATGATGTAAGGAGCCCTAATTGGGAATTCTGAAATACATAGTCTGCGGGTAACGCCTACCTAATGTCGAGGCGAAGAATTTGGAACAACTGAAACTCAGGGCCCAAGGTTGTAAGTGTATTCAAACGAACAAAACGATCCTCAGGTAGACATTTTTAACAAATTATTGAGACATAGTGCCAAAGGTAATTGTCGGCATTAACATTCATACTCTATCTAACAGGCTTTACCTAGAGGAAAAATGGCCTGGATAAAAACTAGAATATCAGTAATAACTGAGACTGATCTATTTATCGATCAAAATCAACCAATTATATAATTTTTAAGTGTTTATATATGATTAATATTCATATTTTAGTATACCATTTGGAATGACCCTTACATTAATCTAAGAATAATGATTTCTTTGAATCACTACGTATTTATTCTAAAAAGAAAAAAACAATTATGCGTACTCGTAAACCAAACTTCTAAATAGAAAACTTAATTTATGTATAAATTAAGTGCTAAAAGTAATAACTCTAAACAATACTACGTAAAAAAAAAAATGATTTTACAATAATACACTAAAGTTTTAATTGTTTCCTTGCGTATCCTTTAAAAATGACTACAAAACTGTTCATCCGATAAAATAACAACACATATAATATAGTCCTGACTATAAATCACAGACAAGAGTTATTAAAAATCTAGTATAAAATAAAAAAGAATCGTTAAATAAAATAAATGTCTTGTAGTTTAGATCAGTTCGATTGATGAATGTTGGATAGGAAAAAATATTTTCAATCACAATAGTAAACTACTCTGAGTGAGCTGAGAAAAAATTTTCATCATAAACAACAAAGACATTACATAACAATAATAAACGCAACAATTAAGCACAACAAAAAAAAATCGAATGTGAAAACTGACTTTATTTTCTCTTGGTGTAACCTTACACCATCGAATAAAACAAAGAAAACATAATTGGAAAAATGACAATCCACAGGCATCTGGCTGCACTTTCCTCAGATTCACATTCTATCGAAATCAGTACTTCATTGTACACTGATTCTCTCTAACTCTACGACATTTAGAAAGTGAAGCAGACACGCAGAAACGGGTTCAGCACCTGAGGCCAATAGATAGGTTCTTTCTACAAACATTGTCGTATTTAAACTCCCTCTTTATTTATATATGTTTTGTTTTAGTTGTATATTTTTTTTTTCCTTTTTTTATGAAAAAAATTAGAAAGAAATTTCAGTTTCGTATGATGCTATATTATTCTTTATTCGTTAGGGTTCGGACGATCCATATATATATATGTATATACAAACATATTATGTGACTATTATATATTATTTTATTACATATAGACCACATACATTGTGGCATTTACAACAATAATTCAGTCAACCTTTCCAATTCTGAATAACAACTATCACAGTATTTTTGTAAATTTGCATCATTTTCATATAAGTCTTTCATTTCCTTTTGAATCTTATCACATTGAGATGTTTCTCCAAGTAAAAATTCCCTATAATCACCTTGTATGATCTCTCTTTCCATATTTTGCAAAATCTTAAGTTCTACCAATAATTCATTCCTTCTGATTGCCACATCATCCCTAGTAGCTTGAAACTTATTGATAATGGAGGAATCACCATGTTGCTTTTTAAACTCCTGATAAACTAAATTATCGGTCTCCAAGGCTAGATCTTGTGTCAAAGCTTCTAAATCATCTAAATAAATAATATTCTTTCTATTTGCTATGTTCTCTTCATGTGCTTTTTGAGATTGTTCCATATACGAAACAAATGTACTCTTTGCTCTTTTAACAGCCCAAAAGGACATGGTACTCCTACCGCTTAAGAATATATTAAATAGTATCGATAAAAATAATCCAAGTAATAGGATTTTGTTTAAATTCTGAATAATTTTCTTCAATATAATAAGCAAACTGATACCACATCTAATAACGGACAACAACATATTCACAATTCGATACATAATATGCTTTAAAAACACTTTCAATAAAATCATAAATGAATATCTGACCAAATATCCATCTGGAATAAAATCCTTTTTTTGCTCATTCTTATTGTTGTCAATCTGCTGTTGCTCCTTTCTTTCTTGTTCTTCCTCTTCCTCTAAAATCACTTTCTCCTTTTTCTTATCGTCATCCTGAATATCAACACCAATTAACCCACACAATTTCATGGCTTTTATGACCTTACCGTGATTTCCAATTTTTTCTAAGTAATACCTAATTACTTTCCTAACTAATAGAAATTCAACATTACTGAAAAATACAGCCCATTCTAACAAAATTTTATCTAAATATGTCCATTTTTCCTCTGTAATTATTTCACCAGTTTGTTTATTAATAAAGTCAAACTTATAAAACATTTGAATTACTGAACCACTTGTAGACATTCTTAGTCTTGTTTCAACATGGTCTTTGGGAGCAAAAGTTTGTGTTATACAGTATATTACTTTAACTCTAAGATAATTGCACATTGGTAATTTAATATAAGTTGGTCCTTGCTCTACTTCATAATATATATTTTCAACAGCCTTCACAATACTTTGTTTCAAACATAACGACTTTTGTTTAACATTGCCTTGACTAATTTTTCCTTTTCTATTTAACAAATAGTGGGTTACATCTATAGGGAACTTTAAATAACGAGTCAAAATAGTATCACCATCACCCTTCTTCTTATTTTGTTCTTGTTTCCAAAATGATATATCAATTGTAGTAGTATTAGAACTTGCCAAAAAGAAACAACGAGGAAATGCAGTTGAGCTATCACCAAAAAGAATGTGTATCAATCCTTTACTCGGAATATTATAATCATGTTTATAGACTATGGTTGAATGTTTCCTAAAATTTCTTAATCTAGCCAATAAATCCGCCACATTCCCCATTTTCCAAAATGTTATGGTTTCCAAAAATTCAGTTCCTTTAAAATCTTTATTATTAACTGAACCTAATATACCTTCTTGATTTCTTGTTACAATTTTTTTAGCATCTGATTCTTGTTTGGTTTCTAAAGTACCCACATTCAAGTTATCTGTGACTTCAGATTCTTTAACTTGTTGATCAATAGCAACAAATTTCTTAAATATACTCTCCAAACTAGTCACTTTATGAGAAACTTTATTCTCAATTAAAGCCTGCAATTTTAACACTACAGCCTTTCTTTCAGTAAATAAAACATCCATTTTATATTGAACATTTTCTACATCATAAAGAATTATACGATTCGAATGGTCTTTGTCAATCTCAACAGATATAATATCATCAGTATTCAGCTTAGTTAAACATATAAACCCCATGGAATTCATATAACAAAACAAATAATCCTTTGTAACATAGCATACCGATGGAAATCTTTGTTTTGCATTAGGATACCAAAAAGAATTAAATTTGAATAACAAAAACTCAGTCTTCATTTTCAATAACCTTTGGTCAATGATATAAAACACATTTTTCATTTGTACATCATCAATTTGTAATTGTCTATCATAAAAAGTAGGGAAAATTTCTGAATTTACCATCGATAGTCTGTTATGAGCTTTATCTACCACAGTAGATGACCTCATTTGTTTGCTCTCACATAGAGAATATTCACTCCAATTTGTGGTCCCCCATATATTAACCAAGATACCATTAGGGAACCAACTACCACGAGTAAAATAGTTTGCCAATATAGCCAACTGTGATAATTTTGTAGTCAGAGGAGTTGCATCCATATGAAACTCAAACAGTTTCCCGTCTGGTAAATTCAAAACCTCATACTCTGAAAAAGTACAATTTAACTCATCGAGTAAAGATATTGTTTCACTATCAAATGTTGTAATAGCCTGATCTATTGATGTGGTAGTACTAGAAGCAAATTCAAAAAACCTTGGGGAAAATCTTTTGTATGCAATTTCATGTGCTAATGTACTATTATTTAATGTTCCAATGTACTTTTTTGATAACTCAAATGTATTTAACCAAAATTCTAAATCTTTTAAGGTTTCTGTTTGAAAAATAATCTTAATGTTGTTATTTTTAGAATCATTTCCATGGTTTCGATAAGAAATATCTGTATTATATCCACTACCATTGATTATTTTAACTTCAAAGCAATATTTTCTATTTTCCTCCATTGCATGTCTTACTTGTGTTAAAAAGACACCAAATTTATCAGTTTCTTCAACGTATATCTTTGAAGGTGACAATAAGAACATACCAAACACACCATTTTGCAAAAAACACCATCTTCTGACCCATACTTCTCTGTTATCTTTACCTACTGTAGTCTTCATATGTAACCATCCAGACTTTTCAGGACATACAAAGGGGACTGGTAAACTTTTACAAACTTCTACTGCATTATGAATATTTGTTATATTGTAATCGTTGATATCTTGAGAAGGCGCATAAAAATTACTAGCATACTCAAATATTTGCTTTTTTGCATGCTGAATATCATTTCTTAAAGCTTCATACCCTTCAACTGCATTTTGGACCCATTCTTTATAATCGTTAAAGTATTTTGATTTAGCAGATGAAAATAACCCAATATCTGGATTTTTTGTGGATAATGTACTATGTGCCCGGGAAATCAAAACAGAAATAGAGTCCAGAAAGTGTTTCTCTAGATTCAATTTCACTTCAGACATTGTTTCAATTAAATCTAATGATGCTGTTAGATAACTTTTTCTTATTTCATGTAATTGTTGGGCATCATTTTGAATATTTTGTGGATCCAATAATTTGTTTGTAACCTTAATGTCTTGGAATGAATTCAACATATTATCATATTTTGTTTGAAAATATTCAAAAGTTTTTCTTTTACTCTTATAAGGTTCAATAACATTTGAAAGCAAATTTATAATTATCTGTGACCGTGAATTACTTGTTCCAATTACAACTTTAATAAGAAATTCAAAGAATTTCTTATATTCTAAACTGGATTCAGATATTACAGACGGTGTAAATGTTTGATTACTTACTAACCCATTAGCTAACATCACTGGAGATGGAAAAGCTAAAGAAACAATAGTCTCTCCTACACGTTGAAAATCATCAAATGCAGTCTTAAACTTCTGATCATAAAAGGCCATAGTTGTTTGTAACCTGTCCTCGAATATCTCCATTCTTGTATGAAAGAAATTCACATGTGCCCTAAATGCTGGTGAATCCACAGAAGCCTCTTTAAATTCCACTGATATAAGTTTTAATTGCTTATTTTTATGAACACCCATATTTTTTTGAACATTACTATTACTTTTGTTATGGTCCATTACTTTTTATTTTATTATAGTGAATATTATATTGTGTTATATGATAATTAAGGTTACAAAACAATACCTCATAAGATTACTCAAATGAAATGGAATAACACGAAAAAGGAATATATAAAATAAACTGTGCGACAATAAATGAGGTAATTGTACAAGTAGTATTTTGAGTAGATCTTGTTAAATCTTTTTTTCCTTATATAATGTAATACACAATCTGATTTATGTTCCACACCTTTTTTCCACTAACTTGAATAGTTCTTTATTTAAAGATCTGCAAGAAAGCAGTGAAAAATAAAAATACATCAAAAAAAAGGCTAAACAGAAACAAACAAGACAAACGTTAAAAAAAAAAAAAAAAAAAAAAAATAGAAAAAATTATTGAAGTCATCGAAACAAAATGAAACTCAATTTTATTGGTTTACTAAATCTATTTATAATACTAGTATTTTTTTAGATAAAAATGAGCAGATTACTTTTCTGTGATCCATGGAAGACAAAATTATCAATTTAACAAAACAATTGACTTTTCTTTAAAGAGATCACTAAACAAACTACAATAAAATAAAAGCTGTGTAAAACAATCAAAGTGCTATCTATAAATTTCCTTGAACAGTCTTTGAACCTGACAGCAATGTGTTCAAGAAGGCTAAATTTTCATACAGCTAATCACTTAGGTCCCATATCCGCGTCTAGAGATAAAATCTACATCAATCAATTGAAATTACAAACTATTACAGGTCCAGATTTATGGAATGCATTAAATACACAAAAATGTCATGTATCCCTCAGAATTGGCACAGATTTTAGTAAATCCTCCACCACAGACGACTTAAAATACTCTTTAAATTATGCTGTAATAAGTAGAGATATTACCAACTTGGTTAAAGGAAGAAAAGATTGGTTACAATTAAGCAATTTGACGAAATCCATATATGATTTTACGACTTCCAAAGATCGATATCGAGGTGTTAATGAATTAGAAGTTTGTGTAAAGAATCTAGATTATCATTTAAGGACTCCTCATATTTCATGCATTATGAGAGAACCAACAGAAGAAATCTATGAGATCCATAATCTTGAATTATTTACAATTATTGGTGTTTTCACTTTTGAAAGACTACAAAAACAAAAAGTGTCTCTAGATATAATTATTAAGAGTCCTCCAGGTTTAGATAAAACTTCTTCCTTGAAACTTATCATTGATAATATAGTGGAATATGTGGAAAAGTCTAATTTTAAAACTGTAGAAGCCTTGGTTGAATCAGTAGGGAAAGTGATCTCTCAATCAATATCTTCGTCTGATAGAGATCGAATTGAAATAACTGTTAAAGTTATAAAATTAAGTGCAATAACAGATACCGATGGTGTTGGTGTTAGCACTACAAAAAGTGTTAAACAATTGGATTTATTAAAGAGTATAAAATTAAAGGATAATTCTATGGATAAATCCACAAAGTTTGATTTACCTGTAGAACAAAAATTTAAGCAAATAAGCATTGTTAACAACGAATGGAATACAGCATATTTAGCATTTGGCTCTAATATTGGTAATAGGGTCAAATATATACTATCAGCTATCAATTTGTTAGACAAAAATCCTAAAATCAAAGTCTTAAATACTTCATCCCTGTTTGAGAGTGAACCAATGTATTTCAAAGATCAAAATTCATTTATGAATGGATGTTTACAAATAAAAACCCAGTTGAACCCTGATGAATTGCTTACTGTTTGCAAACAAATTGAATATGAAGAATTGAAAAGAGTAAAACATTTTGATAACGGTCCAAGATGTATTGACTTAGATATCATACTATACTTAAACAGTGAGGGTAATCATGTTCTGGTTAATACTGAAAATTTAATTGTACCACATCCAAAAATGCTAGAAAGAACCTTCGTTTTAGAACCACTAAGTGAACTTATCCCATCAACTATGTTACACCCTATTACATCTGAACCAATTATTCAACATCTAGACCAAATATATGCAAAATTAAATGACGCGGATTATTTGACTAAATTAATTCCATTGCCATCAATAAATAATAGCTATCGTTTTTTGAGATTCAATACTAGATATGAATTGAATCCAATATCATCACAAGTGATCAGAAAAACTTCATCTCCTACATATATTATGGGTATAATCAATAATACTCCAGATTCCTTCTCTGATGGAGGAAAGCATTTTAATAACATTGACAAGAAATTAGACGATATTATAAGAATGTGTAATGAAGCATTTAAATTACAGGAAAATATTATAATTGATATAGGAGGTTGCTCTACCCGTCCCAATTCAAAACAAGCTACATCAGAGGAAGAATTATCTCGGTCCATCCAGTTAATTAAAACCATTAGACAATGTCCACAATTACCACAAGAAAAGATTGTTCTATCTATTGATACATACAGATCTGAGGTGGCTCGACAAGCTGTTTTGGCTGGTGTAGATATTATTAATGATATTTCTGGTGGCACATTTGATCCAGCAATCTTTGAAGTTGTTGCAGAAAATCCTTATGTGGCTTATGTTCTCTCTCATATTAGAGGTGACATTAACACTATGACACAATTAAATCATTATGAAGAAACAGAAAACTTGAATGGGACGGAATTTTTATACAATCAGATAGAAAAGAATAATACACAAACTCAATTTATTAGATCAATTGGTTTTGAAATGTCTCAAACATATAGGAAAGCTGTTCAATGTGGAGTGAAACGCTGGCAAATAATTATGGATCCAGGATTAGGATTTGCAAAAAATGGTAATCAAAATATTCAATTGATGAAGGATATCCCATTACTCAAAAATTATTCATTTTTCAATGAAGATACTAAGGAATTTACTAACTTCAAAAATATACCTGTATTAGTAGGACCTTCCAGAAAGAAATTTATTGGGACAATAACAAAGGAAGAAGATGCCTCTAAGAGAGACTTTGCTACTGGTTCTGTTGTTACATCTTGTATTGGTTTAGGCTGTGATATTGTAAGAGTGCATAACGTGGCCGATTGTTCTAAAGCAGTGAAAATTGCAGACTCTATTTACAAATATTTGTGAATGCAATATTTTTAAGTTCAATTTCTTCTTATTATTATTAATATCGAAATAAAAGATAGATACAATTACTCTTTAAATACTAATTAATGTACAAATATATAATGAGATTTAGACAGATAAATATACAAACTTTAATTTGTGAAGATCGTTACCCACAAATATATCGATTCTCATTAAGAAGTATGCATTTTGATTTAAATAAAACAAAAAAGAAAAAAATACTATTTTGGTTATAAAATCTATAGGATATTAACAAAAGAGTAATAACACAGAATGATAGTAATAAATAGAAATATTAATATTCACCATAAAAAAATAATAAAACAAAAATATAAAAACTGATGCCTAGAATCCTAGAACACTATCTTATATTTCAAATTGGACAATCTCTGGAGATGTGACCAGGTTGGTTGCAATGGTAACAAACCTTCTCGGCAGCTTCATTTGGACAATCTGTGGAAATATGACCGAATTTACCACAGTTGTAACATTTAGATTCTGACTCAGTACAATCTCTAGCTAAGTGGTTAAAACCACCACATTTATAACAGGTCTTACCACTATTGTATCTGTTACCACCATGATGGAATCTACCCTTTCTTGGTTCTGGACATTCTCTGGAGATATGACCAGTTTGGTTGCAGTTGTAACAACGTTGAACAGTACATTCACTTCTAACATGACCTGTTTCACCACAGTTGTAACATTGCTTGTGTTCAACAGTTCTTGGTTCTGGACATTCAGATTGAACATGGCCAGGTTTGTTACAATTGTAACATAATTTTTCAGAATCACAATCGTCAGCTAAGTGACCTAATTTACCACAAACGTAGCAGGCTTTTTGAGACATTCTTAAATAGAGACCTTCTGGAGAGTTCTGTCGACTTGTTTCTTTTTTCTGGGCAAGAGCCTATCCTAATATAAAAGAACAGTGCTTTCGTCACGTATCACCTTAAGTAAACCACCATTGAACCATATTTATGCCTGTCGACTGAATCCAATGTATCCCTCATTCTATCACCAAAAAAGAAAAAAAAAATTTTTTTCTTTCCATTCGGAAATTTCGTACAGAAAGATATTCAAACGTCATTAAACAGAGTCTGCTCATGACTACAGAATTAGGAAGAAGCAAGTAACTGTTAAGAGATTGTAACACTTATCGATACTATCATACATCTGGTATACACACTTCCCACGGTTCTAAAGGCTCATTATCTGTGACTAATGTCCCATATTCTCTGGTAGCTTCAAAGATATCTAACATCTCTGATCCATAGTCTAATAATGTTTCAATATCATCAGAATTTAAATCCTTTAAATGATGTTTGAGACGATATCTAAAATCTTTATTACCTATTTTCATTTTTAATATTGCTACTAGTGTAAGAACTTCTGGTGCCAATACGTATATTGCAAAATCCTTCGTCCCCCACCACTTTACTACAGGCGACTTGTTTTGAGTTAACTCCTTTTTATATTTATGAAAAATTTGTTCACCAACAATTGTTTGTCTTTTCCAACCATAAAATCCTGCAAGAAATTTGTTTAAAGATGACATGGATATATCATGTAGGGAAAAAAATGGTTTACTAGATTGTCTGCTCAATGCTTTTGCTTCATTGTAGTAAGATGATGGCATGGTCCCTTCCAAAATATATTTCACAATTTTTAGAACTGGATCACATTGTTTAAGTAATTTGCCTGAATCCACTGAAGGTGGGATATTGTATTTAGATTTGATTTCAGTTTTTACTTTTTTGATTATATCTGACATGGAAATATCCTTAAATAACGATGTATTTTGTTTAACAAATGGATTCAAATTGTCAAACGTTTCCGTCCTTGCAGATTCAATAAGTAATTTCCTTTTTTCTGGAGTAATTCTCTTATGGGAAGATGACACAATGCTCTCGAGTGGTTTCAATTTTGTATACTGGTCCTTTATTTTCATATCAACCTTTTTTTTCTTTATTAATTTCATTGTTTCAGGATGATTATTCAATATCACTTCATCATTAGATGATAATGTCGTCTTTCTTTTCTTCCTTAATTCTTGTATTGTGAAGACATCATTATCATTGCCATTCTTATTTAAACCAAAATCAGTATTAAGTTTCAATGTATCTTGGTTTACATTATTTTGAATTTTGCTCGAAGTTTCAATTAGTGATCGGATCTTATGTCTTCTTTTAGCATGCATTTTCAATTCTTTTAATCTAGAATCACCACAATCAGAGTCCTTTAAAGGGCAACTTTTGAATCGACTTCCACTTCTAATAAGGTCTCCCATTCCTTCACTTGGTACTATAATGTTTTGATATATTTATTTTCTTCTTCCTTTTCTATTTTGATTTTTAACTTTTTTCTATTAAACTTGGTAGTACCCAAATATCCTTTCTCTTTGTACCTCAATGAAACACGTTCTATTACTATAGACACTCCTCCCCAAAAAAAAAAAGAAAATTTATCAGACTCTACCTTATTGTAAAACTTATATCACACCTTTAAGATTGTTTTGTTAATTACTGGAATAATTTATCATTATATTCATACAGGGATTTTTTTCTATATCTTTTTCTTTCAATTCATTTTATTGTAGATCACTTTTTCTTATTTCCTCTTTTGGATTTTGACGCAGAAATCTTTTGAGTTATTTAAAAAGAGAATAACACCACAAACACAATTGCAATGATAAGTATCAATTAGAAAATCGTTCATTATTGCGTCCTCAAAAGAAAGAAGACAAGATCAAACGGGCTAGTTATTCCAAGCGAACTATTATTAATGATTTTATCTAAATAAAACAAGGCAATATATTGGAATACATTAATTTATTTAAAACCAGAAAATATCGCAATGAATCAAATGATAGATTTTTTAGAACATAAATCAATTACTCCAGCCTTATCTGACTATATTATCGAATTATATTTAAAAGAAGTATTAGAAAAGGGCAAAAATGTCCACAAAATCGAAGATGATAGATACACGAAGGTTATTTCTCATTCTAAATCAAGATTTAGTTCTTCATTGCAACCAAATGAAATTTTATCTTTGGAGTTCCACCCCTCAGGTAGATTATTAGCATATAGCAGAATGGATGGATCTTTGACAATATGGGAAGTACCCTCAAATGGTATTTTACACACAAATTCAAGTAACAAGATTTTTATTAATAATGTTGTAGGTGCAGAAAAATCAGTTACCGATATATCTTGGAATCCTCAAGAAACCTCACAAATTGCTACAACATCAAACACAAATGAAATTATCATATGGTCTCTTATTGGCTCTAAATTTAGAGAAAGTGAATTAAGCAGAGTCAAAACAGTTAATGTAGAATCACATAAAACTAAAATCAATAAATGTTATTATAGTCCTCGAGGCGAATGGTTACTAGCAACCACAAAATCAGAAAATTTATATTTATTCTCTACTAGAGATAATTTTTCATTAAAATACATCATTAATTTATCACCTTATCTGTTAAATGGTGACATTACATATTCTACTACATGGCATAATACAGATGATTATTTTTTTATTGGTTGTAAAAGTGGTCATATATTGGTATTCACATTAAAAAGACTAGCTAAAGATAACGAAGTTAAGTGCATATTAACTTTAAATTCTCATAGAGGTTCAGTGACAGATTTAAGAATGGATCCATACGGTAGATATTTGATAAGTGGAGGATCTGATGGTATGTGCATTTTTTGGGATTTAAATACCTTTACCTCTAAATTTACCTTAAATGATATCAATGCGTTAATATTGTCCATAGATATAGATCATTTAGGTAAGTTACTAGTGATAGTTACTTCCGAAGATAAACTTTTGTTTTATAATATGTCCAATGGAAATCTTATTAGATCCCTTACTATTAAAGAATTAAAGTCAGATATATGGTTCAGATTTCATCCAAATAAAACATGGTTTATCAAATCTACACGGGATGATGTTTTGTATAATCATATTTCTCAAGTGAATGATGAATTTGAATTTTGGAAAGATAAGTATGAACAAAATTTATTAACTCTGCGGAGCAAAAACAAAAATAGTAGTTCTAATTCAAATATGAATATTAATGGACATAATAATATAGACAATAAAAAACTTAGAAACTTGGATGCCAAATCTCGTGGTAGTGTTGATCATAGTAAACAGATTACAGAAAGAGGTTCTGGCGTAACTGCAAATAAAATTCGCAAAAATACATCATCCACAATTAGAACACAGAAAAGATTTGGTATAAGGTATGACAGAATGAACAGGGACAGAATGGGTATCATTCCTTCACGATCCTCAATGTCAGGTAGATTTAATAAATAAATTCTGAGGCTCTTTATATTTAAACTTTGTATTCTGAATGATGAATAATATAATATAATGCCGACATAAGAATATAAATACACAACTCAAATAATAAATGTTTGTATATTTACAAGTTAGTAGTTATTCCACATACGTATATATACATACATATATGTGTGTGTGCGTATACAAATAAATAATATTTATACTAATGACAATTTAAAGAGACATTACCAAAGAATATTTGGCATATCTTTCTCACTTGTCTATTTTTTTTCTTTTTGTTACATTGTCACTTCGTTTCGTATTTATTTATCTAAAAGAAATTCTGTGTTGTCATAATAATCTTTTTTTACAAAATCCTTAATTTCATCTCTAGTCAACCATTTAAATTCAATATCCTTCATCTTAGGAACAAACTCACCTGTCAGAATCCTTGATTTAATAAAGAATTCCAATGATTCATCATTTTTATCTTTTAAAACCTTAACAGGTTTTCTTGAAACAGTCCAGGTATTAATCTTAGACCCACCAATATCTCTTAAACCAGATTCAGCCACTTCATGCAATGCATAATCTGAATTGACTTCAAATGAAGGAAATTTCCACTCATCGTTAGGTTTAATTTTAACTAGTAGGTATAAAGTTTTTCTTAATTGTCTTTCCAAACTTGTAGTATCATTAGATTCATCAGCTTTAGTGATGATTGAGTTTTTAACCACTGGTCTACTTATACTGGTATCATTGGCTGGATTTTCATCTTTAGGTATTATAACTTCTTGTTTAGTACTTCTTTCTCTTCCATGCCTGATATCTGGAATACCTTGAGGATACCAGACCCCAGGTTGTTTTGAAATAGGCTTCTTTTGAGCAATTTGAAACTTGTATTCAGACATTGTACCTTTTTTAAAGTAATAATATGCTGGGAAAGTCCACATCAATCTCTTCTCCAATTCATATTTATATTTAATGTATTGAGATTCAAATTTTGTTAGATCAGGAACCACTATTGGACTTCTAGCCAAAATTAATGCAGCTCGGATAGTTTGTGGTACCTTTGTAGCCATATTGTCTTCTTTTTCCTTTTTTTTTTTTTTTTTCTTTTTTGACTATCTATCTTACCTACCTATTTGTCTTGTATTTCTTTGATTACCTGTTGCACGCAGTTTTTATCAAACGTCCTAATATCAAAATCTCAACGATATTTCCACCAATCACAAAACAATACATTATGTAAGTTATGCAACAGAACTTTATTTACTTACTCTTTAAAACTTTTAGAACCAGTATAAATAATCTTTAACCCTTTACAAATAAATAACCTTCCTTCCTGCCTATTTTTTTTCTGTATTTCGAAGGACTTTGAAAAAAGTAAAAAAAAAATAGAGATAAAAAAAGCTAAGAAAAGCTAGAAAAGAAGCGGATTGAAATCGATACAAAGGCACTTTCTAAACAAGAAAGCATGAAATCCATTATGGATGGCATATTTATTAGTATAAAAAGTATTCACACAAACTCATAAAATGTTATATATTACAATAAGACATTGCAGGGATAGACTTCATTAACTAAACTACCCCCCTCTATGTCTTGCAAGATCAGATTAAAAAGACTTTCATATGTATATACTAATAGAAACAATTTATACATGCATATTAATGGAACAACCAATGATATAAAATAGAAAATTAAACAAAAAGATAGTATACCTGTATCCTTCTTCTTGACTTTCTTGTCTCCAAATGTCCTAAAATACAAAAAAATGCTTCATTCAATGCTGTTGCTGTTGATTTAGCATATTCATTAAAGTATTTAATTGTGCTTGTGGATCAGCTGCCTGTGCTTGTTGTTGTTGGGAAGGTGGTGGTGCTGGTGCCTGCTGATTTGGCAATGATGTGCCACCCATTTGCCCCTGATGTAATATTTGTTGTGGAGATTGAGACATACCGTATCCACCTATTGGTTGTCCATATACACCATTTTGACCCATGTAACCACCACCTTGTTGTGGTGGTAATTGATTGTACATAGTATTTGGTTCAGCAATATATCCACTTTGGACTGGTTGATGTTGATTGTATTGATTATAACCATTCCGTCTTTCATCTCTATTAGATCTTGGACCGTTTTTAGACGAATCCGTAGGTATTCTTTGAGAAATAGCTTTTGAAGAAACACCATCACCTACAATAATATCTGGTTCTTCAAATACCATACCAGGTGTTAAAGGCTGTCCATTAGTCCCACCCCATTGCGCTTCCAATGACCACTTCTTGTCAGCATCGGTTAGTCTATGTAAGGGAATTATACTGTACCCATTTTGATAATCGCAGCAATCTCTAGGACCAAAACCAACACCCCAACGTGTTCTTAATGGGTAAGAACCATCTAAATTAAAATTCATTAACACATTTTCTGCCTCACGTCTAGAATAAACCTTGACAAAGGCATGCTTTCTATGGTTATTTAAAATAACACTCTGAACATCGGCGTATGGTTTTAGAATATGGGAAATATCCCACTCCTTCATATTCATTGGAACACCACCAAGAAATAAGGTTCTACTCAAAACTTTAATAGCATTTGGAGGCAAAGAAGGATCATATGTAACAGGTTTGGGTCTACTATGTGGATTTTGTGGATAATTCATTTCGTCTGGATACAGATGATGATTGTTTGGACCGAAATTTTGTTGTTTACGACCAAAACTTGAATGTTCATTAGAATCGTAACCATGATTGCCCTTTTGAGGTGGTGATCTTGATCTATTTCTTCTAGAGGAGTACCTTTCATATTGACGTTCACGCTCACGTCTGCTTCCATACTCGGTAACTTTATGTGAAGACTGTTCAACTTTGTTTACTGTATGTTGTGATTGTTGAATATGTTTAGCTAATTGAATTTGCAGAGACAATAATAATTTACGTAAAGCAGTTTGTTGTTCAGATAAATCATCAGATACTAAGGCATCTGTAACATCAACGTCAGGTACAAAATCAAGTGGCTTCAAGTTATTAATTATAGTTTTGGCCCTTTCTTTAGGATTTTCAGGCAAAAGCTCTGTTTTGTCGGAATCAGAACTGCTATTATTAACAGCAACAGATGGTGATGTATTACGAGATAATGAATCATCCATAGAAAAACACTTAGCTCTTACAGCATTTAAGTAACCCTTTTGAAATAAACCAGTTCTATCCCAGATATCAATTAGCGTTCTTATTTTTTCTCTGTGATCTTTATTTCCCTTAGAATATGCAGTGGTTAATAAGTCTTGAATAGATTCACCTAAAGTATAAACAGCATGCGCAGCAGAACCTTTCTTTGCAGTAGGTTTAATGTAATCATCTCTAGCACGAGCCTCATCTAAATAACCCCTACCAATGGAATCAATAACATACAAGGAACCCAATTTATGAGAATCGGGACAAGTCTTAGAATAATTTATAATTGCATCAACAATTTGTTCCTCTTGATCGACATTTTCAAGAGCAAATGTAGTCAACTTTTTAATACGAGAACCAGAGATACCTGATTTTAATTCCCGAAAGGATTCCAAGGTATTTACAAAATCTTGAAAAGTCTCAGTTTCACTCATTTTGTGATTGTTAACGATATTTTATTGAAGAGAATTATTAATAAATATAGCTTTTTCTCTTATTCTCCGGATAGTTTTCTAATGGGTCGTAATATCCAACTTTCAAAAAAAAATCCTTTCTATGCTTTATCTTTCACACCTTCTCCTAACGAATTATGATACGATTATCTATATATATATAATAGTAGAAATATACGTTTTTAAAAATATTTTCCTTTAACAATATTTAGTAAAATGAAGTAAGGAAGAAGAAAAAAAGTGAATACGAAGTTAATAATGTAAGGATGGAAAATGCTAATTGACGTTGTATTACTACTTTATTTTATTTGTATTAGTTTAAACTTTTGTTTTACTCTACCTGCTTTTCAATTAAAGGTATATATAATGCACGCACTTAATTAAAAAAATTAAAACACGATTACAATTATTCTGTAACTACTTTATAACACAATATTATATATTGATTTTATTTTAAAGACACTAAGTGAAATATACTGCTTCGTATGTCCAGTCGTAAGACTTGTCAGCTTTGCTTAAGAGAGAGCGCTGAGTCAAGAGTAGTTAAGACTTTTACAAAGGAGAAAACGAAAAACCTCAGGGCAACATCTCATAATTTATCTCCTTTATATAGTTTTTTCAGGACTTCATCATTTTGTTTCAACAAACAAGAGAAAAAAAAAAAAAAAAAAAAAAAACAAAAACAAAAAGTGAAAGGAACCAAATAAAAAAAATATCAGATTTTCTCAGGGTAACCACTTTTGGTTAGAATTAAGTTAGTCAGTACTACATAACATTAAGCCGGATTAACCTACAAGGAAAAGTTCTTAATAGATATCTGTAACGACCAATGATACCTCGATAGTATTCAAGGATAAGATTATTGACTTACTTTGCTTAATAGATATATGTCTAGTTATTGTGAAAGAGACAGAGGTTATCTTGGTTACGACATTAAATAAATTACAAAGAAATGAGTGCCATCCATAAACTCTCCATTCAAGGTATACGATCATTTGATTCAAATGACAGAGAGACTATTGAGTTTGGTGCACCACTAACTTTGATTGTTGGTATGAATGGATCAGGGAAAACAACAATCATTGAATGTTTAAAATATGCAACGACTGGTGATTTACCGCCGAACAGTAAAGGTGGAGTTTTCGTCCATGATCCAAAGATTACTGGTGAAAAAGATATACGTGCCCAAGTAAAATTAGCTTTTACAAGTGCAAATGGGATTAATATGATTGTAACCAGAAATATTCAACTATTAGCTAAAAAAACTACAAATACATTTAAAACGTTAGAAGGTCAATTGGTGGCTATTAATAAAAGCGGAGAGAGGACCACTTTAAGTACTAAATCTTTAGAGTTAGATACACAGGTACCATTATATATGGGTGTCCCCAAAGCTATTCTAGATTATGTGATCTTTTGTCACCAAGAAGATAGTCTGTGGCCATTAAGCGAGCCTAGTAATTTGAAAAAGAAATTTGATGAGATATTCCAAGCTATGAAATTTACTAAAGCTATTGATAATTTGAAAACAATTAGAAAGGACATGGTTGTAGATATTAAATTATTAACACAGTCTGTGGAGCATTTAAAAATCGATAAAGATAGATCAAGAACTACAAAAATGAAAATTCACCAATTAGAAGCTAAAATAGATGAATATCAAAGTGAAGTGAATTCAATTGAAGATCAACTGAATAAAGTTACTAAAGAATCAGATAAGCTTTTTAAAACAAATCAAGATTTTCAAAATATTTTGTCGAAGACAGAAAATTTGAGAAATCTCCATTCTGTTACTCTGAACGAAATTGATAGGTTATCACATTCTATTGATATAGTAGATATACCTTCTGCAGAATTAAACAGCATGTTGGAGAATTTTTCTGAAGTTTTAGAGAAAAAAGAAATACTGATTAATCAATATGAAGATAAATTATTTTCAATTAAGTCAAAGCAAGAAACACTAAATAGGAGCAGAGAAGTATTAATAAGAAAAGAAGCTGAGTTAACTTCTCAAAAAAATACTTACTTGCAATTAATTGAAAAATTAAATAGTTCAGTAGACCAATTTAGCTCAAAGTACAACATTACCTTTGATAAAACCATCTCCCAAACAAACACAAATAATAATCACTTTGCATTGTGTTTAAATACATTAGAACAACATTTTCAAGACTTAACAATACAGCTGAAAGATTTGAAAAAAGCTAACAATTTAGAACTGGCCAAATTAGAAGACAAGTTAAAAGCTAAGCAATATAGTGAAACAGCGCAAATCCAGAATTTACAATATTCAAATCAAGATTTATATAAATTAAAGCAGCAAGTAATATCTTTATCAAAAGATATAGAAAATACAACAACTTTAGAAGAAGAATTAAATCAAGCTAATCATGATCTTAAAGAATATAATAAACAGTTAACAACCTGGGAGAAAGATGAACCCGTAAGTGTAATTGCTTCTCAAATCAGAGAAAAAAATAATGAGTTGTTATCAGTTGAAAGAGAGGTAGAAGGCCTTCAAGATAAAATTTTGAAAGCAAACCAACAAACTGATCTTTTTGCAAAACTAGCTGTTATTAAAAAAACGTTGGAGGAAAAAAAATTAATGTTATTTAATTTAACGACAGACTTAGAAAATGCCTTGTGTTTGAAAGGATTTAGTTTGAAATTGTCAGCTGATATTGATATAGAATTTAAGAAAGTTTTTATTAACTTACAAAGAGATATTGCTTTATCTAACAAAGAATTAACTGTTGCCCAAAAGGAATATACGGAAAACTCATTTTGTTTAAGTACACTAGAAAACGACCTTAAGCAAAACTTAGAAAACAAGGCGACATTAATAAACCATCTAAAGGGAAGTTTACCTGAAAATTGCAGTATCGAAGATTACAGTGATATACTTTTGGAAGCGGAGCTTTCTTACAAGACTGCTTTAGAAAATTTGAAAATGCATCAGACTACCTTGGAATTTAATAAAAAAGCCTTAGAAATAGCCTATCGTGATAATTGTTGTTATCTATGTTCACGAGAATTTGAAACCGATGAATTTAAAAGTAAATTACTCTCAGAATTAAGACGAAAGACGGATTCTAAGTTTGAAATGACTTTAAAGGAGACAGTAGAGGAAGAAAAGAAATTTTTAAATGAATTAAGATATTTAGAAAAGGATATAATTTCTCTAAACAATTTATCCAAAAAAATAAAAGAATTTGAAGAACTTAAATTAAATACTTCAAAAAGTGTTATAGAGTCTAGAGAGAAGCTTTCACGTGTGGAAAAGAAAAATACCAATCTCAAAGAATCTCGTGATTATGGTGAAAAGATATTAAGCAGAAAGATTGAACGATATTTAGATGTATCAAAAGAAGTGACTGAACTAACTTTTGAATGTGGTGATATCTCAAAGAAATTAGAAGGATATAGTGATGAGAATGGAAAGATTGAAACTATAGATGAACTCCAAGAAATGCAAAAATCAAAGAATGATTTTATGCGTGAATTACGTAATGATATTAATAATTTGCAAGAGATGAGAGAAAGAAAGACAAAAGAACATAATAATATCTTAAGTAAAATTAATGAAATAAAAATGCACATTAAAGATATGGAAAAATCCATTATATCAACAAAGAACCTACAAATAGATATTGATAATAAAAATAAAGAAATTGAGAGTATTACATTAAGAGTAGAGAAACTATCTACTGAAGTTAAAGAGTTAACAGCAGAAAGAAAGGATATAGAGCAGTTGCTTAATAAGAAAAAAGAAGAATTTCAAAATAATACTGATCTGATATCGGATAGACTAGAAAGAGTTAAGAATGATTATGATTCTTTTAAAGTAGATTATACTCATATACAAAAATTCCAAGAGCATGGATCAAATCAACTAGACTCTTGTCATAAGGAAATTATGAAAATTGAGAGGGAAATTAGAGAAAACCAAGACTCAATAGAAGAGTTATTGAAAATGTTGACAGAACAGAAAGAAAAATTGAGAGATTCAAAGAATGAAAAAAGAACTTTAAAAGACAATTTAGAGCTATTAAATTTAAAAGGTAAACTAAAGGAGATTGAAAATCAAATTGAGAAATTGGACATTAAAAATGCAGAAATTCAAAGAGATATATATAAAGAAGAGTCTACTCGACTTCGCTCATTATATGAAAAATTGAGCGCAGATAATGCTGGAAAATTGGGTGAGATGAGACAATTACAAAATCAGATTAATTCTTTATCAAGTCAACTAACATCTGAATATAAGGATATTGATGAAAGATATCACAAGGAATGGGTTAAATTACAGGCGAATATTTTTGTTACTGATGATATTGATACATATTCTAAAGCATTAGATAGTGCTATCATGAGATATCATAGTTTAAAAATGGAAGATATCAATAGAATTATAGATGAACTATGGAAACGTACATATAGTGGTACCGATATTGATACCATAAAAATAAGATCTGACGAAGTTAAAAGTTCAGTAAGGTCAAAATCATACAATTATCGTGTAGTGATGTTTAAACAGGATGCTGAGTTAGATATGAGAGGAAGATGTTCTGCTGGTCAAAAAGTATTGGCATCTATTATAATTAGATTAGCATTAGCAGAAACATTTGGTATCAACTGCGGTGTAATTGCACTTGACGAACCTACAACCAATCTTGATGAAGAAAATATTGAAAGTTTGGCTAGGTCATTAAATAATATTATTCAATTTAGAAGACAGCAAAAAAATTTCCAATTAATTGTTATCACACATGATGAGAAATTTTTAAGTCATATGAATGCAATTCAATTCACCGATCATTTCTTTAAAGTTAAAAGAGATGATAGACAAAAGTCCCAAATTGAATGGGTAAATATTAATAGAGTTAATGAATATTAGCAAGTAAAATTATCATTGAAACTTATTCAATATATAACTTTATGGGTTATTCTATAACTAGGATTCGAATATATTGTGCAATACATTGGACAGAGAGGGTAATACATTCATTTACTCATTATACACAGTGATTCAATAAATTTTCAGGATAATCTACGGCTATTAATTATATATTTTAAGGAGTATTTGTAAAAGTGCCTCTAGTTGTATATAAGGAGGTGGCTAAGATATTTTACTACATGTAATTCTTCTTACTAATTCATAAGATTAGAGGATATTAAAAAAATAATCTGTAATTAATGTACTTACTTATTGTTCTGAATAATTGCCATATTTTCTTCTAGTTAACGTTAAAATGAAACAAATATAATATAACATATATAGAACACTGTGATATATATAATTATAAGTACATGTTTCTAATATACAAATAATAAAATAGTACTAATGCTTATTGTAGATAAGTCCTATTATTTCCAATATTATAATATTTTATATTGTTTAAAATCTATCTTTCTTTTTAGATACAATCATTATTCACTTTTGAAGAGACAAATCATCTACCTAGGACCTCTTCCTCTTCTGCTCATTTCAGGTAATTTGAAGGGAACTTTTAAAGTAGCAATTTTATAAGTGGAAATTTCTGCCTTACTAATACCGAAAGCTTCTGCTTGTGCGACTGTAGCACTCTTGACAACACAGCCAATAATTCTGAATAAAGATGTGATCTTAGATGGTTTGAGGCCAAGGTCTTGAGCAACTGGGGAAATTTCCACAATAAAGTTATCTAGGTGTAACATTATGACCAAAATATAACATAATAATTTATCTTCACTGTGTGGATCCACTAAAAAGGAACGGTTCTTGGATCTACCAAAGGCACCTTGTCTAGCAACAGTAAATCTTTCTAAGATACCATCCACCAAACTTTCTGGAGGAGAATTTAGTTTTTCCATTAATTGGTCTTTACTACGACATCTTCTATTTTCATAAACACCAAAAAGTAATGTTAAATAATACAATAACTGAATTTTCACAATTTGAGATGGTTCCTTGAAAATATTTAGTTTCTTTTTAATGTATTTGGTAGATTTTGGAATATATGGGAAAAATTCTAATTTCTTTTCAATATCTTTCTCCTTCAAGATACCATTAACACGAATAGATTGTAGCTCTCTAGAAGGTATTATGTTTTCAACTGGATAGATTTGTTCTACATCAGTGGCATCAACGTTAGCCAATGGAGTTGGTCTATCATTGGCAACAGCAGTTTCCATTTCCTTTCTAGTTGGTAGACCTTTGGAAGCAGATTTAACAGTATCAACGATATCCACAGCAACATCGACCAATTTATCGGAATCAACACGATTTCTTTCCAAGTCTGAAATGGCTTTCTTAGCTTTCTTTGTACCAAAAGCTTCACCTAAAGCATTCCTTAACACAGATCCACGAACTTGGCCCTGGTTTTTAATCTTTGGACCTGCTAAATCCCTTTTACTCTTTGAGACAACTTTAGACACCAAGACAGGAGCTTTATATAAGTCAACTGAATTTGTTTTTTTATTATAGACACCAACAAGGTACTGTAAACCAGCTGTAGATTCAGAATCTGTTTGGCCAATGTATTCTAATCTATTATTTTCACCATGTAAAATATATTGATCATCTGAATATTTATTACGATATAATTTGAATTCAGTATCAACGGGGGCATGAAATCCTTTGAAAAAACTTGCAACAGCAATCGATGGTTCGGATTCGTACGAAGAAATATCAACTTGGGATAAAGGCCTTTTGGACATCTGTAAAAGAAAGAAAGGTTAATTTATTAGTCTCCTGATATAAAGTTCTTTCACTTAGTTCTTATTGTTTTTTATATTTTTCTAAAAAAAAAAAGAATATTGAATCAAAATAAATTCTGAAGACTGAAGGTACACACAAAAGCTAGCACTAAATACATCAACCTAAATCATGCAACTGAAAATTTCGTGTCAAACTTTTTCAACTTTCAGATAATATACCATACCCGTTTACCATTAGAGCTCTTAAATTTCATCTCATCTCATCTCATTTTTTTTTCTATAGGTAAAGAAAAAAAAATGTAAAAAAAAAAGAAGTTTTAATGTTCGTGTGAAATGCCCTGGATTTTTTTTATTTTTGTTTTCAATTTTTTTGTGTTCGAGAAAGTCATTCTATCGTTTGAAACGATAAAAGCGAACTCTTTTCACTTTAGATAGATTTTGAAGCAGAATTTGGTCAATTGGTGAATTTCGAATGTTGCTGGTTGTCCAACCTCATTAGCAGTGAACGAATTATTCAAATTGGCAAGAGGATCTGGTTAGGTTGTTTATTGAGGGGTCTGAAAACATTGTAATAACAAATTTTTCATTGTTATAGCGATTTATTGATTTCCCAGTTTTCCTTTCTTGCTTTCCTTAGATTTTAGGTAATTTCTCCTTTCAAATGAGATGATTTGTTTGAAACACTTGAAGTGGTTGGAGTCAGTAATTCTTAGGTCCGTAATGTCAACTTCTACTTCTGCTACTACTGCTAACAATAAGGTTATTCAACCAAAATGGCACCAACCACAGGGTGCTAATTCTGAAAAGCCTGTTTTAAGGTTATACAACAGTTTAACTAGAAATAAGAATGTTTTTGTCCCTATCAGTGGAACCAATACAGTTACTTGGTATTCCTGTGGACCTACTGTTTACGATGCCTCCCATATGGGGCATGCTAGAAATTATGTTTCTATTGATATAAATAGAAGAATTCTCTCAGACTATTTTGGTTATGATATTCAATTTGTTCAAAATGTGACTGATATTGATGACAAGATTATTATTAGAGCTAGACAAAACTACTTATTGGAACAGTATATTAAAAACAATGGCTCTGAAAATAAATTGATTTCAAAAGATATAAAAGAAAAAGTAACTAAAGCACTTTTTCAATATATTCAAAAAAATTTGAAGCAAGATTTTAATGTTATCGAACAATTCTGTGAATGGAGAGACAAAATTAATTTTGAAGCCGAGAAATTGGCTAACCCAAAATTTCCTATGCATATTACTGCAGTTGAAAATACTATTAAAGCTTTGAAGGAGGACTGTGAAAGTGATGTTTTTTTTAAGCTAGTAAAAGATACTTTTGTACCATTGCTGGATGCTGAATCTGGCTCCACAGTGAAAGATCCAGAAGTGTTCCGTAAGTTACCTGCCTACTGGGAAAAACAATATGATATTGATATGGCTAAGTTAAATGTTAGACCACCAACTATTACTACAAGAGTCTCTGAATATGTACCAGAAATTATTAAATTCGTACAGAAGATTATTGATAATGGATATGGTTATGCTACTGCAGATGGATCTGTTTACTTTGACACAGTAAAATTTGATTCATCGCCAGATCATGATTACGCTAAATGTCAACCATGGAATAAGGGTAAGTTGGATTTGATCAACGATGCAGAAGGTTCTTTATCGAATTTTGGTACTAATAATGGTAAAAAATCTAAAAATGATTTTGCTCTTTGGAAAGCCTCTAAGCCAGGTGAACCTGAATGGGAGTCACCATGGGGCCCAGGTAGACCTGGTTGGCACATTGAATGTTCAGTCATGGCCAGTGATATCCTTGGAGAAAATATTGATATTCATTCTGGTGGTATTGACTTAGCATTCCCACATCATGATAATGAGTTGGCTCAATCAGAAGCCAGATTCGATAACAAACAGTGGATTAATTATTTCTTACACACTGGTCATCTACATATTGAGGGTCAAAAGATGTCTAAATCCTTGAAGAATTTCATTACTATTGATGAGGCATTACAGAAATTCACATCTCGTCAATTAAGATTGGCATTTGCTTCGGTTCAGTGGAACAACCAATTAGATTTCAAAGAGAGTTTAATTCATGAGGTCAAATCCTTGGAAACAAGTTTCAACAATTTCTTTAATAATGTAAGAGCATTAAAGACAGATTATGAGCATGCATTATCCCAAAATCAATATATTTCCAAGAAGTTGACCTTTGTTGAAAAACAATTATTGTCTGATTTAATTGTTACTAAAGAGAGAGTGCATGCTTCTTTTTGTGATAATTTGTCTACCCCACAAGTCTTAAAGGTACTTAGTGATATGGTCACTTCTACCAACACTTATATAAAAAATGTGGGTTCTGAGTTAAAGATTGAACCAGTTATTGAAGTCTGTAAATACGTCACCAAGATTTTAAATGTGATTGGTTTCCAAACTCGTTCTGACCAATTAGGTTGGACAAGTGATTCAGCAGATGGTAAATCATTTGAAAGCGGATCTTTGGAAGATACAATAATGCCATATGTTAAAGTTTTATCTAATTTTAGAGATCAGGTCCGTTCCATGGCAATTAAGAAAGTTGATAATGTTGAATATTTGAAGTTGACTGATTCAGTTAGAGATCATGATTTATTAAACTTGAATATTGCATTAGATGACAGAAATGGACAAAATGCGTTAATTAAATTTCTTTCGGATAAGGAAAAGGATGAAATGATTAAATTTATGCAAGAAAAGGAGGCCAGAGAAGAAGCCAAAAGATTAAAGAAGCTAGAACAACAACGTCAAAGAGAATTGAAGGAAAAGGAAAGAAGAGAAAAGGCTTCCGTATCTCCATTAGAGATGTTTAAGAATAACAAATTATACAGTGAATGGGATGAGCAAGGGATCCCATTAAAAGATAAAGATGGTAATGATGTAACTAAGAGTATGACAAAGAAATTGAAAAAACAATGGGAACAACAAAAGAAACTTCATGAAGAATATTTTGGTAAGATTGATGCATAAGTTGTAAGGACAAAGCAGGCTAATTCACAAATTCACATAAACACATAAACACACACTTTGAATATGTGGAGTGTTTTTTATCAATGTTGACTGAGTAATATGCATGATAATAGTGTTGTATAATTTATAAAAATCGTATAAATAGAAGTGATTTTACATAAAGTGCTTCAATTATAATGTAATGAGCAAATCTACACAAACAAAGGATTCCTTAAGGTTCTGAAATGTTTTTCTATGATTGAAAGTTTCATATATAGACCTCCGTTCTCAATATTTTTAAATAGAGTATTATTCTGTGTACCAAAAATAGAAAAATATTGAAAATTTATTGAATGGGCTGAAATTAAAAAAAAATCACTAGCTACTTCTACAAATTAGAAAAAATAATATATAGAAGTAGATGAACGGATTTTCTTATTTGAAAGAAAGTAGTAGCGTTGGCATTACCCTAGATAATTGATGACTTACTTGCATTTATCAAAAGGTTGTTATTTAGATCAAGAGTAAGAAAACAAAAAAAAATAGGAGAATTAAGTTTAAATTAGAAAAATAGAACATGAGCAGTAGAGAAGAGTATGTATTAAGTAATATAATACACATGGATTATTTTCAGGTAATGAAAAGCAGTAACATAAAGAAAAGTATTTTACTAACATCTCCATATGTGTATCCGTTGATTTAATTATATATAAATATATGTGTGTGTCTATATAAGGATAACATTATTATTTCAATATTGGTAGAATATCAAAAGCTCTTTTGGGTTTAGCTGATACAGAAGATGCTGTGGAAGCAATGGAAAAGGAAATTGAGTTGTATAGATTAGAGAAAATGAGGCCGATCTATTCCACTCGTGATAAATTTATTGAAAAAATTCCATCTTTTTGGAAAGTTGTACTTTCGCAACATTCAAATTTTGCCAATTACATCAGAGCATCAGATTTTAAATATGTGGATTGTATTGATAGGGTTACGGTAGATTGGGATAAAGATGGTAATTACTCAATTGTTATTAAATTTAATGGTATTGAAGATGATTTCCCAAGTCAAACAGTTATTAAACCCTTCAAATTAGTTAAAATTGAAAATGATTTGAAAGGAGAAGGAAAATCAAATGATGAGGATGAGGATGAAGAGTTAGATGAAATTGAAAAATTGATCAGCGAACCAGTTGATATCATATGGCCAAAATCCTATGATAATATTAATCCAGCAAAGATTAAAGATAAGAAATCTGCAGAGGGTAAGAAGAACTATAGAACTGGTATGAAAACAATATTTGGTTGGTTTAAATGGACTGGTTTAAAACCAGGTAAAGAATTCCCAGACGGTGATTCATTAGCAGAATTATTTGCAGAGGACTTGTATCCATATTGTGTGAAATACTACACAGAGGCTCAACGTGATTTAGAAGATGAAATGAGTGATGATGGTGAGGCAGGTGATAGTGCTGAAGAACCATTAGACATTTCCAACAGTGAATTAGAAGATGGTGAAGAATCAGATGTTGAAAATGGTAGTAAGGCTAAAAGGCAGCGCGTCAATTAGAGGAAAATGCTATCCGAGACGAGAATATTGGGAATTAAATTTTATTGTCCATACTTTTATAGGAATCAATAGACCAATAAATGAATACAAGGGAGCTAACTAACATGAATATATATTGATGATGTATAAAAAGTGAAGGGAAAAAAAATTAAAAAAAAGACCATATATGTATATATGTCTGTATATTTGATGTATAATTAATAATCTAAAGAATTGTGTTTTTTTGATGCGATATGGTGAGTTATTTGTTTAGATATTGATTTATGATTTGATTTGTTGATTGTCTGTGTTTTCTTTTTAGTAATTTTTCTTGGTGTGTGTGATCCCATTTTAGGGTTGGATAATAATTTTGCCATGGGATCATCATTACTATAATCAAATTTTTTATCAGACAGTATTTCAGATTTTAAAGACACACCAGTGCCAACAGAGGAAGTTAGGAACGGATTTTTTGTGGCATTATTATTATTACTGCCACACAAGTTTTGATTATCCTTATCTTTTATTATTGTGGTATCCAATTTTTTTTTACCCAATAAATAATCTTCATTTTCCTCAGGTAAATTATCTTTATCATTGTACATCCATTCTAAGCCATGTTTAGATTTTTTCACTAAGTTTTTTTTTAGGTCAGGATCTCTTGTTGAGTTAATCAGTTCAGTTAATTCCCTTTCTCTCTTGATTTCTTTTTGTCTTTGTATGAATTTTTTTTCTTCTCTTTTAACTTCTTGTTCCCTTTCCCATACTTTTTGTCTATTCTTAAGAAGTTTTGGGTTCCAAGATTTTAGTAGATTTAAATCACCAGATCCCATAATAACAAAATAGAGGTGAATACGAATGTTTGTAAGTGAAACTAAACTGAAATGACTTTTGTCTCTATATATATCAAATTATTAATGAGGATGAAACTATAAAGGCAGAATAAGTACCAAGATCCATAGTAAAATGGCAGATATTCTTATATTCAGCATAAGCATTTTGATATTTTAATTATACACAGGCATACACAAAGGGAAAAAAAAATAAATTTTCCAAAAAAAAAAAAAAAAAAAGAATTGAAAAGTGGCATTTTCTTGAAAGCAAGAAAATGGAGACAAAGTATAATCTGAATAAGATGACAATACTGTATATACGTATTCTATATAAGCGTATGTATGTAGAATAACATATAGTATCAACTATTTACATAAGCTATAAGAGAAATTTTAAACGGATAGGTTCATGATTAGACAAATGGACTCTTGTATTCATTAGACATATAAAGATAAAATAATAGAAAACCATGTATAAAACACATTATATATATATAATGTGTATTTATTTATAAATGAATAGATAGCTATTTATACATATACATATATATGTATATATATACATATTCCTGCTTATTTTTTTTATATGTGTATTGTGTTTTATTTTCCCTTTGGTTATCATAACTGTTATTAATATCACAATTTGATACCATATACAACTTAAGATGATGAAAGAAAATAAAAATAAAATATTAAAAGTAAACTTAAAACTTAAAAGCAATAATAGAGAAAAAATAGAGAAGTTGTAGATTCAGAAACCGTGAATCTTGATGTTCTTCTTTTGTAAACCTAATTGGGAAATCATAAATTCACAAACTTTAGCTCTTTGGTCACCTTGTAGTTGAATGATTTCACCCATTTCAGTGTCCTTAACGATATTACCATTACAGGCAAAATCTTTTTTCAAAACTTTTAAAATTCTCTTTAAGTCATATTCTTCTGGAACACCTTGAACTGTGGTTAAAGTCTTTCTACCATTTCTTTGTTGAATACGAATATGAATGTAGTTGGAAGTAGCAGTTTCATCATCACCAGTATCGGCAAATGGGTCAAAAGATTTTAAGTTTTCAATAGACATATAAACTAAACTAAAATTAATTTACCTTTTATTGAATAGATGATTTATTATGTGTTATCTTGTTTTTTTTTTTCAAAAGAAAACAAACAAGTAAGTCAGCGTAGGTTAGGAAATAGAATAAAAAGAGTCAATGTTGGTTAAGTGATAATACATACACATATACGTATATAAAATAATAAATAAATGACTTGTAGACAGAAAAGAGCAAAATGATTGTAGATGGAGAAGTAAGAAAATCTTCACGCTAGTGGTGGTTATTCAAAATGCAGCTAAGTTAGCAATAATTTAAATTTATCAATCTTTTTTCCCACTGATTTATTTAACACAACAGACAACAACAACAAAAAAAAAAAAAACAAAAAAGAGAGAGAAAAAAAAAGCAACAGCAAAAAAAAAAAAAATAAATAAATAAACAAAAAAAATTGCTGTGTATGTATGGGTGTTGGAATTTGGGGTTAAATATTTAATTTTCTTTTTTATTCGGGGAAATAAAAATAAAACATAGGGTAAACTCAGTTTTTCTCAGGGTTAAATAATATATTATTGAGGGTTTGACATAAAATATTAATCTAAATTTCAACATTTTCCCATTCAGGCTTTTTTTTTTTGCAATTTTTTTAGTGGCTGCGATTTCTTTTTTTGTCCATTTTTTTTTCCCTTTCCCAATAGTCGAGTAATTAATTAAAGTGAGTTAAGATAAAGAAAATAAAAGGTCGATTAAACCAAGCGATTAAAAGACAGGTGTCAAGAGTTTATAATGCAGGGCTGTCATATGCCCTGGTGCATGATTCTCATGGTATACTAATCATTCTACATTCTTGGTTGTTCTTGTTGAATAATTTGATTAGCCCTAAAGCTACACACACATACATAGATATAAACATATAAATAAGTAATATAGATACATCCATATAGAAGTAGATATATCTATCAGACTTGATATTATACTTTTCAATATCGCTAAAACTATGCCACTAACTGAATACGATTTGCAAAAAAGTTTGAAAAAGGCATGTTCCATTGAAGAAACAGCTCCAAAGAGAAAACATGTCAGAGCTTGTATCGTCTATACATGGGATAATAAGTCTGCTAAACTTATTTTTCACATCCTTAAATCACAACCTTACATTAATGATGAAGTCCAATTATTCAAAATGTTGATTGTGATCCACAAAATCATTCAAGAAGGTCATCCATCTGCTCTGAAGGAGGCTATTAAGGAGAAACAATGGATTAAATCACTGGCAAGAATTCATTCTACTGGTTACTCTTCATATTCTAAATTGATTAAAGAATATATTAGATATTTAGTAAACAAATTAAATTTCCATTCTCAGCATAGAGGTTTCCATAATGGTACATTCGAATACGAAGAATATGTCTCTTTGGTCTCTGTGGCTGATCCAGATGAAGGGTACGAGACAATCTTAGACTTAATGACTTTAATGGATAATATTGACGATTATTCACAACTTTTATTTGCATCTATTCAATCAGATTCAAGAAATAGTGAATGTAAGATTGCATCTTTAATTCCAATGGTCGCTGAATCATATGGTATTTACAAATTTGTCACTTCTATGTTAAGAGCGATGTATAGACAATTAGGTGAAGATGATCCTGCATTGGCCCCATTAAAGGAGAGATACGAATTGCAACATGCACGGTTGTTTGAGTTTTATGCAGACTGTTCCTCCATTAAATTCTTGACCTCCTTAGTAACGATCCCTAAATTGCCCACTGAGCCACCAAATGTGTCTAAAGTCGTAGAATTAGATTCTACTGTCAAAGATGTCAAATTTGAAAAGAGACCTCAACAACAAAAGGAGCAAAAAGGGCCAAATGAACTACCTTTGAAAGAACAAACACCATCTTCAGCTCCTTCTTTAAGTAGAAATGCCTCCTTGACTTTCATTTCACCGGTCGCAACTAGTGGTACGATGGCTCAACTGATTCCTACTGTAACAGCTGCAGCAAATATGGTCCCTATGATGACAGGTGTTCCTGTACAACAACAGCAGCAGGCTGAATATTGGGCACAACAACAACAACAATTAGCTAATGAACAGGCCCGTTTAGAACAAGAACATCAAAGACAATTACAAGAACAACAGCTTCAACAACAAATGTTCCAGCAACAGTTGCAAAATGCTCAACAAGAGATGATGCAATTACAATTACAACAGAATACACAACAACAGAATGATTTGATTGCATTAAATAACCAGTATGAAAAAGATCAGATGTTATTGCAACAATACGATAACCGTGTTCAGCAATTAGAAAATGAGATTCAAACGATGAATGAGAACGTTACATCGCAACTGGCTAATAAAAATGATCAAATTAGCTCTCTACAGGATCAAATGGATATTTGGCATAAAAAATATGATTCTTTAGCCAAGTTATACTCACAGTTACGTCAAGAGCATTTGCAATTATTGCCAAAATTTAAAAAATTACAAGTTAAAGTAAATAGTGCCCACGAAGCCATTAAACAAAAGGAACATTTAGAAAATAAAATGAAGCAAAAAGATTTACAAATGGCTGATTTAATAAAAGATCGTGATAGATTGAGGGTTGAAAATGATAGGATTGTTGCTAACAATAAAGAACGTGATATGCAACTTGCTGAAAAAAGTAGCATGACCACTGAAGATAAGATGGCTTTGATTATGGATGCTTCATTAGAAAGCGGAATTGCCACAATTCAAGAAGCTGTATATAACCTTGATGCTCAAGGTAGTTGGATTGGCCCATTGACAACAGCAAACCATATTATTACATTAATAGAAGGCTGTTCAGAAAAGGCTACAGAGTTTGCTACAAGTTTTAATGATTTAATCGTGGATGGTATGATTGAAGGTGATCAGCCAACTGTAATTTTCAATATTAGTGAATTTAGTATTAATGTTGCGGCCATGGTAACGAATGTCAAAGCCTTTTCTACTACCACCTTAGCAGCAGAGGAGTCTGATGATCTAATTGAACTTATTGAAAAGTGCGCACGTGAAGCACAATATTTCTTTGAAGATTTGATGTCTGATAATTTATTATCCTTAAAAGATGATGAAGCTAGAACAGATGCAGTTATTAACGCTAATGTTGATATGCAAGAAAAATTACAAGAATTATCTATTTTCTTGGAGCCTTACTTAAACAGATTGCCACCATCTACAGAAGAAAACAATGCCCATTCTGAATTAGTTGCAACTGCTGAAAATATTGAAAAATCCTCGCAAGTCTTACGTGTTAATGTTGATGTCAATGTGCCAAAACCTATCTTGGATCTATCTTTAGTTATTATCGATGCTATTGTAGCATTAGTCAAATCAGCTATTGAATGTCAGAATGAAATTGCTACATCGACCAAGATTCCTTTAAGTCAGTTCTATAAAAAGAACAGTCGTTGGACTGAAGGTTTAATTTCTGCTGCTAAGGCTGTTGGTAATGCTACCAATATATTAATATCTACTGCTGGTAATTTGATTACAGATAATGGAATTGATACTTCCCCAGAAGAATTTATTGTTGCATCGAAGGAAGTTGCAGCATCTACAGCTCAATTAGTGGCAGCCTCCAGAGTGAAAACATTGCCTCATTCCAAGGCTCAAAGTAAGTTGGAGGATTCTTCTAAAGGTGTTTCGGTTGCATGTAAACAGTTAGTTGATTATGTTATGGCAGGTGTTGGTGGGTCTCAAGAAGAAAAACCACTAGAATTTACATCTGAACATGCTGTGAAGACATCAGAAATGGAACAACAAGTTACAATCTTGAAATTAGAACAGCAACTAAATAACGCAAGAAAGAGATTAGGAGAAATTAGAAAACATGCATATTATTTGAATGATGATAACATTGAATAAAATTGTATATAATTATATGTATAAGATATAATATTAAGTGTTAAAGACAATGAATATTTGAAAACTGTTATGTGAAAAAAAATATATTTCAAAATTTTATAATGATAAATAAAGTATTTACTATTGATATGAAGTACAAATAAGGCTATTTAAGACGTATTCTTTATTAAGACAATCAAAGGTATTGTTAACTTTTTTTAGATAGATATATGTATACTATTTGAAATATGCTGAATGTTATTAAATAATATAAGAAACTACTATGTAGAAAAAAAGTTTGAATAATTATATAAATAATGATTGTTTTTTTAATATGAATGGTTTTTTCTTTTTGGGTTACGTATTATTTGTTATTGTTTCTTTTTAGTATATCTACCTTTTAATACATTTAAAAATGTATTCTCTCAATTTCTAAAACATTCATTATGTATCTAGGTTTTTTTTGATAGTTTTTTTCAAGAAGTTCTAACTGGAAATTCAGAAATATATATTTTCTGGGCAATACATAAGCATTATTAGATAGAATTGGAGCCAAATTATTTAGAAACTCATTCAAGAAACTTCTGATTATTAAAACAAAGTGTTCAATGTAATTATAATTATTAACATCCATGGTAAGAATAAGCATTATATAAATGATTTATAATTGATATACACATTATAGTATTTTACTTGGGACAACTTTCTATAAAACTTAACTGAATTCTTGTGAATACGCATTTTTACACGTAACGTCTGAGATTTTGGATAGAAGATTTTGTATAGTCGCATTTACAGTGGATTTTATGCAGTGTTAAATCTTATTGGAAGATTTTCAGGGACTAATACTAATGTCAAATTTTGTTCAAGAGGTCTTTGTTGTTTGAGATATATTCTATGGGTAATGTATTTAAACACATTCTGGTACTAATTAATATTTAAAGATAACCCTTGGTATACAATCAATAACAATAAAAAACTTAATGATGTTACATGAAGGTTGCTGGAGAGTTTTATATAAAGCTTAAGTAAGCAAGTTTACAATTTGCACGTATATTAGTCAATATAATTCATGTATTTTTATACCACATTGATTACAACCTTTGTACTTTTTTTTTTTTCAAAAGTAATAAAAGTTTTTTATGTTTAAGGATAAAAACTGTGAAGTTAGATAACTTTTCGTTTGAAAAAATTACTTTTTTGTATATTTATTTAAGATAAGTAGCCTCCTATAACTTACCTACTAACCGAAAAAATCCACTAATTTATTTTATTAAAATAAAATATTCTAAGTCTATAGAAATAAATTAGCAAAAAATTATTTAAATCCCAATAAATATGATATATTATAAATATAATAAATATCAAACATGAATCATGTTGAAATAGAATGTTCTATAATGAAATAGATAGAACAATAAGATTTTAACAGACACTAAAGGATAAATTATTGAGTAATAATCATTGAGAGGTCACCAAAAATTGTTGAGTTTGTTTATTAAATATCTTACTGTTCGTAGAGGAAAATGGCTTAATATTAACATATATAAAGCCAAGGATATCATCATACATTATTTTTATCTTATTTATAATCTTTGTATATTATTATTTCTATGTTGTATATAGAGAAAGAAAGAGAAGAACTTTATTATAATTTTGTGTACTAAATCTGTTTAATATAATATTGAGAATGTTTACTATATATCCAATAACTACAGGCGCTCATTCTCAACAAATCAGGAGAGTAATACATAAAAATTGGTCATATCAAATAAAAGAAACCTATTAACACGAAAATTACAACCTAACCCCTTATTTTAAGTTCACTATAATTTACTTATAAAACATAAGGATGTTAGACAAAAGTATTAAGTGAGATTTGCTATATAAAAAGCAACAGTTTAGTAATATTGAATTTTTATCCATACTACTTATTTGACAAACAATTATAATATTCAAATATAGTATTTTGATACATATGCAATTAAAGAATTTTTTTTCAAAAATAATTACAGTATAATACTGAATATACACATTAATAAATATAAAGTTAAGAATGTTCGTTATAAACAACAATATAAGTGCTTATTCTTGCTGTATTCCTAAATTCATATGATACTATTTACATATTCTATATTCTCTTTCACTTAGGCAAAAAAATTAAAGATTAATAAGAAAAGGTACTTATGAAACAGCTTAAGCTAACGATTGTGAATATTTACATTATTTGCAAATATATATTATAACTTAAATTTTTCTTTCTTATTTATACATTGAACAAAAAAAACATAAATACAAATATAAATAATAAATTACAATTCTTTACAAGGTACAGAAAGAATATGTAAAACTCTATCTTTATCTTCTTTTCTTATACTATTTTTAGTTATGGAATAAGGTTTTTAGTCACATTTATCTATAAATAACTTTCACCAGTATCAACAATGTTGTCATTAACAGTATTTGTTAAATTATCCTTAATTATTATAAGAGTTACCAATGTATATTTCTCCGATATTTCCAAAAATAATAAATATCCAAACATAATTATTATTAGCCATATATTAAGTTATAAGTTTTATGAGTGTGGCTTCTTTCACTCATATTAGTATATACATATATATTTGATTAAAATGTATTTTTGAATAGCCATTTAGATTTTTTAGTATACTAAAGCTAAACGAAATCAACAAACAGAGAAAATATAATTAATTTTAAACTCTACAAAAATGTGACCAAAAAGCTTAAAGATAACTGACAAGAAAAATAATTGAGTGTATGTAAAATATAGTTATTAAAAAGCGTCGATACCAAAGACCACATATTTAATAGGGATTCATTAAAACAAAAAAATTCTTATAAATATTATAAGTAAATCTTAACCTTTGTTGTATAATATCTGCTAACAAGGTCAAGTGGATTTTTATCTAACTGTTTTTTATATTTGAAGATATATTGGCTATACTCCTCATTCTATTAATAAATAGTTAAATGAATTTAAAAAAAAGTAAATCGTATTATCAACACAAAAATAAACATATAATGATCAAATATTCTTTTTTTTATAACTATAATTACTTTCAAGCATACAAAAACTAAGTAAACCTACTAACTGATAAATGCTTTCTAATATCTGTTATGTTCCCAATTATGCATGTAAAATTGCTTTTTGTATTGAAATTGCAAAGAAAACATTTCCTTGATACAATATTATGAACGAGTATAAAAGTAAACTTTAACAACCACAAACCCGGAAAGGTTGATAAAAGATAAGTACTAAGATGCCTCGTTTCTTCATATTCTTTTCTATTTGAGTTTATGTCACCCCACAATTATTTTTTCTGCTTTTTACGTCATTTGTGTATATACAGATATTTTTTATTTTTTTTAGAAATCTGAAAAAAGCAAAAATGATTTAACGCATAAATCAACACAATGCATACAGATTATTAGATAAAGCAAAAGAAAATTGGAGAGAGTGGGTCGCAAAACACATTTACATAAAATGCAGGCTAATGAAGTTTATAACCTTCTACTGCTCTCACAAAGGTACAAAATTCAAGTTACTGAATAAAAATATATATTATTAACCCATGGATGAGAACAACTTTAATACAATAACATAACCCGCTTTTTTAATATGGGATTTTGGCTACCACAAAATTTACAAAAAAGACTTTTATTACGTGTACTACAAAACATATCTATATTTTCTACTTTAGATTTATCGAATTTAGATATATCTCTTGGTTCTAACTCTAAATTTTCCTTTACTAATATCAATCTCTATGTCTCTGAGCTACATATTCCCTATTTTGATGTCAAAAAAGGTACATTAGATCAATTGGATCTAAAGTTGAATGTTTCTGGTGGCCTAGACATCAATGGGAAAGGTATTCATTTTATATTAGTTATTAAACATGAGGTACCTAAACAAGAGGATATTATATTTTCACTGACTAAGAGTATCCAAAACTTAACAGAATCTATACTTGACTTCTCAGAAACAAACAAAAACTTAAATAGTCAATTAAGTAAGTCCAGTGAAATATCCAACAGCAACAATTCTGAACAAATTCCAGGAGCTTTCAATACAATATTAGGGAGTGGGTCCGAGTTAGATCCACAAAAATCAACTAGATTACAAACTATGAGAAATAAAGTTTTAAACTTGATATTAAATAAAATGATAATTGTTTTACAAAATATAACCATTAAGATTGAAGATACCGTTGGAAATTGTCAATATGAAATATCACTAGATATGATATCTTTGTTATCTAAAGAGGATAATCTTCGTCAAATGTCCGTAAAGGGATTATCCATTTTTAATAACAAGTTAGAACAAGAATTATATTATGCTTCAAAACTATCAAATATGTCTGTATATATGAGTGCAGTAGAGTCACTTAGTGAACTACATAATAAACAATTTACTAGAGTGAAACTTCTAACGCTAGATTTTGTCCAACTATCATTCCAAGGATTGTCTACTATTGAAAATCTTTCTATAGCTAATGTTACAATTGATGTTGATAATATTAATGTATTTTTATCAGATATCACCGATTTAAATGACGATGTTTTTATACATTTTGTTAGAATAATTAAAAGGTTTTTAAAAACCAATACTAGACAAGATGATAAAGAACAAAATATGTCTCATGCAGAGACAAAAAGCTCTACAACATCTGATCTTCTATCATACATCTGTGTTAAGACTATGTATTTACATTTTTTTTATGATAATATTATTGTATTTGAACAATTATATTTAAATCAAGTTGACAACAGAAATATAGTTTTAAATATCGACAATTTTAAAAGTACTAACCAAAATTTCCAAATTAAAGTAGAAACAAAACCTATAATAAAGGGCACAATCTATTCCAATTCAATTGTATTAAAACTGAACTCTAGTTTGGAGATAAAAGTGAATAGAAAGTTATTCCTGGCTCTAAAAAATTTTTACAAACAGTTCCGAATGTTTGCAAATCTTATTTCAGAAAATATTACTTCTCTTCCAGACAGCATAATTATTGAGGAAAAGAAGTCTGTTACTTCAACTAGTAAATATTTAATAATAACTGGGGAAAGTATATCGTTAAGCATTGAAGAACATGAGTATATTACTTCGTTGATTCTAGATTCATTTTCATTTGACACTAAAGAATGGTTATTTAACTGTAAAAAACTATCTGGTTTATTAAATAATAATTGCATCACAGAAGAAATAATTAGCATAAACAACATATCCATTCGACTTCATGACAAAAAACAAAAAATTACAACATTCAATGAAACACTCCAAGACATATATGCATTTACTAATCTGGTTATTCAAATAGAAAGTATAATAATTTATATATCAAAAGATCAAATCCAAATATTCCTTAATCATTTTGCCCCGATATTATATGAACTATTTCAAGAGTTCAAATCCGAAGAATATACCACTAAAATACAGCCAATTAAGAAAGATAAAAGAAATCATGCATCAAAGAATATTCCAAGGAAGCATAACTTAATATGTAATCAGATTATATCTGTCAATATTATCAAATATAGAATTAAAGATATTTTTAAAGAAACTTCTTTGGGTGCTATAAAAGGCAAATTAAAAAATAATCTTTTCCTTTTCCCAAGTATTGAAAATATGATCCTATTCATATCCAACAATATTGAATTGAAAAGAATATTGATAGACTCAAAACAAAGTGAAAATATTATTCAGTCAATTCCATATTCAAAAAAGAACAAACCTAGCTTATATATTCATATCCCTGCTCGTAAAGAAAACAACAAATGCCAAATCAAATTAAATAATATTGAAATAACATACAAAGCAAAATGGTTAAATTTTTTCAGAGAAATAGAAACGAATGTAGGGAAAGAGAATGTTCAAAGAAAATTTAAAAGTCCCCACAATAATTTATTTCCCACGATTGAGCTTTTATTTATTGAATTTTCTTTATTATTACACCCGTATCGTCTGAATACATGCCTTCTGATAACATCTGATTACCAAAATATTCATATTGAATCCTTTGATACTTTACATATTAACTCATTGACTAAAAATGCGAATATTCTATTGACTGATAATTTTAACAAAATTATAAAAGTTGAAACTACTAAAATTCGAGATCTAACAAATTTTTACACTAGCCAAGGTTTTTGTCTTATTGGAAAAGCAAAAAATGTCAAAATCCTAACTACAGATATTAATAATAAAATAAATACGACAATAACCATTGAACGCTTGTTATTATTATTATGTGCGGATTCCTTTCATTCTCTTATTCAGACATGTATCGATCTTAAATATCCTGAAACATTTCCTGATGAAAAGAAATATCAAACTTATTTTGATCATGATATTAATGTTTTGGAGTACATTGATATGAACTTCTTTAGTAAAGAAAAAAGCGACACTTTAAAAACAAAAGACTTGGCATCTCAATCAAAGAAAAATACACTTAATATAATAGAAGACTTTTTAGATAGAGCTTCTCCACAACAAACTGTTTCTAATGAATTTACATACAAAAATAAAACCCAAACAGCTAATAAGGAAAGTTTAAAATACAACCATAACTATGCTGAAAAAATAAATATTAGTTCAAAATATATTGACACACAAATAACAACCGAAGATTTAAATGAGAGTAAATCTTTAAGACATGGTAATAACTTATCAATATCTATAAATTTGCATATTACCAATGGTCTTATAAAATTATTTGATGGATATGATTGGGCATATGCTAGAAAAAAAATATATGAAGAATTATCAAAATTAAATTCAAAATCATCAAAAATTAAAAAATATAACTATACTGATGATCCAAATACTTCTAAAAAAGAAATAAACTTATTTAATTCCATTTACATAACAACAAATCCAAACATTGACATTGAAAAAGCTGTAGTGGAAAGTATACAGGGTCAGTTACTAAGTAATTCAGTGCATAAAAAACAAATGAATTTACATCCATCAAAACATTATAAACTACTAATAAATTTTGAACAAGCTACTATAAACATTAATCATTTTAATACAAAACCTATGGATGCTGTTCAAGAAAATTATGCATTTGATATTATGAATTCTGTTGATATATCTTTGCAGTCATTTGAGATTATTGATAACCTTGAAACTTCAACATGGAATAAATTTGCTTCATTGTTACGACATGAACACTGGTCAATCAATGACCCAATGTTACACTTTCATGTAGATATGGTACGTCCATTAAACTATCTGGAGGCAATAGAGTATATTTTGAATGTCAAAATTTCTCCCTTAAGATTACATATTGACCAAGATACGCTAGACTTTGCTATTCGGTTTTTTAGTTTCCAGGACTCAAGATTTGACTTAATTGATGATTACCCTGATACTTTCTTTATACAAAGATTTGAAATAGATCCCGTCAAGGTCATATTGGATTATAAGCCAAAAAAAGTAGACTATGTGACACTAAAATCTCAATATTTTAGTGAACTAATGAATTTGTTTACTATAAATGGTTCTAGTATAATTTTTAAAAAAGCAATTTTACATGGTATTAATGGATTTAAGTCACTAAGCATGGAATTACAAAAGATATGGAAACCTGATATTTTAAAAAGACAAATGAGTGGTGTTTTAGAAGGCATATTACCTTTAAAAACATTTATATCTTTGGGGTCTGGTGTGAAAACACTCGTTACAGTACTAACTTCACATTATAATCAAGAAACTATTGGCAATAACAGTAACAACACAAATCTACAATGGAATCCAAAAATATATTTGAAAACTTCAACTGGTCGATTTGTTCAATTAAGTGCTAATTTGGTTACAGGAGCACAAAACTTATTAGAAAATACTGAAACATTATTTGGTGGTCCAGGATCCACAACCAGATTAACTCACGGGAATGCTATTCAAAATGTATTAAATATGAATAAAATACTGAATGAGGACCAACTAATTGGAAACGATAACCCTACAGTAAAAGGCAATGTTCCCTCAGCATTGGTTATTGACACCACTAATGTGCAAGATGGTAAAGTCAAACCTCATGTTGTTAGTTTATATGCCAATCAACCATTGAATATTCAAGAAGGGTTGGAGGAAGCATACCGTTCCTTGGAAAAGCACTTACAAGTTACTTATAACATGATTTGGAAACAAAAAGATGAATATTTACAGTCGATTAATAGCACCAGTCCTTCAGCAGCAGCAGTTTCTGTTGCAAAGATTGCCCCTATTGCTATTATCCGACCTTTGATAGGTACCACTGAAGCAATATCAAAAACTCTTCAGGGACTAGCTAATCAATTGGATCATGATAACATTGATGAACTAAAAGACAAATACAAAAGTGGAAAATAAATGAAAACTATTATGAAATCAGGAAAACATATTTGTACAAATATATAATAAGATAAAATAATAGCAGCCTGAATATAGTATTAATATTCCAGGGAGTAATCAACACTTTTTTTTTTACAAAAATTAACTTAGTTTTATTTATGTATTATTGTTACTGACATTGGATAATCTCTTCTCAACTCATCCATGTAATACTTATGATCCAACAAATATTACTTTAGCTCTTTTGGTCTTCTAAAATAAAACATCCTATGGTATTTTGTAACTTTATCATTTTTTGTATACAACATAATACATTTATACAATATCATAGTAATAGGCATTTATATCAAACTTACCTAGTACATACAAAATCATTTCAAAAAAGGAAATTTTTTGTAAGAGCCTTAAACTCTCTGTACTTGATTTACTCTAATCAATAAGATTTTGTTTGTACAATCTATACCTATACTCAATAATTTTTTATAGAAGGATTTAAACTTTTTTTTTCTAAATTATCTAAATAAAACTGGAGAGCTATTTTTTAAATATAACACCTAAAATACTAAACTCTATATTGATTATATTTTTATTATGTATGATGCTTTTTAACATATAAAACTACATATACATACATATTTATTAAGAATTCTAACGGTTCATAAGTTTTCAAAATGATTTATAAATACCTTTTACTAAAATGTGAAAGTTATAAATTTATACAATTATATTTGTTTATTTCTGCCAATCGAGCCAAGGAAAGGGGTGTGATATGAAAAATACAATCTATTATACATTAGCTTCTGTGACTTGTTTATTAACTCTTGTTTACAATTTTGATTATTTTAAAACATGACAAATGTTTACCTGGAACTATTTGATCTCATAAAAAAAATGAGGTAGGAATATAGTAGAAGTAGGAACAATTTGTGTATTAACTGGACCAAAGACATGCATACTTCTTTTATTCTACTGACACAATACAAAGAACCAGGATGAATTCAAAAGAAAAAATCTTTTTCTCATGTTTTACAGATTATTTTCTTTATTATTTTAACTTATTTTTATTTTATATTATTTTATAGTGGCCTAATTCTTTGCCTTTTTATGTGCCGAATCACATTACCACTTACTTCCCACAGTTACAATATCCTTTGAAGATTCAATAGCATGGAACTCATAACAATATGAATTATCATGAGATGGGGAAGACAAAGGCAATAAGGGATCCACCATAGATAAGGACTCATAATACATTTTTTCCAACTTCATTGTTTCTTCCTTACGTTGCGATTTACCTGATGAAATTGTGATGAGACCACCACCGTTGATACAACCACCAGGCGAAGCATTCACCTCTATGTAATCTGTCTTATAAGGATCCGCAACCAAGCTGTTATTGTCATTTGACATCGGAGAGATTGCAGTAATATTATGTGAATTCTCAGATTTATTTAATTTCCCCCGTTTTTTTAATATAGCAACTCGTCTCCTTGGGGACTTACCATTTTGATTCAGATTTCTTACTAAATTTTGTATATTTCTAAACCCACTTAATTCAGCGGATGAAGCAACGGTTTTCTTTGTAATATTATCTAATAACCTATATTCTTTGATATTACTATTTCTACCTGGTAATACTACAATCTCGGTGTCCGGGTTAAGTGACTGCATTGCTCTTACATATTGATATGCCCAACCACCGGAGGAACCGCCCATATTAGTGGACCAATTGAGCTTTGCATCCCATCCCAAAGGGGACAACTCTTGATATAGGGAAAGAATATTGGCAGTATGAGTGTTAGGTAAATATTTTTTAAGGTTTGGTTCTTTGATTTCATCTAACATGCTTAAAAATTCTTTTGGTGTAATAACACAATCTACTTCACCTACTGAATCCGGCCTTGATGCTTCTAATTTTTTATCGAAACATGCCATTACACAAAGATGATATAAATTTGGATTTTGTGCTTTTAGTAGTTTCCCAGTGATCTGTTGTGGTGATTTAATATTTACCAAAAGAGGCACCAATTCACCCTTTGTTTTCTCTGTATAAATAACAAACCCCGGACATATTCCAGAGAGCCTTGGTCTATGATCATCATTTGCTTTCAATTGAGATTTCCATTGGATAACACTATCAATACTATTTTGAATAGATATATTGCGACCAATTTGTAACCCCATTACATATTTAGCATTAAATCTTATCTTGAAAAAGTTCATAAAACATAAATCAAATTCTTGAACAGTTAACCCATAATACATAGCCATATTAACACGACATTGTGGTGAAATAGTGACTGCTAGACGTTTCTCTTGTAACTCTTCCATATCTTTTAAAAAGACAGTATGTGATTGTCTCTGTAACATAATCTCCTCACTTGATGTAATACAACCGGAGCATGCCAAACAGTCAGATAATGTTATGGTCACCTTTTGTACTGTTTCTATTTCTTTACCAACAACATATTCACCATTTGAATCGACACTATCTGGTTCTTCATCAACTCTAGTAGGCTTAGTACATACCAATGCTGGACTAATAAAATCGCTTAAGTCTTCTTCTGATAGTAAAGTAGACATCTTTTAAACTATGTTGTCTCTTTCTTTCCTCTCTTCTTCTTCTTTTTTTTTCCGACTTCTTCAACCAGTCTAGTGATTTCTTAGATTAATATTGATGAATCTTACTCGATATGTCTTAAACTGTTTGTTGGATCTATTCAACTACCTAAAACAATTCCAATATCCATCATTCTATACATGAAAGAACTCGACAATTCTTCCAAAGCAAACACGGTACAGAATACACAGAGACAAAATGGGCTACTGTATGATAATATATATATATATATATATACATAAACAGATACATATACATACATATATTTATAGATGTATGTGGACATACACCTATAGCAATACAAAATTATCTTTAGTCCACACAAACACTCATTAGTTCAATCCAACTGACTCTTACTCAATGCTGACAAATTGAACCAACTAAAAGAAAAAAAAATTCGCAATGACTCTTTCTATAAAATAAGGAAAAAAAAAATAAAATAAAAAGAAAAAGAGAATTAACAACAATCACTAGCAGCAGAAAACATTTGTTTGTCTTGGAAGGACCTATATAACTTAAGAAAGACAGTGTGTGTATAGACAGATACTAATTCTAGTTTGATGCAAGCAATTCGTCACATCTCAACTTCCACAATTAACCGTTCAATCATGTCTACGTCTTTAGATATTACAAAGTTAGCTCTATTAAATTCCAAATTAAAAGAAGATCCTGTTCACAAATTGGCCTCTACTGTGCTCAAGAACTATAATGCAGACGACTTGCTATTAGATAAAAGACGTCTTGTAGAACAAGATAAACGTATTTTCAATACTCGTATCTCTATCGAACCAGCGCCTGTCACCAATCAACGTGCCTCTGGTAGATGCTGGTTGTTTGCAGGGACCAATGAATTAAGATGTTCTGTAATCAAAGAGTTAAACTTAAAAGAATTCGAATTATCACAAGCTTATCTATTCTTCTACGATAAATTGGAAAAAGCTAACTACTTCTTAGATCAAATTATTTCCACACGTGATGAACCTGTGGATTCTAGACTAGTCCAATATCTGTTAGCTGCTCCAACACAAGATGGCGGTCAGTACAGCATGTTTTGGAATATCGTTAAGAAATACGGGGTCCTTCCAAAGGATCTCTATAATGATTCAGCTTTTTCAACTACTTCTTCAAGAAAATGGAATTCTTTATTGACTACAAAATTGAGAGAATTCGCCCAAGAGTTAAGAGACTGCGAAGAAACAAATTTAACTAAATTGCGTGAATCTATGCAAGATGAGATATTCAAATTGATGACTCTATTTATGGATTTCCCACCAGTGGCACCAAATGAAATATTCCATTGGGAGTATCAAGACAAGGACAAGAAAATCCATATCATAGAATCCACCCCGTTAGAATTTGCCACCAAATATTGTAAATTGGATTTCAACAAACCTCCTGTCTCACTCATTAACGATCCAAGACACGAGTATGGGAAAATGATCAAAATTGATAGATTAGGTAACGTCATTGGTGGTGACGATGTCTTATATTTAAATGTGGACAATCCAACTTTATCTAAGTTAGTAGCCGAAAGATTGGCCAATGATAAGCCTGTGTTTTTTGGATCTCATACGCCTAAATATATGGATAAGAAAAATGGGATTATGGATATCCAGTTATGGAATTATAATTCCATTGGATACAATCTAAAACAAGATAAGGCAAATAGAATCAAATATAACGAAAGTTTGATGACTCATGCCATGCTAATCACTGGCTGTCATGTTGAAGAAGGTTCAGAAATTCCAACTCGTTATTGTGTGGAAAACTCATGGGGGAAAGATTCTGGTAAAGATGGTTTATATTTAATGACACAAGAATATTTCGAAGAATATTGTTATCAAATTGTGGTTGACTTAGAAGATTTACCTTCTGAATTGGCTGAAAAATTCACCACAGAGAAAGAGAGACCAATTGTTTTACCAATTTGGGACCCAATGGGTGCATTAGCTTAAGGAATTGTTGTCATTTATTTATTTATTTATTTGTCTTTCCATCCCCATAGTATTTACTATCTAGACGCTACAATTTTCAACAGTATATAGATAAGTGTACAAGTTTTATCTTTTTTGTTGTAAATCACTTATATCTTTGCAATGTCGAACTTGCATTCTGTATACAAAAATTTAACAAGATATCATAACAATTTGTGTGAATTAAGCAAAAATTGGAAAAGTAGAAAACAGACAAAAGAAAAAAAAAATTGAAAGAAAAAAAAAACATTACGCCATAAAGACAAACTTTAAGGAATGTTTCGAAGTTTGAAAATATGAAACGTATTTTTATTATGCGACAACATTAGTACCCTCACAAGGCTCTTTAATGGATACATGTGTTTGTTATAGTTAAATTGATTTAACAAGTATACTTATTTGTGGTTGTATATTTGTATAGATTTGTGTTTATATAGTGGTTGGGATCAAATTGAAAAACAAACAAATTAACCAACCAATTAATTGAACGGACAATCATTCATTTGATTTAATTTGCTTTGTTAGCTTTGTGTTTTGTTTTTATTCTAGCAGTGATATCACAATTTCTGAAGATATTGTATTAAGAGGAAGAATTACCTGTCATTGAAAAAAAATAGCATAAAATAAAATAAAATAAAATAAAACTCAATAGCATATTATAGTATCACTACATCTATAGATTGAATTTAATTAGCATTGTCAATTTTAGTAAAACATAATTTTTCTCTCTCTTTTTTTTTCATCCTCCCTCTCCCCCTGCTCCCTCCCACATTTTAACTATACCAAACTATAGAGCTTTAAAAACGACTTATCTCTTTTATCATAGTTGCTTTTAACTTATAAATCCTTGGTTTTGTTCTTTTCCATTTTTTTTTTTTTTGATGCATTGGTCCAATATTAATATACATATATTTGGAATCTACTTATTAGCAGCAGCCATGTCTCAGATAATTCCAGATAAAAATCATAATGAAAGACAATATTTTGCAATCGAATCGTTAAATTCTATTGATAGCATATTAAAAAACCACCCAACATGGCGATTTGAACATGACGTCAGAGGATTAGAAAACCATTACGTGTTTTCTGAACCTCTCAATGTAACACCAAACAATTTAGTAAAGAGATCTGATTATTCTCTAGCAGAAGACATTATATCATTTCAGGATTTACCCCTACAAACACATTTAGTTAAAAGAGTTCCTATACCAGCACCTCCTATTGATTCAAGTATGGTCCCAATGAAAAATGCAGAAGATAGATTAAACATAAATGATCCAAATTTTGAAAAACAGTGGCATCTGTTTAATCCAAGTTACCCAGGTAACGATATAAACATGGCAGATGTATGGTATAACAACATTACAGGGAAAGGTGTTGTAGTAGCTATTGTAGACGATGGTGTTGATTATGACAACCCTGATATTAGGGACAATTTCTCTTCTCAGGGCTCATGGGATTTTAATGATAATACAAACTTACCAAAACCCAGACTATCTGACGACTATCATGGTACTAGATGTGCAGGTGAAATAGCTGCCGTTAAGGGTAACAATTTTTGTGGCGTTGGTGTAGCGTATGATGCTAAGGTCTCAGGATTAAGAATTTTATCCGGTCCATTGACAGCCGAGGATGAGGCAGCATCATTAATCTATGGTATGAGTGTCAATGATATTTATTCATGCTCCTGGGGTCCGTCAGACGATGGGAAACATTTGCAAGGTCCAAGTATCTTAGTGAAAAAAGCCTTAATAAAAGGTGTCAATGAAGGAAGAGACAAAAAGGGTTCCATATATGTTTTTGCCAGTGGCAATGGTGGTCATTTAGGTGATAACTGTAATTATGATGGTTATACAAACTCAATATACTCTATTACAATAGGTGCTATCGACCATAAAGGTTTGCACCCACCATACTCAGAGAGTTGTTCTGCAGTAATGGCTGTCACTTATTCATCCGGTTCTGGGGAATATATCCATTCCACTGATATTGGTGATAAGTGTAGTGATACGCATGGTGGTACATCTGCTGCTGCTCCATTAGCCGCAGGAATATATGCACTTTTATTGGAAGCCAACCCTAATTTAACTTGGAGAGATGTACAGTATCTATCTATTCTTTCCAGTAAGGAAATCACAAATCAAGATGCCAAGTCACAAGAAGGCGCTTTAGGGAAACGATACTCGCATGTTTATGGATATGGGAGAATAGACACAAAGAATCTTATTGAGATGGCTCAGAATTGGAGTAATGTTAAACCTCAGGCCTGGTATTTTACTGATTATAAAGAAGTCAATGAATCTACAAATAATCCAGATAATATTATTGAATCTATTATAGAGATTGATTTGGAGACATTAAAGAATTCAAATTTAGAAAGAATTGAACATGTTACAATTACTGTTGACGCTGAAACTAATATTCGAGGACAGGTTAATATTGATTTAGTTTCACCAACCGGAATGATTTCCAACCTAGCTGTGGTTAGAGAACGTGACAATTCCAACGAAGGTTTTAAAAATTGGACTTTCATGTCTGTTGCACATTGGGGTGAAACTGGTATTGGTCAATGGAAATTAAAAGTAAAAACTACTGTAAAAGATAATAATGTAAAATTGAAACATTGGAGATTAAAATTTTTTGGTGAATCCATTGATCCAACAATAACCAAACCATACGATTATTATGATGATATATACGCGGAAAAGGAGGCTAAGTTGACTCCGATATCTGATATTACCAACCCAATATCGTCAGGGGCACCATTACCTTCCTCAACAACGGTTGTAACTTCATCTACAAGTATGACTACTACTAGTAGTGTAATATCCCCTACTTTTACTACTGTATCGAATCCTGATGATGATCCTTCAACGCCAAATAAAATACCATCACCAAGAGAAGCGTTCCATTATTTTATTACAATATTTACTATAGGGTCAATCTTGATAATTTTATATTTTGTTGTATTCTTTAAATCAAGAAGAAGAATCAGAAGATCCAGAGCGGAAAATTACGAATTTGATATTATTGATACCGACTCTGATTACGATTCAACATTAGATAGTCACGTTTCTAATAATAATGAAATGTCTGTTGATGGTGGTATAGCAGATTATGATTTTGATATTTCGGATGAAGATAATTATGCGAATAACAATCATATTTTGACTGACTTAGACTTGAATCAACAGTCAAATACAGCAGATGATAATGCATGTGATTCAAGAGCCAATGACCATATCAATAGTATATCAAATAATGCGTCTGAGCAGGATGCATCGGAAGAAAATCCATTTTTATCACCCTCTGAGGTGAATCAAGCAAACATTTCATTCATTAATGATGTTGGTCATAACAACGACTCTGATATGGATTCCTCACATTCCAAAACGAACTTTATTCAATAGACCTTAAAAGACTATACACACACATATATATATATATATAGAATGATAAATTACTTTATATATTTATTTATTCAATACGATAGATGCATTTAACTTTATTTATATTATTACTATCTTCTCCCTATTTTCTGCCTTGGATAACCTTCGTTTCCAATACTTCTTTTCTAAACAATCTTATCATATTGAACACACACACAAATCTGTTCACGTTCAGACCTGTGTATATAAATATTTAAATATATGAAAATATAAATATATATATATATTCTTTCCTTGATACTTGTACCTTTAATACATTTGATTTGTTTGGTTTAGTTTATTGTGAGGATCTATTATAAATATATATATTTTGTATTAAGTAAAACAAAACACTATTTTTAAATGTATTGTCCAAACTTCTTGTGTTCTTATTGTATTCAGTTAATATATTAATAAAACATTTACAAAAGAAATGCATATGACAATAACAAACAAACCAACAAGCAAACTTCAACCTTCAAGTGCATGCAAATAGGCCTATTATGCATCATAATACAATGCATGATGACAGCACTCATTCTTCTGTCTAGGCAAGGAAAATAATAAAACACATTATCATCCATAGTTTCATTCTACAATAGTTTATTGTATTATATTATGTTAGCTATATTTTTTAAAAAATAAATTAGGGGATTACACAATTATTATTCATGTTGTTTCTTTTTCAACTTACGAGCCTCAAAGAAAGAAATGACTTTTTTAATAAACAATCACATTTAGAATCAAATTTATAAGTAATTCCTTTCGATGAGAAGATTCATAACTGATTATCATCATTTCTCTAATGAAATAAAATAGTAAGATAAGAAAGAAAGAACAACACAAAAAAGAAGAAGAAGAAGAAGAAGAAGAATACGCCTTAACAGGATGAAATTGCAAAAAGTGCACGAGTGGAATATCCATTGGGTTATAATTTTTTGTTATCTTTTTAGTTTAACTTTGTCCATGGAAATGGGATCTCATAAAATAAATAGCAACGATAATCATGAACATGACCACATGATTTTTACCAGGCCAGATATTCAGAAACCTGCATCAAGAACTATCCATTGGCTATTTACATTATTTTTCATCTTTTTAATCAATTCTATTAATACTTGCCTTGCTTTTGCTAGTTGCTTAAATTGGTCTCTTTTATTACAAATTATATCTACAATTTATAGTCTATTTGACATTACGTTTTTAAATTTTAAAGATAATAATAATGTTGAAAATAGAACTTCTAAAGGAACTGGTATCTTTATTTTTTTCACATCAATAATTACTCTAATTATTGGTTTCATATGTTTCATTAAAAATAAACAAAACAAAGAAAGGGTCTCAATATCTTTCTCTCAGCCTTTTCTCAACAGATTAAATATTCTCTATTGTAGTCTGGTTTTTATCAATACATTAACCGGATTTATTAAAGTATGTTTAGCACCAATTTCGCTTTTTGGATTCTGTAAAAATGATAAAACTGGCCAATGTTTAGCACATGGAATAATGGGTTCAAGTTTCATTCTCTATGGTTTCATATACTCCATGGTACTAATAATTCCCTGGATGAAGAAACAAACCTCGTCTAAATATTGTCAAGATTATATTGACAGTTGGATTATATGTATCTACGGAATAGTAAATACTTTTACCGAACACAGATGGGGAAGGGAACCATGGCATATACATGATTACCAACATACTGCCATGGGGATCCTTTGGTGGACCGGGGGGATCCTTGGTATACTGTTGTCTAGAAAGGGGAAAAGAACTTTTGTTCCTGGGTTGATTATCATGTTCACAGGATGGTCAATGACACAGCATCACCAACATTTAGAAATCAGTACCAATGTTCATAATATGTTTGGATTGATTTTAATTTTAGGTGGTGCCGTTAGAATAATTGAAATATCCATTCTGCTTAAAGATAAACCGTTGGTAGATGAAATTTTATCATTTCAATATTTATCGCCATTTTGTTTAGTTTGTGCTGGTTGTCTTTTCATGGCTGCAAACCAGGAACAATTAGATTTAGTGCTAAGATTAGGAGCAGAGCACAGTGCCTATATAATGATTATAATATCAGGTGCTTTTTTACTATATTGTTGGATGCTGTTCTGTTTAGAATATTATGTTTATTTATATTTAAATACACATAACAAATCTGTCAGAAAATATGATAGGATGGATCATGATTCATCTGATGTAGAATCTCTATTTGAACTGTCCAATATGTGAATAGACTATTAACAAAACATAAAAAAAACATCTCTAAAATAATAACCCAACACAATGAAATTTCCTTATTTAAAATAATATTAACGATTTTATTAATAGTTAGCTATTCAACCATCATTTCTTTGATAAATTTTTTGTGATAACAATTATATATTCTTTCTCAATCATAGTAGTAACAAACTATTTAATTGTTCTTCTTTTTGTATTTTTTTTTTTTATCTTTTTAGTAAGTTATTGATTATCCTAATATTGTATATGAATAAATCATCTGTACCCATTGATTTGTATACGTTTCCGAATATTTTTTGAAGTCTGCCTATATTGAATTATCTCACATTATGATGATGAGGCCAGATAGAAATATAAAAATCTTTTTGATTATATTGCAACAAAAAAAAAAATAAAATAAAAAATACAAAAAAAAAAATTCAAAATCAGAGAAAAAGAAAAAGAGAAACAATAGCTATTGAGGTAACGACATGACACAGTAGTTGTAACCCAGATTCTCAAATAAATATATGCCCAAGTATATTTGGAATATACAATATTGTCTATATCTATTTTCATTTCGTATTTGTTTTGATTAAATATTATTAATATAGTGGTAAGGATTCAATCCTTGAAATTCCCTTAAAGTGCCAACTAATACAGCATCCTCAGCATCAACAGGCTCTTCTTCTTCTTCTTATTTTTTATTTTACTTATAATTATTTATAAAGTAGCACATTCAAATAATGATTCCAAATATTTCTAGTAAAAGAGTGTCCTGGTCTAAAAATGGGATAATTGCATATGCAGATTCAGAATCTTCGGAGGGAAATCTGTGTATTAGTTTTTTGGAAACAATTAATGGTGTAAACTGGAGATTCCATCCTCCACAACGTTACATGATTCACCCCCAATTACATGAAGACTCTAGTAATATATCACTATCAACCACTTCCAAAAATAACGATACAAATACTGTTCATTCTACTAACACTAGTAACATTGATAACACTGGGAATAACCAGTATATTAATAACAAAAATACCCCAACAACGACAACTTCCACCAGTATTGTTAACAATTATGTTAATCTAAATGGAAAGCCTGGTGCAGGTATTCCTAACTCACCTAAATTTTTTTACAATATTTCTTCTGTTCATTGGAATAATTGGTTCAGTTTACCTGGTGATATGTTAGCAGTTTGCGATGAAATTGGTAACATGACAATGTTGATTGCTGGCCAGAGTCCTGAAGGGGCTACTACATTTGAAAAATTAACAATGCTATTTCAAGATAACATTTATAAACTTTATAACCATATCATGCCTTTAGCTCCTATAACTACTCAATCGAAACAGATAGAAAAAAAGAAAACAAAAAAGGAGTATCATACAACAATCTTAGATTTTCATTGGATTAGTTCATCAAAAAGTGTCATAATTTCCCAGTTTTGTGCCTTAGACACTACAACTAACATATATAGAAATAAAGCTCAACAAATCCCACCGTATGGTGTTTTTCATCCTCCATCAATGAAATATGCATGTGCGGCTATACGCAGAAATGGCCAAATCGATTTTTGGTATCAATTTTCCAATTCTAAAGATCATAAAAAAGTTACCTTGCAACTTTCTATGTCTAATTCTCAACAAAGGAGCAAAGAATTGGATTGGTTACAATTTGCTAATATTACTCCAATAGATGATGGACATTGCATGCTTATTACAGCATATTCGAAATTGAGAGAAAAATTATGTTTTTATAAATTATACGTGTCATGGAACGGATCCGCCAATAGACCGTTATCTGATCCAAATTTAAGAATTCAAAATATATTAAATGTATCCCTTGATAGAGTTGATAGTAAAGGAAGTATAATAACACTATCTAATTTACATGTAGTAACAAAAACAGTATCAGAAAAGGATCATTATCCAGAGATTATATTAGTTTTTGATATTAATGGAACAAAAAAATCATTAATAAAAAGAATGCGTTTGATTAATACATATTTAGCTCTGGATTATTTATCTATTCTAAATCCAAATTTACAAAATGAAAATACAGACAAGCTTCCTGTAAAGACCAAACATTATAATGTTCGTTATTATAATGATATGATAATAGATGATAAAATTATCAATGTATCTTCAGAAATGTTGGACAGTTTTATATCTTTCTATACAGAAACAGGGAATATTGCTTCATATAATTTAAACGATTGGGAATTAGAAACTGAACGAATGAAGCATCAAGTAAAACAGGGAAAATACACTAATATAATTACTTCTGTGTTAAGTGCCGGATTTCATTACCCTAAATTTCCTGTTTATTTATCATTAGATTGGATCTGTGTTTCACCAACAATATCGGGTGTGATATATAAATTACGTCACGAGAGTATTCCTGAATTTCACTGTGTGATAAAAGATGATATATCAAATGCAAATAATGATTCAATTGATGCCACTGCAATGGCTTTCACTTTTGTTGGAAGTACACACAGACAGTTATCTGCAGAAGATTTATCTATTGCATGTAAAAATCATATAACAAAGTTAGAGCAAATAAAGGAAGAAAGAGCAATAAATTTTATAACGACTTTAATGACTAGTCTATATCCATTTTTTAATGTATCCTTAAATGCTCCAAAAGAAATTATGGAAAAAATGGTAACAAGTAGACCAATTCAAAAGATTATGTTATTTCAATTAGAGTTGGGTAGCAGATTTAGATATAAGGAAAATATCGCCTCAATGGCAAGAATTATATTATATCTCAAAAATGTCTTATTTTCCTTTAGCGGCGTAGCTCGTAACCTACAATTTGCTATCGAACAAATGAATTCAGCTCAAGCAGAGGGAAATCAAAATAAATTGTTTCAAACTGCATTTTCAAAGCAAGATTTAATTCATTCCCTGATTCCTGTTGCTAAATGGTTTGTGAAGTTCATAACTTATTTAATGCAAGAAGTGTTAATATTAGTTAATAACCCTCCTGCAGAAAAAGGTACATTAGTTCTTGGTGTACTTGGATCTAAAATGTCAAGGCAACTACTTTTGTCTATTTTGACTGAAGTTAAACGAATTGCACAAGTTATTACGAAATTTCCAGAATCTACATACCCTGTGTTGAATGAGTCTTCCAATTATTTGAAAATGGTATTAGGTGAATCACCAATTAATTTTGAAAAATTTGAAACATTTTTGATCAATATTAACAATAAATTTTCTACAACAAATGAGGGACAAAATGCAAACGAGATTCAATCAATATTAAATAGAGAACATTCTTTATTGATTAAAGCAGAGGTCCCGCAAAGTCATCAAAAAGTGGCAGAATTTTTAGTCACCTATGCCAATAACACATTGGTGTCTCATTTGAACGCAGCTAATGTTTATTTTGCTGATACTTCAGGATTACGAACATCTCAAGAAGAATTTTTTGTAGAAGATGTAAGACATCTCTTACAACCAGTTGAGGATGGGTTGATTATCAGTTCAAAAGCATTTAATAAGAAATATGATACCTCCAAACTATTCAGTCAATTGATATATGATGGTGTAACGTATGATAGATTAAGTGAGATAGAGTTGAAAGATGGTAAATTGAAAAGGTGTAGCCGCTGTGGTTGTGTTACAAGGGCGGGGTATGTAGTTGCATCTGATAAGACTATCATCTCTACTTCTATTCAAACGAAGAGATGGCCTACTATGTATACCCGAATGTGTATATGTTCTGGTTTGTTATACGAATTATGAGAAAAAAGTCAAATACTAATCTGAAATATATATATATATATATATATATATATATATACATGTGTGTATGTATAAAGGGAAAGAGAAAGAGATTAGGCTTAGAATTAATAATCTATTTGTTGTACACATGTTTTATTCTATTTTTTTAAAAATGAGAAGGAAGATTGTTTAATACATTCTAATACAAGGAAGTCTTTATCCTACTAATTTGAATGATATTTTAGTTGTATTGGAAAGTTTGATTCCAGTATATTATTTTATTTATTTATTTATTTTCTTGTAAGTACATCTGTTTAATTTGTTCATTTTATTTTTAGCTTTTCCTTTTCGCGTTTTTCTTTTCTGCCCGAGCATCAGATCAAAATTCTTTTTAGTGAAGAGCTTTTACGCGTCGCGGTTTCTTGATCTCCATTTCGAATGGATAGCCATTTATTCTTTGATCTTAAAATGTCACCTTTCGAGAATTGGATTAAAGACAAAAAAAATGTTGCCGCTTTGGCTAGTCCACTACTGATGTAACATTACAGTCAATAGCAGAGAAGATAAAAAAAATACTAATGTTAAGCTAGCTTTATTGAAATTACTTTAGAGATAACATTTTGCTGAATAACTTTCTTTTTTAAAAAAATTCAAGAAAGGACTATTCTCTATTTTAACAAATAAACAATATATTCAATTAATAATTTATGAGCATTCAATAATCCATACAATATTATAAGCCTATATTTATTATTTTGTTGAATACGTTATCATTGAGACTGCAAGATAACAGAAAAAAGCTAATATTAATCCACATATATTACAATAAAGATAATAATGATGCATACTACTATCTCTACTACAGATAAGGTAGACCTTAATAGTCGAAAAAATCATCAAAGTAACAATATTGATACATCGCAATTGTTAAATTCATCCTTTTTCTACTCTGAGTCTGTTAATGTTCTTGATCATTCACGTAGCTTCAGAAATTCTTTGATATTAAGAGAAATGTCTGATTTTAATATAAATGAATCTTTGAAGCAACCTTCTAGTAAATCTTTTGAGGATGGTGCTACTACTAATTTAACTACTCCAACATCAATAAATTCTATAAATAATAAATCTAATGTTCAAAAATCAAAATCATCTTTAAGCAACACACAGATGACTGCAAATAATTTTAAGATGAGAAAGAATGAGATTAAAACAGCTAACATAACGGCATCCCCATCACTTAGTGCATTGGCTGATCTTTTAAATGAAAAATCTAAAAATGCTGACAGAAGAATGAAAAACTCATTAGCAAATTATTCTTCTATATCAGAAGAACTAGAAGAAGAAAACCACGAAACAAACATGCAAAATAATAACAATGAAACACTTAATAGTAACAATCTTGGATATTCCCAAGCAAATCAAAATTTTTCGCCCAATTTAATTGATTTGAATGACGAACAGCCCTTAAAGAGCAATGTATTTATTCCAAATATAAATTCAACTAACAGAGACCATTTATCAATTGAACAACCAGACTTTTTGACAACTCCAGTTATAGAACAAAAACCAAATAATATGTTAGATAATAACAGTAATAAAAGTATAATTGAAACTAATTCAGTAGCATATCAAGATTCAAAATATTCATCTGAAGAAAATAATTCACAAAGCACAAATTATAGTAACGAATCACACACACACGACACAAATGAATCATTAGATGAATTAGTAGAAGATGATAATAGTACTTTGATTGATGAATCAGGTATTATGCCTCAAAATAACGTAAATCCAAATTGGAGTAGAGTATTAGCCCATCATAAAAATAGCAATTTTAGAACAAATAATATCACTTCGAAAAATAGTACCTTATTAGATGCTGGAAAATCTCTATCTTCTACACAAACTACCAAGGACAATTCTGGTAAACCAGCTAGGAAAAAACCTATTATCAAATCTAAACCTATAAATCAAATAAAAACTGATGATAAACAGGAAAAGCAAAAGAAAAGAAGAAGCATATTCTCGTTTTTTCAAAAGAAACCATCGAAATCTAAAAGTAGTCCACAAAATATGATAAGAAGTGTATCCTTACAAAATGAATACGGTACATTGGGAAAGAAACAAACCTCTTCAAGAAGGATTGTGACAACGACCTCACCAATACTAGGAAAAGAGGTTGAATCCACTAATAATATATCTGACACATATATCAAAAACAAAAACAAAAGCATCAGTGAAAGCATATCTACTCAAAGTCCAATTTATGACAATAAAGACGATAATTCGGACATGGAAAGTAAACAGAGTAATATAGAAAAGTTACAAGAACCAATATCATTACCTAAACAGAGAAAATTACAAGAGGAATCAATTGTAAAGGAAAATTTAAGAAGTATCACACCTTTAGATGTTAAAAATGCTTTAAACAAAGGAGATATGATAACAGATTCTTCATCATCAGAAGATATATTTGCTAATAAAAGCTTGGTAAATGAACTGCAGCCACCAAAACTTTTATCACCATCTATTTCTGATCATGTATCAAGGAGGGACTCCGGGGAAGTTCATTTCCCTAAATCTCTTGATAAGGAAGAGATTGACTATATCACACAATTAGAGAGAAATAGATCGATTAGATCAAGCACAAAAAGAAGATCAATAGACACTTTATCTATAAAGGCACAAAATGAAGGTATGACAATATATGAACCTTCTGATGTGGTTTTGGCCACTCCTGATTTAAGTAAAAGTCCGACAAGCAGTATTTTAAAGAATATTGGAACTTTTGATAGTGATGGATTGAATTATGAACTTTCTTTGGGTTCTATTGAAGAAAAATTAAACGAATTGAGCTTGGCATTTGATGAAGAACCGGAAGAAATGTTAAATTTGAACAATCAAAACACACTTTTTGTGACATCCGATCAAAATAAAGAATCTTTGAAAAATCACAATGAATATAGTGCTACGATGGATGAAAAAGAAGACGATGATTTAATGAATGATATTATGGAGTTTGCTAATATAATTAACTTTGGTGATGGTTTAAACCTTGATTTAGATCTAAATATTAATAATGATTCTCTAAATGCATCTAATAATCAGAAAAAAACATTTAACCCTAAGGTTATAAAAAGAGAAAATTCACCTGAAAAAGCCAATATTAATAGTGGTGATATAGATTTTAATAATAATATTACTTTTCAAAATTCAGGATTGGGTTTACAATTTAGCAATGGAGACATTGCCGTTAACAACAGTGCTTATGATAATGATAACATTGAAATACAATATGGCACATCTATCCTAGAAACACCAGAGATTGTAGAAACAGAGGATTTTAATAACGAAACCTTTAGTGCGATTGATTTCAAGAATAAAATAAAACAAAATATGAATTCAAATCATGCTACTATAACGTCACCACATATGGAGGAATACATAGCTCATAATTACTCTACTATAGAGAGACCTATATCTATGTCTTTTAAAGGTTTGTTGGGAAATACAATGGGTAATTCTTTGTCTTCACTTAATACAGATATACCGAATTCTAATGGAAAAGTGAAGTTTTCTTCAAAGATTATCTTATATGAAACCTATGATGAGTTTGAATATGATAGACATCCAAATATTAGTACTTGTAACCAATTGACTCCACAATTAGCTCAAATGATAAAAGCAGAATTAAATGAATTGAAAAGAGAAATGGAGGTACATGAAAATTCAAGATGTTATACACAATTTTTTTAATTATATATGGATAGTTACATTTAGGCATATATAAATCATATAAGCAATTTTAATTGAACTATTTGTAAATATATCTATAAATACAATTTCAGGTGACATTTAATTAGCATTTATTTATTGTGTATGCCTGTGTCTTTATGATGTCGCTAATTCATATATCTTTGAAGAAAAAAATTGGCAACTTCACAAAACAAAAAAATTTTTGTCATTTATCATGAAAAATTTTACTTAAACAAAGAGATTGAGGAAGAAGACAATAAAAGAGACACATAAATAAGAACTAAATGTGCCGCCAAGTGCATCAATATTATAATATAAAAGGATTTATATTCAGCAATTTAAATATATTAATAAAATTTGATAAGTGAAGGAGGGTACAAAAACGTCAAAAAAAAAATTATTAAAAAGTATAATTTATTCAAATGTCGGAACTAAATTTTGAATTACCAAGTCGAGTCATTCCTGGCCAGTTATTGTGTCCTCTTTATGTACCAACAGAGCCAAAAGTTACTAAATATATAGCAGGACCAGGAACCAAAGTTGTTCACTACGACTTGAATAATATAGATGTCATTACTAGTACAAGAATTGGTAATGTTCAAGTTGTAGAAAAAGACCTACCTAATAATGAAGAGAATGAAAAGACAACTAATAATGATATGATGCTAATAGAAATCAGTGTAATAAATAAAACTACTAGTAACGATAGTGGCATCTCTAATACACTTAGTAAAAGCAATAGAGATAAATTGCTGCCAAAAGAAGGTGATATTGTTTTATGTCGTGTCGTAAGAATATCATTACAAAGAGCCAATGTGGAAATAATTGGATTTCAAAACGAACCTATTCCTATTGATGGTGGTGTAGGAACCAATGGACATGGTGTTATAGGAGTAAATGGTGGGTCTGGTGGAGCTACATTTTCAATGTCACAAAGCTCATCTGATCTTGGTGAAACCTTTAGAGGTATAATTAGGTCACAGGATGTTAGAGCAACTGAAAGAGATCGTGTTAAGATGATTGAATGTTTCAAACCCGGTGATATAGTGAAAGCGCAAATATTATCTTTAGGTGATGGTGTGAATTATTATTTGACGACTGCAAGAAATGATCTTGGAGTTATATTTGCTAAATCAAATAATGGTGCAGGGAATCTAATGTATGCCATGGATTGGCAAACGATGGTGTCTCCTGTAACAGGTGTCATTGAGAAACGTAAATGTGCAAAACCTTTTTGAATGAAAAATAAATATCATTAAAAATTATATATATATATATATATATATATATATATATTTGTATATGCATCAATAAAACAAATAAACAAATAACATAGAAGGGTAAAAAAAAACAAAATATCTATCAAAAAATCAAAAAAAGGACTATACTTGATTAAGTATCATTTACTTTTAATGGTGGATACTTTAATTCCTCATGGTTACCTCTAAGATCGTATTCACTTAAACCTATAACTGCACCAAACTTATTAAATCTTTCCATATAATGTGCTCTTTTTAACTTAGACATTTCTACTAATTTAGGCCAGTAAATTTCATGATCATATTTAAAATCTAACACACCACCATAGACACAATCCAACTGTCTTTCATCGACGTATCTATTAAATGGTTCATCAAATACTAATTTATTCCTTGTTACTGGATCAATAAATGGATGGATTAACTTTAAGAAAGACCATGCTAGCCATGGTATATTAGTCAATAAGGCCTTCCCTAATCTTTCTGGATAATGTGTCTGTAAGATATGCAATACTTCTTTACCGATACCAATTGGAGGTATTTTACTGTTTCCACTTATTTTTGGTACATCAGGGTATTCTTTAAAATCAATTAATAATGCCAAAGATCCTTGTCCCATAGGCATGAAATCAATGACTCTTTCCAACATAAACACTAAATGTTGTACTTGTCTCTGAGAAGTCTTTGTGTTCTGTCTACCAGGTTTCAAATAAAGGATTGGTCTACCATCATTGTCGTAACCCATTACGATTTGCTTCCCACTTTCATTTTCGATGGCTACCAGATCTGAGGTAACAGTGTCACCATTTTCTTCACCAAGGTGGTTAATACCAAACTCACGCCTCCATGCTAAGGATTGCGTGATACGATCAATAGATTGATCAATATTCCAATTAGTAGCTTTTAAGTATCTTATGATACATTCTTTTGTCAGCCATGCTTTTTCTTCAAGTAGAAGAGGCGATCTGTCCTTTTGATCTCGAGACTTAAATGACTTCTCACTATTTGGAATTAATAAAGCATCATTTGTTAGATATTTTAGCATAAGGATGTACTTCTCCTTTTCTTCGTTATTACTAAACTCCGATGTACATCTAATTTCTAAATATGAAGGAAGATCGAATATTGGTTCATTTATTACTAATATTTTTTTTTGTTTATCCTTGTTGTTTTTAGTTTGAGAATCTACAGTCTTTTTATTATTGTTATTGCTTGTACCTAATAGTTTACCAAACATTGTTAAAAGTTTATTTTATAATAAAAGGCAATTTGTTGAGTTGAGATGTGTATATAAATGTATAAGCAGTATTGTGAAAATTATTCAATTAATTAAATTGGTTATTATTATTATTATTATTATTATTGTTGTTGTTGTTGCCATATGTCTTCTAGTAAGTTGAATAATAAAAACAAAGAAAGAAGACCAAGCAAGTAAGAAGAAATAGTGGTTAGGTAAGTAAACAAGTCTACATATATATATGAATGTCTGTATGTATGTGTATATAAGAAAGAAATATAATGGACGGGAGGGAGATGTTTGTGGAAGGATTTAGGTTACGGAGAAAAGCTTAAATACGAACAATTGTTGATTATTAAGAATATCTGACTCACATTAAATACGTAGCCATGTGTATAAAGGCATACATATGCATATATAATGTTATCTTAAATACGATTTATGACGCTGCGATTACTAAGATGAAGTAATGAGCAAAACGATACGATACCACCGCTGCTATTTTCTTTCCTGAACAGACCGATAGAAAAACAGAGCCATATAACAATAAGATGCCTTGTGAAGAGATTTGCAGTGCTCGAGAAGGGCTAAACGCGTGGATTTCTGCTCGAGGAGTAATCATTCTGAAAAAAAAAAAATGGCCGAATTCTTCCTCCACCCCTTCTAAAAGATTTAGGAACAAAAAATTACAAACTAAAAAAAAAAAAGGAAAACAAAACGATAAAGAAGCATGTGTAACACCGATACAAGTAGGGTTAAGTTAAAAATAATATTCTCTTCCTTTTTTTCCAAGGATCATATCAATTTGAAAGTTAGGGTTTTTGTAAAAAACATTTTGGAATATATCCATTTATGTGTGATTTCCATACATAATCAATATTTAAATTGAATAAATGATAGTAAGATAACTTGATGATTAATAACCACATAGTATATACTTTATACTTAGTGACTTTGTATGCTTGTTTTTTCTCTTACCTTAAAGTCTAATGGTTTGATTAACAAAAAGCAATCTGTAAATAAACACAAAAGAAATTAGTTGGTGATAAAATATCCCATTGTCTATCTCTGTATATTCAATACTCGGTCTGGGATAAACTATTTACAGATTACATAGTTTTTCTCTCAAACTAACATTGTTAGGGTTCAGTTACAAAGCAGTTGGATAAATATAACAAGAGAGTAGGGCTATAATAAATGTTTAAAAATCAGTTATTTCTTTTAGAGGTGCAATTTTTTTTTCTTTTGACAAGACTTTATGCGTAAAAAATTTTGGCAATATAAAATCTCCAACTCCATTTGACGTCCTCCACGATTTTGATGCTCTGTTTGTTTGTGGCAGCTCTTCGTGACAAACAAAAGAAAACACAAAAGATACAAAATCCCTCGCAGACTCCAGAAAAAAAAATAAAATAGAATAAAATAAAATAAAATGAAAAAATTCTTTTTTCCAGCTGCCTCATCTTGTTTTTTTGTGTAGGATAAATCTATAAAATTCATTGTATGGGCACTAATATAAAGTTTCCGTGGAACCAACACACAGAATCGGATCAGTTTACAATAGAATAGTATCCGTGGAAAGAAACACACGGGAATGTCCTTTTTTATTATTATTATTGTTGTTGTTGTTATTTTCGTTATTATGGTTATTTAACGGAAATAGATAAGAAAAAAAAAATAATAATAATATTTCATACATTCGTTACATTATATTAGATTATATCATTATCTACGTAAATGATAAAATATTCATGCCTTCGTTATATTATTAAGTATGGACCATAGACAATGTTTGCTCAATGGATCGTTATGCAATTTCATTTTTTCTTTTGTAAGTAAGTTTTTAGAGAATAAATCTTTTTTTTCTTATTACTGTGTTCATTATTTGGTCTAGCATTCCCATTGTCATCGTGTCTGTTAATAGTAGATGTATCAGTCTTATAGGTCTTCTTTGGACTTACTCCAGGTTCACCATTATTCTTGTTACTATTTTTGCCATCATCTTTTAACCTGTTCAACATTAAATTTGTCTTTAAAGTGTCGCAAAGGGGCAATTGCATATTTGGGTGTACGGATGATATAAAAATGTTTGACTGTTTTCTCTTAGTACCTGTAATAATAGTCAAATTATTGTTTTCAATTACATTGTTATTACTCGTGATGGTACTATTATTACTCTCACCATTGGTCGTCGTTGTATTTTTATCATGAGATATATTTAATATAGGTGTTGGTTTAGCTGGTGATGATGATATTTGTCTAGACAAAGGCCTTTTCTTCTTTAAAAATATGTTTTGTTCTAAACTATTTCTTTGTTTGCGTATTGGCGTATGAATCTTACTAGCAGAAAAAGAGTTATTTAAATGTATAGTAGCAGCCATATTACTAGTATTTGAATTACTAACACTTGCTATCATTGAATCACTTTTGTTACCTGTTTGTCGTTTTGCTATATCATCTTCATTTATATTATTAATCAATGAGCCTCTAGAAATTGTTCTAAATAACCTCGAATCTATTCGCTTACCTGCCATCCCACCAAACGCTACTCTTTCTACGGGTTTTCTGTTTTCATTCTTCTGATTTGTACCATTTTGTAAACTCATTCTTTTAGTAGGTGCCATATACATTCTATCCATCAACTGTCTCTTCCTATATCCTCTGTTTCTTCTAGCTGTATTATCAATATAAAATTGTTCACCAACTATCACTGCAGATTTTTTCTCTCTTTCTTCCTTTATTCTTTGCATTTGAAGCCGTAGGTTTTCCGTTATCTTTGCTTCTTTTAATTTTATATCTTCTTGATATTGTAAATATAACATTCTATAAGGTACTTTATATTTCTTGGTAGTCATGTCCTTTTTAATCGTATCAGATATTCTGTTCTTTAATATAATTTTTATTAAAAAATCATTTTCATTTTCATTTTCATTACCATGACTATCTTTATTAATTTTATTAATTTTATTAGCTCTATTATCATAATATATACTTTTAATTGCATCTTTATAGTATTTTACAATAGTATCTTTATTGTTAACGTATTTTTCATGTACATTAGTTGGGAAGTCTGCTCGTAAAAAATCTAACCAAAGTTCATCGTCATCAAATATCCATTCAAGATTGAATCTCTCGTATCTCATTAATTGAATCGCATTAATGTTAATCCTTTTCAAATATTTATTTATCAGTCGATATGGTATATTCGCTATTATCTGGAACTTATCTTTGTTTCGAATTAAAGATTGCAAACAAAGTTCACTTAATGTTATATCTTTAACCTTCATTATGTCATATTATTAACCGCTATTATTAACTGCTGTTGATCCTTATTTCTTTTGTTTTTTTTTTCTTTTCTTCGTTTGGTTTTACTTTATTTGATTTATTTCTTATTCTATTTTATATAAGTGATTTCTTCATAGTAATATTAACGCTCTCCCTTGTTACTTGCTTTATTGTAGTTTATTACTAGATATTGTGAAATGTATATAAATGCGTATTTTCATATTATTGTATGAAATATTTTTAATCCTTTAAAAACAAAAATAAAAAACAAAAGAAAAGGAAAGAAAGGAAAGTAAAGAAAACATAATATTTCAAAATTTAATGAACAAGAATTAAAGCTGACAAAATCAGTATTTGCCTCTCAATCAATACAGTATCTATACAAAGTAACTTACTGTAACGTAACTAAACAAACAAACAAATAATATATATATATATATATATATATATATATATATGTTTATTATAAGATTGTTTCTATTAAAATTTATTTTTTATTTTTTATATGTTTTTTTTTACCTTTTGCTAAATATAATATTCTATATGCTTGTCTATCACAATTTTCTCCAGACATATATATATATATATATATTAATTTATTTGTTCCTATCGCCTTATTTATTTTTGTTTTTTCTTATTCTTCTTCTTTGTAGACTTTTTTACCTTATTTGGGGAAGCAGCATGATCCTTTTCTTTAACATGGTTAAAAAGTTGGTTCTTACTTCCAAAAGTTTGACCACATGTGGCACAGGTTTCTAACTTCCACTGCGGTATATGACCCTTTACAACATTATCAACATTATTCAAATCATCAGTGTTCATCATACTATTATTCTCATTATTTGATTTTTTTTTATTCTTTCCTTTCCCCTTTTGTTTTTTCTTTTTTTTTTTGTTATTCTTATTTATACACCAATCTTCATCGCTACTATCATTGTCTTGATTTTCGTCACCAAATTTAATTCCACTATCTTTGCAATTACGTTCTTCTAATGATTTTAGGATTTTGGTTAGTTCATCTATCTCTTCTTCTGATTCGAATACATCTTCGTTTTCAAAACCAGAATCTTCTATATGTGTTGAATTAGATTCATTAGAATACATTGATTTTTCCTCACCATAATGCTTCTTAACTTCCTCTGCAAACTCAGTAACCACCAATTCCTCCTCCTTCTTTTCTTCTTCATCAGCATCTTCACTGTTGTAATCATCAGAGAAATCAGCTTCAGCTAATTGGCGTTCAATTTCAGCCAATTGTTCATTCAGTTGTTTCATATTCATGTTTTGTATATCTTGAGATATGCTCGTAGATATATTTATGGATGCTTCTTCTTCTTGGTTTTCCTTTGCGGAATCATACTCCTCTAACTCTGATAAATTATCCAAGCCTAATGACATATTTTCATTAGAAACCTCTTTTTGCAAACGGTAAACATTTTTACGATGTAATTTAGTATTAATATGATTGTCCAATTGTTTTTCTGACTTAAATGTCTTATTACATATATTACATTCATATATCAATATAGTATCAGTGTCATTGTCATCAATATCTCCATATTGAGTATCATTTTTATTTCTATCACTCTTTTTCCAAGCATTTAATTTATTTGTTGTTTTTGCTTCCTTAGAAGATTTATAATAGTCTTTTTGTTCATCATATGTTTTAGCCAATTCATCCCAGTTGACATCTTCGTTGGTTTGCCAATTTTGCACTTCGAACTCAGATTTTTGAGATATATCTCTTTTTTGTTGTTGTATTTGTTTCTTTAACATGTCTCTTTGTTGTTTTTCTTTCAATTTTCTTTCTTCTTCCTCCTTAGCTGCACCTCTCTGCATTCTTTTGTCTAATTTCTTTATAAATGTGACAAATCGTTTAACTGTTTTAATATATTCATTTTTAGCATTATTTCTTGCCCTATCATTACGTTTCTTAATTTCCCTCTTTGTGCGTCTATCGTATTGTGATGAATACATGTATTCATCTTTCCAACTAAAATTCTTAAAAGTATTAAAATTGGACCATTTTCTATAGAATTGTTTCAAGTATTGATAATCTGTTCTTGAATGACCAAAAGTTGGAAACATATATCTATCATCACTTAATCTATCTTCAACAGCATTTAAATAACCCACAGATTGGATCTCTTTTTCAAATATATCATCCTTATATTGATTATTGGACTCATTTGTACTGATTCGTCTCCACCAATTAACTTCATCCATTGCCAATTTGGCGAATATTTTGCCTACAATTTGATACATCCCAGCAGGGCTATTGTCCAATTTAGTGTACAAGGAACCATTAAAAAACATCAGCAATTCATCTGTAGTGACTCCCGTTATACTTGAGTCAAATTCATATTGATCATTATCGACATCATCGATGTTCATCGAATCATTTAGAATCTGTTCTCTATGATCATCATACCACGCTCTTTCTTGTGGATCACTTAGTACTTCATATGCGGTCCTGATATTGGAAAATATTTCAGTGGCTTCTTCTATATTGTCTGGGTTTTTATCTGGATGATACTGAAGTGCTTTTTTGTGATATGCTTTTTTTAAATCAATATCCGTAGCATCTCTTGATACACCTAGCAATTCATAATAACACACTTTCATATTGGAGAGTACACAAAAGCTATATATATTCGTGTATATAATGGTAATAATGATAATAATTTAACATACTTTTTGAATATATATCCATAAACACTGTATTGTATACATATCATATTTAATCAATAGCTGCTATATTCAAATTGACATTTTATTCCTTTAGGTTCTTTATTTTTAGTATTTTTTTTTTGAGATTCGATATTTTTGTGAAAAGAAAAGAAGTTAAAGAAAAAAAAATGCAATTTTTTCGTTTTAGGAAATGCTCGAGAAAATTGCCCTTTTTGGATGGACATTGGTGATTACAATAGAAATAAGGCTTTCCTTGCATTAGGATTTTGGTAGCTGTGCTTTTATGCGATTTTATTTTTGAATGTTGGCAATTTAAATAAGTAATTGAGCAATATATATGGATGTATATATATATACATCCATACTGGCGTTCGATTACTCTTCGTATCCACTTTCATGATCGAATCTCTCTATGACAATCTCTTCTAGTTTATGCAGTATTCTTTCAAGAGATTTTTTGCTTTTGTCTTTGTCCCCTGTTTGTAGATAAGTATCGATACATTTTTCTACTTGTTTATGGAAATCTAAGCTGACATCCAAAAATTCTTCTGATAGCCATACAGTGAATTTTAATAAAAGACTAAATAATCCCAATAATACTGTTATCCTTGGTAAATTGACTTCTAAAGAATCTATTGATAAACCAAGTTCAATAGATGTTCTTTTAATCAGATTTTGTAATTGGACTATATTATACTTGTCCAACAGATCCAATTTTAATGAATTATATTTCTCAGATGTCACTATTGGACGTTTTAGATTGTTAAAAGTCAATTTTTCAGTTGAATTTCCCTTTATATTCTCCAATTCAAATTCCAATTTTTGTGATTTTAATTGTTCTGTCGACATCTCTTTGCGCAAAGTCTCTAATTCATTAAATAATTGTTTATACTCATCAAACTTCTCAACTACCTTATTTTCATTCACAATATTCAAATTTTCAATGTTTTTTAATAAATCTCGTGATATAGAATTAAAATTTTCTTGCAACACTATCTCAACGTCCTGAGTTATCTTTTCATTCATATTCCTCAAATTTTCGTTCTCCTTTTTAAGAACGTCAATATTCTTGGAATAATCTGTAGTTAAAAATCCTATCACATTCGGAATTTTTTCTCTTAATGGTTTTACAATTGAAATAGACGGTTCTTTTTCATCAGATAGTTGATTCTTAATCATTCTTCCAATAGGTATATTAAATAAGTCTAAATCATCTAATCTCTTTTCATTTATCTCATATTTGTCAATTATTTGCTTGGTTCTTTGTAATTCAGATTCTAATTTCTCGATTTGTTCTTTTTGTGATACAGAAATTTGTCTTAAATCATTTAATTCTTCATCTTTTTTACTGACCTGTTCAGTCAAATTCTTAATTCTCGTCGTATCTTCTATATGGATTAACAACAGTTTTTTGACTTCATCATTATCTTGATTACGTTGTTTCAAATAGACTTTTGCTATGCCTGAATCAATAGTTTCATCATTTGTCATATCATGGAAATTTGGATTATGAGAATATCTGTTAAAATGGTGTTTATTGTTATTGTCATTGCGATTGTCAAGATTGTTTAGATTCTGTAGATCATTGTTATGATTACTATTACTATTGAAATAATTCATTCTATTGGGTTCTCTTAAACTTGGCCCATTGGAATTATATGAAGGAGAGTATTGATTTTCATTATTGTTTTTTATATCACTATTAATCCTTGATTGTTTAGGTAAAAAATGATCATTTTCTTTATTTGAATTATAATTATAATTATCAGACAAGTTGGAAGAAGATCTTTCTCTGTCCCTGATTTGAGCTTCTAATAAAACAGAATTCTTTTCCTGACTCGTTGAACTCATTTTTATTATAAATTATTATATAAGTAACGGACAAAAATATAGGGATGACGAAGAAAGTAGAGTAATTGGTATTATTTAATTTATAATTATGCCAGTCAAATTCTAGATAATTGTTTAAGATAGTCAATCAACTTAGTCAGTGACACTTAATATATGAGTGTGTTATAAAATACTTTCTTCAATTAGAAACAAAATAATGATATGATACAAAAAGTATTTATATCAAATAAAGATTACAAAAAAAAAGTAAGTAGTTTTTTTTTTTTCTAAAAGATTTTTGATTCTTTTTTCCAATTAAATTCTCCTCCATCTCAACATAAAAAAGAAAGTAGCAGTAAAAATACAAATTAACCTGAAAACAAAGAATTGTACTATATATTAGTACATATATATATGTATATATATATATATATATATATATATATATATATGTGTGTGTGTATTTAATGGAATCTATTAGTATGTCTTCTTCTGCCTTTATGATGAAGGTGAGATTTGAGAGATTCATCACTTTTGATATTTGAGCCTCCAGACTCTTTGATACGATGACCCAAACCCGTCTTACTCTTCTTTACCACTGCTAGCACTGGTTCACTGATACCTTTATTACCATGAGCACCAAGACCTTCACCGCTGGTCCAACCAAACTTTTCTAATAATCGCCTACCTATATTATCTTTACCAATTTCTGGAGCATCTTCACCAACAATTTCCCCTTCTTTGACATGGAACTTCGTCTTTGTGATATTGAATCGTTCCCTAATAACTCTATCACTGGCATGAATTCTATTTATCCGAGGGACATCAGCCCTCATAAATATAGGTCTTTGTTTCAATAATTGAGAGATTAAATTATAATTTGGTGTTCCCCATCTTGTTTTTTTGGTCTTTTGAATTATGATATGTTGCTTACTGCCTCTACCAGATTTTTTGGTTTTCATATTGTAATGGTTAGCAAATTTAGTTATTGTTTTGTTACCATGCGGATCCAAAGGTGGAAAACTCATGCTATCACTTGAATAACTTAAAAATAATTCAAATTCATCTTTAATATTTTGGACATGTAATCCAAAGGGATATTTTTTAAATAAATCTTTTGAATTCTTATTTTCTTCCGATATAAAATCCTCTTTAGTTCTTCTTTTTTTTGCTTTTTGTAAAGTCCTTTCATGTAATTTATCTTGTAACATCACTACAGTTTCTCCATCTAATTGGAGATCTTCATTAACTAGAAATCTTTTCTTTTTACCTTTTCCAATGGTCTGCAATGCATGGGTTTCAAATTCTTGGTTTCTTGTATCATTATATTTTAAAGTGTAGGATATAAGGTCGTCTAATCCCTCCTTCATATCATCAGAAATACCATTTCGATCGCTTTCGTCGTCACTATCACTATTATTGTCGTTGCCTTCTTCTTCTTCTTCATTATCAAACGACAAATCTGAATATTCAGGTTCCGGAATTTTTTCCTTTGGTATTAACGAATCTTTGATATATTTTAAATAACTATTTAATCTATGCTCCGGTAAATGTAGATCATTCAGAAGAAAATCAATGAATAATTCTTGGTCAAGCCATCTTGAATCATAATCACCAAACAGTTTGTATGATTCTACATAGTAAGAGTTTTCATGGAGACCTAATCTAATATTAGAAACGCGTACCTCAGAAGTGTTAATTATGTAGTCTTCTTCTAAGAAACCAAATTCTGGGTCTTCTTCATTATTTGATTGCGATTCTGTACTTGATTGAGATTCATATAATTTTAATGATTCAATATTTTTCAAAATTATTTTATCAGAGATGCTTGATGATTCTTCTTTTGCCATGTTATTCCTGTTGTTATTATCAATAGTATAATTATCACTATACCCTTCAGCTGTAAAAAAATCCTTTGTTAGTTCCTTTATATCATCAAAATTTTGACCTTTATTTATTTCATTTTGTAAAATCACTGATGACATTTCATTATAATTTTTTTCTATAAAAGATATGGATTTTGATTTTGGTTCCACTCTAACATTATCATAAGCAACACTTTTATTACTATTATCATATGCACTACAATTATTGGATTCTACAACAGTTAATTCTACCTTTCCAATTACTAAAGATGGATTGAATTCTAATTTTCTTTTATGGTTGGTAAATTGATCACGATTATTTAGTTTTTTGATATCATGACGATCATTTTCTGAAAATACTGTTTTTACAGAAGTCTCTGTATCAACTGGACTACCAATTTCATCTACAAAAAATAAATCTTTGACACTTATTATTTCTGAAGAGTAAGTGGTTAAAGAAGAATCGGATGCATTATTTGAATTAAGCACATCTGTTTCATTATTGTGTTTTTCTATTGAAACATTTATATCTCTATCTAAAGATGTATCTAAAATATTAACTGTAATGTTATCTCCATTATTATCATGAGTATTTTCCTTTTTATTATTATTGATTACATTGATGGGCCGTATCATAGATGAGTCATTATCTAGTAATCTTTCATTTTCTTTAGATCTTAGTCTTTCAATTAGTTCATGAGATGGGTCATAAGGTTCTTTAGCTTTAACAAACACCATTTTTCTTTTTCTGTAATTACTTTTATTAGCGTCTTCATTTGCATTATTATCATAATTATGAAAATTTACATCTTCATTTCTGCCTAAAAGTCGTAATGCAGTATACTTTAGAGAATGATTATTTTTTAAATTGTCTCTACCAAAATAATAATCTTCAACTGTCTTTGGCGATACATAATTTTTACCATAATTTATATCTTTCATATCTTCATGAATATCAATCATGAAATCATTGCTACCAATAGGAAGGGAAGAGCTATTCCAAATGAAATTATCATCCTCATCAATATCATGAGTGTTTTGGTTATTATCATTTAAAGAAAATCTAGCTGTGTACTGTTTGTGGTTATGGCTTTTACTTTTATGACTAGATTTCCCATATCTGCTCGTGTTCTTGGTCTTACTCTTATTCTTTTTTGAATAATGTTTATGTCTCTTTACCATAATGCTTAATCTCTTTTTAATTGCGCTGGTTATTTTATCAAACCCTTAAATATTACAGAAAGACGATGTTAGCAATAGGTAATAGAGTGTCAATGGGCTGCGATGATTGTTTTCTCTTATTTAAACAATTTTTTTATTTACATTCAGGTTTTTACATATTTGTTTTTTTTCTTACTTAGAAGCTCTTCTTCTATGTTCTTTTTGAATTCAAAGGGTAAAGACAAGTAGAACTGCAGGAAGAATGTAGCATGACATACATATTATCCTATAATATTCACATTTTTGTATCAGTCATATAGATATATTTATTTGGCAGTCAAATGTGTTACTGCGAGTACATGTACATATAAAAATAATAAAATTACAATACAATAAGGCCAAAAGAGAGAGGGTAAAAAGTTTTAAATTTGCTAACAGATTAATAAGTTATCCATTCGATTTCAGATCGAGCATATTTAATCAGTGTACTTTATTCGATCTTATATTGATTTGCTTTTCTTTTTCAATTTTGGTTTTAAATCATTGAGAATAATATTAGAATATGCCTCAGGGTGATCTGTTCAATTTGAAACCTACAGATGACTTTTGCATAATAAAACAAAATAAAATAAACTCCAATCAGTATGTCATATTAGGTTTAAGTTATGAATCCGATGGTGGCATCAAATATAGTGATGGAAGGTGTGATGAAGAAGAAAATAAACTAAATTTTAATTTACTATTCCAGAGGTTGGGTATCCCTAATTGGTTTCCATCATCAAGTAAAATAATTAGTAAATCAGAATTACCGTTATTGTTAGATATTTATTCAATGATTAATTTTACTTATAGATATAAATTTTCTCCTATACCAAGATCAATTGATGGGCCATCCCCAATAAATTTTCAATCCATGTTTAGAGAAAATCCGTTAAATATAATAGAAAATATGCTAATAAACCCAGATTGTTTTAATTCGGATATTGGATGGGGATGTATGATACGTACAGGACAAACTCTTTTAGCTAATACTATACAGAGAATTAAATATGGCAGAAACTTTACATTATCGATTAATGATGATGATAGGAACAGTGACAGCGAAAATGACAAATCTATTATTAAATTATTCCAAGATAAACCTGAAGCACCATTTTCGTTACATAACTTTGTTCAAGCCGGAAAAGAACTTTCTAATATGAAACCAGGGCAATGGTTTGGTCCATCCGCTACTGCTAGAAGTATACAAAAATTAATATATGATTTTCCACAGTGTGGTATTAATAAATGTATAGTGTCCGTCTCTTCAGGAGATATTTCAAAGGAAGAAATAGATTCTATATACGAAATGAATGAAGATAGTAAGATTTTAATTTTGGCAGGGATTAAATTGGGTATCCATTCAGTTAATAAGTATTATTGGGAGGATATATTAAATTTGTTGTCTACAAAGTTTAGTGTTGGTATAGCTGGTGGTAGGCCATCCTCATCACTTTATTTTTTCGGTTATGAAAGAAGTTGTGAAAAAGAATACAAAGATAGTCAATTACTCTATTTTGATCCTCATAGGTCTCAACCAAGTTTAAATGACGAAAATGGTGTTGGTGACATTGATTATAAAACTTGTCATAGTATCTATTATGGGAAATTAAAATTGAAGGATATGGATCCATCAATGCTTATAGGGATATTATTAGAAAATTTGACAGATTGGATTAATTGGCAAAACGTTGCTAACAATTGTAAGATATTTAATATAATATCGAGTACAATGAATGATGTTACTTGGAATGACGATGAAAATATTGATATTGAGAGCTTACAGAGTGATGGAACAGCTATAGATAATGAGCAAATGGATATTTGGTATAATAATAATGATAATATTAGTAATGATAATATTGCAAACAAAAATAAAAATATTGACATTCAATTTGAAGATACTTTAGAAAGAAATCATACCATAATGTTGAAAGAGAAACATGATGAAAATATGGATAGTAATATTCTAAGGCAAAACAATACACTTAGCAGTATCACAATGGACTATGTAGATGTTGGTTCTTTATCATATCATACATCAAAAACTCTAAATGAAGCGTTTGAAAATATCCAGTGCAAGAAACAAAAAATTATGATTTTTGACCAAGATAAATCCTTTGATAGAATAAAGGATGGGGATATTGAAGTTGAAAAGGTTTTAGTAGAGTCTGACTCAATAGAGCCAACCACTATATTGTAATATCATTAAAAATAACTATTAGATGAGTCATGTCAGTATTTTTGTTTGTTTGTTTGTTTTTCTTATCTTTTTTTTTGTTATTCTTCTTCATCATTGTTTTTTTTATATTCTCGAGTAAGGCAATGTTGTAATACCTACATTGAAATAATATTCTTTAATTTTATATCTTATATATACATATTTCTATATATTCCAAAATTATATTTACTAATTTTTTGTAAATTATTTTCTTGATTGCCATGGTCTATGAAGATCAATTAAATTTTTATTTTCCTTAAATTTAATCACAGATTAAAAAATTGTAAGGCTATTCCTTAACTAATGCGGGTAGAAATTATACATTCTTTCATTTTTTAGGCGCAAGTACATTCATATATAGAGGTTGATATATTTGCGTTATTTGAAAGGATTTCTTTTTAAGTATCGAATAGACTCTATAAAGAACAAATTAATATGTAAATCTGTATCTTTTTTTCTTTTATTTTTAGTTTTTTTCAAATATTCTTAAAAGAATTACTTTTTTGCAATCTGTAAAAAAGAATTATTACAAATTGTAAATACATACCTATATGTTTATCTGAAAGCACATTCAATTTAAAGAACTTTAAAATATATTTAGGTCTATCATCAAATACAGTCCATTTAACAACCTCTCTCATTTTTTATAGTAAGGTTACAATTGGTCCAATATAAGTGCTATTTTGCACTCATTCATATTGAACTCAAAAATATAAAAAGATATCGATACACATATATATAGTTATAGACCACAGTTGCTCTCACATATCCAATTACGTAAAATAAGATATAAGAATGTCCGAAGAACCTAAACGTAACTTCAATTTGAAATTTTGTACAGTCTGTGCGTCTAATAATAATAGATCTATGGAATCTCATAGAGTGTTGAAAGAGGCAGGTTATGATGTCAGTTCATATGGAACAGGTTCGGCAGTTAGACTTCCTGGTTTGTCAATAGATAAGCCTAATGTCTATTCTTTCGGTACTCCATATAATGATATATATAACGATCTGTTATCACAATCAGCAGATAGATATAAAGCCAATGGGTTATTACAGATGTTAGATCGTAATAGAAAATTAAAGAAAGCACCAGAAAAATGGCAAGAGAATAAGGGTAAGATATTTGATTTTGTTTTCACTTGTGAGGAAAGGTGTTTCGATGCAGTTTGTGAGGATTTGATGTTTAGAGGAGGCCATTTGAATAAAATCGTACATATTATAAATATCGATATTAAAGATGATAATGAAAATGCAAAGATCGGTGCAAAAGCCATATTAAAATTGGCCGACATGTTAAGTGAAAAAATTGAAGTATGTTCTACACCGGCATCTAATGTATATTTTGAAGATATTATAAATAATATATTGACTGAATGGCAAAAACTTTATCCTAAACTACCATGTCTTTACTCGCCCGCATTTTATTAAGTATATAAGCATGTAAGCGTATATATGAATATACATGAATACATATATATATACATATGTCTACAAAATAGACTCACCGGCAGCGTATGTTTATCTCAAGAGTAAGCACAAAAGTTTCAGCAGCCATTCTTTTATTATGTCTGTCAAGCAAGAAGAGCTGATATTATTATAAACAGAACATTCTAGAGGATACAGAATGATAAGGAGTAAGTCTTCCAAGTCTGGGATTTCTTCTTCATTCATTGAATATCACATCGACTGATATGAATAATTAAATGAATGATTAAAAAAAAAATTATCATCTATAATAAATATAGATAATAAAGATAAATGAATAAATAAATCAAAAATTGTAAGACCTACCCGTTTCTATCAAGATCAATTAAGATTTTCCCCCTTATATTAATATAAAGACGACTGTTCTTCACGACATCTTGTAACGAAAAACTGGGAATGGAAGGAAAAACTGGAAAGCCAATCTAACCCCCACACCAATTCCCCCCAAGAAATTTTTCTATTCACATCCCAACAAACTAAGATTAACTCTTGACTTCCATTTAACCTTCTCATGAAAGAAGAAAGATATTTCATAAAATATGAAACACACCTCTATCCTCATGGAATCAATGAAATGTCAGTTGAGAAAACCATAATACGCATATTAGAATAAAAAATGAAATAAAAAAAATAAATCATGAATAAACATCTCTCAAAAGATCCCAACTTCCTTAACACCGATTTGTGATCGGTGTCATACTTCTCCAGGCAGAAGATAAAAAGGGTTCTCAATAACATTAAGCCATATAAAATGAAACATTAAACTGCTTCAATTCATATAACAATGTTACCGAGAACAAGGAAACGAAACGTCAGCAAACACACCTTTCGCCTACGTATGTGACAAAACAAGATCTCTCAAAAGACAAAAATATAAAATATTCTTATTTTTCGATAATGATCTTATTTGATGGCCAAGGAACTTACATCAATTGAAAGAATCATAACTGTTCGACAATGAAAAGAATTCCACCGAATGACCAGAATATGATTCTAAATGCCTAGCATCCTTGTCAGAATAAACAAATAAACCAACCTCCCAAAGTGAGAAATTGACATATTTGGAAATCCCATGAAAGCGCATATTTGGCCATTTGGACTTCTTGATCTCCAATGGCGTCTTAAGGTAAGTATGGTTTCCTTAAAAGAAAAATCAAGAGGAACAACAAGAGAGAAATGTAGAAACACGAGAAGGGAAAAAGTGACAAACTTCGTAACGGGAAAATGGAACAGCTCTCAGAAAGTGCCACTCAAACGTGTCTGAGAAGTTCTTTGCAAGAGACGTCGATCTGTTTTCCTTTTATACTTTGAAAATTTTTTTACTCCTACATTTTTGTTGAGAAAAAAAAAAATACAGTTTCTCTATTTTAATAAAAATGTACGAAGGGGGAGTTTCTCGGTCGCAATATACGAAAAAAAAAATAATTAGGTCTTTCGATTGTTCTAATTTGTTTTTATTGTACAGAAATGATCTACATAATGTAATGTGTAATCATTTACTGTTGATATTTAATGATAAATATTGGTATTTATACAATTTAATAAAATTATATAACTAATATAATACTTATTTTACTGAAATTATATTGTTCTATACGTTAATTGTTTCGATTTTGGCTAAACGGTAAATGTTCGTTCCAACATTTCTAATCAAGACATGCGATCCAGTGAAGGAATCGTTTTTTTTAAAATGACTTGATGTAATAAAACCATTACCTCTACCATGCCCCTCAGAAAGATGATATGTACCGGATGTAATAAATCCAATTAAATGGAATATTTCAGGTAGAGGGACTGCTCTATTATTTTCAAGTCTACCATTAGACTTATAAACACCATCAGCAACACTCTTCCAAAAAGAACTATCTTTTTCTGGGATGGCGTATATTCTAGCATTATCTTTTGGATGTCCTTTTCTTACCATAATACATGAAACTGCCGTTACAGATAGTGGTTTCTTAGTAATATCGACACTTGTATTAAATTTTTGAATATTTAATTTATGAATGTTTCTATAATTTGTCAATTTTATTGGGATAGTAGGTAGTAAAGATTCAATTGATGTGCCAGTTGAATTATCTGTAACATCTTTATATAATTCTAAAACATCATTGAAATTATTTATTGTCCTTGAATATGTTTTATCACCAAATTGTGTGGTGCGCTTCTCATCAACTAAAGGTATCTCACTATCATATTTTTGTTTTAAATACTCAACACCATTTTGTATAATTTGTAAAAATTTCCAGTCGCAGCTAAAGTAATCTCCTATTTCACCAGACATGGCTGGTAAATCAGATAAATGAACCATTGGCAGCTTTTCATAATTTACTTTCTTTCCTATAGTCTTCTTTTCCCATTTAGCTCTTAAAGACGTACTCTTATAAGTAGAATTCTCTAATGCCCCAATAGTAGTAAATGGATAATCATCAGGGAAATATAACTGTTTATTTTCATAGCTTAGTTGTTGAGTTTGTCTTAACCCCATATTATAAACACGAGGAACACGATTTAATTGATACCATATCGGTAAATGCCAAAACCATGGAACAATTACTAGCCAATCATTCTCTGTGGGCCTTCTAATCAATAGTAATGGAATGGAGGGGTCCTGCCCATCTTTAAATGGGATTACTGTTCCTAAATTATTTTTATTTGTACCTTTGGATTTAAGCAATTCCTTACGTCTTTTAGATAACTGTTTTAGAGTTTGTTGATTGTTATAAGATTCTTCTCTACCTTTTGATGTTGTCAATTTAGATAATACCTTGCTGAATTCATCTTTTAAGATTGAATCATCCTCCATTGCAATTATATCATCAATGTCCATACTGTTCTGAGATTTTCTACTGTTGTTAGTTCCAATTTTTTTGGGTGCAGATAGATGTCTAGGATCAATAACTTCCATAGCAAACATCACTCTTGATGGTAGAACATTTGTGTCTGATATATTACATATTTTTTTAAATATTTCAAAATTTTTTGAATGTTTGCAACTTCTAAGAATACTAGATATTGCAGTTAAAGATTTGGCACCTCTAATAGTAATACTAGCTAATGAATACCGACAATCTTGAACCAATATATTTTTACTATGCATTCTTGTTAGGCTATTGAACATAATTGGATAAATTGCCGGATGTAGTCTTAAAATTATTTCTTCCTCATTTACCCATAAAAGATTACATGGACCCAAAATTGCTGATTCTTTTACTTCTGAATGATTGTTATAAATTAAACCTTCATACAAATACTTATTTTGATAATATTTCTTTAAATTACCTCTATTTCTAGTCAAATTTCCAATCAAATTCTTTAAAAACATCTTATCTTCACTTATATTAGTAATAACCATAGTCCCAATAAAAGATGTGTCCATACATAATGCACCATCAGAAGCAGCAACATTACCACCCAATCTATGAGTAAGTTTGAAACATTTTTGGGAAGGGGACCAAGGAATATTAAATCCCCATCTTTTGATCATATGAGATCTTTTGGCGTTCCAAACATGGGTTGGTAACCATGTAAATTGACGTTGTCTTTTACAAAATTTTATACGACCACGAGGAATTGGAGCCAAAGCGTTTATACCAGTGTTATCATAACTACCACATTTGTTATTTAATCTACCATTGTTCATCTCAGATGAAATTGGAACTTTAGAGTTCTTAGCTTCCTTGATCAATTTCTTCAAATATTTAATTCTTTGTCTTATATTGTATTTCGATGAAGTAACATTATCTGGTAGGGCTAGCTTCATAGACATACATTTACTTGCCAGACGTAATAACTTGACAGACATTCTTGCACGATATAATTGAGATGATGATAATCCATGAGTTTTCTTTTTGGTCTCATTAATATTTTTATTTTTAATAGTTATTTGTTGGTCGTTTTTTAACATTTCTCTTAATGCTCGATTTCTCATTCTTTTAGGTATCCTTCTAACATTATGAGAGGCAGTTCTACGACGAAGCTTTCTAGGTAAAGCTTGGAATACTCTGGTGGAGTTTGCATTCTTAGATTTTAGCATAGAATATTGTAGTTGGGTCAATTCAAATTGACGTGAATTAATAAACCTATCTATTTGGATCATTCCACCATCTTCACTCAAAGATTTGTCCCGATCATTTTTCAGCTTATTAGACGCGTGTATAGCTTCTGTTCTAATGGTTCTTGCAGTTCTAATTTTTTGTTTTCTAAATAATTGATTTTTATTCAACTGTTTCTTTCCACCTAAATTATCTCCAAAATTCTTTGCTTCACTCATTTTTAAATATCTATCCAATTATTTACTAGGGACTTTTGCCTGTGTTGGTTTTTCTAATAAGAAGGAAGTGATAAATGTTAATAAGGTTTAGTTGTAAAATATCATCCCATCAACTTTACTTTCTTTTTGTATTGTTCCACTGATATTTTTTTTTCGTTACTCATGAGAAAAGAAAAGAACAAAATTTCATAAAAAATAAGTTACATATCAAAGAGGTTCAGTCAATGTCATTGCTCAGGACCCTTTTAACCATTAAATGTTACGGGTAGCTTCCTGAATACTACTTGTAAATCAGGAATTACCGTGGTAAAATTAATGAACTTACTAAATACATAAATATACACGGTTACGCATGGTTTTACTGTAATACAAGTGTAAAATACTTATTCGAATTAGAGATCCATGAGAATAAAGAAGATTAAACTAAAAAAAATTATTCTCTGTATTCTTTTTCATCGTTTTAGATATTACTTGAATTGTCCATATCATGTGTATTCCTTTCAAATAAACAATAATCGTAGTATGATACTCCATATACTTTATTCCAATACCTACCAGTGTATTGTTCTCCTAGCTTAGCAATTAATGTAGGTATAGTAAATACCCTGCCAAATAACTTGGAATTACCCACATCAATATATTTTTTGCAATAGATGGGAGTCCAGTTAGTCAGATCATCTGGTGAAAATATATCTTTCTCTGTGTCAGATTCTAACGATATATCCACAAAATATTGACATTGTTTGATATCAATTAATTTATTTGGATCAAAAAGGTTCATATTATTCATTCCCTCAGGTATAGTACGGATAGCATCAAAAACACTTGAGGTCTCTGCAAAATCGCCTGGTAACAATCCATCAAACCCAGATTGAACAAACCGTAGTCTATATGAATCAGGTAAGAAAAAGGAGTTAGGGAAATGATACCATTCACGACCAGTACAAACATTAACTATGTCGTCTTCATTATTGGATAAATGGTATAAATGTAAATAGACTTCCAATGGGGCTGTGTAATTAAATACTAGTGCAACGATACGTGAAATTGCTTGAAGAATGGTAATTGTAAGGATAAGAAGTTTTACAGTTGTCTTTAAGCATTTGTTGAAACCAAATAACGTGGATAAAGTTTTATAGAATCCAATAGCACCTGTTAATGTGATTAATCCATATATAGGATATAGGAATCTTTCTTCTTTATGTGGTTGCAAATCAAAAATAGTAATCCAAGTTATCAAAGAAAGAGATAATGGCCAGATACTTTTATGGAACAGTCCGACCATGGCAAAGAAAAGGACAGGTAATGGAAAACTTAATGTGAGGTTAAGGAAATAGTAGTACCATGGTTCAACTCCAAAGATGTTTGGTCCTGTTTCCTTACTAGTATTCAATACATTGTACATTAAAATGTTCCATGACACTGGCGAAAACTTACCATAGAAAATGGAATCAATGAAAATAATGAGAGAACCTAGGACAGTGAAGACTAAAGTACAATCAAACACAGTACGAATTGTAGATATTATATTGTGTGTAAAAAGGAAGTGGAAACATAATGGTAAACTTAAAACTAAAACAAATGGCCAACCTAACATGCTTGCAATGAAAGTAAAAGTTAAGCTGGATATAAAACAACCTGTAGAATTAGTAGAAAGATACTTTATTGAATATCTAATAGAATTCAAATACATTGTCATTGCAATAGATGAAGGTAATAATTCTACAGAAGCGTGGAAATAACCAGGGCTAAATATTTGGAAAAGCATCCATAAATTAGCAATTTGTAAGGATAAAGTAGATGCAATTTCATTAAAAAGTTTCCATTCATAAATTGTCGATATTAAGCCTAGCAATAGTCTAGTCAAATAAAAACTGTCAACTGAGGTGATAGGTAAGGATGATAATTTATTTATTGGGTATAAAAATAAGTAGAATGGCATTAAAAAAGCCCAAGAACGAATTGAATAAATTGGGGAGTATTCCCATGTTTCTTTCCCAAACCCTCTTAACAATAAATTTAATGGGTCCCAATAATTGAAAGTTTCGTCACAATCCGATATTAGTGAATATATTGGTTGTAAAAAGAGACGACTAAACAGTAGTATTATTAAGAGAACATATGAAACAATTTTGCATTTTTTTGACATCGTGGAAAAGAATGTGTCCGAATTTAAATAGATTACTATAGTCACTCAGGAATCACACGAGCCTCTTTTGTTATTTTATTCGGACGAACAAAAAGATAAATTTATTTGATTGTTTATGTACAAAAAGAGTCTTTGTATATTGGAGATTCTGCAAAATATGTGGATGATCTTGATTTACACCTATTATGACACAAATACAATATTGTTTCATAGTATATGTAAGATTAAAATGTTTGTATGAGATACATACAGATTTATTTCTTTTTCTTTTTCTTTTTCTTAAATTTGCTATTTGATATGATTCCTGAAAATGATTGAAAAATTCTTTCTAGAAAAATAGAAAGTTTACTGCTGGAAATGAACATCGATGTGAAATGAATTGAGTAAGATAAAATATAAGTTGATAAAGGAATAAAAAAAGAGATAAATTTACAAGAAGAGAGAGAGAATGGACTAAGATGTAACATTATTTTAATTTTCTTGTGACACTAATTAGATTCAAGTGAAAGTTTAGCATAATAAGAGTATATTTTATCATACTCTACTATATATGTCTGTAAGAAACTGGAAAATTGTCTGGAAAGATGCACAGATACAAAGCGAATACTAGGAATAAACTAACAGAACAAAAGATATCATGTCCCATTTGTAGTAAATTAGTCCCATATTCTAGCATTAATTCTCATTTGGATTTATGTTCTCAAAGGCCTTCGAATAAAAGATCCCACAACACAGTAACTGCTGATGATGGTAAAAGCTCAATATCTAGCATTTTAATGGGTCCGAGTCAGAAGAAACAGAGGGTGTCATCACAAAGTACAATTATTGATTTAGATGCAGATTCTGATAAGGGAAGAATACAAGATGATAATGAAAATGCAGATGATCGTAAAAACCCTGAATTAGAGATAAAGAAGATAGCAGTAGAGTCAGTTGCAAATTTTAGTAAGAGCAGTGATGAAGATATTAACAACATTAAATATTTACAAAAAATAAGTCATCTACCTTTATCCGAAAAATTGAGGCCCAAAACCCTGTTAGAATACGTTGGACAACAGCACATCCTATCTCAAACAGATGGTACCCTATATAAATATATTGAGCAAGGTATTATACCGTCCATGATATTGTGGGGACCTCCTGGTGTTGGGAAAACATCATTGGCCAGATTACTAACTAAAGCAGTTACTAAACGATATTATATGATAGAGACCAGTGCAACCAAGGCTAATACCCAAGAACTGAGAAGTATCTTTGAAAAATCAAAGGCTGAATTTCAATTAACCAAAAGAAGGATTATATTATTTATAGATGAAATACATCGTTTCAACAAGTCACAACAAGATTTATTATTGCCTCATGTAGAAAGTGGGGATATAATTTTGATCGGTGCAACTACAGAAAATCCAAGTTTTCAATTAAACAATGCATTGATTAGTAGATGTCATGTTTTTGTATTAGAAAAGTTAAAGGTTAATGAGACTCAAATAGTTCTATCTCGTGGGATTGCATTATTAAACAAATTAAGGAAATTTATTTGGAATGTCAGCAATCCATTAAAAATATCTAGAGATGGATTGGATTATATTGTAGATGTTTCCATAGGCGATACTAGACGTGCATTGAATTTATTGGAGATGGTTGAAGTATCTACTAGAACTATTGTATCAGATAACCCATTAGATGCAGAATCGATTAGGAACCTTGTTAAGAGCAATAGTAGTAATGGGTTCAATACATATTATGATCCAAAAGGGGATAATCATTATGATACTATCAGTGCATTTCATAAAGCAATAAGAGGTAGTGATGAAAATGCAGCATTGTATTATTTAGGGAGAATGCTGAAGGGTGGTGAAGACCCGTTGTATATCTCTAGAAGAATGATAAGAATAGCAAGTGAGGATATTGGTATTAGAGATAATACCATGTTACCATTGGCTGTAGCTACACATGATGCAGTAATGAAGATAGGTTTACCTGAAGCAGATCTGGCTTTGGTACAGTGTTGTGTGGCTCTTGCTAGAGCGCCTAAATCTGTTGAAATATATAGAGCCTGGAAACAATTAAAAACAATGTTGGATGAAAATAAATATTCGATGTCAAGCAGTGAAATTCCTATGCACATTAGAAATGCACCAACAAAATTGATGGAGGAATTAGGATATCATAAAGGTTATAAATATAACCCAGATTATAAGGATGGTGTGTGTAAACAGGAATATTTTCCACAAGAAGTGTTGGACAAATGTGAGGACCCAGAAAAAGATTTAAAATTTTTGACAGGAAAACATTTTGGCACTAAAATTGATTCAGAGTTGAATATGAAAAGTAAATGATATTGATTTTTTGTTTTAGAGTAAAATGTGCATTTTAATTTAGTGAAAGTGAATTTATAGAGATATAAGAGTATATATTCCTATATAAAACAAAAGAAAGTAAAAATTTTAGCTGAAGTATTTTTCTCTTAGTTATGCAAAGGCATGAATGCAACCTTCATTTTATGTTATTGTTGTTGTTTAATTCTATTTTACAATGTAGGGAGATATATAATATGGGCAGTTTAGTAATGCAATAACTGCATACTTATAAAACACGAAGGTATATTGTAGAAAATCTTAAATGTGATGATTTCTGATTGACAGATATATTATATATGAAGCAGTAAATTATTAAGACAGAATTGAAAACATTATTTTATTACACTAATCTGGATTGAATTACTAAAAATATTGAACAAAGAGGAGTGGGTAATTAGATAAGGAAAATCAACGATGACAGACAGATGTTATTAAATAAAAAATGGCTAATATTAATAAAGTATAGTATGCTGGTTATTATTATTAATAAGAGTAAATAATTTCATAATCTCTCTTTATATGTTGTGAATAATAATGGAGAAAGAAAGATTGATATTTGCAGATTTTAAGGGATTATTTCAAGTGATATCCATATTTCCGGATATTCGTAAGAAAACTGAAGAAAATCCAGGATATATGTAACTCCACTGGGCAACAACAAAGTATTTTAGTTGGAAAATTTTTTGGGAATAGCAACCGTATCAAATCTTATTCAAGAGGTCTTTGATGATTAAGAGATATGCCATGGAAGATTATCTTATTTAAATATATTACTTAAGACCAACAATCAATAACAAAAAGGTAATATTAATAAATCAGGGTTATTAAATAGTTTTATATAGAGTCTATGTGAGAATGTTTATATCTAGATGTATTGTTTCAATTTATCCATTTATTTTTAACATTTCTTTTATAGATTGCTTGAGATAATATTTTACTATATTTTTTTTTTTGTGCCATGTAAATAAAATATTTTGAAATTAAATAAAAATTGACTTAAAAAAAAGTTATATTACCAAAACGTTAATTTTCATGATTTTTTAACAATTGTACATCGTAATGATTATATTAGTCAGATGGAAAAAGTAACAGTTTATATTTACGGTCTAATAAAACTAAATTTTTAAGATATACAATTTTACACCTCTTTTCCACCAATACATGTATATTATTCTTCAATACAAGGTTAAATCGTCAAATAACTATTTAGTATAACTGTTTTAATAGAACTTCTAAGAACAAACAACAAAATAAACAATAAAAAATAAAAAATAAAAGAAAAACTACGATACATTTTCTTTTAAGTCAAATGAAGAACATAAAAATTACAAACTTCCACCTATTCCATATGAACACTACATACAACTAAATAAGATTAAAAATAATAGAACATAAAAAAAATGTGACAACAAGATTCTTTATCATACTCAAACATAAATATAAACTTTTTTTGAAACATACAAAATAAAGTCTAATTTTTTGTCCATTTATGACTAAACAAAAAAAAAAACTACCTCACACTTAAATAAGAAACTATCAGATGGGTCATAATATTTTGTGTCACCTCAATTGCTTTAATCATTAAAAATTAGGGTCTGAAAAAAAAAAAAAAAATAAAAAACAAAAGAAAGAAATAAATAAAAAAAAAAAAGAAATAAACAAAAAGAAAAAGGGATAAAAATTGAAAACTCCACTCGAACAAACAAATTCATGCAAATAAAATAAGGGACAAAAAATTAGACATTGTGTGCTCGTAACAAAGGCGTCTCAATTCCATTCTGGTTGTATCGAATGTGTGACAATAATGCAAGCATAAAGACTATTGTTTTTTTCTGTTCTCGTTTTTTCCATTTGTTTCTTTTCTTTGTTTATTCGTTTTCCAAAAAAAAAAATATAATAATAAAAAAATAAAACAAAGCATTATTATTCCATTAGATTATGCGATTGAAAAATATATCTATATTATCTACAATTCTTACCAGTATTGTCACGCTATCTGTTATATTATATATAATATTAATGAGAATTGACGGCATAATATCGGGTGAACCCAAACCACCATCATCACCTCGATGGTTAAAATTTCCTGTTATTCAAACAATCGATCAAACAATAAGAGTCACTGATCCTGATCACAAACTTCTATTTATAGGAGATGTGCATGGCAATTACGACGAATTAATTCAATTACTAAAAGAACATCAGTATTATAAAGATGGACAGCTGATAGCAGACCCCAATAAAGTTCATATTACGTTATTAGGAGATTTTCTCACAAAGGGACCCGATTCTTTGAAAATAGCCGATTTTATTTTGAAATATAAAGATCAAATTGGTTGTGTGTTAGGCAACAATGAGATAATGGTATTATTATCCTTATTAAATCCGAACCATAGATTCAAATTTCCACTGAAGTTTACTACAGAAGACAACTTCTTGCCGAACGAAGAATTTGATTATTGGAATATCATCACACCAAGAAAGAAGCATTATAAAGTGGCCAAAAAAATTGGGTTATTTAAATTAAGTGAGTTGGCACAACATTGCTCCATTGTTAAGAGGTTTGATTTGACTTTAAGTAATGAAATCTTATTCGGTGTGCATGCAGGATTACTTCCAGGCGATTTTATATCAAATGACGAAATTGGAGATAAAGGCGAGAATAACGTTTTTTTGGGGAGAATACCTAAAATCATATCATTAGTGGATATGAAGTATGTTAATGAAAAAAACTGGACCGAAACAGGAAGAAACATAGACGATGTTCAAAATGGTATAAAATGGTACAAGGTATGGAATAAATATTACCAAGATGATTCTGAAAACAAACCTAATATAACTGTTCTATATGGACATGATGCACATAATGGACTGACATTGAGGGAACATACAAAGGGATTAGATTCTGGATGTGTGAATGGAGGTCACTTATCTTCTTTGGAATACAGTTTCCATTCAAAACATGGCCGTTATATAACCCATTTACATCAAGTTCCATGTCATAGAATATGAAAATAACAAAAAAAAAAAATTAATGACACTGCAAGACATTTATTATCTGATACTATTAATTTCCACAAATATATGTACACATATTTACTCTTTACCAATGCATATGATATTTTATATATTATATATATTTGCACATTTAAACATTTAAACATATATATATATAAGAACCTTACATTAATTGGCCAAATCCTTTTTCAGATTATACACGACCATTTTGAATAATATGCATTCAAACATACATGGCCATCCCAAAGAAATAAAACCATTCCCATATTATCTTTAGCTTTATTTTCCTCTTTTTTCCAACAAATGTTTTGTGGAAAAAAAAAGTTACAAAAATCAGTCCCTAAGGAAAAAATAATGTCAAAAATTCATCACAGCCCTTCTGAATATTATTATAGCCCTACTCTCTTGTTATATTTATCCAACTGCTTTGTAACTGAACCCTAACAATATTAGTTTGAGAGAAAAACTATGTAATCTGTAAATAGTTTAATCCCAGACGGAGTATTGAATATACAGAGATAGACAATGGGATATTTTATCACCAACTAATTTCTTTTGTGTTTATTTACAGATTGCTTTTTGTTAATCAAACCATTAGACTTTAAGGTAAGAGAAAAAACAAGCATACAAAGTCACTAAGTATAAAGTATATACTATGTGGTTATTAATCATCAAGTTATCTTACTATCATTTATTCAATTTAAATATTGATTATGTATGGAAATCACACATAAATGGATATATTCCAAAATGTCTTTCACAAAAACCCTAACTTTCAAATTGATATGATCCTTGGAAAAAAACAAAATGTTGTTTAATACCCAAACTTTCCTTTTACGTCGGTCTTATAAATGTGTCTCTTTTCAAGGGATGGGCGGAAGGAATCAGCTGTTTTTTTTTTCCAACTTTAGAAAACAAAACTGAGAATAATAAAAAAGAAACGAGACGAAGATATCGTTTGTTTCTTTTTTCTTTTTTTAGTTTTTTTTTTCTCGTTTTTATTTTCATTTGTCTTTCTTGTTTCTGTTTCTTTATCTTTCATCTTTTTCACCTCTTCGCCAAACTTTTCATATAAATTAACTTTTTGATAACACCTTTACACCTTTTACATCTTTACCTCCATCCAACTTTCAAAGGGTACACCGACACTAATTATTCATTTACTGTCACCTACTACTAGCAAATATAGTCTTGTCCATATCAGAGTGCTAAGTGAAGAAGCATTGAATTCAATTGTGAAATAACTGCACTAAGGAAAAATAACAAAAGAAAAATACATACAAACAAAATTTATCCAGTCACGACTTAGATCCGAGTAACAATATACCTTTCTTTCTTTCTTTTTTTCTCATTTTCAAACTACTTTAATTAATAATAGTATTTATATTTTACATATTATTTATATTCTTAAAACAACAACAACAACAATAATAATAATAATAATAAATAAATAAAAAAGAAAAAGAAGAAAAAGAAAAAAAAATTTTAAATGTCTGCACCAGAGGAATTTGATACTGCTAAAGAAACATTTGATTCAGTTGAGCATTTTGTTGATGCTTTAGATGCCAATATGCTTCATAATAAGGATAATGAAGATAATAATAGTAGTATAAATAGTAATAATAACAACAATACTAATGCTACAAATTCTATCGCTACCACTTCCGCAGATAAAGCTTCCACAAATAATACTTCTAACAACAACAACAGTAATAATAATGATAATGATAAAACGGCAGATAATACTAATAATACCACAGATTCTACCAATAGCTTAGATAATGAAACCAATGATCAGAATAATAATATTAACACCGAAGAAAAGATATCCAATAGTAACGATAATAGTGTTGCTACCACTAATCCTGTTGATTCTCAGACCGCATCAACCACAAATTCTTCCTCAAATGAAGCTATAACCGTTTCCAATATTCCAAATACTACAACTGACACCACTACTTCTATTAATAACACAACTTTCGCTAGTATTCCTACCGACAATACAAAAGATACCAGTAATTCAGGTAGCGTCGATTCGAATAAAACCAATACTATGGAAACTAAAAATTCAGGTAAGAAATTTTGGGAAGGTAAGAGATTCTATATTAATGATGCACAGGACGCTCATGACAATATGAATGACGCCAAATTATTGGTTAGATTAATCTCAGATAACGGTGGTGAAGTGCTAAGTAAATTACCAGACGTAAATGATCCTACAATTTCAACTCTAGATAAGAACCTTTTGGTAGTATCTCCATATAACGACACTAATTTAGTTACTGTTAGCCCAACGTATATTAAAGCATGTGTCCAAAGTAATACTCTTTTAAATTATCAAAATTATTTGGTCCCATTCGATAAAAACAGAATTTCGAATAATGAAAAAAAGGGAGAGGATGAGCAGAATGATAAAGCCAATGATGATGATAATGCTGAGGGCCAATCTGATGGATCATTTGATACTAATGTGGCTGCAAACAATATTTTATCTAACGATAATCTGAGTACAGCTGTCGCTGTTGCCAATGCTACCATTACTGCCACTACTGTCACCCCCCTTCATCCTACTACTACTGTTACAACTGGAACTGACGCTCCCATGACAGATTCCACAAATACAGATTCTACACCATCCAATAATGAAAATAAAACGAATCCATATGACAAAGATAATACATCATCGACTAACAATTTCAAACAAAATGAAACTTCTATTAAAGTGGATGTTGAATCAGAATTATCCATGGTTGATACAAGTGATAGTAATGGAAATTCTTTAAAACATACACCATTACCACCAAATTTTTCATCACATAAGAATGTTTTTAGTGAAGACGAAGACCAGTTCATTCTTGATGTTGTTAGAAAGAATCCAACAAGAAGATCCACTCATACTTTATTTGAAGAAATTTCTAGATTCATGCCCAACCACACCGGAAACTCAATTCGCCATAGATATAGAGGTTATCTATCGAAAAGATTGGATTTTGTTTATCAAGTAGACAAAAATGGAAAATTAGTTCGCGACGAACGTGGGAATTTGATCAAGACAGACGTTTTACCACCTTCTTTAAAGAGAAAATTTACAGCAGATGAAGATTATGGTTTGGCCATTGCCATCAAAAAACAATTCTACCGTGACGCTTTCCAAGTAGACCCAGAATCTGGTTCATCTTTGATATCACATCAAGAAACTGCTGTAGATATTGCTAAAAGGAATATGACCATGGATCCACATCATGTTCCCGGCAATGAACCATCCTTTAAAGATTTTAGAGTCTATGGTCGCCGTGGTCCAGTAGCTAGAGAATTTTTTAAAACATATGCAGAATTGGTTCCAACACATACCGAGAGTGCATGGAGAGATCGTTTTAGAAAGTTTTTACTTGTGTTTGGGATTGACGCTTATATTGATTATTACGAGGAATGCAAAACTATTGGTAAAGAACCTGAACCATTGAAAAACATGACAGTAAGAAAAAAGAAGAGAGGTGACCTCACCCCTGGTAATTATAACTCTTCCTTAAAAAGAGCAGTTTCTGCTTCTGAAGCTGTTTTTGACCCAATGAATTCAAAAAGAAGACATTATATGGAATCTACTGAACCTGAATTAATCAAATCTGATCAAAATACAGGTAATATTAGTGCTACTACAGTTGCTGGTACAAATAATGGGAACAGTAGTATGGTCAACACTGGTGTATCTCTTGAGAACAAAAATATCAATTCTACAAATCATCATGGAGGAAAAATGACATCTAATGAACCACATGTAACCTTAGAACAAACTCCATTTGAGGTAACACCTCGTCATAAATCAGATAGTGCAAGTTCAATAGCTGAAAATAATAAAATCAAACCAACTCATAGAAAAACTACTGAAGATTATGATAATGAATTATTAGATGAAGAAACCAGAAACTTTATTTCTAGTTTAAAAGATGATTTGAATAAAATCAATAATAACCTGCCATTTGAATACCCACCAGATATTGCAGAAGCCATTAGGACTGATTATGCAATGGAAGAAATGAAGTATGATACCATTGATCCTGACACAATTCAGTGGCCACCAAAGATTGCATCAATGGATCTTTTCTTACCAAAATTCTTCCAATTGGAAAGCACCCGCGAATTTATGAAAAGAGTTAACGATGTAATATCAAGAGATTATGAGCCTTCACAAGCTGAAATGTTGGTTCAAAATTTGGCTGATGAATGCGGTATTAGAAGAAATTTCTGTACTGCCATGTTAACGTCATTGAGTGGTGACCTGATGGTGATCCCAAGATATTTCCTAAACATGTTCCAGACAGATACTAATCCACCATCCAATGTCCCTGGTATCTGGACAGCTTCTGATGATGCAATGTTAAGAAAAGGCGGTCCTCGTGAATTAAAGGAATTAGAAAAGAAACACGGTAGTGGTCGTATCGAAATGAGAAAAAGATTTATAGAGACTGCCTTAATTTAGTTGAACCAAATTCAACTATCATAAGGAAATGTAAACATAAAAAAAGTAGCATGCTAATGCAGTTAAGTATCTTCCAAAATATGTAATACTACATCCTTTTACACGCATTCTTCCTCCTCCCCGCTTTTACTATAATTACAATTTTATATATAGATCAGTAAAGTTTTATAATAAATTTCTTAAAAGACGTATAAAATATGTCAAACATCCAACGACAAGCAAAGGTAGTTTATAATCGCATATATATAATTGTCCTATACTCACCAACTCTAATTCTTACCCATTACAAAATCAGATATATACAAAAGAATACAGAATAAAGAGAGTGTCTCAGACACCTCTGCACAATATCTAGGTATATTGATAAATCAGAATTAACACCAGTTGGCTGTCAATACACACTTCAATCACACTCTCTATTTTTATGCACTATTCGAAAATCATTGTATAGCTTTCTTTTATGTAAGAATTTGATTGCAATAAAAACAAATACTGCTGATTTTTCAAATAATTTTTTTTATATATTCAATTACAAAGAGATAATTGGGTTATCAGACTGAACAAGAATTAAGACTAATGACAAAGAAAAACCGTCATCTTTGTTCAACACTCTTATCTATTCAAATTATTAACACCATCGTAATCTTATATTCACAATAATAATCGAAATAGAAAAATCAAAATGGATATAATAACATGGCCTGAAGAATCCCAAATTAAACCAAGGGATATTTCTAATCTTAAGAACGATCCCATATACAAATATATTAAATCCCTATGTTATAAAACTGGTGTAATTTCCTCTATATTATATTTGTTAACTCTTGGTGCTATACGGCCTGCTTTGCAAAGACACTATGAACAAAGACAAGAATTTATTTTGGCTGTATTATTGAGACTTCGGAGAACATTAACCATCTTAATGTCCCGTATTAAGGACAAAAATGTTGCACAATTCAAATTCAATAAAGACAAAACTAAAATGGATAGAATGATTCAAACTGATTTGCCTTCCTATGATGTTTGGACGTCACATGATACAATATATGGACAACGAACAGAAGAAGAAGATGAAAAATCTTTCATTAATCATAAGTTGAGACGAATTAATTATTGCATGAATCAACATGCTATTATCATGAGACATTTAGATACCACAGAATGGTTTACATTTCAATTAAAATTGCTAACAGACCAAGTTGAAGCTTCTAGAGAGAAAACTATAAAGGATGTATGTTCTAAAAGTGAGAACGTTACACAGTCAATTCGTGAGATTAAAGGCTGGTTCGTTAATGGAAGAATATCTTAATATATTAACAAAAAAGTATATTATTATATATCTATCTATCTATCTTATTTATAAAATAATATTACAAATGATCTAAATTTGCAGTAACATGTATTTACAAAGAGTCTTATTACCAATACAATTATAAATTGATATTAAAAGGAATATGTAATGTTAATATCAAAACAAAAATGAAAATAAAACAAAAAAAGGCAAAATGAAGCATGACAATATATGCTTGTTTTCAAACTTTATTTTTATGTAGCAAATAAAATTTATTCTTCGACTGAGTATATTTTTTATTCCCTTGAGGATTTTTCTCCTTGTTATCATTCTTTGTATAATAATCATGAATAGTACCATTAGGATTATATTTTAAAGTAATTACCGGTTGGGTATTTATATTATTAGTAAAATGGGACGTTTTATTTTGGTGTGTATACCGATACATCTGTTTGATTCTTTCTCCACGTCGACTCCAACGAGATTCAATCCTAGCCAAATCCTCTTCCTTTGGAGTCCATTTGGCCTTTAATATACGCCTTACAGCCTCTGGAGAGATCTTGAAACGTGAAGCCAAATCAGATGCAGTCATAGTTGGGAACTGCTGCTTTAACAGTCGAACACTTTCCATCTCCTGTCTAGATAATCTCTTTGGAGGGTTCCAATGAGCACCTTGGAATTTTTTTTTCAATGCATCTTTTTGTATTTGCCAGTCCAACTTATTTTGAGAAACTTGTAAATCAATCAATAAATCATTTTTATTTGAAAGACTAGAAGCATCAATGAATTTTAATGCTTTCTTAACATTATAATTTCCAATAATGGTCTTTTGGGCTTGTTCCTTTGTGTCTAGTACTGTTGTTGAAGGAAATTTAGTTGAAGCTTTATTAATGGTATTTTTGATTGAATCTAAACCTTTCTGTTTGTTACAGATAATATTAGTTCTATGAAATCGTCTCACAAATTCCCGTATTAATTTTTTGCTCATAGATACTTTAGGCCTTTTATAATGACCATAGAATCATTAATTAACAATATCTTTGCCTGTTTTTATTTATATTATTCACCAGTAATGATGACGTGTATCTCTGTATTTTTCTCTTTATATATACGAACTTATTTACTAAACACAATATACAGTAGTAAAAAAAATATTATCATTAGTCTTTCCAGCACCCAATGTTTTGTAGTATTTGACTTTCAATTATGTAAACGTTGCTGCTTAACTTTTATCGATTTTTCAATTTCAGGGATTCGTCATCTTCTCGATTTCCGCTATTTTAATTATTTAAAAGTCTTGGCTGCTGAACAAAAAGTGTACAACCATCACAACACTTAATATATACTTGCAAGGTAAGATAACAAAGGTATCTTTTACTGTATTTTCAGTTATTTATGTTAGGCTAGGGAAGTGAAAAGATTAACTACAATATTTTGAATATCTTTTAAACTTAATATCTATTTTTAATTATATATTACCTTTTAATTATATTCTTATTTAGTATTTGAATAAGGATCTATAGTCATAAATAACTAGGAAAAAACATACTATGAACATTATCAAAAAACTAATGGATTCAGGCAACAGACATGAAATATGTGTGATTGCATCTGGTGAATTTGATTTATTACGCTCCAAACAATCACCCAAAGCTACTTCTGAATGTATTTACAATGACAGCCTGTTATCTATTAGAACTAATGGTCAATATTCATATAATCTAGTGGTCAAGAAGGTTATTGATTTAACAGATAATGATGAAGGAGATGTTGAAGGTGATGGATACTATTCAGATGATGCTACAAGCGTTCTGTCTGTTCAATCTAAGATCGGTGGTAAGAAGGATGATGAGTGGTGTTTCTCTGTTGGACCACATTTGGATTTTAAAAGAACATGGTCTAACATTGGTGCAAATATATTTACTTGGAACAATGTTTTAGGTGATGAAAATGATGAAAGGGTTCAATTTGTAATTTCTAATGATGTTCCAACCAGTGATGTAGATCAATTCTTACAAGTACTTTACCGTTGTTATTATTCTGTAGTAAATAAGAAACCTATTAATTCAGCCACAGAGACAGATATTAAGGATATTGAACTTTTATTTAATACTATTTTACCAAATGAACATACAGACAAAAATACTACAAAATGTTCATCAGATCTTCTGGACAAATTAAACAAATTATCTGTTGTAAATGACAGTAAAAGTAGAGAAGATAAAGAATTTGATCACAATTCTGATTTTAATTCCGATTCAGATAATAGTGTTAAGATAGATGTGAACGAAAAATATGAAGACGCAAGCGATGTTATTATTAATGAAAATAGTTGTTCAAAACAGTCAAACTCTACAATGAAAGGCAAAGAAATCTGTTCATATTTAGGTGGCTTATATCTCTTTGACCCTGTTCAAGAAACATTTGTTTTACAGGATCATCCAACTGAAATGTCATTACTAGAGATCAGCAAATTTAATTTTTGGCTATCGATAACTGGACAAGAGACTAAATTGGGTAATTTTGTTGCACAAGATTTAAATCCAACATTTGATGAAGATAAGACTGGTTTCATATTCAATTACGCAATGGGAAACATTACACTTTCATTCATGTTCAAATTTGACTCCATTAACGATTACAAATATTTTAAACTTAAGTGGTCAAGTTGCTTGTGGATGACCATCAATAAAGTTGAGTGGGAAGATATCTCTGATAAAGAAAAACAATATATAATTAACCCAACAATGACGTTGATCAAGGATTTAGATGAAATTCTTGGGTTTGGTGATAGCAATGATAATAGACGTGAAGAAGAAATTAAACTTGAAGAAGAAGAAGAAAAAGACAGTGAAACTGACGAAGAAAATGAAAGAAATGGAACATCTGTATTGATTTCTTCTGAACAGTTTGATGAAAATCCAACTACAATTAAACCATCCTCCTCTTCTAGCAACAGATCATTGACAGTCTCTGCTAGACATAATCGTTCTTATGTTGTACGTGGTAATAAAATTGGAGTCTTCAAAACAGGAAGTGGGAGCGTTGAAGAAGAGGATGATGATGATGATGGGTTAGAATTTGTATCTGTAATAAAAAATGTGACAAATAAAAATGGAAAAGACTTCAGCCCTGAAAATCCAATGATGTATATGGAAGATAGATCATTAATTCTTGGTGACAACGATAATCTTAATAAATTATATAGATTGGATATTGAGACTGGTAAAATAGTAGAAGAATGGAGTGCAGGGGAAAATACTATTGTTCAATACGGTCCCACGAAAAAATATGATCAATTAACATTGGAACCCACAATAGTCGGTGTTTCCAATAACATGATCTTTAAGATGGATCCACGTATCCCTAATGACAATAAAATTGTCCAAGATCAATCGAAGGCATATGTTACAAAATATAATTTCAGTTCTATTGGGACTACTGCTGATGGATATGTGGCTGTTGGGTCTGAGAAAGGTGATATTAAATTGTATGATCGTCTTGGTATAAAAGCAAAGAGTGCGATTCCATCACTTGGTGAGCCAATAAAATATATTACCACAAGTGCAGATGGTAAATGGCTATTGGCTACATGTGAGACTGCTTTATTACTGATTGACTTAACAATAAAGACAGGTAAAAATGCAGGGAAGATTGGGTTTTTAAATTCGTTTCCAGCTACTGAAAATGTTAGAACATACATATTGAGAGTGAGCCCTGAGCATGCAAGTTATATGATAACATATACAAAGAAACCAATTAAATATACACGTGCATATTTCAATATTGGAGTGGGTCAAAAGGAAAAGAATATTATTACATCTACGGGTCCATTTGCCATCACTTGGTCCCTGAACAAGATCATTCAACAGGGTAACGGTAATAATGTATATTATATCAAAAGATATGATAGTGACATTATTGATGATAATTTCAAATTTGGAAGTCGTAAACGTGTTATTGTGGCATTAAAGGACGATATTTCACTATCAAAATTAAAATCATTCAAGTTACCCAATAAAGATGTATTAATGCCTAAGAATAATATTAGAGAATTTTATGAATAGTGTCTGTACAATTATACACAGTTATATATACGTATATATGTTATACAAGTTTGAATATATTATAATTAATCTTTAAAATGTTTGTGTATCTGCCTCTTGAAACCCAGGGTGGCCCTCCATTCATCATAAAACAACAATCTAAATGCTTTAAACTTTTGCAAATTAGTTGGTTGAAAAGTGGTAGTGAAATTTATATTATTGTATTTTTGATTGTTATGAGTATAATTTGGGTCTCTTAACATATGATCTATTCCATTTATTCTATCATGAATAACTCTTACAAATCGATAGAATCCTTTACTATTGAGCAATTTATAGTACAACCATTCTTCAATACTCCTTGGTGACTTTCGCATAACCTAAAACCTTTTTAATAAGTAGCCTGTTAAATATATGTGTGCATGGATATGTACAACTTACAATGTAGCCCCCCTCCCCATCAACCCCATTGCACCTTTAATGAACATATTTATTGCTTATTGTCAACTCAAACCATCGACGAAATACACAGGTCTATGAAACTCAAATTAAGTTAAATGAAAAACAGAAAAAAAAAAAGGAAAAAATTAAAAATTATCAGAGACAAAAAAAAACATTATAAGCCAAGAAAAAAAGAGGGAGTAAATGGAAGTGAAAGGCTAACTTATCAAGTTTAAGTATTATTACACAATTTGTTTATTGATCCTCGTGTTCGGTTAAGAGACAGAGATACTTGTGAATCACACATACACATACTCATAGATTACAAAGATTGAGTAGTAGTGCACTGCTAGTGTTTTGGGTGTCCATATTTATATATACAGGTATCATTTAAAAGGGAAAAGGACGAGCAAATAATGATCACGGATACGGAATTAAATTCTATAGTTATAATATCTGGGTTAACTATGATGACTTTAATTGTTATCTATCATGCAATTAGTTCAACTTTTGAACAGAAACATTAAAAATACAAGCTGCAAAAATAAATATATGACTCTTATGAAATGCCATGTGGTAGTTCCTGACACTTATTGTTTTTCTTTTTCTTTTTTACGGTATTTTATATAGTGTTTCAAACAAATATGGAAGTTGGAAGAGGACGTGCTTGATATTAAAGTTTATTTAAGGTATGTAGTGTGTGTATTCAATTTTAATACAATATAAAATTGTTGTCATATTGCGAAGTAGCATATTATACATACATACATATACAATATTTGTGTCATAGCTTTCGTACCACTTTAAGAATAAGTGGAAATAGCAATTCTGTAAGCATGATAAGCCAAGATAAATACTATAAAACTATTACAAGATCATGAGTTGTATTCAATCTTTTAAAGAAGAAACTGTCAACTTAAGAAATCATATATATATATATATATGTATGTATATATACGGACTATTATTATCATCATCATTATAAATGGGCCCTTAGACTATTGTCTACTTCATCCTAAAAAGAATTCTACCATCAACCCTAATGAAGTCCCCGCAAAAAACTCTGTCTCACTGATGTAAACCCTAATAGAAACAGAAGTGTGAAAAATCAAGACCTAATGACATTTATTTTGTTTTATTTTACTGTGGGAGGCCCCAACGTAAAAAGTGATAAAACACCGCCGCTTGTTCACTTTTCTGGATGTCCAAAATAGGAAACCACGCAAAAAATTTTTGTAGAAAAAAAAAAAAAAGAAACTTTCCCAATTAATGAAAAATAAAAAAATTTTTTCTTTTTCTATTCTCTTTTCTTTTTTTATTTTTTTGCGATGACTTTTAATAACAAATAAACAAAAAAATTTTTTTTTTCTATTTTTTTTTTTCTTTAACTGTACAAGACATTTATCAGTGATTATATAACAACGACCAAATTACTACTAGTACCAACCATCCAAACATTTCTTTTGGACTACTCTCCTCTTTCTTTTTCTACTTCCACCACGGTTTTTTTTTGTTGGGCTTGTTCAAATTCCGTATCTCAATTTTTGATAGTGGAAAAAATTTTTTTTTCTTCCCTCTCTGTACCTACTCATTTATCCACTTCAACTTCTTTTCTCTTTCTTTCTCTCTCTTTCTTCTCTTTTTACCTTCCTTAAAGAGCTTTACTTAATCATTAAAAGCACTCCTCCTCTCTTGTTCGCTTGTCCCTTTCGTCTTTATCTTCACAGAAACCCGTCTACAGATAACCAATCACAACAACAATGGCTGAAGGTGTTTTCCAAGGTGCTATCGGTATCGATTTAGGTACTACTTACTCTTGTGTTGCTACTTACGAATCTTCCGTTGAAATTATTGCCAACGAACAAGGTAACAGAGTTACTCCATCCTTCGTTGCTTTCACCCCAGAAGAAAGATTAATTGGTGATGCTGCTAAGAACCAAGCTGCTTTAAACCCAAAGAACACTGTCTTCGATGCTAAGAGATTAATTGGTAGAAGATTCGACGATGAATCCGTTCAAAGTGACATGAAGACTTGGCCATTCAAAGTCATTAACGTTGATGATGCTCCAGTCATTGAAGTTGAATACTTAGGTGAAACTAAGACTTTCTCTCCACAAGAAATTTCTTCTATGGTTTTAACCAAGATGAAGGAAATTGCTGAAGCCAAGATTGGTAAGAAGGTTGAAAAGGCTGTTATTACTGTTCCAGCCTACTTCAACGATGCTCAAAGACAAGCTACCAAGGATGCTGGTGCCATCGCTGGTTTAAACGTTTTAAGAATCATTAACGAACCAACTGCTGCTGCTATTGCTTACGGTTTAGGTGCCGGTAAGTCTGACAAAGAAAGACACGTCTTAATCTTCGATTTAGGTGGTGGTACTTTCGATGTTTCTTTATTACACATTGCTGGTGGTGTTTACACTGTCAAGTCCACCTCTGGTAACACCCACTTAGGTGGTCAAGATTTCGATACCAACTTATTAGAACACTTCAAGGCTGAATTCAAGAAGAAGACCGGTTTAGATATCTCTAACGATGCTAGAGCTTTAAGAAGATTAAGAACTGCTGCTGAAAGAGCCAAGAGAACTTTATCTTCTGTCACTCAAACCACCGTTGAAGTTGACTCCTTATTTGAAGGTGAAGATTTTGAATCCTCTTTGACTAGAGCTAGATTTGAAGACTTAAATGCTGCTTTATTCAAGTCCACTCTTGAACCAGTTGAACAAGTCTTAAAGGATGCCAAGATTGCTAAGAACCAAATTGACGAAGTTGTCTTAGTCGGTGGTTCTACCAGAATTCCAAAGGTTCAAAAATTATTGTCTGACTTCTTCGACGGTAAGCAATTAGAAAAGTCTATTAACCCAGATGAAGCTGTTGCTTACGGTGCCGCTGTTCAAGGTGCCATCTTGACTGGTCAATCCACTTCTGATGAAACCAAGGACTTATTATTATTAGATGTTGCTCCATTATCCTTAGGTGTCGGTATGCAAGGTGACATCTTCGGTATTGTCGTTCCAAGAAACACTACTGTTCCAACTATCAAGAGAAGAACCTTCACCACTGTTGCTGACAACCAAACCACCGTTACTTTCCCAGTCTACCAAGGTGAACGTGTTAACTGTAAAGAAAACACTTTATTAGGTGAATTCGACTTAAAGGGTATTCCAATGATGCCAGCTGGTGAACCAGTATTAGAAGCTATCTTCGAAGTCGATGCTAACGGTATCTTAAAGGTCACTGCTGTCGAAAAGTCTACTGGTAAGTCCGCTAACATTACTATTTCCAATGCTGTTGGTAGATTATCTACTGAAGAAATTGAAAAGATGGTTAATCAAGCTGAAGAATTCAAGGCTGCTGACGAAGCTTTTGCTAAGAAGCACGAAGCCAGACAAAGATTAGAATCCTACGTTGCTTCCATCGAACAAAACGTCACTGACCCAGTCTTATCTTCCAAGATGAAGAGAGGTGCCAAGGCTAAGATCGAAGCTGCTTTAGCTGATGCTATGGCTGCTTTATCTATTGAAGATGCCTCCGCTGACGACTTGAGAAAGGCTGAAGTTGGTTTGAAGAGAGTTGTCACCAGAGCTATGTCTACTCGTTAAAAGAAGGATATGGAAAAAGAAAACAAAGGAACTTATTGAAATTTTAAAGACATGAACTTCTGTTTTTAGGTGCTTTATTTTTTTTGTGTCTTATTATTTTAGTAGTTTCTATCTTTTTTGTTTTTTTCCACCTTTTTTTTATTTTCTTCCCATATACTTTTCTTATTTTTGTGTTTCTTACCTCTTATATGATATGATATATATATATATAATTATAAATCAAATATATATAAATAAGTAAATAGAGTAGTGCTTAGCTTTGTATGTATCCTAGAAAAATAATAAAAATTGAGCAATCTATAAAAGAAAAAAGTGAAAACGAGGCAGGATAAATTGAGAGCAACCAAGATGTTTTACAGAATGAATAAATTGAATATCCAGCTGGATAGTGTTAAGGCCTGACTATATGCTTCTTCAATTAAAGTTTTGGGACAAGATTATGATAAATGTATTGATCAGTGCTTACTATCACTTAGTATCAAGGAAAATAGATGTATAGATGTTTGTAGTTAGAGAATGAGATGTAGAAGATTTACTTGTGATGTAAATTAATTGATAGTACAAGTAAAAGAATAAAATGTATTGAATCATCTTTCATCACTTTATTATTATCTTGTTTGTTTTTTTATTATTTTTTTTTTTTTTTTTTCAGATACGATAAATGTCACAATAAAAACGTAAGAGGCTTAGTCTATATCCAAGAGGAATGAATCATTACGAGTGCAGCGGAGACCTTTCATTAGATTAATGTGCTAAAAACAGCTGTGTTTCATTCTTTAGCCGTTCCTAGAGCTTTGTGTGTAATTCCTCTCGCCACTTTTGCAACTTCTTCCACATGTTATTCATTATTACTCAAGTGTTTCAAGTCCTCAAACATGTGGAAATAGACTTTTTAGGCTAAGAAAAAACATAAAAGACTCAAAAGAGAAAAAAAAAAAGATAATGACAAGAAAGAGGAAGAAATAAAGAAAGAGACCATCAAGCCATCAGCTGCCACGATTGGGTTACGTGATGTAAAGATGAATGAGGGGGAAGGGGAGTGACAGGGAAAGTGGCAAGGAGAGGAGGAGAAAGACATGAAGGAGAATGTGTGGCGTATAATATTGAAAAATAGAAAAAGGTGAAAGATGAAAGGTGAAAGAAGACAGAAGTAGAAAGCTGCACCAGACTGTTATTATAGTATTTAACACTTTACAGTGTAACTAAGATTTATGCGTAATATTTGCTTCTTTTATTTTTTTGCGTATATAAAAGTGGGTTAACTAACTCACTTCACACTTGAATTATATATATATATATTTATTTCTTGTCAAGAGATTCTTCTTCAGATCTTGTATCCCTGACGTTACTTTCTTATCACTTATATTAAATGTCTACAAAGACAAAAGAAACCTGATAGAAAGTATTGAACAAAAAATATGTCTGCAAAAGATTTCTATAACGAAGCTAGTCAAGATCCGCAGACTCGAAAAACATATAATTATAATGGAAACCATGTTTATCCATCTACACAATATCAAACAGCGAATTCTAATGTTAATGCTAATGGTAATGAAAGCCAAGACAGGGGACTACTAAGTACCGTAGTCGGTGGTGCCGGTGGCTACTATGCAGCATCAAAATTATCAGATAACCACTCGAAATTATCCGGCATATTAGGCGCAGTAGGTGGTGCATTGCTAGCTAATAAATTATCTGACAAGTTTGAACACAAACATAGCCATAATCATCAGGGAGGCCCACCAAATGGTGGGTTCAATAACGGATTGCATAATCACCACCATGGCAATCATGGTGGACCACCACCACCACCACAAAATAATAATGGGTTTCCATTTAGAGGCAATGGTGAACCACCTTTTAATCATGATAATCCTAATGGACATTTTGTGTTCAATCAAGGTTCACCACCACCACCACAAGGTCCAGATTCAAGATGGTAATTATTTTCACAAATTATATATTCATAGCCTCCGTTATCTTCCTCTCTTCTTCAAACTATATACATTCTTATGAGTAAATAACATATACATACAAATAAATTCAGATTTATGTCTTTTGTATTGTTTTTTTTTTGCTACAGTGTATCATATACACCCATTTATATGCACGTATGTATACATTCACTTTATTTTTAGCGTCAAGAGGTAAATGGAAAGAACCACACCATATAATAGTGTATGTCTTCTTGTTCAACATGGTTAACACTCCACAATATCAGCATTTAATATTGGGATGTATTCAACTTTATTGGCTAATTGTTGTTTTTTTTTATTGTGCCATACTGAGAGGAGAAGATGTATGGATGTATAATTAAAAATTTTTTTATTTTTGTTTTATTTTGCGATGACCTTTGATTTATTTCAACTAAGAACTATAGAGGAACTCAGTATCTGGTGAGCATTGTATTTCATTTAATCTAGTTAATTATATTGTAGACAGAAAAGTGCTACCTGCTTTAACCACTATAAGTTTTGTTAAGAACAGGGACTATACTAATCTGTATCTTCATACTAATATAAACGCACACATAAATAATTTACATAGTATCAATTCTTCACTATGAAATTGGATACTTCTCACATGAGATATTTGACTGCTGAAGATTTCCAAGTTCTTCATGCAGTAGAAAGAGGTTCCACTAACCATGAAGTGGTCCCAACTACTTTAATACATCAGTTATCTGGTTTAAGATCCATTTCTGGAACAAATAGATGCATTTCAGATCTAGCTAAATTGAAACTGATCTCCAAATTAAGAAATGCTTCATATGACGGTTATAGGTTGACTTATAGTGGTATTGACTATTTAGCATTAAAGACAATGTTGGATAGAGATACCGTTTATTCTATTGGTGGACCCATGGGTGTTGGTAAAGAATCTGATATATATAAAGTCTCCGATAAAGAAGGTGTACCAAAAGTTATGAAGATTCATAGGTTAGGTAGAACGTCTTTCCACACAGTTAGAAATAAGAGAGATTACATTAAGAAAAATGCAAAGAATGGTGTTAACTGGATGTTTCTATCTAAGCTGGCTGCAGCTAAAGAATACCAATTTATGTCTTTATTATATGCTAAGGGGTTTAATGTGCCTGAACCATTCGATAATTCTAGACATATTATCATTATGGAATTGATTGATGGTTTCACTATGACTAGATTAAAATATCATAAATCCAAATTTAACATACCTAAATTATATTCTGATTTGATGAATTTCATTGTGAAATTAGGTAAGAGTGGTTTGATTCATTGTGATTTTAATGAATTTAATATAATGATTAAAAAAACAGCAGCAACTAGCGATGATGATGATAGTAACAATAAAGTTATCAACTCGAATGATTGTGGATTTATTGTTATAGATTTCCCACAATGTATATCTATTGATCATCCGGATGCAGAATTCTATTTTAAAAGAGATGTGGATTGTATTCGTCGTTTCTTTAAGAAGAAATTAAAGTATGTACCTGTTGTAGATTCTACGATGTTGGATGAGGATGGATTTGGTGATGGTTATAAATACCCGTACCCTGTTTTTCATAGGGATATTAAAAGAGAAGACAATGTAGATGAATTATTACAGGCATCTGGTTATTCAAAGAAAAAATCCAATGATAGAGATCTAGAGATTGCAGTTCAAACTATGAGGAACCATTCAGACTATGAAAGTGATGATTTAGATGAAAACAGTGACGTTGATAACAGCGAAGAGGAAAATTTAGATGAATATTACTATGATTCTGAGGAAGAGAATGATGAGGATGACTTTCAAGGTGATAAAGATAGTCTTGAAGAAGAAAATGAAAAGATTATTGAGGCTTTAACAACAGGTGTTGGGAAATTGAAGATGGACAAGTTAGGTAATTATATATTAGTAGGAGATGATGATGAAGAGGAAGTAAAAAATAATTAATCAGATAAATCTATAAATATAGAGTATTCATTTTATCATTAATATCCTATACACACATACGTACATACATATATATATATATAGAATATTGCATAAGAAAAAGCAGACATTTATAAATATACTTTTTTCTACTTATCATATAATGAGAAAGAAAAAAAAATCTCTTCATTGACTGTCACAATGAAAGTTCAACAAAAATATTATATAGAGTTATGTAATCATTAATCATATTCTACACCAGATCCCTCAATATCGTCATCGTCATCATCATCATCATCAATTTCTATTGGAATATCCTTTAATGAAGTGGAAAGATCCATGTTTATACTATGTTGCTGGTTATTTATTATTGAATGTGATACTTCTTCAAGATCATTTTCTTCCTCTTCTTCTTCTTTATCAAATTCTTTAACTTCCTCAATTTCACTTCCATCAGACAAATCACTCTCTGCTTCAAAATTTGCATCTAGCGCTTCATCATCTTCTGAGTCCAAATGAACGTCATTTAAATTAAACGTATTAGATTGTTCGAATTGTTTAGAAGCTGCCTCTAATATACTTTGATGGCCATTTGTATTGTTTGGATCAAGACTGTCTTCATTATTTTTAGAATTATTAATACTGTTGTTGTTATGGCTTCCCATGTTATTATTATTATTACTAATTTTGGATTTTGTTTTAGCTTTTAACTCCTCACTCATTGATCTATCTACAACTTGCTTTCTTTTAACATATTCATCGATTCTTGTGTATTCATTTTGGTCAATCATAGAGAATTCAAAGGTTTGTCCCTTCTTTGTGATCAAAGTCATGTTGAAAGTCAACCTGGTGATAGAGGAATAGGTGATAGATTCGATATCGTTTGAATCAAATAAGAGGATTGGTTTTTTAAACCCGAAAAGGATATTATCTGGCAAAAAGTATAGTGTTCCTTCCTTTGTACCACGGTGACAATTAATTGAAAAAGAACTGTGCATAGGATCTCCATTAGAGGAGAAAGGGTTGGATATCCTGAAACCGGTCAAGATCGCTTGTTTTCTAATATAATCTATACAGGAGGCAAAATCGGTGACTGAGGTTTCCAAGATTCCGAGTTTATGGAATTGGTTCAGTATCAGATCATTGGCTAAGTTAATTAGTATTGGTTCATTGTACGAGTTTGAATGAGCATATTTGATGAAAAGGTAGGTTAAGTTTGGTTTCTCTGATACGGGTAAGAACACAGCCATTTGGATATTGGATCTCAAATCATGTATACTTAATTCAATTTTTGAATCTCTCTCTAGTGATAATATTGGAGCTTTATCAATGGAAGATAGATGTAAAAAAAAATTCAATTTTTTTCTTAATGGAGATAAAACAGACACATCTTTTAATTGGAATATAATATCATCTTGAGATATCATATTTTGAACAGTCAGATTGTCAGGATAACCAGCAGGACTATTTCTACTACTCTCATCATTATTATTACTAGTATTATAACTACTATTATTCAATTTTCTTCTTTTAGAATCATTTGTTGATTGATTATTTTGATTTATGGCAAATTCATATAATTCTTTAAATGTGTCTAAAGTGTTAGGCAAGATTGAGGTAACTTTTTTGATCTTTTTTTGTAAATCTACAGGTAAATCATCCAAAAATGACATAGTAGCATAGGAATAAAATATTATTATCTCTTCCTTTTGCGTTTTTTTTCTTTAAAAAATATATATGAAGGATAACTTCTCGATTATATAACTATGGAAATATATAATAATTCTGGACGATAGCATATGAGAATAAGAACAATGAGGAAAGAAAAGTTATTAGTAATGAAAGATAACCTATCTTGTAGCAGATCAATATATTCAAATTACGACAAAGCAGTTTATCAAAAAAAAAAGAAAAAGAAAAGAAGAAAAGCTAAGACCTAATTACACAACATCCGTACATCTAACTAGAGTAGCAGACGCTACCACTTTCTTATCTGCTGTCTACTGTCGTAAATCCCCGAGAGACAATAGACTATTGTTGTCTTTTCCTTTTTTCCTTCTTCCCCGCTCTTCCTTTAACTGTTTATTTTTTTTAAGGGAGAGGCTGTTGGGCATCGCAGCAACAAAAAAAACGCAGGAGAAAAGGTTTCCTTTTTTTGTTTTTTGTCTCTATATTATATTATTTTATTTTAAAGGTTGTTGGAGATGTGTAAATGAACAACTGAACAAATGAACACACAGATGGTTGAGTGGTCGACTAGAAACTATACATACACAAAATACAAGTAAGGGTCCTGTGGCTGTGAAGCTATCGTGTATGTGTGTGCATATATTTCTTTTACGGAGGTTAATGGAATAGTGATGGTAGCATGATGGTTTGCTAAGTGACTTGCTGGCTGGTCATATGTACAGATAACTCTTCGACATTATATATATATATCCCTGCATATATGGATGTTTATGTGTGTATGTATTTTTTTATTTACTGTAAATTATCTTCTTGAATTTTTATTTCTCTTTCTCTCTCTCTATATACATATATATACAAATATATAAGCAAGTATTGAAATATTAAGAGATATTTTCAATAATACAAAAGTAGAAAACAACAGATAATATAGAATAGTAATAATAACAATATTTATTATGGTGACTACTCTAACTAAAAACTATATCGAAGAATGTTCTTGGAAACCTGATTTATTTAAGGACAAAGTCTGTCTCATCACTGGCGGTTCTGGTACAATTTGTAGAGTTCAAGTAGAGGCTTTGGCTTTATTGGGTTGTAATGTTGTTATAGTAAGTAGAGATATCGAAAATGCGGAGTTGGTGGAAAATGAAGTTAACAATTTAACAAGTAGAAAAGACTCTTGTTTTGCTATAAAAAATGTCGATGTTAGAGATTATTTCCAGATGGAAAACTGTATCAAAATTACTATTGAAAAATTCGGTAAACTTGATTTTTTGATTGCTGGAGCAGCTGGAAATTTCGTCTGCGATTTTGCTAATTTAAGTGCCAATGCATTCAAATCTGTCATAAGTATCGATCTCCTAGGCTCCTTTAATATCACAAAAGCTGCTTTACCACATTTAATTAAAAGCAAAGGTGCCATTCTCTTTATATCCTCCACTTTCCACAAATACGGTGTTCCATTCCAAGGCCCCGTAGGTGCAGCAAAATCAGGTATCGATGCGTTGTCAAACAATTTAGCCGTCGAATTGGGTCCCTTTGGTGTTCGATCAAATTGTATTCAACCCGGTGCTATCAAAGACACTGAAGGTTTTAAAAGATTATCTAACCCAAAATATGTAGATGATATGATCAAAAAGATCCCTCTGCAAAGATTAGGTACCAAAAAAGATATTGCAGAAGCAACCATTTTCTTGTTGTCACCTGCTGGAAACTATATTAACGGTGAAACTATTACTGTGGACGGTGGCATGTGGCATACTGGGACTCTATTTGCGAATAGTGATATGTACCCAGAACAAATTTACAAAGGGATGGAGAAATTTTTAAGCCTGTCAAAGTTATAAATTTTGTTTCTTTATCTCCAGCAATGGTAGCTTATTCTAATATTTATGCTTCTTGATATTGTTTCTTTCTTTTTCATTCATTATAATATTATACTTTATCCTCTTCAAATATATTTACATATATACTAACTAGAACACAATATGCAAAGAAATATATATGTATATTGATTTTTTAAAATTTTCTTTTTTTCTTTATTTTCTTTATACTTGTGAAAATAATCTTTTCCCATTTTGATTCAACCCAAGAACCATATCAACTTGATTCATTTCAAGATCTTGTGGTTCCTCTCCATATGATTCATTGTCAGTAGTATTACTCCTTTTCTTAATGCTTTCATTTGGTATAGTTGCAACATTACGTTGAGACAATAATGCTTTAATAAATGGCAGATAGTCAATCTCATTCAAAATATCTTTAAATCTTCCAACCAGATAGTTACTCAGTATATTGAAATTAGACCGTGCTTCATTATTCACATCACAATTTTTAGCTATAATCTTAAATAGATCTTGAATACACGAATTAGCTAAATTATCTTTATCAAGATTCTCTTTCAATAAATCAAAAATTGGATCAAATAAATTGTTCGTTATCATGAAACGATTATAATATTTATCATTTAACGATATTATATTCTTTATCGTTCGTACCGCAGTCAATCTTAGTTGTAGAATATGGGTTGACTTGATAAGTTTGCTTATATTAGTAAGAATTCCATTCTCTAAAATGAATTTCCTTGAAATAATACGATTATGTTCCGTAGCAATAAATGATAAAAGTTTAACTATATGTATCAACAAATAATCATCACATTCTTGTTTATTATTATTGTTATCATTGTCATTATTGTCATTATGATCAGTATTTGCGGTGTTTGTATCCATAATCAATGGAGAAAATAACTTTAGAGCTATTTGATCATAAAAATTTTTAAAATAACGTTTTAACTGAATATTATTATTGTCACTGTTTCCTAAATCTTTGTTTAAATCACTATTAGAATTAAACCAGTTATTTTGATCTGTATCACCATTATCATTAGTATATTCTTCATGTTCCATCAATGAACTGAAATTGAAATTGCTCAACATACCATCTGAGTCATATTCACCTTCTGTATTCCCATTTAGATATCCATCTGGATGTAACAAAGTATTAAATGCCTGAACGACTTGTTCACGAAGTCCAGGTGATTTATCTGTTAATAATATAGTAGCCAAGATAGACAAAAGTTTCATATCCTCTGTTTGTTTCTCCAAAGTATCATTATTTCCCTTCCTAGTCGCGTAGTAGTAGTAAGTTTGGTCAACAGAAGAAATATCATTATTACTAGATTTTTCATGTTGAACATTTTGAATCAACAATATGTCATGTTCTATTATTGTTATAATCATATCGGTGGCCATTATTCTAATACTACTATCAGTTTCTGTATTAAACGCATATTGCAGTACATTAAAGAAATCTTTTTCAATTAAAAATTTATAAAATTTTGTTTTATCACTTAATTCTAAATTTTTTGACATCTGAATACATTGATGTAACAGTTTTATTCCATTACGTCTTTTTTCTTTCATTTCATTATCATCATCACTAGCCATAGTTGAATTCAAAATATTCGTTGCAGAACTACCTTCAATTTCATATAAATTGATAATCTTGCATAGAAATGGATCTGTTTGCAAAAAATTTATAATACATGTCTCAAAATCAATAATGATATCTAATATTAAATTAATATTATTATCATCAAAAAATCTCACTAACACCACATCTTTCAAAAATTGTAGTCTAAAGCATTTTTTTATGATCTCCTTCAACTCATTATTTTCAACAGGAAGAACTTCCTTAAAGATTGGTCCCCTTTTCTTCAAATAATCTCTATGATTAGCTTTCATAGTGGAAAATTCTGTATCATATTCCAATATCCCAATAATACCAATAATATGGTTGTCTTCTACTAATGATTCAATGATTTCTCTGTTATTGTATAAAATTAATGTTTTTATTATACTGCTCAGTAACAATAAATCTTTCAACAAGTTTTCCTTTTCAGCCTTATGAAAAATATTTATTAGAAGATCCACGTAATTTGATTTAAAAATAAATTCAATTGTTTCATTTTTCAAATATTCATAACTAATATTTTCATTTAATATCTTAAGAGAATCCATTAAAGTTGCTGTGTCTTGGTTTGAATCAATTGAAGGTAATGATACAGGCCCTGCAATAATTTCATGTGCCGAACCCATTCCAGAATCGCTTGATCTCACTGCCACTAAAGAAATACTTCTTTTCAAATTACGTTGAACTTGAACAAGAAAATTACAAATCGCATCACATCCAGCACTTTCCTCAAAGCTTAATGCAATATCTTCACCTTTGATATCTTTCCAAACAATAAGAGTTTCTTCTTGCTTTTGATATTCAACATTTCCTTCCAATCTAGATTCCAACAGAATTTGGTCTGGTATATCTTCATTAGTTACTATCAAATAAGCTTCATAGACTACTTGATCCAGTGGAGCTATATCAGAAGATTTATCATTAGATGGCTTTTCAGAAATAGAGTTTATTATTTGTTTAATTTTACCAGTACAGAACCCAGTACCAGTATCTTTCCATTCATTGTCTTCTAATATATATACTTTAACTCTTTTAGGATCTGTATCATTAATTTTCAAGGCATTTGGGAGTTCAGCTGGCTTATTATCATTTGATTCCTTATTTTGTCTTAATTTAAGATCATCTGTAGTAGATGTATTATTATTATCCTGAGTAGCACTACTATCGAGAGTAATCATTATATTGTTATTTATATGTTTAGTTGTTGCGTTTTTTGGTGATATTTACTAAATATTATATTCAAAAGTTGTAACTAATGAAAATCAAAATAAAAAATAAGCTTAAAGCAAAAAAAATAATTTTACTGTTTTTAGTAAATCTTGATAATTATATAGAGTAATTAATAAATCTGTGTTGGTATTATTGAAATATTTTTTTGTTATTGCTCTTGTTAGTTTCAAATTTTTCATAGACCGCTTTAATATAAAGATAAAGAACCAATGAAGTTCAAAATAATTGATGGTGTTGGTAAATTTAAAGTAGTTAGTTTAAAGATATCTAAAATGCACACATTGAACTAAGTCATGTATTGATTTGGGTATGTCTACTCTCTTTGACATTCAACTAATTAATGACAAATAAAAAAGAAAAGAAAAAAATATCCTAGAAATATTTTTCTTTTTCTTTTTGTTTTCGCGTTTTTTGTTTTTTATTTTTTTCTTTTTTCTTTTTTCTTTTTTGTTTTTTATTTCTCCTTGTATTTTTTTTTGTGTAAGTTTTAAAAACCCTAACAAGAATCTGACATAAAAAAGTAAAACCAACTGATTCTTGAAATGTCCTAAGAATAGAATCAGTAACCCTAATGCAAACTTAGAAATTCTGCAGACAGATTGCAGCATAAATATTGTAATATATTATTTATTCAATCTACATTATAAAAACTATATGAATTTACATTTATTCTTATTAGTGTTACTAATTAAAATTTCAATATTTGATCAGTTCCCTTATACTCATATGGTTCAAACCCATATTTTTCAGCGAAATGTCTAGGTATAAAACGACCACCTACATAATGTGTGGTTCTCTTTGGATTTATGCATTGACTACATGGTTTTGGAACAGTTAAGGATACGAGAACACTTGGCACATAAGAAGGTTCATTCTCTATTGGTCCATTATCTACATCCCATCCTGTTGGGATATCAACCGCAACAACTGGAATTTTATCTTCCAATTTATTCAGTTCTTCGACAATTGTACCGAATGGTTCTCTGATAGGTGGTTTGAATGAGAATCCAAATATTGCGTCAACAATACACGCAATTTTTCCTGGTTCCAAATATTCTGTCCATTTGTTCTGCTGTTCCTCTGAAAGGATTGGAACCTGGAAAAATTCTAATTGGTTAACTAATTGACTATAAAACTCTGTTCTTTTACTTCTAACAGGATAATATACAATTGGATTATAACCAAACAATTTTAAATGTCTTGCACATACTAACCCATCACCACCATTATTTCCTGGCCCCACAATAATAAACACACCATTCTTATTCCTGTTTTGATTTAATGGATACTCCCGTTGAATTGCTTGAGCTACACTGAAACCGGCCAATTCCATTAACTGTTGTAGAGTGAATCCTACTTGAGGACCCATCAATTCCTTATCAATTTCACTTGCAGCTTTAGATGAAACTAGTTTTAATATAGACATAGTATTCTTTTGAACGGTTTTTTTTTTCTTTGATTAGATTCCCAAAGACTAAAAGGTTAATTGAAGATGGACACAAAAGCGACAACAATAGCAGAAGATAAACCATAACTTTCTCTTTTCACTTAGTGTAAAGGAAGAAATCGTCTATTTATCTTGTTTGATTCTTTAGATATTTAGTCAATCTCTTGGTTAGGATCCTGTCATCGCAATTCTTTGTTCTCCCTCTTTCTCCTGACCTCCCTACTTTTTTTTCCGTTGTTGGAAATACCTTCATTTGATCTTTTTTGGTGACATTATTCATATTATCTCACTATTTTCCTTTATAGGTAACTTTTTCTATTTTCCTTGAATTACTTTCGTTTTATACAGAAAGGTAATATCTATGTCTTTAATTATCCATACGTCATGCTTTTTGCGGTAGTAGTATGTTTAGTTACTTTATAAAATATTATAAATCAAGTGGATTTATAATCACCTGTTTTATGATCTTGCATTGTTAACTGCTTATGATAAAAGACAATTTATATATTTATATTATTATTAAAATATCTATCTAATATTTTATCTATCATTTTAAGGGTAATTAAAGGAAAAAATAAAAATAAAAGCTACATGATATAAAATTTGTATTTTTTTTTGTTTTCTCTTATCGATGCATTTATGTATGTAATATCAAAAAGTTCATAAATCGTTATTATGATTAACTAATCTTTTTTAATATCTTGTAACATACTTCTAACACATCCTATGTCTTCAATTAACATTCTTCGTAACCACTGCGTTTCCTGTCTTTGGCTTTGAAGTTCTCTTTCTAACTGCATGATACGTTGATCCTTTTCCTGAACTATTTGTTCAAACACTTCTTTCATTTGTTTATTAAAGTTATCTATTATTACACTATCTATTTTGTTTTGTCTAGTAGATATCATATTGTTGTTGTCCATATTATTAGGCATGTTATTACAGTTCTCTATAGAAACATTAGTATTAGAGTTAAGTTGTAACATTTGATCCATTGTATTACCATCAAATGCATTTAGATCCACGCCTTTATTTCTCCAACTATTATTGTTTAAATTATTCCCTGTACCATTGATGCCATTCAAATTGTTACTATGCTGAAAACTGTTCAGATTATTATTATTGTTGTTAGTCGTATTATTGAGTACTGGACCGTTTAAATTGTAAAATGCTTGATTTTGATTACCATTTGACACCAGATTATTAAAATCTAATTGTTGATTATTATCAAGACTTGTATCGAATCCAGTACCAGGACTTGTAGGTTGCGTATAGTATCCATTCAGAGACCTTGATAGATTTACATGATCGTCTCTATTCATAAATATCGTTTGTAGTCTCCGTTGCAATTGCTGTGAAAATAACCCATCTTGTCCAAATAATCCATTATTGGACTTATTTTGATTAGAATTTTGTAGTATTTGCTGTTGTGATTTTTGTTGATTTTGATGTAGTTGGAGAAGACCATCATCGGCAATATTACCACTAGTTCGAATATTCTTATTATTCTTCCAAATACTTTTTTGTATGGTATTCTTTGTAGTTTTCTTTCCAGTCGTTTGTCTTGCAACTGTTGTTTTTTTCCTTGTATACTTCTTTTTAGATTTTGTGTTATTTGGTATAGTAGTGTCAGTGGATGTACCATTAGATGTTAATGTAGTGTTTTGTTTATCATCTGTATTAGAACTATTACTTGAAGGAGTATTCGAAGTATTATGATTACTACTAGTGTCATGAGAATTGATTATAATATCACTATTAATATTATTGCCGTTTTCTATTAATGGATTATTATTATTATTACTGTTATTATCAATTCCATTGCTACTATGATTAGATCCATTCTTAAGTGCATTTTTTCTAACACGAATATTATTTGAATTTATCAATTTTCCAGTTTGGGGATCATATACCGTAAAAATACATGTCGTTATAGACTGCCATATTTTATCCTCAATAAGTTCTGAATCGTTCTTGATTTGCCATAAATGTTCATCGAGACGCTGAAAATATTTGGCGTACGGACTAACTTCAAAACCTAATTCCAGTCCTTTTATAATTTGCATAAATCGTTGATATAATTCAATAGCTGATTTAGGTGACGATGATGATTTATCTATAATATTATCTACAACAGAACTTGATATAATTGCAGTATATATTAACGAAATCTTTTGAAATAATTGCATATTAAAGTGATATGTATTATGAATCAATGTATTACTACTGCCAAATGTAGAGATCGAATCTGGTGTATTATTTACATTATTATTGTTGTTAGTATTGTTGTTTGTTGCTGAATTATTGTTGTTTGTTGCTGAATTATTGTTGTTATTAATAGTATTATTATTACCATTATTGTCGTTATCATTTGCCAGTTTATTATTTTCATTTATATTATTCACATCATTCAATTTCAATAACCCTTCGTCTGTTGTTAATACTTTCATGGCAATATTAGTGTTTGATACTAAAGCTGCAGGTGTATGTATTGTTGTATGTGGTGAAGCTGCAGTGCTTTGCAATTGGTTGCTATTAATAATTGCACCATTAGATAATAAATTGTATGCTCTAATTGTAAAAACGTCAACAGTATTTTGATGATGTAATAAACCAAATGTTGTCGATTGAGAAGGAATAGGTGTATTTTCCAAGGTCGATGGTGCAACAATTTGATTATCTAGCACATTAAATTCAATTTCATTCATATGTTTATTATTGTTATTCAAATTATGAAGAAAATAAAGATTTGTATATCAAAAAACAAAACAAAAAGAGAAAGGAAGGAAGGAAGAATATGTGTGAGGATAGCTGGAACAAATGTTTGTGAATTAAAATATATTAGAATTAAGATCAAATTTATTAACTGAATTTAACAACTATTTTGGTTTAGTTATAGACACTATATCAAACTTTAAGTTGATATAGTGATATTAATGATATTTTTTTATAGTTCAAACTTATTAAAATTTTCAAAAGTGTACTATGATACAGAATTGGTGAAAGTAGCAATATTTTTCAGATTGTTTTAATTAGCAAATTTTCAGAGTTCCTAATCTTGACAAGATGATTAATTTTATGTCAAGGCCTTTAACTCTTATAGATGAAAGAAATATTTCGATGACTTTTATCCAGTCCGCAAGATGTTTGATTTTTTTTTCTTTTTTCGATGTTAATTTTTTTCTCTTAAAATTTAGTTCGGGTCTCTCGGTGTAGAGAGGCGTGTCTTTATTTATTTCTGGTTCAAATCGAATAGAACTGATTTTCAATCGATTATAGAATCTTATGAAGATTCACTGTACAAGGATCTTTGCACCTTCTTCTTTTCTTAAATTAACCTCTTACAAAAACAATGTAAAAAATTTGTAGTAAAATGTGTTTTTCATTTTGTATTTTTTTTTTACAAGAATACAGATTATTTATTTTTTAGTAATGTATATAAAATATGTAATGAATAAAAAAAATAATATGATAGAAATAAATATCTACTCATACAATTATGAAAAAATGACAGTTCTTTAGGCAAAATGAAAACATGTAAAACATTAATAACAAAATTAATTTATAATCAATATAGTAAAAAGAGTGAGCGTCATAAAATTGGAGCGATATAAAGCGCTTTTTCTAATTGCAACAAAAAAAAAAAAGAAATAGTACAATAAACTTGTCGTAATTCCAGCAACAAGAATGATATGCAAACTAGCCAAAATATCCAAATATAAATAAATTATCACAGTTATAATCAAGTGAGATAGACAGGAGTAACATAGAGTAATAGTATTATAAACAAAGAACAAAAAAAAATTGTCGGATAGAGTAACAGATGGAATGATCATAAACATGAATTAAAAATGTAAGATATATGGAAATAACAAAATGAACATAGAGAAGATACTAACCAGTAAAGTACCCAAGTAACGATGTAAATATATAAGATGGATACGATGATTTTCTTTTTTGTACCAAATAAATATTAAATGAAAGTTTTCTTTTATTAGTGACGCATTAGTAAACAAATGAATGTAATAATAAAAAGTAGTGATTAATTAAATAGATGACATTCCACAAAAAATAACAAACATAACCAAAAACTAAAATAATATCAAAGAAAGTTTCAGTGATTATAATACATTATATCTCCAGATTCACATATCATGAATTTTTAGAGTATGTTGTATAACTATAATTCATATTATTATTAGGAATTATATTAGCAGATCCAGGACGGTGTCCATTATTACCTATATTATTCACATTATTGGAATTATTAGAATTAATGTTTCTTTTGCTGTTCGGACCCCTAACACCTAGTGGGTTCTTAGAAAAACTTAATCTAATACCACCCTTGTTATTAGATGTGGCTCTTGGTAATTTTCTACCATATAATTCTGCCAAAGCTCTGGTAGCATAACTAACATCTTCGAATTCAACAAAGCACATTGGTCCGTGACCATTTCCATTACCATTTTTATTTCTAAATGATAATCTTCTAAAACCTCCTTGACTGGAAAACAATTGTCTTAACTCTTGTTCTGTAGCATCAGGCGGTAAATTACCAACATATAATGTGTTACATGGTGGATTCTGGTCGGCAGGATTTGCAGGTGGTGGAACCTTGGCTAATAAAGATAAATCGGCTTCTGACATAGTGACTGTACCAGTAGCTGCTGGTAATGAGATAGTTGAAGAATTCAATTTATTGTTGCCATTAACTGACTGTGTTGGGGTCATACTATGGCTAGGTACATTTCGATTGATATTTGAATTTAATTTAGTTTTAACAGGGGTTGTGTGTTGCAAAGTATTCAACTGAGTAGTCACTTGTTGATTAAAAGAGGTATCTCCGACCAAGACGTTTTGTGGTGGTCCCATTTGATTTATTAAACCGTTGTATGTGGGAATAGAGGCAGTAGATGCAGATAAAGAATTTGATATGTTATTTATAGGAATCTGTTGATTTAGATCCATCATAGGCAAAGTTGATTGTGTTTGAACGCTTGTGGAACCAGTAACTGTAGGAAGATAAAAAGCAGAACTTTGTCTCCTATTAACATTACTATTATTACTATTATTATTGTTGTTGTTATTATTCAAACTTGTTGTAATGGTATTAGAACCCCATGGAACAGTTGGTGTCGATGGTTGAGGGGTGCTAGAAAAAGCATGAATACTTGAAGTAAGACCATTAGTTCCCCAGATATTATCATTGATCTCGTCATTCTCCATAAGTAAGAAAGACTTGCCAGCATCTCTTGCACCAGGGTTAATTTCTGGATGATTAGTTGGTACATGACTTACAGATGATGATTTAGATTTCAACGCAGTTGGATCTTGCGAGTTTGTTTCCAATGTGAAGGGATCACTAAAAGAGAACCTTGAAAGTTGAGGTAAAAGGCTTCCACGATTAGTTGTGTTTTTGTTGTTGCTTCCTAATATAATTGATTGTGGTTGGTTTTGTGGAATAGGTTGTTGTGAATTTTGTTGTGAAATATTGTGAGTTTTTAATGTAGATGCTGCTGCTACTGAGGTAAATTGAATTGGTTTTTGAGTGGAATCATCAATTAGTTCAACATGCAATTTATGTGGGGGATGTAGACCAAATAAATTACTTTTGTTGGTTAGAATGTTTGAATAACGAATAGCCAATTGTAGTGTATTGAATTTTGCCACAATGACTGGGGATGCTGTGGGATTGTTTTTCAATTCAGTTGGATTTGAGTTATCATTTTCATGGAATAAATTTACGCTAAGGACGTTTTCAGCCAAGGCAAATATGAGAAATGTTTCACGTTTTGTGATATCCTTTGGTAAGTTTGATAGCTTTATAGAATATGTAGTTGACACAAGGTCTTGTTGGGATGAATTCAAGCCCAAGGTAAAACTTTGTAATATAGATGTGATGTTATCAGGATCATTTTCAGAAGGTATATTTTGGTTAGTTAGAGTGTCTGTTACATTTTGATTCGATATTAAAGTGTCTAAATGGATATTTGGCTTTTGACTTGGTGAAATATTGTACTGAGAAGTTAATTGCATATTATCTGTGCTTCTATCAAAAGCAACATTACTAGTTGCCATATTATATGACATTATGAATCAGTTATCAGTGATTTTAAAAGGTATTTGAAACAGAATATAAGTAAAATACAGTAAAGTAAAGTAAAGTAGAGTAGAGTAAAGTAAAGTAAAATAAAATAAAATACAGTCGAACTATAGTACCAACAGAAAAAGTAAAATACCTATAAGGATAAAAATATAAACAAAATAGAAAAATTGATAAAAAATAAAAAACAAAAAAGATAGGTAAATACTAACCCAATAAGTAAATGCTTGTTGATGGAGTTTTCAGACACCTATCAATTATAATAATAGAGTATGGGATCAGCGAAGAAAAAAAATGAAGTAAAAAAATATATCTTACTATTATTTTTAAATAGATTTTAATTGTTGTTAAGCAGAGTAGGAGTAGGTAGTAAACTCAAAAAAGAAAAAAAAATTAATAGTTATTATTATAACAATATGCAGAATAATATTTATTTATATGTGTTGTTATCTTTAGAGAGATGCAGGATATATGTGGTTAATGTTTGTGTAAAAAACAAATTTATGGAATAACTATCAAATGATGTAAAAAAAAAAAAGAAAAAGTAAACACCTAATAATTAAACAGCTTACGGGAAATATGTAAAATTGAGTTACGTTATCCTTAATAGGCCAATACACTCAGATATATGTATGCTTATATGTTTGTATGTATGTGTATATATCAGTAAAAATTCTTTAGGTCGTGAAAAATGTGATATTCAATTGTGATGGTTGACAACAGGAATTATTTCTAAGGAACAGTTAAGACGTATACTTTTTCTGTACGTTTGTTGATGTTATTTTCCTTTTCACTAAAATTTCCCAAAAAGTTTGGAATAACGTTCAACCACACAAGGTGAATGTTTATTTTCCCGTTAGTGTGTATTGTAGGGTAAACGTCGTTGCGGCGATTAATTTTCGCGTTCATGCATCAGTACACCACATTCAAAATATTACTCAGTCATTTTTTACGAATCCTATGTATAAAGTTTTTGTTATTTTGCAGTTGACAAGAAATTTGTGGCAGTTCAAGTTGTGCACCTCAAGGAAAATTTGACAGTTTCTTTTTTTTTTTCTGTCAAGAAGGAACAGAACGTAATTTCCAGGGGTCTTATATTATCACCGGCAATGATTATTGCTGCTGGTACCAAGAATATGTTAGTTAAAAAGATCAAACCTCCAGTTGAAAATGAAGAAACGGTTATGTTTTACTTCTGATAATGTTAAGGCAGACTGCATATAACATGGGTCTAGTGTATTCTCAGTTTTTGTTTTATTTTTTTTAAGGAAAAAGATCATCTTTTGTTCTGGAATATGATCAGATATTAATATTATTATGTAAAATTCAAGGGAGTTACAATGATATATTTAAAACTTACTATTTGCCATTTATTGCGAAGGAACGAATAAAAAGCTGCAAAGATGTTTATATTCAAATATATATATATGTATATATATATTTGCCGAATTATTCTTTGATCAAAGAATTATAACAACATGTTGGATAATCCAGCCATATATCCATTACTACTTTACTATGTGTGTTGTTGTCTTCATAGTGATTAATATTGGTAGTTAAACTATCATTACGCTGTAAATTATCAATATCAGTATTATTCTCTATGATAAACGTGTCAGAATTGTTTTTATTATTAATTGCACTTTTCAATCTTTTGATATCTCTTTTTATCTTTAATGTATCTGTTAAGTTTAAATCTTCGATGGTTAATGGCTCTTTAACCAAATAGGGATCTTTAAGGAGTATTCTATTTTGATTTGAAAAATCACCGTTGTTACAGAAAGGTGTGTTTGCAGTAGCTGACGTATCTGTGATTGTTGCACTAGAGGATATGGAGGAGGATTTCCGAAAAGTGTTAGGAATATTTATATTTACTGGACAATCCTCGGTTAATGTACTAGCATTTGACCATTTTCTGAAGTTAACACTAACTATATCTCTGCTACTTCTTCTGTAGTTAATCTCATCATTTATCCTTATATTATCTTCATCAACTTGAAATAAACTATTGGAGCTAATAGTTTCTTCTCCTAAGGAGGGACTGTACTGTGATTCAAAACCTTGATGGAAAATTCTATTTATGTGTAACTCAATTGGTTTCACTGTTTGAGTTCCAATATGACAATACGGTTTTTGTTGTTCCTTTTGATTCTTAAATGTAAAATCCCTAGTATACGATGTCTTCAAGGATCCATTAGTTTTTTTATGACTATTACTAATACTTGCAGTATTGTTTGTGTAAGTTAAAAAATTCTTGTTCTTATACAAGTCCTTCTTGTTTTTACGAGTATGATTGATGCCGGTTTCTAAACTTTTATTATTAAATATACCATTTTCTCTCTTACCTACAGTAGTGGAGTTATAAAAGATATTTTTATTATTATTGTTATTATTGTTATTAATGTTATTGTTATTGTTATTGTTATTATTATTGTTGTTGTTGTTATCAAAAGTTACTGCAATTTTACTTTCTTCTTCTAATAGCCCTTGTTGTTTTTTACTATGTGATTTAAATTTACGATTTCTGTATCCATTCTTATAGTTCTTATTACTTACGACTTCAGACATTTTTTTACTGCAAGACTAAAATATCTAGGATGCTTTAAAAACAAAAAAGTGTACAGTGTTAAAGACAAATATATCACTTGTCTTGTCAGTTATGTTTTACACCTTTTTATGAGATATAAACTTTTATACTCCTACAGTATAGAAAGTGGCATATTTAAAATCATTAAATATTTAATTTAACACGCTTACATATCAATATTTCTGAGTATTAATATATATATATATATATATATATATATTGAGGAGAATATTTTCATAAACAGCATTAAACATATATTTAAAGCTACAAGTAGGCATTTAAAATGATTCAACAGAAACATAGTTTACTTCCCTTATCTTTCCCCCTCCCCTTTTTTTTTAGTTTTAAAGCGGTTCAATAAAATAAAAGCTATATATCGGCGCCATTAATGGCTGGAGAAATAAGCAACGACTTAGTGCAATAAGTGCAGATGATTACCTTGTTTATATATATTTCCTCCTTTGGTGTGTTAAAGCCACGAGTGGCTGAAAATACATGTAATTATATATATTATATATATTATTAAGTATACTGTTCATTTTGAATCTATGGTGAAAATTTAACTATTGCAGCAACTAAATATTTCTATTTCAACGTATTTTAAATTCTTTATTTTTTTTAAAGATTATAATATGGCATCCCATTGCTTTTTAATGATCTTTTCATTTATGACATCTTACGTTCTAAGTATAATATAATAGATTATTCATTAAGTACTAAAAGGAAAACCTTTTGGTTTCTTTGTTTAAGTGTCATTTTTTTTTTATTTTTTTTTTTTTAAATTTAAAAGTATACATATATATATATATTGAGGTTATTGTTACTATCATCATCCAATATTTGCATATTTATATATTTGTAAAGATATATTTAATATTGAAACATATACAAAAAGGGGGGGGGCTGAATATTAAAATCATGATGATCATCTACTTATAGTTTTCTTCAATCTACTAAATAGACTCTGATGGTGTGGTGTTTCCACATGACTTGGAGTTGTTGTATTTCCTTGGGTGTTAGTGACATGTTCTTGCTTCATTGTTCTTGGAATAGCCTCTTCTCCAGAAGCATTCCCCTTGTATGCATATTCCATATCCATAATCTTGCTATTATTGTTATCAGTGGTGGAATTTTTCACTAAATGAAAGGGATTGATATGATGATATCCTGGTTGAGAACTCATTTGACCGGCACCTGGAATTGGAGTGTGATGACCCTTTCCTTCAAATCCAGGACAACTTGTATCTACTGATCCTACAGGAATATGGCTATCATCCATTTTTCTTGCTTGTAACATTGCGGTTGGTTGAAACTGGTTGGAAACATAATGATGTTGTTTTTCCCGTGGATTTGCCTGCCCACATCCTGGAATTTGGACATTAGATTCGATGTTGTCTTGTTCTTTATCATATGTCTCTTGCTGATATTGTTGTGAATCCATGGCTGGATAATTGTTAGCTTCATCTTTACGGTATAAATGTGTGGGAGGATACTGTTGCTTCTGTCCCTGTTTATGTTTTAGTTCTTGCTGCTTATGAAACAAGTTCATGTAGTCACCTTCGGCATAATCATCCTGGCCTTCCCCAAGGATTTTATTATAATCGCTAACACCATGGTATCCAAAATCCAAATCTCTTTCTCCTGTTTGAAACTTTCTCATCCCAATGTTTTTAGTATCTGCTTCAGTTAGCGTACTTCTTGGTTGATTGTAGATATCCTTACCATGTTGGCCAACATAACTTGAGGCACACTGACCCTCACCAAGAAGTCTATCATAATCTTCAACTGTATGATAACCTAACTGCGATGTGTCTTTACTCATAATTAATTTTATGTTATTAATAGTTTTTATTATGTTTAATTTTATAAACTTTACTAACTTATATAGTAGTCGGTTTGTAAGTTACTGGTAGATAGATGGATTAACGAAGTGAGGAAGGTAAAAAAAAACAATTAAAGAACAAAATGAGAAATAAATGAAATAGTACCTTTAAACACATCACAGCCATATATATATATATATATATGTGTGTATGTATATATATACGGCTGATAATTACCTGATTTGTACAGTTACATTTTAACTGGATAAGATAATATTATTACTTTATGATATAGATACAATACTCACTCTCGTTAAAGGTCTAACATTCTTACAATAAACAGCATTACCCCTAATGTATTGTAATAATTTTATTACAATTTTTTTTTGCATAAACAATACTATTGTTATTGGTTTGGACAATAAGATGAGAAACAAAGAAAGAAAGAAAGGATAAAGATAGAATAAGGGTACATGGATTGTTATTGTATTAATTCAGAGTCTTTGCTGAATAACAGGATCTAGATTTTTCTAATACTAGTAATAGACGTCGTTGTAAAGCAACAGTTTCACTGTTGCTTTTGTTCATTATTTGTGCGCGCGGCGTAATCAAAACATTTTTACGCACATAACAGTAGTGTTGATCGATGGATAAATAGGGGTCTCTAAATATGTGTTTTTTTTTCCATTTTCTGATCATTAGAGGGGGGGCAGGTATAAACAACAACAGTCCTCAATTATAACCAACCACCTTAAAGCGAAGATATATTTTCAATGGGGTTGTTTCCCCAGGGCATTTTCCTTTGTTGTCTTAATTATTATTTCCAGTGCTTTACATGCTGAGCAAATGAGTGGTTAACTATTGCCAGAACAAAAGTTGTTCAGTATATTCCAAGCATTTTGTAAATTTCTTCATTTTAGTTATTTTTGGATAGGGAGAAAGGGACCGCTGTCAGAAATAGGATTGCTGTAAAAATATGTAGGTGCTATTATTGTTACACGCAATTAAAATAATCCTATAGTCTGATGTTCTAGGGTTTTATTTTGTTTACTTTCATTTGTGCTTTTCGTCTTTTTTTTTTCCCTAAAACAAAATCAAAAAGGGTTCATTGAGGATTATCAATATCGAAAGATTTTAATGTTCTTTTATTTTTCCCCATCTCGTTTGAGATCAAAAAATAATAAATAAAAAAAAAAGTTACAGTAATGGAGTGTCATAGCATATGTATAATATCTCCGCATATGAACTTAACAACTATATTATGAAGATAAAAAAAATGACTTGGTAAGTAAAACAAAAAGTATAGTTATTCAATAAAATTCAGATTTTTTATGTTATAAATATACATATATATATATATATATTTTCTCTTTGCGAATACATATGAAATCATATTCAAAAGTTAGGTTCTCAAAAAGACCTAAATCTAACCAAAAAAGTAAACCAGTTCCGGTAACACAAGATGATTATTATTTAGAGGCCATTGAATTCGAAGAACAGGCAGAAAGATGGCTGTTTTCAGATATAAAAAAAACTTTAAGGTTTTATATGAAAGCTTTCGAAATGTATGAACTTGGTTTAACTGCACCACAATCAACCGATAAGTGTACTTATAATATCTTATATAACGAAACAAGGCTATTATTGCAGTTGTATTCAGACTACATGGCTAACAATGGATACATTAATGTTTTGCAATACATAAATTTGGATGATATTCCTGGTGTAGAAAATATTTTAAAACCAATCAATGAGATTATTGAAAGATTTGAAACGGCCTTGCAAAATTATAGGTCGATGGATACTTGGGATTTACAGTCAAATTTGTTGACTTCTTACCTGTTTTTGATAGAAGATCATGATAAATACGGTTTGAATGGTGGGCAGATTGTGGATTTAACAAATAAATTCTTCACTCTGTCACATGAATTGGTTCTTCATCAGCTTGAAAGCATAGATAATGGAGGAAATATTATGGAGTACGATAAAGTTTTAAATGACGAAGATTTTAATGCTTTTGAATCAATAAATGGTGATATATCAGAAATGGAGTCGAGGGACGGTTTTGGAATCAAAATAAATAAAGATCATTCTTATATAAAAGACTTAGTGGAGGTATCAGATGAGATTACACCAGAATCATTAACCGATGTAATCATTATGTGTCTGAAATTTAATCAAGCTCTGTTAGAAATTATGGTAGAGACTAAACTTGAAACTGGTGATCAATTACTAAACGTTATCCAATTGAATTATCTAGAGGATATAACTAGTAAACAATTATGTAGGGTAAGCGATATTATCGAGTCTCATAAAGCAATTTTGAATTGTAAAATTAGTGATATTAATTTAGCTATGTATGCAGTTAAAGGAATACAAATATTTTATTCAGATCCAGATGTCAAAAATTTAACTACATATTTGGAAGCAAACCCAGACCCCCGTATTGATTTGGTTGATCTTTACTTGGTGAAAATCGATATCTTTGGATTAGCTATTGATTACATCCGCGAAGAGTTTTTTGATATGAAATGGGACTTTTGTACCCAATTAAATCATCTATTAACTAGTACAAGAAATGAATTAAGTTATAAGCGCAAAAACATAATGGCTTCTCACAATCAAATTGAATTTGCTAACTTAAGTAATGTTGTATTTCAATTATGTGATGTTACAATTACTGCAGCTTCTAATGAATTAAGAAGATATGATATCAGGGTCAAGAAAAATGGTTCTACTGCAACTGTGGATAATGTGCAATCAATATTACTAAAAAATGCAAAAACATTATTAACCAATGCACAGATTATCTCAGAGAAATCATGTGGGATGCAAGAGACTATCGTGGATAAATTAAAAAGAAATTACATTTACAATGAAGCTAAAAACAAGCTTGCATTGTTAGTATCAAATGAAGAATTATCTTAATGGATCTCTGTTCATATACGTAAATCATATATATTAAATAAATGTGTACATACGCAGATAAGGTGTCATTTATGACATAATAAATAGGTGTACCTCCACAAATATTAACCCAATGTACTTTATACTATATGCAATAGAAAACGTTATCTTCATTGTTCCCCTGGTTTTTTATTTTTTTCTTTTCTTGCTAACTGTTATCACAGCTAACTAAGCGCCATTCAAAGCCTATTAGACGGCATTTCAAACTTGATCATGGTAAAAGATATGTCCATGTATAAGACATTGGTATTTTTATCAGAATCTTTGAGACTACGCCTCTCCATCTTTGAGAATTCAAAAAGTAAGAATATATATGGAAATTTTTTTTTAATGGCTGGTTTTGTATTGTTTTTCTCTGATCAAATTTCCAGATCAGGTAATTTTTAAGTAAATTTAGTTTACAGACTCTACTTACAGTTAAACTTCCGAACTTTAAGTAACGGCTGGGTTTTATATCAATGATATTTTAGGTGATATCTACAATTTTTTGGTTAATGCTATTTAATACAAATATTTTTCTGTTTTAACCTTTGTACTGAAACTGTAAATATAAACCTTCTTTAGATGCTTGATAAGGTCATAGATTCTTGCCTCGTTTCTCCTCTTTCTTTTGTTTTTTGCTCGAGAGATAAATATTCAAATTTAAAGACAATAAACATTTAGACTCAGTAATGAGTAACAACAGATATATGTCAAATCAATATAATAATGGTCAAAATTATTATTCCAATGAAATCACGGAGAATACTATGTTTCATTACTATCCCTATAATAATGTAAATAATAATAATGATAATGATAATTATTGGTCAAATCAATCTAACGTCAATCAGTTACCAGAAAATGGTTATCAAGATGAAGATACACGTAGTTCAAAACTTACAGACGAAGTGCTTGACCATTATTCCCATGAACCTATGAGCATAAAAAGAAACAAAACAGTTGATTCCAGTATATTGAGGCCGAATAATCTTTTGCAAGGAAATGTTTCTGTAAGAGCTGAACAAGACATACTGTTACAACCTAATGATAATTCTGAATCTGTTGCATATGATAATTTTATTCGTGACAGTTCGCATAATATGACAAGACCTAAGCCTCCATCTCAAACAAAAATTCTAACACCACCTGTTGCATACAACGATGTTTTTGTTCAGAATCACTCTCACAGTCAACAACAGAACAATGCAGACAATATGTTTCAAATACCTCAGATTAATGTGATTCAAACACCTTCCGATTTTACTTATCCAGAGAACAGTCAATTTAACAATTCGAATGTTTATAGTAATTTGTCATATTCACAATCTGGTAATTTCAATATCAATGCAGGTCCTCAACAATACTCTAGCCAACATCCATATTTTAATGAAGAGGACTATTATCATTCTCAAAACTATATCACTAATAATACGGGTAGTAATAATTATATAGATAACAGATTTGATAGCAAAAATAGTTTATCTCAAAATAGTTTTAATGAAGCTCCAAGTGTAATATCGATTGATGAAGATACTAAACCAATTCTACAACAACAGATACAGGAAAATAATAACAATCTATATTATAATAATTATTCTAACGATCTTGAAGATTTAGAAAGTGTGGAAGGTTATGTTGATCAATCTGGTGATGATTATCAAATTAGATCATACTTAGATAATGACGGTGAAATGGTGAATCCCTATACAAACACTGTACCTGTGATTTATGATGAGGATGAAAACTTTGAAGATGTTAATAAATTAAGAGAAGATGATAATATAGGTCATATGGATTTAGGTGATTCTAGTAACTTTGGTTATAATGACACAAATACAATCGACAAATTGGGGATAGTTAAAACTAGATCTATCAATTCTAGTACTAATTCATCATCGAATTCAAAGGGTATTTTACTGACAGATCTCAGTGAAGATAATGTGATATCAGCAGAAGGAAATAACGCTACGGTAAAAAGATCAAATACTGAAATAAGAAAATTTAAACTTTGGAATGGTAATTTTGTTTTTGATTCTCCAATCAGTAGTACTCTTTTGGATAAATACCATGTTGTAGTAGAAAAACCAGAATTATTGTCAAATGAGTTCAAATTTATGAGATATCAGGCAATTACATGTGAACCAAATGAATTACCGCTAAAAAATTTTACTGTTAGACAGTTGCAATACTTGAGGCCGAGACAGACTGAGTTGATGATTGTGATTACAATGTACAACGAAAATCATATTTTACTGGGAAGAACACTTAAAGGTGTCATGGATAACATTAAATATATGGTAAAAAAGACGCATTCTAGTATATGGGGTCCAGATGCTTGGAAGAAGATCGTCGTCTGCATTATATCTGACGGTAGATCTAAGATTAATGAGAGGTCTCTTGCTCTTCTGAGTTCATTGGGTTGTTATCAAGATGGGTTTGCAAAAGATGAAATTAATGACAAAAAAGTTGCCATGCATATGTATGAGCATACAACAATGATGAACATTGGTAATGTTACAGAATATGGTATTGATTTAGTTTGTAATCAAACCACAGTTCCAGTCCAGTTATTATTTGGGTTGAAAGAACAAAATCAAAAGAAGATAAATTCACATCGTTGGGCTTTTGAAGGATTTGCAGAGTTGTTGCAACCAAATGTGGTCGTACTCTTAGATGCTGGTACTATGCCAGGAAAAGACTCAATTTATGAATTATGGAAAGAATTTAAGAATCCAAGCGTAGGAGGTGCATGTGGTGAAATCAAAACTGATCTAGGAAAGAGCTTTGCTAAATTATTAAATCCACTTGTTGCAGCTCAAAATTTTGAATATAAGATGTCTAATATTTTGGATAAAACAACAGAATCAAATTTTGGTTTCATTACTGTCTTGCCTGGAGCATTTTCAGCTTATAGGTTAGCAGCTGTTCGCGGTACTCCATTAGAGAAATATTTTTATGGTGAAGGTCTAGAAGATAAAGGATTCAATTTTTTTTCTTCCAATATGTATCTAGCAGAAGATAGAATACTTTGTTTTGAAATTGTCACTAAGAAGCATAGTAATTGGATTCTACAGTATTCTAGGAGTTCGTATGCATCTACAGATGTCCCTGAAAGAGTTCCAGAATTTATTTTACAAAGAAGAAGGTGGTTAAATGGTTCATTCTTTGCTGCCGTGTATTCATTTTGTCATATTCATAGGATATGGACTAGTGGTCACAATGTAATTAGGAAAATATGGTTTACAATTGAATTTTTATATTTGTTTTTCAATACACTAATATCCTGGTTTTCGTTAAGTTCTTTCTTCCTTGTTTTCAGAATTTTATCATTATCTATTGCTACAACATACCGTACAGTGTTTGGAATACTGTCAGTAATATTTTTGTGGTTATATGGTGTTTCTATTTTTTCCACTTTTGTTTTGTCGTTAGGCAATAAACCAAAGAGTACCGAGAGATATTACGTAATGAATTTTCTTTTCTTTGCGGTGTTAATGGCCTATATGGTGTTTTGTTCTTTGTATATGAGTGTTAAATCTTTTGAAGATATTTTACAAGATACAAAAATTACTTTCATTGGATTAATTACAAAAACAGCTTTTAGAGACTTAGTTATATCCATGGGTTCCACATATGCATTATACTTGGTATCTTCAATAATTTATTTACAACCATGGCACATGTTAACAAGTTTTATCCAATATATTCTTTTGAGTCCAGCTTATATTAATATTTTGAATATATATGCCTTTTGCAATGTCCATGACTTATCTTGGGGTACTAAGGGAGCTGTAGCAAAACCACTAGGTAAAATCAATTCTAAAGAAGACGGGACTTTTAAGATGGAAATATTGGTTTCTCAGGAGGAGATTACAGCAAACTACAACAAGTTTAAGGCCATATTAGATGCTCCTGCTGAAGAAAAGGTTGACGATGGTCTTTCTTATGAAGAGAAAAAAACAGGTTATTACGCTAATGTCAGATCATTGGTTATTATATTTTGGGTTATGACAAACTTTGGTATTGTTGCAGCTGTGTTGGAAACTGGTGGGATTAGTGATTATATGACTTTGAAACGGCAACAACAACAAGCAACAGAGAATGTAACCGCTCATCCAATTATTTCAGAACGTACGTCTATATATTTTAGTGTTATTCTTTGGTTGGTTGCATTCTCAGCATTGGTAAGGTTCATAGGTTGTACCTTCTACATGGTAACAAGACTATTTAAGAGGTTATTTAGAAGACATTAAGCAAATTGTTAAAACAACGAGCTTATCATATTATTCCAAATGATCACAAATTAAGATAAGAATACATAACTAAAATGTTACTACTAGGTTTGTTAATAGCATATAATAATTTGATGGATATTGGTATTATTAATTAGTAAGTGTATATAAAGTTTCTTTGTTTAGCCGTTCATTGGTATAGAAAATCTAATCTTTTTGGCATATAACTTTTAGTGTGGACTCATTTTGTGTTTTTACCACAGTTTAATATTGAACCTTGCACATTACAAAAGAAGGGGGGGTTGATAATTGTGAAATTCTTTCATTTTGTGAAGTGGAGGGATTAATTTTGATAAGTAAATGCGAAAATATCTTTCGCATTTCAATGTTAGTATTTTTCTAACGGAATCTTTAAGTTCCGCATAGAAGTTTATTAAAACTGCGTATACAAAGAGCGGCATGCATGTTTTTCCTCCAGGTCTTTTTTAGTTTCCCTCATTGTTACACGAATGCGGATTAAATCCTGCATTTTGCTGTATGGTATAATTTTTTTTTTTTTTTGGGAAAGTTTAATCGAATCTGTGGGTGATGGAATACAAAACTGTGAATTACAAGGTGTCTGAATATTTTTTTTATTCTACACTCTATTTTTATTTAGAATAGCTAAACCTGCATCTGTTTCTATAAGACTATGTTGGTTTACATACAATAGATAGAAGATATATATTGTTGATTTTACTCTATTGAAAGAGGGGAACATTCTTAAGACTAGAGATATCATATATAACATAATAATTCACATAGAACACAACTACAAGACTATTATTTTTAGTTAGCTATTCAATTTCATATTCTTTGAAACCCTTTGCATTGAACAAATACTAAAAGAACCAAACAAGTTTTTTTTTTGTTTCAAAAAGCTAATTACATTTTACATTATCTGAATTTTTATTAATAAGAAAAAAAGAGCTTAAAGCAACCAGACTGTCGGTCATCCAATGTGTAGATTTTTAATATTTAAAGGAAAAGAGCCCATCAAATTGTCACATCTTTTGACTAGGCCAGCACACTCCATTATAAACCAATCGTTTGATTCTAGACTTCGGTTGGATCGCCGGAGGCCAATGAACGGTGATGGGTTTGGTGTTGCATACTACCCAACTGATCAAGAGTTGTTTCCTGATGGACCATGCTTATTTAAGGCTATTACACCAGCATGGAATAATCAAAATTTGGAAACATTGGCAGAGAAGACTAAGTCATCTTTAGTCTTTGCTCATGTTCGGGCTTCCACATATGGTGTCTTAGCTGAGACTAATTGTCATCCATTTACATATCATAATATTTGCTTCATGCATAATGGTGGAATTGCAAGTTTTGACAAAATCAAGAGGAAATTAATAAACCATATAGATGATACATATTTAAATGTGTTGCAGGGAAGCACAGATTCAGAGTGTGCATTTGCATTATTTTTAGATACTTTGCATAAAATGGGTTATGATCCATCTCTCAAGAGTGGAGATTTTGGGCATGAGGCGTTACGAGAGGCTCTTTTGAAGACAATCAAATATATTAAAGATTGGACTAAAGCAGTAACTACAGAGCCATCTCTATTAAATTTTGCTGTCACAGATGGATCGTCTGTGGTTGTATCGAGGTACATTACATCTAAGACAGATGAAGCGGCTTCTTTGCATTTTTCAAGTGGTTCCAGATTTGTGGAAACTAGTCCGGGTGAATATAGAATGGAAAGACTAGACCGTAAACAAGATGTTGTAATGGTGGCATCCGAACCTTTAACGTTCGAAAGAGGTGACTGGACAGCAGTTCCTACTAATAGTGTTTTAACAATAAAGAAACAAACCATATTATTGCATCCGATTATAGATGAATATTATCAAGAGGACCCATTGTATTTAAGAAATTCTGCGTTGGCAGAGGACAAGGGGTTAATGGGTACTGTGCCTTTGGCTAAATCTGTTGAGAAGAATGTTCCACCTTTGGAAAGAGAAGGTCGTACAAGGCAGTCAATTGCAACAGTAGCAACTCATTGGATATGAGGGGAAAGAATACTAAAAAAGAAGAAAAGATATGTATTAACACGAGAGAAAGCACACACATCTTTTCCTTAACTTGTATTTTTATTTTAATGGCATCTGCATTTTACCCTAAAGAGATTTAAATTGACAGGTATTGTCGATGACTTATCTTTTAATTTGGTACGACCATTGTTTAACTCTACATGTAACAAGTCAACCATCTATCTCATTACTGTTCAATGCTTTTCAATATGGCTTACTGGTGTATTATGCGGCTCTGATGTTAAAAATTTTGAATATATATATATATATATATACATATATATATGTATGTATGTATTTTTGTATTTATGTACCTACATAGAAAAGTAGAGCATGTATCAACCATTCATAAATCTGTGGACGAATTAGATTTTTAAACACTAATTTTAGATCCAAAGTTGAGGTTTAATCGAATTCGCTAATCTTTTGGTTTTTTTTTTTGTATTTTTTAGCCCCTTGGTAAATGTCTATTATCGAATCACTACAAACGATCACGAGTTTGCGTTATTTTCATCCCTACCATCAATAGGTTAAAGTATGGTAACAAAAAGAAAAAAAAAATAAAAAAAGCAAGAAGAGCCAGTTGTCCTCAAGTGGAAAGGATCAATTATGACGATATTTCAGTGTTTTATAGAGTAGTCCCACATAATTAACACAATAGGAGACTCTCATGAGATCAGCCATGACTGTCCTCTTCTGAAAGTAATAGTGAACTATTTTTGATGATATAAGTTTACTTTTCTTAACTTGGCCGTTTAATATGGAGAATTTTTATTTTGATTACAGTCACATTACCCAATATAGAACATGTAATACACCGCGGTTTCCTATTTGGGACATATCCTTTTTGTCTCCTTTGTTTATTTTTATCTTTATGGAAAAATATCAATTGGAAAATACGACTTTGAAATTTCTAAAGAAAACAGAAAAAAGAAAAAAAAAAAAGAAAGTAAACAAAAAAAAAATTTTTCCAGTAAACAAAGACGGGAAGAAGACATTTATCAATTCATTTAAATACAGTTGAATTTAATTCCCTCCTTCAAAAGTGTTTTCTCTGAACAAACTTTTAAAGTTGTGGACGATAGCCTTTCTCTGTTTAGGTTTGTTGCTGTGGGGGAGCCTGTAGATCTCTCTTTTCTTCTGTCTTTCTATACCTCCTCTACTTTTCTTGTTTTTTATGAGCTTTTTCACTTTCTTATTTAATACAAAGCTTTCCTAAAGGTGTCAAGAGCATTTTGAACTACTTTACGTTTTTCCGTCTTCCTAAGTAAGCAACTTTCTCTTTTTATTTATCCTTTTTTTCAAATATAGCTTCGGTGCACTATAACCATTTTTTCAGGACATACTTCAATATTGTCTTTGTTTAGTTCTAATTTAAGAATCTAACAAGTTCAGAAAGAATACTCCATAAACACATTAGCACTAATTAGGCTAGCGAACGTTTTATTTCCCTGTTTTTTTTTCTATATACACACAACTTTTAATTAAGATACTACTTAATCTCTAACTTTTTTGTTTGTGTTTCATTTTAATTTTTTGGCTATATTATTATTGTATCACACGTATACGAAGCGTAATATATAAGGCAACAAAAAGGAAAAAATGAAGTTCTCTACTATTGCTGCTGCTGGTTTAGTTGCCACCTCTGCTATGGTTTCTGCTAAACCACATGAATTTACCACCACTTTGACTTTTACTGGTCCAAGTACTACTATTGTTACCACTTCTACCCACACTACTCACAAGTATGGTAGATTTAACAAGACTTCTAAGTCTCACAAGCCAAAGGAAACCGGTACTCACAGATATGGTAGATTTAACAAGACCTCCAAATCTCATAAGCCAAAGGAGACTGGTACTCACAGATATGGTAGATTTAACAAGACCTCCAAATCTCATAAGCCAAAGGAAACCGGTACTCACAGATACGGTAGATTTAACAAGACCTCCAAGTCTCACAAGCCAAAGGAAACCGGTACTCACAGATATGGTAGATTTAACAAGACCTCCAAATCTCATAAGCCAAAGGAGACTGGTACTCACAGATATGGTAGATTTAACAAGACCAAGCACCATTCTAAGACACCAAATGTCAAATTGGTTCAACCAAATGCTGGTTCTCCAATGACTCACGGTGACTCCGTGAAATTATTAGGTCTAACTGCTGGTAGTGCCATGGTTGCTGGTGCTTTCCTTTTGTTATGAACGTGAAGTTCTTCGTATACTTTTTTTTTTGCTTTAAAAGTAAAGATAAGATGAACCTTATATGGGGGAGTTAACTCTTTAACTTATGCTATTCTAATACATCCCTAATATTTCCTTTCCTTTATTTTTTTTAATTGCTACTTTAATAATAAGTTGGTTTTGGTTATTACTGAGATGATAAAAATACGAAATCTTTTTTTTTTCGTATGATTTTTATTTGTATATTGTTAAATTTACTATTATAAAGTGTGTGTTCTTATGAATATTTTTTACAGTACATTTGGTATTATAATCTTGATTCCCTTTTTAGTGTTGAACTTAGAATGGTTCTAGTAATGTGTTTATGTGTGTTTATTCAAAATTGAAATGTTGTGTTGTCAACAAAGTATTGTGAATTTAGATATATCTATGTGTGGTGTTATTTTTGGTTTTTTTTTCTTTTGTGTGTATGAAGGAAGGCCAGGGATTTAATATCTTATAGATATCTATTTTGCAAGACTCTTAATGCTGTGTAATACAGGCTGGTAATGTGTCGGGTCATAATATGAATTGTGTGTGTGTTGATATATGACTTTGTATTAGATTTTACTAGCCAATATACACAGTATTTGTGAGGTATTATAAACTTTATACGTAATTGTATATAGTCTTTCTTTTTTTCTAATTTAATATATAAAGTATTAATGTGTGTTAGTTTTAATTTTTTTATAATATTATACATTTGTAACAGGTCTATATGAGTTTCTTAATTAAATCAGTAAGCGGGAAAATGTGTTTATAGTTAACGTTGTAACGTTATCCAACTTTTTTAGTGTAATAAAATGCATTCCAGTGGCTCTTAGTATTAATTTTATCGTAGGCAGTGATCTTTAGGAAAAGAAACATTTTATTTTTGAAATTTTTTAAAGGAGTAAAAAGAAACGAAAAGAAAGGAAAAAAAATTACTGAAAATTTCATAAAAAATTAATGGAAAAAAAAAAATAAAATAAAACAGAGTGATGAAGATGGAAGTTGAAGAAAGTGATAAGAAATTAGTATTCTGTAAAACTAACAGTTGGAGTAGGAGATATTGTATATCACGATAATATTGGCAATTAACTTCGTTTCATAGAAACTTTTTATTTCTTTTTTTTTCATATTTGTACAATCCTATTAACTAAAACGCTACCAATAGTTCTTGTCGAGTTATAGGCATCACACATCTTCCACGCATACATAATTTTCCTATTCATTTTATTTAGATAGACAATGAACGGTGACGGAGAATCTAGCACAAATAAGTTCGTTCCAGAATATAGACGTACTAACTTCAAAAATAAAGGTAGATTTACTGCTGATGAGTTACGTCGTAGAAGAGATACACAACAAGTCGAATTAAGAAAGGCTAAAAGAGATGAAGCTTTAGCCAAGAGAAGAAACTTCAATACTGCTGCTAGTGGTATAGATTCTGAAGATGAAGACGAATCTGCCCAAAGTGCTGATCAGCAATTTTATAATGAATTACAAAAGGATTTACCCACTATGATTCAACAAATTCATTCCTCAGATTTTCAAGAACAGTTGGCAGCCACTGTAAGGTTCAGACAAATTTTATCTAGAGAACACCGTCCTCCAATTGATGTTGTTATTCAATCTGGTGTAGTTCCAACTTTAGTCAGCTTCATGAACGAAAATCAGCCTGAAATGTTACAGCTAGAAGCTGCTTGGGCCTTGACTAATATTGCATCGGGTACTTCTGATCAAACTAGGGTTGTAGTAGAAGCCGGTGCTGTTCCACTATTCATTCAATTATTATATAATCAATCTGTTGAGGTTCAAGAACAAGCTATTTGGGCTTTGGGTAATGTTGCTGGTGACTCTACTGATTATAGAGATTATGTTTTACAGTGTGGTGCTATGGAACCAATCCTAGGCTTATTTGCATCTCCAAAGGTTACTTTAATTAGAACTGCTACATGGACTCTATCTAATCTATGTAGAGGTAAGAAACCACAACCAGACTGGTCTATTGTTTCTACTGCGTTACCAACTTTAGCTAAATTAATTTATTCTTTAGATAATGAAACCTTAGTAGATGCATGTTGGGCTATCTCCTACTTGTCGGACGGTCCAGCTGATGCAATTCAAGCTGTTATTGATGTTAGAATTCCAAAGAGATTGGTAGAATTATTAGATCATTCATCCACATTGGTTCAGACCCCAGCATTGAGAGCTGTAGGGAATATTGTTACTGGGAATGATTTACAAACCCAAGTCGTTATCAACTGCGGTGTGCTTCCTGCCTTAAGAAATTTATTAAGTTCTCCAAAGGAATCTATTCAGAAGGAGGCTTGTTGGACTGTGTCCAATATTACTGCTGGTAACACTGAACAAATTCAGGCTGTGATTGATGCAAATATTGTGCCATCTTTAGTTAAGTTGTTGAAGATGGCAGACTATAAGACTAAGAAGGAGGCATGCTGGGCTATCTCAAATGCCTCTTCTGGTGGGTTACAAAAACCAGACATTATCAGATATTTAGTTTCTCAAGATTGTATAAAACCATTATGTGATCTATTAGAGATTGCCGATAATAAGATTATAGAAGTTACTTTGGATGCTTTAGAAAATATCTTAAAAGTTGGTGAAAGTGATAAAGAAGCCCGTGGTTTAAGTGTCAATGAAAATGCAGATATTATTGAAAGAGCAGGTGGTATGGAAAAGATTTTCAATTGTCAACAAAATCAAAACGATAAGATTTATGAAAAAGCTTACAACATTATTGAAACATATTTTGGTGAGGAAGATGATGCTATTGATGAAAGTATGGCACCTGAAACCTCTGGAGCCACATTTGGTTTTGGTTCCAATGCTAATCAACAATTCAATTTCAATTAAAGTTGTTTCATTAATAAGTTAAGTTAGTTAGGTTTTATCTAATTATAATATTCTCTGATTATTTAATATAATAGGATTCATAAGAAAGGCTATTCTAATCGATGAATTTTCAACATTTCTTTTGTTTCTCACTCAAGAGTAAAGGAACTATCACAATATTGAATAGTTTATAAATGTACAATGTCATTATTGTATGTAGATTGTGCAAACAGCTAATATGCATACAAATATAAATATATCTATATGTATATATACTAAATAGAATTAAGTAACGAAATAAAAAATGTACCATAATGAGTATTTAACGTTATAGAATCATGCGTATAGTAAAAGTTTTAATATGGAGCTTTGCTAATACTTAATTTTTATCTTTCTTATAGAGCAGTTAGAATAAATGTGATAGTCAGATTTTACTATTGAAAAATCGAACTGGTTTGAACTTATCAACACTTTTTTTTGAAACACGAAAAATGAAATAAGTTTATAATAGTTAAAAATTGTAACTTTTAGATCTGGCAGGTAGTTAGAGACGAAGAACAAGCAAGCAATAAACAAGTATTATCAATTGAATAATTATTTTTTAGATTGTCAGGCTTATTCCAATTTCATGAAATTTATGAAATATTTGTAAGTGTAGGATTTTGTCCCCTTTGTAACAGAGTTTGTTTCTAAATTTCTACTTTTTTTTTGGTTTTGATTGTGATTTGTTTTCATTTTGATGGAATCATCCTTGAAGTTCAGAAATAATTCCTATCAGAGCAATAATTCGTCTTCTCAGACAAGTTCTAAAATATCTAATTTGATAAGCAATGTTAATACAGATCCCACAATTACATCAAATAGTTCCACTACAGTGGTCATGGAGAAGGATTTAAATAAAAACACAAGTAAGGATAAAAGTAGTGGTGAATTTGATAATGATATAACAATTAAACCAAGGTATTTAAATTTTGGAGATACTATTCAACACAATCCTCTATTAGAAGTTCAGAAACAAAGAGAGATAGATTCAGATAACGATATTTCGCCAGTATTTGAATCACCAGATACTTTGAAAAGAAATCTTTTAAATCATGATAGCGTACCAGGTTATATTGGCGGAAATAAAAATATAAATAGTACAAAAATCTATAATGATATTAATGCCTCAACAAAATTCAAACAAAAACGGAGCATTAGTGAATTGAGAAAACAGCTAGGAACACCTGTACCTCTTCCTTATTTAAATAAAGATGGAAGTAAGGCTATTACTAAGGCATCAAACACTATACTGAATACACGTCCATCCGTTAAATATGTAGCTCCAATTAGAAAGCAAGCCATTTTATCTGAAAAGTCTCATCATGGCTTAGATAGAAAATCGTCTCCTAAGCTTTTGACTCTAGATAGATTAGAAGAAAAACAGCATATTGTAACAAATAGGTGGAGAGATCTTTTAATAAGGGATAAAGCTAAAGTAGAAGATAGATTAAAACAACTGAAGCTTAGGGAACGAGAGAATATAAATAAAAATGACTCCATCCAATCTCCTAAAAAAATACAACATTCTATTTTTGTCAATAAGGATGATATGCCATCAAGATTGAATGAGCCTTCTAATGATATCTCAACAATTGAAACAAAGGTGACAAGGGAAGATCAAAAAGACCGTCACGGAGAAGTGGGTCACTTAGTAAATGGGTCAGATATTAATGAAATATCAATATTAAAATTACAAGAAGAAATACAAAAAAATGCTAATAAACTAGACTTAATAATTTTAATGTTAAAAGGGTACGAAGAAAAGGATGTTACATCAATGAATCAACCATTACCTAAATGGAATAAATTTATTACATTTAGATTCTCAAAATGTAATCTTTTGTGGACAATTTGTATTATTATTTTACTTCTATGTCAAATATATGTGCTGAAGTATTTGTAATTATGGATAATTTTATGTATATATATTGAATATTATTGAATATATATACATGTATGTATGTATGTGTGTATGTATGTAAATAGATAGAGACATACTTTTTATTATGTAATATGTATGGTCTATGTACGTGTGTGTGCTGTAAGAATAAGTTTGACTTAATAGATAGATGAACTTGTACTTTTTATTTTTTTTTTGGGTTTGAAAAGTAACATTTATTTGTTAGGTATCCTGATAAGACGATTACAGTTTCAGAACATTGCCTAATATTATACTGGAAGTTCCGTGAACTAGCCATTTAAGAAACTTAAGGGTGTAAAAATAAAAATTAGTGTTAGTTACTTGATCTCAATGTATGAATGTTTACAATTTTAATTTTAAGGTTGTCCACTCTACCAAGTCAACATTGTATGGATATAATGTTTCTGAGGTTTGGAGAAGGGAAGAAGTGCAAAGAGTAAATTTACAGACTATTTATCCAGATTATAAATGGCCAAAGTTAGCTCAATCACTGTACAGAGATCATGAAGATTTAATAAATAAGCCCGTGGCAATCCAAGATATGAAATGGTCTCATGATGGAACTTCAATCATCACAATAAGCAATGATACTGGGATAAGACAATATTTGATACCAGAAGAAAACACAGATGATTCAATAGGAAATGAGAACAGATCAGATCTTAGTTTGTTGACTCCATTTACAAGAGGATTCAAAAATAAATCTATTGTTTGTAGTGAGATACATCCATTAAATTCTATGTATGATAAGGATTACAATTTTGTTTTATTAAGTTCAAGAGATATGCCAATTCAAATGTATGATTTGAATATACAGGATGAGGAAGAAGAGTATGAAAATATAAGTTTGTTATCTAAGAGACATTCAAATGTCAGATATAGCTATAATATAGTGAATCCAATGAATGAAAAATTTGAGTCCCCATTTTCTATTAAGATATATCCACATCAATACGACAGATTTTATACAGGTGGGCTTAATAATATAATCAAAATATATGATTTTAATAGAAGTTTGCCGATCTGCGAGTATTCAGTAAGTAGAAGAAATAGTAATAGATCGATAATATCATGTTTTGAAGAGAGGTCGAATAACTATATGATAGATAATAAAGTTGTATTATGGGCAAGTTATAAGAATGAATTTGGCCGATTAGATACCAGATGTGCAAAAGGATATTCGAAAAATATATATGAAGCTAAGTACCGGCTACCACAAAACTTAGGAAATGGAATATATCAAATGATTCGTAGTGATAATGGTCATTATTTGTATATTTTTTTGAGGAAAAGTGATAAAATTCAAATATTTGATATGAGAAATATGGAAAGTAAGTCTATTAATGAATTGAAATTACCCTTTAAAATTGGATATCAGAAGATACTAGCTTCGATGGTGGAAGGCCAAGGGTTGATGTTAGGCTCTAGTCAAAATATATTATTAGTATGGGATAAAGCATTGGTTGAGTCGGGTGGTATAACCAATAGGGAACAAGTGAAAGACAACTATGGTTTTCATGCAATATCAATTGACAATCTACACAGTTCGACAAATGGAGCCAGAATAAATATTATAACACAGAACCCAAACTGGATCAATTCAGATAATGGTTGTATTGCCATTTCGAGTAGTTTTGATAGAAATTGCACCATTGATGCAACAGCCACTACGAAACTACAATCTTCATTATACGTCCTGGGACTAAATTAAGAAGCTCAATCACGCTCCATTGCAGTTGTAATAGCAGTGCTGGGGGTATATTATTGTTTATTATATTTACATGTTGCACAAGCTTCTCCATATTCGCCTTGCGGATTCAGTAAACAAGGAAAATTGAACCCCCGCGGAAAATGCAAATCAACAAGGAATTTTCGAATTTTTTATTTTATTTTATTTTCTTTTTCCAAACGCATAAAAAAGAAAAGAGAAGAAACTTTCTGCAGGAATTTTCCTAAAATGGAAAAATAATAACAAACACAAAAATGATGACAAGAAAATTCGAAGGCACAAAGAAAAAAGAAAAGAAAAGAAAAGAAACCACAAAATTTTCTAAATAAGAAAAGTTAAAAAAAAAAATTTTTTTCTTAAGAAAAAGGAAAAAAAGAAAAAAAAAATTGAAGAGATGATCGAACGAAAAACCCAGTAAAATAGAGTTGAAGAACTACGAATGTGACACGGAATTCAGAGATATAGCCAATTAATAGTACATCGTAAGTAGTTTCATTGAGTAAGAGTTTGTGCTTAGTATATATAGTTTTTCAATATATAATTTATAATACAGTAAATAAATAAGAATTAAGTAAAGCTACCAAAAGTATCAATCATATCATTCGAATAGGAAAGCAAAAAAAAATATAAAGATCTTTTTTTTCTTTTTTTCTTTTTTCTTTTCTATTCACTTTTCTAGAATGACAACTAATGATAATATTAAGCCGTTAGTCGATAGGATATTGATGAACCCGTTACAATTTATTCAAGTAGCAAATGATACTGATACAAATAAAGGAAGTGGTGTAAGTTCTGAAACTATTAAGAATACTTCATATATAGTAATCGGTAAAGGGAAGTCTAACGGGATCGAAAATAATAACGTGGATCAAAAAGCCGATAATATTAAGGTCCATTCAGAAAATAATGTTGTCAAAGAATCTGAAAAGATTGTAAAACCTAAATCTATGGCAGAGGCATTAGCTATGTATAATAAATCAGATAAAAAGACTAATAAGAAAAGAGCAGGAAAGAAATTGTCTTTGACTCAAGATGATTATGACAATAATTTAGATGATAACAATGATAACGCGGGGAATAATGTCCAGAATTGTGAACCTGATTCTAATAACTTCAGTGAAGTTGTCATTAAAAAAGACGCAAATCAGTTAAATATGGAAAAGAATAATGAGGATAAAGAAATAGAAGAAAGCGATGAGGATGATATGGATTATCAAGATGAGGAAACAGATTCCGATGATTTTTCAGATTCGGATTCTATGTCATCAAATGATTCAATCGATAAGCCTATGTCCCACACACAACACAATAATATGATGGAAGAAGATGTTGGGGAAGATGTAGGAGAAGCACTTGAAATAATTAGAAAGGAAACCACAGTGGGGAAAGGTGTAAATAGTAATATTAGTGAAGATGATGAAGACAGTAATGGAAATGATAGTGATGATAGCAATAATGAAGAAGTAGAAGAGGAGAAACAGGAGGACAAGAACGAGAAAATAAATAGAAATGATAAAGTATTGGAGTCTGAAAGAATTGGTTTTTTGGAAGAATCCATTGTCTATGAAATTGAAAAAGAAAAGAGAAAAGAGAATAACCCATGTGACGCTGCTATACAGAAATATAATGAAAATATTACTTTCGAGAATATGAAACAGGATGATGAAGATTTAAAACATAAATTGCCATTTAATAAAAGAGAGGAGGTGGCTAAATCAAATGCTGAATTGGAAGGTTTTTACCAATTTAATGAGAATATTGCTGATGAAGGTTCTATATTGCCATCTAAAATAATCAAAAATTGGGGTGCTGAAATGTCTGCCTTAAAACCCCGCGGATTACTGAATCATGGAGTAACATGTTATACAAATGCTGCAGTTCAGGCTATGTTACATATCCCTTCTGTTCAGCATTATTTATGGGATGTATTACGTGGGAAGTATGTCGACATCATTAAACCCACTTCAGTTACAATGACCTTGGCTGAGACAAGTAAAAAAATGTGGTTTCCTAATGACAAATTGAAGAAAAAATTGTCTTCATACATTAATCCAAATAAATTGATTAATAGATTAGAGGATATCAATTGTATGATGAGTGAATGGCAACAAGAAGATTCTCATGAATATTTCATGTCTCTGATGTCAAGATTACAGGAAGATTCGGTTCCTAAGGGCCATAAAATGACAGAATCTGTTGTTTATGATATTTTTGGAGGTTTGCTAAAGCAATTAGTTACATGTAAGTCTTGTGGTGGTATATCTAAGACTGAACAGCCATTTTATGATCTTTCATTACATTTGAAGGGGAAAAAGAGTGGTATAAATGAAAATACATCATCAAACACTTCTATAAATGATGATTCCATAGTTTCTCTAGTAGATAGTAAGACGAATTTAGTAAATGATAAATCTAATGATATAAAAGATGAAAATGTTTCTGGTTCAATTTCAGGTAATGATAAGGACATAGACATTAGAAAACATACAGATAATACTAATCAATCGCAACCAAGCATAAGTAGAAAGTTTTCTATTGAAAAATCAATTAGAGATTTTTTTAGTCCAGAGTTGATCAAAGTCGATAATGAACAAAAGGGATATGTTTGTGAAAAGTGTCATAGAACTACAAATGCTGTTAAACGTAACTCTATTCTTCGGGCACCAGAAACTTTATTAGTGCATTTGAAAAAGTTCAGATTTAATGGTACATCATCATCTAAGATGAAACAGGCAGTTTCGTATCCAATGTTTTTAGATTTAACAGAATATTGTGACAAAGAATCTATTCCTGCTGGTAAAAAGCAATTGCCTCTCAAATATCAATTAATAAGTGTCGTAGTACATGAAGGTCGTTCCTTGTCGTCTGGTCATTATATTACTCACTGTAAGCAACCAGATGGTTCATGGGCCACATATGACGATGAATACATTAACAAAATCACTGAAAGAGATGTTTTGAGAGAGCCAAATGCATACTACTTGATTTATACCAGATTAACGCCCAAGAGTATAAAATTAAAAGATACCTTACCAAAAGAGAAAATTGCTGGTTTACCGTACATTAAAAGTAAAAATAATAAGAATGGCAATACTGATAAATTCAGAGGTCAAAATAATAACAAAAATTCTACTAATATGAATTCAAACATATTGTCCTTAGCTAATAATAACAAAGGCCGTAAGAAGTGGAAGAAAAATAAAAAACGTAAGTTAAACAAATAAGCATACTTATTTTGTTTATTGTTTCTTTTAAATAAATAATATAGATATAAGCATCACATACGCATTTAGATATATATATATATATATAATAGAAATATCATACATTAAATATATAGTTAAGAGAATAGACAAATCACAAAGTAACAAAAAAGGATCTTGAATTCGTGGATAACTTAAATCTTACATAGCTGGATTATTTACAGATTTGAATATTTATATTTGATCAGAGTGAATAAGTATAATTTCTAAATACCATTTTAAGAGAAGCTACAAATAGTATCTTTTTTCCTTTTTATGGTACTACTTTAATTCCCATGCTCTTGGCCACACCAATAATTGATTTAACAATACCTTCCATCCTAAGAAGAGCATGTCTCTCATCAGTTTTTTTAATTAACGCAATTTCATAAACATGCTTTAATGATAATTCACCTATTGTACCCTCCTTTTTGTTTATATTCGGTTGATTGGCACCTTTTTCTTTGCCTAATGCTCTTAATAGAAGAAACCCAGTTGGCGGTGATTTTAATTCAAAAGTGTATGTTCTATCTGGCTTTACTGTAATTAATACAGGTATTGGGATACCTGGTTTATACATGGCTGTTTTGGCGTTGAATTCTTTACAAAAATCAATGGCTTTGATACCTTTGGAACCTAATGCAGGGCCCACAGGAGGAGTTGGGGCGGCCTGCCCTGCAGCAACAATTAATTTGATAAGAGAATTTTTGGCCTGTTGTGACATTATGAGTTCTAATGCAGTATTACTAGTTAGTGGAATGTCACCTGAGCTTGTTATTTGACTGCTATAATGCAAAACCTCAAAAAAAAATACTCATCTTTTCTTTTGAAAACTAAATAGTTATCATGTCATTTGAATTTTTTCTTTTTTAGATTTTTCAAAATCTTCTTTTTCCTTATTTAAGTTGGTATAGAAAAATTATGTATGTATATATATGTATAAATAAAGGATGAAAAAAATGTTGCAGGGACGATAGAAATATTTCAATGTATTAATGGAGAATTTTTATGGAAGAGATGGGAATGTAGGAACCTTTACTTATAATGTTACAGTCTATTCTCTATCGTCCTAGCAGCAGCAATAAAGGCAATAGTAACAATGCATAAGAACAGGAGTAAATAAGTAGGGAAAGAATGTGTGATACGACAAAAAGTGTCTGAAAGTAAAACAAAATCTATTGTTGAAGTTATGATGAGAGTATTTACTTATTTAATATCAGGTATGTTCACTATCGTAGCTCTATATTTAATTAAGAAAATAAGTAGTCAGTAAACAATTATTCTTCTGAATCTGCTTGCTCATTGTGTCTTTGTTTCTCTTTCTTTTTCTTTTCTAAGCCAGCTATATGGGCTTCACTTTGATCTACCTGCGTATGTGTATGATCTTCAGCAGAGACAACTTTGAAATCAAACCTGTCTTCTACAACATGACACATTTCAATACTCTTAATCCATGGATCATCCATGATTTCTTCTATGTTACTTCTACAAGCTGGCGCCAAATCTACCATCCTACCAATAATATGTTGAGCTTCTTCAGGTAAGGAATGAAGCAACCTTTGTGGACCAATATTAGGATTGCTTGGGTCTGCTGCATTATGTGCAGAATGTGTTTGTGCACCATTGTTACCAGTAGTACTGTAGCCCTCATAACTTGAATGATCTAAAGTGTCATACGATGGAGGTTCCGGAGTTCTTATCATTAAAGCACTCAATGAATCACAATTTCTGCCGGAACAGAATAATTTAAATGAATTGTCTCTTAATTTAGGAATTTTCCATGGGAATTTCTTTAGAATCATACAACAAAATATAATTGCTGCGGACCATATGTCAACAGGACGTGGATCATATTTAGCAAAGACACAGACCTCTGGTGCTAAATATGGGTCACTCCCTACAATCCCACTTGCTTCTACTAGGGTTTTAGAGAAAGGATATGAAAATACTACAGCAGCACCAAAATCAATTAGTTTAATAATACCTTTACTGTTAATAACGCAATTATCCAATTTCAAATCACGGTGTGCTAAACCAATACTATGTAAGTACTGTACTCCAGTTAAGATTTGCTTAAAACAACAGCAAATTTCTTCATATGACATTTTATTACTCATGACAATCGCAAATAAATCATATTCACAATATTCCATGACTTGTAAAATTCGATTGTTTTCATAAACAATTTCAATGGTTTCAATGATATTTGGATGATGTAAAGTGGTACCAATACAATACTCAGATGTTATTTTTTTAACGTAATCACGTTTAGATTCATTCTCTAATTTATTTCTAAATTCTTTCACTGCAAAGATTCTATTATCTGATACTCTTTTTACAAGTTTTACAGAACCGCCTGCACCTGCACCTAAATCTTCCCCAGTACTAATATACCTTTTAGAGAATGGTAAACTTGTATCATGTGTGGTAGAATAAATAGTATCATTAGAATAACTGGAGCCAAATGATCCAGGTGTAAAATTTATTGAAGAGGTATTATTATTACTATTATGTATAATACCAGTATTCACATTCATATGATTATTTGTGGGATTTAGATGAGAGGTTGATGTTGGAGGACTATTCATTGAAGTAGAGTTATTTTTTTTAAAAAAGCCGCGAAAGTTTGCCATTGAGGAAGAACGATGTGATTTAACCGTACTTTGATTTGGAATGTTGGTATTATAAGTATTATTATGATTATTTAGAATATTTTCATGAATAGAATTTGGAGACCCATATAAATTTTCTGTATATGATGAATTTGCCGGTTGTCTTGATGTCGAATAAATATTACTATGTTTAGCACGGGATGGTTTAGGTATAGCTGTTGCATTGGTTGTAGCTGTAGTGGCAACATTGTTTGGATTTGTCGTAGCTATGTTTGTAGTAGCGTTTTTAGTGGATACATTTATAGATGCAGTAGAGGTAGATGATGAAGATGATGAATAGTTTGACGCTGATGTTTGTAAAACATGTGTTTGAGATAGATGACTAGTTGAATGAGTAGTATGGTTATGGTTATGATTGTTTTTAGAAGAGAAAAATAAATTACCTAAGGATGAAGAAAAGGAACTTGAACGGGAAACAGTACCAGGATTATTATGATGATGATTGTTATTATAACTACTATCATAGCTTTGAGTGTTAGTATTGTTATTATTATCCATTACTGCTCTTTGAAATTTTTGTTTTGATATAATAAATCTTGGTTCAACAGTATCTACTTTTGGTGAAGTTATAATATTTGAATCAATGGCAGAAACATTATTGGGCAAATTGGCAGCAAATGATTCTAAAAAAGACGAAGTATATGAAGATGCATTACTATTTGTGCCATTAGAATGTGTGTCTTTATTAGAATTAGGTACAGAATATGGAATACTTGAAGATAGTGAAGGGATGGGTCTTGACTGGTTCAAGTTACTACATGAATTTTTAAAACTGTTTCTTCTAAGAGAAGAACTTGTGTTATAAGAATTATCAATGAAGGAACCAAATCTATCTTTTAAGGAGCTATTAGTACCAACAAAGGATGCAGTATGGGCAAAATTTGCAGTTAAAAAACTTTGAGAAATCTGAGGATCATTTCTGGAATGTTTTAAAATACTCGGATGGTGGTGTAAATTATTTATTAGATGACTATTAGGTTTAACCTCATGGTCCATTGTAGGTTCATTGGAAAAAGAGGGCTTACCTAGCGTCTTTGTGGTAATAACAGTTGAATCCATATCTCTATTAAACTCGCCAATACTCAATCTTTGTAAGTCACTGTTGATGTCATTGTGTGAGTCTTTACTCTTGTCTTCCTGTTCATTTTCTAAGACTAATTGGCTCACCATAGTAACACTAGTTGTAGGAACATTTGTTTTTCTGATACCATGTGAAATATCTAAAGTTCTTGAAGTAGTATGTAAGATTGGGTCATCCTTAGATACATATTTATAACCAGTTTTTAAATTATTGTTGCTGTTATTATCATTATTATTATCCGTGGAGACTATATTTGATGGCTCACCTTGTTTCTCCTTGAGTAATCTAGTTAAAGAAGACATAGCTGTCTGAATGGATAGCTAAATGATATGGAGGAGTTAAGTTTTGAAAGATAAATATGTATATTCAAAATTAACAATTGTAAAGACTTTGTTTTAAATGAGAGCAGAAAATAATTTTATAGATTCTTTTTTCCTGTCCTTGTTTCTCTTTTTTATCAAAGTAATGTTAGCTCAAGTGATTATTAGTCAACACTTTTTTTGGCATTTAATTTTCTTCCCTTATCGGATTGAGCAAAAAATTCAAAAGGGAAAAAAAAAAGAACAAGTGAATAATAAACAGAGTAAGGGAATGATAAAATGAATTGAGACGAAATGTGAAACAATTAGGAATATATTGCAGAGATTATTCACAATCAAAAGATAGTTTGTCAAGTGAAGATAATACTATATATGTAGGTATGATTGTATGTATTATCAACAATGACAATTGGCATGTTTAAATTAATATTTGTAGATAAGATAATAATAAAATAAGAGAATATTAGATAAAAATAATGACTATGAGAATAATATGGGTAACACGCAATTCGAGGTCCTAACATTTATATATTCAAGTTGGTGTGTTAGACAAAATATAAGTGTAACTGTACCATACACAAGTCCTAGCATATACATATGTCGAAATATATATATAGATATAGATATAGATGTACATATATACATATATAAATTTTTATGTCCGATTATTTGGCTCCTAGTACTTATATTTGTTATAATTAGTTCAGAAGATTGAGATTGATACTCTAATAGTGTTTTGTCAGTCTTCCTTCATTTAGATTTTAATTTTGTATCCTTCACTTCCACTATAATTTCCTTATCTTATCTTATCTTATCTTATTGAATTTTTTTATTTTTTTATTTTTTTTTCTTTTTCAATCTTCCATTTCTTTCGTTTTGTTGACGTAGCATATGAAAATATGACATAATATGATAATCCAAATGACAAATAAAAAAAAATTAAATAATACATAACTATCTTATTCGACTCTATATTTATATATGTATGTATATGTATTTCATAATATACTCTATTTGCTGTGTTGATTTAATAGTTGTTGGTGATCTTCGTACAATTTCTCATGAAGTTGTCTTAATTCAACATATGCATCAGTCAAGGTCTTAATTTGTTCTTTTAATTGCGAGACTTGGTCAGTACTTGTCTCCTTGTTTTTACCAACATCAGTATTTATAGTCATACTAGTATTATTATTATTACCATTTGAAGTAGCAAAAATTGTTTCTTGTTCAGATAATTTAGTCATATATCCCCTCAAATCAGATAATGGGTTGATAATGTAGTCTTGTCTTTCATTTATTTCTTCTCCAATTTGATACCATACATCATGGTAATCATCTAACTGGCTCTTGTCGTATATAGATCTTTGTAAATTTGGAATCTTCTGAATTGAGTTACTATTATTGTGATGATGACCATTATTAGTATTATTACCGTTGCTATTATTTGTAGAACCTGCAATATCCAATTTATCTCTAGAATCTGTAGTATAGCAATATGTTATTATATTAGTGACGTTTCCATGTGCATCGTGTGATGTACTCAGAGGTTGTAAAGTCTTCAAAATTTGTCTAGAATGTATCTCTGTAACAAATACTTTACCTAATTTATCGCCCACCAACAATATGGTACCATCCATATTGATCTTTAGAGCACTAACGTCACAATCCAATAATTTGGTTATAACCAATTGACCCATATTATATAAAGAATTTTTTTCATCTTCGATTTTATGGGTATCAGTTACCGTTGTTGAATCAGTTAATGAATATAGTTTCCCTTTATTACAAGCTTGTAAAAGATTTATTATTTGATTCCTATTTAATTGGTAGTATAACGACAATGCAAAACAACCCACTTTTGTACCAAAATAACATACTCTGTCTGCTGGATCTAGTGAAAGGGTCTCTATACCATGGGAAAATGTGAAAGTGGCCAGCAAAGTAGGGGTTATCATCTGATCATATGCAGAAGTCATAGAAATGGAAGATCCATTGTTTATTTTTTTACCTATCCCAATACTTGGGTCTACTTCTAAACTATAGCATCTAATTGTACCATCTTCTGAGGTAGTAAATAATTTGATACCAGATGTAATCAAATTCTCACCCGTTGCATTACTCACTTGGAAATCAGTGACAGGCAAAGTATGATCATGAATAATTGATATTGGTTTTGCATCTTCCATTGTAATTAAATCACTAGTTTGCCATATTATAACACGAGAATCTTTACCACTAGTAATGACATATTTCCCATTTAGAATTGATTGGATCTTGGTGATTCTTTGATAATGGGCCATAGGTTTCACATTTAATAGTAACCCAGAATTTAATTCCCAGATATATAATCTCCCAGATTCGGTAGATGCTAGTAATAAATATGGCAAATTGAAGGGTGCTAACTTATGACTTACGTTTCCGGAAGAACCATGTAAAGTGTTGTTATCGACTACTTCTAAACAATTAACTGCCTCAGGGATAGGTAATCTTTGTTCCACGGATTCTCTCTTATGGCCACCAGATATATTATAAACATTAATTAATGCCTTTTTGGCCTGTGCAATAAACAAATAACGAGTCCCCACAATAACACCACTATGTTTGGAATTCACACTACATTGTCTTAAACTGTTTTGTTCAAAAGAGTGAATATTGGCAATAGAACCTGTTGTATGTGTAGTGAAGATTAATTGCTCGTCCATACCTTGTTTCAATTTTTATTTTTTTTTTTAACTATATTGTCAAGTTTCCTTTTCAAGATAGTAATTTGTTCGATACCAAATATATTTAAAAAAGCTGATATTTTTTTTTTGATATCAGACTTCTCGCTGCGTTTTCTTTTCCTCAGTCTTGTAAACTACAAGCAATCATATTAGCATCAGTTATTTCAGAGAATATTATATGGAATCTTCTTCAATATAAGTTATTCATCTTTTTTTGTTTTTTTCGTTTCGGCCTCATCGCAAATCTCAAAAATCTGTTAAAAAGGAAAATTTTTTTCTTTCTTTTTTTTTTCCGTTCTCCAAAAAATAAGTATGAAATCATTTTTCACAACCCAAAAGGAGCCAGAAAATTGGCAATGATTCTTTATCTACTTTGAAAGTTCGTACCTAATGATAGAAGACTAATGGTTTTTTTCTTTTGCCTTTATTTTCAATTGCACATTTCTCGTATTTGGGTCTTTCTGAAAGCTTTCTTAAAATATATAGTAAAATTTAAAAAAACATTGTGAGAACAATTTAAAAATAAACTATATTACTTCGAGAAAGAAAGAAAAATAGTAAGAAAATGGTTGTATTTAATGGTGTATTTGTTGTACTGGAAATTCAAAAGTTTTTTTGGATTCTAGATGTGGTGATTTTATGTCTTTATCATATTTTTCTATGTTTGGTTTGTATTTAAATGATAGTGGATCTTGTTTTGAAGTAAACGAAGATATCAAATCATAAACATTGAAAAATCTAACCTTGTGATTTTGAGTCTTTTAATACTCTATATGATTTTTTGGAGTTTCTTTTTTAATTTAGAAGTCAAAACTCGGAAGTTTAATGCCATTTTTTTGAGTAAACATTGATATTAACTAAATTCAGATTTTCCTTTTTAGCCATTTAAGTATTGTGGGTCCCATAATATATATATATTATGGGCCAATGAAAAATGGGATTATCTAGTAGTGAATGCCTTTTTATTTCTTTTTATACATACATAAGATTATGAAGTTGATATTTATAAGAAGGAAAAAAAAACCAATGAAAATTAATTTATAACAATTCACAATACTTTTGCTTAGCTTTTATTATATTTACCCAAAATTTTGTCAATTGAAGAGAAAAAATAATTCCTCTCTATTTATTCTTTATAAATCTCTTGTAAGTTGTAATCTACCCACACTTGGAGCATTAAAGAAAGCTAAAATGTTATTGTTTATGCCTTAGAGAGAAGAACTTGTACCGCATACTTACTCAATAAGACAATAAATTACAAAAAATTTGAAAATCAGACATCGTGATGATAAATTAGTGAGAGATATGTTATTTTTAGAATAAGCGTAAAATATCACAAACTACAATGAAGGTTGGAAAAAAGAACAAGAAAATATATGAAGAAGATGGTTATTTCTAATTTAATGAAAATATAAGGGATAATAGTAATTCAGTACACCCAAATTGTGATAATGTTAATGATGAAAAAATAAATAATATGATCACACTTTTAAATGAATATATAGTTTTATTTCAATAACTTAGTAAATATGGCAACATCTACAAAGTATTGCTTTGGGAAATACAAGAGAAGTAGTTTATTTAGAGAATTTTTTTAAACAAAAGAAAAACAAAACAGAAGGGTTATAGGTTGTTTTAAAGCTTTTCAAAATATGTGTAATAGATGATTACAGCATAAATATCCCTTTACATAATTTAACAACTATATTCTTTGTTTGAATTTGTTTTCAATACCGTATCCAATATAAAATTGTAAAAACTAGCATCTAATGCTATATTTATTATATTAAAATTATTATTAGTTTTATATGTTATTAGTTTGTAAAGCTTTCTTTGTAATAAAAAGTTGATCATTTGTATTAGAAAGTTCTTTGTAGTTTATTTGTTTGTTTGTTTGTTTAAATATTGCTTTCCCCATTAAATGATCTATCTCTTTTTAAAAAAAAATTAATTACAAAAAAATTGTTGCAATTTTCTGACACTTGTCATTTTCCAATTTGAATAAATTGAAAAATAAGATTGAAAAATGAGATTGGAAATGAATCAATAAAAGATTATGAATAGACACATCATGATATTCTAATGAAAATTTTGACTGATTTCAATTTCAACAAAACCTAATTGTTCATGAATAGAAGTATATCATATTCCTTCTCCTTACCTCTCTAACTGCTATAGTCAAAGTTATCATATTTGATATTAAATTTTACACCATTTATCTTTTAATAGAAATAGTTCATATACATTAGTTCTTTTATAAAATGCCATTAAATATTATTGGAACAGCTATACTTGAAGGTACAGATAAAATTCCATACTATAAAGAAATCAAATATATTACACCGTATGTTTTAGCGGTGGCTGGGATCAAATGGTGGTTTCGTGGTGTAACCAATACTTGGGAACGTAATTTACACGGTAAAGTTTACATTGTGACAGGGGCAACATCACAATGCATGGGGACTTCAGTCGTCTATGAAATGGCCCGTTTGGGTGCACAGTTGATAATTTTAACCCGTAAGCTAGATGAATGGTCTACAGAATGGATAGAAGATTTAAGGGAAAGAACAGGTAATGAATTGCTATATATGGAACAATGTGATTTAAGTGATTTATATGAGATAAGAAAGTTTGCTACTAAATGGTTGGATAATTCTCCACCAAGAAGATTAGACGGTGTTATCGTGATGTCCGGAGATATGGAACCATGGGGAATTCCAAGATATTCTTCACCTGTAAGAAAATCATCAATGGATGGATTAGAGTTGCAAATGGCTGTTAATAATGTTGGTATTTTCCATCTTTTAAATCTTTTACAACCAAGTTTTAAAGCACAACCACCAGATAGAGATGTACGGATTATTGTTACTACATGTTGGCTACAAGCCTTAGGGGATATTAATGTAGAAGATCCCTTATGGCAAAACGTTAAGTATAAAAGTGCTTTGAAATTTTTTGCAAGTAGTAAATTACAAATGAGTCTTAGCATGTTAGAATTACAAAGGAGATTATTACAAAGAAAGACAAAAGAGAAAGATGTGGAAGTATCAGGCAAAAATGTCAAGGTGATACTGGTTCAGCCGGGTACTATGAGATCACCCAGTCTCCGTCGTCTTATAAGTAATGGCTCTGTCTTATTACTAATTGGATTGTACTGTATTCTTCTTTATCCATTTCTTTGGTTGTTTATAAAAAGTGGTAATAGGGGTGCCCAAAGTATTCTTTATGCTTTGAATACACCAGAATTAGAGGCAAGCAATTTGAAGGACACAAAAGCCAAATATGTAACTGGTTGTAGTTTAGTCAATTTTGCAAGAAAGGAATTTTCTGATGATGAATTACAAAAGCAACTATTTGATAATACTGAAAGAGATATATACGCTCTTGAGAAGATCATGGCGATTAAAAGAAAACAAAAGAGTGCATCCAGATCCAATAAAATAAATAAGGAGGGAAAGAAATGAAATCTGCGAACAGTTATTGGATATCTTTTATATGCTACATTTTCTCTAAACTAACTTTTTTTTTTGGACCCTTTGATATCCATATGCACAAAAACATACATATACATATATATAGTATGACATATTTAGCATTACATAGCTCCTATAAATGTTATCCTAGGCTACCAGTCCTTTGTTATTCATAAAATCTCATTTAATATAAGAATAAAAATTATTCTTAAATGAATCTTTTTTTTTTTTTGTTAAAATGCATTACTTTTCCAAATCCATTAAATATTATTACATTATGACGCAAAATGATTTCTTCCCTCTTTTTTTAGCAGAGTTTGATTTGAAGGATAAAGTGATATTATTCTTTTTGTTTTTGCTTTTTAGAGCTTGATTAGTAGTGTCAGTGGTGCTTTTAGTCCGTTTGAAGTTGCTCTCTACAGCAGATGGTTTGATTGATGCACTTTGTTTTGTAGAAATATCAGAAGATGGTTGTGTTGGTCCTATCTCAATTTCAGACGTTGTCTTATTATGCATGATTTTCTCCTCTGATTGTTTGGCAGCTGTGTCGTTTACTTCTGCATTCATTTGTTTTCTATAGGTAGGGTCATATTCATAGACTAACTTCTGGACTGCGGTTTGGAAGATTTCCGCCACTCCTGTTTGATATTTTGCAGAACATTCGACATAACCTAACAAATTATGTTCATCTACGAAGTTATTAATTTGTTCTACGGGGACACAGTTTTCATCATCTATTTCTTCTCTTAAATCTGATTTTGTACCGATTAGCAAAATAGGGTATTTATTGAATTGTTTGAACAATGAATTATTCTTAATATTTGCATGTTGTCTTAGTTCTGGGAACCATTTATCATTTATGTTTTTAAAACTGGTAAACTCATTAACTGAAAAACATAAAAGAAAGATATCTGTTTGTGGATATGATAAAGGTCTTAATTTATCATATTCTTCCTGACCAGCGGTATCCCACAAATTTAATTTAAATAAATGTAGTTTATCTGTAGAAGATTTTTGCTCGTTAATAAAGGACGGCACTTCTTGACTTGTCCCATCTTTTAAATGTGTAAGCGTAGATGCGGGGTCTACAGATATAGTGACAGAATAATTATCGAAGACAGTAGGTACATATTCAGTAGGAAAAGTATTTGTGGTATATGAAATTAGTAATGAAGTTTTACCCACCGCACCATCTCCAAGGACAACACATTTAAGAGATCTCATGTTTCGATGTACTATATTGTTTGGTTCTTTAACTGATATATGTATATATAATGCCAATTAAAGGTAAGATACTAAATGGTTTTAACACAAGTGGGAAAATGAATGATGGGAGGGAAGAGTGACAAGGTTATTTGTTTTCTTAGATGATGTTAACAACAAGTATTGGCTTTTAATATAAGAGAGGGGGAATATGCATGTCCAGTATATTAATGCCTATGAAGGCAAGCATTGCTTACCATCATACAGTCAAGACTGTCTAAGTTGTTAAATTTATGATGGAGTGTGGTATTGCTAGATCGCTCGAAAAAAACAATAGTGAAGTAACATAATATCAATAAAAAAAGGCATACAGACATGCACAAAGCTCAGAATACTTGGTTATGAATCAAGAAACAAAATAAAAGCTATTTTTACTACCTTCTTGATGGAAAAATGGGATAATCCGGATCAAACAATGTTTTTTTTCCTCTCTCCTTGGTAATAATCATACTATTTTTTAAAAAAAAAAAATAAAAAAATAAAAAAATAAAAAAATAAAAAAGAAAAAGAATCAAAATCCAGTTATAATTGTGTACTATAACTAAGAAAAGATATTGTAGTTTCTCGTTTTTTTTTTTATTTTTATGTTCTTTTGTATTCTTAATTCGTTAAAAAAAAAATTCAGATCGGTAAATAGAATACCCTTATTATGATTGTGTGGGTTTCTATTATTTTGTCCCAGGAAATTACAGATCAGCTCCGGAAAAACTATTGTTGTAACAATAGGAGCTTACTATATATATTTTTTATTCTTGTGATTTGTCAATTTATTTACTTTTGGTTATAATTTTGTTTCGTGTGGGTTCAGATAAAAAAAAACTTTGTTCTAGGAATTTATAGGGATCTGAACTTAACATAGGGAAAAAAAGTTATCTATCCAGATATTTAATGCAAGGACTTCTATGCTATTGGAATTTTTCAGACTTATTCTAAAAAAAAAAAAAAATAAATAAATTATCAGGTCTTCAATAAGCAATACTTTATAAAAAATAAATAGTCATATATTTACTTCTCCTGAATAATACTTATATAGATAGTAAGTATAGACTATTCATAATCTTAAAAGTGAATGATTCCCTAGTATGTCTTTGCTAATTAGTTTCATCACTTTTATTGAGCCATTTTTATGGTATAAATGGCTATTCTTTATTTATTGTTGTATTTTTTACTTTTACTAATAATTTCTACCTATATGAATTTTTGCAACGGGTTTTAGAGTCCTGTATATAGAGGTATTCTTCAAAATTTACTTTTTGAGGATAATGTCTAACCCTATGTTGGACAAAAAACACTTGGTAAAGAATAAGAATGAAAAGGACAAGACAAGCCAGAACAAACAAAAAACAAAAAAAAGAGGAGAAAAAATGAATAATTTACATTCTGTAAGTCCAAATAAATGTCCGGAATTAAATAATCAATCCGTTTAATGGTGTATTGTTATTAATCTATTATTAATAACTTTTACTCCCTTTATTATTTTTTTTTCTTTATTATTGAGTAAAAACAAAATCTTTCAAAAGCCTCGTTTTCTGAATATCGTAAACTTTAATTCCGATTTTTTGTATTCGGAGTGTAAAATATTTCTTTTTTTTAAATGCCGAAATATTTTTTTAATTTGTCTTGAATATTTGCTGTAAAGTTTTAGTTTTTACGTTTTTTTTCTTTTTTTTTTTGAAAACCCTATCTCAGTACACAAGACTGTTTTAATGTCATTACATCCGGACATCCTGAATAATTTGTTTTTGTCAGAAGATATTTACTTCTTTTAAGAAATTTTCGTTCTTATTTCAAAATTTTTTTTTGTATTGAAAATTTCCAAAAAAAAAAAAAAAATAAGAAAACATTAAGGAAAATAGTCAGAAAGTGAGATAGAGGAAAAAATGTCGTTGCTCAGTAATCTTCACTTTGTAGGAAAAACAAACGTACAGTACAACGCATATTATCTTGTAATATCAAATGTTCGTTGATTTTCGCTCATAAAAAAAAAAAGGTTAAATTAATGATTATATATTTTAGATGTCGCCTAATTGCTAATGCTTTGGACATTTAATTCAAAGAAACTGGCAAAAATAGCAGATATAAGCGTTACAAGATGGTTGCTTTAATTTCTAAGAAGAGAAAGTTAGTCGCTGACGGTGTTTTCTACGCTGAATTAAACGAATTCTTCACTAGAGAATTAGCTGAAGAAGGTTACTCCGGTGTTGAAGTTAGAGTTACTCCAACCAAGACTGAAGTCATTATTAGAGCTACTAGAACTCAAGATGTCTTAGGTGAAAACGGTAGAAGAATTAACGAATTAACTCTTTTAGTTCAAAAGAGATTTAAGTATGCTCCAGGTGCTATTGTCTTATACGCTGAAAGAGTCCAAGACCGTGGTTTATCTGCTGTTGCTCAAGCTGAATCCATGAAATTCAAGTTATTAAACGGTTTAGCTATCAGAAGAGCTGCTTACGGTGTTGTTAGATACGTTATGGAATCTGGTGCTAAGGGTTGTGAAGTCGTCGTTTCTGGTAAGCTAAGAGCTGCTAGAGCTAAGGCTATGAAATTCTCAGATGGTTTCTTAATCCACTCTGGTCAACCAGTCAATGATTTCATTGACGTTGCTACTAGACACGTTTTAATGAGACAAGGTGTTCTAGGTATTAAGGTCAAGATTATGAGGGACCCAGCTACCAACAAGGCTGGTCCAAAGGCCTTACCAGATGCCGTCACCATTGTTGAACCAAAGGATGAAGAGCCAATTTTGGTTGCTTCTGTTAATGACTACAGACCAGCCGAAACTGCTGAAGAACCAGCTGTTGCTGAAGCCACTGCTTAAAATGTAACTACATATTATAACAGGTATTATTTGTTCTACATATAAATATTTATATATATATATAAGTACATGAATTATTATCCATATTAATATTTACTTTTGATATTACTATTCATGTCTATATAAATAGTGATTTCTTTATTTGTGAAGTAACTCACAGGAAGTAATAGAGAATATAAGTAATGTAATATATATTTGTTATTTACAGTCATAGAATGTGCTACTAAGAATACAGATTTGATAAAGGAATTCACCAACGGTAAGCTCCACCCATAACTCCTCTAATTGGTTCATTAGCTAATTGAACCCATGGTTTCTTCTTCCCTTGTTTTAATTGTTTTTCGTATTCTAATCTCTTTAAAGTGATTTGTTTACTCTTTAATATACATTTGACATGGATATATCTGTGTTTTATAATACCCATACGACCACGACCTTTGATGTCTATACGTTTCATCCAAGCACCATCACTTCCGGTCCATATTTCAGCAATATATAGGTCATTGGCATCCAAACCTAAAGTTTTGGCATCTTCAATGCCACGTTCAAGCAAATCACCAACTTCTTTTCCTAAAGCTTTCTTACTAAAATGACATTGCGTGATACCCTTCTTCAAATCCATACCTTGAAACATCCTTAAGAATTTTGTTGTTTTTTTCATAGTAGATTTAATTCTGTATGACTGTAAATAGATAGAAGGTTCTAGAGCCTCAATTTCTTCACGAGTCAAATGCAATTTGTATTTTTCATTAGTTTCAGGTAATTTAACAATAGTGTCTCTCCTATAGAACCCACCATTCTTACGACAATTTAATTCATAGATTTGTCTTTTTAAAGGAGATAGTAAAATATCCTTGGCAGGCCTTTCATAAGGTCTCTGAGATTTAATAAAATCTTGTAACTGTTTATCACGTTCAGGTGTTAAAGTCTTTTTTAATGTGTTTTCTGTTTCCTCGCCTTCGTCTTCCATAGACATTTCTAATCTATCACTAATATTGTCCAAAACTCTATCCCCAGTAGGTTTGTCCTTGTCAACGGTATTGGAAATAAGAGATCCGAATAAGGATCCTTCATTATTGATTCGAGCAGATGTCTGAAATAGTCTTGAAGTAACTACTTTTCTCGATATTTGATTTATGTATCTAGGGATCATCATGACTGTATAGTTATTCTACTAGTTCTGTTACAATTTGTCAGCATACTTGAATATGACATAAATAATGCTTTTTACTATACTAAATGTCCTTTAAACCATTTTATTCCATTTCTCTCCATTTATTTTTTGTTCTTTTGAATGAGGAAAAAAAAATGAAGAAGCATAAGGAGAAAATAGAAAATAAAGATGTACGTTCTAATTAAAATTTATTATACTGACAGAGGTTTCAAAAAAATAGAAAGAATATATATAGAGAAAACACAGAATCAGTGCAAAGCTTCTATAAAATAACATAATATATACAATCTATATAGGTGAGATGTTTGAATGTAATAAATAAACTACAACATTTCCCTCAAAAATCCTTGTTTATTATTGCTCATTGTTCCATATCTGTCTGGTGATGATGACGTTATAGAATAGCTGCCAACTGCAGAAGAATTGAATGAAGAATCAGTATCTGAAGAAACATAGGAGAATCTTAAATGATAATTATCGCTATCATTATTATTTGGTGTTAAAGGTACACTAAGAGTCCCTATGTTATTGAAGTCTTTATTGTTTGAATTTTTATTCTTTCTTGGCGCAGGCACTGGTGGTGTTCTATTGATATTATATCTCCTGTCAAACTCGAATTCATGTTTAAATGGATCACTAGATACATTGTTGGTGGAGTTATAATCTACTCTATATCCCCTTGAATGTGTGAAAGATTGCGATGAAGACACAGAATTATTAACCATACTCTCACTTTTTTGGCTATTACTTAAACTTAATTTATTCTTCCAATTCTTACAATATTTCTTACGTTTAAATACAACAAACCAGATAATTGTAGAACATAGGATGACACCAACTACAGCACCAACCACGCTTCCTGCAATAGTCCCATTATTTGTTCCTGCACTGTTGTTAGTATTATCATTGTTTTCAGTATCCGTTGAATCTAACCCTCCACCATTTATCCATTTATTATATACTTCCACTGGAGCTGTTATAACTGCAGTTGTGGATAAAGAATATTGAGAGGCAGTATCTGATGAAGATAATGTTAGTGTAATTGGTATATTTTTAGTGAATGACGTGGTTTTACCAGTAAAATAATACTCTTGCGTGTATATTATAGTGTTTTGGTATGATGATACAAATGAAGATGAAGTGGATAAGTTATAGGAGATAGAAGTAGATTTGGTGTCAGTAGTTGTAAGGGAAGATTTACTACTGAAAGAAATAGAAGATGATGTTTCTTTAATTGATTTTAGTGTTGGTGTCTTACCTAACGAATATGTAGCAGTCGTATTCTTAAAACTTTTAATTAAGGTTTTGTTGATAGATGTTGACTGTGATATATGTGAAGGGTAAGAAAAATATTGGCTTGTCATCGAGTGTTGAGTAAATGATGGTGTATAAGTGAGCAGGTCCTTCGGTGATGCAATAGTGGTGTTGGATTTGCTTGTGGAAGACGTTATGGAGTGAAAAGTTGTTGACTGAGAAGCTATTGAAACTTCGCTGAGTGGCCAAAGAGGATTTTGAAGAGGTGAGCTGAATCTTGATTGCTGTTGGGGTCTGGATGTAGTATCATAATGTGTCAGAAAAGATGATATTACAGTTTTTATGGAGACCGAGTTAGGAATATTTGTTGACTGATCTTGTGAATATATTGGAAATGTAGAGGAAGAAGTAGTAATAGGTATTATGCTGGATGAAGGCATTCCTAAGTTGATGGAATTATCAGAACTAATTGCAGAGACTAATGGGGAATGAGAAGTTGATATTTCAGAAGAACGCTTGCTTGTTGCTGTTGTTGGAAAAGAGTATCCTTGTTGGGAAAAGCTCGACTGTATGGATTGAACGCTTGAGATGATGGGTGAATATACTTCGCTAGAAATAGTAGAAGATATTACATCGATGTTAGAGACGAGGCTAGATTGTTGTGAGGTGAATGTGGAAATAGGATTGGGAGATATATAAGCATGTGAATTTACTAAGGTATCAAATAATGAACTTGTTTCACCAAAAATACTCGAACTTGGTAATAATGTTGTCGTTATATCATTTTGCAATACTGTTTTTGAATAAAGCAAAATATTAGAAGTAGTCGAGGAACTACCATATAATTTTATATTAGTATTTGAAGAAGAATATATAATAGGTGTAGAAATAGTGGTTTGATTATTGATATTATTTTCAATATTCATCGTCCATGAATTTAATAATTGATTGGTCACTTAAGGATATGCTAGATTAATAGTTCTTGTTTTTGTATATTTAATGTAAACTGTTTGATTAGAATAAATAAGGTAAAGATCACGCCCAGGTGTTCATATGGTCGAATTAAAAAAAAAGAAAAAGTAAGACAACAAAACTTAAGAAGTCATTTAATGCATTAAATAGCGTCAATAAAACAGAGCTAAATTGGTCAAGTTGCTTAAATGTTACCAAAAAGTAACAATTTCAAGATGGTTGTTGCATGGAACCAAAGACAAGTAAACAAGGTGGGGTGGTTTTTCATTTTGTAGATAGGATTTTTTTTTTTTTTGCTCTCTTTCTCTCATTCTTTTCTTTTGTTGCAGCAACTAAAAATAACTTTGATCTCTTTTTCTTTATGATTTCCATCTCCAAGATTCTGTTATTGTTTATTTTTTGTTTGTTTGTTTTCTTTTTTGTTATTGACATAAACAAAGACATGATGTTTCTATTTTAGGAAATGTGGTTGATTTATATTAAATAACAGGGCAGAAGACAATAGAAACAGCCTTGCAGGAGGTCCGTCAAATTTTTGCTCGACATTTTTTGGAAGAGAGTAAGTTGTATTGGAATGGTAAATACCATCGAAGATAAATGAAAAGAAGAATCATTGATATCTGGGAAACAATCTTTGATTCATTGTGAACTGGAATATAAGCATGTAAGGATTATCTCAAGTGATATACTAAAATATGGATATTAATTATATATGTAAACACTTACAAATTATATAATTGGTTGATTCTAACTAGTAAATAGATTAATCTTGGATATTCGTCTTGTTCTTCTTAACCTATTAGATAGATTATGAATATTAATGCTGATAATTATCTCTGGCACTATCTCTTAATAATCCAGGGTCTCGTAAGTAAACTTCTTAATAATTTGCCATCAATGTCCATCCGACGATCATATGTTCGTTCGAATACACTCACAATCTTGGGCCCAGAGTTTCGGTTGTTCCAAGTCCTTCGCCTCGACATTAGGCGTTACTTGCAGACTACGTAATTCAGGATTTCCGGTTAGGGTTCCTTACAGAACACAATTACATAAAAGTTATTTTCTTTAATATTTTGTATTTTTTTAGACATTTTCATTATTTTCTTAAAAAAAATATCTCTTCCTCATGATCACAAAGGATACAAAAACTGATTCTTCTCCAAGAAAAATAAACTTTTTTGTGAATCAATATCATTGAACATTGATGTAAAGAGTTTGTGTTTTTTATATACTTCAATAATATTAAACCATATATACAGATCTTAGATATTACTTTCTTATTGAAATATTTTATTCTAAATAGAAACAAATGTTTCTTCTAACAAAAATATTCAACAATTGTAAACTAACTCAATAGCGACCTTATAAGTGTTGTTGATCATAAAAAGTCCTTTATTTAACAGCAAAAAATAATAACAAATTTACATTCTAGAATATCCAAATGAGAATCAATAAAAAATTTTAGACTTTACTCTCACATAATAAAGACTTTCACATATACTTCAAATTGACAAAATTCCTATATTAATCAATACTATAGTTGTCATCTTTTTCACTTTTTTTTACTATGTTTTTTTCTATCTATTTTTTTTTAAAAACTGAATAATATACACAAGAAAGTAAATAAAATCCAAACACTATATATCATTCATTTTGTTAACAAAATTTGCCTTTTTACATAGTCCCAATGTTTACATTCTCTTCATCCTAACTATAAAAATTCAATCAAATTTAATTTTTTTACCTTGATGTGGTACTATTGCTGCCGACCCTCTTTGAGCACTAGCTAATGCAATACTACTCTTTATGCGGTTATTTGATGTATAACTGAAATTATTGTTTTTAGGTTTTTTGTATGATATTTTTTCTTGAAGGCCTTTTTGATTATCATCTTTTTTCTTTAAATAATCATTACTGGATGATAAATCAAATGAATCCTGTGTAGTACTCTTAACAGATTTATCTGATTTTCTTACCTGTCTCTTACTTCTATCTTCACCATATTCCATTCTAATTGGTCTCATAGCTATCTTTCTACATGATTTATCAGTTAAAGCTTTAGTTGCACCCTCGACATTTTTAAAATCAATAAAGGCAAAACCTTTACATTTACCAGAATCTTCAAATGTGGCCATACGAACTCTAACGATATCACCACAATGTTGAAAATGACTTCTTAACAAATCTTCTGTGGTAGAATAGGATAAATTACCAACAAAAAGGATTCTTGATGGTGGATTCTTAGATGAACTAATTAAATCATTTTTATCTGGCCTACCTTCATAATTTTCAGAATTCTTAATTAGTAAATTTCTACCATTTAACTGACTCTCTGATAATGCAATGCATGATTGCATTTGTTTTTCATTCTTAAAGTCAATATAGCAGAATCCTTTATTTTTAATTTGTTTCCCGTCATTTTTAGTCAATGGTAGTTTAATTCTAACAATATCCTTTTCGGATATACGACTTTCTTCAGCTTCTAATTCTGAAGTCTTACCGACAAGAAACCTAATGATTTCATCTTGAGTGGTATCAAAAGATAAATTACCAATCCAAACACCGTAGGTTTTAATTTTTTCTTTCTTTAACTTATCATCACTTGATCCTTCTGTATTTCCATCTCCCCTAACTTCACCACTATCATTACCATTTGTGGACTTATGTTCTGTTGGTAAAGTATCGGCTTTATATTTAGCATTCAACTCTTCTAATGTAATTTTACCTCTTCTTAGTAAACGCTTTTGTTTTTTAGATAAGGGAATTGAGCTCTGTAAATCTATTTCGATTTCATCCTCTGCCTTTCTTTTCTTTGTTGGATCACTTAATGCCTTTGCTATTTCATTCACTGTAGTTGTTTCTTTTTTATCAGTATCTGTCATTATATAATAGGAATAAATATTTAGACTTATTATTCAAATATATTATATTGGAGTTATTGATCTTATTATTATATATTTGGATAAATCAGGATCAATTTAAATTAGTTTTCCTTTTGTGTTATTATATAATGCTAGATATTCAATTTTTGTTTACCTCGGCTGTAAAGTAATCTCATCGAAAATTTTTTTATTATTATTTTTCGTTTGAAATAAAAAAAGACGGAAAAAAATATACAATTCTGAAACTACCACTTACACAATATATAAAGAAACACAGAGCAATGTCCAGTGAATAAAAGAAACATATTAAGATGCTGATGATTTAAAATAGGTACGTACCACGTATTTTGCACTTTAAAAAAATTAATAATACGACGTTCGAATTTACTACAATGAATATATTAAATACATACTAGATTTTAACTATTAGATCAACTAAATATACCCGTTATAAAGGGTTAATACATTACTAAATCCATTTTAGGATGTGATACCACAAAAGATACAGTTTTTTGAAAGGAAAAAAAATCATTTACAAGTTAACAAAAAAAAAATAAAACATACTTCGAATTAAAAAAACTTTTTTTTCAATTTTCTCAATATACCAGACTTTTTAGGTTTATCTGGAGCATTTACTGTTGGTTCTGATGATATACCAATAGACACTGTTTTATGAGTAGACAAATTTTTCTTAGATGATGACTCAACATTCTCTTTAATCTCATCTCCTGCTTGTTTTAAAAGTATTTCTTTATTATTAACTTCTTTGGCATCTTTATCATTCTCCTTATTTTCTATCATGTAAGACCCTTCTAATAAGCCCGTTCCCTGATTTGTGTAATTATTCCTACCAGAGGTAGAATTAACTTCTTGTGATTCCCTTTTAGGATTTTGCATAAATTCCTCTTTGAGAACTGATTTATCTAAAACACTAGTGTTACTAACACCATCATATCTATCATTCACGCTCTCCTCATTTAATCCGGATTTCTCAGTAATTTTATTATTGTTTTCTACCATATTCTCTTCTGTGTTATCGGTGTGTCCGTCTTTTAACACTACAAGAATCTCTTCTTTTTTCTCTGGTACCTCTTCCTTTATACTGGAACCACCTAATTCCATTTCTTTTTGTCTTTCTTCATCTTTGAAAAGTAAGGGTTCTTCTTGTACTCCTTTATTTTCTGTGATATTTTCTGCTATATCTTCTTTTGAATCACCATTGTTAGGCGCTACAATACTAAATGAACGACCTATCGTATCTGCATCATTAACATTTTCAATTTCATATAATCTTTCCTTTGGTTCTTCTAATTCATTAGAGACAGGGCCATTTCTTACTTCTTCCATAGATTTATAAGTAGCAATGATGTTATCATCCTGATCCAATTCGAAAATTTCTTGTGCTACAATTATTCGTTCGCCAGTTCTTTTATTTTTCTTTATTTTTCTTTTAATTTTAAATTTTCTTCTATTTTCAGTTGGAATATCATCAATATCGTTTAAATCTTTTGAATTTGTAATAACATCTCCAGGAACCACCTGCTCTCCCTTATGCTCATTATCAATAATATTACCAACTTGTTTTTCTTCTATGCTACTATAATTACCTTTTTCTTTTTCTTCTGTGCTATTATTATCATTATTGCCATCACCTTTAAATATAAATGCTTCAATTGGTTCGTTAGCAACGACCTCATTCCCTGTGTCAATACTGTGAACTAGAACAGGAATCGGCTCTCTATTTTCAACAATCGCTGTTTCCAGCGTTTTATTCTCTGTTGGGAATAATGTAACTCCTGCAAGTTGTTTGGCACTATTATCCTGTTTATCTATGTCCTTTTCTCTTCCATTTCCGTCAACTGATGCTTGGTTTGTTTCATTATTTAATGGGGATGACTCAACTTCTAGTTCGTTAACAATCTCTTCGTTAATTGCTTCGCATTCTGAATATTGATGTTTTTCTCTTTTAACCAACTCCAGTTCTTCTGCTTGTTTAATTAGATGGAAGCCAGTTATATAGTTATTTTGATTCCCATTTTTATCAGTATCGATAGGATACAAGGGATTACATTTCCAAGTATCAGTATCTTCAAAATAAAATTTGAAAATGAATTTTCCTTGATCATTAAAATTCTGGATGGGTAAAAGAGTCTCATATCTTTGTTCTTTGTAATTTGGTTTCAATAAGATAGATTTTGTCCAATTATCGAATTCACCAGTTATGTAAATATGTGCGTCAGAAAGAAAAACGTAACGGTCCTGTGCATCAAGTTGATGCATTGGCCAAGTAAAAGCAAATTGTTCAGTCATGATGAAGGGTTGGATGGTTAAAACCAAGGTTAATTTTCAATAAACAAGTTATCCCCCTTTTTAATTAATTAAGAATTCCTTAAAATAAACAAAACAAACAAACAAATAAATAAATAAACTAATAAATAAACCTTTGCCTATATATATATATACGTAAGTGTGAACACTAGATGATAATTCCGAGATATCCTATTTCTCTTTCGAGTGTATAATTCACGAAGAAGGCTATCTTTACGGCCAAAGCGAATCAAACTGAACCAAAACAAAAAAAAAAAAAGACAGGAGAAAAAAAAGGGGAAGGGAGAAGTAAATTGAAGTACTTTTGTCCCTCTTTTTATACCAACACACACACACACACATACATACATACATACATATGCATATATATGTATATGCATTTTCTTTTCATTATTCATTATATTTTTTTTTCTCTTTAAATCCCTTTTGTCCCTTGCAGTGCGAACAAACAAACAGAAAAAGAATAAAAGAAAAAAGAAAAAAAAAAGGACACGACGTCGTCTCACACGATCAAAAAGCCAGCCGCATAGTTGAGGGAAATTAATATGATAGCGCCTTGCGCCTTGCGTAACATTTCTCAATCCCAAATGCCTAAATAAGAAAGTTATTTCCTGGTATTATTGGTCTACGAGAGAATTTACTTTTATCAATTAACACTGGCACTATATACTTCATCAGTGTGTGTGAGAGAATGTTCCTCTTCTAAAAATACAAATTTCTGACGAATTGAACTGTTGGTAATAAAAAAAAAAAGGGTGATGCAATCTTTTGTTGTGAAGTTCCTTCTACTCTTTCCTAAAAGGGAAATGGACAGTTTTTCAAAAAAAATAAAAACAAAATAAATAAATAAGAAAAACCTAATAACCTCCTTTCGAACTTTATGTTTATTTACAACTGGTAAAGGCAAAGACGCCAATTTTAGCTGTTCTCCTTTTCTTTTATATAATATTTGAACTAGCAAACATTCAACATCTCTAATATATTGAGTAAAAAGAGTAAAAGATATTATACATGAAGTTGTACATACAAAATACAAGGTAGTTGTTTTAAATTTGTCTTTTTAGAATCATTTATCTAAAAATTCGAACACCAGAATTAGTACTTAAAATAAATAAATAAATATACTTTTTTACATGTTAATTATTGAATATTTTTTGTGTTACTTTAGATACTTGTCTATTTCTAGTGCGGAAAGCACACTATATAAGGTTTTTTTTCTTTTTTTTGTTTTCAAAATTCATTTAGCGGCAAAATTTTAATCATTAACTTTTTTCGGTAAAGAAAAAGAAAAAAAAGGTATAATAACAATGAAAATAAAAAAAAACAAAAAAAAACTAGTACTTTAGCCGCTGAGCTCCATTCTCACTGATTACACACAAAGTACAAATACGAATACAAACACACACACGCATATATATATATACTCCACCTTTATTTGTATCTGTTTAACTCTGTATCCATTATTCTTGTAAAGGTATATAAATGTTCATGGGAACAGCTCCTTCCCCTTCAAATAGTTAAATATCAGAAGAAAAGATATATATATATATATGTAAATCGCATTATTTTGTCTCTATCAGTTATTTTTTTCACATATAGATTTGTACTCATACCCTTTCTCTCTCTTTATTTCCATTTTGACTTCATATTCACATTCTTTTGCTTTGTATTTATATAAATTTTTGTTTTTATTTTTTTTTATTTATCATTTATAAAAGCAAAAAAAAAAAAATAAATCAAAGGGTACGAGGAAAAAAAAAAAGAAAAAGATCAAAGAAGACTCTTTTTTAAGTCACTTCCTAAAAATTAGCAAAAAAAAAAAAGAGATAATACTTACTTACCTATTTACATCTAGTCATATAGCTATATATTAAGTACTTGTTAAACACGGAACAATACAACCGGTATCCATATTTATTACAGAATATAGTTAATCAAACAAACAAACAAACAAACTAACTTAACTATAAATTGCTTTACTCACACTATTATTAACAGGGATCAATTAGTAAGATTATTACCTTTTTTTCTCTTTCTTAAAGGTATCTCTCATTTTGTTCAAACTAATAAAATAAATATATAACATGAACCACAAAACACAGGATGAAATCATCACTAATACTACTTCTACTATCACAGCCGCAACCAATAAAACTCACAACGCAATAAAAATATCCGGTGACAGAACTGTTATTGAATGGTTGATCAATGGAAAGTGTATTAGAACATTTGTTTTCTCCAACAATAATATGGATAAACAAATACAAATAGATGAATATAATGATTTTGTTTTACTCAATAACAATAGTAATTATATTATTAAAGCTGGATTTATAAACTTTTATGATAACCAAGAATGTTTTGTAATAATATTATCCCACTTTGCTTATATATACTATCTTTCAAAAAGTTTATCTTCACACTATGTTTTCAACAAAAATAATCTTTCTTCAACATTCAGTTCAATAGATATTAAACCATCTTTTACTACAATAAATGACAGTCTGATAGTAAATTTTCCATTTCCAATAGATAAAGCGTTTTGGTATTCAAATGGCATAGTATTACAAACATTAAATAACAACAGCTTACAATATAAATGGATAACATTTACCGATCCTATGTCTCCTTTTGGTAACATTCAAATAGATTCTAATTTTATTACTGAAAATTTGTTTAATACTTATTATTATAAAAACATTTCACCTGCTGATATGTTACATTTCCCTAAAAATGATGATTCAAATATCACCGTTATCTTCGATAAAATATCTTCTCAACTTTTATTTTTCTATACAAAAATACGAAGTAGTCCAAATAATACAAGTAGTATACATTCCACTGGTACAACTACTATAAACCAATCAAATAAAAGAAAAATGTCTTTCTTAAAGAAAAGGGATGATCTATTAACAGATTATCATAAAAATTCTTCCAATTTTAACCAAAATAGTGCACCAGCAAACAACACTGTCAATAAAAGGAATATATCAGCAACTATTGATAGAATGAGTAGTGGGATCAATATGACTCTTTCTCATACTACAGACATCTCCAAAAATATGACTAATAGTAGTATACACACAGATAATGGTTTACCAGAGGAACTTATCGGTGATATTCCAAACCAATCCCATTTTCAAACAAAAGATGTCACTTTGGTTCAAATATCAACCATAGTGATACCCTCCATTATCAATCCAAGTTCTATGTCATTAAAATGTCTTTCTTTGTTTTTTGATAAAAAAGAAATGATTTTAGTATTTGACCCTATGACTAAATATATAAAAATATGGTGTATTAATATGATACCAGATGTTATAAACTCCATTCAATTTAAAAAGTATGGTAATTCACCACCCAATTTAATAACCTTAGAAGATTTACCGGTGGATGATATATTTACCAAAAACACAATTTCAAATATTATACCATTAGATATCGACATGAATGAAAATATAAAATATTCTGATATTATACATTCTACTTTAATTATAAAATTTGATAATAAAAGTTTTATATTTTATAATCCATTCCTAAAGGTATATTCTCCATTATTTTCAAAAATGAATACACATGTTAGCATCATTACTATGTTCCCTCAATCATCTTTCATGAAATCAATATTCAATGCATTAAGTCTCATTATAGAACAATCAATGTACTACAAATTATTTTATTTATGGCAATATTTATATTTTAATCAAGATAATAACACAGATAATATAGCCGAAGAATTTCAAATATTTACAGATATTTTACTGGCGTTGATATATGCAAAAACTGATGATTCAAAAATTCCAACCTATATTACATCTTTATCACTTTTTCAAGCATTAGTGCGTAATCACGATATTCAGGTAATTTTACCAAAAATAATAATGGGATTACATTTAATTAGTGAAGAACTATATTTAAATATTCTTAATAAAAATAAAAAGATAAAATTAGATGAATTCTTATCTAATGCTATTCAATTAATGAATTGGCCACGTCCCTGGAAACTCTACTATAAAAGTAAAGGCCACACGGATATTTTTTTACATATTAAGAATAAATTTCCGTTTGCTCATCCTCTAGACGAACCACCGTCTATTATGAAATCGTTATATAGCATAATTGAAAATAGTCAAATACCAGTGACTCCTTTTATAAGCTTTGCCAGATTAATAGAAACAAACGACTCTACCATTGACCTTCTCATAACTCCCTGTTGTTTCAAACTATTGAGCTTATACGAGTTTATTCATTCCTCTAAATTTAATACTATATATAATAATGAACAACAGCCTTCCATTATGACTATATTAAAAAAATTAAATATAGATAAATTAGAAATTGAATTGTACCCATTAGCCATACACAACTTGATAAAGAAATTACTTAATGAATATGAAAAAAATATTACTTCTCCTAATATGGGAATTGATTTATCTTTAATCGAAAGACCTGATATTGCAAGATCAATTAGTTTAGTGGGTAGAAAAAGATACCCAAGAGAAACGAGACTAGATTCAAACAAACAACATGGTGTAATTAATACTTCTATAAATAGATATGGATCAAGCATCCATTCATCAAAAATATTTATATCAGCAGCACACAACCCCCCCAAGTTACAACCAACATCCTATAGCATTTAAACATAATACTGATTTCACAAATATTACTAAACCCGATGATATTTATAACGTAGTTTCAAAAATAGTAAAGAGAACACTATCATCTGAAAAGCTAAGAAAAACAAAAACAATCTCTCAAACTTTTGCAAGAAATAATAATAAGATTTTCTTCATAAATGACAAGAGGTTTGAAAATGTAGAAACAATGCTAAACGGTTCCAATATTCACAAATTTAATTTGATCACCACTGAGAGTGACTATAGTAAAATATTACTAAAAAAAAAAATTATACACCCGATTTGTTGCCTTACGAACTTTAATATCTGGCCTAGGCAGAGCTGCATTATACTATGCCACGGAACAACCTCTGACATCTCAAAGATGTATTATACCAGAACTGAATCTCACAACAGTTTTTCCTGACAATACTAAAATGGTAGCACAGGTTGAGACCCTCGTCGCAGGTTCAAACAACAATGAAATGTCTGACGAAGAATTGGAAATTCCAAAAATTAGTTCAGAATTAGCTCAATGGGGCAACTTTCATAATGGCGTGTCTTATGCATTAATGATTTCACCAAAAACAAAGGGTATAAATGGTAGTTGGATTACCTTGAATAAACCTCGAAATCAACTGAATGCAACACATGGTGGCTTTTTATTGGGGATGGGCTTGAATGGCCACTTAAAAAGTCTTGAAGAATGGCATGTGTATAATTATTTAAGTCCTAAGGAAACTTTCACTAGTATTGGTCTATTATTGGGAATGAGTGCAAGCTGCAAAGGTACCAAAAATTTCAAATTAATAAAAGTACTTGCAGTGCACATTGTTGCACTTCTTCCAAAAGGCTCAAATGATTTAAACATTAATTTAAAAGTTCAAAATGCAGGTTTAGTTGGTATGGGATTATTGTATTTAGGACACAAGGATAAAAAAATAAATCAATCTTTGATAGGTGAATTAAAATCATTTGTTAAGGTTGGTGAAGAATTTATTGCTGATGAAAGCTATAGAATAGCCGTAGGGATAGCTCTGGGGTTGAATAATTTAAATACACATAATATTGATCCTTTCGATCAGTATGATTCAGATATAGATTCAAACAATAGCAGTCTGCATGATATATTGTCTTTTAATGATGAGCCTTATAAATCAACGAAAACTAATGAATATCCATATACCAAAACTGCCTTTTTTAGTTCTACCAATAGATCTCATACCAGGGTTAATGATATTAATCCAAATAGTGCATTAGTCCAAGATCTACTAAAACTACTAAACCAACATTATGACAAAGAGCCCTTTTGGTTACCAGGAAATTCACAAATTGGTGCGGTAATTGCATTAATATGTATGTTTTTAAGGACCGAAAATGTTGACATCTCTTCCCAAATAAAATTACCTATTCCTACAAGAGATTCTACGATATATTGTAAACCTGAACTTTACATGTACAGAGAATTCTGCTATTTCATGATAAATTGGAGTACTATTTACGACAGTATCGAGTTCATCATGCATGATATCGATCTTTCTGTAACTCACAATTATGACTTACCTCCTATTTATTACATAATGGCAGGTAGAGTATTAGCTATTGGAATCAAATATGCATCTACCGGTGAAATTAAAGTGAGAAATTGTTTATTATCTTTGCTTGATCGTTACCTTCCATTTTATCAATATGTCAACACGAATATGCCAGTTGTTACGATATCAAAAATTTACGCAATAACAACACTTATTAATGCATTATTAATTTCTGTAAGTTTGGTGATGTGTTCTACTGGAGATTTGATGGTGTTTCGAAGGGTAAAGTATTTACATGAAGTTATTACAGGGAGGTATTCTGATATATATTCTTTAAATAAAGATAAAAAGACAAAATCCACATCAAAAAATGAAACAAGACAAGAAAACTCAAACCAATCTAATAATAATGCTGATGTTCCTGAATATGAAACGACAGGTATTGCTAATGATATTGATCCAATTAATAATCAATCAAGAAATTCTGATAAAGAAAAAGATCTTGACAGTCACTATGGCAAATATATGGTTACTTCTATGTGTCTAGGATTTTTATTCCTTGGATGTGGACAATATGCTTTGAATACATCTACTATAGAATCCACTGTCTATATTATTATATCAATCTTACCTTTTTTGAAAAGTCCATACCACTTACAAGAACTTAAATACTTTTGGAGTATGTCTGTTGAACCAAGATGTCTTTTTGTAAAAGATGTGGTTACCGAAAAGGTAATAGATGGAGCATCCGTAGAGATTACCATGAAGAAAAGTTACTCAACTGATACAATGGTTAAAAAATCATACACACCTTATTTATTACCTGATATAAGAAATATCAAAAAATTGAAAATTGAAATGAACCATTATTATCCTTTAGAGTTTGTATTTAACAAAGAGTTTCCTGCAGTAGAGTTTTTTCAAAATAATACAACTATATATATGCAACCAAAAGGGGAAAATAACGAAAAGATTTGCACACCTGAAGATATAAAATTTGGATTAAAAAGGAGATTAAACGATGCTGATGAAGGAAAAAATAAGAAGTTTAATTTTGCATCCACTCTTTATAAGACATTAGATATTTCAGACTTGACATTGCTAGAGTTGCAATCATTTCTGAATAACAATGATATTACTGATTCAGAATCTGACAAGTACGATATTGAAATGTTATGTACTGATAAATTAAGTGGGAACATTACCAACTATCAATTACAGTTATGGAAGACAACACAGAATAATTTATAGGATTGCATGGCAAATTTATATTCATAAAATATGTGTCTTCAATAGGATAAACTCAGTAGAATATTTATTTACATTTAATAATACTTTTATATGAGTATGTATAAGCGTTAATATTACTATTCATCATAATAACAACAATACGAAAGAAAAAAAGAATGATCAAAAATGCAGTAATTATAATTAACAGTACCAACGAAGTTCAATTACCATCTAACGACCCCAGCTTTTCACCCATCTTGATTTTATCCCCAACATTGACATTAAACTTGAAATTCTTCGGTGCTTCAAAGCATAAAACAACTGTGCTTCCTAATTCAAATCCACCCATTTCTTCACCTTTCGTTAGTGGCATACCACCAAGAATTTTACTGGCGTTTAAATATGTAGCTTCATAGCAAATGTGTGGATCTACATTTTTTGCCCTCTTTATATTAGTGACCAATTCTTGATCAAATGATAGTTTAATAGACCCTACATTTGTAGCACCTACTGGAGTCATACTGAAAAACCCATGCTTCCAGTAACCCAGTAATGCAACTCTTTCATTTAAAACAAACAGGTTTGGGAAATTGCGTTGGAAATAAGGTGAAACGGAGAATAGTTCACCTGGGAAATATCTTCTTTTTTTACAAACCCAATCAACTGGGGAATGATAATGATGATAATCACCAGGAGATAAATATATTACAGCAAAATAAAGGTCAGTATTTTTTGGTTCAACGTTTGAATAGAGATTGTAATACGGGATATTTGTAGACAATTCATTAATCAACTTCAAAGTTTTTGAACTTGAAGTATCGAATTTTGCTAAAGATTTATCACCTTCAGCTTTAATACTAGTAACATTTCCATCTTCTTTAAGGGAAATATTATATATATCTGTTCTACTCCCATTATTTGATCCATTAATAAATAAATCGAATTTATTCTTCTTTGCAAATTTTTCATGTTCAGTTTCATTCGCCAGAAGATTTAAACTTGATTCACTTCTAACCATTGATGGATGTTCATGAGTACCTAGAAATTCTTTAATAGAATATGTTAAACCTTTAACTTGTTGGATTTCGCCTGTTTCAGAATCTATAACACCTGCCTGTAGCACTTGACCATCGCTTGGGGACACGATTACGTCCTCACCTGGTGCAATCGGTCTTGTTTCAGGTTTTATCCTTCTATAAAAAAATTCTCCCAAATTTGCATAGTGATAAAGATCAGGATCTTCTATCTCATCTAGATTAACATTGAACAAGAAAGTGTAAAATTTATAACCAATTGGTCTGAACCACATGGGCAGAGTGAGATTATTGAATTGTCCCCATAATCTAGACACAGCGTTCAACGGTAAAGTTGAATAACAAAAGAAAAGCCAATTGTTATTAAATATCTTAATATTTTTATTGCGACGGCTATTACTTGAGACAACATCCTTCTCCTCTGAATCCTGTATATCAATTGTTATGTTAAAGTTATGTCTGGATGTGTATATGATAGTACCTATGAATATAGTGACACCTGTGAGGACAGCCCACTTCAAAGAAATTTTTTTATCATTTTGGGTCACATGATTAACGATATTTCGAGCATGTCTAGTGCTAGAAGATCTTTTATTCGGTGCAGCTTTCAATTTTTGATATATAGCCATCTTGGAAGAAAATCTTCTTTTCCATAGGAAGGAAGTTGTATTACGTAATTGTCCTCTTGACGGGATACCTACCAGGGGCCGCATCTGCAACAGACGAGCTTTACTCTGAGATAAAACGGTGTTCATAAGTATCAGAAATAATTTACTACCACTACTTTAATAATAATAATAATAATAATAATAATAATAATAATAATAATAATAATAATAATGTCAATATACTTTAATTTGTATCTTTATCTTTATCTTTATTTTTAACCAACAGAAAGAGAAACAAAATAAACCACTATCAATTGAATTTATACTTCAACCTGGTGATTAGATCGGTAAATTGAATGTGAACTTCTTTTTACTCACTCTCTGTAAGCGCCTGATTGTATGTTTTATTTACTCATTTGCTCATCTATATTATTTATTATTTATACTATTACTATTATTAATTTTTTTTCCAAGTATAATAAATTTCCAGCTAACACAACCTTTTGAGTATTTCATTCGAAGGGCCAAATTGCCGTTCGAGCCGTTCTTGTAGGCAAAAATTAACAAAACAAAAAGAAAAAAAAGGAATAAAAGGAAAAAAACGTGTGTTCGATTTCGCCTCGCTGCTCTTTTGCCAAAAAATTTAGAAACTGTTTATGGATTAAAACAAAGACATTGAGAATTTTATTCATTACAAACAAGTGCTTTGCATACATTCTACGACTTTTTGTATCCTGAAACAACATTACATATACATATATATATACGTGTATGTGCGTACGTTTGTGTGTGCGTTTGTGTGCTTATTTGCTCATATACCAAATTATACATCAAACAGACGATTTATAAACATAATGACCCGGTTTGGTCTCACAATCAAATTTCATGTCAACAATCTTCTCATTCTTGTAAAACAACTGTCCCTCGATAACATCGCCTGGCTTAATTTTTCCTACTCCTGCAGGTGTACCCGTCAAAACAATATCATTAGGTTCCAATGACATTGTTTCACTAATAGTAGACACTATTTTCGCCATGGAATTCAACATTAAATTAGATGTCCCGTCTTGTCTCAACTCTCCATTAACAAAACATTTTAATCTAAAACTATCTTGGAAATCCTTACTATTCACATTAGGTAATCTATCTAATGAAACCATCTCACTCATAGGACAAAAAGTGTCATAACCTTTTGCTATCGACCATGGCAACCCTGATCTTTTTGCATCGGATTGAACATTCCTACCAGTCAAATCCAAGGCAAGTGCTACCCCTTGGATAGATTCCAAAAGATCTTTGGTAGAAAATCTCAATGGATTCACATTAGAAACACTGGCTTTCATAATTAATGCCAATTCAACTTCATGATGTACATCCACATTCTTTGGGATATAGATTGGTGACGGATTGGTACCATCTGCATTCAATCCATGGGATGTAGTATTACTAGTTCCTTGTTCTCTCTTTACCACATTTGCCTTGGTTGGTGTAATAATACTAGATGTAGGCTTTAAGAAGAAAAAAGGATTTTTGGGAATTGCATTATTTAATTCCTTAACGTGGTCTGCATAATTACGACCTATACAAGCAATTTTTCTTGCAGATTTTAGATATCGAAATGACATTTATATTATTGTTGTCGAGATCTCACGAAAACAAAATAGGTAAAAAAAAAAGATATTAATTTTACTGAAACTGATTCTAAAAAAAGGTGATATCCCCATCTTTGCGGTTAAATTGATCCTTTGTAAAACCCTCAAAAGCCATCTTACATTCTTTGTTTTTTATTTTTTTACTTATTCTTTTTCCTTTTCTTTTTTATATATTTAACGAATAAGCTCTAATAATATTTCATACACACATATATATATACGACAAAGTAAAATGAAGAAAAGAAATTACCTACAAATAATCACTTGCGTGTTGATTGTCTGGGTTTGTACATAGTAAATATTATATAAATCTCTACTTTATATATACACATATATAATCATTATTATTATTATCATCACCACTGTAAATAATTACATTTAGTCTCTTTATGTAAAAATATAACACTATTCGCCCAGAGTAACGAAGTTTTATTTATTTATTCATCCATATATTTATTCTATGTATTAAATGCATTCTTTTCCATATACACTACTATACCTGAGTGTTACTGTTATCATCATTATTATTTGGATTAGTTAATAGAGATATAGATGGATTTACAGGTTAAGAAGTCCTGTTTACAGATGAATCCTTTGAATCTACTGCTGCTGCAGACGAAGTGTTATTGTCTAACTTAAGCACACTAACTCCACCTCTTTTATAATATTCTATATTTTGAACTAGAGATTCAATCTCATTTAAATCATTTATAGCTTCAAGCACGTAATTTTGTTCCAAATGGAATCGTAATCTTGACAAGAGCGAAGTCGAATGTCTATATTCATTAAATGAACATAATGCATCTAGGATAGATCTCATATTATCATACTCTACTCGTAAATTTTTAAAATCTTTCTCAATCTTTTGAATATATTCTTTCTTCCGTTTTCTAAACTTAGAGGCTGCTAATCTATTTCTTTCTAAGAATTCCCTCCTTTTACGTTCTTTTTCGTCAAGATATTCTTGACTTGTTTGTCTGTTCTCATTAGATGTAGATTTTATACTCTCATTGTTTATTAATTTAACATTTTTAGATCTGTGTTCTGTAGAATCTTGATTTTCCTCAATGGTTGACGAATTTTTTCTCTTTCTTGATCTTGCTGTGGTTTTTTTAGATGTATCACTTGTACTACTGTCCCTTCTTTTCTTATCTGAATCATTACTATTCCTACTATCAGCATAATCACTTGTTTGTTCATTAATCAAACCGTTATTATTATATTTATTGTTTCTGCCATTGTGGTTATCATTTTTATTAGTTAACGTCGTGGTCCCATCCAAAGATGCAGCCGTGTTTATTTCAGTTGCAAGAGATAAAGGCATACCAAAAAGACCTGGAGATGGAGACAAACTACTTCTACTATTCGACATTTTTGTATAATCATTAATGGTATTACTATTTAGGGTTCTTATACTACTAGAATTTGGAATACCTGGAGTCATGCTACCTTTATAATTAATTGGAAAATTTGCTGTTAACGGAATAGTTGAATTAAATGTATTATTATTAGCATTATTCAATCTCATAGTCTGGAATAATGGATACACTGAACCAGGTGTTAAACCTGTTCTCATATTAGATTCATTGGGGGTTAGTCCTGTTCTTGGAATATATGAAAAGTAACTACTTGTATTAGCATTATTAGGAATGTTTACATTGTTCGTGGCATTAATATTTGTATTTGTTACATTTGTGATAGATTCGTCAGTATTTGATGGTAAAAAACTTGGCGATAACACTAGAGGTGGTAATTTTTTAGAACCACCAGGAGTTAAAGCTCCTGGTGTTTGAATATTTGGTCTTGCAATGGGATATATAAAAGAAGATGACACAGTAGGACCTAACATAGTTGGCCTATTCATCGTAAAATTATTTGAATTTAAAGAATCATTATTAGTATTATTATTGTTGTCACTGGTATTGACAATATAATTGGAAGATGACATGTCGTTCGAGCTATTTTCATTTGAGGGAACTCTATTATTTGAAGTTAGTTGTGATATTGACAAGGTTGATTGTTTTTCCAATAATGGAGGTGGAGATTGAAGAGAAGAATACGGATTTACTTTTCTAAGTATTTGAGATTGATTTGACAATTGAGAAGGTTGTGAGTGATTAGTATTGGATTTTGAATCATCTATAATTCGTGAATTGCTATTGATATTTGCACTTGATGCGGTAGTAGAAGAAGTAGAGGTTACTTTGCCGGCTTGACTAAGTTTTCCTGTGTGTGCAAAACTTTGTTCAAAAGGGTTGGGTTCTAAATTTAAAGATGACATTATATTAGTGCTACTAAATTATTTAAATTTATTCAATGGCGACTTAGATTAAATATCAGTAGAGAAAAAAGCATGAATGAAAAAGGTAATCACAATGCAAAATGGAGAATATAGATACAGAGAGGAGATATGATCCAATTAACAATGATTCAATACACTGAGACCAGATAGTCTTAGAAAATAAAAATATCAGTTTACTTATTGTTTTATTGAAATATATGGATATTTGTAAATATCGTCACCTGATTAAAGGGAATAATATGTGGACAAATGATCTATGACTTGATATTAGACTCTTTCTTCCCTTCCACCAGTGGACACAAAGAAAGATCGATCCAACTAATACTACTTCTCCAAACTTGATAGGAAGTAACTATGAATAAGTATCTTGATTGCTGAAAAATGCTAAAGTTCCTTCCTTCTTTTTTCTTTCAATTATTTATTGAAGAAATAAAAAATTTTTTTTCCTTTTTGTAAAAATACAATTACTCTCGAAAAACTCAAACCCAAATTGTCTAACATGTCAAACATATATGTAATTTATAACATGATGTGTCTGATGTCTCAGATATTAGTTTTGAGAGATGGAACTAGATCCAGAGAAAGATGCCAAAGACTAAAAAAAAATTGTGAATAAAATGTTCTATTAATTTTACATGATATTAGCTATACAGTTATAATAATACTCTAGATCTTTTTCATTTTTTATGACACAACAATAACTAATAATCTCAGTGTTGCAAACAACATATATATATATGTATTATAAATGTCTTTATTAGAAATATGTATTGAAATAATATGGTAGTCTTGTTTCTAGTTAGAGAAGTATTTTAATACATAATCATTATTTTCGACCAATCCAAAATTCACCGTTTTCCCCACGATTAATTTGTCGTCTCAAATTTCTACTTAGAAGTACACCAATTTCATAACGTTCTTTGGTTTTACGATCTAAGTATTCTTGTAATTTATTAATTGCTCTATTTAATTTTTTACCATCTTCTAAAGTCAATGAACCTTGACTTTCCATTTGACGTAGATATTTGATCTCTTTCTCTAATTTGATACATTTTTCCATTAAATATTCGTGACGGTTTTGTAATTTCATAATACTATCATCGGCATTAGCATTGTAATTAGTATCCTTTTGAAAAGACGATGATTTTCTACTTGAGTGCGATGAATGGTTGCTGCATGTAGAATTTACCCTTGAACTAGATGTAGAAGTGGGGCTACTTACGGAGATAACACGGAATGGATTCGTAGTTTTTCTCTTTTCTACTGTAACAGTTGATGGACTAGATTTATCTTCTATATTTTCGTTCTTGAACATGGTAGATTCAGATATACTACTAGTATTATTATCACAAGTAGCAATTGTAATATCTTTACCATTAGTATGCTTTGGTAAAATAATCTTATCATCATTTAAAGATAGGTCATATCTAACTGCAGATGGTTGTTTTATGCCAGTGTTATCACCAGTGGACATGCTTTCCATTTCATTAACAGTTTCATTGTTTTCACAGACATTTTCCTCTTTTATATCTTCCCATTCATCTTCATTTTTATCTTCTGAAATCATTGCTCTAGGTTTAGTTTTTTCACTATCATTGTTATCATCGGTCACTTGTTCATTTTCTTGTGGTTCACTTGTAGCAATAGTATCTTCAGTTTGGTGAATGTTAATAGGTTGAGAGTCTGTTATTTCTTGTTTACCGATATCTTGTTCTCTTTCTACTTCAGCTAGTGAGCCTTGTTTATTAATGTCAACTGGATGTTGCTCAATCTGTTCCGAAGGTATAGTACTGTCATCATCTTTAGAAGCATTATGCATGTTTTCGTCTATCTCAGCTTCATTATCTTTTTCTTTTCCATGCTTTGGATTTGAATTTAATGTATCTTCTTGCACGTCAACACTATTGTGGATCTTATTTTTCTTGTCGTTAGTGTTATCATCATTATTCTCTTGCGCAGTTTCTTGATCATTAATTAAAAGGTCTGTTATAGAAGATTTATGCTGGATTGGCGATTCTCCTTGCATATTTACTTGTATTCTATCATCATTATTATCAAAAAAAATAGTAGAATTAGCATTGGAAATCTTATTGAATTCCTGAATCTGCTCTTGTTCAATTGACACGTGTTCTATTTCCGAAATTGTTTCTTGTTTTTGATCACTCTTTTCTTTGGATAACATTTCTTTTATTGTATCCTGATCACCAGTAAAAGCAGTATCTTTGCTTGTTAAATTATTTATTTCACCTTCATTTGTTGATTCGTGTGGTGCATTTTCAACGAAGGATTTTTGTGTATTATCAATTGCTTCTAAGATTTCTTCTTGTAAATAACTTTGATTTGAAGTACTTTCTTTTATATTATCCTTATCTGTTTCATTTTTATTCTCTATATTAATATTTTTACCTTCACTGTCAATTATATCTCTTCCCTTATTCCCATTGTCTTCTAACTGCAGGCTATAGGTATCACCTTTTTCATGCAAACTTGTGTCATCAACGTTATTATCATCTAATTCACCATTTAAAATATGCTCATCCTCGTTTGCACTATCTAAAGTTGTTTCATTAATATCCAAATTTTCATCAATCATTTGGTTCATTTGTTTAACATCTAATTCTAACTGAGAAAGACGTTTCTTAATGTTTTCGGTATCTAATCCCATCACTACTCAAGTTTTTTTTTTTTTTGGAGTTTAAGCAACGGGATAGAAATTTGTAATTTGGTGTAAATATGGTTGGTTCAGATATGTTTTAACACTCTGCGGTAGTGGTGTTAAACGAATTATAGAATGTATCAAATGATATCTGTTTATTTATTTGTTTGTTTATTTCTATAACTATTTAATCCATTTAGAGGATTTAGATTTAAAATAACGAGAAAAAAAAATAAAAATGAGAATAATAATCTAAAAAGTGAAATAAATAATGGAAGTGATAAGAAAAGAGAAGAGTGTGAACAGTACTGGGTGGATTACTGAGAATAAATCACTTAAAAAGTGTGTATTAATATATTTGGGTTTTGTAGATTGCAATAATTGCAGTAGACAATAGTAACAGCTGTTTATATGGATCGTGTAAGGGCTTTGATAGGTATTAAAAGCCATAATAATAACAATAGTTTTAATACTAATAATAATAGAGATATAAGATCGAATATAAATAGAAACCTAGAATATACGGGTTCAACTCCAACAACAAGAATTGTTAATGAGAATATTGGATCAAGAGATGAAATAGCTAGGGGGGATGGAGATAGGAGGTTCATAAGGCAGCCGTTAAATGGAACTGACCAATTTAGTCTATATGATCAACATACAGTAGTAGAAAATGAAGGAAATAATCCTATAGAAGAAAGCATGACCATTAATAATGACGATATCCACACTTTTATATCTGAATCACAAACTATTGGTGATTTATATACGCGTGGATACGTCAACAGATCTCCAAATTTTGATTCTGTTAGAAATATTCCATTGGTATCAATTTTATTGACTAGAGGCCTTTTTGCATTTTCAAGTGATATATCATATAAAACTTTTTTAAATAATAAAAGGAAGTTAGATCAGCCAGCTTCCCTTGATAATGGTGGTATTGGTGTTCCTTTGTTCCATGCAGTGACAAATAATGTTATTAAGTCTTTATTAGTCTCTGGAAAATCAAAAGTTGAACCTGTAATGAAGATATTTAAGTACCAAATCATTGATAACAATCATACTAGTAGTTTAGAAGATTTAGAATTATTACCAAATTATGAAATCATACTACAGAATAATATTAGTAATAAATTTTTGATCAAATATGAGTTTTGCCAAATCTTTAAATCTATTGATGAAAATAACTCGTTGAAAATCATTCATATTTTGAAATTTCATGATGGGAAAGAAATTAGAATGGTTAATTTTAGTGATAAGAAAGATATTGATACTGTTGTTGATGATTTCCCTCTTCGATGGTATGGTTTTTCAGGGTTTGCATCCCCGTTTGGATCAAATGATATTAAATTATTAGTGTTAGATGATAATATGCCAAGTTATATGGATAACAATACGATTAATAGCGGCGTCAATAATTCACATACTAACAATGCAAATCAATTAATTAGTAGTCGACCTTTACGAGCTTTACCAATCTGGGGACGTTATTCTGATACAAATGTTTCAATGTTACCAACAAAGAGAACCGTGAAATTAGCAAATTTTAAAATTAAAGAGTTATCTCAAGCAACCAATGCTGCTTTATATACTGATTCCGATGAAGACTCAACATCTTTAAGTAATGGAATCACAATGATTCCAGAAAATACTCAAATTCTGACATGTATGTGCATGCTATTACATGAATATGAATCCAGGAAGGAAAGAAGACATAAGAATAATACTGCAAATGATGATTCTATTTTATTTACAAACAACTAATATCATTTTTCAAAACAATTCCATTGATATGGTGAACCTGGTTATTTATATGTATATACATATATAGTATTTCTACTATGTAGTTGATTATGCTTCGTTTACTAACAATTCATGTATGCAGCATACACACAGATACTTTAATGAGTTAATGATGCAATAATATTTGAATAGTGAATCTAACAGTAATACAAATGAGTATAACTATATTGTTACTATATGTTCTTTTTCTTTTTTAAAATTACTTCCTTAACGATTTCGTTTACGATGTCCTTGTTGTTGTTGGTATTGCTGATGATTTTGATTATGCTGGTGTCTATCTCTATTAGATGAAGGCGGTAGACGATTATATCCGAACATATTATTATACCATTTAATCATATTCTTCGGTGGTTCACCAAACACTAGGTAGTATTCACAAAACATACACATAGGTTTATCCCTATCAATCAATACGGCAAAGTCTGGTCTTTTATTATTAACGTTTGTTCCTTTAGGAATATATTCAAAGTCATGATAGTTATAGTTTTTGAATCTCTGTGAAGCTCTGTGATTAGAATTTATACTATGGTGAGGACAACAGGTCTCGTGATCAAAAGGATGATTATTAACATCATGCTCGATATCTTCTTCATCATTAAGATTACCATCTCCCTCTTCCTCACTACCCATATTATTTATACCAATATTAGAAGTTGTTTCATATTGTCTGGTATCATTTACAAGTTCTTCAATTCTAGTATGATCTTGGTTACTTAGAATTTTATGCTTGTTGTTTTCTAATGAAGCCACTGTATTATTATCTAATTCAGTTATACTTAATTCATTCCCATTGATTACAGCATGTAATTGTCCCTGAGAATCAGCAGGAAACCCATTTGGTAGAACAGATTCAATCATTTCTGATATTCTTTTACCAATAGCATCTGGAGACGCGTCATGTGTTTCATAATCAAATATTATTTCAGCTTCTTCACCATCAAGATGTAAATCTGGATTTAAAAAATCCTCATTCATGAACTCGTGTACTTCAGAGTTATCAGTACTAAGAGTTTTTTTAGATTTATTAACATTCTTATTACTATTGTGTTTATCATCTATATTTATAGTGGCAGTTGTTGTAGTTGTGAGATGATTGTTGTTAGAATCTATCACTTTTGAGTTATCTTTTTTACTATCATCTATTAATCGTTTGCCATTATCTCTGATTACAAACTGCATGGAATGTTGTGTCTTATCAAATGCTTTTCTGTCCTGTAATTGATTTGAAAGTATACTAGTCAGAGCTTTAACACCTTCCTGCATCATGACATTGATCGGAAGTGGTCCATTATTAGAAACTAGTTCTATGGATGTATCAGTATTTTTTTTATTTGTACTCATTGTGAGATTTTACACGTTCCAAATAATATTCAGAAGAGAAACAACAATAATGAAACTAATGATCTAAAGATACAAAAAATCAATCAATTTTCTGGTTATCCAATCTTTTGTCTTAATTCTGGTCAAAAATGAATATATGTAACACACTATTTTTTTCTTATACAAATTTTTTTCCTTGATGATAATTAAATAAATAATCTACAAAAATATTCTTTCACTTTAACTTCTTCCTTGTAGCATGTATGAAACTTATTTAAATTCTTCCTATTTGAATAGACCAGTATCCCTCCCTTTGTATTAAAGATAATATAATTCCACCTTTTTATTCGATTGATTTTCTTTGTATCAAATATTGCAGTTTTTCATAATTCTCTTTTCTCTTCTTTTCTCCTATGGCATCGGTAGAAAAAGAGAGAGTAGATAAAAAATAGTCAAAGAATGATTGACTACCAACAATTACAAGAATACATCAACGAATTTATATATTTTTATCTACCGTACTAATGTATTGAGAAGGCATGGTTAAACTTAAGTTTCTATAAGAAAGAAAGAAAATTTATTAAAAAACATAAATGCAACAGCATTATCGTAAAATTATATACATATTCCTATATATATTTATATAGAAACGTATGAGTACATTTTTATGCAAACATGCATTTATATCAGACAATTTTCCATTCATTAGTTTTTCTTTAGAGTACGTTGTTTTTCTGCATTTTGGATGATCTTCTCATCAACAAACAAACCTTTACATCTTCTAATAGCATTCATGTGTTTACGGGCAATATTTTCTCGATCAGCAGTGTCACCTAGTTCCTCTAATTCTTCTTCTGTGGTTGGAACCCAGAATGGATCTAAGTCGATACACTCATAACCAGAAAAGATTAACTGCGGTTGAGCTGCACCTGATGTTTTCTTACGTAGATCTTCACTAAATCCAAAAGCTTCAATGACTGGGATATGTGCCTCAATTTGAAAGAATGGAGTACCTTCCTTCATCTCCTCAGATATAATCTTACCGTGTCTTTGTTGTACCACTGCATATACTTTACCCAACACATCAACTGAAGTTTGAATATCACAGGAATACATTGCCCACATTATCCTTGGCGACCAATCTAAGAAGGATTGATGGATTTGGTCCCTAATAGTTGTAATGAATCTACCAAAAATATTTGGAATATCTGTTTGATAATGCGGATCATTAATATTAGATAATTCTTCCTCACCCATAATATGAATATCTTCGATAACAATACACATACCTTGAACTGGTTCATTAGCCAATGGACCTTCTTTTACAGATAATTGAAATCCATTAATTACTGAATCTGCAAACTCTAAAGTTCCCAAAGTTTTCTTTTTTATACTACCCAATAACCCATTTTCTGAAACCAAAATATTACAACCATATCTTTTGGGTCCAAACGCTGATATTTTGTCAATACATGTAGAAAGATAATCCTTATTGTTTTGATCATTTTGTAATAACTCGTTTAATTTAGTGAAAAATGTTTCCTTATCCATCACATCTATACCCTCAGTAAATGAATCATTTGAAATATCGTCTATAATTCTTTTTATTGTTGATTCATTCTTATCCAAAAAATGAGTAATTCTATCACTCAATGGCAATGATCTTAATGTGATTTTATATGAACCGAGTGTAGTTACTGTAACACTTCTACCTAGGTCAGGATTTTTCATTGGATTCAAATCTGTAGTCTCTAAAAAGGTTTCTCTATATGGAATAGCTGGTTCTGAATGAGTAAGTTCAATTCCCGCAAATCTTTCGTGAAGATCCTTTAAGCATCTTTCTAAATGTAGCTCACCTGCAGTACACAAAATTTGTTCACCATTATCATTGATATACGTATCTACACATGGGTCTGCTTGATTAAGTAATTTTAAACCTCTGACTAATTTTGACATTTCCATTGGATTAACAGGTTCGACAGCAACTCTCACGATTGGAGTTGTATGGATGTTTATACCAGCTAAATTTACTCCTCTAACACCAGATTCAATTAAAGTACCATTTTTTAAAATTTTACCAGCTAAGCCACCAATACCAACAATATTTCCTGCCGGACACTCCTCTAAAGAGACTAACTCTTTCCCCATAAATAGGTACAGATGGGTAATTGTGGCTGTTTTTATGTGTTCGGTTGGTTTCTCAGGATCATACTTTGGTTCCAAAACAGAAACTTCTTGTCCAACACGTAGTGTACCACTGTACACTCTTGCAAAACCAATCAAAACTTCATCTCTTTCATCAAAAAGATCTTCTAATTCCGCTTCTTCATTCACTTCATATCCAATTTGGTTTACTGTTAATTGTGATTCTAATGGACTTTCTTCCTCATACTCAAAGATTGCGTTTAATGGATTGGTTGGGTCTAATTCTTGTGGAACAAATTCAGGTATTAAATCATTGCCATCATTAAATTCATCATTACTATCATTTCGCCTAGAAGCAAATTCAGAATTGAGTGATGCAAAATCTTTATCAACTATATTATTTTGGTCATTTTCCTTTGTTGCTTTTTTCCTACTCTTCTCATTTGAAAGATCAATATCAGGGGTAAATGTAGTGTCTTCAGCTCTTTTATATAAGTCTGAAGAATTTATGTCTTTATCGTCTGTATTCAATTTAGATAATTTCTCGATTAATTCAGCTCTTCTTGCCGCGTTTAATGCTTCTTCACGAAATTTCTTATTTTTGTCAAATTGATCAGGAGTTATTGTATTAAATTTACCTTCAACAGGTAGTTCATCTCTTGGTATCGAAAGTATCTTTGAGACATATGCAGACACAGGTCCTTTTTTATTACAATCACCCATAGCTTCAATCAAATTATTATCAACATTCAATTTGCTATGATCATGACCAATAATGGTATCCAATCTTTCTTTTTGAGATTCTAATGGAGAGGGTAATTTCTCAATGACAGTTAATAAAACAGCTGTACTAACAGGTAACCACTGGCTTATTATAGTTCTTAATAATTGTTTATCATCTTTTGATCTTAAATCTCTTGGTAACAATTTAATATTTAATGCTTTTGTAATCTTTTCAATGACTTCTAAATTCCTTCCCTTAATAACTATATTTTGATAAATTTTCCAAATATTATCTAATATTAATGTGACAAATAACGGTTTTAAGGATCTACCCTTCAAACCTTTTTGATTAATAATTTTCTTTGTTTTGGGGTCCATGTAAAAATCACCCCATAACACTTTCTGTAGATTATCTCTTTTAGCACCCAATTTAATTTCATAAAATTTAGCTAATTGGCCAATATTAAAGCCCCATCCATCAATAGCGGATGCAAAGATAACATTATTATTGGCTGGATTGAAATACAGATCCGAATCATCTCTTTCGGTAAATTTTGCCTCCATATTAGTTTCTAACTGCTCTCTCCATGTGTAGTCATCCAATTGTTTTTCACCTACGAAGAAAGAGCCAATAACAGAATTTACTTGTTCAATGACTTTATTTAAATGCAGGTATGCCTCTTGTGGAGTTAATTGTAATTCTGTGATTAATCTATCGATTTTATTTAAGACAAGGACAGGTTTTAATTTCTCAATCCAGCATTGTCTTAAAACAGTAATAGTTTGTGAACATACACCTTCAACTACATCAACTAATACCACAGCACCATCACATAACCTTGAAGCAGCGCTCACCTCACTTGAAAAATCGATATGACCAGGAGAATCGATTAAGTTTATTAAATGTTCATTAACTAAAGGTTCATCTTTTCCCTCCTGTTTATGCAAAACTCTAAAATATAAGGAGATAGCAGAGGATTCCATAGTGATCCCTCTTAATTGTTCATCTGGTCTTGAATCTAAAAATCTAATTTTGCCCGCTAATCTTTGGGAGATGATCCCGTTTGAAGCCAACAGGGAGTCTGATAACGATGTTTTACCATGGTCTACATGGGCTACAATACATATATTTCTTATACATGATGCATCATTTTGTAATCTTTTAAATGTATCATGACCAATCCTCGACATATTTTAAATTAATTTGTTTTTTCTGTGATTTCTGTCAATAGAAGTTATTAGTATAGACTGAATTGATAGATTAGTTAATATATTACTTAGTTAAACAGGGGATAAGAAAAGAAAAGAAAAGTTAAATAGATGTATACTGGCTCCCTTTCGTCTATTTCTTGTAGTGTGTGGATGGGTGCTTCTTGATCCTATTAGTTCCCCTTGTTAATTTCTGCCTCTTGATAAATTCTTTTTTTTTAATCAAACTATTTCAGGTATTTCTTTTTCTTTTCTTTTCATAAATTCGAGATTGTTCAAGATAGGAAAAAAAAAAAAAGAGAAGATCAAATTTTGTGTATCGAAGTAATGATGGTGCATAAAGTTAAAAGAGGTAAGGATAACTTTGGAAATCGATAATAGAGTTGATAAGTGCAAGAAGAACGAAAGGAGGAGTTGAGAGACGATTCAGGTGAGAAATGAGCAAAGAGGATGAAATAAAAAATATAGGTGAAAATGGAAAAAAGAAAGAGAATGAACCTTTAGTTAAATGCCCTGATTGCGGTGACTTATTGCAGAAATGTTTAATTCAACAGAACTATGCTATGGTCATATGTCCTAATGAAAAATGTGAATACCCATTCAATCAACATGAGATTGCTGATAATCTTGTATATGTGGATGATAACGATATACTGGAGGTGGCCAGACTGAGATTAAGCAAGAAATAGTTGTGTGCAAGGAAAACAAAACGAACCTTGGTATAAGATAATTTTTAGTACACTTACACACCGTATTTAGCATTGTTACGCATATGTAAATATATCATTTTGTAGTAAATAGAACAAATAATATAGGTCGTTAACAAATAATAGATTGGCTGATATGATAAATATTCCAGAATCTGTGTGGAGGGGAGGGGAAGGAAAAAAACAAAAAAGGAAAAAATATGACGATATATGGTAATGACTGTTTTTATTTTGTAACATCCGTACATCTCAAAATAAGACGAGTTCAAAATATTTTTTACTCAAAAAAGGTAGGTTGCTTTTCTTGAGTACGATAATATCCAATTATGGAAATTTAAATATATACATTTTCGGTTGCTTTGCACACTGACATAAATAAGAAAACAAGACAAGGAAAAAGAAGGACAAATAAGTTTGTTTGCTTGGAGAGCCAAGAAAGCAGGAAAATATCTTCTCTTTCTAGTATGTACGATGTAAGCGTTTTCTCTATTGGACACTAACCACAACCATATTGGTTCTGTTTATGTAGATGGGTGTTGATTCCCATGTTGTGCTGCCTTTCAGGTATCGAACTGCATTTCCTTTCTACCTAATCTCCCTTCCCTCCCTCCCTCCCTCATTCTCCTTTGGTCTATTACTTCCACTCACTCTCTGTATCCTCTCTTCGTCCTAATTTTTCTTTTCCTTGTAGTCTCATGACTGGTATCGCCCCCCTCCCCCCAGGACTACGACACTCACACTGAACCTAACTATGCCGCCACAACAAATCTGCTGGCAGGAAGGGAGATCACACGTACGTAGAGTGTATGGCTACGGCTAATTCAACTTAGTTTTTACTCTGTTGCTGTAGCAAGTAACTAGCCACCACTTAGTCTCACAATAATTACTCGCTGTTGTGAGAACGTCATCTCCATTTACCTACAGAGGTAAGGAGAAACTGCAAGTAGAGCAATCTTTCCAGTGTGTAACCATCCCACCTGTCCACATCGATCTATCCTTTCTGCCTTCCTTGAGACGGAATGTAATGCTAATTCCAATCTATCAAGCCAAAAATAAAAAAAAAATCTTGCTTTATTTGTCTAATGTATTGAAAATTGGATACATACTTGATATTACATGGGTATTGTGTAGGCAATATTTGTTCATCTTAGACGTCTAAAACGGATACCTCAGTAGTACGAAAAAGCAATAGCAGTCACAATGGGTATGTTGGATTCGTTAAAAATCGATATTAAGGATCAGAGGATGAGATAATGATTTTTTTTACGAATTGAGAATATTAAGAGAAACTTGATGAATAATGACTAGGTTTTTTTAAAAAGTGTGGATTTATTGTTTAAAGAGAATGTGTTGCTGTGGGGTTTTTTTCAATGGCAAATTAATTGCGGTTTAAATTTGATTACGTTTATTACATAGAGTATAACTAATTAAAGAATAATTATGTGGTGAATAAAGATGAATGGATGGGAAGGAAAGGCAATAAAATAGTTGAAATTCTATTGATTTGTCCAGATTATATATATCATATTTAATTAATGTCTAAGAGTTCTACAGATGTATTAGAGAAAATATCATATGTCTCTGTTGTTGTTGTCTATGTGCTAATTAGATAGCAAAAAAAAATTATATGGTTGCATAATGTTTCACTTCTGATGTCCGTTTAACAAACAAAAAAATAAACTTTGAGGGATTGCAAAAAGGGATTTTTATACTAACAAAATAAATGAAACCATTTTTGATATTTATACCTAGTATAAATATTAATATGGAATTATTATTATCATGTGATTGTTGTTCATAATTTTAAAAATTATTTTTTTTATTTTATTTTTTAAATAGTTAACGTTCCAAAGACTAGAAAGACTTTCTGTAAGAGTAAGACCTGTAGAAAACACACTCAACACAAGGTTACTCAATACAAGGCTGGTAAGGCTTCTTTATTTACTCAAGGTAAGAGACGTTATGACCGTAAACAATCTGGTTTTGGTGGTCAAACTAAGCCAGTTTTCCACAAGAAAGCTAAGACTACTAAGAAGGTCGTTTTAAGATTAGAATGTGTCGTTTGTAAGACCAAGGCTCAATTACCATTAAAGAGATGTAAGCATTTCGAATTAGGTGGTGAAAAGAAACAAAAGGGTGCTGCTTTACAATTCTGAGGATATTATATATAATAGAATATATATATATTTTTCATATTACACTTATAAGATCCTTGCTACGTACACATTTAATTTAATACTACTACAATAAATTAGAATATGTTGTGTTTGTTGTTTTTTTTTTATCGTTCCCTCTTTCAGATGGGAGTCCAGCAATAAGCGAAATCCATTAAAACACAGATGTCAGTGTGTGCAAAATCCATATCGATGCCAGTGATCGAATATCTGTAAAAAATAATAATAATAATTAGCCTATTCTGTTTTTCTTGTGTAATGAGTCAATATTTACTGAATTTTTTTTCATTACGGTTATCCTTGTTAGTTTTACTTAATTGTTCTTATATGAGAATAACTAAAGTACCAAAACTAATGTTAGTAGCAGTCGTGGTATATGGATTCAAGTTAAAGACCACACCAAAAATAAAAAAAAGAAAAAAAAAAAAAAAAAGAAAGAAATAAGAGAAACAGAGAGACGAAAAGAAAGAAATTATGGATAAGCACTAAATAAAGTGATCGTTCTATGTGATTTTGTTCATGTGAATGGCAAAAGCGAAAAAAAAAGAAAAAAGAAAAAAACAAGAAAAGAAGAAAACAACTGGGTTTGAAATTTTCATTTTTCCCACTGAAAAGAGAAAAAACTGAAAATTCGTGAAAAATAATTTAAGGAACTGATGGTACGAAAAGAGGATGGATACCTGATCAATTTTGATCAGATGGATGGATGAATGGATTTAAGCATCGCCACACACAATAATATATAATATATTTTTTAATAAAGATCTTAACACTAGTCTTTAGCACATTAATTCTATGGTTACACAATACTCAACGGAGAAACTTTAACATAAAGACAAGGAGAAATCATGTACAGAAACAAAAATCCGTATGCAAATCATCAACAATACAACGAACAAACAAATTCTACAAATGCAAACACATTTTATCAACAACAACAACAAAACCAGTATCTTGATGAAATAAATTCTTATTCCAAACCTCCTGCATCTAATTTCAGTAGTAATTATATGAATAACCAAAATTCTCATCACTCTTTTCAAGAATATGCACAATCTCAAATTACGGGGAATGATATAAATAACACAACAGGGAAGAATATATCATTAAATCCTGGTGTTTTTCAAGATGTACCATCATTGACTCTTCCATCAAATATAAACTATGGATTTCTACAACAACAACAACAACAGCAGCAGCAGCAGCAATTTTCAAGTAGTCCACTACAACAGCCACCCATTTTAGGAAGTATATATAAGCATAACAATAATTCAAATAGTTTAGTACAGAATACAACAGGGCTAAGTCATCAGCATGATTCACCTATCCAAGGTATTCCTCAACCAAGACAATCATTTAGTCCAAGTCAATATTCTTCTGAATCAGATTATAATAGTATTGGACTGGGACAAACTAATACTAATAATAACCTCAGTAATACAAGTAATAATAATTCCAATTTCGGAACTTCAAATAGTAACGATCATAGCGGTGCAAGTAGTCCATTCCATCAACCGCACTATGAGCATAGCGATTCGGTATCTCAAAGAAGTGCAGCAATAAGTTTTACTAATCTACCTCAACCTGGTGATAGTAATAATAATATTGGGAATGTTAGTCCAGTATTATCTCAATCTTACCAACAATCAACTTTCAACAACAACTATAACAACACTAATACTACTACTACTACTACTAATAATAATAATAATAATGTTAATAATGTTAATATTAATGATAATAATAGCAATGTTAATAATGTTACTGGGAATAACTATATGTATTTTGAAAGACGACCAGATCTTTTGACTAAATCTACACAAGATAAAGCTGCCGTGGTTAAATTAAAAATTGAGAACTTTTACCAACAATCAGTTAAATATGCTATTGAAAGAAACGAACGTAGAGTTGAATTAGAAACAGAATTAGCATCTCATGATTGGTCTGAAGAAAGGAAATCTCGACAGTTGGCTTCATTGGGTAAGAAAGAATCACAGTTTTTACGTCTTAGAAGAACAAGGTTGTCTTTAGAGGACTTCCAAACCGTTAAAGTTATTGGTAAAGGTGCATTCGGTGAGGTTAGATTAGTACAAAAGAAAGATACAGGAAAAGTGTATGCTATGAAGACATTACTAAAATCAGAAATGTATAAGAAGGACCAACTAGCGCATGTGAAAGCTGAAAGAGATGTCTTGGCAGGCAGTGATTCTCCATGGGTAGTTTCGTTGTATTATTCTTTCCAAGATGCTCAATATTTGTATTTAATTATGGAGTTTTTACCAGGTGGTGATTTAATGACCATGCTAATAAGGTGGCAATTATTTACGGAGGATGTTACAAGATTTTATATGGCAGAATGTATTTTGGCTATTGAGACAATTCATAAACTGGGTTTTATTCATAGAGATATTAAACCAGATAATATTTTAATTGACATTAGAGGCCATATTAAATTGTCCGATTTTGGTTTGTCTACAGGTTTCCACAAGACACATGATTCTAACTATTATAAAAAATTATTACAAGAGGATGATGCTGGCAACGCCAATAACGTTAACAATGGTTTCAACAAACCAGGTCAAAACAATAATACTAAGAGGCAAACAATGATGGTGGATTCTATTAACTTAACTATGTCTAACAGACAACAAATTCAAACTTGGAGAAAGTCGAGAAGATTGATGGCATATTCTACTGTGGGTACACCAGATTATATAGCACCAGAAATTTTTTTATATCAAGGATATGGTCAAGAATGTGATTGGTGGTCACTGGGTGCTATTATGTACGAATGTTTAATTGGTTGGCCCCCTTTCTGTTCTGAGACTCCACAAGAGACATATCGTAAGATTATGAATTTTGAACAAACTTTACAGTTCCCAGATGACATCCATATTTCGTACGAAGCAGAAGATTTGATTCGTCGTTTATTAACACATGCAGATCAAAGATTAGGTAGGCACAGTGGTGCAGATGAGATTAAAGCACATCCATTCTTTAGGGGTGTTGACTGGAATACAATTAGACAAGTGGAAGCACCATATATTCCAAAATTAAGTTCTATCACAGATACAAGATTTTTCCCAATAGATGAGTTGGAAAATGTCCCAGATTCACCTGCAATGGCACAAGCGGCCAAACAAAGAGAACAAATGATGAAACAAGGTGGTAGTGGTCTTAATAATGGTGCAGCAATTAAGGAGGATTTACCATTCATTGGTTATACCTACTCTAGATTTGACTATTTGACCAGAAAAAATGCATTGTAATAAAATAACAGAAATGCAGTAGTCTCATTATCGACATAGTTAGAAATAAATAGTAATATGTATGTAGATTCGACGTATAATATGTTGGTAGTAGGAATCAAATTAATAAAAATATCCAATATTATTCGCAAAATCTTATCAATTATTAGAAATTGTCGAGATTCTATATATTAGAGTTCAAAGGATCCGAAATTCAAAGTTCAATTGTGTAATATTTGCCTTAAGACATAATAAGAGTTATTTTATAACGATTAATAATGTGCTTCTGTGCAATTCAGGAATATTAATTTCTATATATGTGTTGAAAATATCAGACGAATATATATTAATAATTGATATTTGAAGACAAACGAATAGACACAAATAATCACAGTATTGTTAAAAGCAATAAAAAAATTGGTGATTAAGAGATTAATATAGATAACCTTTTATTCAAAGAATGAAAATACATATTGAAAGAAAAAATAGAAGATAATGAAACAATATAACATATTCTTTGTAAACATTTTTCGTAATTAGGTTTTACACTCATATATATATATGCTTTTATTCTTTATTTTCAAGCTCTTAAAGAGGTTCAGTTATTATAAGCATACCAACAATGTTACTTCTCAATCATGACCATTATGCTCAGTAGTATTTTTGGACATATTTTCTTATTTATATAATATTTTATTAATAATTTCCTATATCAGCTGGATTAGACATAAAATAAGAAAATATATTTATTATTAAACTAAAAATGTTGTTAGAATGAAGAAATAAATGATAATTGACTATATGGTAATCAATTATTGTTCATTTTATCTGGTATTTTGTTGATTTTTTTTTTCTTTATTTAGTACATATTTTAAACAGGCATGTTATTATAAAATATTTTAAAATTTTGACACAAAACATAAAATGATGAAAATTATTATCTCAAAACTACTCATTCTTCGACTACAATAGACATCAAAATATTAAAATTATACACGTAACAAAAGCTCTGCTATTCATGAATAACAGCATAAAAAGTTTCATGGTTTTCCAAATTACACGATTTTGTAAGAGTAAAGGTTGATAAAAAATAAAACAAAAGTAACTACGCAAGTCTGTCAAAAAATTACTACAAAAAAAGATATAATAAAGTGATAAATTGGTAAGAAAGATGCCTAAAACTACATCTCTTCTAATCTATGATTGCTAAAATCTCTAAACCACATAAGAAATGGTTAGTAATTAACTAATGTTGAAATAGAATGTTTTGTAATGAAATAGATAGAACAATAAGATTTTAGCAGACACTAAACGGTAAATTTTTGAGTAATAATCGTTGAGAGATCACCAAAAGTTGTTGAGCTTGTTTATTAAATATCTTACTGTTCGTAGAAGAAAATGGCTTAATGTTAACATATATAAAGCCAAGGATTTCATCATACATTATTTTTATCTTATTTGCAATCTTTGTATATTACTATTTCTATGTTGTATATAGAGAAAAACAAAAGTGAAGAACTTTATTATAATTTTGTATACTAAATCTGTTTAATATAATATTGAGAATGTTTACTATATATTGAATGAATACAGGTGCTCATTCTCAACAACTAATCACAATATTATCGTCACTAAAGGATCTAATTATTTCAATTAGGTAACAAAGGAGTGAAGGAAATTAAATAGAAATTTGTAGAACAATTTGAAAATCTCCTGTAGCTCACCTGAAAATACTAAATATGCTTAATTATTCCTTAGTATATAATCAACTAAATAAATAAATCTCCTTTCTAAGTGTCAACTTATGAGAAGAAATTGCATTTGGCAACTCACGTTTTTAACTTTCACACTTTGAAAATAAATACTAATCAACTATCAAATTTTGGAAAAAAAAATAAAACAAACAAACAAAACCTAGAAAATAGTAAGTGATATCAGTCGAAATATTAAACAAGATTTTCATACAGAAATACTAGATGACTTCACAAGAACGTAAACCTTCAAGAAAAATATACATGACATATATAATATTAAATATTATTATTAAAAAAGCTGATAAGAATTATCTCCTGTTTTATTTAAGCGTTTTTAACTTTATGAAAGTTCTGATTTTTTTTTGTATATTAAATGTCACATGTCATTAAAAGAAACAAAAAAAAAATCTTGTCACTTACCTTTTAACAACCCGTTATCTGAAAACTTACGATTTCATTATTCTACCCTTAACTAGAGAACTTTTGATGACTTCGAATGAACCGTTTTCAATGAAAAAAAGCAATTACAATTTTTATAACTTATCACGACATTTTTGTTTATTACTACATAAATGAAAAAATACAAACAAACCAATAAACAGTACTTTTTTAAATAACTAAATACTAACGTTATTTGTAACTATTATCCTCAAAGTGTCTATTGTTTTTCTATTGAACCTCTTATCTATAGAGTAATTCTATAACCAAATTGAGATCCTATCTATGTCTGTTTTTGATCTAAAAGTAATTGACAGATGTCTTTAGATAACTTTCAATTCCAATAATAACAGATAAACAAACAAACAAACAGAAAGGTCGAGATACATACAAAAAGTTCTATTGTAACAAATCTTATAATAAACAAAATTTACTTACAAAGACCTGGCTTTTTCTAGAAAAAAAAAGAAAGAAAAAAATTAAATAATAGAACAATAACAACCGAACGAGAAAAAATTAATTACTTTACCTAAAGAAGAAATTAAGTCAAACGAAAAAAATCAACTCATATTACCCTTTTAATTTACCCTATTGTTCTGGAAAATTTTTTTCTCACTCTTTTATTTTAGTTAAAAATAACAAAAGAAAAACTAGTAGACTTTAACAATATAGATGAACCGTCAAGAAACATAGCCTCCTTTACTTTTCTTAACTCATTTGAAAAATATATGCCAAAAAAGTACTTTCTTACTAAATGAGATATTTCACCATTGTAATAGACTAAAGTATAGAAAGAAATGAATGTTTGTTGTACTAAACCATTTTGTTGCAGTCCTTATGATTAATTCATAGTAATATCTTCAATGTAGGAGATCTCCTTAAAAATCTCAGTATTGAGAAATATGTAATTAAGTGGAACAGATACAAAGAACTGAAAGGGGCAAACAAAATAAAGAGGTATTTTTTTTGCATTTCTTTTCTTTCCCTCTTCTCCCACTCTTAATTTCCTTTCTTGTTCTTTATTTTTTTTTTCTACGAGAGTCATTTCCTTTCCCAGATTTTTACCTATATGGGTACAAAAGATCGAGATTTATTTACCTGAAAAGTAAATATTATTTCCTAATAGGGGAAGTTCGTTCGGAACTTCAGTCACCCAAAGAAGTATACACATTTACAAAAAAGGAAGCTTTGTATTCATTGGATATTAAGAAAAACAATGATTACATGATCGTTTGCTTCAATAAAACCTCGTAGAAGAAGATAAACTAAACAGGGATGATTTCAAAATAAGGAATGACTTGAAGGAATCGATAGAAATAGTTTAATTCTGTATCTCCTTTTGATTTCCATTTGTAAATATATCCTTTTAAGGAAACTGTATTATAGTTTACACTTTACTGTAAAGGGTTACTAAAATTAAAGTTTATTCAGGTTTGTCTCCAGTTAAAACAAACCTCTCGAGGAATTGTAAATTAATGCGCATATATACATACGAATATATATATATATATATGTAATGGGATCTTATCGCAGATTATTCGTCCCATTTTATATGTTTGACTGTCTTTTTCTTCACACACTTCAGTGTTTAGGCTCTTCGCATAGCTGAGCACAGACGCACAAAGAAGAAGACGAACCCAACTGTATAGGTACCTGTTCGATAATATTTAATAATGAAGTTTGAATACGTTTTTTCCACCTTACTGGCAACTGCTGCTTTAACTGAAGCTTCCCCAGTTAATATCTTTAAGAGAAATCTAGCTGTTCGTAATGTACACTCCTTAAATGAAACTTATTACAACAAGACTAACACATCTTCTCAACCGGAAACTTTACAATACGTTATTGCTGGTAGCAAATTAGCTGAATCTAACTCTACACTATATAGTAATTTCACCGAAGTTTCCAACTCTACCCGTGGATTAAACTTCACCGAATTATATGATGTTGCTCAAAACATCAATACTACTTTAGGTTACTCTCAAACCAAGGCTGGTGTTGTTGTTACTAATGAAAACACCATTGAATCCCTAGGTTTCTTATCATCTTTGTTATTTGAATCTGAAAAGCCAATTGTTATTGGTGAAGATGCTTCTTTAGCTGCTATTGTTGCTAATAACACAAATGCTGCTTCTCGTGGTCCATTGGTTGTTAAGAACAATGGTTATATCTACGCTGGTGCTTTAGCCCCATCCTCTGACGCTGCTGGTGTTCCATTAGGTTTTGTTTCCGGTGAACAAGTTAACTTTTTCTATGAACCATGTTTACCATCTATCATTGCTGAAAACTCTACTATCAGAACTAACTATACTAACTTCACCTCCTTGGATGTTACTGAATACGGTGTAGCTCCAATAGTCCCAATTGTTTACGATGCTGACTACTCTTCCCTATTGATCGAAGGTTTAGCTGCTGAAGTTCAAGGTTTAGTTGTTGTTTCTGCTAATGCTACCGCCTCTACCATCACATCCGACACTTTACCAATTGTTTACACTAGCCCAGACGCTCCATTCGCTGCTGTTACTGAAAAGGATATCCCAGAAGGTGCCATTGCTGGTGGTAACTTAACTCCAGTTAAGGCTCAAGTCCTATTATCTGTTGCTTATGCTAATGGTGTCACTGATATTGAATCTCTAAAGAAGGTTTTTGCTTAGACGCATAGAGACCTTCGTACTTTCTTTTTTCCTTTTTTTTTGAGAATTCAATATCAATGTTTTTCAGTACATACCTGCCTTTTATTTTAGGCGTTCATCATTAATTTGTTTTCTTACTTCTTTGCACGTTTAAATTAGAGACTATTCGATAATGTAACCTTTTATAAGAGATCTATTCTGGAGTCTCTTCATAATACCCCGCATAATAGCCCTTATCGTTTGAATTCGTTGGTGACCAGGATATTGGTTTACTGCTTTTTTAATCTTTATACTTTTCAATATACGTCATAAATTTTTTAATTCTTTTACATATTTAGTAATTATTTTTCTAATATAACGATACTTAATTCATATATTTCAAGTTTGTAATATATTTGACTGGTACATGGGAATAACGTAAGCTAACTTAAAATAAAGATTTTTTTAGTGACGCTGTAGTATCACCTGTTTGTTGTTCAAGAAAAAGAGGAAAAATGTTTCGATCTGAAAAAATGATGTTACATTTGAATTAGATGCTAAAAGTGGAACAGTGTACAAATGAGAAAAGGCACAGAAAACAAATATTTTCTATTGTTAGGCTACTTTTGAATAAAAAAGTATCAAAAAAAAGAAGAATCACCTAAACATATCAGTAAATCTTAAATCGACAGAATTATTAGCTATTATCTTTGATTTACTAAACCACATTACCGAACTATAGAAACCTGTGTTGAATAAAGGAAAAAAAATATTTTCATTTGAATTTATCCATTCCAACAAACAATCACGTTTTCTTACATAAATCAAAACAAAAAAGGAATAAAAACATAATAAGGAAAAGCAATTGTTTTCGTTGTCATACTTCTTGTAATAATTCATCAATGAATCTTCAAAGTATTTTGCTGTAATATTGGTTTTAAAAGAACTTTTCAAATTTATATCATTTCCATAATTAGTTTAGTAACTATATAGTCAATAAAGTTGCCAAAAGAGTCCAAGAGATCCTGCATATCTAAGTACACATTTATAAAGAAATGTACACGAAACTAAGTACTACTCAACTACACCTTCAACTCTGCCTTCGTTTTTGGTTTTATATCTTAACACTATTACCTTAAAAAGAAAACAATAATAAGAATATATTTATGGTTTTCTACCACTTTTATTTTATCTTATTATTGTGTACACAAACACTTATCTATTGGCTAACCAAGTAAAATAACCAAACAAATGTACCCACCTTCCTTATCAAAATTTCCTAAACGAGTTTATCCATTGTATTTCTTCTTGTTTATGAGTGTTCTTATCTAAATATCCCTTTATTGATATAAAATCATTTTTTTACTGAAGAAACAACGACATGTTAGCAATGCCAAAACTCACTAATTTTTTTTTTCTTCTCTTATCTTTTCAAAATTTGACACCACCTTTTTCTTTCCTTCTTTATTATTTTTTTTGTTTTTTTTATCTTATCAAAACTTCTATTGTTTATTAGAGATTAGAATAAGATTCTTATCTTAAGAAAACTCTTATCAGTGAAAACATATTCTTTTTTACTATTCTTTTGAGTCTTTATCAACTATGCTTTTTCATTATGGTGATTAAGTATTGACCTCAATGAGGAGTTCGATTAAATAGTTAATTTTATGTAATTTTGAGACAGGCTATTACTCTAGCACTCCCCTTCTCCAGAAGAATTATTGATATGGCTAATAACAAAACATTCTTTTTTTTAATAACGACTATACATTAGAAGATTTAACAATGGAGGAAGAAAAATAATAATCGGAGTCTTCTAATTATAATATTTCCAATTCGAATTTTTTGGATAATATTGTTTATAATCATTTTTTTATCAGATATTTGCTAATATGTATGCTTTTTTTTATTAATTTACAATAGATGTAAGTCTTTCTCCTACTTCAATTACAGTACTCCATTAAATTTCACACATCAATGACTAAACTAATATTCATCTTTTCATTTGTGTTACTAGATATTTCATGGATACAGTTAAGAAATAAACAAATTTGTATATAAAGAGGAATTATTATAATTTAAATTCAAGTATTATCATAAATACCTCTTTTTCTTGTCTGATGCAATGAAAAGAAACCATCAGCGTATAGTATTTAAAAAAATACTACCAAATATTGTCACAATTAACTTATATCAATAAAAAATAAATATGTCATACAATTTTACAGGCACACCTACTGACGTAGGCACAGGAGGTGATTCATTAACCACTGATTTGAATACACAGTATGAACTTGTCAATATGGCTTGGCTAGGTGTATGTACTGCCGGGGTTTGGCTAATGGTCCCAGGCATTGGTTTACTATATTCAGGTTTATCTAGAAAAAAACATTCACTATCTTCTTTATGGCTTTCTTTAACTGGCGCATGTGTCTGCATATTTCAATGGTTCTTCTGGGGTTATTCTTTAACCTTTTCTCACAATACCAGAGGTAATGGATTCCTTGGTACTTTACAGTTTTTTGGTTTCAGAAATGTACTGGGTGCACCATCAACTGACTCTGCAGTACCTGATATTTTATATGCAGTTTTTCAAGGTATGTTTGCTACCGTTTCTGGTGTCTTAGCCATGGGTGGCGGCGGCGAAAGAGCTAGATTGTTCCCAATGATGGTGTTCTTATTCCTATGGATGACTTTAGTATATTGTCCATGTGCTTGTTGGACTTGGAATAGTAGCGGCTGGTGTGCTGTCCTTGGTTCCCTTGATTTTGCTGGTGGTATTGTCCATCAAACAGCTGGCCATGGTGCGTTAGTATATGCTTTAGTATTAGGAAGAAGAGATAAAAAGAAAAATGGCTCAATCCCAAAATATAAACCACATTCTGTTACCTCTGTTGTTTTAGGAACTGTGTTTTTATGGTTCGGTTGGCAATTTTTTAATCCTGGCTCTGCAGGTAATGCCACTATTAGAGCTTGGTATGCTGCTATGAATACAAACTTGGCAGCTGCTTCTGGTGGGCTAACCTGGATGTTCATTGATTACTTCAGATATGACGGTAAATGGACAACTGTCGGTTTGTGCTCTGGAATCATTTCCGCATTAGTAGGCATCACACCAGGTGCTGGTTTTGTTCCAATTTGGGCTTCATTTATTATTGGTGTTTTGACCGCCATTGGCTGCAACTTTGCTGTTGATATCCAATATATGCTCAAGATTGATGATGGCTTTGCTGTTTGGGCGCTTCACGGTGTTGGGGGTTGTATTGGCGCTGTGCTAACAGGTATTTTCGCTGCTGATTATGTCAACGCTACCGCTGGTTCCTATATCGCTCCAATCAAGGGTGGTTGGCTAAACCACCATTGGAAGCAAGTTGGTTATCAATTAGCTTCCATGTCTGCAATATGTTCTTGGACTTGTGTTGTCACTGCCATTATCTTATTAGTTATGAACAGAATCCCATGGTTAAAGATCAGATTATTACCAGAAGAAGAAGAGAGAGGTACAGATGCTGCAGAAATCGGAGAATTTACATACCAAAGTGACGATGAAGACACATCTCCAACCAACGAACTAACCGAATCCGAAGAAGACTATACTTTTGTTCCACAACCAGTCAGATCTAGAGTCTCTGTGATGGCCTCCATCAAAAATAAAATCCATATATCAGAAGACAAAATTGGACAGATAGTTGATGAGGTATTAAGTAACAATAATGAGAATTTTTCAAGTAGTGAAGAGAAATCTGCCAAGGAAACAAACTAAGTACATCACAAAATACTAATGATAATATAATAAATTAATAATTTCCATAAACAAATAAATTCATTTTACAACATCTCCGTTATTTCATAATCATTTTTTTCATAATAATATAGATTTTTTTAATAATATTAGTAATATATAATTATCCTCCAACATCAAATAATATAATAAGAATTATTTCTTTTGTGATAGTTGCAATACTTATATACCTTTTTTTATTGTGTTTAGAAAATGAAGTAGTCCGTTAAAATGTTTGTACTTAATCAATAATCCAAGTCAAATAGCTTTTAAAACATTAGAATTTTATATACAATTACAAAAAGACATCTTTAGTATACACATTTGACTCTATATCTATTTGATTGTTAACAGCTTTTGTTTTTTATTAGCCAATTAACGTTCCAAATTAATATTATCACCAAATTTAGCATATAGTTGAGTCTTTAAATCTTTAAGTCTTGAATCAATAGTACTTAAAGTATTTTCTAATAGATTTATTTTATCATCAATTACCTCAGTATCTTTTTCAATCTGTTCTAACACTTTACTTTGTTTTAAATACACAAAAACCTCACCGAATTTATATTGAACTTTTTCATCCTCAGCAATCAATTCCAGTTCCATTGAAACATCATCCAAATATTCTTTTTCCTGTTTTTCTTTCGATAATTCCAATTCCAAAGAGTCCTTTCTTAATATCAATTTTGAAAATTCATTAATCTTTTTTTGATCTTCTAAAGTGACCTGAACATTATTTCTTTTCCCTTCTGGTAATAATTCCATTTTGGAATCAAAATACAATAATAAAAATGATTATTATATTCCTAGACTTTTCTTATTTCCATAGAGAAACATCACCATATAGGTCAATAATAATATATGTTTCTTGTTTATAAATTTTTCTTTTCCTCTTTTATTGTTCGGTTTTATTCTCATTTCTATTTTTTGTTTTAGATAATAATAGTTAAATCGCTCTAATTAAAAAAAAAAAGAGAGTAAGAGTTTTATTACAAATGAAATTATACCAAAATTTTTCTATAAAACTTACCATTTAGTTACAAGGAATCCAAAAAATGAACTACTTGGACTGGCATTCTTTTAATTAGCTAATGGTACAATAGTTAGTTTATTATTTATATGCAAATTATTTATATATATATAAACTAAACAATTTTGTTAGTGCTTCCCGTTTTCATTTATTATTATAAGAATTTAGTTACGACTTCATCAACTTTAGTTAAAAGTTCACTTTTTCTTTTATCATCACACCAAGAGCCATTAATTGCATTTTTAGCAATCATACCCCAAACATTGTAATTCCAATGAGGGAAATCTTTGGCTACTTGAATATAGTTGTCAAGGATATACCCACCAAAATATGATGGATCATCAGAATTAATAGAAAATGGGATATTATTATCTAAAAATTTCTGAAGTGGTAATTCAGACACAGCTTTAACAACTTGTAGTTTAACATTAGATAACGGACAGACAGTCAACATAATATTTTCCTGTGCTAATCTTTTCAATAATTCATCGTCGTTTGCTGAGTTTATGCCGTGATCAACTCTTGTTACATTTAATAAATCTAAAGAATCGGTAACATATTGAGCTGGACCCTCTTCACCAGCATGTGCAGTTAATCTCAAATCTGGATTAAGTGAAGCTGCTTTTTCATAGCATTCAACAAACAAATTTGGCGGGAAAGGTCTTTCTGCCGAATCTAACCCTAGACCGCTTATCACGCCATTCTTGATGTATGGCTCAGCTTCTTCAATAGTGGCAAGACATTCCCTTGGCTCTAAATGTCTTAGTAGACACATGATAAGTTTAGAAGTAATACCATATTGTTTATATGCTTCATCACAAGCTCTTTTAAACCCATTAGTGACAGTTTCTAAAGAGATACCTCTAGAAGTATGAGACTGTGGATCATAAAACACCTCAGCGTGAACCAAACCTTGTTTAGACACTTTAGTGAAATAGGCCCAGGCTAAATCAAAGAAATCCTGCTCAGTGATCAACACATTAGTACCGATGTAATAATAATCCAAGAAATCTTGTAAATCACGGAATTGAGCATACTTTTTATTCAACTCTTCTACTGATTGTGGGAAGTTATCTGGCAATTTAATATTGTTTCTTGCGGCCAATGGAAATAACAGATCTGGTTCCAGTGTACCTTCTAGATGCAAATGATGCTCACATTTAGGTAATTCTTTTAAAAACTGTTCAGAAACCATGCCTTTTTTTTGTTGTTTTTTCCTTTATCTTTTACTCTTTCTCCACTTTAGTTATATTATTCTTCCACATCTACGGAAGTACAAACTAGAGAAAAACATATGTACATATATATATATATCCATACATGTTTTAGAACACTAAATTTGAGGAAAAAAAAATTTTTTTTCCTCTACCTCATCGCTATTCGCTAAACTGCGCTATCTTGGGAAGACTTTCTTCTACTTTTACTCAGCATTGTCTTCTTTCTCATCGTCTGCCCAATTATAAAACTCGACATCGCCTTCTTTTTTTCTCCTCGAGCCTCTTACTATTATGTTCTTTCTTTTTCTCACATTTTTCCTTTATTGTCAATAAAGATCTTTCAAAAAATTTTCCAAAATTAAAAAAGGAAACCAAGACCAAAATCAAGAAAAAAAAAAAACAAAAGAAACGACAAATTTGTGTAAGTTTCTTTTTCAATTTATTTTATTTTATTTTTTTTTTCTTTCTCTTTTTCTTTTTCTCTGTATTTTTAGTTTTTTCACCCCCTCCCCTCTCACATTTGTGATATTTTCGTACAAAATGCAGAAGGAATGACATTGAGAAGCGAAAATAAAAAAAAAGAGTAAAATAAAAGGCAGAGGTCAAGATTCGAACCGGGGATACAAATAGTGCAACTTTTCTACATTCTGCAACACGTGAAAATGAGATATGCAGACTTGAGCTAAAAAAAAAATTACAAAAACAAAAATAGAAACTGTCCAAATCAAGAAAATATCACCATGTACGTACGTACACAGTTTTATTTATTTATTTATTTATTTTTGTTTTTGTTCCATTTTGTATCGTCAATGTCTCTCCTTTTTCATCCTTTGTCTATTTTATTTTATTTTATTTTTTTTTTTGGTTAAATAAATCAAAATTTCATTCTAATTTCTTCAAGAGAATCAATCAATCAATCAAGGTAACAAAAAGAAAAAACAATCTCAAAGTAAATAACAAAGTATACAAACCAGTATACAAAATACAGTGTATTGGAAAACTTTCACTTGTCCATTGAGCCATCTATTGATTCACTAATAACTCCCCTTTAAGTTTCCTCGAGCATACGGTTTTATAAAGGAACAAGAAAGGAAGAAAAGAAGAGCACACGTACTCGTCGAATAATCTTTTGAAAGAAAAAAATTTTTTTATTAACTTATTTTTTTTTTCCTTTTTAAGATTGACTAAAATTGATTTGTGTTTTGGTTTTCTTAGTTACTTACCCATTAATTTTTTATTCTGTTAAAGTGACTTAATACTTTCTTTGTCTTCTTTTAAATTAATATTCAACAATAAACAGAAAAAAAAAACATAATAATATGTCCAATCAACAAGGTTATTTCAACCATCCAGCTGGTATTAGCACTACTAACACAACAGCACATACTGCCAACACTAATGGCAATAACATTTCTCGTTCATTAAACGGTGTCAATAACAATACGCCTGTTACTCCCAACACTTCGTCTAATTTTCAAAATGTAAGTAATATGAAGATTATTAACGGTAATATTGCTAATAACAATAACAACTATAACTATAACAACAACAACAACAAAAATAATAATATTCATATTAATAGTAACCCAAATTTGGTTAATCAAACAGTCTCCACCCCACAATCTAGTGTTACTAATAACCAACCTTCCTTACACCATACCAATACAAATGGTCACAACAATAATAGCAGCAACAATAGAGATGATTCTACTATTGTTGGGTTGCATTATAAAATTGGTAAAAAAATTGGTGAAGGTTCGTTTGGTGTACTATTTGAAGGTGTCAATATGATTAATGGAGTTCCTGTTGCTATTAAATTTGAGCCAAGAAAGACTGAAGCACCACAATTAAAAGATGAATATAGAGCTTACAAGATCCTTAACGGTACCCCAGGGATACCACAAGCATATTATTTTGGCCAAGAAGGCTTACATAACATCTTAGTTATTGATCTTTTGGGTCCATCATTAGAAGACCTTTTTGAATGGTGTGGCAGAAAATTTTCAATTAAAACTGTTGTTCAAGTTGCAGTACAGATGATTACTTTAATTGAAGACCTTCATGCTAATGATCTGATCTATAGAGACATTAAACCAGATAATTTCCTTATTGGCAGAAGGGGCACCCCTGACGCCAACAAAATCCATTTAATCGATTTTGGGATGGCTAAGCAATACAGAGATCCAAAGACTAAACAACATATTCCATACCGTGAAAAGAAATCGTTAAGTGGTACTGCAAGATATATGTCCATTAATACTCATTTAGGTAGAGAACAATCAAGAAGAGACGATATGGAAGCGTTGGGTCATGTGTTTTTCTATTTCTTAAGGGGCCAGTTACCATGGCAAGGTTTGAAAGCACCAAACAATAAACAAAAATATGAAAAAATAGGTGAGAAGAAGAGAACAACAAACGTTTATGATTTGGCACAAGGTTTGCCAATCCAATTTGGTCGTTACTTGGAAATTGTTAGGAATTTGGCATTTGATGAAACTCCTGACTACGAAGGGTATCGTCAATTGTTATTATCTGTCTTAGATGATTTAAATCTTCAAGCCGACGGTGAGTACGACTGGATGAAATTGAATGGAGGTCGTGGTTACGATTTAACAATAAATAAGAAACCTAATTTGCATGGATATGGGCATCCAAATCCACCAAACGAAAAACGTAGACATAGATCTAAACAACACATGGCCTTACAACAGCAACAGCAACAGCAGTTACATCAATTGCAACAACAAAAACAACAACAACAACAACAAGGACAATATAAACAAAATGAGGAATCTAAATTAGATCCTACTTCGTATGAAGCATATCAACAACAAACACAACAAAGATATGCCCAACAACAACAGAGACAACAACAAAGACAGCAACAAGCTCAACAAGCAGCACAACAAAGAATAAACTTGAATAATAATGTAAATAATATCGATATGAATAATAAAACGTACAATTATCAGGAACAACCAAACACAGTAAACCATAACCATAATGTAAATGGCAATGTACAAACCACTGACAACGATTCAAGTAAAGGATTTTTCAGCAAACTAGCATGCTGTTAAATGATATTACTAATCTTAAATTTCAAACATACACACACACATACGCACGTATATATATATTAATATGTAACAACAAAAGATAACTGTTTTTTCTATTTATTTTTATATTTTGATTTTTAATAAATGTAACATAATAATCATCGTAATAGATTCATATGTAAATGAGGTAAACAAAATAAAAAAAAAAGAATAACTTATTAAAAAAAGTCTTTCTGATTAATAATGTGGTGTTATATATTTATTTAATGTCTATATACGTAAATAATTGTAATAATAATTTCACTTTTTAATTTCTCCGCGAATTAAATATAAGGTATCTAATGTGAAAATCTTATCAACGACTCTGTCGTTTGGATTCAATTCTACCAATTGCTGATTATTATTGGAATTAAGTGCCTTATAAAGAAATAACCTCATATTTGGATCAGCTTTCAAATTAAGATTTTTGATACCAAGTTGGGAAGCCAAATAGTCAATGACTCTACCAACTGGCCAAATTTTATTAATATATATTGGTTCAGGTTCTTCAACGTTACGATCTACATCTAACACATAACAATATATATAGATTCTATTTTGCACTGGAATTTTTGTGTCTCCCTTGGACAAGTTCTGGAGAGATAATTTCTGAGAAAGATTATTAGAAGAAGAAGAGGAAGAAGAAGAAAAAGTCTTTGTTTTATGGCGATTGAAGAATTTAAGTAATTTATCTAAACTTGATTTATTCAGTGAAGATTTGATAGTATTGCTATTTGGTATCGATGAAGAGGGAGATGACAATTTTGTTGATTCTCTAATTCTTTCTGAAGCTTTGGCTGGAAGCAAACTTTGGAAAAACTTCCCATGATTATTAACCATTGAAGATACAGTCTTCTGGGAATTATCCAGTTTATTTACTCGGAGGGATTCACAGTGATGTGATTCTCTTAATCTATGTGAAGAACAAAAATCTTGATTGCATTGGGAACAATGGAAGGGCAAAAAGTCTAATTGTCTGCAATAATAGCAATGTGTCCCAACATCTAACATCCCAGTTTCCTTGATCATTATTATTGTTTAATATTACTAGTTCCTTATTATTGTGTTTGTATGAGTATACGTTTATGTCCTTGAATATTTTCAACTTGATTGACGATTCAACTATGCCAAAGGTGGCAAATTATATCAAAAATACATCAGTAGTTTATATATTCTTGAAACACACACACACATACACATACACACACAGAGGCAGGTACATATGTACACGTCTATGAGTGTGTTAATAATTCATTTAGAGGCTTGCATATAGTGTAAAATTGAAAAATGGGAAAAAAACAAAAAAAAGTAACCAAAAATACCACATGGAGAAAACCCATACATTACACAATACCCCATACAATCGATCAATATCTATAGATATTATAGATATTCATATCAAATAACACCACACATATCAATATCAAAGTGGAGAATTTTATTGACTAGTGACTGGCGATACATGGTTCAGCATAGTATCAATAATCTAAAATTTAGATGAAATTGAATAATAAAGTTTCAATTCCACCAAATTTCCAAAAAATCAATGTAAGTAGCACAACGACTATTGTGATATAAATAACAATTGGGTATAAATCATGCGTAATTAGGTTCCCTGAATCATCAAAATATAGATTTATCATCAACGGATTATCTTTAGTATAGATCATATCATGTGAAAAATTGAATTCTATAGATAGTAATAGAAAATCATTATCTCCTATATTACCTGTTGAATATAAGTTTACATTGGAGAATGACTCAATTGGATCTATAGCAGACCAAGATAACTTCAAATATATTGATTCATAGTCATGATGAGTGGAATTGAGTGAGAAAAATTGAGGGCTAGTCAGATTAGATAAATAAAATGTATTTATTTGAAAAGGTTGAATTATTCCATTGGAAATGATATTGTGATGACCCCATTTAGATGGATTTATATCAGCTATAGAGTACCTCCAAATTTCTGTATTTGCTGCTACATAGTTTAATAGAATTAATAGAACATATGATAATGAATATATGACAAAAGAGAACATTCTTACAGAGTATTTTTGTTCCCTCTCTCTTACACACATTTTCCACGTATACATATAGACAAATACATATATACACCAATATCCAACTACATCAATTTATTATATGATTGAATCATCTATAATTACAATTTTTTATTTTTTTTTTTTGAATACCTCTCTTCACTTTTGTTCCTTTCACTATCACTTGAACAATTCAAAAAAAAAAAAAATTAACTAGAAAAGATTACACGTTTAAAACAAAAGAAAAGGGAACAAAATAATGGTAAAGGACAATTAAAAACAGTTAAAAAGATCTGAGAAATGAAATAAAAAGAGAACTAGTCAATGAAAAAAGTAAAGCTAACATTAAATAATAAAAGAGATATATACACATATACACATACATACATACATATACATATATATGCATTTAAACATAAAAAAAGATGCTTGACAATGCTAACAACACTATTGACGATGAATTATACAATAGATTTATCACAGAGGTTAGAAGAAATATAGAATCTACAAATAATATAGGAGGGAGTAATTCAACTAATCCTATTATTAATTCTTCTTCTTCTACTACTACTACTGGTGGTGGTAGTGATGACACCAATAACAATAGTAATAATAATAATAACTATAGTAGAAACAGTCATGGTGACATATATGCAAGAATATTAAGGAGTTTACTGTATATTGACTATATATTTATGTTAATTACATTGCCCATGACACTATACACTATCTTTAATCTAGCAATAAATTTGGTTACTTTTAATTTTAATAATAGTGACAACGTTGAAAATGTTATTGGTAGTGAAGATATATTTCACAAATTACAAATATATTTCAAGTATGTTAAAGTAGAAGAGGATATGATTTCTACAACCACTGGTAATAATAAGGGTAAGTTTGAAGAAATACTACTTTTCATATATAATAAATTGTTTAGTAGAATTAAAACAATTAATTTTGAATCAATGACGACAAATACAAATAAACTTAACAGTAAGCCAAGTGAGATAGATTTAATTGACACACTAGGACTGCTTGGTAAATTCCACAAAACAATAAGATACTACACAACACCTTTAGAAAATCTCAAATTCTATCCGTCACTAATTAAGAGTTTGACAACAATAATTTTTCTATTATATGGGTTTATTGGTTCTTCGTATGTAATTTTGTTGAATATGTTTTTCATATTATGTCTAATCCTGACATTATTTAGAAGGTATCAAGACGTAGCAGAGATTATTATTAAACAATTCTGGTAAATTGACAACAACTGTAACAGTAGTTAACGGTTGTAACAACAGCTACAGCCATTGCAATAAGGTTAGTCAAAGAAATAGTACAAGCTAAAATCTAATATCTTTTTTTTTCATCTTTTTCTTTTTCTTTTTTTTTTTTTTTATAGACGTAGAGGGGAAATAAGAGAAAACAAAAGGAAACACAGCCCTAATCTCCGTGGCAAATGACAGGAAACCACCAAATAAAAAATAAAAAAAAATAGAAAATAAAAGTAAGCGCACGCACAAAAAGAAAGAAAAAAGACAATACTACTATTTTCTATTTTTATCTCAAAATAATAAAATAACAAAAAAAAAAGCGAAAAGAATCTAAAAAGCAGCTTTTTATTACACCAAATTCCTCTCCTATTTAAAGAATACACAGTTTATTTTTCTTTTCTTTAAAAAAAAGAAATAAAACAAAAAAAAAGAAATAAAGCAACGGATTTAGCAAAAATAATAGAAAAAATAGCAAACAAACAAAAATGCTACACCCATACACCAGCGCTACGAATTGTATTTTTATTTTTTCTTTGTTCTTTTGCCTTGTTGTTTTTTCTATTATTTCGCGTGTTTTTTTTCTTTATTTTTTGTTATTACTTTTTAAAAATTTGCCTCTCTTTGTTTGATTTTTTTTAATGCGGGGTAAATAATACATAAAGTCGGTCGAAAATACAACATAAAGTTCCCGCTATTGTTTAATCTTTTCATACTGCAGAAGATCGAGGCTAAATCAGCTGAGTCGATTGTTCGAAGTTACTTAATTAATAACTGACTTAGTGGGGCTGGGTTGTATCGATAAAGCAAATCAAATGTTAAGCAACCGGTAAAATATGCCGATGTATTCTTTTATATATAGATAAATGTTTTCTCGAAAAAAACACTATATACAAAAAAATAAAATATTAGACCCTCTCTTATCTTACTTCTTACATCTTGTAATTAGTGTATTGACAACACCTGTTCATTTATATATAATCAGTAGTATCAAAAGTCTGATACTGGGAGTGATTCCATCTATATGTGTAATTATAGTTGGTTTTAATATCAATATATATACATACACATACACATATACATACATATATATATATCTTTTTTATCATATTTTTTTTTAACTATTAATATCAAACCAAAATTATCTACTGATTACTATTATCATTTATTTGAACTTCACATAAAAATGTCTATATTTTTTACAAGAAATGATAGACATAGAAGTGATTCTGTCCAATCCTTCGTGTCTTCTATTTTTAGTTCAAATTCGACAAACCTAAATGACAGTGATGAATATATCTCTAGTTCATCTTTTTCAGAGAAATATAACAACAACAACAACAACAACAACAACAACAACAACAACAACAACAACAACAACAACAACAATAATAATAATAATAAAAATTTAGATTTCCTCAATGCAAATGAGGATTATTCCCATGATTTAGATTTTTTGCAATATATTGATCCACAACCTTCTTTACCACCTAATTATAATGACATCAATGTTAACGCTAAAGGTGCTATCTCTTTTCCTATCTGGGAAATACATCACACTTCTGTACACCCCCCAGAATATTCTCCTACTGTCTATGACTATACAATAGTATCTATTCGTACAGAATATGATTCTCCCAATGAAAAATTACCTCAGTTTAAATCTAAAGTATGGCAGAATTTTGTATTGGAAATTAACTCCACTCAGATAAATCTGTACAATATTCATCCTAAATTGGTTAAACTTATACCCAACTATAACCAAGGGATTATACCGACCAGCATTCTTTCCTCTTTCCAAAGGAAACAAGCGTATCAGCTGGATTCGCGCGATAATGAAATGATCCTGGACCAAATAAAAATAAATCCAAAGGAGTATCTAAATAGGAAAAGTTTATATGACTCGTTCTCTTTACAATATGCAAAGTGTGGTGTCCCCTTAGATTTTCTTTATAGAAGATTTATACAGGAATTGAACGGGGAGAGAGAAAGTGAATTTAATTTACAAACGATCCCTGATGAAAAAGTTATCTTCAATCTAATCAAAATTAAGGACCAGAAATATTTAAGGGTCAGATTAGAAGGTAAACAATTCTTAATAAAATTCAAAGATGTAGAGACAATGCTTCTATGGTATAAACAACTGAATATTGGGATTAATGTATCTTTGGACCTTGATTTACGAGAATTTCCAGATTATAGAGTAGTACCTAGAAGAAGAGCTCATCAATATAGAGATTTCCATTCTACTTTTTCGACAGACTATATTGATGATCGTACCAGTGATTCAGAAAATTCATCTGATTTAAGCTCAATAGAGGAATCAGAGGATGAAAGCCTTGATTCAATTCTAGAAGACAATACTAACAACGAAACAGAAAAATATAGATCAGACAGTCATAATTACACCTACGAAAAATATTTAAGTGACTGTCTTCGCTGTATTAGACCACTCTCTGAGATGAAATCATGGTTAAACAAAGTAATAGTCATGCCAACTAAAGAGCCCAAATTTACAACAAAAAATCTACCCAAGTATTATCATCCAGTAAACACAACAAATGACAAATTTAAGATCCAAAATCATTCACTAGGTTTATTCTTACTAAATGAAGAAAATGATCTAGTTCAATTAGATCATTCTGTGGCGGTATCATGGAATAGTCTCAGTTCTACCAGAATTGTTTAACGGATATTTATCTATACATATATATATCTATATGTACAAATACACATGCATATATAACATTATGAGTAAATTATAGTATGAATTTTATATTCTTTAATACATAACTATTCCTAAATGTTTTTTAAAGTATTTAAACAAAAAATATATACGTGTGAACAAGAATTATATCACAGTTACATATACATATAAAAAAAAATAAAAAGATAAAATTAAGGATATTAGATAAATATGGTTAAATCAATATATATTAAACTAAAAAAACAACATCAATATATATTATTAGATAAAGAACTTAAAAAATTATAAAATTAAGAATTCATGTAGAATGTTTCTTATTAATAAACAAAAAAAGAAAGAAATAAAAGGACAGAGTAAAAAAACATTTTTAACCTAAGCTATTACACAAAAAGTTGTGCTAAATGGTAATCTGAAATTATCCTTGTTTTCAGAAGTCTTGGACTTTTCAGCAGCAGAAACAGTAGAAACAGTGGTTGGTTGCATTTTTTAAAGTTTTCTTAATATCTTTGATAGTTGTTATCTTTTGTATTTGTTATCTTTTTTGTGTATGGTCTTATATGTTTGATCATTCAAGTATTCAATATAATTTTACATGATACTCTCTATTTATATACATTTGGAAAACCAAAATCAATCTCAAGCATTCTTCATTTACTTGGTTAAACTTTTTTATTTTTTTTTGATATCATAGACATGTTTCAATATATGTTTCATATTAATTTATCCGTATTAATATTGAAGAATCATGTAAATTGCCCGAATAGGAAATTTACATGATTTGCAACAGATTTCCTGAGACAAATTTAAGATTGCTTGCTCCCATCATTCTTTTTTGCATTTGGTCACAAAATTTATCATGTACCTCAATTAAAGAAATAAAACATTTATTATGTCTATTTGCTTTTTTTTTTTTTTTTACCTCATATGGTTATATACCTTAATAAACAATTTGCAAAATTATAGTGTATGGATGGACCAAAACCATAAATTACTACTACAAATCTCAGATTAAAAACGGTATAATCATAGCAAAACATAACAAAATAACAACAATTAATCTTATCGGATCAATTGGGTTACTTACATCAGAATCAAAATCCAAAGGACCAAAGATAGGAACGTTATCATCAACATTAGCTACCAAAGGAAATATAACAGACCTCAATCTAAACATATAATTCATAAACGCATCATAATTTGACCATAATTGATTGAGTGCAAATAATATAATAAAAAACAATATAAGTGGTTTAATCAGTTGAACTAGTCGTTCTATATTGTTTATAGATGTTTCAATTGTTACTCCATCATCTCCTGTATGGTGGACAATTTGACCGTTATTACTGTTTGGATTATTTGCTTGTTTATTGCTAAAAAACATCTCTTTCTTAAATTTAGAATGTCTAAACTTATGAATTGAAAGATATTGAATATTACTATTATGTCACTATAGCAGAAAATATGTATACACAAATAAAAGTAGCAATTAAAAGGAATAGAAACTTATTTACACACAATTTTCAATTAATTAATGATGATCCACATTTAATATTTGTCGATTATAACGATCAGCCTTGTATTTTTAATTGGTTTAGTAATAGTTTGGCTCTTACAAATAAGATTTTAATATTACTGCAAATTATTTTTTTTTCTTGGTTTCAAGATCTTGAAAAATAAAAATACTCAGAAGAAAAACAATATAGAAAAATGGATGAAATACCTAAAAAAAAAGGAAATTCCTTACAAAGCCTTCCTTTCAATATAAACATAATAATATTTGAAAATACCCAAATATAATATTATAGGAATCAACAGTGCCTATCATCATTTTCTGTCTTCTAACAAAATGAATACAGCACATACAAATACCAAGAGATCACTTAAAAAAATCCTAGATTCTGCATATGTAGAGAATAGTGATGAAGAAGATCAAGAAATTATTTCTGATACAAACATAGAACAAGATTATCAAGGTGAAGACGAAGACATAGATCCATCACTTTGCATTGAATGTAAGGATATGAAGACAGAGATCATATGTAATGATTGTGATGAACAATTTTGTGTAGTCTGTTTTGAAATGATTCATAGAGGCGGTAAAAGAAAATTTCATGAATATATTAAATTGACTAAAGATGAAAACAATAATGCCAGTGAATCATCGACTGGGGATGTGCTTAAAAATTCTGATGATGTTAATATAAATAATGATAATACAAATAATTTTCAGGAAAATATACCATCAAAAAAAGCATCACCTTTTAATGATAATATGACTAATGAAAATTCTATAAATAATAAATTATTGCAGATTTTAAAAACCAATGCTGAGTTTATTCCTTTAAGATTGACTTATGAAGAAAGACATTTGTTAAGATTGTTAGAAGCTGCATTACAGGTTTCTGAATATACAGATAGAGTAGATATACTCTCATATAAATCAAAAACGAAAAGAATTGTGGAACAATTAAAGGAGATTTGTTCAGTACTAACTGGTCTAGTAATTGCTTCTGATTTGAAAGTTGGTAAAAAACTTTTAGAATTGAAAAATTTTAGTGACAATGCTAAATGGTTCCAAGATGTATTTGAGATTGGTAGAAGATACAAGATCATGAATCCAGAAAGAATGAGAGATACATATGGGAAATTATGTTATATGGTTATGGATTCACGTTTACCCCAAATTGAAGAATATATGGAGTTCCATTTATTTAAACCTATTAAAACTGTACATTCATTTTTAACCTCAAGTGAACAAGATAACGGTAAAGCTATGGGCTTATTTGATGACAAACTAACTTTATATGCAACATCACATATCTCTCCAGTGGGTAAATCTAGAGCACAAATACAAAAACTTATTAGACAAAAGGAAAATGCTATTGAAACTATTGCCTCTAAATATAGTAGTAAATATTACTCTAAAGAGGATATTCGTCAAGTGTTGTATTCGATTGGCGATTACAATGCCTATATTAATATGAACAGAAAGCCAGTCATGAGAATGTTAGAGAGATTAGAAATTTTTAAGCAACCAGAAATAGCTCAAAAATATTCCATCGGTATTCAATATGGTAGAGATGGTGCTCGTCTAACACATGACCATGAAAGGCAATGGAATTATGTACAACAATCATTAACATTATGGTCTATTATCCAAAGAGAAATGGTTAGATTATGGTACATGGCAGATTCTGATTTATTTGATGGTAGTCACTATAGACTAGCATCCACAGGACATGGTTTGAATAGATTGAAGTCATGTCCAGTTATTTATAAGGAAATGCATAAAATAATTTCTGAATGTCGGTCAAAAACTAAAGCCTGGATTGGATCATCTGTAGTCCATTTAGGTGACGATGCTGTTCCTAATGCATTATTTTTCTTAGATAAGTACACTCAGGTTCCAAGCATTTTGATTCCATTTGATCAAACTTTGCTAAAAATCAATGATTTAGTAAAGAACGACCACCATTTATTAGAATATATTAACAAAGAATATGGCTCTCTAGAGGATTTGAAATTAACAATTTTACAAGATGCATTTACGCACATGTTCGATGGATCTGGTGCTGACAATTTCTATATGAGTGGGTCTTGTATCGATGGTAGATTAACATCTGCTTGGAATCATTGTAACGAAATTTCCAAGAAGAAATATTATAATATTTTCTTGCTAACCTCATTCAACGGATTTAATGGTTCTGAAGGTTTTTAAGAAGGAATTATATTCAGAAAAGAGGATACAATGTCCATGATATTTCCAATTTTGTTAGATAATTCTGCATTTCAATTATTCCATTAACATACGTATAGTGGCAATAAATATTACAAGGATTGTTTATAACATTGCTATAGTTTATATAAACAGCTTATAAAAAGTAATATAATCTTAAATGCAAGGTTTTCTTTTACCTTCATGCCTAGCTTTTATTTCTTTAAATATTAAATACACTACTAAACTTTTACAAGGTGACTTTTATATTAAGATGAATTGTTATTAACTATGCTTGTTAAATGAAATTAATTATCATTCGAAATACATTAGTAACTTTTTTTTTCCATCAGCAAAATGATTATTATTTTATTCTCGATGGATATAAACCTATTTATCTATGAAATAAACGTTGGACTAAAGAGGAAAATAATATCTATACACCATCCTTTATGGTATTACCATACTTGATTGTTAATATATGTTTTTAACTACATATATTTGTTACTATTTCAAAAATACAAACAAGACAGAATAAGGAAACCGTCCTTACACTTTTCTATATTAAAGATTCTTCTCACAAGTATTACCAACTGTTTTGTTAAGAAACTCAGAACCTATCATCTGTAAATTATTTATTTTCCAATAAAATGACAATAATATAACATCAAAAAGCTATTTATTATATTATTATTTTAGTATATATAACTAGATTGATAAAAACATTATACTTTAGATAGACATAAAACATTAATAGTTAACTATATTCATTTATATTCAAAAGGGAAATACTATCCTATTAGTACAGCTAACTAGTGACTAATTCATTGACTGTTTCATTATCTGACGTATTTTTGTCTACAACAATATCATTGATTCTATCTATTAATCTATCGATAATACCTATTTCAGCTTCATGGCTACTTCTATTGGTATCGCTATCATCTATCCTACTTCCTGCACTTACAACACTCGTTCTTGGTGTTCTAACGGCACCGACCTTATGTTGTCTCCTTTCTTCTTCGCTTAACTCAAGAACATTAGCAGTAAAATTAACCAGTGATTTAGCACTCTTTCTTCTTGCCCATCTATGTAATCTCGAGTCACTAGCAGGCAATGGAGAGACAATAGAAGGTTGTGGTGAAACATGCTCAGATATATTAAAGTACGAAGAAGCTGATACAGAAGACCTTGGAGTACGTGGTAGTTTAACACATGATAAACCAACATCACTAATCCACTTAGCAATTAATGAAGTCCAACCCAATTGATGAGATGCACCTAAACCTCTACCAGTGTCACCATCAAAATATTCATAAAACAAGATATAGTCTTTGAAATGCTCATCTGTAGATAATAGTTTAGAATGTTCACCATAATAAATTGCACGTTCACCATTTTCATCCGGAATAAACATATGTATCATACGGTAACTAATCTCTTCAGCAATTTCTGCTAAGTTCAAATATTCACCAGAACCGGTAGGAAACTCTACTTTAAACTCGGAACCATAGTATAAGTAAAATCTTTGTAATGCTTCCACAATCAAAAAAGTAGTTGGGAACCAGATAGGACCTCTCCAATTGGAGTTACCGCCGAACATACCAGAATCAGACTCACCAGGTAAATATTTCACTGTGTATTTCTGTCCATTAACATCCATTTCAAATGGATGCTTTTCATGATACTTTGACAATGACCTAACACCATATTCAGATAGGAATTCTGCTTCGTCTAATAATCTCGATAAAAGAGCTTTTAATCTATCCTTTGTAACCAACGATAACAATAGTCTTTCGCCTGCACCTTTTCTTTCCATTGAAGCTATGTTTCTGTCAAATATATCAGAACGATTTTCAATAAACCACTGAACTCTTTTTTTAAACCTAGGAAATTGAGCTAAAATACTCGGTTCCAATGTCATCGACGCATATAATGGAATTAAGCCTACTAAAGATCTAATATGTAATTGTTGCTTGTTGTGTGGACCCCATGAAATTGCATCATAATAGAAGTTGTCTGTTTCATTCCATAGATTTTGTTTAATAATCTTCCCGGCAATATTACAGTTTTCATCAAATGCATCAACGTATTCAAATGACATAGAATCACTGATAAGGATGAAATGTTCAAAGAATTTTGATGCAATAGCTTCATAAGTGGGATTCTCTTTGGCTAACTCAAGAGCAATATTTAACATTTGCAGACAGAAGAAAGCCATCCAACCAGTAGAATCTGCTTGTTCCAGAGTCCCACCAGTTGGCAAAGGTTCGGATCTATTGAAGACACCGATATTATCTAAACCTAGGAAACCACCTTCAAAGACGTTTTTACCTTCAGTATCTTTACGATTAACCCACCATGTAAAATTCAATAATAATTTTTGGAAGACACTTTCCAGAAAAACACGATCTTCACGGTGATATAAATTTCTTTCAATCTTAAAAACACGATAAACTGCCCAAGCATGGACTGGTGGATTAACATCATTAAAGTTCCATTCATAGGCAGGAATTTGACCGTTTGGATGCATGTACCATTCTCTTGTTAGTAAATTCAATTGATTTTTTGCAAAATCAGGATCGATCATAGAAAATGGGATACAATGGAAGGCACTGTCCCATGATGCAAAAAATGGATATTCCCATTTGTCTGGCATGGATAAAATGTCTTCAATATACAAGTGTTTCCAATTTTTATTTCTACCGTTTGCACGATCAGGTGGTGGTCTTGGTTTAATTGCTTTATCGCCATTATACCAATTGTCCCAGATAAAATTGTAAAATTGTTTTGTCCACAATAAACCGGCGAACGCCTGTCTTTGAATGTTTCTCAATTCATCATTAATTGGCAATGGTGTGATTCTCCAATAGAAATTATCAGCTTCTTGTTCCCGGTCGTCAAAAATAGTATCAAAGACATCCTCGTCTATAACTGCAAGGTCATCTGTATGATAAATATTGTTTTCAAAATCATCTGTGAACTTATATCTTACAGTGACATATTCTCCTGGAGGTATTGCTTTGAAATGATAGATAGCAGCAGCTTTAGTACCTTGATTCTTTGGATTGACAGCATTTTTAACACCATGAACCAAATATTCCTCTACTGCATCTTTAGTGAATTCTGTTGGGTTTTTTTCCTCGTTAAACAGTTTTTTCAAATTTGAATCATTTTCAGTGAAGACTAAAACAGGCTCTATATCATCGGCATCATTACTCATTTCTTCCTCATTTTCGAATCCACCCGGTGATGGTTGGAAAACAATTTGTTGTTGACCAAATTTGTCAGTGAAAAGATTAATTAGATTCGTTTCTCTCTTGTCTCTTCTTAAATATGGTTTCTGGTAAGGTTTCTTACTGTTAGGATCATGGAATGCCCAAGTATTTCTAAAGAAGATCTGTGGGACCACATACAGTTCACCATAATCTCTTTCAGATCTATTATGCACGGTGATTCTAAAATTCAAATTATTTGGATTTTGGTCATCTTTTGCCATTTCGAAGAAGACATCAAAATATGGAGAATCACCAGTTTGTGAATCTTTATAGAGACCATCAATGTCGTATACTTCGAATTCTTTGTCATGATAGCCTCTTTTAGCATTTTCTTCTACTAATTGCTCATAAGGAAACGCTTTTTTGAAGGGATATTTATACAAAGCTTTCATATAAGAATGAGTAGGAGTGTTATCTAGATAATAGTACAATTCTTTAACATCTTCACCGTGGTTACCTTGTGGGCCTGTCAAACCGAATAGTCTTTCTTTTAGACGACAATCCTTACCATTCCAAAGAGCCAAATTTAAACAAACCAATTGCTTATTGTCAGACACACCAAAGAGACCGTCTTCACCCCATCTGAAGACTCTTGCATTAGCGTGTTCGAAGGGGAAATTGGACCATGCGTCGCCGTTGAACGAATAATCTTCTCTAACTGTAGCCCATGATCTTTCACTTAAATATGGACCCCAACGATACCAATATTTTTTATGTTCTCTATTTTCTTTCAATCTTTTTTCTTCAACTGTTGAATCAACAAATTCTTCACGTAAAAACTCCATTATTGCACAAAAAGGAAAGAAAAAGATAAAAGAAAAAAAAATTAAAGATAAACTGCTTGATAGATTGTAATCACTAGATGAAATCAACAACAAGTAAAAAAAAATAATAATAATAAAAAATCGAACACTATTTAAGCACAAATAGATAACTAAAAGGCAGAACTGAAATAAATAGGTATAGTATTCAAGAAAGGGAAAGAGCAGAGGAGGGTTGTAAAACAAAAGAAAAGTAAAACAATTCTTTAAAATGTAATAATATTAATCAACTAATGATTTAATTAATTAAACATTCGGTTAACTAATCAACTAAATTCAATCAGTCAAAATATAACACAGGTAGATATAATCATTAATCTTAACATACACACAAAGATACACACACACACATATATATATATATATATACAACTAACACACCACATAACGTCAAACTATTTTTTTTAATACCAACATTGGGCATGCACCACTTATTTTACCTGTTTGGTTTCCATCTTTACTTTTCTTATTGCTTCTCCCTACCCCCCCTACTTTCTAATTCCCTCTCTCCGTTGTATCTATTTCCTACATTTCAGCACTAAGTAAATAACAAATAACAAATAATATTCTAACCCGAGAACTGTTAAACAGATATGTTATATTTTCTTTTCTTTTCTCTTTTTTTTTTAAGGGGAAGGGGAGAATATCTGACATTTTTTTTAAACTACCTGTCCGTAAGTGGTAAAACAATAGCAGTCTGTAGTAGTATTGTTTCTAGATGAATGAGTGAATAAGAATGAACAATAGTAAAAGAAGTAATAAGACCGAGCCGGATTATTTAGACAATTACTATTGTTGTTAATATTACGTTTGTAGAGATTATTACCATAAAAAAGGTTCGAGACCATTTTTTTTGTTTTTCTTACCTTTTTTCTCCTTGTTGTTTGACGTGGTGTACGGATGATATGCGTTCTTTTGTACGGAGTTTGGAATTCAGTTTAGAAAATAAGAAGAGAAAATGGAGGAGAAAGTAGAAGCCAGTACAAACAGTGAAAAGAATATAGATGTGTGCATGAGAGATACAAAAATTAATATGCCTATTTCATAATATATATATAAATATATATAATATAAATTCATGATTTTCCTTTTATTTCAATAGTTTGAATGCAAAGTAATAATGCTAAAAGAGGTGAAGTGAATATTTTAAATGATAAGCTAATTAGATAGCAATCTTGATATAATATGTACAAATTTCTTTCTGTTCTGTTCTGTTCTGTTTTGTCTTGTTTTGATAAAATGATAGTAAATTTATAAGTTGTTTGTAAGCCAAAGTCATTAGTCACTAAAAATAACAATCTTGTCACAGTAAAAAACGATATCAGAAAACCATATAGTTAAATTAGAATGATGATAACCAGAGTTGGTAATTTTGTTGTGCCATGTTATAATAGTTGTAACAACTTTCTTCTGTATTTAAAAAAAAACTAGTAGCACTATTTAAAGTATTGCTACTACAGCTACTACTACTACTACTATTACTGCCTCTGCCTCTGCCTATATTTCTGTCTTCTAGAGTTTTATTCTTCATCCTTATTTTGCCAATTTTAGATGTAGGTAGTATTATTGAGTCATCTAAAGCAAGCATCCATCCACCATCCTTTATTGTCGTTTCAATATTATTATTAATAGTAATATTATTATTATTATTTGAATTGTTTATCTGTATATTTTTCTTACATTTCGATGCCAGACTTGGTGATAATAAAACTGATGGAATATTCTTATCTGTATCACAAATATCATCTATATTACCACTCGGTATAAACATATTCTTAGGTACTGACATTGAAAATACATTTTCGTCTTCCATAGAGTATAAAGTATGTGAATTGAGCATATTTGTCTTTTCCACTTGTTATATATATATATAGATCTGTATGTATATATGTGTGTATATGTGTATAGTATCGTTGACTGTTTGTACAATCGATTCTTATACTTTTTTTCCTGGTCTTCCTCTTTTTCTTCTTCTTTCTTTTCTTTTTTTGTTTTTAACAAATATGTTCGAAACAAATTTTGTCGCTAAACTCGCGTTATTTCTTTTTGTTTAATTTGTTCTTACCTGTAGTTCTTTACTTGAGTATCAATTCAGGAAAGAATGTTTATGTGCATATTATATGTATTCTGTCAAGTATACTTACTAAGTGCAAAGTCTTCCCTTTATAATACAACCTAATACCTACGTCTAAAACTTCATATATATATATATATATAAAAGTATGTCAATCTGACTTAGTTTGTTTACTTATTTCTCCTCAAAGATCACTTATATTATTTATTCGTCACTGCCATATTACTATTATGTCATTTTGTAAGAAATAATAACAACCGTCAAGGAAAAAGGGGGGGGAGGAGAAAACCAAGCGGATAAAACTGTTTTAATACAGATAGAAAAAACAAAAGAAGAAAAAATAAAAAAAAACAAGAAAAAAAAAAAAAAGATTCACAACCGCATTCTTTTCTCCTTTCTTTCGTGCTTATTCTGGTGTCATTATAAAATTTTATGTCACATATAATTAATCGTAATATACAGAGAAACCTCCTCCCCTTCCCCCTCTCAATTTTCCTCAACAATAAAAAGAAAAGAAAAAAAAAACATAATTTTTTGTTTCTTATTCTTCTCTTTTTTATTTTATGGCTTCTTCCTTTTTGAAAAACCAAAAATTGCCAAACACATGGGGTCGGTTTTGTAATTTGTAAAATATACAAAAAAAAAGAAAAAAAAGAAAAGAAAATTGCAGTTCCCCCCTCTATTTCTCTGTTTTTGCCCTTTTCTTTTTGTCTATTCTGAAATTCACATGATACAATAAAAAACCAAACAAAAAATGGTACTTTTAGGAAAATGTTTTTAAAAAACTCATTACAACCCTATTGTAAATTATTGTATGTGCTAACTTTTTTCAAGTAAACCCTAATAATATTTAGTTTGAACCAAAAATTATTTAATAATGTGAACAATTGTTACATAAATAGTATTAGATATACAACGATAAACAAATGAGAAATTTATTATCAACTCTCCTTTATAATATAACTATATATATATCTCTACTATTAAAAAAGTGTTTACATCCAGCTAGAATTGGAACGCTTTTTTCTTTTCTTGTCTTACCTTTTCAATTACTTATTGGATATTCAATAACACCATTAAATAACAAAAAAAAGCAGATACGAAATAATTGTTGATTACAAAGTTAGTATACTGAACGATATTCTAATACAGACGTAGAACAAAAAAAAATTAGAAAGCAAGTAGTTAAAATAGAGTTATGATAGTCTTTCTCCCTATACCATTTATTCTATTTGAGCTGTGTGCATGAACTTCATAAAAATGGATATATTCCATGATGTTTTTATAAACCCTAACTCTAAATAACTAACATAATTGAAGAAATGCAAAATGCTGTTTTTAGCCCGATATTTTTATTTTTGCACATGTAGTCCTTTCTCTAATTTTATGATTTTTTTTTTTTGAAAAGAAAAGATTTTCACTTTCCAATCTTAGAAATGAAACCAAGAAGAGAGGAGTATTGTAAAATACTTGAATAATACATCTGATTGTTTTACCATGTAACTGTCCCCAAGAATACATGATATAATAAAAGTTTCATACGTAAACATGCCAAAACATAAAGCCTCAGTTGCAACAAGAATTACAAAAATGAAGAAATGAATAAAGCAGATCGTAAATAATTAATCATTTCAGTGAATCTGTGAACTTCTGCTTCTGCTTCTGCTTCCATTCTTTTTCTTTATTATCTTATATACGTATACAGTCTAAGCTTGTTTTTTGTTTAGTTTTGTTTAACTAAAACACACAAAAAAGATCAAATGTATGAAGTATTATATACGAATAAGGTTGCATTCTTTTTCTTTTTTTTTTTTTTTTCATTTTAGTCTGCTTTACTAATATCATTATAATGATACATAAAAATAAGTAAAAACAGACAGGAGAAGTAATTATAATTCTGCAATAAAAAGAGGTCATCTTGACAGTATCAATCAAAAAAAAAAAAAAAAAAAAAAAACACTATGATAATTTGTAGTTCGATTTAGAATGAATATATAAACATTTTCAATTAAAGAAATCTTCATGTCAACTAACGAGTCAAAGATAAAATTTCATAATACGGGACAATATAATGGCAATATAGTCCAGTTTTTCTTCTCCCTAATGTTTTTGTAACTTTTTTTTTAAATATAGTTAAGTTATGCCAAAATGAACCAATAGAACCTCTACCTTGTTGCAAGTTGTGTGTCTATACGACAAATTAGATTGACACTAATCTGATACAGGATATACCAACAATAGATCAATTTAACTCCAAGTTGATAATTATACAATCTAGCAGCTTGACCAAGTTGGTATCTACCACTAAATACTAAGAAGAATAAATTCCATGATTGAATCAAGTTGATGGCATAGTATATAGATGAACTAGATAATAAGAGGGCGAATATATTAGATTACAACATTTACACATAGAAAATAGTCAGTTAAAGAAGAACATAATGTGTCTAGAGAAATATCTAATCCTAACTTATATTAATTCACAGTTCTAGAGAAGATACTTTCTGTACTGGGCATTTGATCTAAGATCAACCGCGAGCACGACAGAATAACAGCAGTGAAGTGTTATTAGGTGAATACCCTAATTCCATATGATTTACGAAAAAAGAGATAATCAACCCACCCAAAGGGTTAAAAAAACATAAGATGGTGGTCCGTGACTCTGGGCGTCTATAAGTAAAAGACATTGTGCCCTTCTTAGGCCTGAACCGAAAGATCAAACTTCTTAACCAAGAAAAACTATTGAAATGGACGTGTCTCGTTGAGTTTTTGCTACAAAACACTTTTAATTTGTTTATATACTATTTGAAAATTTTGATACTGCTTACAAAAAAAAAAAAAAATAAATAAAAAACTCTAAGACATATTTTTGCATTTGTAGGGTAACTATATTGACCCAAAGTTAGGGTTCCTTTATAATTGAAAAGTGTACAAAAGGTAAATGCAAAAAATATAGGATTATATCGTGGTCATCGTGGTTTATGGAGCATTCTTTTTATAATAAAAAGATATATTTACATGTATTCTTCTTGATTAATGAATATTATATATGTGCCTATATATCACAGAGAAACAAGTTATTTGGTAATTCTTTTTTCCTTTGCCGTCAAAACATCATAACGCAATTTCCAACCAAATGACCCTAATTCTTTGATTCTTGCTGGTTTATCTTTACATAGATAATTGTCTAACCCACCCTCATGACTAATAGTACGTAATACCTTAGTAGTTAGTTTCAAATGAATCATTTTATTCAAAGCCTCACTCCAAAGTCTTTTACGAATTACATTTGGGTACCACTTACGTCTTGTTTTATGTTTACTTTCGGATATACTGTTACCAAATTGAATAAAACTACCTCCATAAAGACCTGTGTTACTTTGTTTAAAAATACGAGATTCACCATATGGATAGTCTGGATATTCTGGTATTTTCTTGACTATATACGCAGGTTTGGGATCTCCAACTTTATATGCTTTAGGAGCAGCTACTTTTCTGATTTCTACTTGTTTCCACTCCCTTTGCAAGCCAATATATTGACTAAAATATCTTTTAAAAACAAACCACTTATTGCCCATATCCAGGTTATTGATTGTATATCGTAATCAATGTAGAACAGTTCTTTTGGTTATATTATCTTCTATCTCTTACTATTTGTTATTCACCTCATGCTTATTAACTTTGTAGTAATTTGTTCCTCTATATTTTTCTTTTTGTCTTTTTTACTTTTACCCTCTATATTTATTTTTAAAAAAAATCACGGACACATAAATTAAAAGAAAATTATGCTAGGAATCTTTTGAAGTAGAATGTATACAGGGACTAGAAGTTACCAACCTCTTCCGATATATAGTTATTGGTATAATATCTTATCCTTGTCCATTTTCTATGATATTCATATTTAATAAATTATGAATAATAAGCATTAATTCACTAATACTCTTATTAAATTATAGTGAGCAGTATATAAATATTGATTATAGATATACATAATCTGAGACAAACAGAAAAAATGGACTACATATTTCTTTATTGGAGAGATTAATTACTGGAACACCTTCTTAAATCCAGTCCATGTGCTATCTATTAGGGGAGTTCTAGACAATGGGTTATCATTCGAAAACAGATGTGATAAATAGATACCTTTTTCATTTGCATTTGTCAATTCCGTTACAAGGTTTTCAAGTTCATTGATCTTATCTTGATAAATCAGATTCTTCTGCATGACATTGGCATTTTTCTTTAAAGTATCATCTAAATTTTTTTGTAAATCACTTGGAATTGGTTTGTTATTGGAACCCTTATTTTCCCTGATCTGCTGTTCCAACTTTCTCTTTGCTTCTAATACTTCTATTTTTAATCTTGAATTTTCACTAAGTATACTGTTAATTTTTAATTGACTTTGTAATAACTCGTTAGCAATAGTGACATGCTCTCTATTTAGAAGTGTATAATCATGTTCTAACTTTTTTACCTCCTTTTGCAATTCTTTGTTCTCCGTTTGCATTTTTTGGAATTCATCTCTCATCGCCTTGTCTCCACTGTATATCTCATCATATTCTTGGCTAAAAAGTTTAAGCAAATTGGGTCTGATCATAGCAGGGGAGGCTGATTTCTTAATTAGTTCATTGAATGAAAGAACCCTGGCTTCTATTTTAATATCATCACTAGTGTTATCGCTACTTGTTTTGTCATCAATTGGTAATAAGTTATTTCCATCCTTTAAAGTGACCAATAATTCTTCGTATTCCATAGACATTACTTTTCTTTTATTGAATAGCAAAATTTGACAACTAATGGAAAGCAAAATATCAAATCCATAAAAAAATATTAAATCGATAAATATAATCTGCTCAGAAGAACTAAATCCAATTTTTTGGAAGATGGACTTGATCCAATCAATAACAAACATTCTTGACTTAATCCCCTGTTGTAATAAATGATTGTATAAATCAATATCATGCTCTTGTAACAATCTATCGAATTTAAACAGTATTTTATTCATATCATTAAATTCATTGTTTAAGAAAAATTCTCTAAGTCTATAATACTTCATTAAGATACAAAATAATCCAAAAATTTTGATTTTATCATTATTATACTGTTTAGTGAAAATGGATATGACACTTAGTATAGATTCGCTATATTCGACTTCAGGGTCAAAACTTAAGTATGTTTTAACGACATTAAAAACTATATCTTTTTGTTCCTCGTTTTCCGGGAAGATTTTCTCTATATCTATTTTAATTTGTTCTTCATCAAAACTACTATCTTTAGAAACTAACAATTCATAAATTGTATTCCAATTATGAGATTTCATAAATGTAACAGATTCCCAAACTTCATTTCTAAGTTGAACAGGAATTGAATTTGAAGATATTATCAACTTTTCGATAGTTTCATATCTTTCATTTATAGTATTTTCTGGATCCTTAATTAATTGTTTCCAAATATTCGATTCTTCTGTCTCACCATTGTCCGTAAGTTCTTCGTTGTGAGGCAGTATTCCATGAGGTTTATATTTATCACTCAATTTTAATTCGTTGATTGTTTCATTCAATCTAAATATTAACATATCATCTGCAATTAATGATCTTTCTGACTCAATATTATTAATTTCTCCATTTGACTTGTTTGGATCTCTGTTTTGTTGTTTGTTGCGAGAAGGTAAAATGGGTACACTTCTTCTTGGTGGTAGATTGGGGCCTTCATTATCTAGTATTTTTGTTTCATTTTGTTTAGAATCTAGACTATCATCATTTTCACTGATATTAACAGATTCTTTGCGTTCAGGTAATGGTGGAGTACTAAATTGCGACAAAGCTGAATATATTTTATTAGTTTCTATAGCTAATTGACTGTTGGTTTCTATAGGTATAGGTGGTACACTTTCTAATTCATTACCGTTAGGCTGAACTGCTGTAATGTTTGTTTGGTTATCAATATTATCTGGTGTATTAATTTCTTCACCTTTTGTATGTTGTCTACTTAAGCCATCTGTTAGTTTTATTGTTTGAGGTATCAACTCCTTGCTGTTAGTTTTTGGAGAATCTTCAGGTATATGCGTCAATATTTCATGACTTTCTTGCTCCATTGTTTAAAGTAAATTATATATGAGTGTGTAATTGCTAAGAAGAAAATATAATAGAAATTTATATATTTCAAAAAGTTCTAATATACCTGGTTTTACTTAGTTAAGTGTTAATCGTTTGAAGAATAAAGTTTGTAATGCGGTAGTCTAAGTCTATCAATCAGTCTTATTCAAATCCTTTGTTTTATTTTCTTCCTAGTCCTCCCTCTATTTTTATTTTTTATTTTCGAATTTTCAAATAATGAAATAATTTCACTTCCTGATCTACCATAATATCACATAACAACCTCCTTCCTGAGAACCTAAAAATACATATATGTAAGATAACTAATATTATTTTTCGATGTTGAATTTATATTTATCGCTAGCATCTAAGTTATACCATTCAACTTATGTGATGGCATCAGAATTACAAACAAAATTGAGCTAATATTGAATATATAGATGTTCTTTAATAGAAATATATAAACTTAATTATATTTTAATTTAATGCAATTGATCTGTAACTGTAAACGTTAACTTTAGGTTTGAATTAATAAAACGTTATTTTCTTTTTTCTTTTTAATAAGAGAAACTAAAATGAAACTATGCTAGTATATTTTGTATTCCCACTTAGTTGGGATTAAATTTAAGAGACTATACTGATTCTTGGGAAAGGATGGGTGATAACGAATTTAGGAGGACTATATCGCTGTCAATGGAATCAAAGCTTCCATTACATGAAGAAGACAATATATCATCTTCATTATTATAACTATCACAACTACTATTGATTTTATTATTGGTTTGATAAAAATTCTGTCTTTGATTTACTTTAAAAGAGATTCTATTAATATTGGAACATTCATATATTGTACCTTCTTTTATTTTCAAGTCAGAAACTAGAATTCTAGTGACTCTAAGTGTCATGTTAGGAAAATATATCCTCAGCTGATTATCCCCACTTATGTGTTGACGATATTCAATTGGTAAATAGCCACAACTTCTAAATATCTTTTTAACATTTAAGTGTAGTTTATTTATTGACTTCATAGCTGATTGTAAATGAATAAGCAAGTCTTCATTTGAAATAATTAAATTCTGTTCGTTTGTATATATCATGCCAATTTTGGGTATTATAAATTCAATAAATGATTCTGATTGTGGAGTATGTGTATAATCATTTTTATATTCCAGAGGCTTTAAATATTTCATGTTATGAGGAGAGAGATATAATGAATATAAATAGTCTAGTAATTGGTTGATGATAACTTTACTATAGGATTTATGTTGATAAAATAATGGTATGTTGAAGATATGCATCCTTTGAATAACTGATCCACTATAAAAACCAAGGGCAACTATCTTATTCAATTGTAACTTACATATAACATTAAAGGGAATATTTCTTTTAACGATACTTGGTTTAGTGTTCAAAAAATTGGATAGATTCGACTTCCAATTTAAAGCAGTGATACTATTAGATAAACAATTTAATTTGGGGTATAAACAAGTTAAATGAAATAATGACAAGTATTTAGCTGGAGTCGTTTGGAATTTAGGAAGGACCTTGTTTATGCCACTAAATTTACTATTTTTATGACTAAAATAAGCACCTCGATATTCATTACTAAGCAAATATAACCAACGGATGTAGAATTGGTTATTGTCTACTGCAGGTTTGAAATGAGTTAGTGCAGGCCACATCTTATATTTTAAATAGATATGCTAAGTTTGTTATTTATTTTACACGCAAAAAGTGTATTAGGATTTACAAGTTCAAAATTTAAAATATATTGCAAATCGTCTGACTTCCTACTTATATGATTTACCTTTTATGTAACTTTTGCAAGGTATCTAGTTGTCTGGAGTTATTATTTGTGTCTAAATATATACATGTATATTCATTATTTCTGTGTGCTTGTTGTTTGTGTATTTTCAATGTTGTTATTTTTTGTTTATTTCATTAAAGGACAAGTATGGATGACGTCATAAGTTCCCTTCTTTTTCTGAGTGATTACGTTATCTTAGTCATTAATGATTATGTCATCAGTAAAATCAGATACAAAAATGAAATCCGTAAACAAAAAAAAATAAATAAATAAATAAAAATGTTAAGTGAAAATAAAGATGAGATCTTCAAAAAAAAGAGCAAAATTGGAAATAGAATCCTTAAACACGTGGTGTTTTAATTCATCTTTCCATGTAACAAAACTGTTAACAATTGGCACTATAAGATATGTTGATTGTGCATAGTATATTTTTATACATACATCATTTTTTGCAGTAAAAATATATAATAATAGCAAGTCTTCACAGTGTTGAAGATGGTGAGAAAGCCATCACACAATTTAAGAAGAGAACATAAATGGTTCAAAGAGAATAATTCATTCAAACAAGACACAGATTTAGTCTTGCAAATAATTAATAAACAATACCCTCAAAATAAGAGGCAAAAGGTAGATTCACAATATGATACTCCAGTTTTGTCAGGCCCTTTACCAACGCGCCGATCCTCTACAGTTTTTGATGTTCAGTCTCCTCTTTCTCCCCCTGCTATTGCTGGTACTAATATTGTTAGACTTCCGAATAAGTGTATAAATAGTGGAGATAATATTAGGAAATCTGCAATAAATAAAGATAATAAGCAAGACATAAATAAACGGCTATGTGTGAAAAATTTAGAATCGCAAGGTCATTTACTAAAGAATAATATTTTGCCATCCTCGTTACCTATTCACAACAACTATGAAGCTTCAAAAAATGCTTTGAATTCAAATGAAGGAAGTATTGTTAAAACAAATATACCATCCTCTATATCAAATCCAATTATTCACTCCAAAGATAGATTAATAGATTTCCAAAGTAAACTAATAAAATTGCTAAATGCTGAAATTGACTTATTGACAGAAAAATGTGATATTATGGTATCTACATCCCTTTCAGAGGATTCTAAAAAATTACAAATATCTGAAAAAATTATACCATCTATGAAAGTATTACAACAAAAAATTAAGGAGCAAGAATCTAAAATTGAAAGCATTAAAGGTATTATTGATATTCAAAATAATACAACAAGAATACAAAGAACCTATACTGAGTCTACTTTATCGCATAGTAATTCAATATTTGCCAAAACAAATGCTAATGTATCCAAAAATACAAGTAATTCAAATATTTCATTACCTACGCCGGAAGAGATGCAACTACAAGGAAAAGAAACATTTTGTGAAACTGACAATAATAGGGATGATATAATAAGACTATCTGGAGATGAAGATTATGACGACAATGTGATAAATGATTATGAAGATAACATAAATAAGGATATTCCGTATGACACAAGTGTTGTTGTTGAATCTACCCTTGCAGAAGGACCACAAGGATCACTACCAATTTCTAAAAGACGATTACGAAACAGAGCACCAGTTAATTATCGTATACCAGAAAAAGATGATCCTTTTGATTACAGAGTTGGACGTAAAGATAAAGTACTTAGTCAATACGAGCCACAATCTGAAAATGAATCAGTAGATGCTGAGTTTGACAATCAATCCGACTATTTATCAACAAGAGAAGAAGAACGTATAGAAAATGAAAAGTTGCACAAAAGTGATATCGATTTTATTGTAGATGATGATGCTGATATTATAATGGATACTCAACAAGAAAAATTATCCACTAAGAATAAAGATGTAGAGATTATTCTATCATCCCCTATAAGGGCTGACTCACATTACGTGGAACAGATAGATCTTATTGATGACAATGATATTCTTTTAGAAAGTGAAGGTTTATTAAATAATTTTGCGGATTCTAATAAAATAGATTCGGTTGGTCAATCTAATAATTCTGAATTAAGTAATACTAATCAGGCTTATCCTCGGCTATATACACCAAACGAACTTAGAAATAGTGATAATGATGATTCAGATTTTGATCTCGAGGATAGTGATCTTGAAAATTTCGATACAGAAAGAGAGAATCGGTTAGTAGGTACCAATATGAAAGATGTTGATGAAGAGTTAAAGATTATTTCAGAAAGAAAATTGGATGAAGAAGAAAGTCAAGCTGCTTTACAATTTTTAAATAATATTAAAAAGGAACATATGATTGTTGATGATCTTGATGAACTAGATGATATATCATTGGCAGACATTCACACTGATCAGAAATATAAAACAACCGAAAATAATAATAGCGAGCCTTGGTCTTCAGAAGTTTACCAAAAATTACATGACGTTTTCAAGTTACCAGGTTTTAGGTCGAATCAGGAAGAGGCAATTAATGCTACATTATCTGGTAGAGATGTATTTGTATTGATGCCAACCGGTGGTGGTAAATCACTTTGCTATCAATTACCAGCAATTGTAAATTCTGGATCAACACATGGTACTACAGTTGTTATTTCTCCATTAATTTCATTGATGCAAGATCAGATAGAACATCTTTTAAGTAAAAACATCAAAGCCAGTATGTTTAGTTCAAAAGGTACTGCAGATGAAAGAAGACAAACCTTTAATCTATTTATTCATGGTTTGCTTGATATTATATATATATCTCCAGAAATGATTAGTGCATCGCAACAATGTAAAAGAGCCATTCAGAAATTGTATGAAAATAAAAAATTGGCTAGAGTAGTTGTTGACGAGGCACATTGTGTTTCCAATTGGGGCCATGACTTTCGTCCAGATTATAAGGAATTGAAAATATTTAAAAGAGAATATCCAGATATACCGATGATGGCACTAACTGCAACAGCCAGTAAGCAAGTCATTATGGATATAATTCACAATTTAGAATTAAACAATCCAGTTTTCTTAAAACAGAGTTTCAATAGAACAAATTTATTTTATGAAGTTAGAAAAAAAAGTAAGAACAGTATTAAAGAGATTGTAACAGAGATTAAATCAAAATTCAGAAATCAAACAGGTATAATATATTGTCATTCAAAAAAATCTTGTGAACAGACTGCAACAGCATTACAGAAATTTGGAATTAGGTGTGCATACTATCATGCTGGTATGGAACCAGAGGATAGATTGAATGTTCAGAAAGCTTGGCAGTTAGATCAAATAAAGGTCATTTGTGCGACTGTTGCTTTTGGGATGGGGATTGATAAAGCAGACGTCAGGTTTGTGTATCATTTTACAGTCCCTCGTACTTTGGAAGGTTATTATCAAGAAACAGGTCGTGCAGGTAGAGATGGTAACTTTTCTTATTGTACAACATATTTTTCTTTCAGAGATATAATGACGATACAAACTATGATCCATAAGGATGAAAATTTGGACAAGGAAAATAAAGAAAAGCATTTAGAAAAGTTGCAACAAGTTTTAGCATATTGTGATAACATAACTGATTGCAGAAGAAAACTTGTTTTATCATACTTTAACGAAGATTTTGATTCTAAGCTATGTAATAAGAATTGTGATAATTGTAAAAATAATGTAGCAGCAACAAGGGAAGAACGAGATGTTACAGAAATTGCTAAACAATTTGCTAGTATGGTTGATGCTTTGGGACATGGGCGGATAACATTAATCCATTTCCAAGATATTTTTAAGGGTTCTAGAAGCTCGAAGATAATCCATTCTGCACATGATAAGTTACCATTTCATGGAGTTGGTAGTAAACTTACAAAATCATATATAGAAAGATTAGCGTTTAGATTGATAACACTACATGTTATTGAGGAATACTCGATCATGAACAATAAAGGGTTTGCAACAAATTATGTTCGAAAAGGACCTAATTTCAGAAAGCTTATGCATAATCAATTACAGATTAAGATGGATTTCACTACACCTAAGAATTCAAGACCTTCCACCGTTGAATCATCTACACACAAAAATAAACCTCTAAGTAATGAATCTGGGAAAGGAATGTCTAATAATTCATTTAATACAGTAGAACATATTAGATCTTTTACATATCATGAGGAGTCTAACAAAGGAATAGGTCCAATACAACCTATTTCCCTACAACGAAATTTTGAAGTCAGATCTACTCAAGACATGATGGAACTTTCACACGCATATAATAAGTTGAAAGATGTCTGTCGAAAATGTGCTCTTCAGATGAATCCACCGGTATCTGTGTTTTTACCGGATCATATAATTAGAGAGATAGCTATGCATCTACCAGTTTCTGAAGAAGAGTTTTGTAGCTTTCCTAATGTTGCTACCATACACAAAAGGAAATTTAAATTTCTGAAACCAACTATCATGGAACTAAGAAAGAGAAGAATTAGGAATATTGGTTCTTCTCAGGTAGGAGTTGCTTTAGGTGATTCTAGTACTCTACCTGATTTTGATTTAGTAGCAGACAAGACTGCTTCAAAATACTTTAGTTCTGATAATAGAAAGCGATGAATACTGGATAAATGGCAAAAATTCATCAATTGTTAAACCTTGAAATGAAACTTATATGATCAACATAATATTTAAAAAATTAGATCCCTGAAAGAAAACCATCAATTCTTTTTGGGTTCTATTCTTTTTTTTTTTCATGTATTAGATATAAAGTGATTCATATAAATATAAAATATTCATTATATAGCTACCACAATTCACATTAAATAGGATATTACTAATTTATTCATTCTTCGCTAACTTCTTCCACAGTTGGACAAGTACACATTAAATTTAAGTCACCATATGTATCATTTAATCTTGTGACAACAGGCCAGAATTTATTATATTTCAAGTAAGGTAGTGGATATGCAGCCAATTCTCTGGAGTAACCTCTCGTGTCCCAGTCTTTTGAAGAAATAATATCTTCTAAGGAATGTGGAGCATTCTTCAAGACATTACCTTTACCTTCACCTGCAATGAAAGCGTCAATTTCACCTTTAATAGAGATCATTGCATCCACGAATCTATCCAATTCTTCCAAATTTTCTGATTCTGTTGGTTCAACCATTAAAGTTCCGGGGACTGGAAAAGCTAATGTTGGAGCATGGAACCCATAATCTTGTAATCTCTTGGCAATATCAATAGCTTCGATATGCTTTTCTTTGTATTCTCTTAAATCAATGATAAATTCATGAGCACAATAATCAATACCATTTTCTTTATTGACGAAGAGGATTTTGTAGTATTCTTGCAAACGAGTTCTTATGTAGTTGGCATTTAACATGGCCATAATACTGGCAAATGGTAAACCTTTATTTCCTAGCATCTTGATAAATGTATAGGAGATGGGTAATACTAGTGCATTACCATATGTGGCAGAAGAAACACTTGAGATCGATTTGGAGGTAGCTGTGGTTGGTGGTGCAATAGAGTGGGTTGGTAGGAATGGAGTTAAATGTTTACGAACACCAATAGCACCAATACCTGGACCACCACCACCATGTGGAATAGCAAAAGTCTTGTGAAGATTCAAATGACAAACGTCGGCACCTAAGAAACCTGGCGAAGTAAGACCTAATTGGGCATTCATATTGGCACCGTCTAAATAGACTTGACCACCGTAAGTATGAACAATATCAATTGCATCTTTAACTCCAGGTTCATATAAACCGTAAGTAGATGGGTATGTGATCATGATAGCAGCTAAATTATCCTTGTATTTCTCTGCTTTAGCTTTTAAATCAATTAAATCAAGTGATCCATTTGGAAGACATGCTACAGAAACGACTTTCAATCCGCACATAGCAGCGGATGCAGGGTTGGTACCATGTGCAGACACTGGGATCAAGCAGACATTACGATGAGATTGTCCAATATCTCCAAGATAGGCCTTAATAACACGTAAACCAGTATATTCACCTTGAGCACCAGAGTTTGGTTGCAAAGATACAGCATCAAAAGATGTTATGCTTGCCAAGTCTTTTTCTAAAGACTCCACCATTTCTTGGAAACCCTTAACTTGATCTGCGGGTTGGAAAGGATGAAGGTTGGTAAATTGTGGCCAAGATATCGGCATCATTTCAATTGTACTATTCAATTTCATAGTACATGAACCTAATGGAATCATAGAGTTGGCTAAAGATAAGTCTCTTGATTGTAGACGATGTAAATATCTTAACATTGCAGTTTCACTGTGATGCTTATTAAACACCTCTTGTTGTAAAATATCATCAGTACGCTGAATACCTTCAGATAATTCAGGGATTTGATCGAAATTAACTTCTATAAGTTTATCTTCATTGAACAATTTAATTAAGCTTTTAATATCTTCGATAGTAACAGTTTCATCAATGGATAAAGAAACAGAATGAGAACTATTCGAATAAATATTTATGTTATACTTTTCTAAAGCTAACTTTAAGAACTGGGGTGAAGTATATTTGTCATTTAATTCTATAGTTAAAGTATCAAACCATGTCTCATTGGTTACTCTATGAATACCGCTCTTTTTGATAGTATTGGCTAAGATTGTGGTTAATCCATAAATTCTTCTTGCAATATTTTTAATTCCTTCAGGACCATGATAGACTACATAGTTGGCAGCAATATTAGCCAGTAATGCTTGGGCAGTACAGATATTAGAGGTAGCCTTATCACGTTTAATATGTTGTTCTCTAGTTTGTAAAGCCAATCTTAAAGCTGGTTTATTTAATCTATCTTTGGAAACACCCACAATTCTGCCGGGAATTTTTCTATTTAGTTTATTTGATACAGCAAAATAAGCTGCATGCGGTCCACCCATCCCCATAGGAACACCAAACCTTTGTGTAGAACCAAGTGCAATATCAGCATTAAATTCAGATGGCGGCTTTAAAAGAGTCAAAGCCATTATATCTGCAATCATAGTGAAGGTATTTTTCTTTGAATGCAATAGATCAGAAATCTTAGTTAAAGTTTCATTTGCTATTATAGAACCATCGGTTGCTGGATATTGAACCATACACCCAAACACCTGTGAGTCATTTGCTAGAATTGGGCCAACTTCGTTCCAATTGTAGCAATCAACTTCAATTAACTCGATATTAAATGGTCTACACCTTGTCCTTAAGACATCCTTTGTCTGCTGATGTAACCTTTTGTCAATTATATATTTGGTTTTCTTTCTTTTATGTATATTGAAGGACAATAAAAGAGCTTCTCCAGCAGCTGTACCCTCATCTAATAAAGATGCATTGGCAACAGGTAATCCGGTTAATTCAGAGATAACAGTTTGGAAATTTAGTAAGGATTCTAATCTACCTTGTGAAATTTCAGGTTGATATGGGGTATAAGAAGTGTACCACTCAGGCGACTCTAAGATGTTTCTTTGAATTACTGGAGGTAAGATAGTACCATAATAACCTTTCCCAATTAAATTTTTAACCTTATAGTTATTTTTATTAGCCAATGTTGCAATATGATTTAACATTGCTTGTTCAGTATAACCATCTTGTGGAGCATCTAAAGTCAAGGGTTTTAATTGTAGAATTTGCGGTGGAATCACAGCATGTACAAATTCAGATAAGTCTTTAAAACCCATAGTTTGTAACATTTTTTTAATATCATTTGGTGAAGGACCTATATGACGCCTTAGGAATGTGTCAAGTGGTTTTTTTAAATTAAGTTTGACATCATTTTTATTTATATACCCCTGATATAATTCAGCGTATTGGTTTGAACTTATATCAGTATTTTCTTGTTTAGATGATATAGAACTTTTAATAAAGTATCTTTTTGAAGTTATTGAGACTCTTTTGGTGAATTGTGGTATGATTATTCTTGAAGTAAATGATACTTTTGATCTTAACATAATTGATAAAGAAATATAAAAGATAAAAGAAAAAGTAAATAAGTAGTGAATAATATGTGAATATATGTATAATAGTAATAATATTAAAGATAATAGTTGCGGATGATTTTCACTTATATAGAATAGAATCAAATTAATTCCTCGTGGTTTGATAATTTGGGAGTCACTAAATAATATAGAAAATTAAATGACAGTAACCTTAAGTTCAAGTATGACAAACGTTGATACGTTGATAAAAGAGTTTTAAGAAAATGAATATAGTATGTAGAACGAATTATTTATGCGGGAGAAACATATAAATTATCAGCAATATTAATATATGTATATATGAATGTTTGAATGGAATTATAATATTTTGTTTCTATATAAAAGTTTTCTTGTTTTATAATTGATAAAGTATCATTCAAATTTTTGTTATCAAGATTATTAAATAAGAGAAGAAGTGGAGATTAGTTGATGAATAAACGAGAAAAAAATAAAAGTGTAAATAGAACAGGTGAAAAGAATATTGATAAGTTTTGATTCTAATAATATCATTAAATTAATGGTTCAAGGCATAGAAAACATGATTTAATTACTATGTTCATTTTCTTTGTTTTTTTTTCTTTTGTCTCATTTCTTCATTCAGACCTACTTCTATATACATTCTCATGATACTTCCTTTTATGACAAGTGGTCAATATTAACAATAACGGTGGTGATATTGATAGCATCCAAGCATTTCGTTTGTTTAATTGGTTCTAAATAATAAAAAAAAAAGTAAACAAAAACAGCCCAAAAGAATCGTAAAGGTAAACAGTGGAAGATATTTGTTCTGCAGAATATTTAGAATGTGTATTCTACCATCATTATTATTGGATATTTGATAAAATGGAATAATGATCTTTAACAATTTGGTTGCTGTAATTTAATTGCTGTCTATTGACAGGTATGCCATAGTAAATGACTGTTCCTTTGGACCGATTTGACTTCCTCCACTTTGAATCACTTCAGTCTTCACTTTGAATGACTCCGGCAGGCAAAAAGCAAAAGATAAAAACCAGAGTCTAATACTGACTTCCACCGGGGTTAGGACCGAGTCAAACACGAGATTCTTAGGGTAGGTTTTTATAGATTGGAAAAAGTTTAAAAGTTTATATAGGGTTTAGATTAACTTTTTCGTTAATATTCCAAAGTTTTTCTTTCCCAAGAAAAGAAAGAGATAACTAAAAGAACAAAATAAAATGAACAATGATTTTTAATCCTCCTTACAATCATCGAGAATATATTCAAACAGAAAGCGAACGCAAACACGTTGCAAGACTTAAGATAAATTGATTCCAACCTGATCAGATTATTTAATTGTGTCTGATTGTTTGTCCATAAGAAGCAAATATTGTTATAGAGGAGCGAAAAAGAGGAAATAAAAAGATAGATTATGGCAAGACAAAATTTCGTTGGTATTGTTGTATCCCAAGGGAAGATGCAAAAAACTGTTAAAGTACGGGTTGAAAGAAGAGTTTTCAATAAGAAGATTAATAAAGAATTGTTGAATCGTAAAGATTACTTGGTTCATGATGAAAATGAAATATCCAAAGAAGGTGATATGGTTCGTATTGAGGCCACTCGACCATTATCCAAAAGGAAAGCATTTGCCATTGCCGAGATTTTAAAAAATAAAGGTCAACAATTTGCACATTTTGAAACTATGGCAAAAACGGATGTTTTAAAAGAAGAAGCTATTAAATCTAAGGAATTCTTAGATAGAAGGGCCAAACAAAAAGAAAGTGATAGCAATATGATTAAAGATATTCGATCCTTACAATTGATTTATAATCAAAATAAAAATGGAGTGGAACTATCTCCAGAGAGTAGCAAAGAATTGAAAAGAATTAAGGATAAATATGGTATTCAAGAATTTTCTCCAGATTCATTAAAGAAATTACTAAATTTGAATTTATTGGCTATTGAATCAGATCTAGAAAAACAGAGAGCTAAAATTGAAACCATTCAGAAAAATTTGGCAATTTTATTGAAGGATGAGCCAAAGGCTTTTGAATTTCTTCAAAAGCATGGTGTTGAAAATCCAAGCTCATTGCAAAAAAATATTAGAAAAAATTTGATTAGAAAATACTTATTTAAGGAAATACAATTATGATATGTTGTGATGGGGAAGGAATGTTAAGAGGTTATTAAGAGACAGAAAAATTATACTACATCATTATATAAAAATATTCAATCATGTATATATTTCAACCTTTTCATTAAAAAAAATAAAAATAAAAATAAAAATAAAAATAAAAATAACAAGTTTCTTGTCCAAAGAAATATTCAAAAGTCATTGCATAGTAATATGATTATCTATTTATTATTTGTATATCCCAAGAAGAAAGTAGAAATAATACTATTCTTCCAGCTCAAATTATATTTGTTTTGATGATAGTATACAAAAATAAAGGAATTATTTTTTGAAGTATTTTTTTTGTAGGAATTTATTTTTTTTTTTGTATTTTGGATTTGCCCGAAAAGCTGGCGTTCGATCCAACTTTGATGCTTTTATTTTAACTTTTTTTAGAGATTTGTAGGGTCAGCCAAATGTATCTACAAATAAAGTAATGTATCTATAAAGCAAATCTGAAGAATATTTATGAATTATTGGTTCGAAAGAATATTTGTAAATATATACATATCTTGAATAACTTATATATGAGTGAGGAAGTTTTATAAAGTTAAGATCATTATAGATGTACCACAAAAAATTGTAACGGTTATTAAATTTATGAATGAAAATTTGATGTAATTCATTTAATTCATATGATTGTTTTGTGTATAGAATAATAGCAATAATTAAACGTAAAGGATTTTAAGATAGAAGCAAAAAATAAAAAAAAAAAAATACACGTATATACATCCTTAAATCATGCTGTTATCGGCAATTATACGAAGAAAAGTTTATAAAGATCCATACACATGTTGGGTGTGTCTAGACGAAGAAACAGATATGTCAAAACATAAAAATGAATGGATTTTCCACACATGTAATTGTAATCTTCAAATTCATAAGAATTGTTATTTAAAGCTTCATTACAATAATATTCAAAAGCAATTTGTATATATATCAATAGAACAAAATGAAGAAACAATATACAGTGATTTGCTAAGAGGAAGTTTATGTTCATATATTTATTATAATGGTAATCACCACTCCTTTTATTTGCCATATAGTTCATATTTGTTAAACTCAGTGACAATCAAAAAGATGTTGTTGTTTCTTAAGAACACACTAAAACAATATTTATTTGGTCCAAACTTACTTGGTGATTCAAAAGGTTTTTTATTCCAGGATAGCATGCCTTTTGATGAGTTGAAAAAAAAACTTCCTGAGATGTTCAAGATAACATCTGGACCAAACGAATTATGTCCACAATGTCGTAAAGATATTATATCCAGTATAAAGATGAATATTATATCACAATCATATATTTATTATATGTACGATCAGGTCTTGAATTATGTTGAAGGGGTTTTCTTTATACCTTTGTCTTTCATATTTCTAGCAAACCCATTGGCATGTTTATTAGAAATTGGATTGTGGCAATTTCGTTGCATTTTCCCAGAATCACAATTAAGATATATTTTAAATATTGAAACTACAAAAAGTTTAGATGTATATTTTAAAAGTTTTAAGGGAATATCTAGTATTGTCAATGAAAATAAATTTATTATTATTGGCTTACCGATATATTTATTTTCCATAGTTAAGAACACATTTTTTCAATGGCCTGTTATCGACATGATATCTTACTACTGGATGCGTTGTATAGGTTTTAGACTTATTAGTTATCAAGAGCATGGGGTTAATTTGCAACTATTAAAAAAATGTTTTAAATATACAGATTGGTTGGTTTGGGGTTATTGTATGTTAGATAAATATATTTATAAATATATTACACCAAAGTACATTAAACAATCGATTAAAGAAGATGCAACAGATATAAGGGATAGAAAGATTAAATTTAGCAAATATTTTGTTCGACTTGATGAAGGCTACTCTTTCCAGTTAACTAAAGCTTTTGTATGGCCATGGTTAGGTAAATGGGCAGGTAAATTAATCAGCCTGACATATGTTAATGTCAAAAGATATTTTAATTTAAGAGATATAGATATAGTGCCAGGGTTTTATGCATCTCCAGATGAATATGAGATGATTTTCAATTTATTGGGAATGGGCATAATTGGATTATCAGGATCGATATTAAGTTGGACGTCATGGAAAAACAGATATGAGCGAAGGCTAAAAACTGAGGCATTAGCTGATAAGATAGTAAAAGAATAATTGAAACAATTAGTCATGAGAATGATTAAACATTATTACCATTTCAATAAATTTTTGCTGTATAAATAGATAGACATTTAATTGTTTCTAATACTTATTGCATATTATGCATCTACACAACAATGCAGACAACCCAAGCAAAAGGAAACATAAATAATCTTTTAAATTTTATTAAATATTTATTACTATTTTTATGGGAGTATATATAATTTAATGCATACAAAAGTGGAATTTATAAATAATACTATTTAGTTATGAATAAAAAATATGTATTACACTCTTTCTTTTTCTATTAATTAAAAAAAAAAATGTATTCATGTAGCGAAGAAACATATTAAAAAGTTGATTTTTTGTTATTGCTATCGTTATCCTTAGTCAACTTCTTCCATTTCAGTGTCAGCACTGACTTCTTCAGATGGCTTTTCTGGAGCAGCTTCAGCATCTTGAGTTTCTTCTTCTTCATCGTCAATATTCAAACCTAGGGAAATTAATCTGTTAATTCTAGCAGCAAAAGAAGTTGGCTCATCTAGAGTGAATCCAGAGGTTAATAGAGCAGTTTCGTACAACAAGTTGGTCAAGTCCTTAACAGTCTTATCTTGAGCACCACCTTCTTCGACTCTCTTCTTTAATTCCTTAATAATTGGGGATTTTGGAGAGATTTCGAAAGTCTTCTTAGAGGACATGTATGCAGACATAGTAGTGTCCCTTAAAGCTTGAGCTTTCATAATTCTTTCCATGTTAGCAGACCAACCGAATTGACCAGTTCTAATAGCGGCTGGAGCATCGACCAACTTGTAAGAAACAACGACCTTTTCGACTTGGTCACCTAAGATTTCCTTCAAGGCCTTGGTTAATGGTTCGAATTCCTTGATTTCCTTTTCTCTTTCAGCCTTTTCTTCTTCAGTTTCTTCCAATTCAAAGTCCTTGGTAATATCGACTAAAGTCTTACCTTCGAATTCCTTTAATTGAGTGAAGGCATATTCGTCAATTGGGTCAACTAAGAATAAGACTTCAAAGTCCTTAGCCTTCAAAGCATCTAAGAATGGGGATTTTTCAACAGCCTTTATGGATTCACCAGTGATGAAGTAGATGTTCTTTTGATGTTCTGGCATTCTAGTAACATAGTCACCTAAGGAAGTCATTTCATCAGTAGACTTAGTGGAGTAGTATCTTAATAACTTAGCCAAAGCAGCTCTGTTTTGAGCATCTTCATGGATACCCAACTTGATGTTTTTAGAGAAGGCAGAGTAGAATTTGTCGAATTGTTCGGAATCTTCAGCAATTTCATTGAAGGATTCAATTAACTTCTTGATGATGTTCTTCTTGATGACCTTCATGATCTTGTTTTGTTGTAACATTTCTCTGGATAAGTTTAATGGTAAATCTTCGGAATCAACAACACCTCTAACGAAGGATAACCATTCTGGAATCAAGTCTTCAGCTTCATCAGTGATGAAAACACGACGGACATATAACTTAATGTTGTTCTTCTTCTTCTTAGTTTCAAATAGATCCATTGGAGCTCTCTTTGGAATGAATAAGATGGCTCTGAATTCTAATTGACCTTCAACGGAGAAGTGTTTGACGTATAATGGGTCTTCCCAGTCGTTGGAGATGGACTTGTAGAAAGCGTTGTATTCCTCTTGGGTAATTTCAGATGGGTTTCTTGTCCATAATGGCTTAGTCTTGTTTAATTCTTCTAGTTCTTGGACTTGTTCCTTAACTTTCTTGGTCTTTTTTTCGTCCTTCTTTTCTTCTTCATCTTCGTTGACTTCTTCTAATTTTGGTTTTTTGTCGTCTTCCTTTTCATCTTTCTTTTCTTCTTCATCTTCCACGATTGGAACCTCCTTTTCAACTTCCTTAGTGACTAATAATTGGATTGGATAAGCGACGAATTCAGAATGTCTCTTAACGACTTCCTTAATTCTTTTTTCTTCTAAGTATTCTAGTTGGTCTTCCTTTAAGAATAATCTAATGATAGAACCTCTACCGATTCTTTCGTTGACTTCATCCAAAGTGACAGTGAAAGAACCACCAGCGTTAGATTCCCAGATGTATTGTTCATCGTCATTGTTCTTGGAAATGACTTGAACTCTATCAGCGACTAAGAATAAAGAGTAGAAACCGACACCGAATTGACCGATCATGGAAACATCGGCACCAGCAGATAAGGCTTCCATGAAAGCTTTAGTACCAGACTTAGCGATAGTACCCAAGTTGTTGATTAATTCAGCCTTGGTCATACCAATACCAGAATCTCTAATTTCTAAGATTTTGTCTTCTGGTTTTGGAGTAATTCTAATGAACAACTCTGGTTCAGTTTCTAATTGTTTTGGATCACTTAAAGCCTTGTATCTAATTTTATCTAAGGCATCGGAGGCATTAGAGATCAATTCTCTTAAGAAAATTTCTTTGTTGGAATAGACAGTGTTAATGATTAAACTCATTAACTGAGTAATTTCAGCTTGAAATTCAAAAGTTTCACTAGCCATTGTTGAGTGTGTTCAATGGATGTATATGTATATATAATATTATCTTAATAATCCGGGTTGATATATCCCTGGTATGATATCAAGGTTGACTGATTGGGAAAGGGGACAAAAGGAACATTACAAGGAAAAAGAACCTTTAAATGCGTATTGGAGGAAAACGAGGGTAAAGAAGAGAAAACTGGCGTCCATGGGGATTTCTTTAACCTTCAGTACTTATATACTCTACGTTGTCAGATACTGCAGGTCTTATTTAGCCTAAAAAGAAAAATTAAAAAGCGGGTAAAGAAAATCGAACCTTTTGGAACCTTTTGGAATAAAAAAAAAACGAAAAAACGAAAAACAAGATTTTCTCCTTTATTTTTTTCCTTTTCTCCTTTTTTTTTGTTTCTTTTTTTTTTTTTTTTGGTTCTAAAAAATTCCAAAAAGTTCGATTTTTTTTTCCCTTCCCCCCCTGTTTTGTTTTTTTTTTTTGTAATTTTTTTTTTTATTTTCTATTTTGCTTTGATCTTAAGATTTTCTTCTAGAGATTTCTAGAAGAATTTTGGTATTTCTTATAGTTTTTTTTATCCATTAATCTCTTTTTTTTTTTTTTTCCTTTTTTGCTACTAGAATCATTTCTTTAAAGTTAATCCAAGTTAGCTGGGTGTTTAGAAAAAGACGTGTGGTTGACCATCCAAGATACATAATGGTGGAACAATGCTTGTAGTAGAAAACTATATGGATATAGTAATATTACATTAGAAATATGCTAGCAATATAATGTCCAATTTGTCATTTATATATATTGCTAAGCTTTAATAATATAAACATAGACAGGTCCATATATAAAAATAATGTTTTACAAAGTTCCTTTCTTTCTTTTTTTTTCTTTTATCTTTTCCTCCTGCCTTTATTTGTATCCTCTTGTTAAGTGTCTTCAGTTAAGTTCCGACAATTGTGTAACAACATCTGAAACATGGAACTTCTCTAATATATCTAGTAATTGATTGATTTGTTCACATACAAGATAATCATCATCATGCATCTTTGTATATTCTAATAGAGTCTTGATTCGTGCTAAATTATATTCCTTAGGAAAAAGTGTCATATCAGCATTGTAAAGTAAATCATGTATTAAATGAACTGCACTTCTTCTCATAACAAATGAAGTCGATGATTTATTTTTCTCTCTAGTGTTATTACTGCTTTCAAGGGTTAATACACCAAACACGCAATCTAATATCTCTCTGATTCTATCTCTTATACCTAACGCATTAACTTGTAAACATACACCAAGTATTGACATTGCAGACATTCTTAATCTATTATCCAATTTGTCATGTTGACGTACCTTGTTTAAACATATATCAATTATTTTATTTGCATACTCCCCTTGAAACAATTTATTCTCTCTTTGAATATAATTCACTATAACTTCACCTGTCCTCAAAATTTCATCGACTTTATATTTTTTATTCTCATTTGAATAAAAAATTAATATCAGTGTCAACGTTTCTATTGGTGATATTTCCACTAATTCAGTTAATCCTTTGATTGCATTTAAGTATACAAATGGATCTAAATTTTTTAAATTTTGTAAATGGATTCGAACTACCCTATCTACCGATATAACTGTGGAATTATCTTTAATTAATTGTCTTAGTTCTGTTAATCCATGCACTCTAATGGGTGCTAAATTATCACTTAGATTTATTAATGCTCTATTTAGTATTTCTTTATCATTCCTTAATTGACTAGACTCTTTGCTAATAGGAAGCAGCGATGCAGATGCTGGCAATTGATTTCTTGAAACATATTCTTGGATTTTGTCTTTAACATCAGATATAGATCTTAACTGATCATTATCTGTTGTTTGTAGACATGCTAATTTCTTTTCAATTTCAAGTAACAAAGTAGTAAATTCTTTATCTCTATTTCCTCCATTTTGTGATAGTAAATCGGATACTATTAGTTCCAAAAGTTCTGTAACTATTTGTAATGAAATAATTGGGATCTTTTTTATCTCTAAATTAGATTCTATCTTCTTGTCTTCGTCTTCATCTTCATCATCGGAATCTCTTTCATCACTGTTCATTAGTAAAGATTTGCTATCTTCTTCCAACATCCCCTCAACGTTAATGAAATCTAATAATTTAGTTATCATTAGAAGAACATCTTTTTTATTAGTTACTAAATCCGTTTTGAAATCCTCATTTATCTTCTGCAAAATCTTTAAGTCAAGAATAATCAATAAATTCTTGCTTAGATTGTCTTTATTGGCCATACTACTATCATTTGCATCCTTTTCTTTATTTTGATCATTGTTAGTATTAAAATTGGAATTTATTGCCCTCGATGAATCTGTTGAGATATACTGTATCCATCTAGATAATATAGATAAAAATGACCTGGTTATTATTTCTGGATTATTGATTAAATGTAATAACTTCACATATAACTCAATAGCAAGGTCCATATCCTTGAATAATTGTGATACAGTCTCCACTCGGTTTTCAGGTGTTTTTGTAAGGTTTTTGATAATATTACTATTTTCCTCATATATTTTATTATTTTTGATTTTGACATACGGTAATTGGGTCTCTAAATCTATACAATAAGCCCAGTCGTCATGATCAAAATTTAATAAATTTAAATTGATCTTTTCAAGTATGGAATAATTATTTGTAATGATAATAAAAGTTTGTAATAATGATAAAATAACCTCATAGTATGGGACATTATTTTCCTTTTGAAAATTGTTAGCAATTATTGGATCCACTTTTTGATACTTCAGCAAAAATAAACAATATATCCAAATGTTTAAGTAGAATCCTCTTTCATCAAACCCAGTAGTTAAATCAATGATCAAATCTGTTGACACATTTTTAGATAATGATATAAGAACATTAAACATATCATTTAATTCCTTAATACTACGATTTTGAACAGGATAATTAAATAATATTTTATAGATTTTTTTAAATAAAAAATCTCTTATGATCTTTTTATTCTTGTAGAAAAATTCAGTGGTGATCCCATTTAAACAAGTTATCAGTATGGGTCTATTAACAAAAGTCATTCCATCATATATTTGATCGAATATTTTGGTTAAATACTCCTTATTTGAAATATTCTTTGGTTTGGATAAGACTATCTTATTCACACGTTGAATTTTTTCGTTATCGATTTGTTCATCTTCTCTAACACCAAGTACAAAATCAATTAGAGTTATAAGCCCATTTGTCTCTCTTCGTATTGGTAAAGTCGTCAATTCGTCCAATATAAATAATTTTGCTTCAGTTAGTTGTATACATTGAGTTAGAAACGTATACAAAGTGAATAATGAATACGTATCTTGACAGTCTTCCACCTTATTTAATTTGGATAAAATTTCAGAATCTTCAGGATATGATATATGTAATTGTAGAAATCCTAAATACAAGTTTGTATATAGAGGGCCCTTTATAATCACAGATCTTAAATAATCATTTCTGTTGGTAATGTGACTATTGGCTTCATTTTCCCTATCAGTTAAGTAATTTTCTTTCGTTAAATTATTTGTTTCACATGTTATAACTCCATATAGAAACATCAGAACATTTCTTAGTATATTGGAATCTGGAGTATGTTCTTTCGGTATCATTAACGTTTTGTCATCATTTTTAAATGATTTCAATCTTCTTAATTCTAGTGGTATACGTAATTTGGGTATTAAATTAGCGTCAATTCCATGAACGATTAGAAGTGCAAACAATTGATCCATGTATTTCATATCATGTAATGATATAGGCAATAAATTATTTTTATCTTTAATTAAATCATTTTGTCTCTGTATAATTAAAAGATGTAATTTTTTAATTTTGGTTAATAAATAATCAACAAAGGATTTGTTATCTAAAAATCCTAAATATGCATATAAAGAACCTTGGTTAGAAGATTCATCATTTGTAAATAAGAAAAGTTTTGCGATTAACTCGTTCTCTAAGTCAGTAAAAAAATTGTCTAATGGTGTATCTAAGGCAAAATCGGGTCCCTTAGTAATAATATTCCTTAAATTTGATTTTCCTTCGTTCATGTAATCTTTAAGAAGTAATATTTGAAAGTGACAATATGAGTTGCATAAATTTTTTTTCTCTGTGAAGTACCTTTAAGTTATTATAATTGAAAAAAATGGCAACAACAAAATATATAGCTATGTATATACAGGATTTGTGTATGTATGTGTATATATTTCCTTTTTTCTTAATGTACTTAAATTTTTTTTTCTAATTTGGTTTAAAACTCTTTTATTTTTTATAAGATATATTATTATTACTATTTTTCGAAATTAAATGGATGATATTGTATAGTAGACGGGGTACATAAAAGAAAGATAGACTAATAGTTTAAAGGGTAGAGGTACATATGCAAAAGTAACTTTAAATACAGAGTGCATATATAAGAATATGTACAAATATGTCTGTTAATTGTCTATATTTTCAATTAATTTGAGGAAAGATGGACACCAGCTACTTATTGTAATATCCATTGCCATCCATTTTCTAAGATAGTCAGCCTGCTTAATTCTATCATCCCCTATTTCTAAGAAGTGCAAGAGGGATGTTTTAGTAGAAGCATTATTAATACTTTTAGGAAGATTGAGGTCAACCTTTCTTTTGTAAAAATGGTATTCTTTATCTGATAATTTAGAACATTTATTCATCAGTTCACTAATTTTCTTCAAAATCTCATCATCATTTAATATTTCATTTGAATTATCTGAGGAATTGTTTTTACCATTAATTTCAGAATTACTCGGATTATTGTTGTCAGTCATTGCCAATCTTTTTTTAGTAGACAGTGGTGGTGGAGTCACAGGTAATTTAGTACTACCATATGTATCCTTTACAACATAATGCAATTGGTTTCTTCTGCCACTCTTTTTTGATATATTAAACAAAAAACTAGGACAGTCATTATATCCAGGTATATCTGTTTCTTTACAATTTTGAAAACTTCTGTTTCTTCTTGGTAATGTAGTGTCTGTCATGATTGTTTAAAAGTGGTAAATGTTGGAAGCGACCTTAATTAATCGTTTATTTATACTTTCTAGATTTATAACTTTGATGATGTTTTAGTTTATTCTTACTTAATGCTGTGAGATCTCAGACTAATGAATGTCAAATGTGGTTTTTATATATCTGAATCAAGAAATTTTTAATTAAGATCTGCCTATCTTCGAAATTTGTTGAAGCTCTTATTCAGATCTTAATGATGTGTAGGAGAAAGTGAACCTTTTTAGCAGGGAAGTCTGGTGTTGGACGCTTTTGAAAGAAAGAAAACAGGGAGAGAAGACAAAATTTTGGTGGGGTTTTTTTTTGGACAAAATTTTTTTTTTTTACTATAAAGTGTTATTTGATTTAAAAATCGCAATTACCTTATCTAAAAATCAAGCGTCGCTTTCCTTTTTGGGACATGCCTTTTAGAGCCTTTTTCCTTTTTTATTTTTGTTTCGTTCAACAAATGAATCTTCATCTGTATTTATATAGAAAAGGATGGGCAAATTGAGATGGCACTACTGTCAAAAGGGAGTCAATTTACTTAAACCATTATTATTGAAAGTCTCAAACAACTTTTCAGATAAAAATATAGATATTATAAGTTATTTCTAGCTTTGTATGTGGGAATTTAGGATTGTTATTGACTGAATTTTTCTTCATTTTGCAGAAATTACTAGGAAAAAGATTATTTCCTCTTCTTTTAATGGAATTTGCCGGTGATTAAAACGTTTATTTTTTTCTTTCCTTCTTATTAGTATATTTTCTTTTTTATTCGATACCTATATATTCTCTTCTATTAGTGAATTATTGAAATCATTTGTTTTTAGAGGTGTACATAGATATTAGAAGAATAAAGCTTCATTACAAATATATATCTCTAAAATATACACCACAGATATTGCAAAATTTTGATATCCTGGGTAGAATGATTTTCTTTATTGAAAAAGTGACTTTTTTTTGATTATAAATGCACTTGTGTTTAATAACTATTTGGATAGCTTTTGGCGGAAATGATGGTTTTTTAGAATAAACTGCATTGAATTTTTAAATTACACTTTTCAAATATTTGTATGCAGATATGTGCAGGAACCATAGTCATTCTATCCAAGCATAACAAATAAGAAGTCAAAATATAAATTTTATAGATATATGCAGGTTCTCCTCATAATAGTGAATCCAGACAGAATAAGGAATTATTAAATTAGATGAAAGATTATTTGTATTGCAATTAGTTATTACATCAAATATTCAAAGTTTTATAACCTCGTATAATTTTTTCTTCTTTGTAGAAATTTTTTTGTGTATAAATAGAATAAGTTTGATTGATTTTTCCTAAATTCATGATTTTGGTTTTTCAAAATATCTGATATGATATTTCTGGGCAAGCCTAAAATAGTAGTTAGTCGAATTTTTAAGATATATTGTTTACATTTATTTGTCCAAAAATAGTAATAACATTGTTAATTGGAGTAGAGAGAAGGGAGTCTATTATTCTATAAGTTTTTGGTAGTTGTTTAAATAATTTTTAGCAGGTTTGGGTAATTTTTGGGTAAATGAAGTAGTAAAATACTATACGTTAAAGTATAAGTTTTTTTATTAAGTTTAATACATTATGTATAGAAATATAATCTATACATCATTTAGGTATGTAAGGAAAACACTTTTTAGGTTACCTAGTATCTGTCTTTCATTCAAAAAAATAAATATGTTTAAGATATATAAAATAGTCGGAATAAACGTCTAATTTTTTAACATCCATATTAATATGGGGGACTTTGGTGAAATCAAATAGACAATTACAATATTAAAAGAAAAAATTTAGATTAGGACTTCTTTGGAATCTATGTAAGGGATGATCATATATCTAAAAATAGTTATATTCAAGAAAGAGTCAAACGTTTAAATCAATTTTTTATGTATTAAAAATGGTATATTGGAAAATAGACAATGAGAAAAAAGGTTGATAGAGATAGGTTTTGTAATAGTATCATTACATTATTATGGAATCTTGGTCTGTACATACGTAAACCAAAATAACTTATATCGTATTAAATATTAGTCTCTATTGAAATTATTTTGTATAAAATCGCCGTTTTGCCATAAAAGAGTTGTAGGTATAGAAGTATTGTACCAATATTTATAATTAAATGTCTTTTTGTTTACTTAAAAATAAGATTTATAACTATTCCGAAAAAGTTTATATCTGTAATAATAAACAAAAAATATAAATTTTTATTTTTGAAAAAAGTTTTTTAAGTGTCTTTGTAAAACCTATATCAATAGATACATTTAACTATTTTCTTTTTTCTTTTTCTCTTCCTTTCCTTTCCTTTTCTTTTTTTTTAAGATTAGATTAACATTTTCAAATTTATGCACCATTTCTTTTTTTGGTGTAATAATTTGGCAATAGAAAATTTTGCAAAGAAACGCAATATTAGAATATGAAATCGAACGTGAGACAACAATGCACATCTTTTATTAATAAAGACAAATTTTGAATTTTAATGAGAAATTGCTACAGTTTTTTGGGTAGTAAAACCTAAAAGCATAATCACTAAAACCCTTCGCGTACAAAATTTCAAGAGAAAATCAAATACATTTCGTCAAGGTTTTGAAATTAAAATGAAAACAATACGAAAACAAATTAGCAAGAATGAGAAACCTTATTCAGATTTAAATCATATCTGGTCATGTTAACCATTTGTTTTATTTTTAAAAAAAGACTATTATTTAACCGGTATATTATCCAAAATCGAAAACATAAAACAATAAAACACCAACAAAAGCCTATTTTTTAGATTGTATGCGCAAGAATAGCCAGAGTTCTGACCCAGTTTACAATATATTCAATTTTTTTAACCTTTTCCTCATTAAAGAGATCTAATATTAAACAATAGTAGGTTCCTCTTTTAAACTTTCGCCCGTATTGTCTTTTTTTTTATAAAAAGTTCACTATGTTATTTTTCTAATCTTGTATACAACTTTACATTGTATTCTCTTCTAGAAAAATGCATAAATACGAGGTCCAAGTAAATAAAGTTTGTGTATTTGAATAATATTGGAAATTTTTATGGAATTATTGTTTATTTTTTTGTTGCTTGAAGACCACAATATATTTCTATTATTCTTTTTTAATTTTACAACATTATTGTGTAATAGAAATTATGGCTAAAATTTAGTTCAGCTATTGAATAACATACCACATAACTAAACCAATTTTGTTATAACAATAACATTCTATTGTTACATTCTTAAATCATACCAATAACCTTTTTACTTTATTTTTGAATTGAACCCTGGAATTTCTATTATTTAAAAATTCCAGACTTATGAAAAGAAAATAGAACGAAAACAATATCAGAAAAAAAAATATGAAAAAAAAAGTTGTCCGCATTAAATTTTAAGGAGGTGAAAAAAAAAAATAAAAAAAAATCACGGGCTTTTTAACATATGGAATTTAATTTTTTTTACCAGCCTAACATGTAGCTAGGGTTTTATATGAAGGCCAATTGTGTAATAGTACACACAGAAACACTTTTCTGTCCCCCCTCCCTCTTAAAACTTTATTCCAATATTGTGACTGTAATTTTTCCTTGATTGTCATAAAAATAAAATTTTTTCTAACAGGATGTATTATCAATGCAAATTTACATAGTATTAAAACATCATATTGTCTTGATTTGAGAATGGTCTTTATCGTGCAAATCTAATATCATTCTTAGGGTTTATAATATTTAAATTTTTTAATTTTTGGTACTTTCAATATATGATGAGGGTAAAAATTTATTTACAAAAAAACATTATTTTTCTTAAAAAGAAAAAAAAATTACTAGAAAAAATTTATTCTCTAAGCGAATAATAACTCATTTTTTTCAAAAAAGAAAACATAAAAACAAAAGAAATTTTCATATCCCTCTTATTCTTTTTCCAAAACAATAGCATATATATTGTGTTATATAATTTTAAGTTTTAAAGTTTAAACGGAGTTAACATTCTCGTGATTTCACTCACCAAAAATGTTATTTTTTTATGAAAAATCTCTATAATCAATGACCATCGGTTTCTTTTTTCTACAGTATGTAACTTAAACCAAAAATTTTTATTATTCTAAACAATACTTCAGTTCTTTCTTTTTTTTTTTCTCTCTCAATAATATTTGGTAAAGAAATGTTACCAGATATATTCATATCCAGTATTTTTTCTCTTAACCTTTCTTTTTTTTTTTTTTCATCTTGCTTTATTTTTAGTCAAACAATAACATAAATTTCACAGCAACATTATTATTCTTATTCTCTAAAAAAATTATTGTTTTATTTTTCACCTTGTCCTTTTAATAACAAATTTAAAATAGATACAGATGAGAGTTCCGTTTTCTTCAATAACAAAACATTGGTTAAGCGAAGTTATATCGTTCCAATAAAAGGAAAAAAATGGAGTAGGGACTCTTTCTCGAAGATTTATCTAAAAATACTTTATTTGAAAAAATTTTTATCGTTTTTGAATTATTGTTACCAACGAAACCCCAAGTTCCAATTTATTGTTAGGGAGCAGCAAACAAAACTAGTTTTTCAAACTTTAAATTTCCATAAAAGTACTATCTGCAACCTTCTTTCAAATCTCCTCCTCACTTTTTGTTTGAGATGCTCCACTCTTCAAAAGTTTTGATTTTTATTTATTTCTTTTGTGTTTGGTTACTGTATTTGTATATACTCTAAATCTTGCCTATTCCAAATATATATATATATATTATCTATATGGAATATGCTAAGGTCCTACTTATTTTTCCTACTTTTCTTTTATTCCAACTGCAGTTTGTCTATTTTCCCTTTAATACTTCTAACTCAGGAATTTTTTCTCAAGCATTGAAATATTAAGTTACAATCAAGATAGACTGACACTAGAAAATATACCAAGCATTCAGTTTGACGTCTTCAACAAAAAAATTAGAAAAATAATATCTTAATCAAGTAAGATCATTGCTATAGAAAACTAGCAAATTAGCTATTGTAGCATAAAAAAACCTTTTATTGTTTTTTTTGGTAATAAATATCCTTTGAAGAAGTGACTGTACCGCTATTAATATACTATTTACTTCACCTAATGCAATCACTTTTAACCGACAGAATATTTTTAACTCTTTAAAAAGAACTTTCAGGTAAATTATATTCTCTAAAACATTCTCGTTTTTTGAAAATCCAAATTTCCGCAATTCTTTGTTTTTTTTACTTGAAGAACAAATAAAGGAGAAATCTAGCAAAACTATTTAACAAAAAACAATTACATTAATAATTTCTCATGGAGGAATCTGACAAGCAGAATCATACTAACAAGGCAAAAAAAGACAAAAAGAAAACCAGAAATGAAGTAAGAGAAAAAATTTTTAAATGTACAGGCTATGAAGATTGTAATATGGCATTTAATAGGGCTGAACATTTGGCTAGGCATATAAGAAAACATACTGGTGAAAAACCATTCCAATGCCATATCTGTTTCAAATACTTTAGTAGACCTGATAACTTAAAACAACATAGGGAAAATGTACATTCTAAAATTGAAAACATTACTTCCATCCTCAAATCCCAACCAAGGATACATAATGATCAATTTAATTATATCAATGGCATAGGGGTTAATAATACTGGTTATCTCAACCAAGCATATTATCAATATCCACATTATACAAACGGTATATATTATAATTATGTCGGTGCCAATAATAATATGACTATACCTAACAATACTCCAGATTATTTCAATGGATATCATCCCCACTTTCCTGTGGATATGTCGGATACAAAAATGATTCCTTTTTCACGGCCGCATATGGTAACTAAAACTACTGTTATTGCTGATACCAGTTTAAATAACAATATCCCAAACATTTCTAACATAGAAAATAGCAATTTTCGCTCTAGTAGAGGTACTGAAGTTAGTAATAATATTCCTAAAGTAAATCATTTGTCAAACTCAACAGATTTGACTGATAAAAATCACATAGGTATTATTTCAAAATCTAATATGGACCAACAAAATTCAAATTTCCCATCTTTAGGTTACAGTATTTTTCCTAAAGAAAAGTCCAAACATAATCCTTATAATTCCTACCCAATACCGACAGATGGTAAACTGGTATCCCAACAGAACAATGTTGCTGCATTAAACAATACTACAACAAACTATAACTTTTATCCATATAATATAATCTCTGATAATTATCAAGTAAATCATAGTTTTGGTACGAATATGTCCCAGCCTCCTACAGCTGGCTCTGTTAAGAGTATTTCAACTACAACACCATCCAGAAGCCATGATAATAATGTAAATTATATCTCAAACAGAACACCATGTAATAATTTGCTACCATATCAGGCAATTTTACAACAGCCAAAGACTATTACTGCATTGCCTGTTCAGTTAGAGAGAGAAAGAATCGTTTCCCTACCTTCAATCTATCAAGATATTGATTCAAAGGTGAAAATGAATGCACAACAAACTAATGAAACTAATACAAGTATTAACCAAAACCAATTCACAAATGTTCCATCTTATCTTTTATCATCACTCCAAACAATGCCATATCAAATAGGACACTCGCATCATCAAGCACAGTCCACAATTTTGTATAATCCCATTCAACCATCGGCAGAGTTAGTTAACTTGAATCATAATAATTCTGGTATTAATAATGTATTCAGTAATTTAACTATTAATAATAAAAGTTCCAATCTAAACAATGATGAAAATAAAACTTATTCTACAAAGCAAACTTTTACCAAAAATAGTGCTACTAAAAGTAGTCCTTCTTCTTTGGATTCAAAATTGATAGTTGAATCAAAGTCATTATCTTCTTTAGTTTCATCTGCCACTTCACCCACTATTGGTAAATGTTATAAAAACAAAATCAACGAAGGAAATGCTAATGTTTCAGGTATAAAAGATAATATTTTGAAAAATAATTATCATAAAAGAAAACTTCCTGACAGATCCTCTTCTTCCTCTAGCGGAAATAGTAATAACAATAATAGTGGTAGTAGTAGTGACAATTTATCTGATGTTAATGAATCCAATACTCAAGATATAAAAAACAGTATTTATGAGGACAGCGATGAAAAGACTTCAAATAATGAAGAGTATTCTAAGAAGGATGGTACATCCAAAAGGAATAAAAAGAAAAATGATAGTAAGCCCAAGTCTAAGTCCAAGTCTGCTTCCAACAAACCTTATAAGAAAAGATCAAAGAAGAAAGCAGATAACAAAAATGAGTTGGGAGGATCTATTACGAATGGGTCATTTAGTAGTTTTGAATCATCTGTCTTTAGCACTGAGACATACGATACCACTGCTGGCAAAACAAAGGGTGAAGAAAGAGAACAGAAGAAAACTACGGAAAAAAAGCAAAAGGACAAATTCCATGAAAGAGATACTAATAAGAAGAAAGACACGCAAGTTACAAAAGATGAACAACATTTCGATGATGAAGCTGATGGGTCTACTTCCTCAAGGTTAAGTTTAGATTATATTATATCATGAATGGAAAGCCCTAATTTCAGCTCATTAAAAGCCCTAATCTCGGATATTTTACCTAATTGGGATATCCGCCGGAACTGCGGAATATTTGATTTTCTGGCTTTTGTTTTTTCAAAAAAGGGTACAATAGAACAATAGAGAATATTTTTATCTCTGTTTCTTTCTCGTTTCTTTTTCTGATTCCGTTATTTTTATTATTTATTTATTTGTTGATTTATTTTGCTTGTTTTGTCATGTGAACTTTTCTATCTCTGCTTTTTGCTTTATTTTCTTATAAATATAATCTTAAAATCTTCTGTTATTAAACTTTTCTTTTCTTTTTATCCCATTATTGATCTTTACATGTTATAAATAGGCATATATACTTACGTGTTCGCATATTCAATAACTATATGCATTAACATCAGTAGCATAGAGAACCCTTTTTAACAAATAGAACAAAGTACTAGATATCTGCTATCAAACTTTTCTCTAAGAGATCATTTTTTGCCAATTTTTGACCTTCACAATAATTGGTTATATATTATTTATCCTTTAGTGAGTCAAACTTATTAAATTTATCATGTCTAAAGTTAAATATATGAACTGCATAAATAATTCTATTCCAAATAGTTATATTAAAGAATATACCAACAATGAACTTTTTACCAAACAAACTGGTTATACTCCATTAACACACTACCAACAACAGATACCAAGCTCTATAAATATGTTGAATATTCCATTCTACCCAAATAATACTAATCCTGTATGCGGATTAAATATGGATATACCTGTTATAAATGAACAGAATGCCATAAAGAAATTTAATTCAGGTACAACAAGGAGTGATTCAAGTTCAAGTTCTACATCATCAAGTGCTATGAGTTCTTTATCTATGAATCATAATAAATATTATAATGAAAATAGTTTATACGTAAATGACTCTGATTTAGATTTATTAGATTTTAAACATAGAAATAATTTATCCAAGTTATTTGAAGATGATCTCATATATTGTCCACGCTCTTTGTTATCAAAACAGGATCTTCAGAGAGCGAACATGCTATTATATGAACAATCCCTAACTCAAAATTATTTTACAAACACTTATAATAAGCTTACTGTAGAATCGCCTTGTTTAACTACAACTAATATGCATTCGATGAAATTCAATCCTTATACTTCTAAAAGTTTTAATCCTACTTTACCCCTTTAACACAAAAATGAATATATTTCAAACAGGTGGATGTATGAGAGAAATAGAATAAGTGATAATCTATCACTCTATCTAAATATTTTTCCATTTCATATCATGTTACCCATTTATATCAAATATTCTACTTTTTTTTCATTTATGGTCTCACTTATCATTATATTTTACCTATTATAAACTCTATTTTTTTTTTCTTTTTTTTTTCGTCCCCAGTCTGGTCATTCTAAGAATTGTTTTTATTTATATAATACGAACAGTCATATTCTTTTATACAACTTGTCATGCTCATCAAAATTTATATTTTACATTTATTTTGAAACCATTTAACTTTTTCATATTTATCCATTCATAATTTTGTTCATCTAGTTATTTTCTACCCTCTTTAATTTAGTGTATGTATTTCATTTATATCATCCTATAATGCGTGTGCAATGCATTTATATATCTTATATAATGTCATGTTATTATATTTTTTTATGTAAACTTTTTATTCTAAACAGTTATATTATTGACAAAAAAGAAAAAAAAAGCTACATGCATACTTTGACAAATAAAAATGCACCGTAATATGAGTATGAGTTATTTAACTTTAAAATGCAAATATCTTTATATCTATAATATCCTTCTTTACCTAATTACATACATAACTTAATTTTATTTTTCATCACTAGTAAAATTAACGGTGGTAGCTGGTGTGTATATACCATCATTAGAAAACCCCATTTCATTAAAATCACTACCAAATTTATTGTTATCATTTGGTAGAACATCTAACTGATCAAGTTTACTGATGTTATCCATTTTATCATTATTTTGATTCATAAACTTAGTGAACAAATCTGGTGTCATATGCTCATCATCTTCATTATCACCATCATTCTCATCTGTTTGCGGTGAAGCAGATCTATACTCAAAGATCATACTTGGAGAAGAAGGTAATATTCTCTGTCTTTTCTTTTCTTCTTCATCAAATTCATCATTATTACTTTTATAATTGTTGATATTTCTAAGATTACTCTTTGAAGAATTATTATTTGGCAAAATATTTATCGGAGATGTATTATAATTTAATAAAATAGTGGCTTCACTACCTACAGCATCGTCCATATTATTAGACTCCTTAGGTGTACCAGCCAGATCATTTCTAATAACTCTTGATTTATTATTATTATTATTATTATTATTATTATTATTATTATTATTATTATTATTAGAGTTCAGTTGTGAGAGATTAGAATGAGATGGTGCTAAAATAGGTAACCTATTCAATTGTTCCTGACAAGTTGTAATGTGTTTTTTACCCTTTTGATTCGAGCCTGTATTATGACGACTATGAACTAAACCATCTTCACTACTTAAATTTGCTAAACTAGGGCGTGTTTCTTCTAATTCCATTAATGGCATAGATAGTGTATCCAATGGACTTGTCCTGTCAGGATCATCTATGATATCTCTTGGTGTTACAGTATTATTATTATTATTAGTATTAGTATTAGCATTAACGTTAGTATTAGATGTACTGTTGTTACTATTATAATGATTTTTACCGCTGTGATCCACCATTATATTATTGAATTTTAAAGTATCATTATCAAATATAAATGCTGGTGTCATTGTTTCTTTATTATCTGATTGATTCTTTGTTACGTCCTCAAACCAATTTAATGCATTCTCGTCAAAATTTAACGAGTATAAATCTAATTGATCAGTATGAATTGGATCAATAGGTTTTGTATCCATTCTTTCTGCGATCGGAGCTATATTAGCGTTATTGTCATCATCATGATCAATGATGTTATTTAAAGGTGGAACATTCTCTTTATTAGAGTCAACAGTAACAAATGAATCGTTTATTAAAATTGGGGTATTTTGTGATTGTGACTGTGATCTTTTTTTATTCTTCAACGCTGTAGTATTGGTAGATTTGCTCTTGGCCTTTGGTTTCTTGATAGCTTTACTTTTTTTAGTTTTTGTGGATGTTTGTTTAGCTGTTATTCCACCTACATTCAATGGACTATTACCATTAGAATTATTATTATTTAATTTTTTATTCATAAAATCAAATCTTTTGCTAACCGAATCATCAACGATATTTCTTTGGACGGTATTATCATTCTGTAGTGAATTAATTTCATATGTGAACATTTGTGTTCTTGGATAAGTTGACGATGAATTTGAATTTGAATTATGCTCTTCCATTAATCTATCAGCCATAAATATCTTATGTGCAATAGAAGTCTTACCGTTGCGTAAGCCCAACCCTGACGCATTCAAATTCCATATTGGTAATGATTGAGTACGTTTAGCCTTTGGAGCTGGCATTGGATTAGTTTGTCTCTTTTGTTTAACAATTTTGTTTATCTTCTTTGGCAAAGAGGGCACAGAATATTGTGGAGTTGAACTTGTTTCAGATGTCGCAGTTCGAACAGCTGTTGAGACAGTTGGCGATGCTATAGAAAGCGGACTGATTACCATAGTGTTCTGACGTCTTGCAATTGTTGATGCTCTTGGAATATATTTTGGTTTCTTAGGTACAATAATTTTAGAGAATTTTAATTTTATTTCTAATGTATTCATGCAAAGATCTTTTTTCGAATTCTTTTTAGTATTACTGCTATTATTGTTCTTATTATTCACACTATTATGGGAATTACTGTAGGATCTACGTAATAATGCCGAAAAGTTAGAACAAACTCTACCCGTAACAATCAAATCCTCATCTTCATCTTCATCCTCATAATCCTCATTTTCACTGTTGTCCTCATTATCACCATTATTATTGTCGTTATTATTATCATATTCTTGTTCTTCTAACCCCTCTTGCACGTCTATATTGTTAACACTTCCAGTATTAGTATTACTACTAATATCATCCTCGTCTATCACTATAATATCTTCATCATCCTCTTCTTGTATTTCTGTTAAGTTATTGTTATTATTGTCGTTATTACTTTTTCTAGACCCTTTATTGCCATTATTATTATTATTGTTGTTGTTGTTATGACGGCGAAGTTTATTTAATCTAGATTGTATATCAGATAGTAATCCTAAGCTCACTAAAGGTTCATTAACTTCACATATGTCTTTATAATAAACATTATAATCAATTCTGATATCTTCACCACGATTTATTTGAGTATGAGCGTTACTATTACTGCTATTATTGTTATCATTATCAATTTGTAAGACCTCAGGAGAGCTGGTATAGATTTCTTTTAATACAGTAGATAGATTAATTAAACCAACATTTAAATTTATATCACAATCATTAGTGTTAAGTCCATTAAATTTTTCATTAATATTACTTCCATTATTAATATAAATGTTATTATTACTAGTTCTATCAGCATTAGAATCATTTTTGTCGTAATTGTTATTAGTAGTAATGATAGCAGTATTAAACTTGTTAATTTTGTTATGATTAATTATATTATTATTGGAATATAAATCATTTGGATTTGGTATACTCACGACTCGTACCCGCTGAGGCTTTTTAGATCTAGCTAGATAACTTATGCTATTAGATGTATTAGTCCCGTCATCTAATGTATAAAGAATCTTCAAAGTCATATCGACAAAATCTGCCATCTTGATTTGTTTCTTTGTATCTATTGATCTACTTATCTATTCAATGAATTGTCTCTATTCTCTCTCCTAACTTTTCAAAAAAGCTTTCTTTTTTAATAAATGAATACTATATGAATATTATTTTTATGCTTTACCACCCTTTTTTTATCAGCTTTAACCTAATATATATATATATATATATATATTGAGATATATTTTTACGTGTGTGATGTAAGAGGTGTTGGTTCGTGTTATAGAAAAAAAAAAGGGTTAGATATTTCAAACTTATGAACAAAACGAAATAAATAAAATTATACAGAAATATATATATATATATACTTATAATATATATACTTATAGGTACAGATGAGAAAACAAGATATTAAGAGTATGCTTTATGCTTTTTACAGTTTTCTTTTTAACATACACTATGTTTTTCGTTAACGCGACGCGTCTTTCTTATTTATTTAATGGATTTACTGATTCAATTATTCGAAAAATATTTAACGTGTCATCTTTTCTTTTTTTTTTATTTTATTTTTTTTTTCTTCCTTTCCTTCTTCTTTCTCACCTTTTCTTTTTGTTGTCGCTGTCTTAGGTGAAAAGAAGAAAAAGAAAACAAAAAAACACGTAACTATCTTTTTTTTTTTTTGGTTTTCTAGGTTCGTGTTTTTTTTTTTTTTTTTTTTTTTAAAACTTTAAGGGTGTGTGGAGGCCCGCTTGTTGTTTGTTTATGTTTCTGTCCGTCGCTGCCATTAACGTTATTGCCATGGAAACAGGGAAGTATGTAGGTTTGGACGGCTGGTGTGTGGGTGTGCGTGAGATCTCCCCTTCTCCTCATTCCCCTTTCTCTGTGGTAAAACGATACAGCAGAACAGGACAGAAGATAAGGCAAGAAGAACGTAAAGGACTGATGAGAAAACAAAAAACAAAAGCAAAGAAGAGAAAAACAATAGAGGTGAAAGTTCCTTCTCAGTGTCAGCGGCTATTTGCAGAGATTATGGATATTAGCCGCCCAATATTCATTATAACTCTTTTGGAATTATGAGAAAAGAAATTGTTTGATTGACTTCTCTGTGTTAATCATTTTGTACTACATAAGCAATCTGATTTACTATAAATACCACCTTGAATCATTCTTTTTGTCATCTTTAAAAATAATCACAGAAACTGAGAATAAATTCTGGGAGCTATTAATTATGTAAGTCTCCAGTAGAGGATAGACTATTTGTTGATTGAACCTATGAAACGTATACACGTATGTGTATTGTAACCCTATTCTCTGGTATTGGGATTTATTATTCCTCACCGTTCGTTTTGATTCGCGGCTCAAAAGTCTAATCTCGTTAGTTTAATAAAGAATTCACTATATCCACACCCTGTTTCTTCACTTTTTTTTTCCTCTAACTAAAAGGAAATGACAAAAGAAATTTCATCTATTTTTAATTTTTTTTTTTTTTTGGTTTTTTTTTCTTTTTTCTTGATGAGCATGAAAGATCAGAAAAAAAAATTTTTTTTTCATTCTTATTGTTAAATATTCTATTTGACAGATAAGTTCAAATAATATATTACTATGCCATACTCAGTCATTTTGCTATATATCAACTAAATTCCTGATTTCTTCTTCCTCTCTATCCTTTCTTTTTTTTTCTTCTCTTGTCTCTTTTTATTAAGTGATTTGTAAAATTACATATACATAGTAAAATAAGAAGAATATTGTGTTATATATACATATATATATCAACCAAAATGCCACCAAAGAAGTTTCAAAATTTGGATGATTTTTTAAATGAACAACCAAAGGATCCAAACTTAGTTCCATCTCCATATGGAGGTTATTTTAGGGCTAATAATTATCAACAACAACAACAACAAAGAACTGTTAAAAAAGATTGGAATCAAGGAAGTAAGTTCCAAAGATATAATCAAGGTAGTAACAATTATAACAATTATAATAATTATAATAACTATAGTAACTATAATAACTATAATAACTACAACAATTACGGTAATTATCAACAATATGGTGGTTACAAACCAAATTATCAATCATCTTATAGTGGCAACTATCAACAGTCTGCAGTCAGTCCAAATACTAGTCAAGCTCCTACCCCTTCTGCTTCCACTGCTTCTTTAACTTCTTTAAATAACAAACTGGGCAATTTGGAGCTATCGCCAATCTCTTCTCTATTATCTAAAATACCTGAATCAACAAATATTACTGAATTAAAATCAATTATTAAAGATATTCTTGACAAATTCAAATCTGCACAACAAGAAGAAAATGATAATGCCAATGATACCACAATTACAGCACAAAAAATTGTTGATTGGGAAATTTTGGATGTTCTAAGTAGATTAATTAAACCAAAAAATCCACCTTTAATTAAAGAAGGTGCAATGCTTCTAATTACCAATTTAGCTCAATTCTTTAATAATAAAAATCCACAAGAAGCCTTTCTCTTACCATTCTTTGAATTAGCATTAGAACTAATGGCGGATAAAGATAATAATGTCAAAAGAGCTGCCCAACATTCTATCGATGCTCTTTTAATAACTTTCCCAGTTGAATGCTTGCCATCTTCTGTCTTACCCGTAATATTGAAATATCTATCATCTGGTGCTAAATGGCAATCGAAATTGGCTGCATTAGGTATCGTTAATAGAATTAGAGAAGATGCGCCAAACGATTTACTGGAATTGACTTTTAAAGAAACTGTACCAGTGTTAACTGATGTAGCAACAGATTTCAAACCTGAATTAGCCAAACAAGGTTATAAAACTTTATTAGATTATATCTCAATCTTAGATAATTTAGATTTATCATCTAGATATGAATTAATTGCCAAAACATTACAAGATCCAACCAAGGTACCTGAATCTGTTAAAGCTTTATCTAGCGTCACATTTGTTGCCGAAGTCACTGAACCTGCTTTGGCTTTATTAGTACCAATTTTAAACAGATCTTTAAATCTATCTTCTTCCTCTCAAGAACAATTAAGACAAACAGTTATTGTGGTCGAAAATTTGACTAGACTAGTCAATAATCGTGTTGAAATTGAAAGTTTTATCCCGCAATTATTACCTGGCATTAAAAAAGTTGTTGACACTGCATCTTTACCAGAAGTTCGTGAATTGGCTGGGAAAGCATTAAAAGTTTTAGAAGGTGATGAGGATAGTGTAACAAAAACAAATGAAAATGAATTCTCTGGTAGATTAACTATTGAGGAAGCTAAGAAATTCCTTTTAGAAAAATTGAATAAAGTTTCTTCTAATCAAGATACAAGCTATCCTTTCAAACCATTTTTATCAACTCCTGATAAAAATGGTTGTGATGAAACTGTAATTGATTACCTGGGTAGATGGTTGACTATGGAAGCTAACGTTAATGATTGGAAAAATATTGAGACTTTCTTAATCAAGATCCTCGGTGAATGTAATAAAGATATTGTCGAGAATGACTTCGTGGATGGTTTAAGATTGATTTTCCATCAAGAAAAAGTTAAAAATGATGAGGATGAAGGTGTAGAGATTGTCAACACAGATTTTTCCTTAGCTTACGGCTCAAGAATGTTATTGAACAAGACTACTTTAAGATTATTGAAGGGGCATAGATACGGTTTATGCGGTAGAAATGGTGCTGGTAAATCCACTTTAATGAGATCCATTAATAATGGTCAACTGGAAGGCTTCCCAGATAAAAATACTTTGAGAACTTGTTTTGTCGAACATAAACTGCAAGGTGAAGAAGGTAGTTTGGATTTAGTTTCCTTCATTGCTCTTGATGAAGAATTACAAAACATTTCTCGTGATGAAATTGCAACAGCTTTGGAATCAGTGGGTTTCAACGAAGAGAGAAGAGCTCAAACTGTTGGTTCATTATCTGGTGGTTGGAAAATGAAATTAGAATTGGCTAGAGCTATGCTGCAAAAAGCTGATATTTTATTACTGGATGAACCTACTAACCATTTGGATGTTACTAATGTTAAGTGGCTACAAGATTATTTATTGGAACATACTAATATAACTTCCTTAATTGTTTCCCATGACACAGGTTTCTTGGATGCTGTCTGTACTGATATTATTCATTACGAAAATAAGAAATTGGTTTATTATAAAGGTAATTTGGAAGCATTTGTTAAAGTTAAACCAGAAGCTAAAGCCTACTATACATTAACTGACAGTAATGCTCAAATGCATTTTCCTCCACCCGGTATTTTGACTGGTGTTAAGTCAAGATCAAGAGCCGTGGCCAAGATGTCCGATGTCACCTTTACATATGCAGGTGCTGATAAACCTTCTTTAAGTCATGTTTCTTGTGCATTGTCTTTGTCATCTCGTGTTGCCATTTTAGGTCCTAATGGTGCTGGCAAATCTACTCTAATTAAGTTATTAACTGGTGAATTGGTCCCTCAAGAAGGTAAAGTTGAGAAACACCCAAATCTTCGTATTGGTTATATAGCACAACACGCCTTACAACATGTTAACGAGCATAAAGAAAAGACAGCTAACCAGTATTTACAATGGCGTTATCAATTTGGTGAAGATCGTGAAGTCTTATTAAAGGAGTCTAGAAAGATTTCTGAAGAGGAAGAGGAAATGATGCAAAAGGAAATTGATATAGATGATGGTAGAGGTAAAAGAGCTATTGAAGCTATTGTAGGTAGACAGAAATTAAAGAAGTCTTTCCAATATGAAATTAAATGGAAGTATTGGAAACCAAAATATAATTCTTGGGTTCCAAGAGAAGTTTTAATTGAACATGGATTTGAGAAATTGGTCCAAAAGTTCGATGACCATGAAGCTTCTAGGGAAGGTTTGGGTTATCGTGAACTGATTCCATCTGTTATTTCCAAACATTTTGAAGATGTCGGTTTGGATGCTGAGATTGCGGATCACACTCCATTAGGTTCATTATCTGGTGGTCAATTGGTTAAAGTTGTTATTGCTGGTGCCATGTGGAATAATCCACATTTATTAGTTCTTGATGAACCTACTAACTATTTAGATAGAGATTCACTTGGTGCTTTGGCTATGGCTATTCGTGAATGGACCGGTGGTGTTGTTATGATATCACACAACAGTGAATTTGTTGGTGCCTTGTGTCCTGAACAATGGATTGTTGAAAACGGTCAAATGGTTCAAAAGGGTATTGCACAAATTGACCAATCTAGATTTGAAGATGGGGGTAATGTTAATGCAGTTGGTGTTAAGATGATTTCTCCATCTGTCGACAATGATGATTCACCTGCAAATATTAAAGTCAAGCAAAGAAAGAAAAGAATGACAAGGAATGAAAAGAAAGCTCAGGCCGAACGTCGTCGTTTACGTTATCTTGAATGGTTATCCTCTCCAAAGGGTACTCCAAGACCAGCCGATACCGACGATGAAGAAGAAGATTAATATTACATAATTAAATTGTATCATAATTAAAGATGACATTATACATACGTATATAAATATATGTTATATTTTGTTTAAATGTATATGCTTGATAGAACAAACTTTTTTTGCAGTACGTCAATACTTTAATAATTTGATAATTAGCTATGCACATATATTAAAAATAATGATAGAAATTAGTATAGTTTTAAGAAATATTTTGAATAGATAATGTGTACTAAGTAAATTAATAAATAAGTAAATGTGATTAAAGCAATTATAATAATAACAGTAAATATACATATATATATATGCTTTTATGTGTGTATGCTTGTGTGTATATATGCAGTATTTATCTTACATGTATATTCTAATTTAAAATTCTATTATTGGAATAACTATCTTCCAACTCACTTGAGATCTTTTCACCTTCTAACTCAATAATAGCACGATCCACGATAGAACGAAGAAAATTATCATGCTTCTTTTCCCCAAGGATACTTATAGTGTTGAAGCCCATACCATAATGAGGATATGAACCAATTTTAATCTCTGGAGATATTTTTTCTGACTGTTCCTGGTATAATTTCAAACGATGAGAAATTTGTGATTCAGTTAATTTTGTCTTAACAAAATATCTAACATATTCATTACGATCAGTAGTTAAATGAAACAAATCTTTCAAGATTGGTGTAAAAAAAGTTAACATTTTTTCAAATAGTTGTGGAATACCTGGGAATATAAACACTTGTTGATTAATGGAACAAATTGGTACCCATAGATCATCTGAAACATAATAGTTTTTGACGTTACTACCAGAAGGTAATGTAGCCATTTTATAATAATCTTTTAACGCTTGTTTATCTAACCTACTCTCAGGATTTTGTTTTTCTTGCATTCTTTTTTTCAATTCTTCATTAAGTACACAAGGCAAGCCAAAACTTTTAGATATTGCTGCATACGTTATATCATCGTGTGTACTTCCTATTCCCCCTGTGGTTATGATAAAATGATATTTTTTGGATAATTTACTTACAGTTTCGACAATTTGATCTTCATCATCTCCGATTGTGATTATTTCTTTCAACTTAATCCCGAGATTAAAACAGTACTTGGCGAAAAAACGAGAATTAGTATCAATGATCTTCCCATTTAACACTTCATCACCAATAATAATACATGCAGCACTGATTTTACTCATTCTTAAACTTTGCACAACACTAATCATGTAGTCGCAGAATCACACTTAAATCAGCAAAAGGTTCAGACAGTTTCAAGTATAACTTTACCTCATAAAACAGAGTTTCTGAAATATAACCTATTCTAAATAATGACTTAGGTCCTTATCCTTTTAGATTCGAGGGCTATGGTGGAACTGAGTTACAATTTTTTCTTTTTCTAAGCCCAGCAACTATATAATTAGTCTCATTTCTCTGGCTAATTCCTACTATTCAGTTATCTTTGGTTTAAAAATTTTTAATATATCACATTATATGCAATCATTTCCCTCTTTTGTTGTTTCTTTCCTCCTGTTTACAAAGTCTTGGAGCATTGGTTCTTTTCTTATTTCGGTGATATTGCCTTATCTGGCAATGAATTGCAATTGTAGGAAATTCTTCAAGAAAAAGGAAAAAATTGAGGTGAAAAGAAAAAAAAAAAAAGAAGAAAAGTAAAAATTCGATCACGTGACTAATTAGATTCCTTTTTTTTTTTGTTACAGAAAAATCGATATGCATTTTTTGTCATTGTTATTGTGTTATAGGGACCATCAGAAAAATTTGGATATTAAAATGGGAGAACATAATTCATCAGCTTCAATTGTAGCGAAATAAAAGAATGTCTTAAAAAAATTAGTACTCTCTAATATTTAACCCTCCATGTATTAGGGCGTGTCTTCATTTCTGTGTTTCTCTTCCTGTTTTTTTTTTTGCTTTCATTCCCACAAGAACCTATTTAACTATCATCGAAGAATTTTTGCAAACAAAAATATAGTTCCTATCATAAATATACAATGTCCCTAAACACATTTGACGCCAACAACGCTGATAACCTAGAAGAGATTGAAAAACAATTTGCTGTCATTGCTGTCGAACAAGCTGAAACTTATTGGAATTTGCTTACTAAAGTTAAGGGTTCTAAATTGCGTCTAACCAAGCACGATGATGAGATTTATAACACTTTCATGCAACATTTTCCAGAATACAAAGATATTGAAAGACTAAGGAAATTTTCCGAAGAAGAATTGAAATCTAAGACTGGTAAAGAAAGATGGAGAAAATACATTGCTCTTTTTGAAAAGACTATTGAAGATTACAACTTTGGTACTTTATTAAGAACTGATGCTAGTGATGAATATGGTCAACATACCACAATCTTTGCAGTTAGAATTCAATTTTATGCTTTTGAAATTGCCAGAAATAGGCATGGCTTAAATGATTGGATTTGTAGTAATTAATTTATATACCTTTCCTTTGATATATTGTCACTTTTATTTGAAAAAGATATATGCATATAATCAATATTATATACAAATTGGAATAATTTTAAATTTATGAATAGTATCAAATGATACATGCATGTAGTAAGAACGGATAACACAGAAGAAAAGTAAAGTAGAAACCTATAGATAAAAATAAGAGTCTTTCATAGACTAGTTCATTATGTGTGGTTCAATATTATCTCCGAATATTTAAAATCTATATATGTTTCTGTACATATTTAATTATAAAGAAGTTTTAATAATACTTACTGTGTTTACTCCGACAAGCCATTTATCCCAATAATGAGTTATATCATTTTCTATTTAGTACTATTATATTAGGACATACTCAATTGTTAATTTCTTGAAGTTTGTTATATTACTTTTTAAAATATAATGTACCTTTTTTGTGGATTTAGTCAATATATATATATGTATCATCAAATACTTTACAGACTCACATTAAACTAAATTGTACTGAGAAAAACTATTTTAATTTATGTAACAATATTTGAATTAAAGGATAAGAATTTCAAATTATTAAAATAGTATCACCAAGAAATCTGAAAGAAGTTTTTAGTCTATATAAAATTTGTTGTATTGTGAATATTTCTGAAACGCTTTTATGTATGTTGAGCTTTAAATATTGTCTTTTTCAATTGATACTAAAAAAGATATATGTACCTATAAAATAATCACCTATTGAATAATGGCAGAATGCAACTATCCTAAGAATGCACTATTATTAGAAAGAAAATATATATATATATATATATATATATATAATGATAGTCGGATTTCAGTACAAAGAGTAGTTTCTGAAGAATGTAAAACTGAGATGCCAAAGGACTTTTTATTCATTCCTTTTTATTTTTCAATAAGAAAAAAACAAGGCACACACTGCAGAATCCATTTGGAACGTATTATTAAGAACATAAAAAATTTCTATCATAAAAATAACAAAACTTGATAATTTTTATATTACCTTATGCTAATCTGGAGTTTATTTGTTTAGTTTATTAATGTGAACAGAAAGAGCATAATATCATAGTAATATTTTTACATAGCTAGACTGTGATAATAGTTTTCTTAGTTTTCGTGTAAGATTCATACTGTGTTTTATCAATCGAATGGCAATATCTCTTTAATGGACCTACCAGATCAATAAATTCTATTTTTGATTTTTCTGCTTTTTTCAAGTAATACTTTATTAATGATATAGGAACATCTTGATTGATATTGCCATCTTTAAACAGAGCTTCATACATAGAATTTCTGAAAATAAGGGCAATTTTATAAAGTTCAAAATACTGTTGTAGAATTTTTTTATCAGGAATCACATCCAAATATAGAATATCAAGAATGTTTCTTTTCAAATCACCAAAGTTAACGGCGTCTGGTTTATGAATTACTGTATTACCATTGATATCACAGATTGGACATACAAATATAGTATTTTCATCATTACTAAAGTCCCAATCTTTGCCACCAATACAGATTGTGTGATACCATTCTTTACAAATATCACATTGAATCATAGTCTTCCCTCCTTCTTTTTCTCTACAAAGACAATATAGTGCCTCAGGAAATGAACTTTCTGTCTCACTTTCGATATACTTGTCTCGTGTCAAATCCAATGTTTTCTTAGCTGATTTTAATATACTTCCAATACTTTGACCGTTGGTGATTCTTCTTAGTTCACTATACCATGCCTTATAATCTGCAATTCCATCTGCCAGGGATGGTTTCCCTTGCGCCTCTTTTATATTGATTCTTGTATCTTCTACAGAGCCATTAAATCTTGGGAAATATTCAAAACTTTTTATAGAATTACCTCTAATGTAACTATCTATTTCATCAATAAACTGCTTATTACCTGCTAATTGTGACAAAAAAGGGTTCTCTTTCGAAATAGTGTCTTGAATACAACCACTTATCATTGTTAAAGTCCTTTTCAAGTTAATGGGAATCGGTAATCTTTTTTTATCTATTTGAACTACGATACTATCGATATCCTCAATTGAAATCATTTTGTGTTTTCTACTCTTATCAATGATCATCTGAATTTTACCAAAAATTTCCTGACATAATAATATTCTTTCTTTGACCTTTATTAATTTAGGTACATCTTCTTCCTGACAAAAATTTATACCGTAATTCCAAAAATCATATAAAAAAGTCAATGATCTTGCAATTAATGAATCAGAAATATCAAAAGATGTGAATAATTCATAATAGATATCAGACCATTTAAATCTACAGATTGATCTTATTAATATTTGACAGTACGTATGATCTAATGGAATTTCAAAACTTTGTAGGTAGGCCTTTTCTAGCAGTTTTAATTTATTTGAAGCAATTGCTATTTCGACTTTACTTTTAAATTCTTGACAAATTTTGTATAATTGTATCATATAATCCATTTCAGGTGATGTAATAGATGATTGCATTAAAGTCTCAACCAATTGATTAAATTTAGATACTATCATAGTTAATGGAGATTCATTTAAAACTGTTAAAGGATTCTTTTCAAAGTCTTCTAGATTAGGTTTGATTAATTCCAGATTAGAATTGAATTGAAATAATATCTCTTTACATTGGTTAATTGAAAGATATGCTTTGTCAATCAAGTCTTTAATACTATAATAATAATTATCATACACTGTTGTCTCCTCTAATAAATTTTCAATGACATTTAAAGGAATTCTTTCATTATCGTATTTTTCAACCAACATCATAGATATTTTTTCTTCCAATGTCATTGATAATAGAGGATCGTTGGTATTACTTGAAATAAGCAAATTATCTGTACTATCTATTAGTGAAAGCAGCAGATCATTTTGATAATATAAATGAACTGATACATGCATATTTGATAACGGCACATCAAATAAAATCCAATCACTGTTATCTAAAAGTTCTAGATTATTTAGAAATTCAGCTAGAGATAAAGTCATTCTAGTGCTTTTATATTTTATTTCAATTTTTGAGAATCCAGTTGGTTTTAATGTAAAATCAGATATAAAATCAAAACGGTTTTCGATTACCTGCAGATCAGGAAAATATTTAAATACTTGAGATCTTTCATTTAATTCTACCTTCACAATATCAGATAAATCATGTTTTGCTTTTTCAACCAAGCAATGATCATTAGATGATTGGATAATATTAGTCAAAAGAGAAGTATAATCGATGCCTGGTAAACAGTTATTTAACGCAAGCCAATGGGATCCTTCCTTTAAATATCTAAATGATATAGATTTAGGCAGAAAGTAAGCTGACTCAGAAAAATAAAAATCACTACCTAACGTGGAAGAATAACATTTTGGATATTTAAAAATATAAGAACCAGATTCTTGAAAAATTCTATAAACTTTAATACCGTTTTCCCGTAGATGTGATGGTCTAATTTGTAATTGCTGATCTATCAATATGATATTTTCCATTTTTTTACTATTACTACTATCTGCAAAATTAAAATCTTCATATGTTGATAATCTATCAATGAGAGTATAAGAAGGATTTTCTATTTCATCATTTTTAAGGCATTTATAAATGTTAGAGTTCACAAATTTTGAATCATTGAGGATTTTACTATTCAAATTTAACTTTCCATAATTTATTGAATTATGACTGCTCTGGAGATATTTTTCAAATTTTTCCATATCCTCGGGTGGAATCACATACCATATTTTGGGTGCTCCAATGTGTTGATAATCTACAGAGGGTAAGTATGTATCATTTATTGACCATCCTGATACCGAACATAACATTCCAAGATCATATTTAGATGAGGTATAATCACCTTTATCGAAATTCAAATACCTAAAACATGATTGACTGTCTAATGGAACATTCGCCAAATTCCACCTGTCATATTTCTTTTGCAAATTATCGGATGAACTTTGAGGTTCTTGTAAATTTATCTTGTGATTTGCAGAACTTAATCTTGAACCAGTAAAAATTGTTAAATCTATATTATCTGACTCTAAGATCTCAAAATAGAACTCTTCAAATTGAGTTATATCTACCGATTGTATATTATGAGTATCCTCAAGGAAAATGTCATAATATTTTATAAAAATTTCTTGAAAAATTTCTTGACTTAAATTAAAATATTCTTCAACGTTGAAAGTTCTTGCTGCTAGATTAACATATTTATCATGATCATATAGTGGAAACCATGATTGCCATTGAGAAACAAATGTGTCTCTTTCTTGTATTTGGGAATTCGTAATGTCTGTTTTCGTCCGACCATTGATGTTTAAATGTTTTACTATTTTCATGTCTTTAATTCTTGGATAATCATCGCCAATAGAACATAATTCATATACTGATTTAATGGTGTCCTCGATTTTGTTCTTATTTACAAGCCTGGTATGTTTGTCTTTGTAAGCATGAGTTATAGCAAAGTGTGATTGTTCAAAATCTAGCAAGAATTTTTGATAGAATTCTCTAATTTCCACTTTTTCTTCTTCGTTATGTGTATAATTTAATCTCTTCTCGATGAATCCCCATTTTTTACCTTTCTCAACTTTTTCAAACCCACCATTTCTTTGAACCAATCTATATAATGAATAAAGGCTGACGGATTTACTGTTAATTTTAGGTAGTTTATCAAACTCAGAATCCTTACTGGAGTTGGTGGTATAGAATTGGTAAAGATCATGATAAAAGCTCAATATTGATCTATTAATAAGTTTTCTTGATGTTAATTTCTGTTGTCTACATTTAAATGAAAAATTCTCAAAATTTATCTTCTCTTTATAACTATCAGGAACCTTTGATGAATTGAACTTATTATTATTATCATTGATAACTTTTAGTTTAATACAACCATATTTTTGGCCTATATCACTCACTTTATTAAAAAAATCAATTGGACTTTTAAATACTTCTTTGGAGACATGAAAAGTTGGTATAGAATCCTTGGAGATTGTATAGTATTGACCAGAAAGGTTATGGAATAGTCTTTCACTAGTTTGTTCGGATGATAGATCAGTAATTGAAAGAGTATTTATTTCAAAAGTTTTCGCACCTAGTTTGACACTGTCACTTTCATTTTTCTTTAAATTTTTAAGTAAATCTGATATGGCATATTGATTATTGTTAATACGATCAGTAGTATGACATTTTGCCGTTTTAAATAACGATCTTTTTTCATTCATGGAAGTTAGTGATGATACGGAAGAATTTGAAGATGTAATATTAGGTGAATCAGAAAGCCTTCTTTTCCTTTGCATAATATTATTATTAATTGATGATGTGGTAGCATGACTTGTATCATTTTGAGATTCAGCAATACCCAATTGTTCATTTTGCAAATCAATGGCCCTTTGTAACGTTGATGGGATAGAGATTACACTATTTTGTTGGGATAGAATAGATCTGTTAATATTTGCGTCATTAGTCGTAGTTGTGTTGTGATTATTATTATTGTCCTTATAATTATTATCGTTGTTTGTGTTTGCGTCATTGCCGACTGCATGTATAGTTTGTGTTGGATTATTCCCAATTACAATATCATTATCATCATTAGCAAATGCGTTATTGTATTCATTTTGAGACAAGCCATCTAACAGGTACAGTAGTTTATCAGATGTCTCTTTATCTTCCATAATGGCTCTTTTATCTATATTCTTTACAAATATATATTTATATCCATATATCCTATTTCTTTTTTTTATTTTTTTTGTTTAGGACTATTGACGTACAACAAAATCTTCAAAGACTTTTATAAAAACAATCTACAGGATTGTAAACGGTGTATCAATTATAAAATTTCCAACAATGTTAAAGAAGGTTTTCACATGTTACCATTTTATTTTTGTCTAAGTTTTCCCTCATGGGTTTTTTTTTTTTTCAGTTAATTTTTCCTTTTCTTTTTTATTTTTGTTCTTTTAAAATTTATGAGATGAACGTCTGTCAGTTCAATTACAAGCAAAGAAATACTTCTATTCTCGAGAGGTTTCAATATTAGGTAGGATATATATAGTGAGATGTATATATAAAGCTTAAATATCCACATGGGGTTAAAAAAGACGATGTTTTGAAGACTTATTTACTTTAAGAAAGAAATTAAACCAAAAAACAAGATAATAATAATAATAATAATAATAATAATAATAATAATAATAATAATAATAATAATAATAAGGAGAGAAGAATCTTGATGTAATGAGAAAAATATTATTAAATGAACTTATTTAAAGAAAATAAATATATATATATATATTTTCTTTTTGCTATGTACACTGTTAAATGTTCATATGTGTGTGTATGTGTGTATGTGTGTACTTACTTGTGTGGTTATCTGCGGGAATTCAAAGGATTTTCTTTTAATTGTGTGTTGTTTTGTCTAGTTTTTAGTATTTTTATTGGAGTAACAATAATAATATATATATATATATATATATATATATTATTATTGTCATAACAGCATGTTAAGAAGAAAAAGGAAAGGATATATAAAAAAATAAAAAAATAGAAACCTAAAAAGGAAGTGTTTTGAAGGTTCTTTTCTTGCATTACAAGTCTCTTTCAGTTGGATTATAACCTGCTGTTTTCATATTTTCTGCTGTTTTCCAGTCATTTTTGAACCCTCTACCAGCACAGGCGGACTCATCTTGGTCATTCATGTGTTGATGATGTTGATGATGTTGTCCATGATGTTTCATGCCACCAGAACCCATGTATGTATCGTTCATTCCACCTGATGTACGTCCTAGATCGTACTGATCACGACCCATATCTTCTTCTCTTTCTAAATTTTCTCCAGTTTGGAACCTCCTTGGCTGAGTCATTCTATGTCCACCTTGCATACCAGCATGTGATTGCATTTGTGCACCTGCTTGAGCTTGTGTCCTTTGACGTTGTTTCTCTTGATTATCGTCATCTAATGACCCTCCGACTTTTTCAGTAAATTTATGAATTAAATTAGACATCTCTGTATTGAAATCGAAATTTGGATAGTGAATTGTATTTAGGTTATGAAAGGGCAGTGTTATTTTCTTCTATTTCTACTGGAGTGTTTTGTTACTTAGTTAAGTGACCTTATTATTTATTGATATTAACAAGATTGATATAAAAGAGACTTTATAGAACCAAAACAGAATTAGTTAGTAAGATAAATATCTTGTAGATATATATATATATGTATGTATGTATGTATGTATGTATTAATATGTCAGACATATTTGAAGGGAAACAATAAGAGTAATGTATCGTTGTATAGTTCTCTTGTTGTTATCTTACATCATAATTGAACATTTTTGAAAACAACAAAGGATTCTTCCAGCCAAATTATGCACAATACAACACTGCACAATATTGTATTAAGTTTGTTTCTCCCTTCCCTTCCCCTTCCCCCTTTATGCTTTCTTCGTATCAAACACTTCCTTTAAACCATCCGGTATCTTCAATCACAATGCGAAACATCTATTGCAAACTGAACAGGAATGTTACAACGTCATCATCAGCAACCCTTAAATATAGGTACCTTCGCACTACCATGCCTCTCTCTTTCTTTCCACCAATCACTAATCACCAATAAACCAATCGTTCACAACGGAACAGATAGACTATCACAACTATCACCAACAACACTATCTCCATTAACTGTTACCACAGTAGGGAGTACTACATTGGGTATTATACTAAAATTCACTCCCAGTAATATTACTGCTGGTATGTATTACTACAGCTATTATTATGACTATTACTGCTATTGTGATTACCAACAACTACCATCGCTGCGGTCCATGTTTTCGTAATGAATTGGAGGCAATTGAAGGGAGAGTTTCCGTGTGAATTACATACGCGCGATCAGTATACGTCATTAAGGGAAACAGTAGATATAAGTGACGTAGACAAAATTACACTATGTAATAATCATCGTGGTTTGTTGATATACAGAACTATTTTCTTCGTTACTAAACTGCTGCTTTATAAGATATAGCATATCTATTGCAATTATTTATTTCTTTGTCATCCTTGACACACGTACATTAACATATATACACATACTCATTCATATATATATACATGTATATATAACCTAAAAAATACATACCATAACTTTCGGGAAGTTACGTTTATGTATTCTGTCAAGTAGTAAATAGACAGATATAGTATATATATAGATATATACAAATATCGATTTCAATATTATTGATTATGGAGGGTACAGGTGATAAGCATATAGTTAGTGAAGTTTTAAGAGAGCAGAAGGAAAGACTTGCAGGTGAAGCTAAGGTCATTAGTGAAAATCTGTCCAAATTGAAAGCAGACAAAAGTTTGACCGATGAAGAACGAAAGGCTCAAATTGATTATAATACCGAGCAATATAATAAATTAATTGGTGCAGGTTCAAAATGGAAAGAAAAGTCGAAAGAAGAAGAACAGAGATTGTAAACCATTAAAAAACTGTTGCAATCATAATAAGAAAAAAATAAAAAAAAAAGTAATTATGTTTTCTTAAAGTACTTATTTTTTTTATTGATTTTAAACATACATACATGTATATATATACATATATATATATATTGGTCTAAATAGTAAATAAACAATTATATATATCACTATAATTTTTATGATTATTATCACATATATCTAATAATCGTTGTCATCATCGTAGTTGTTGTTATAGGAATCGTTTCCATAAGAATTGTTATTACTGTAAGAATTGTCATTGTAATGTGAATTACTTTGTCTGTAAGAGTTATTGTTACTGTAGGAATTGTTGTTCCCATAAATATTGTTGTTATACTTGTCCTTGTTCTTCTTAGAAGAACTATAGGAATCGTTGTTGTCATAATTGTTATCATTTCCGTAGGAATCATTGGTGTTATAGTTGTCGTTGTTACTAGAGGAGTTGTTATTATAAGAGTCATCATTTCCGTAGGAATCACTATTATATTTGTCTTTGTTCTTCTTAAAAGAGCCATAGGAGTCGTTTTTGTCATAACTGTTGTTGTTTCCGTAGGAGTCATTATTACTATAGTTGTTGTTATTATTGCAGGAGTTCTTATAAGAGTCATTATTTCCATAAGAATCATCGTTATATTCATCCCTGTTCTTCTTAGAAAAGCCATAGGAATCGTTGTTGTCATAATTGTTGTTGTTACTGTAGGAGTTGTTATTATAAGAGTTATTATTTCCGTAGGAATCACTATTATATTTGTCTTTGTTCTTTTTAGAAGAGTCATAAGAATCATTATTGTCATAATTGTTGTTGTTACCACAGGAATAGTCATTTTCGTATGAATCACTATTGTACTTGTTTGTGTTCTTCTTAGTGGAGCCATAGGAATTGTTGTTGTTGTTGTAAGAATCATTATTGTAAGAGTCATTGTTTCCATAGGAGTCGTCGTTATACTTATCCTTGCTCTTCTTAGAAGAACCATAAGAATCGTTGGTTCCATATGAATCATAATTATACTTGTCCTCGTTCTTCTTGGAAGAGTCATAGTAGTCGTTATTGTCATAACTGTTGTTGTTTTCATAGGAGTTATTATCATCATAGTCGTTGTTGTTACTATAAGAGTTATTATTTTCGTATGAATCACTAGTATATTTGTCCTTGTTCTTCTTAGAAGAGCCATAAGAGTTGTCATTGAAAGAGTCATTACCTCCATAGGAATCACTAGTATATTTATCCTTGTTCTTCTTAGAAGAGCTATAGGAATCGTTGTTGTCATAACTGTTGTTGGTTCCATAGGAATCATTATTATCATAACTGCTGTTGTTATTATAGGAGTCATTATTGTAAAGGTCGCTATTTTCATACGAATTGTTGTTATACTTATCCTTGTTCTTCTTAGAAGAGTTATAGGAAGCATCATTATCATAGTAGTTATTGTTGTTGTTATTGTTTCCATTATAGTCGTTGTTTCCATAGGAGTTATTGTAACTATCAGAATTATTGTTATTATCATAATAATTATCGTTATTCACATAAGAATCATCACTACCATAGTTGTTGTTGTCACTGTAGGAATTGCTACCGTAAGAATCCTTGTTATTGTAAGAATTATTATTGTTATCATAAGAGTTGCCATTGTCTCCATAGGAGTTATTATTATCGTAGGAATTGTTACTGTACTTGTCTTGGTTCTTTTTGGAAGAATCATCGTTAGATGAATAATAAGAGCTATTGTTGTTGTACGAATTGTTATTCTCATAAGAGCTGCTATCATAAGAATTGTTGTTATAGGAACCATTGTTGTTGTTATTGTTGGTGTCATTGATATGAGTGTTGGATAATTGTTGTCTCACAGAAGATTCCAGCTTGTTAAAATTATCTTCACCAACTCTTTGCTTAAAAGAATTGATTTTATCTTGACCAATAAAGTTTTCAACTTGATCGACCAGATCAGTGTTATTAGAATCGATATCACGGTCGGTGGTAAACTGCTTGACCTTATCTAAGAAACCCATTTTGTCAATTTTACTAAAGTAAGATGGTTATATGGTGTGAGTTAATGGTTGTAGCCTGTTTTGTGAGTGTTGACTTTCTTACATATTCATAAATAGAAAGGATAAAGCGGATTAAGGAACCAAAAATTTTCCAGATATGCCAAGTGTTTCGATAAATTGGAAAAAACTTTAGTAGTATAGTTTTTTTAACAGCTTATGATAAGATATTTATATAGTTGACAAGATCTTCTTATTTTAGAAATAAAACAAGATAAAGAGAGATTTAAACAAGAACAAAAGAACAGGAAAGAAAACAATAGAAGTAAAGAGGTCAATAATAGCCGCAAAAACAAACCATTCCTGAGAAAGATATACGAAATTCGAAAAACCACCAATTTTTTTCCGAAATCGCTAAAAATAAACGTCATAAATTAAAATAGACTAAGCCGAAAAAGAACAAAACAAACAAACGAACAAGCAGTTTCTTTTTTTTGTGTTCATATTTTGTCAAAAGAAGCTAACATGGCAAAGATTGTTACGAGAAAAGATTGGATAAGGCCATCGTACTCTTTATCTTTTAGTTATATTATGGTTTGCATTTATATTTGAACGGTGGTACTGTTGTCCAAATTTTATCGTGACATCGTTATGGATTCTTTTCTCTATCAAAATCCTGTATATATATTTTACAAAATACAAAAGGATATCTTTTTTTTTTTTTACAAAAGTACCCGTTTCTTACGTATATGTATATCAAACTATGATTTTATAATGTATATAATATTAAATACCGGTTAGAGATTGCTGCAACCAACCAATGGTGCGTCTCTTAACCTCTCCATTTTCATCTCTATATAATCGTCGTTCTTCTAATATTTTTATCATCTCATCAGCTGTCTTTCCGTTATCAATCCCATTCAAAATATATTTATATAAACGCTTGCGACGAGAGAAAGTTTTTCGGTTTTTTGTTAGCCTCCATTTATTGCCATACTTTTCCTCTAAACCTCGAATTGATGGATTCCCATTAATTCCATGAACATATTCCTCCCAAATAGTTCTTACTGTGTTAGGTGCCTTTAGGATCTTATAATTTAGATCATTATTGACTTCGGGTGTTGAGATTTCTTCAACAGTTTTCTCTGTTTTTTCATTATTTTTCGTTTTAACTTTTTTCAAGGATTTGTTTCTAGATTTTTTCACTCCTTTAGTTGTAATCTTTTTCCTATCATCATTTATATACATTTGAGCCACATTATTTTCTTCGTCTACTATGTCCTCATTATCCTCTTCCTCGTCTTCAATTGACTCATTGCAACTTTCATTTATTTGTTTGATGCAATGTTCTTCTTCCTCTTCATCATATTCCTCTTCTTCATCATCGTCTACATGGATAACAGATTCGGCGTCTTTCGAGCCATTAATACTGTGATGATCATCATTATACTCTTCTTCTTTCTCTTCTTCATCATCATCTTCTTGATATCCATCTTCGTCCTCTAAAACTTCAACATTAGAAACTTTATTTCCCGAATTGGTGCTTGGATTTGTGTGTTTTAAATTGTATTTCGTTTCTGTATTAGTATGACTAGCGTTATCATCATTCATATTATTAGAAGGTGATATTTTTGTTGATTCTTGATTAATATATTCATTATTTGGGATCATAGCAACTTGATTGTTGTTTCTGATTGTTGTAGCATTATTATTCGATGAACTAATTGGATGTGTTGTTGAAATTGGGGTGGTATTTACCGGTTCAGAAGATGGAAATATGAAATGATTAATATTAAGTGGATCCAATGTATTAAGATGCCTGCCATTAGAGTTAGCATTTGTGATCGCGGTAGCAGGTACTACTTTTGTATTAGTGGAAGCATTCAGTTTGGGGATATCATTTAATGATGCTGTTAATACATTCGAATTGTTGATAATTCTATCATTGGTTGACAGAGGTTCATTCCTACTGTCACTATTAAAAGGTAGGATACTACTTGTTACTAATGATGATTGTTGTGTTCGATTATTTGTGTGAAATCTTTTCCGTTTTTTGATTCCATTTGGGTTTAAAACAAAATTGTTGTTTCCACGAATATGTTTCTTAAAAGGAACAAAATAGGAAGATTGTAGAGTGTGTAATTCAGGGACTGAGTTTGACATATTCAAGCTTGCTATAGAACTTTTACCATTATTATTATTTACAAACTTACTATGGGTTGTGTTTATATTTTGATTATTGGAATTTATACTTGTGGATAGGTTATTAATGTGTGCAGTAACCAGATCATCACTATTATTCTTAATATTATTGTTATAATGATTACCAGTACCATTGTCAAGTACTCTGGTTTGATTATTCTGTGATAGATACGATGAAGAAACACTTGTAATTGATTTTAATAAATCAACAATGAATTGTCTTTCTTTAGATATTTCCAAATAATCATTTTTTCTATATTCTTGTCTTTTTTGTTCAGTTATTCTACTTTGTTCCAGTTCACATGAAAAATTGTTAATTACAGTTTCTAACTTTTGTAAAGTCTTATTTTGTATATTAAATGCTTTTGTCAATTTAAGGAATTGTTCTTCCATGGTAATCATTCTAGCAGCCATCTCATCCATTCTTTGAAACATGCGTAAATGATTGGATGAGGATTCCATACTGGAAGTAAATGACGCTGGTGAAGGATTGCTATGCGGTTGTGAAGGCTTTCTAATTTTTTCTTGAATATTTATATGTGAAGAAGGTGTGGATAATCTTAATTTATTTATTTCATTGTCGGTCGGTTTTTTGTTTAGTTCAACTATTGGATTGATCGAATTGGATTCAGTTTTATCTCCTGTACTTATTTGACAAATATTTGGCGAATTAATGTTGTTTATTGACATAGCTGTATCAGAAGTTGTAACAGTCGAATTTCCATGAAAATTGTTGTTTGTTTGATTGTGTGATATATTCATATGAGTTTGCGGAAAGTCGATTATCGTATTATTTGATTTACTAGAGATTTCGTTGAGATTCATTGCTAGTGATGAACTATTAGATGATTTTGGTAAGTTTATGCTTTGTGAATTATTCATAGTAGCAGTTTCAACAGTATTTGAGATTGGATTATTATTAATGGTATCAGAAACAATAATAATATTATTGTCAATGCTGCTATTGTTTTGACCAATTTGATGATTATTCTTTAAATTCATCATGTTTGAATTATTACTATTATCAGAGCTGTTGAATTGTTCGTCATTTATCAAATTTTGTGGGTTTACACTTGAAGATGATATCACATTAACGTTACTTGTTGTATTTTCATTTGATTGTATAGAACTAACAGTCAACTGGAACTTGCTATTAGTATTATTATTGTTATTAACAATATTTACCATTTTAGAATTATTAGAATTAAATTCGTTAGAGGAATCCTTAATAATACTGGGCGGATTGGTTTCGGACATAATAAAATGTACATTGAGATATGAAAATGAATCTGAAAACTTTAAGTTCTAATTAGTATTACAAGTAGTAACAAATACAGAAGGCATGTATGTAAGCTAATAAATACAGAGAGGTAAGATATTAGAAGTTTCTTATCAGATTATTAAATAATGGCTAGGGTAATGGACATGAATAGTAACTAATTATGATGAAGTCACTTGGTTCCAATATTATTTATTATATTTAATTTGTTAGAACAATTTGATGATGTGATGAAATTATTAGTAAAATACTCTGGATAAACTATACAGCGTTTTTCTAAATATTATTATTTGGTTAAATAAACAAGCAATATGGGTAGTATATTGTCAATACATGGATGCTATCAAGTCTGTTCTACTAAGTTTCCTATCTATAAAATAAATGATATGTGATGCGGCATGTGTGAAAAAAAAATCCGAATTATTCCGAGATAGTTTTACAAAATTACCTTATTGAAAAAATAAAAAATATTCTTGTAATTCGAATCCGCTAAAGGCTTAAGTTTTTTAGAGATAGTGGCTTCTTTGGAAAGATATTGGCGGATTTTACATTCAGTAATGAAAGACAGAAGATCTTGCTTTCTGAATCACTCAGTTTGCAGGGAAATTGTTTCTTGTGTCTCCTTTTATTGATACTGGTTCATGTAATAGCATTATTTCTCTTAATAGTCTCTCATCTTGTACCATTTTAGATGTTGATGTGTTAGGATTTTGAATACTAGCTTAGAGAAATAAGGGTTATCGATATTTTTTCCAATCTCTCCTTTTCAGAAAGTTATATAATAAACCATGACGGTTAACATATAAAATATTATAAAGATGCAAAATATATAATTAGTAGTAATCAACAAAAAGTACCAAGAAGTTAGCAGAGAATAAACAAGAATAAATAAAAATAGGAAATTATGTATATATTATATGTTACTTAGTTCTATTAGTGTATTAATGTTTTAATATTACGTCTAATGATACAGACAGAGTCTATGTCTTGTATTCGATCAAGTCAATTATTATTAACACCACTATTACTGAAATGACTGTTATTAGAAGTTGTAATAGATAAAAACCTATTGCGAGAAAAATACTTTCCTAGAACATTAAAACGGATAAATGATTCTTGGTTGAATGCCCATATATGTTATATAAACTATAGTTCACTCAAGGAGTAACTAATGTACACAGACATATAGATAAACATACTTATATAAACAAGAGAAACAAGAATGTCGACTCAACAAAAAGTTTACATGATGGTTTATAGTGACATCATGATTTTATATGTTACAAAAATACAAAAATAAGATGGACGAGTCCGGAATCGAACCGAAGACCTCTCCCATGCTAAGGGAGCGCGCTACCAACTACGCCACACGCCCAAGAGAAGCTATGCGGTTGTTCTAGAATAGAATAGTTATAACCATCAAGATTACATAAGATCCTGAATGAATTTAGAACTATTTATTGTCTTAATAAGCCATACACGTGCTACAACATTAGATGCTGCATAATAAAGAGATTGGATTACATAAGATTTAACAAATCTAGAATTTACCTATTGTTTTAATAAGTCCCACGTGTATTACTGATCACCATGATTAGAGAATTGGGGTGCAGTTCTAATCCACTAGTGCACCTAAATTAATATAATAAATTTTAGGGTTTGAATCAGTCAAGTCATTAATGTACTAATCTGAATAATCGATCGAGCTCCAGAAAACATATAAAAGGACAACGTTTTCTGGAGATAAAAGATCATCTTCCATAACCGTTTCTTGTAAATAATTTATATATTATATATGAACAAAAAGAGAACAACAAGCAAGTAACAAGTTAAGTAACTTTGAATAAATATATTAGCTCAATATAAGCCGCTCAATATATAAGACCGTTTTAGTAATTATATTATCGCCTATAATTGATTACTGTCTCGATTACTTGAATGACTATTAATATTATTTGCGCTTCCCTGGAATACACAAAGAACTTCACCACCTCATAATACAACAGCAGTTGTATACTGCTCCATAATAGAAAACCATCACTACCAAGATTATACAAGATTCTGAATGAATTTAGAATTACCTATTGTTTTAATTGGTCATACATGTATTACTAATGACCATGATAATTGTGCCGTTTATCAGTAGTGCATCCAAGTACCATAACCAGTAAATTGGGGTGCAGTTACTAATTCACTAGTGCACCTGAATTATTATAAGAAATATTAGAGTTTGGATCACTAAGTTCATTAAGGTATCAATCTGAATAATTGATTGAGCTTCAGAAAACATATAAAAGGACAACGTTTTCTGAAGATGAAAATTATCTTCCGTTACTCCTCTCTTATACATAATTAATATATTATATATAGAAGAAAGCAAGAACGATAACTATAAGAAAATATATAAGTTTGATATAGTCGTTTGATATATAAGGACTGTATTAGTAATTACCTTACTAATTGTAACAATTACTGTCTTGATCAATAAATTATCCGTTAGACATAATCTGTACTTCCCAATTTATTAAGACAATTTTGACGTAAGGCTTTGGAATCAAAAATTCTAGTAGAATTCATTTTAAACTAATATAATAAGATAATGTAACTTACAATAGGATATTGGTGGTATTATAAGTTTTATTGTTATTTATAGTAGGAAATTAGTGGTACTATAAATTGTTATTGTATTGCTTGGTCTTTTTCTTTCCACATATGTAATATACAAGATACGATATTATACAGTATACTCATTTTATCTTCGAATCTTCTTTAATATAAATTTTCATAACTTTTAATCACTTAGTACGATGGATTTAGATTATCAAACATAACTCTAATCATATTTCAACAGAAAACTTTAAAGTACTTTGTACTACAACACAGATTGTAGCATACTAAAGAAGTCATCACTATTGAAATTACATAAGATTCTAGGGAAATCTAGAATTGCTTTTTGTTATTAACAAATTACACACTTGCTATTACTCATCGTAATATTTGTGATGTTTATCACTAATGCACCCAAAGTTACTACAATTAATAAATTGGAGTGTGGATTAATAATTCGCTGATAGATTAAATTATTGACTTTAATAATTTAGTCAAACCTTATGAAACATTCAGGATACTAGGTTACGGTGGCGTTTTATTATACAACATAGAGCTCTGTATATTAGGATGTATGATACCACAGAGAGTACCGGTCAATAAACATATTAAAAATAATATTTTTAAAAATATAACCTATTTTTTATGTTAGTTTTTGTTTACAATTTATATATCACATATAAAAGTGAGTTAGAAGTGCTAGAATTAATAAAATAGTTTATATCAAGTAGAATATATTATAAGAATATATTATAAGAATATATTATAAGAATATATATTTGATAAAAAAAAAGGCAAATCTCATTAATTTAATGCTTTAGAGCATTAATATTGATACCACGAGTTCTAAATTTCATTAATATATAGGTGTGTGTATGAAATTTTTAACCCTGTTATACATATTTGAACGATGTTTTAATATTTGTGTAATTATCGTCTATCCTAATTGTAAATAGCTAGTCATTTGAGCAAAACGTAAAAAACATTTTTCTCAAAATTAAAAAATTACTTTTATTAAAGATCAAATTTAGAAATCGACTCTTTTAATACCATAAGAGATTTTCTCAGACAATACACTACTATATAAATTTTAATTATATATAAACATTTACAAATTTAATATTTGTTAATTCCAAGTAATACATTAATCATATAATTTTTGTTATGTTCTCTCAATGATCAAAGGTTATTTAAAACAAGTTTGGCAATATTAATCTAACAATCGTTTGGATACACCCACAAACTAGGCCCAGAATTTCAGCCTTTTCAAATCTTTTACTTCAACATTGAATATTACTAACAATCTACATTTTCTAAGATTTTTCATTTAGAATTCTTACAAATACACTTGTTATTGCATAGCTAACTAAACCTTAAATCAGTGGTCTATCTTTTTGTAATAATTTATGTCTGATCTTAAAAAAACTTTTGTTATAAATAAAAAGGTAACTTTGTTATGATATACACTGTAAATAAACCTTTTTATACAAAATAACACTAAACAAATATTTTAGTAGGGGATAAATCTTTGAATACAGTTTTGTAAAATCTTGAAACTATGCTATTAAAAACTACTGCAAAAGTGTTATGAAAGATATTAGATAATATAGTCAAAATTAGAGAACTACCTCTGTTTATCCTTCTATGGAATAAATACTTTATATGATTATACAAGGAGCACATAGTATATAATAGTTTCTTAATTCAAATTAGAACCACATGGATATAATTTACATATCGAAATATTTTTTGTTTTTAATAAATACTATAAAAAGTAGTGGAACTTGAATTTCTTACTATTCATGGTAATAGTGAATATCAATAAATTATAAATGCTTATTTTATTTTATACTAAAAACGTCTATTATATGTTTTATTTAGTGTAAAATTTTATATCGGCTTTGACACTATTAAATTTTCTACTCCTTAAGATCTTTGAACAATTTTTTTGGTAAAAAAATAAAATGTGCTCCCACACATTCTGGTACATCCATATACTACATAGTAAACAAAAAAACTAAATTAAAAATAATTTTGTTGAAAGATAATATAGATGGAACTCTCGTTTTCCAATAAATTTGAGTATTGTTTTATTATCCATAATTATATAATTATACAGACTGTCTTACTAACAGTAAATTACACATTATGCATCCTCTGGATGAATAATATTAGTATACATGTTCTTAGCGTCGGTGATCATACTATATGTTATTATTGTGAATTATTATTATTATTATAATATGTAATGCAATTTTCCCTCGATCTTTTGATTCGGAATTAATAATTATATAAATACAAAAGAAACATATGATAAAGTATATATAACTTATTCATCCAGATTGGAAAATTAATAAGTAAAGTCGTCTACTTATATATATTTACCTTTTGGCAATTTTTCATAATATATTAATTTATTTTGATTCTGTTTGATTTTATCTCCATAATATTGAATGTGCAAAACAAACATTTTTTCTCTTTGATATATTTACATGTTACTCAAACCGGTAATATATCATCCCAGCAATGCAAAATTTTCTTCAGAGAAATAATTTATTTCCCAACTCTATATAAACTTATTTTCATAATTTTCTACATATTAATCCTTTCAAGATAACCAATGTAAAAAAGCCTTATTTTTGTATTCTCTTATTACTTATTTTTTTCGTCTATGAAAGAGTGCCTTTTACTTATCTATTTTTACTACTTCTTATTTCTAAAAATAATTTACTTATATTTTGGATTTTAAAAACAATATGCCTATTTTAAATTTTTCTAAATAATGAATGATAGCATATGTCGATTCACAATATATGAAAACTGAGAACAAAGAATAAATCATTCATATCTCAAATTCAATTGGATAAAATAAGTAAAGAAATTAGCCATAATTTATCCTTAAGAATTTTAATGAATAATAGTGATATTAAGCTTCTTCAATTCTTTTTATTTATGTTTCATATGTATTATTATAATTATTAATATTTTTATCTCATCTTTTTGCCTTTTCTTTATCCTTGCTTTATATTTCTATTTCTCTTGGTAAAAAAAAACAATTTAATGAAAACAATAAGTTTGTTGCTATCAATGAATAGTTCTCTTATCAATATTAAATTAACAACCATCATGATATATCACATTGAACAAACTAACAAATACAAGGTTAAATGAAATTTTTGTAAATATAAAATAAGATTTTTATTGACAAATTTAAAAATAAATGGTAAATAAGTAACTAAAAAAAAACAAGTGAACTTGTACACCTAATAACATAGTTTTTATTTTACATTTCTGTTTTTTACATTTTCTTTCTGTTTTAATGTTTATCCTCCCTTCTAACCCCTTCTAACATTAAGATCAGACTGCCAAAACAGTTTCAAAATTTAAATCATTCATTAGTGCCATAACTACATTGATCCATTCGATATTTTATTTCCCTCTACTTTTCTTTTAATTTAACCTATGATAAAACCCTACAGAAAATATTATACCCAAGAAAGCAAAAACAAAAAAAAAAAACGTAGACAAATAATACTAATATTTAAAATATCTGATACAATCTTGAAAATAAGAAAAAATACAAAACTAAAACACTTAAGAGCCATGAATAAAAAACTACTATCTTAAGCTTTAAAAATTAACCTATAAAACTGTAGACAAATTATGTTATAAAAATTTGTCGCAAATCTTTCACAAAGTGAAGGAGACACAAAACCTTATGGTTTTCCTATTACAGTAATATTCTTAAAGTAAAAAGTCCATCTATTTTCAACAGGCCGTTAAAAAAAATGAACCCCTGAAAAAAAGTTTTAAAAATTTTATTATAAGCCCTATTATAAATTAACATATGTCCATATCTTAATTGTCTGAACCCTAATAAGACCACTTTGAACGAAATAATAACCGTGATCTATAGACAATTACATAAACATTATCAAATATTACAAAGATAAACAAGAGTAATATCGGCACCAACTATTCTATTGTGACCAGGTTACAAACCCTTACTATTATTTTACTAAAGATATAAAAAATACAATGACTACACTCAGTTATTTTTTGTTTTAATACTTTATTCTTTTCACCTACTTGTTAAATGCCCACTATCAACTAGATCTCAAGGTAAAGACACAAAATTATTGTTTGAATTATCTTGATACCATTTACTTAGCCTAGACCCTACATGAAATCCAGGTAAATAGATGATTTCAAGACACCCTGTACAAATCCCAGTTCCAAGCAACTATGATCATTGAAAAAAAAACAGAATACAGCTTTTAACCTAAACAATTTTATGTCAGCTTTATACATGCGCCCTTTTGTGAAAATTAAATTTGAAGCCCTAGATTTTTTCAGACGGTCCTCCACTTTTCCAATCTTCTTTCTTAAAGATTGGACAATTGGAAAATCCCAACATAAAAATAGATCTAATGCTTTCCTGCAAATTCGACAATTATAAAAAAAAGCCAAGAAAAAAAATTTGTCTTTTAGTAATATTAATATTTTATAGATCGCTTTTTTCAAACAAAAAAAAATCTATTTCTTTCAAAATGAAAAACATACATTTTGTCAATCCATATCGTACCGACATTTTCATAAGATATGTCACAATTAATCTTGCATACTACATAATAAAACAAGTGCTTTTATTATCTTCTCAATTATTTTTCTGCATTGACACTTTTTATTGATCAAATAGTAACAATCTTTAAAATTTCTATTGCAAGGAGGCAAATCCTCAAAAAAAAGATAATTTCAACAACCTATATTATGCCATGAACTACAAACTCTATGCGTGATTCTTTAAATATAGAAAAGTATCGTCTCCAAGCAATTATTTTGTGAGCATGATCCTGCACCCTTTTTGACATGTTTCATCAAAACTAACCTTTCTTTAAAATACAAGAACAGATAGCAAGAAAAACAAAAACAGTTCACTGAATAAACTATAATATATTCATATATTACTTCTAAAATTAAAATATTTTTTTATTTAACGATTAAGATATCTTCACTTTTTTTTTTTGATATAATCATATCTTTTCAATTTTAGTAGTAAAATGTGTTACTGCATTATAAACAAATTTTTGCCATAATATAAGGTTTGCTGGTATATTTGGAACTTGCTATAGCGGCTTTTGCAACAACCGCATGTACAGTTCCAAAGAATGGTACTGTTGGGGCTGCCGTTAGTTTTTATGACTTTATTCTGCTTGGTGGCACACATCATCCAAGATATGAAGGTAAAATTGGTGGTGTTTTGGATCTAGCGTGGGATACAGGCGAATCACTAGATGATCATCCTTATTGATTCAAAGGTGTTCCTCTCTCTCCTTTTCTAATGGAAATTACTGGTTATTATAAAGCTCTACTTACGGGTATTTATACCATAACCACTAAACTAAATGATAGTGCTACAATTCTCGTAGGCGCTGGTGTTGCATTTGATTGTGGTAATCAACATAAAAATTTCATAGCTAAGAAATTTAGTCTTACAGGTTCTGGTGTAAATAAAATTCCAGGCCCGTTCTATATGAGAAAGGATTACTATTATCCTTTTAGGATTGAGTACGCTAATTTCTAAGTAAGAGGAATGCTAAATGTTTCAATATATCTGCCAAATGGTACTATAGACAATACTATAGATAGCAGTATATACAGCTTTTCAGAAAAAAATTCCAGTAGTTACTCATCTATATTTTTTACATACAGTGGACTTACAGCATACACATCGATAACCTCTACGAAGAATGCTGCGTTATTAAGTTTAAGTGGGGCTACAACTACTTCCACAAGTTTAAGCACATCAGCAATTCATTCTTATAATGAAAAAGTTGTCGTTGTCTATTATGTGACAACTCAGATCTCGGTAGCAGCAACAACTACATACATTCCTGGTTTATTGAAGACTACTTCTACTGTCTCTATCTACACCTTGTACACAACCGATTCCAATGGTAGTAGCAGTCCAATTGATATTGTAGTTGTGATGACTCCAGATGTGGTTACTACAAGTCTAAGAAGATATTATAGAAACTCATCAACAATATCTACAGAATCCTTGTTATCATATTTTAGAATGTCGGAATCTTTTAAAAAGAATATTGCAACCACAAAAAACGTAGAAACTTCCAGTGATAGTATTTAGAATACTGTCAAGACTGAATCAATATCTCGAATAAATAGGGGCGAAACTGAAGCAGATTTATCAACTGGTACAATAATAAACACTCAAAAGACGGCTACTGTTAGTCAAGAGTCGCTATATGTATCTTCCCAAGCCGCAATATCAAATAGCAGGTCAAATATAATAACATTCTCACAGTATGAAGCTTCAGGTTCATCGACTGAAAATATGATAAATATTGCAAAAGTGATTGTAACTCAAGAGTCATTAAACGCCTCTCCCCAAACTACAAGGACAAGTGGTAGATTAAATACGGTAACATTGTCACAGTATGAAGCTTCAGCTCCTAATGCTGCATTTAAATGGCCAGGGTTTATGTTAGAACTTTTCTCTATACTTCCATTAATAATTTAGTCAATTTCTAAATAAAATAATATACGTGAATATATATGTATATATTTACATCTAAATATTTACATGATACCATATATGATAATATTTTATGTATACCCTAATTCCTATTCAGAGAGCCTAGATAATATGTACATAAATTCATTATTAAATTTTTTGAAAGATAATAACCAAAACCCATTGTACCTAAGCTGAAATCTGTCTTACAATATCATAACCCTTATCATTTTGTATTAATAATTCTATTAAGAAGATATATTTTAGTACTGAAGCATAAAATTCGAGAGTAAAAAAAAAATAATAAAAATTGTCTTAAAATCAGATAAAAAATAAAAAAGATCAGTTTGTATAAAAAAACTCTATTTCCTTGTTTTTCTTGTTTCTCTAGCTTTTTCAACCATTAACTACAATATTTGGAGTATAAGGAAAAGAATAAATAACTTAAAGCTTGAAAAATCACTTTTAAGATATCACCAATACTAGTAAAAAACAATAATTATATGATAACAATTTTCGCTTAAAATGCTCCATTTCCTTTCTTAGTCTTTCAAATTTACCAAAGATAAAATAAATATTAGAAAACCAATAATCCGGCAGTGTCAAGAGCAGAAGAGTTCTTTTTTTTTTCTTTATTTTCGAAGAAAAAGAATTTAATATTAATTGATTAACAACATAATAATTTCAAACAATCGATTATCTTGTTATTCCAATTACACTTTTGAATCATCACAATGTCTGATATATTTTGCTGCATGCAAAAAAAAAAAAAAAAAAAAAACAAAATGGAGAAACTTATTTTCATGCATATACATAAAATTATACCAAAAGAATAATTTTATCAAAAATTTGAGTTTCTGCAGGTCTCCACCTCCCCCGCTTTTATTTATTTATTTATTTATTTATTATTTAAGTGCTTTTTTCTTTCTCTCCTACCTATCGTTTCTTTTTTTGTTTCTCTCTCTCCTTTTTTTATTGTTTCCCTAATTTGCACTGTTTCTTTCTTTCTTTTTTTCTTTTTATGTCCACTATAATTGTCGAAAAACTCCTTTCTTTCCTTTCTTTCGAAAAGAAACATATCCATCCATGTTAATAGTAGCAGGTCACATTTACGTTGCATATCCAGCTAAACAAATTTAATCAACACACTATATATAAACGTATACACAGGTATTTGTTCACATTTTAAAACAAAACAAGTCACCGTACTCTGGCTGAGATTCCCATAAAATTATTGAATATATTCACATAAGGATAAAGGAATAAACTCCGACTTCAAAATAAATCAGGTTAAGGTATAACATTTTTTCATATATTATTATTATTATAATTATTATTATTAATATCGATAATGATATCCTTTAAAAATAACTTTATATGCTACATATTTATACTTTTTACAATATTCCAAAATATATTGGCCAAACGATCGCTTATGGCCACCTCGTTGGTTTCCTGTATGGAAAACTCGTTGTTAACTTCTGATAGTTTTGATGTTAAATTTAATCCTGATGATGGATCTCTACACTATAATTTAGATTTAACGACAGAAATAGACTCATTTATTTATGCAGATATAGACGTTTATGCGTATGGGTTCAAAATTATTACAAAAAATGTTGATCTTTGTGAAATCAATTGGAAACAATTTTGTCCTGTTCACCCAGGGAGAATACAAATCGAATCTATTGAATATATCTCTAAGGATTTAATAGATGAAATCCCAAATATAGCATACGAAGTACCTGACATCGATGCTTATGTAAAAGTCAATGTCCATTCCGTAAATACAACAGATTATTTAGCATGTATTCAGGTGTTTTTCTCTAACGGAAAAACTGTATCTCAAACTGGTGTCAAATGGGCTACTGCTGTTGTTGCTGGTATCGGGTTATTGCTATCAGCATTATTGTCAACCTTTGGTAATTCTACTGCTGCCTCACATATCTCTGCTAACACCATGTCTCTTTTCCTTTATTTTCAATCTGTTGTAGTCGTAGCAATGGAACACGTTCATAGAGTCCCACCAATTGCTGCATCCTGGGCAGAAAATTTAGCATGGTCAATGGGATTAATCAAAGTGGACTTTATGCAAAAGATTTTCCGTTGGTACATTGATTCCACTGGTGGTACATCGTCATTGTATATGACATCCACTACTAAGTCTGTTCTAACTCAGAGATCTCTTGACTATACTATGGACTTACTAAAAAGAACCATAAACGTCCTCTATGGTAATAGAAATACTATTATTTTCAGAGGTATTAGGAGGTTAGGATATGCTATGGGTATCGAAGATACATCAATAGTTGCCACTGGTTTTACGTTCTTTGTTTTATGTGGCTATGTACTTGCTGGATTCATTATTGTTGTAAAATATTCCATTGATTTATCTGTTCGATTGGGTTGGTTATCAAACACAAAGTTTCGTGAATTTAGACTGAATTGGAAAATTATTCTAAAGGGTGCTTTATTAAGATATATCTATATTGGATTCACTCAATTAACAATCTTAAGCTTTTGGGAATTTACCGAAAGGGACTCTGCCGCAGTGATTGTGATTGCATGTCTTTTCTTAATTCTATCTATTGGCTTAATGGCTTGGTCAAGTTTTAGAACGATATTTTTTGCAAGAAAATCTATCCAGCAGTATAACAATCCTGCCGCTCTATTATACGGGGATGATTTTATCTTGCATAAATATGGGTTTTTTTACACCATGTTTAGTGCACCATATTATTGGTGGAATGTTGTTTTACTTTCTTATGTTCTTCTAAAATCGCTATTTATTGGGTTTGCACAAGGCTCAGGAAAGACACAAGCTTTGGCTATTTTTATCCTAGATTTGGCTTACTCCATCGCTATTATTCGTTATATGCCATATTTAGATAAACCAACAAATATTATCAATATCCTTATTAGCATAGTCACATTGGTGAATTCCTTTTTATTCCTTTTCTTCTCAGATTTGTTTGGCCAACCATACACAGTCTCAGCTGTTATGGGCTGGATTTTCTTTATCTTGAATGCAGCATTTTCATTTGTTTTATTAATGATGATTTTAACATTCACTGGCATGATTATCTTCTCCAAGAACCCTGATTTAAGATTCAAACCAGCTAAAGACGATAGAACATCTTTCCAAAGACGTAATGTTACCTCTGAAATGACTCATATCCTTAAATACGATATTGATCAAGATAATAAATCTGGCAAGAATACTGAAAAGACTGCATTACAAGAGTTAGCTGCGTTGGGCCAAGTGGCAAGGGAACATGATGACCATTGGGAAGATACTTTTAATGAAGATAATGATATAATCACGAGTTCTTCAGGAACAATGGAAAAATCAAACAAGCTTTCACCATTTATTCTAGAAAGTTCACCACATGCCAATGAGAAATCACCATTTATTGCTGATGAAGAACACCAAAACTATGTAAATATCCCTAACTCTAGTGTTACACCAATGGAAAGAGAGATAAGTTACCCATTCCATTCTGAATCCACTAGTATACCCTTAAATCCAAATTCTCATGAAAATATCACCACTGATGATAATACTGATAACAACACTAGTTTCCATGGTGAAATGGGAATTGATCAAACAAATGACATCTTATCCCATAATAACAACATATTGAATCCATTTAACAGTCAAAATAACCATATTTCAGAAAATATAATATGATATGGTCAATAATTTCATCAAGTGATCCGTTTTTGTTTAATTATTACAAAAATACAATAATCAAGATTTATTTCTACTTAATAATGCCATTTCTACATGATTTTCATCCTTATATTATCGTGTTCTTTTTAAAATATCTTTTAACATTTGACATATATTCCCATCATGGTATTTTTTTTTTTTATCTATTCCTAATAATACTATCCTGTAACTTTTAACTGATTGATACCATTAGTTTTATTTATTCCTATATAGATATATATGTTTTCTGCATTCTGAATATTTAGCTACAGTTCTATATACAAACATACACAAAAATATACATATGTCCATAAATGGTGCATTCTCAATTTCATCATGTTTCAATCCGACTTTTACTGTTATAACTTACTTTCACACAATATGATAATAGTGTAATGATAATTTCTTTTCTTTAATATACAGCGCCATGCTAAATCAGTTTATATTTGAATCTATAGGATAATTAAGATCCTCTATCCTATATTCAAGCCTTTTGGTACATATCCTAGACTCTTTTTTTTTTTTTTGACTCTAATATCATATCCGTTCAAAGTGATCTTCGGGTAAAGTTTTCTCTAATTCTGGAAAACAAAAATATAATAAAAAAGAACAACAAGTTGAAAATATTTGTAGACACCAAAGGTACCAAATATGGACTTGATCAAATAAATAAATATTCCGTGTCTATAGGATCAATACTTGCTGTTTATACAACGATTAAGTCAATTGATTAATTTGTTAATACTTCGAGAGATTCAAAGAAGGAACGCAAGAAAATAATAGGAAGCGATTTGTGTTCTCTCCCACCTTTATTGTTGTGCTTATTGTTCTCTCTGTTCTCAAGTAATTTAAATCATAGAGTCATCCAAGCAACAATTTGTAGCTATCACATTTGTAACGAACTCAGATTAAACTATGAAGTTCGATATCAAAAAAACTTTTAGCAATAGGACTGATAGGGTGAAAGGGGTTGATTTTCATCCAACTGAACCATGGGTCTTGGTTACCCTTTACTCTGGTAAAGTTGAAATATGGAATTATGAAACTCAACAATCTGTGAAATCTATTCAAGTTACAGAGACTCCAGTAAGAGCAGGTAGATTTATTGCTAGAAAGAACTGGATTATTTTAGGCTCAGACGATTTTAGAATCAGAGTCTATAACTACAATACAGGCGAAAAAATTACTGATTTTGAAGCCCATCCTGATTACATTCGTTCAATTGCTGTCCATCCTACAAAACCATACGTTCTTTCTGGTAGTGATGATTTAACTGTCAAATTGTGGAATTGGGAAAAAGATTGGAAATTGGAACAAACTTTTGAAGGTCATGACCACTTTGTCATGTGTGTCGTGTTTAATCCAAAGGATCCAAGTACTTTTGCCTCTGCATGTTTAGATCGTACTGTCAAAGTTTGGTCTTTAGGACAATCCTCTCCAAACTTTACTCTACACACAGGTCAAGAAAAAGGTGTGAATTATGTTGATTATTATCCTTTGCCAGATAAGCCATATTTAATTACATCATCTGATGATTTAACAATTAAAGTATGGGATTATCAAACCAAGTCTTGTGTCGCAACTTTGGAAGGCCATGTTGCTAATGTGTCATTTGCTGTATTCCATCCATCTTTACCAATCATAATATCTGGTTCTGAAGATGGAACTTTAAAAATTTGGAATTCATCTACTTATAAAGTTGAAAAGACTTTGAATTTGGGTTTAGAAAGAAGTTGGTGTATCGCTACCCACCCCACCGGCAAGAAGAACTATATTATTGCAGGGTTCGATAATGGATTTACTGTATTATCTCTAGGTAACGATGTTCCAGCTTTATCTTTAGATCCAGTAGGGAAATTAGTTTGGGCTGGTGGTAAAAATGCTACTGCCAACGATATTTTCACTGCAGTCATTAGAGGAAGTGAAGATGTTGAACAAGATGAACCTTTACTATTACAAACTAAAGAATTAGGAACAGTTGATATTTTCCCACAAACATTATCACACTCTCCAAATGGTAGATTTGTTACAGTGGTTGGTGATGGTGAGTATGTTATCTATACAGCCTTAGCTTGGAGAAATAAAGCTTTCGGTAAATGTTTGGATTTTGTCTGGGGCCCTGACTCCAATAGCTATGCTTTAATCGATGAATCAGGTGTTATTAAATATTACAAAAACTTCAAAGAAATTACATCTTGGTCAGTCCCATTATCTTATAAGATTGATAAATTATTTGGTGGTGCCTTATTAAGTGCTAAATCAGATGGCTTCATCTATTTCTTTGATTGGGAATCTGGTACCTTAGTGAGAAGAATTGATGTAAATGCCCATGATGTTATCTGGTCTGATAATGGTGATCTAGTAATGATTATCAATGGTAAAGAGAATCGTTCCAGTGAAGAAGCAAGTGCATATGTCTTACTTTTTAACAAAGACTTATACACTGAGGCAATTTCTACTGATGAGGTTGATGAAGATGAAGGAATTGAAGAGGCCTTTGATGTGTTATATGAATTAAATGAACCAATAACATCTGGTAAATGGGTAGGTGATGTTTTCATTTTCACTACCTCTACTAATAGATTAAATTATTTTGTTGGTGGAAAGACATATAACCTTTCCCATTATACAAAAGAAATGTATTTACTAGGATATTTGACCCGTGACGGCAAGGTATACTTGGCTGACAGAGAAGTACATGTCTATGCTCACAAAGTATCTTTAGCAGTCCTTGAATTCCAAACCCTTGTTCTAAGAGGTGAATTAGAAGAAGCTAAGAGTAGTGTATTACCGACAATTCAAGATAAAGATTCTTTAACTAAAATTGCAAGATTTTTGGAAGGACAAGAGCTCTATGAAGATGCATTAAAAGTATCTCCAGATAATGACCAAAAATTTGATCTTGCAATAAAACTTGGTCAGTTACAGTTAGCATGTGATTTATTGGATAAAAATGACAATGAACTTAAATGGAGATCACTTGGAGATTCAGCATTACAAAAATTCAATTTCAAATTAGCTATTGAATCCTATATTAAGGCGCATGATCTAGAATCCTTATTTTTATTATATTCTTCATTTAATGATAAAGATGCTCTAGTCCAATTAGGTGATGATGCGGAGAATCTAGGTAAGTATAATCTAGCATTCAATTCTTATTGGGCAGCAGGTGATTTAGTTGCTGCTAAAAAATTACTATTTAAGTCTGAAAGATATAGTGAAGCTGCTATATTTTCTTTAACGTACGGTTTACCTAATGATGACATAAAGGAGATTGTTAAACAATGGAAAGATAAATTAATTTTAGATGATAAAAAAGAAATTGCCGATAGAATTGAGGTTCCTGGAGAAAGTTCTGATTTCCCTGAAATTTATCGTAATGATGAGCCCTTAATTGCCATTGATTCTGAAGTTAATAGTGATCAAGAAAAGACTGAAGAAAAAAATGAAGAAATATCTTCTACAAATGCAACTGAAATAGAACCAACTAAAGAAGAAGAAAAACCAACTGAAAAGGAAGAGAACACAGTACCAATAAAACAAGAAGACACAAGAGAAGAAAATGAAGAAGACGTATTTCAAGATACTAGTAATAAGGAACCTACACCTTCACAAGAAAAGACAGATTAGAGAAAATAAGAATTAAAAAAAAAAAAAAGGATAAAAGACTTCATTTATATAAATTATATCAGTGTATATAATAATAACTAAAGTTCATATAAAATATATATCTACAAACGATAATAATAAATTACTTAGTAAACAATGCGTAATTAAACACACCACACACACATATATATATGTCTGAGAAGAAAATAGGAAAAAGAAGAAAAAAAAAAAAAAGAGTGATTATGGTCAACTTAATCGAAAACTTTAAATTTATCTACATCTGATCTTTTTTTCAATGCAACAAAATAAATCTCCTTAGATTCAAGTCTTGAGGATACAGGTTTAAACCTTTGCACCACTTTGAATACACGCTTTAGTCTATGTTCGAATAATTTATCTTCTTTCCCTGTATACAGTTTACAGACAAAGGAACCATTAACTTTTAATAAATCAATGGCAGTTACCAAAGCAGCATCACAAAGATCAACAGATAACAGATGGTCTCGAATGGCTACTCCCGAGGTATTCATAAGCCTAATATATGGTAAATTAGTAAGATTATTCGTGAAACCAGTCAATCTGGGGAACGGTACATACATATCACTTAAAATTACATCAATAGGTTGTTGGTTATCATGTGAGGAGATATCGACATCTGGAGAAAACACTTCTCTATACTCTTCTTCATCTTTCAACTCATGCTCAAACTCCGGATCCACAATATCTGCGGGCAACCTTGGTTTTAGAAATCCATGATCTTTATGAATATTATCAACATCATTCAAAATATAATCTAACCTACTATGTTTATTAAAATACAATCTAATTAAATCCTGTGTTTTCGTTGATAAGATGTTTGCTTGTAGACTACTTACACCTTTGGGAGGTTCACACGGTAAGATGTCTACACCTATGATCATTGATCTTGCATGACATCGTTGCCTAGCTACTTCAGACCATGAACCTGGTGCAAAACCTAGATCAAGTACATTTTGAATTTTATCAGATTTGAAAAGTTTAAATTTATCATCAATTTCCTTTAATTTGAACGCTGCCCGAGATCTTAAGTTTTGGACTCTGGCTTCTCTCGTGAAATGATCATTTTTTTGTCTTTTCAACCATTTTTGTTTACTTGCAATAGTGTAAAATCTGCATAATTGAGGAAATTTATAAGATGAAGAACATATCTGCAAATGTGATAATATCAACAACATGATTAACAACAACACTTTATGGTAATTACCTTTTTTCCTGTTCTTTTTCTTTTTTTTTTTTTTTTTTTTTATTTTTTTTCACTTTCTTGAAAGGTCAGTTAATTTTATTTTAGCTTTTCCTTATGTCATACAAGAAGTATTTGATAAAACTAGATAAACAAAACTATGTATGCTAAGATATGCAAGATATTTTGTAAGTTTATATTCACCAACTTTTTCAATTTCAATTTCAATTTTTTATTTTTTTTTTTCATTCCATTGTTTTTTATTATTTTTTTTTTTTTCATTATTATATTTTCTACAGTCCATGAAGAAAGAAAAAAACAGAGATAAAGCACTAAATACTTACAGATGTTACTAGTAAGTGCTACTATTTCTATTACAATAATTATAAGATGACAATACCCATTAAACATTGAAAAGGAAAAAAAAAAGAAATAAGAAAAAGAAGTGTCATTTTCTTTATATATGCATTCATCATTTGTTACCACAAACTAATCTATAAGTATGAACATATACAAACCAATGTCTATATATCTGCATATCTATATATATGATTCGAAATATTCTATATTAGGATTACACTTCATATATATTTAAACTTACCCACTTGACCAATAAACCTATTAGGCTTACTTTTACTATTCGATTCTTTGATGACAGTCGAGAAAACAAATCTCTCAAAAAACGGAAACAACAGAGAGTCTTTTATGTTTTGTATTATGTTTTGTATTATATCCACGCTATTTGCTGTTATTGTTGTTGCTACTGTTATTGTTACTGTTATTGTTACTAGGGTTGTTTGGCGTGGTTTATTGGGGTTGTGTACCCTTATTTTCATCTTGTATGTGCTCTACCATTACCCAAAAGGGAAATCACCAACATTAACAATAAACAATCAACAATAACAGAGAAACAAAAATTTATAATCTTTCCTTTGTTTTCGTAAGAAAAAGACAATACAAACAATAGCTTGTCTCTTTTTTTTTTCTTTTTTCTTTCTTTCTTTCTTTTTCTTATTTTCTGTAATACAGTTATTATTTCCCAAAAAAAAATAAAAAATCAATAAATAAATAAATAAATAAATAAATAAAAAATTCAAAAAAATTTTTTTATTTTTTTTATTTATATTTTATATTCGATACGATATCGGTATATAGTATTAACAACAATTTCATATTCAGTTTATAATTATCTAATCTGAATACATGCTTTAGCTAATACATGTTATACTACATTTAACATAATCCACATTTACAATGTGTTATTGAGTTTAAAAGAAAATAAAACAAAACAAAACAAACTTTTTTTAGAAAATTATTATACATATATACATATATCCAAACATAAATATAATAACAACTTTTTTTTTTCTTTTAAAAAAAAAATAACTAAACATTGTACCTTTTCTATACTTTATTTCTTTTCTTAATAATCTATATTCATTTTTTCTTTTTTTTTTTGTTATTTCCCTACACCTCCTCTTCAACAACACTTTTCTTTGGCCGCAACTATAAATCTATTTCCCTCTTTTTTGGTATAATTATCCAATTATTATGGTTTTATATAAAAGAAAACCAATCATATTACCTGACCCTAGGCCTCTGCCAGTAAATCTGGATATACCTGTATGGTATATAAATGAAACTGGTGAATGGTTTTTTACTTATGAAGAATATTTAGATAGAATGGATTTTTATACAAGACACCATTTTACATGTGAAATCACAGGTGCTTCATGTCTTACATTCTTTCAAGCCTTAAATAGTGAAGAATCTCAATTTAAACTCGTAGAAGACAAATTTCCCTTAAAATTAAGAGAACCTGTCGCTAGATATTTACATTTTAATAGAATCAGAAGACTAGATGCCTTAATCGAAAACGTTTATTCAAAATTTAAATCAAATTTTTTCCCTGGTGAAATTGTGTACCTAAGAAAACCTAAAGATAATAATATAAGTGAAGAGACATCAAAACAAAATACACCTACTCCCTTTCCACCTTCTTCTTCCATTTTGCCCGAAAATTCATCTACCACTAACACGACCACATCTAACCACCAGAAAACTTATATAATAAAAGAAAAAGTTCAGTTTAATCCGATTATTGATCCTGTAACAAAAGAAATCATTACTCCAGGCCACGCAAAGTATATGCTTGTAGAAGATGATGACTCTTCAGTGTCAAATTCAAATAAATCTTTCGTAGCAGATGAATCACAAATTTATAGAGATAGATCCACTTTCACAAAACATCTGATTAAATGTTTCTTCAAAATTACCTTACAGAGAGCATCTTCGAAAATGGGTGCTCCTTGGTGCGTTAAGCCTGAGTATTTACAAATGTACGGTTTGACAATGGATTGGCCCATCGACTTATTACCATTTAAAGATGATGAAATTGTTAAAAACTCTAATAATAATATAACTTCATCGTCATCATCATCATCATCATCTTCTTCTTCTTCTTCATCTTTTTCAAAAGCCACTAAGGCTAAAAAATCCCACAAATCTAAAGAACCAAAAGAAGAACAAATTGCTAATACAAATCAAATAGACAATAGTAACAGCGACAGTAATACTAATAAATCTAATGATTTTTCAAATGTAACAATAAAGAGTGAAGATAATATCGTTGATAAATCTGATACAGAAACCTCTAAAAAGACAAAGAGTTCTAAGAAAAGGAAAAATAAATCCAATAATGAAACAACAACACCAATAGCCACAGCATCCACTTCCACATCAAGTTCAAATATTAATGACACGAACTCTCACAAACAAAATAAAAGGAGGAAAACAAATGACAATAAAACTGTTCAGATAAACGAGACTGATAATGATGTAAGAGCGTCTTCAACTGCCCCTGAGGCCTCGACCCCAATTGTTATCAGAAGTATTGTAACTGATATGGATATCCCATACCGTGAAAAACCCAAGTTTTATTTATCCAATCTCTCTTCTTATAATAATTATCTGGAATGTATCCCACTTATGAATGACAAAAATTTAAATAAATTAACATTAACAAATTTCGATCAATTACTTCAAATCTATCAATTCGTAAGTACATTCAATAAAGTTTTATGCATCTCATACTTCAATTTCGATCAATTGGTAGCATCGTTAAAGGCAACTGACCCATTTGAATTACAAGGTGAATTAGTAGAAGTTACTTTAATGAATCCAAAATCAAATCAGACAGCAATAGAAGATAACAAAACTGAATTTAGTCAATGGCAAAGAAATTCTAGAATTAGACAATTTATTGAAGAAAAGAATGTTTTAGATAATGATCTAAGTTATTCAATATTAAAAGAAGAACCTGCCACTGATGATATCATAGATAATTTTAATTCTAACGGTTCTAGTCTCATTATTGAAATTTTTGTTGCACTATTAAGATTATTTATTGACGAAAATGGTGATTGGAAAATAGTAATTATGGAAAATTGGATAAATAACCAAATTTCAATAGATGAACAAGAACTTGGAATCACACCTAAAGGTATCCATAATTTAGCAAAAACAACAATAATATCATCAACAGACACAGCGGATATAATAACTATGGAACAACTAGATATAGATTCAAAACTAGATAATCCATCTAATTCAAACAGTACACAAAATACAAATGATTCGATAAAACAATCACAAGATAATAAAAATGAAGATAAAAGAATAATACATAAGCATTCTGCAACTAATGAAATCACTAACAAAAGAGAACAAGAAGAGATTGATAATACACACTTTAGCGAGGAAAATGAAAAAAATGATAATAATGATGTTGATAATGAAAATTCTTATTCAGATGAGGAATTCTCTAATATTATGGAAAAAATCTTAAATTTTAGAAATCAAGAATGGACTGAAAGGTTAACAAAAAGACAATTCACTAATGGAAATTGGTTAATTATCCTATTAGGTATCTTCGAAGACAGTTTAGCAATCCCTAAATACACAAAGTTTTTAATGCATTTTAGAAAAACTATAATAACATCTGATGTATCAATGACACAACTTCCTAAAGTTTTATGGAGGAATTTTTGTCGTAATTTCTCGTTAGAGGAAAAAATAACTTGTCTTTGGATACTAGTGGATATTGTATCAAATTTTTCTCCTGATATTAAAAATGCCATAGAAGCTTCTATGGAACTTTGTATGCATATTAGAAGTGATAGATTTAAAATATTCAAAGACATCAAAGCAGAGACTGCAGTTTTAGCTATGATAGATAAAGAAAAAAATCGTGAAAAATATGAAGCTAAAGAAACTCAGATACGAGAATTACAAGGAGAAAAAGCTAAATTAGATAAAAAGTTAATGGAAAATGATTATCAAAGGTTAAAACCATTGGGTATGGATAGATACTGTAATAGATATTTCTGGTTTGACTTAACTGGTATCCCAAATAGACCCTTTTCCGAAGATGAAAAGGAATATCATAGTGGAAGATTATGGATACGAGGTCCTAATAAATACTGTATCAGAAATTTCTTAAAATTAGATGATGAGCAAGTTGATAAATGGCTGGAAATACGTAAACTTGAAGGCAGTTCCATTGCAACAAAGAAGGCCTTTGGTGTTTATAGAAGTGAAACTGGAGCATATTGTTATCATGATCCAACTTCTGGGGAGGATGTTGAGTTGATGTCTCGAGAGGGCCAAACAAATAAATCTATTATTTTGACTCCTATTCAACGTAAAATTATCGATGAAACACCAGAATGTCTTCTTCTAGACCGTAATCAATGGTATTGTGTAGATAATACTGAATATTTGGATTCTTTTGTCGAATGGCTAGATAGTTGGGGAAGAAGAGAACATGATTTATTGAGACAATTGAAACCTATCTTGAATCGCATGAGAGATGTTATTGCAATTAGAAATAATTGTTTTGATCCTGAGTTATCAAAAAGGGAATTACAATATATGGAAGAACTAGAAGATTACAAACTAACCAATAGTGAATTAAATTTAAACAATATTGATAATCAGGACTCATCGATTGAGAATATCAATAAAGAAGATGATGCAATTGAAGACATTGATAGTAAACTAGAACGTATTATTGAACAAATCATGAATCTTGATGATGGTTCCAAAACGAGAAAGATTCTTAATGCTATATCCAAACTAGAAAGTGAACGAGATTTTCTACTGGATATGAAAAAAAAATTACTATCGGAACGTAATACAAGTGGTAGAGTTATCGCTAAAAGTGAACAGCAGAAGCTCAGAAAATCAAGAAATAATAAGTTGGCAAGACGACAAGAGATTTTGACTAATTTAATTAATACAAGACATTTCAAAGAATTGGATTCTATTTTATCTTGGAAGAATAAAGTTGCTATAGAAGTATATGGTTCTGAATTGAGAAAGAATGCTAATAAAGGAAAACGAAGTGGTTCTAGAAGAAAATAAAATTAGAAATAATAATGCACACAAAGTTATCTATCGATAATATATTGGTGGACCATAACCAAAAAAAGAAAAATATTCAATTTGTGTATCACCTTGATATAGAATGTGAATATACATAATCTCTAACATATTTTCTTATATACTTGATAGATATATAAACCAATTTTGATCATACATTCATTTTAGATGCACTACACTTGAGTCAATATCTTTTAACAAGTCATCCTTAACTTCATCCGGTATATTATGAAGTAATGTGTTAATTTCAGATTTTTTGCTGCTTTCTAATACATTCTCATCACCTGAAACTCTAAGTACATGACAACGATGACACAAATCTGGTTCATACCAAAAGATTGAATCACTCTTATTGCAATATCTACACGTTTTCTGTTTTTTAATCCTGTAAACATTTTCTTGCTTACTCTGATGCTCATCAGATAATTCTAAATTCTCCATGTTTTTTAGACTGAACTTCAGTTCATTAAATTTAGAAGAAATGAAATGCTTAGTTCTTTCACTCTTAAAAATTTTACTAAACATACTAATTAAGTAACCGTTTTTAATTTCTGAAGTTAAACCAAGATATTTTACCTCATTAGTGTCTATGGCTTCGTGTTTCTTACAAATTATTACTGGTGACAATATGTATTTTGAGTTATCATTTTGATCATGTATAATAGTTTGATCTAGGTGTGTTGAAGTGTCTAATAATAATTCCTTCTTGAATAAAAGCTTAAAGTTTTTATTTAACAGAGCACATGAAGCGTGGAAATATTCCAGACACTTGTCACACTGGACAAGACCACCACCATTACGGTTACATATGCTGCATTGATGATTACATCCTTCCCAAGCTGCCTTATCAATATTAATAGCTGGTTCAAAACTTTCTGGATTTCCATATCTAATAATAGGATTAAATAATGAGCACGTAATATGGCACCATCTACCGTCACTAGTTGGCTTCAAAACCAAATTTAGTGAAGAGATAAAATTAACATTACGTTCTAATTGTCTTGAACCTTCATAGCACAAACAGCATCTATACACTATCGAGATTATTGGATTTTTCTTATTAGAACAAACATCACATAACCAACTATCTGTATTCTCTGCAGTAATGAATAATTTACCGTAACATGACTTATGACTGGTAATACCACAGTTAGAACATGTTATACTATTTGAAGGGATAGATACCATCTCCGAACAAACTCCACATTTTGGTACATAGCCAGTGACTGCGTCTTGCAAAACAGTAACTAAATTAGGATATGCCTTTGTTTGTAAAGCAGCCATAATATTATAACCTTCAAGTTGTTTAAAAGTATCTTTTTCTGTAATAAACTTTGTGTAATGATCTGGGATCTCATAATCATTTAATGATACATTTAGAAGATCATTTTTAACAGGTAACGAGGATGATTCCTTTCGTAGCTGCTTTATAATTTGTTCTGGTATATTTTCAGAATCATCCAAAAGCATATCAACAATTTTATCATTTAACCCCACACTCTTGAATTTATTATCAACAGTAATTTTGAATCCTTTGATATCTTCCGTGTCAAATGTAACTACTATATCAGACCTTTCATTTTTTTGACGTATTGTTTTCTTTATTACTTCATGGGTAATTTGTTTCAGGTTATTATCATCATTCAATGGATGCTGTACTGCATCATGATCTTTGCTATCCCCATTATTATTTTTGGTAGACAATTGAGGTCCTGGGGTATTACCAAAAAATTCAATGCCTGGGATCCGAAAATTTGGATCACATCTTTCTGCTATAAAAGAAGTTAAATCAGCATGCAACTTTTCTGGAGTATAGAGATATTTATTATATGGTCTTCTTATAGTTCTAGTAAGAATACCATGGAAGGTCATTGATTGCCTTTTCATATGTTGAAATTTGCGATAATCTTTCATAATTTCCCATCTTTGCCTAATAATTAATTCTGCATCTTGAATTAACTCCCACTCCAAATTTTTCATTTTTGCACGTTCTGGAGATAATGTGAGTTTGTTAATATTATTCTCCTCTAATATTTTCCCTAACGCATTATTATAACTTGAAACACAACCTCCATGCATTCTTTTGAGAACATCAAGTGGATGTATCCAGTCAACAGCATATCTTCTCCATAGACGTGCACATCTAATACACAATGCTCCAATTTTATCTACTTTCAACGTCTTATTAGTAGACCACTTTTCGGTTACTCCCACCTGGATCCTCTTTTTAATATTCTTATCATCAGAACCACCAGTAACTTTGTACCACATAGGTGAATAATCGACATTACAGAATAAACAGTGAAAAGTTTTGTCCATATATGCTACTTTGTCTGTATCAAATGAAGAATCATCCATATAACGCATTTCGATATCATCTATTTCGTTATTTTTGCTTAACATTGGAACTACACCAGTCTCCATACTTGAAGGTTTTCTCAAAACTGTCATATTATTATCGTCCTTTTCAATATGATCATATCTATTTGGTTTCTTATTATTAAACACTTTCTTTTTACCTCTAACTTTCATACCTCTTTCTGTCTTTTTCCAATTATAGTAAAATCGAACGATCATTGGCATCGATTGTGTACCAACGTTCTTCCACACTGGTCTCAGTTCACTACCATGTTTACCAACTGCATCTTCAAATCTTTTAATATCTTCTGCAGTAAAAGTTGGTTCATGTAAAATAGGTCTTGATATAGTTTTCATACATTCAAGGTATGCCTTTTCTATATCATACTTGTTATCAAATAGAGATTTAGTTATAAAATCGAGGAAATTACAATTAGTAGGTTCCAAATCTACAAGTGGAGCAATGTCATTTTTACATTTTTCGATATATTGATCTAAATCTGTATCCGAAATCTTGCTTTTATCCATAACCCATAACAACTCTGCACTATCATCCGTTCCTCTAATTCTGCTATCGTTTTCGTTATCACTAGATTTATTTGCCGGTAAAGTGGCCATCTGGCTTTTATAACATCCATTCCATTGATACCTTTCTCCTATTCTTGATAATTTAAAAGGATACGGAAGATATACATTATCATCGAAGATATCTACTAAATATGAGATCATATGACAACCAACATATTGGAACCAAAATTTTTCAGTTCCTTTACCAAACGACTTACTTATAAATTGAGCAGATTTTTTATCAATAGTGTCCCTACAACTTTGATTGAAATTTTTCAGATCTTGTAATTGCATTTCTAAAAGATTTTTATCTTCAAGTGAATTAGATTGTTTTTTAACACAAATTGAACAAATCCATACTATACTCTTCCTAAATTTTTTAGACAAAGGAGGATCCATACAATACAAATGAATTGTACTACCACAATCATCACATTCTAAAGAATTATCAGATATACACCATTCATGACATTCATGACATCTCTTATCCCAAGTTTTACTACATTTATTATCCTCATTATTATCATGAGCATTAGTATCATCACAAGTATCCCTGAAGTGATCACTATTCTTGGGGTCACTTTTATAATCTTTGAAAACATATTTATTCAAAACTTTTAAAAAAGGATAATCTTCTTCAGCAAAAACATATCTGTACTTTTTCTCTAATGCATAAAGAAAGGAGGGTATACTAGAAAAATTGTTCAGTAACTTTCCAGTAGCATATACTTTATAGTATTGACGTGTATATCTGTCAAATAGAGAATCAAAGTAAAAGACATTTGATCTCATAATTGCTTCTCTTTCATTAGGTAACACATCTGTTAATTCATCTTTGTGTACTACTGTACATTTCCCTCTATACGAATGAATAGGACAAATATCTTCATGTAAAGAAGCATAAACTTGTCTAGAATTAAAAGTGGTAATATCCTCCTTGATATCTCTAGGTCTATAATACCAGTTCATTTTGACATTAAAGAATCTAGCCGGAAATTTAGTAACTTTGCCTTTAGCTTCTAATATTTCATTTGTAAATTCAGGTTTAGGTAAAAATTCTACAATTCTACCAATATAATAAGGTTCACCTGGAGGTTCAGAGACCATATATATGCTTTCGTCCCTTTCTAAAAGAATAGCCTCTGTATTATAAACAATTTGGGCTTTAATGTCGACAAATGCTTCATCTAAATCTAATACATTTGAAAATTTACTAGTCTTTCTATATGATGGAGGTAATAAGGGTATTAAATTCCATTGTGTATTCTTATCCTGTAAAAAGCTCTGATATTTAAATTTTTTATTCGATCCATTTGAGTTGGATGAACCATTAATGCTCCCGTCAATAGCTTGACTAGAATCAGAATTAGAACTATAATTAGAATTTGAAACAGAATTAGGTTTAGATTCGGGGATACCCTTCGATCTTTTTCTTTTCTTTGGAGTTTCAGCAATATATTCCTCAGGGCTATTATTTTGCCTGTCAGAATCAGTCATATAGTCAGAATCTGGATCGTCTTCTATATAATTAATGGATTTAGATGTAGCTCTTCTCTTCAAATGTGGGCGGGTTATGCTATCCACCATAATATACCCTAAATTTATTTTCTTGACTTCTAACTAAAGCTAAACAAAATTGTGGAACTAATTAAGTAATCAATTGTAGATCCTTAGCCTTCTTTTTACTAATAATCTTCTATATATATATATATATATGTATGTATGTATGTATACATTTATGTCTTAAACGTTACCTTCGCTTTTTGTAAAGTTTTTCCTTTAGTAGCTTAGCATACCTCTACTAATCGTGAAGCCATTTCACTTCCAGTTTATTTTTCTAAACGTTTTCACTCTTTTGCCAAACTGTAATAAATTTCATTAAAGAAAAAGTAAACTTCCCCAACAAAAGTATAGAGAAGTTTGCTAAGATATCAAATATATACAGCAATGGTTAATTACGATTTAGGTATTAGTTAAATATTCTTAATTATATTTGAACGTAGATAGACAAAGAAAAATATACGAATATATTCGTGTATACATTAAATTTGAGAGAAAGTATATAGAAAAATAAACCAGAGCCAAAAAAATGGAATCCAGAATATCGCCAGAGATTCCTGGTATACTCCAGCCAGGAAATGTCACTCAGGACCTAAAAATGATGCTATGCAAGTTACTAAATTCGCCTAAACCTTCCAAAACATTTCCTGGTTCGCAACCCGTATCATTTCAACATTCCGATATAGAAGAGAAATTGAAAACACAAGATTATTATGTATGTGAAAAGACTGATGGTTTACGTGCATTGATGTTCATTGTCTTAAATCCAATTACCGGAGAACAAGGTTGTTTCATGATAGATAGAGAAAATAATTATTATTTGGTTAATGGTTTCAGATTCCCTCGTTTGCCTCATAAGAAAAAGGAAGAGTTATTAGAAAGTTTACAAAATGGTACTTTAATAGATGGTGAATTAGTGATCCAAAAAAACCCAATGACTAAAATCCAAGAATTAAGATATTTGATGTTTGATTGTTTAGCAATAAACGGACGAAGCTTAATTCAGTCACCCACAAGTTCGAGATTAGCACATTTAGGTAAAGAATTTTTTAAACCATATTATGATCTTAGATCTTTTTATCCAGGCAAATGTAACACTTTTCCATTTAAATTATCTATGAAACATATGGATTTCAGTTATGACTTAATTAAAGTAGCCAATTCTCTATCTAAATTACCACACATGTCAGATGGATTAATTTTTACACCAGTAAGAACACATTATACAATTGGAGGTAAAGATTCTCTTTTATTGAAATGGAAACCAGAACAAGAGAATTCAATAGATTTTAAACTGATATTAGAGATTCCTCTGGTGGAAGACACCTCAGTACCAAAGAGGGATCCTAACAGGTGGTATTATAATTACGATGTGAAACCAACTTTTGCATTGTATGTGTGGTTAGGTGGGTCTGATGTCAACACAAAAATCACAAATTTTGAAAAACCATTTGATAATAAGGAATTAGAGATATTAGAAAAAACGTATAAAAAATTTGCTGAGTTAGACATTGATGATCAAAAATGGCAAGAACTAAAAAACCTAGAAGAACCATTAAATGGCAGAATCGTAGAATGTACGAAAGATCCAGATAGTGGTATGTGGAAATTATTAAGGTTTAGAGACGACAAATTGAATGGAAACCATGTTTCAGTGGTTCAAAAAGTGTTGGAAAGTATTAATGACAACGTTAGTATAGAAGATTTAGGCGGATTTGTATCTGACATAAAATCTTTATGGAATAAAAGAAAGGAAGACGACAAGAGAAATATCAAACAAAACTATCATCAACAATCAAGTAAAACATCTATAAACAGGACAAATTACCAAACCCAAAATCAGAACCCACCAGTAACCTCACAGCAACAAATATTTACTGAAAATAAACCACAGTATGTTGACGACGATGACGACTGGTTTGACGAATAGTTTTGATATTCACTTTAATACGGAAGCTCATACATAAATTAATCAAATTATATATATCTATATGTATGTATGTAAGATTTTTCAAAACTATTTTATTATTATTAATGTATATTTTATTGGGTTTATAATGTTATATGTATGTAATGGCATCTTCTTTTTTTTTTTTTTTTTGATATTATCAAAAGTGTGTTTAAATCTTTTCCAGTGAGTATTTTTTACTGTCAATCTAAACACACAAACATAAATCCTTTTTATATCTTTTCGTACATATTCGAATTATTACATTCAAATGAATAATAATATTTACATGGAATAAAATAGACTATACGTAACGTATGTATATAGACAGCTTGATTTTTTATAAATGCTCTTTTTTTTTTATTTCTTATCTTCAAGATTTCAATTTTGTTTATCTATAGGCCAAGGTAATACTTTTCAATAATTCTCTTGGATTACCATTTCCACTAATAAAGAATTTTTCATCCACTAGCTTTTCTGTATCTTTATCCTGTATATCTCTGATAGGCAAGATATCGCATTGAGAATAATAATCTAACAACAGTTTAACCTCATCTTTATTCATCTTTGATAAATGAAATTCTTTAACGTCACCTTGCTTCAAGAGATTAGCGTAGACTGGATCGTAATGATATTGCCTAATGTATACATCTTCTTCCAATTTATTCAGTCCGACTGGCAAGGTTCTATTAGTGCGATCCACACCAGAGATGGCTGCTACAAATGAACTTTGTGGATTCTTGAAAGGTATTTTACCACTAACAATATTCATGATAGTACTTGCAATTTGGAATTTCAACGTTGGTATCAATCTATTCTCTGTATCTCTATATGCGGTATAGGAAGATGTTAATAGACGTGAGACATTATCTACAGTGAACAATACCGGGATCTCAATCTGTGAATAAATTTCATCAAGGAATATTTTGAATTGAGTACCACGTAGGCTTGGGTTAACCTTGCATTTCAATAAATCCAATAAAGTATGGTTATCCTTTTGTAAAACGATCTCTTGGACACCAGTTAATGTAGTGAAAGAGAATTTATAGTCACTTTGTAGACTAATTGCTGATAATAATTGGTGTTCATTGGCCTTTAGGATCTTGGACAATAGTTTTTTCAAATACATTGGTTGAACATAGGATTTTAGATTTTCATCCCAAAAGAAATCATTTCTACCGTTAAGAAATAATTCAGGGTAAGGGATATTGATGATCAAATATTTAGATTCAACAGCATAAGCATGTAATTGTGCCAGTAGAGTGCTTTTTCCTACACCAGGCTCACCAGTAATGATTATTCTATTTGAATTGTTACCATTGCTATTAGATATATTTTGAATTAATTTCCCTATGGACTCCCTTCTTATTAAAGAAGAGGGTTTAGAGAATAACTCTCTGTATTGATTTTTTTTAAAAGAACCAAGATGGTGTAAACATTTTAATTGATTTGTTGAAAAATCACAAACCTTGTTTATTGATTGATCAATCTTGATAGAGTTAAAGATAGGTAAAGTGATCTCTTTAGCATTTTTATTCAATCTTGCAGTATGCATTGTATCAACCCAATTCTTGTATAACGTAGTGGAAGTAATTCTCTTTGAAGTAGGCTTTACATAGTTCGAGGAAGCTTTGGAGTAGCCCTGAGGTTTTGCTTTCCCCTTAGAAGCTGCAGCATTCTTTGAAACTGCAACTAATCTGATGGTGGAAGTAGAAAATAATTTTGTCTGTATCCTTAACATAACTATAAACAACTATAGAAAAAAAAAGGATAAAAGAATAAAAGTTTAATAGTACTATCTACGTGATTGATGCTTTTGATCTACTTATAATTGTTTATTTTATTTCAGAATATTAAATATGTGTTAGTGGGAGGTACACCAACACCACCGGTATTCTATTAAAGGATAAAAAATATTTTCTTCAGTTGCAAATCAACTCTCAACTAAATTTAATCCTCTGTGATGCTACACAAACACGTCAAAATGCAAACCAGTATACACATTCTCTCTCTATACCTGTATCTCTGTCTCTATCTCTTTCTCTTTATTTTGATACACTACAAATCTTTCCTTATTTTACTGAATATACCATTTGGCAAAAATTTCTTTTTCTTAGCTTTTTTTTTTTTCATCCCTTTACCAAACAAGAAAATAAAAATAAAAAACTTGAGGCGATTTCCCTTTTTGAAGAACATTACCTAAAAAGGCAATCAAAGAATGAAAAGCACTAATTTGGTGCAATACGATTGAGAAATTAAAAGTTTGTATACATATATTTACATCTACCTACCTATCTTTGTATATATAAACTGATTGGTAAACTAACATGTTGCGTTATGTTATGTTATGTTATGTTATGTTATGTTATGTTATGTTATGTTATGTTATGTTATGTTATGTTATGTTATGTCATACTATGTCATGTCGTGCCACGAGGGTGTACGGAGAATATATAATATAATGCAAATATTTAATAAATTCTTTTCTATGAAATTCATTTTCGATAACAGTATTCATAATGCTCTTCTCTTTAAACTTGAGAATTTCATTCTCACCATCACTAATTATACCCCTCTCTGGATCTGTTATAATGGGTTCATAACCTATCCCCTTTAATTTCTTGTTGTACGAATTAAAATTTGTCTCCCTTAGAATCAGCCCAAGGCTAGGTGCCTTTGGAATATATATTTGCGTACTATCAAATGTAGAGTTAATATAGTTCGAAGAAAGATCATTAACCAAAGTCATGACACCCATAGAAACCATTTTTCTTATCTGGTGCAACAAAAACGATTGTCCCTTTAAAATAATGGAAATCCATTCTCCGTGGTATCCATCAAAGTCGATATTGTATGGTTTGCTGACACTAATATCAACGATTTGTCTTCGCATAGAATTTGGTTTCACATCTCTTTTCTTGCTTGAAGTATAATTATGAAAACTGTGTGTACCTTGAAACCTCTTTAAAATCTCCTTAAATTGATTGTACTTATCCTCCGATAATCTATGCTTAATTAGCTCTTTTTGTACTGCTGTTAAATATATTTTAATAGAATCATTTAATCTGGATACATTCACATCCTTTATTTCCTTCGGCTCCAATTTATCACGTCTTATACCTAAAGTTGGATACAACTTCACCAAATTATGTTCCATCTCATTTGAAAATGTTTTATTCAAATACAATTCCAATAAATCTTTCAAATATTTTCTACTAAACATCAACATATATGTTGGTATCATATACTCATATTCCCTCCAACCACAAGCCTTTCTAGCATTAAAACTCTTATTTACTCTCTGTATATTCCATACTCTAATATCTTCTGGTAAATTATCGTTAATCTTATTAATAATATACAACTTAGTAGTCTTATCCATATTCTTAGGTATCATCAATTTCATAGATATAATATTTGCCAATGCATGGACTCCCTTATCTGTCCTGGTGGTTCTTTGAAACCCATTTTTCCTGAAATCATTCGAATTAATATCAGATAACAACTCACTTTTAACCAGTGCTCGAAAGATTTCTCCCTCTATAGTGGGTCTCATTATACATGTTCCATCAATCTCATGATGTTCATTATATTGTGATCCATAGTATTTATCACCACAATACCCGACTGATAAAGCCATTCTGCATTTTTTCGAGGTTTTTAATATTTCTCGAGTTCTTTATATATTATTAATATACCAAGTGGCACATTATATTATACTTGTTAGTTGCATTTAAGTTTTTTTTTTCTTGATCTTTTTTTTTTTTATTTGTCATATTTATATGCCCTTTATATATCGAAGATACTAAACACATACGGTTGTAATGACTTGAAAGGAGGAATTCGACCTATCATTTTCGTTTTTGGATTCATCAAAATGCAGTTTGTCTACTGGATTTGACGAGTTTTTGAAAACCTTTTTAATTTATTTGTGAGTTTACACTCTGAACTGGCTGAACTCATGCATGTGTTCGATTTGTTTAACTGAATGAGTTGCAATAAAAAAGGATCTACTTTTTACTATTTTCTTTTATTTTTTTTCCCCTTTTAAACTTGTTTAAGACGACAAACTACAAATTAACAAAGAAAGTTTCTGATTTTTGTTGGAAATACAACCTAAAGATCTTGATGTCCTGCGTTTTCCCAATGCTATTTCTTGTCAACACAATATCCTTTCCCATTCTCTTCGTTATTGTTGTCGTTGTTACATCATCAATAAATAATGCTTATTAGTCTTCCAAAAAGTTGTCGTTCATCACTGCTCTTTCCCTCGTTATTGCTTAATCAAGAAAGATGTTACAGTTCAAAGGGAACATTACCCAAAAGATTTAAACTGTCCAAATCCTCTCTTTTAGGTGCATCTAAACAGAATAAAAATGATAACAGATTAAATTCAAAACATAAAAATCGTACCGATAATAACATTAAGAATAAGCTCCAAATACCCCATAGCAACACCACTTTTAAGTATGGTGAATTTGGTGGTTTAAAAAAAAATGCTAATGGATTTAACAATGAACAGAAGATAGGTATGATAAAACTAATCGAAAAGATCAATGATTTTGATAGTCTGAAATTGCTACCATTTACAAGAACTGTTTTCCAAAACGTTATATCCAGAGAATCAATCGCTTTAAAGAATAAAAAAAAGTTGGATATCACTAGGATTCGACCCACTCCTATCCAAACAGTAACCATAAAGTATTTGTCTAAACGGTTGATGGATCCTAATTTGCAAGTACATGCTATTGCAGCAGACACAGGATCTGGAAAGACTATGGCATATTTAATCCCAATGATCGATTACTTTTTACGAATAAAAGGCCTTGATTTAACAAGTAAACCAACAGAGGAATGGTCAAAAAAAAATGGTATTCAATCAATCATATTAGTTCCAACATACGAATTAATTCAACAAGTGTATGAAACATTAATAGAAGTGGCTAAAGAGACACAATTTAACGTATTTAAATGGGATCAGAAGACTCAGTATGGTGATTTACTAAATAATATTAAACATAATATCGATATTTTAGTCACTACACCAAACAAGTTGATGTCAATCTATAATATAAAAATGATTACACGACCTGATCGTATCCTTAATAATGTCAAATTTTGTGTAGTAGACGAAGCAGACACCTTGATGGATCAATCATGGTTAGATATGACTGTACGCTGTATAAGACATTTTAGAGATATGAATCATCTTATATTATGTTCTGCTACCGTACCTAATGAATTTAACAAAAATTTGACTAAATTCTTTCCTAATGTCGAAGTCATCACAACACCTCGGCTACATAAATTATCATCAAGATTAGAGTTTAAGATTATTGATTCAACATTAAACCCCTTTAAAGGATCTAAAATCAAAACTTTAGGTCAAATATTATATTCAATAAGACAAGATAATACAGATCCTGGATATCAAAAAAGATGTATAATATTTGTTAATGAAAAAGATGAAGTAAGAAATGTCACTAAAAGATTAATCAATGATTATAAACTTGATTGTATTGGATTGAGTAGCGAAGACACGATCGAAAAAAGGTTGACTTCCGTAAAAGAATTCTTGTCAGATCCAAAACCATTGTCAACAAATGACAATAATGAGAGGAATACTAGTCACAAGCATAAAGATTTTATGACAAGATATAATCTTGAAAAGATACCAGGATCTAACATTGCAATTCACAATGGTGATAATGCCGATGGCGCCTGTATATATCAAACAGATCGAACATCACATCTGAATAACATAAATAATCCAATAAAAATTTTGGTATGTACTGATCTTTTGGCTAGAGGACTTAACTTTCAGGGTGTACGTAACGTTATTTTATACGATGTACCAAAGACATCTATCGATCTAGTTCATAGAGTAGGCAGAACTGCAAGAATGAGTCAAAGTGGTAGAGTGTTTATGATAACTGATAAAAAAACCAAATCATGGGCCAAGGGCTTACCAAAAGTTATTAGAAATAATGTAACTTTAATATAACTATAGTTATCGAATAACGAAGAGATTTGAAAACAAAGGAGAAGTATACAAAAGCTATACTATATCAACTAGATAAGGTGAAAAGAATAGAGAAATGGTGATAAAATTTTCTTATTATTATTTCCCTGTTAATGTCACCAGTGACCAGATTAAAATTTATAGTTATAAACATATCATGGTAAGCATCTTCCATTAAGCATCACGGTACTTCTAACTACCTGTATATACAATTATATCTTGTTTGTCAATAGATATAAACTTTAACAAAAGAAGTACATATATATCTTATATCTATATTAGATTGCTCTTCTGTAACATTTTCATTTCTGTAAAGATAAATTTTAGAGTTTAATAAACAAAAAAATAACTACAAATTATTGCATAAACAAAGGTTGTCAAGGGAATCCGGAGAACATGTATACAGTTAAAGGATAAATGTTTCGATTTAAAGAAATAAAAATAGAATAACAACTAATTAAAGGATTCAACTAACATTATTTTTGACATTTAACTCTAACACAATATTAAAATAGTTAACACCATACCAGTAATTGAAGTTAAAGAATGAATGTCAACGGCAATAAACCTTTAAAAATAGCTTTAATTCACCCTGATTTAGGCATTGGTGGTGCAGAGAGATTAGTAGTAGATACTGCTTTGGGTTTACAAAATGAAGGTAATGAAGTAACCATTTTTACTTCCCATTGTGATTTGACTCATTGTTTTGAAGAAATCAAAAATGGCACATTAAAATATAAAGTGTATGGTGATCATTTACCAACAAGTATTAAAGAAAAATTCTTTATTGTATGCTCAAATCTAAGACAACTATATTTACTTTGGAAAATGTATACAACCGGACAACTACACCATTATGATGTGTTTATTGTCGATCAACTCTCTACATGCGTGCCCTTTATTCATAGTTTAACTGATGCAAAGATTTTATTTTACTGTCACTTCCCTGATCAACTATTAGCTCAGAGAACAAGTTTGTTAAAGCGCATTTATAGAGTCCCGTTTGATTTATTAGAACAATTTACTATTAGTGCTGCAGATGAAATAGTTGTCAACTCCAACTTTACAAAACAAGTGTATCACAAAGTGTTTCCTTACCTTACAAAAGTACCTTATGTTATTTACCCATGTGTAGATATAAATCCAGAGATCACTGATATGTCTCAAATTGATAATTTTGATAAGAAATTATACCATATGTTGGTCCCACAAAATATGAAATATTATTTGAGCATTAACAGGTATGAAAGAAAAAAAAATATTTCTTTGGCATTAAAAAGTTTTGCATTATCTAATGAAGCTGTTTCGAATGGTTATAGATTAATAATTGCTGGAGGATATGATTCAAGAGTCACTGAAAATGTTGAATATTTGAAAGAATTAGAAAGTGTTGCGCAAGAATATAAACTACCATTTACAACTATTAAATATCAAGATCTTATCAATGAGAAGGATGAAGATCCTAATGATTTTGATAAAATCAAAATCAGGAATACTGATAAAGTTATTTTCTTAACTTCTATCTCATCAAGATTAAGAGATTATTTAATACAAAATATGGAATTATTAATGTATACACCAGATAATGAACATTTCGGTATCGTACCTTTAGAAGCCATGAGATTTGGTAAACCTGTCCTTGCTTCTAATTCAGGTGGTCCATTAGAAACCATAACCTCATATCATCCAAATCTAAATGAATCTACAACTACTGGTTGGTTAAGAGAGTCAAATCCATCGATCTGGGCAACCGCTATCAATGAGTATATGGAAGTTAAAAATCAAATTGATTTTAATCATAATAGTCGTGAAAAGGTGAGAAAACATTTTTCTAGCAAAGTGATGTCTGACAGTTTTGAAGAAAGTATTGAGAGAATTATACAAAAGGAACGGATTCAATACCCATGGGAAACTGCATTAGCATCAATTTACTATTTTAGTTTGCATATAGCTGCTTTATACCTTTTCCCTAATCAATATTGGCCATACTTGATCCTTGTGGGATATGCTGGTATCTGGAGGAAAAATTATTTTTGGGCATGTTATTATGCATTTATTATCATCCTATTCTCAATGTCATTAGAATAATAAATTAAACAACTATTGACTGATTGATTTCAGGGATTATAAAACAATAATTCTTATAAATCTTTTTATTGCCAAACAAATAGGAAAAAAACCCTGCAAATTCTCAACGAATATAGTTATATAAAATATCTATACATTTATATAAATATATGGTCATGCATGAACATAAGTACTAATGTGTATCTAGAAAAATATTTCTTTAGATCTCTCTCTTTCTTTTCTTTTAGTCCTTATATTCTTGCTTATCTATATGATGCCCTTGGGATATCAAATTATCCAATTAACTTTACCGTTTCTAAATTCCATTACCTGCACTTCCATTCTCTGTATTATCTTTATTACTGGGGGAATTTCCGATATTGACTGGAGAATTAGTTTGTAGATTAGTATTTATTGGTGAATTTATAGTTGCTGGTAAATTCACTGGTGTTCCACTGCTAGTTACCTGAATGCCTACATTGGAAAATCCTTTAGGAGATTGTATTGATTTATTAGGAAGCAAAGATGATGTTGCTTCAAATTTTTGATGTTGTAGTTGTTGTTTCCTCAATGTTTGTTGTCGAACTTGAATATCTTGTGGTGTAAAACTATTAGCCTGATTAGAAGTAGCTACTGGAGAACTTTGTTGCTGCTGTTGTGCTCTACTTTGCTGTAAGAGCATTCGCTGTCTTTGTAGTTGTAACAATTTTTGTTGTTGTAGTTGTAATTTCTGTAATTGTTTTGGAGTTAAATTGGACACATTAATATTACCATTAACAATATTACTGCCATTGAATTGAATATTATTGTTTATATTATTTCCATTATTATTCATTATATTATTTTGTAATTGTAATTGAGGCGTTCTTATTCTAAATTTATAATCAGTAGTTCTATCAATATCTAAACAACCAACCCTAGAGTGAATAGCGCCATAACCGGGCGATGTGTAATTAGATTTTACATTAAACGAGGAAGCAAACATTTCTCTCATTCTGAAATATTTTGTTCTAAACCTTGTTGTGGACAAAACCGTGGATTCTAATGGTAATGGAAAAGATCTCGATATACCATTTAGTACATGTGTAGTTTCTTCCTCAGATGTTATCATAGATGTTTGATCGTTTGTAATATTGCCATTACTGCTAATTTGTTTTGAAGTTGAACCATTTTGTGATGTTCTAGAATTATTATTGTTATTATTTCCGTTACTTACAGATACATTATTCTTATTACTGCCGTTAATACTATTATATCTCTCATTGTTCGATTTAGATCCACTTCTAGATTGTTTTGGATTAGAATTTGCACGCTTTGCTTGATTTTGAGTTTTTTGTAATAATCTTTTTTGTTCCTTTTGTTCCTTAATCATTTGTCTTTGTAATCTTTGTAATTCTTGTTGTTTGGCTCTTCTTTCATTGGCTGCACCAATCTTGGTTTGATGTTCTCTATGATAATCTGCTAATAATTCGTCAAAAGGCTTAGAACGGCCTTCAACAGATCTTTTAGATCCCATTGAATGTGATTTACAAGTTAATGATCTAGCACAATAGCCTCCTTCAGGCAATTCAACACCACACTGTTTATCAAAATCAATTAAATGTTTCTCGGTGGGGTTTCTTTGTTTAATTCTCCTCTCCTTTTTGACTTTAGTATTTTTTTTAATAGGTTTAGATGTGATATTATTACTATCAGAATTACTATTTTTCTTTAAAGATGATGTCGAATCATTTGAATCATCCGATGTATTTCCTGCTTTTTTAAGATCTGATGGAATAGGTGTACCTGTGTTGGAAGTTCCCCAAGTTGTCTTAGATGATAGTCTTGTGTTAGTATCGATATCAGCATCTTCTTCATCGTCGTCACCTTCATCAACATCCTCATCTTCATCATCACCATTCTCTTTTTTATTGTTCTTTGCATTATCCTCTTCTTCCTCCTCGTCATCATCTTTAATAGAAGGTGGTGGTCTCTTTTTACTTGTCATAGCTCTTGATCTTTTATGATGATTATTATTCTCATCGTAATCTCTTGAATTAGTATCATTATCATCATCATCTATATCACTAGTTGATAAACGTCTTTTTATACCTATTATTTCCTCATTATTGCCACTCTCAGTAGTAGTAGAAGATGAAAAAGAAGGAGAAGAAAGAGTTTCTTCACAATGATTATTTAAATGTTCCATCATAACACTTAATAATATTGGCTTTCCACACTGATTACATATTCTATAATAATCATTTGTTACAGTGGAATCTAATAATAATTTTGAATTGTCACTGAATAAATTACGTGATTGATCAGAGTTGTTAGATATCCTTGTAATTCCCTCATTGTTAGTTAATAACATTTTATAATTATGCTTTTTCAATGAATTCAAATGATATTTTTCTATAATATCATGTTTTATACCTGTGATAATATTATTAGACATTATAAATCTGTTTTTTATTTTTTTTTTTTTCTCTAAAATAGTTGAGTTAAACAGACAGACTGGTGTGTTCTGAAGCATCTAACAAGTGTGCTTGCTTATTTCTGTTCAAAGATAGTAGTATTGTTCGTAAATAGTAAGCTATAGTCTTACCCTATGTATGTTCTATTTTACATAATCAATTAATTTTACTTAGTTTATTTTACTCTATTTTTTTTTTTTAAAAAAAATAGTTAATTTCAATTTATTTTAATTTATTCTTCTAAAACTCCATTTGAGCAAAAAACTTAGGGTTAAAGAAAAAAAAAAAAAGTTAGGCGCAATACTAAGCTTAGTCATGAGAATGAATAATTATGACATATGATAGTAGTCATATTACTAAGTAATTATGTATTTACAGTCGTTGTTGTTGCTGTTGCTGTTCCTGATGTCTCCTGACTACATAGTTGATTAGATCAAATGCTATTGCATTCTTCCCTGGTATTTGTATTTTAATCTGCGATAAATCGTTGTTGTTTATCTTGTTGTCTATATACAATGGATATTTCAACGGGTCCAACTTCAATGGTAACAAAAATCCAGTCTTATATCGATCTATAGATTCCTTTATATCTTGTGTGTCAAACCATTGAGCATCTAACAGCTCTTGATCATGGTTCAAATCGATCACCTCGTCGTGTCCATTGAAATTTATCTGTGCGATGCAACCAATCATCAAATTTTGTGGATACGGCCAAGGTTGAGACTTCAAAATAATAATATTATCAGTTTGCTTAATCTGAATGCCTGTTTCCTCCCACACTTCACGTTGACAAGACGATTCAATGGTTTCTCCAGGCTCCATGAACCCAGCTACACATGAATACATGACTATGTCTTTACCAATGGCTCTCTTGGATCTGACAAGACACATTTTGGACCAATCTTTGTTTGTGATTGCTGTGATCACCACTGGGTCGATTCTGGGGAAGACGGCATTATTCTGGAATTGCTTAGCTTCATTCAGTGGACATTTAGTATCTGAGCATATCCATTTGGTCCCCCCATGAATGAACTGGATCTCTTGACCGCATTCTACGCATCTTTTAAATTTATTAGCCCATTGGATGTACATCCTGGAATAAGAGTATAATGAAGCTTCCTCATTAGACATCAGCACATTAAAGACGTTCTGAAAAGTTAATTTTATAATTGAGGAGGACTCATGATTATTCTCGATACTGTGGTCTATGAAATTGATTGCAAAGACTGGTATACCTTTGTATTTATCTTTATAGATTAAAAACTCATCACTTGAGGAACTTGTAAAGGATAGGTACAACCCTAGAAATACCAGATGATATCTTGTCTTATTTGGATTGTTTCCCTTGCTGATTAATGACTCCAATTCGTCATCTGCAATTCTAGTGAAAACTGTTTCATTTATCAACCGAGATACTTTATAATTTAGAGAACCCGTATCGTCATCGCTAAAATGCTTTGTAATACGGTATAATTTACCAGTTGTTGTATCCCCTAATGGTTCACCATTGAAGAATGGTATGAACTGAGTAAAAGAATAATTTAACGCCAATTTTAAAAATGAAACATCTTCTCTTAAAAAAGAAACTCTATTCAAGATCTGATTGCCAAAATAACTGATATTATTGGACATAACACTGTTGCTATCGTTCATTGTATATCTTCACTTTCTACTCGTATGAATTCTAATATTTTCCTTTTTTATTTATTTATTTAAAAATTTTTTTTTTGTTGTTTTCTTCCAATAGGTTTAAAAAATCAATCATGTATGATACTAGTACATGTGTCAATATAAACCTATCTATGTATGTTGGTATATTGAAGATGGATATATTAGAAGATAGATATTGTATTATGAGGTAATTTCTTGCGAAAATAAAGGAAGAAAAAGAAAAAAAGAAAAAAAGAAAAAAAGAAAAAAAAGAGAAGGAATACTAAATATGATAATAATTAAGTAAGTATATTATCATAATAAGATTATATAATGATATTTACATGATATATATATATAATGGCTGTAGATAAAAAGAAGAGAGTAAAAGGAGATATAAAAATACTAAATAAAGATATATTTTGTTTATTCTAATTCGATTTGAGCACCCAACGATTCTAATTTAGATTTTAATGCTTCACTTTCTTCTTTACTTAAATGTTCTTTAACTACACGTGGGGCAGCTTCCACAAATTTCTTTGCTTCGACTAAAGATAAACCAAGCAAAGATTTGATTTCTTTAATAATCTTAGCTTTACTCTTTGTATCAAAGGAAGCCAATTTAACGGAAAATGTAGCTTGTTCGGCTTCTTCAGCAGCACTAGCATCAGCACCACCACCACTATTATTATTATTATTATTATTATTATTATTATTATCTGTACCAGCAGTTCCCACAAAGCCATTTTGACCTGCAGTCATCATCATCATTGGGTTCATCATACCTACAGAACCGGACATAGAAGGTAGATTCAAAGTCTTTTGCAGATGTTTAATCAATTCACTTGTTTCCAGTAAAGTCAATTGACTAATTTCATTTACAATAGAGACGATTTTCTCACTTGGTAATTCTCCCTCAGGTTCATCCTTTTTCACTTCCTGTCCAGTTTCGATTGTATCTGAACTATTGAATCTTCTAAATAGAAGGGTAGAGTTGAATTTATTTGTGTTATTTAAATGAATAATTACTTGTCTTGTAGATAAAGTACTCTTGATTAAAGGTTGTTTAAATATACTTTGAGAAAACTTTCTCATCATCTTTAATTACTTGTGTGTATGTGTGAATATGTGTATATGAGATATCAAAAAAGAGAGAGAAAAAGAAAGAGAAGAAAAGAAAAGAAAAGAAAGGAAAAAAGAACAGTAGATGTTATAGTATTGTGAACAAACCAGAAAACTTAATCAAACAACTATTGATTCTGTATACTTAGTAATTTTTGTTGTTTTTTGTCGTTGTTGTTATAGTTATTAGTATTCTCTTTTTTTTATTTGATTCTATTTTATTTTCCTTTAGTTGTTATCCTTGTCTTGTGCTCATTTCGAGTTTTCTTTTTTTTTTTTTTTTTTTTTTTTTTATTTTATTTTTTTTTCCCGTTTTCTTTTCCCTTTTCTTCGAAAGGCGGATAAGCCAGCCAAAAGAAATAACAAACTCGAAAAAACAAAAAAAAATGAAAAAGACAGAAAAAAAAGGGCAGATCAATTGCTCGAGCAAGAATTGTAAGTATAAATCTTCCGTTATTAATATACGATACAATAAAAGTTTACATATATATATATATATATATATATATGTGTGTATCTCTGTGTGTGTGTGTTGAAACTAGTAGCAATAACAACAATATTTTAACAATATTCCACTATAAGGTTATATAGTTTTTTATTCTACTAATCTTACAATAATATGATACATTTTGAGATCAAAGTATCTTAGTGCTCGAGTCTTGCGTGTCCAACACCCTTCATTCTCCCAAAAGGAATAAAAAATAAGATTAAAAAACCCTTTTGCTTTCTTTTTCTTTTCTTCCTCTTCTCTGAAGAAAATTCCTCTTACTTTCCATCTGTTCGAATGTATGGGTGGTGCAATAGATCCAGACACCCAGATGAAAATCAATATTTTATCACGTGATCCAGTCTTGTCTGGTGTATGGGTGGGTGAATTTCTTTTCTTTTTTTTCACTTGTTTCTTTCTTTCTTCTTCCAATTGAGTAATAATTCAAAAAAAAAAAAAAAATCTAAAGTTTCACTAATCTCTTTAAATTCTACTTCAATAACATGTATCATGCAATACTAGTATATGTCGATGGATCCAACTAGACCAAGAAAAGATCCATTGTAATACTAAAAAGGGGGGAAACAAACAAACAAACAGACAAACAACAAAATAGTAGGGAAACTGGGAATTGACGTCAGTGATATATATACATATAATATAATATAATATAAAATAATATAAAATATAAATTATTTGTTTAAATATGACTACCTTTAGGTTCTGTAGAGATTGCAATAATATGTTATATCCAAGAGAGGATAAAGACCACAAAAGATTACTATTCGAGTGTCGTACATGTTCATACGTCGAGGAAGCAGGTGCTCCTTTAGTCTACAGACACGAACTAATAACAAGTATCGGTGAAACTGCAGGTGTGGTACAGGATATTGGTTCGGATCCAACACTACCGAGATCTGATAGAGAATGTCCAAAGTGTCACGCCCATGAAAACGTCTTTTTCCAATCTCAACAACGACGTAAGGATACTTCAATGGTTTTATTTTTTGTTTGTTTATCCTGTTCACATATTTTTACATCCGATCAAAAGAATAAAAGAACTCAATTTAGTTAATAATAATAATAATAACACATATAGATACTCATGTGCATATACATATAAGCGTATATATATATAATGATATTTTATTACTTTTTTTTTAATTTTTTTTTTTCGAAAAATCTTCATTATATATTGAAATTTTACTGGAATATGTCCAAATCTTTTGCTTCTTCTTCTGGTTTCTTCAATTCTTCTTTATTTAATTCGTTTTTTGTCTTATTGGGATGCTTTGGTGTTAATTCACTCATCGTATTATACCCATTATTAATAAAAATATCTGTGAAATCAATTTCATTTAAATCAATAAGATTAACATTTTCACTATTCCCATTGTCATTGACATTCTCACAATTATTATTACCATTATTGCCATTGTCATTGTTCCTTAACTTCGTACCAGCAATAGCATTATCACTATGTATATTATGGAATGGTGTTTCTAAATTGCTTGAATGAAGATTCATCATATTTAAATGTGACTCATTAAATATGGGATCATCAATAAAATTGTTAATTAATAATAAATCATCATTCACTTCATGTAGGTGACTATTATAATAATTATTATAACTATTATTCACATTCACATTTATAGTATTACTATAATTTTTATTGGCAATATTAGTGTTTTTATTATTATTATTGTTGTTGTTGTTGATGTGGTGGTTTGTGTTATTCACATTATTGAAGCCATTATCAGTGTTGTAAATTCTATCATGTTTATTGGTATTTCCATGTTTGTTTAAGCTGTTAATAATATGATTATAGTTATTATTTAGAATTATATTTCCAGAATCGAACGGTCCATTAAATTTATAAAAATAATCAGTGTTATATGAATCAAAATCATTATGATAATATTCGTTTGCCATGACATTATTATTCCCGTTGTATACATAATCATCATTAATTCTCTGCACATAATTTCCTAATTCTTCATCGTTCTCTTCGTCATGAATTACATCTTTGGCTTTAATTATCTCCGTATGACTGTCATTATTACTTAATCCATAGAATGTACTTAGATTATTGTAACCTAGGCTAAAATTGTTTTCATAGATATGCTCATAATCACTATTATTCTTGTCACTATTATTACTACTTATGAAATTTTGCGATAACGGATTAAAATTATTAAAACTAGTAGATTTCTCTTGTATTCCCCAATCAATAATTCTATTTATAATAGATGCCCGATGTTGTTCTAGTTGTTGTTGTTGTTGTGATAATATTGACTGTAGTTGTGATAACGGTACTTCACTTGTGTCAATATTATTCATATTATCAGTTGTAGAGGAATCAATGTTCAGTACCGATGCATTATTTCCTTCTTTTTGAATAACATTATTTTTTCGACTCTTTTGTATTATTAAATCACTAATCGTTTTCCGTTTAGTATTATTACTATTGCTCATGACAGTGACCACTTTGCTAGAACTATTATGAATATTATTTGTTTTCATATAATCAGTATTACTTGAGATAGTATAGGAGCTAACGGGAGTAGATATAGGCTTGATTGAATTAACATTTGGTATAACAATATTAAAACTTTCAATTTCATTAGTTAAACCACAATCGCACGGTATCATTGAAGTTTGAATTGGTAAGTTACGTATTTTTCTATATTCTAATTCATCGAATTTCTTAATGGCTTCGATATCATTGTTTTCTCTTAATTTAGCTTTAAATTTCTTGTACTCTTCGGAATTTGGATCAAAATTTAATTTATGGGAATGGGTATTATTAACTACTACAATACTCCATTTATGTCTTTTCAAAGAATATGTTGCACGAATACGGAATGGACAAACATTAAATCGCGATATAGCTCTTTTCTTTTTCACTCTCGGTTGTTGTGATGATAAACTGGCTAATTCTTGTGACATAGAAGTCGAGGTTTTTAAATCATTCGCTTCCTTTACTTTCTCTGATGTTTGCTTCTTAAGATCTGTGTCGTCATGAATAATAAATTTCTCTGCACATTCTTTTACTGTATCCTCAAATGTAGATGTAATTTTATTTGGTGTTCCATTAGTTGAAGACTTTCTTGATTTTCTACCTCTCTTTGATGCCTTGCATTTGAAGATAACTTTGGTATTATCAGATCTTTCAATTACAATTTCAATACCCATTGGATAAAAGATTTTTTGTAACCACGGTTTAATCTCGGCTTTATCTTGGAAATTGGGTACTGGATCGAGGTGAATCAATTTATTCTGATCTTTGGAAATTACCATTGGGATATTTCGAGGGGTCGTCAGCATTGATCCATCTTCATTCTTTAAAACAGGGTCATATTGCTGGAAATATTTTGGCTCTGTAGATATTGATGCAGATGTCAATACAGAGAGGGAAGTTGACGTTACTGTTGATGAAGTGGAAGAAGAAGATAACGATAGAGTTTTTGATAATGTCAGAGATCCTGTTTCCTTTTTAACTTCAGTTTTATCTTGAATGGTTTTTGTTGGAGTTTTTTCACCTTTGACAATCTTTAGATCATTCTTGGAATTTTCCAAAGAAGGTATATTTGTAGGAGAACTGGGTTCAGATATAAGTTTTTTATTAGAACTATTTGATTGAGTTACCATAGTAATTATTTTAATATTTATAATTTTGTTTTTTAATAGGTTTTATAATAAATATATCTACAAAAGGAAAGAAAGGCTTCCGTTGAATTCTTCGTTCTTCTTATTTTATTTTCTAATTTATGTTTTACGTGAATATATGTGTTACGTAGTCATGCAATATGGATATCTATTTAATAATACAAAACAGGTAAAAAGTTGGAACGGGGTTATGATATAGAATTTTTAATGATAAATGAATGACTTATGATTGAAAAGAATTATAAAAGGTACAAAATGTAATAGAGTTAGATAAAATAAAATATAAATACACCCTGTACATGTATTTGAAAAAATATACTATTGAAATATGCCTAAGAATTAGTATTAGATTAATAGTTATTCTAGTAATAATTAAAAATAGATGAAAAATGAAAGAAGGTTTCACTAATCTATAGAAAATTGTTTCCGTTATAATAATACTATGTTAATTTCTTAATCTTTTGAAGTTGAACTTAGTCTATTGTATTACCAAAAAGATTCTTTCAAACAGATAATTACATATATGTCAATGAATGAAATGTAGAAAGAGGTAGAAAGTAAAGATCGCAGAGGGAAAAAGGAGAATGTTGAAGACAAAAATAATAGGACTTTAAAAAAATCAGTCCTGGTTATTTGAGATTAGATAATATTCATTTTTCTCTTATTTAGTATATTGACAGAGTTATACTTCTGAATATGGCTGTATTCATTAAGGCCATACAGTGTTACAACAATACCATAACAGTAATTCTTGAAACAACTTGAAAGGAAATAAAATAACAAAAAAACACAATTTTTCACCCATTTACGGGATGTAGTTTCTATGGCAACACACACTTTTCCAGGTGCACTTACTTTTGCACATTGTTTTCTTCTTTTTTTTTTGTTTTTCGCTAAAATTTTTCTTCATCTTCTGTTTTTTTTTTTGTTTTGTTTTTTTATTACTTCTAAAAGCTTACCAAGAAAATAGTCAGTTTAACTCTTAGGAGGTTCTGATTTTATTCAATGTTTTTGCTTTTTCAACTTACCTGAATTCGAGGCTGAAGAAGTAGCATGTGTTCTTTTAGTATGTGGTATTTTGGTAGTTGATAATTCCTCTATTTGCGGAGGCTGTGGGATCTTCTGATCCACTTCAAATACAGGATTAATATGAGTAGAATCTTCTCCATTTAATAAAAATGGTGAATCTTCCATCATTAGTGGTGACATTCCACTTAACGTGGGTGGTTGTAGGGGTAAGAAATCTGTGTCTTCGGTTGTTTCTTGATGTGATGGACTTTCGTGTGTTAAGTAGTCTTGAAGATCGAATGAATCCGCTTTATTGCTACTAGTATTGTTTTGGTTAAAGTTTGCAGTTATCGGATCATTATTTTCTGAAACATAGTAATCTTGTGGCGACCTAACTGAATTTCTAAAATTGCTTGTATTTGATATATTCTGAGAATTACTTACTGGATTATATTGAAGATCATGCGAATCTAGCATAGGCATTGGACTCATCAGTTTAGGAGTCAAGTGAGTCACCATATCTTCTAAATGACGAATTCTATTGTCTTGCTCTTCTATATTATCTTGTAAACGAGCGAAAATTGCATTGTTATTGCCACCAGTGTTTTTTCCATTTACCACACTGATATTAGCCGTATTTTCATTTCTTGTTTCTGTTTGCGGACTTGTTGTATTTGAATTTATTTCTTGTATTATTGGAATATTACTGTCTGCGCCTCCATCCTCAACTGGTATTTCAGAAATTCTGTTACTGCTGTGGTTAATATCATTATTGCTATAAATGTTTGGCATTGTATTTGAATATATTGTGTTATACTGTTGTCCCATTAGAGTAAAATTCTCATTACTATTAATATCATTACTGTTTGAATAGGTAACTTTCTTTTTCAATAACAGACGATCATTTCTTTTACCATTATTGTCATTTTGTTTACGATTAATAATATTACGGTTTGGTGATATTGGCTCAGATGGAGAATTGTCAATATTTTCTAAACTTTCAAGATAAACTGCATTATATCTGCTTCCACTCTCTGATGGGGTAATTATTTGAGGACTCGGTTCACTGTTGCGACCATAATTGACTATTCCGTTAACAACTGAATTTGTAGGGTCGCTGATATTCAGATTACTACTTCTAAATTCATTAAATGTGTTATTGACATTAGAAGTATTGTTACGATTAGTGTTATTAACATTGTTATTAACATCATTTGGATTTATGTTCCTTCCATTATTACTATTGTTGTTGGTGGTGGTGGTGACATTATTTGGTGCCTTATCCTTATCCGTTAACCCATCCATAATCTTTTTTTGATCTAAAAGAGGCATCATAGCAGCCATGAATCTAAAGATTTTTTCCAATATTTGTTGTTGTGATCTATACCTTTCTCTGGCAATCATATTTTCCTTCCATAAGAGTTCGTTATCTTTATTAATTCTTAGTAAGTCTTTAGATATAGCAATTTGATTGTATTTGATCTGTTCTAATTCATTCAACACAGTACTAATACTATTTTGTAATGGAATAGAATCTGGTCCATTAGTAATATGCAAGGTAGTGTGAGAATTTAGATTATTTGGTAATTGGAAACTATTTCCTCTCAACAAATCACTACTATTACTATTATTTTGATCATTTTGGATGGTCTGTAATAATTTTTGATTAATATTATAGTTGGGACATGCATTGCCATTGACTTGAATACTGTTAAGATTTCCATCTACAAAACTATTATGATTACTACTGTTATTAACATTGTTGTTCATTGTGTTATTATTATATTGAGTTTGAGTATGATTATGATTGTGTGGGGAACCACGTTGTCTAACAATATGAACTAAAAGATCTTCTCTACCTCTAATAAAATTTTCATTAGCAAATTGCCATTTATCATCTGAGCTACCTTGAATGGAACCAGACCTTATATCTTGGACTTTATGCCAACCGTACATGTTCAATTGTCTTACAAAGGAGGCGAAATTTGAATGCTTGAAATACCTTGGTAAAATTTCATGGACAAAAACTTCTCTATTTTTAACAATAAAAGATTTTCCATCATCTGCCCATTGAATTAAGTCATTATTATTATCGTCATTTACCATATTCCATAATTTATTAATGAATGCAGGTCGTGTTTTATGTTGATTATGTCTTCGATGAGTTGGAGAATTTTGAGGAATATGATTACTGCTTATATTAATAAAATTCTTATTATTAGAAGTAGTATTAGTTGTATTACTAAAATTGTTATTTGAAGAGATAATTGAATTTTTTATAATATCTGCAGAATATAATGGAGCTGTATTTCTATTAATGCGACCTGTACTAGCATTAGTATTATCATTTGCATTAAGATTGCTATTATTGGATCGTCTCTTATTGTCATAAAAATCATTTAAATCATTGGATGATATATGTTCATTATTAAATATGCCTAATGGGGAGCCCATACGCATAATATTTCTTATATCTGCCTTAGCATCTCTTGCTAACATTAATGTACCTCTTCTATTATTGCTATTATTGTTGTTCAGAACCGTTGGTTTCATAAAGGCAGGATTAATAATATCTTCTATAGTTCCTGATGATGCATTATCTGTAATTACACTATTAGAATTAGAGCGACTAATATTATTTTTCTGATTCATAGACTGTGAAATATTGTTACTATCACCATTTACTTTAGAAGACTCATTATTTGCTGAGTTCGATATATCTACTAAGTTAATAGTGTCTTGTTGGTTATATACACCAGCTGTGGTAGAATTATTATTATTATTATTATTATTATTATTATTGTTGTTGTTGTTGTTGTTGTTGGTTTCCGTAGCACTGTTAATCACTTGTGTTTTAGAAATTGGGACATCGTTATGTTCATTGTTTAAAAGTGCATCATTTGTCTCAAATATACTATCATTATGTAGAATACTGCCTAATTCATGATCATACAATGATGTTAATTTATTATTCTCACTAATATTTATATTGTAATTGTTGTTATTAGCAGGACTCACATTACTCATATTATTATTAGTGTTGGTATCTGAATTCATGGTTCTTGATAGTCTAAAAACGTGTATATATAGTTAAATAGAAAATGATAAAAAGAACCTCCCTAGTAGTAATACAATTGAACTTGTTCAATAAGATTAAAACAATGGATCGACTTTAAAAGTGAGTTTCTAGTATGGTTTATATATTTTACCCTTTAATTAAAGCAGTTTGTTATATTATTTTTTATCTATTTCTGTGTATAGGACGTTTGTATTGTCCTCTATTTGAGATTTCAACCAAATTTTTCCTTTCGTTTTCAAGATTTTCTTAGAAATAATATGACTATTATTTAAATACTTGGACGATTTTTCCGAATAACATGAAATAATAGAGAGGAATGAAAAAGAAGGAAAAACTAATAAAGAGAAACAAAAAATGAGAAGCACCGAAAGTTGTTCACTCAAAAATCTGAAGAGAGAATAGATAAGAAAGGAGAGAGAAAGAAAAGAATACGCTAATTGATGTTGATTCCTGAGAAAAAGAATGATATATTTGTATGTTATTATGTGAAAGAAGATTTGGAGACACAGGGTCACACTCATAATTATGGAAAATAGCAACCATATTATAAATAACTTAAAACGAATAACAACGAGCCAAATTTATATGGAGTACTAGATTTGTTAAACCTCATAGATATAATATTTATTAATATCATGTTATTAATATGTGCTTTATGTGAAAGTTCTGTATTTCTTTTTTTGTTTTATTGTTTTTTTGTAATTCACAATTTAAACTAATTATTAAAAACATTACTGATTGGAAGCAAGATGATTTTTTATGTTAGCAATATCTTGTTTAATCATACTTTACTGTATATGATTGTGTTATGCATATTTACTTCTAATAGATGAAAAAGGAAAAGAAATTACAAATAGTATCATATGAGAAGTATGCAAATATATAGTATATATCTTTTTCTATAGATATCTGCTAAGTTGTAGCATTGCATTATTCTTTCTCTTTTATAATTCTTCTCCATTATAGATTTATTACTGTGGTAAAGCATATCAATATATATCTACAAGTATAAAAAAAATTCCTGTATTCTTATTTTGAAAGTCTTTAATCTTATGCTTCTAGTTAGTTTAGAATAACCGCTGAGAGCTGTTACAACTATACACGATTATTTAATTATATTTGTTTTTATTTTTGACTTCATAATATCAAAAAAAAAAAAAAGAAAACAAAAAAAACATATGAAATAGGATAGACAAGAAGAAAAACTAAGGTTACTTATAACAGAACAACTACAGAAGTTTCAACGGAAGGTTCAATAAGGCTGAATGGTATATTTATGGGCATATTACTGTTTCATATTATAAAAATCAAAATTGCACGGCACACTATTCTATTTCTATATCTTTTTTTTGGCTGTTATTCTGTTCAAGAAGTAACTGAATAAGTATATCGTTTTTGTACTTTCTTAGCACTAACAGGTATGGATCACTTAATATTGGATAAAATATGGTATAAGATAACAAATGATTCTCAGAGTGAGTATATTTTAGGATCACAGCTGGCTGATTTTATAAGAGAATTAAATAAGTCAACCGATTCCGTTATTATAACATCAGATCAAATCGATTCGGTTAATAATTTTAGCTTAAGTAATCCAGATATTAAAATTTATAAATTTGCTATCGATGAATTTCTAAGTAATTTGATTGGTTTTAAATTTAGTCAACCTGTGGAAGCAGTAACTGACAATAAAGAAAAAAATACTTCAAGGACAGAATTTAATAAAGGTTCAATTTTAAATGATATAAATTATGATAATATTAAAGGCCAAAAGAAGTCAGAAGAACTAGAGAAAGTAGAGAGCATTGAAAGTGATGACTTACAAGAAGAGATAGAAAATTATAAGAATAAGTATGATATTCTTCGGAAGGAATTTGAGTTTTATAAGAGGAAACAAACCTTAAATCAAAAAATACCAACTAGTGAATTGAATATAGATTATGAATATACTGTTAATGAATTTAAGAGACAAATTGAAGAACAACGAAAGATAATGTTAAATATATCACAGAATATTGAAAATAGACATAATGATTATAAGAATAACAATAATTACAACACCCATACCAACAAAATTGCAGAAACAAGCAGGAATATAGATAATAGCAAAAGAGATAATGAAGTGAGGAAAGATATAAGTGTTATTAGATATCTTTACCAATTTGGACAAATTCTACTGGTTTTTATAATTGCAATAATATTTTCCTCAATATTATCTAAAATTGTTTTTCCATTGGCTAATAGTAAACAGAAAGATAATTTTAATTTATATGAGAATAACATGGATATGTTTGATATGTCTTTTCAAGTAGATCCATGGTGGACTAAATTCAATACACTTAGTCATTTAATCTATAAGTTTCAAGATTGGTATAATGATGATAACTATGATGTTGTTGATGATATACGATCCACGGATAGTGGTATAAATGCCGTGTACGATGAAGTATTCGGTATAAAGAACATTAACTGACAATATCATGTGTTTCCATATCTTAGATATATATTTGCATTATGCTCAGCTTTTTCTACCAGACTGTATAGATTTGGTTGTTGCTAAAACCCTAAAAATAAAATATTAACTTACATATTTTTTCTTTTTGCACATAATAATGGAACCTTTTTACTTTCTTTTTCTTTTTTCTTTTTTTTGCTTTTTTCTTAGTTTTGCGGAAATGAGATCAACATTAGATTTTGACAAATGGGAAAAAAATTTGTTCAATTTGAGGACATTTCTGTCAAGTAATAAATATAAAAGACGAAAGAAAAAGATCGTCAAACCCATTTACTTCTTTGACGTGTATCTTGAAGGATATCTTTCAACATGTCGAAGTGCATCACTCGATCTTACGACATGATAAAATATTGGTGCTGTTTACAATAAAGCGAGCTGTATTTTACTATTTTCTAATATTATACATGGCCGTGTAGCCTGTAACTTTGTTGCTAATATTAAGGCAACTTTAATAAATATTTATATATATTTATATGTTTATATGAATATAGTGATGATATGTGTCATTAAGACATACAAATAGTGGCTAGCAATTTTTATTTTTGCAATGAAGTCTACTTTAAATAACACCATCTTTCGGGACTGATATATTCATAACATATTATATATTTATATTTTGAGTTAATTGGCTTGTTTGTTATTCGTGTTTCGAGTGTTGATTAATCACTCTGAGCGTTTTAATTTAGTCTTTGTTCCTTTTGTTGGGAACCTAAAGTCACTGATTACTCGGTTTTAAAGGCACTGTTATCTTGTAATTTCACGTAATCCATATGTTTGTTCTGGTTTTAATCTTTGTGTATCCTCGTGGGTGCACCGAAATAATAAACACCCAGACCTTTTGTTACATAACAGTCCTTTCTTTTATTTTTTTATTTTTTTTTCTTTTTTGTTTTTTTCATGTTTTCTCAACAAAGAGACTTTCCTATTTAAGAAATATCAGTCTATTCAATAATCTTTTTTTTTTTATTCAGTTAATTTTTTGAAGACGCAATTTTCTTTGATTTTTCCTCAGGAATAATTGCATTTTCCAGATTTTTTGTAGATGTGACTAACGCATCTCAATAAAACACAAAATTATATAAATAGTGCATTTATTACGAGTGGTGTTTTCACTCTTCGCTCAGCTTCACTATCCTATGTAAACAAGAAGGAAGAACCAACCGAGCAAATCACAATTACAATGGCTGCTGAGTATGTCTATTTTATATAATTGCGTGTGTTACAATGTTACATTGTTTTGTGAATATTCCAATTCATAGATAGTCAGTATTAAGTGGTTTTTTTATTGCTGTTGTTATAGCATATATATTTCGCAAGGAGTATATATTTGTGATTATATCGTAGGGGATTACCCGTTTGGGTCAAAGATGAGTCCATGTTAATATGTTACTATCAATTCTGAATTTCATTATTCTTATTCACCAACATCTTGATGGCTTTTAATGGGTTGATAGTTTCATATTTCCTGCTCGTCTCTGTTATTACTCCCTTCTATCGAATGAAAAGTGGTGTTTTCAATTCGATGTGACAGTTGTATCTATATCATATTTATCATTTTTTATAAGTAGGTTCCTTTTGCTAACAATTATCATCTGCTGGATTTTTTTAATTCCAATTGTATTTCTACTAATTTGTCTTTTTTTAAAATAGAAAGATCCTAACTCCAGAATCTCAATTGAAGAAGGCTAAGGCCAACCAAAAGACCCAAGAACAAATTGCAGCTGAAAGAGCTGCTCGTAAGGCCGTATGTTAACGATGTTTTTTGTTTTCCCGACATAACTGTTTTTATTCTAATGGTGTTCTTTCTATGATGGCATGATTCCTATTATTATTTCCTTTATGCAAGAATCAAACCTGTGTGTCTTTAACTTGTCGTTAATCTTTCTATGCTATGATGAAGATTATTTGTATCCCAATACAATATCGACTAGTCAATGACGATGTTGTCGTAACTTTTATCACCATCTTTCGCCTGACGTGTTTATGATTGATGATTTGTAAAGGCACATTATTTGTTTTTTTATTGGAAATGAAATAATCATTATTCACAGAAAGTGTGTTATAGATTCTAACAGGAATTCTGTTGAGGATATTGTTGAACTGTTTTACAGTGTTTTTTAAAGGATTACAATACTAACAGATTATTTTTCTTCGTTATCATTTTATTGTGTTTTATTGCATTAATGCTGATTCGATTTCTCTTTTTTCATTAATATTTGTTTAATTTAGGCTAACAAGGAAAAGAGAGCTATTATCTTAGAAAGAAATGCTGCTTACCAAAAGGAATACGAAGCTGCTGAAAGAGCTGTCATTCAAGCTAAACGTGATGCTAAGGCTGCTGGTTCCTACTACGTCGAAGCTGAAAAGAAGTTAGTCTTCGTTGTTAGAATCAAGGGTATTAACAAGATCCCACCAAAACCAAGAAAGGTTTTACAATTATTAAGATTGAACCAAATCAACTCTGCTACTTTTGTTAAGGTTACCAAGGCTACTGTTGAATTATTAAAGTTGATTGAACCATACGTTGCATACGGTTACCCATCTTACTCTACTGTTAGACAATTAGTTTACAAGAGAGGTTACGGTAAGGTCAACAAGCAAAGAATTGCTTTATCTGACAACGCCATTGTTGAAGCTAACTTAGGTAAGTACGGCATCTTATCCATTGACGATTTGATCCATGAAATTGTTACTGTTGGTCCACACTTCAAGCAAGCTAACAACTTCTTGTGGCCATTCAAGTTATCTAATCCATCTGGTGGTTGGGGTGTTCCAAGAAAGTTCAAGCACTTTATCCAAGGTGGTTCTTTCGGTAACCGTGAAGAATTCATTAACAAATTGGTTAAGTCTATGAATTAAAAAATGAGAGAATATTAGGTCTGTTTCAAAAAAACATTTTGTTTCTTTTCTAATTTTCCCTATTCTTATCTTCAATATATTTCATTAACTTACACAACATTTTTATATGTATCATATAATACTGTTAATTAATAATTATATGAATTCATTCATCCATTAACTTTTCTTTTCATGATTAGAAGTCATTCTAAAAATAGTATTCTTAATGTAATCATTTGTTCTTAACTATTTATCATCTTTACTTTTGTAATGTATATACGTGTATATTATTAAATTATTTAATGTAAACTGAATTACATCAACAAGCTACTTTTTGCATTTAGGTCTTTTTTTTTGCTCTTCATAATGTTGTGGTTGATCTCTTGATAACATGTACATATTTGTGTTATATAATTTCTATAGTAGGACCCACCACTTTTTAATGAATGTATCTCAGTTGATTTTTGAAACATGTTAGCGTTTTCTTTTTATTTTTTACAGATTTTGATACATCCAAAAAAATTTTTTTTTTAAAAAAATGCGATGAGATGATTTAACATCAAATAAAATATGAATGTCGTTTATTACTTATGTATGTATTATTACCTAAGTCACAAAAGTTCACAGAAGAAATAAACCAGCAGATTATTTTGTAAACAATCATGACCGTAGACCAAATTAAACAAAAGAATCACAAAAAGAGAAATTTGGAAGAATCTCAAGATTTAGTGGTTAAAAAGAAACATAAGAAGGAAAAAAAACATAAGAAAGATAAGAAGGATAAAAAGGATAAGAAAGCAAAGAAAGAGAAGAAAGATAAAAAGACAAAGAAAGACAAAACTACTAATAGTGCTGATTCTAAAGAAGAAAAAGTTGTAACCAAACAGGATTCAGTTGAACCGGTTGTTTCTATTCCCTCTACAAATGAATCCAACTATGTTCAAGATGAAAAATTAACTGCATTATCACAATCACACATTGATGCTTTTTATGAAGATAATGATGTTACTGTTGAAGACCCAGTAAAAGCAAACTTACGTCCTGTCATATCTTTTGACTATGTTAAATTAGATTCCAGAATTCAATCTATTATTTCTAAATTTCCAAAACCAACACCAATTCAAGCTGTGGCTTGGCCTTATTTATTATCTGGTAAAGACGTGATTGGGGTTGCAGAAACAGGGTCTGGTAAAACTTTTGCCTTTGGTGTTCCAGCAATTAATTTATTGATAAGTAACGCTCAACCAAAACCAAAGGGAGTTCAAGTATTAATTATATCTCCAACTAGAGAATTAGCCTCTCAAATTTATGATAATTTAATCACTTTAACTGATAAAGTTAATTTAGAAGCATGTTGTGTATATGGCGGTGTGCCAAAGGATGAGCAAAGAATGAAATTAAAGAAATGTCATGTTGTTGTAGCTACCCCAGGTAGATTATTAGATCTAATCCAAGAAGGTTCTGTCGACTTATCAAAAGTTAAATATCTAGTACTTGATGAGGCCGATAGAATGTTAGAAACTGGTTTTGAAGAAGATATTAAAAGCATTATTAGGGAAACAGATGCAAAGAAGAGACAGACATTGATGTTTACTGCTACTTGGCCAAAGGAAGTTCGTGAATTAGCTTCTTCTTTTATGAGGCAACCTGTAAAAGTATCTATTGGTAATAGAGATGAATTGACTGCTAATAAGAGAATTACTCAAATTGTAGAAGTTGTCGAACCACGTGCCAAGGAAAAAATATTATTAAGTCTTTTAAAGAAGTATCAATCCGGTGCTAAGAAGAACGACAAAGTTTTAATTTTTGCTCTTTATAAAAAGGAAGCTGCTCGTGTGGAAAGAAATTTGAGGTATAATGGTTACAATGTATCTGCTATTCATGGTGATCTTACTCAACAACAAAGAACCAATGCTCTTAATGAATTCAAATCTGGTAAGACTAACTTATTATTGGCTACTGATGTTGCTGCTAGGGGGTTGGATATTCCTAATGTAAAGACAGTTATTAACTTAACTTTCCCATTAACTGTCGAAGATTATGTTCATAGAATTGGTAGAACTGGTAGAGCTGGTCAAGCCGGTGTTGCTCATACTTTGTTCACTGAAGAATCTAAACATTTAGCTGGTGCTTTAGTTAATGTATTAAATGGCGCTAATCAGCCTGTTCCAGAGGATTTAATCAAGTTTGGTACTCATACTAAGAGAAAAGAACATGGTGCATACGGTGCATTCTACAAAGATGTTGATATGACAAAAAAACCAAAAAAAATCACTTTTGATTAAAAACTTGATAATCTCAAATTTTTAGTATCCATTAGATAGAGAAAGTAAAAAGATAAACGAATGTAATTGTCTCTGTATATTATTATTACTCAATAAAACTGTTTATAAAACAATTTTAAAGTGTTATTATGACTAAGTATATATATATATGTGTGTGTGTTGAATTATTCTTCCTATGAAACTGATTTATATGTCTTATGATTAATAAATATGGAGGTGAGTAAAGTTAATATGGAAGACCATTATTCATTATCCTCTGTGTTAAAATTACGTTCCATAATATTTTCTCTTGTTTTATTATATTCGATAGGATATTCTGTCCTTAAGATACCATTGATTTTTTCTATGCTTTTTTTGGCATAATCTAAGTTTTTTTTTATATTTCTAGATACCTCAACTCCTCTTTCAAATCGTTCTTGTAAGGATAATATTTTACTTTGTGTTTCACCAATTAATTGCTTTAACTCAAGACTTTTGGCATTGATTTGTGCTGATGTCTTTGTTTGGTAGGCTAATGATTCAGAAAAATCTGCAGATTCAATAGCCTGTTTTAATGAGTCAAAGATGTATTTTGATACATCTATCATTTGATTTGGACCTTGCTCATTTATTAAGGTGAAAGTATTACTTGTAGGTTTGATATTACTAGAGTGTCGAAGAAGAATATTTTCATTATTTATATGATTTTGTAATGGTTCATTGGTCCTGTCTAAAATGTGATTGACTAAATTCTCTTCTTCATTTAAAAGATTGTTTTCAATTAGATTTGAGTTTGTAATATCATTATCTGTTACATCTACCTCACTAGACAGATAATCGTTGCTATTACTACTTGAGGATGTTGAAATTTGATAATAAATGTCTTCTGTAAATGGTATTGCATAATTTTGAGAGCTAATACTGGGTACTTGTGAGTCCTCCACATTAGACCATAATTCATTGGAAGTAGATTCGGTATTCATTATTGAGCAAATGTTGTACCTACATATGTATGCAACGCTTGGGGAATGGAGGGTCGTGTATTTTCTAAAAAATCACTCTAGTTCAAAAATAAAATAAATGTCACGGTAATCTTAAATAATATAGTATAATTCCATATATTAAAGATGGTTTTCGCCATCAATAAAATTAATCTGATATGCAAATATAAAACATTTAGTAAGCAAATAAAATAAAAGTCTATTTTTGAAGAATCAAAGGTTTGTAAATAATAAGTATTCCGATAATAAGGTTAAACTAGATAATGAAGATAGTTTACAAATTATCCATATATATATAGTATAAATCAGAAAAATGTTAACAGGTTGAATTCAGGTCTTAGAAAGGACATTCATATAACGATTGCCGATGAAGAGTTAAAATGATAGAGGATCTTGTATATCACAAAGTTGCCTCACCTTATATTTGATCATCTTTATTCAATAATGAGTAAAAAATATATAGTAGGATTAAAAATGGGCATATAAATATTTTATTTTTTTACTAAATACTTTTATATACTTATGTGTCTCTAAAAAAAATTGGACAGGTACTAAATACTCGTTGAATGTATAAGATATCATCTAAGTAATTCAAATGAAAATAAAAATGCCAAAGGTGAATGGAAAATACAGATAACCATAAAGAAAACCTAAGGTACAAATAGAAAACAAACTGATTAGGAAGAAGAATCATTCATTCATAATTTACATGATAGTACAATCAGAACTTTTCTTTCCATTACCAGATTTATTCTTCCTGGAGAAGAGTTTATTTTTTAATTTCTTCTTTTCTTTATTTTTATTCATGGGATCAGGATTGTACCTATCTGCTCTATCGAATTTAGATTGTCTCCCACGTTCATTACGATTTCCATTATTGGGTAGCCTATCAGTCCTATATGTGTTTCTTAGTGCTGCAGCATATTCTTCATCTTCCTGTTCTTGTAATCTTCTAGCTAATAATTCGTCATCCTGTAATTGTTGCTGTGGATCATCCCCTTGTTGATGTACTTGATTATCTCCTATATTGTCCTCATTTTTATCATGGAATGGATTAGATATAGTATGATCAACTTGCATGGGATTTGATGTTGTTGTTGCTTGAGTCACAGTTCTTTCAATACTAGCAGGAATGAAATTTCCAGTATAATATGAATCCTGGTTCCCGCTAACAGATTTTAATGACTTCCAGACAATATCATTAGAGTCAGTATAGTTATTATCTACTACAAGGATGTATAATTCACCATTATTTTTGTGCAAAGTGAAGTATCCGTCGTTTCTATATAAAACAGCAAATGATTTTTCAACCATAATCTCTTTTAAGTGATTCAAACCATAATCTGTCAATTGTGTAGCTGATCTGGCTAAAAAGGATTTCAAATAGTTTGCATCTTGTAATATTGCATCTGCATTAGCAATTTGTATATTATTTTTATTGATATCATAAGATTGTACAAGGACTCTCTGTGCATTCTCATATGAGTACTTAGATACATGATCGTACGCTATAAGATCCAACTCAGGACTTATTATCCAACCATGTACCAAGCCCACATTGTATAATCTGAATATTGACATATTCATGCCATCTTCGAAAGAACCATTGAAAACAGGATCAATAGTTAGAGTCTCCCATTGTTGGAAATTTGGGTTTGATGTTGTTTCTGTATGATAGCATAAGTTCGGCAAAGTTTGTAACAATTGATTGATATTAATTGTATTATTTTGTTGTACACCTATGTAGCTTAATGTTTGAACAAGGTCGCTTTTGGATACTTGTTGCTTACTATTAATTAAAGTGATTAAATTTCTTGCCATATTGGCTAGACCAGGAGATAACAACAAAACATTGCATAATGCTAGTAAGGCACAGGAAGCAGCGTCATTCCCATTATTTTGTTCTACAGCCTCATTATGTAATAAAATTGTATATTCATAACCGTTTATAGAAACTTTCTTGGTGTTAAACAGAATGTCCATTTGTATATTTGTACTTAATGTTAATCACAGTGAGTCTAAATGATTAGGGGAGAGGGAGTAAGGTAGAAAGATATAATAAAATCAAACCAATATATAAAGAGATATAAGCGTAGTGTCTTCTTGCATAAACAATAACTGGCTAAGTAACTTGAGTAATTGGTCGAAGAGTTGAAAAAGAATGGTACATTTGATTACATGGACTATATCTTTTTCCTTAAAATATTTATACTTTACTGATTCCATCAATCTTTCTAGTCAGTTAATTATTGACTGAGTCAAGTTTTTTCCTCCCTTTTATCAATTTTTTTTTAAATTTGATCTGCCAAGGCGAGAGAAAAATTACTGAAAAAAAAAAAAAAAGGAACTGTTTCGAACCCTCGAGGAAGCCATTTTTTTTTCTCAATGGTTATAGAGAAGTAAAAAGTGCATACATTATATTGGTATTATTAATGATATTGTTAATGATTCTATTACATAGTTGAGCTAAGGTATGTTATTTAAAAGTCGTGAAGGTTTACCTGTTTTTTTTGTTTTTTGGGATATGAACAATCATGACTTAGTAAAATAAAATGTTAACTTTATTTTGAGGGTGTCTTTATTTGCCTTATCAAAGTAAATTGATGCTAATGTATTGTAAATAATGGGGAGGGGTTTACATTATGGTTAACATTTAGAACATTATAGACTATAAGGAGGTCATAATGTGGTTAATTGATGTTGTTAGTTCTGGTATCATCCTATTCATGAACTGCTAAATTTCATGGCAGAGAAGACGTTCTTCAAGAGGATATGTAGCATATCTTATTGAATTTCCATCTTTGATACATATTCATGCTTTAATGGTACATAATAAAATTGTGGTATCAATTCATTAATTTGTCCTCTAACACTGAAAATCTTTTTTTTTCATTGTTGTCGGTTCTTGTGATCTTATGGCTATCCCTTTTTATTTGTAAATTATCTTGGACAATAAGGAATAATTTATTGTGAATTAAATATACATGATTAAAAAAATCTTTTAACCACAAAGATAACAATCGGCCAGATAAAGACATCTGCCGAAGCAAGAGATGTTCTTGTAAGCTTGTTATATTAATATATTGTTGCTTCCTTGCTGTTTGCTAGCACTGATGGATCTTCGAAATGAACAAGAAGGTATATATATATATATATTTTATGCATTTATGTGTATGAAAGATACTAGTACATGTGGATGAGTCTTTTTTGCTCTATATAAGTGAATCTGTAGTAGTATTGTTTAGCATAGGCATAGTAGTATCAGGGGAACCTTTTTTAGTTGGCTGCAGTGACACAGAAAATCCAGGCGGAAATTTTGGATGATTATTATTATTTGTTGCGGGCGAATTGGTTGGATTGGAAACTGAAAAACACGAGGTGTCAGCTGCTTTTATAATTGAAGGAGCCTTGGCTAGAGATGTTGTAACTCTATGTTCATTTGATGTAGATTCTTGGTTAAAAGTACGTGTGTTACATAGAGTTTTGGATAACGGTTCTAAACTATTGGAAACAATCAAAGTTGGTTTACTAGTGGAAATGGTTGAGGATATGGGTGTATTTATAGAAGATTTTGCTACTTGATCTTTAGTATCCCTTTTCATTCTTAGTTCATGTATTTGTTTCGGAGAAAGAATAGACGGTTCAGAAGTGTTGTTATCTTTTGTATTATCTTTTCTTGGTGTAATAATTGAGCCTACCTTCTTTTTTGTAGGTTGGATAATTGCAACATTCACATTTTTGCTTGCTTCATTATCTAGATCAGCAGGTTTGGGAGAATTGTTTTTGCTTTCAATGATTTTATTAAAATTATTACTATTACTGTTAATACCTTTGTTATCATTATAATCAAAATTATCATTATTTAATTTTTCACTATGAGATTTTTGAATATCTGCTGTTAATTTATTTATCACTTTCACAAATTCGGTATATTGATACTTTTTTAAAGTAGAAGCCATTGAATAATTCCAGAGTAAGGGTAAGAAGTTTTCTACAAGGACAACTTCGTCAGTAATTAACGTTGGTATTTTAACAAATAAAGCCAATGATTTCAAAAGAATTCTTGGATCTCTGGTCTTCATGGTTTTGAATAAAGGTAAGATCTTTTCTGAACAGGTATATGAATCAATGGCTTTTCTTTCGATTAATATTTCAAAACTTGTCATACAACTCATTTTGATGGTTAAACTTGTTGTCTTCGTAAACAATTGACATAAGAGAGGTAATATTTCATTTTTAACAGTTGGGAAGTCATAACAATCTAAAATTAAAGAGGTTTGCCCTAATAATGTCTCTTGAAGCTGTATGACATTGTCCTTATCACATTTATCTAGAATGTACTGTAATAGTGGACTCAAAATGTATTCAGCAAAACTTTCTAGTCTGATCTTTTCCTTTAAAAATGATATGTTTGTAATAAGTGTCATTGAAGAATGTTCTAACAAAATAGAAAAAGTGTTTGTATCACTAACTATTGGGAATATCTTTTCCAAAAAAGTTAATTGTGACACAGTAGAACCAATTTTAATAATAATTTCTAAATCCTTTGATATACTATGAGAATCAATAATTTTCTCATTAGTTAGCTGGACTAATAGATTTAACAGAATAGGTAAGAATTTACGCTGTAATAAAGTTGTTGGATACTGAGGTAGTAAATTGATCAGACCGTCTAAAAAAATAACTCTCTCCTCATTAGTCTTTGTTGGTAAATCATCCAGAAAATTTAATGTTTTTATTAATGGATCTTGAAAGAAATCGCTGTCTAAAAATTCTGTTATATTCTCATATCTAGAATAAATGTCTCTATTCATTAACTTTGGCATACAGGCTCTTAACTTTACTGGAACTTTAATGAAAATATTGTCCCAAGAAAGACTACTTAGTTTTTTCTCAAATCTATTATAAGCACTTTTATAATCACTTAAAGAATTACCTGCCCTAATAATAGAATTGTTACCATTGTATAAGAAATTAATCAATAATGCTAATGAGAAATAATCATTTTTAAAACTTAAGGTATTTTCATAAACTAATTCAGGTGCAGTGTAATCTAGATTTAAAGTATAAAATTGGTGGATTCTTGGATCATACTGCGGAAACATATGGTCTGCTGAATTTGTTTCTTGTGGTAATTTGATAATATGACCTAATCCAGATATTTTCCAATCTAAATTTTCATTAATAAATATCGATTTGGGTTGAAGATTCAAATGAACAAAATTAGCGCGGTTATGAATAAAATCTAAACCAGTAATTATTTGTTGTATTCCTCTTTGTATAATTATGTCGTTTTTAATGAAACTTTGTGAAAATAATTGATTATCACTAGCATCTTCTTTGAAAGCGTCCTCTAATGTTCCAGTAACATACTCAGTAACAAACATAAACTTTTTGCTGTGCTCCTCTAAAGGTTCAATTAAAGTTAAAATATTTGGATGTTTTAACTTGGCTAGATTATTGACTTCATTTCTCAATATTTCATATCCTTCTTGTATCAGTTGTTTATCCTTCAAAGAAGATTTTGACTTGATAATACCGTACTTCAATAAATAATTTTCAAACTGTTTTTTATCAAAGACAAATATAGACACTTTGTTATTTCCAGTTGAGGATGATGATTTAGGTCTGCCAGTAAAGACTGACCAAGGTTCTGCAATAAATGTGGGAGATGAGGAAAAAGAGTATTTATTTGAAATCCCAGTTTTTGTTGACCAAAACATCATTGTTGAACTCGGATATGTTTTCTTTTAACTTCACACCTACAGTTAATTACTCCTGCTCAGTTAATCACTGTTTTTTTGCTGTGAAAGCAATGAATTTTCTTTGTAGAAGAAAAAATGAAGAATAATGGATAGTACACAGTATTTTTGATAGCAAGAAACCTAACAACTATATCTTTTGTTTCTTTGTCTTACACACCTTTGTTTGAATGAAAGAACAGAGTTGAGAGTTGAGAGTTGACAATTGGAAGTTGGAAGTTGGAAGTTAAAAGTTTGTGTTTACGATTTAAAGATTTTTCCAGTTTGGGATAAAAGTTGGAAATATTGATTGAATTGGTTTCTTTTTTTTTCTTTTGAAGAAATAACAAGCCCAAGATAAAAAGAGTGGATTGGAAATTTGATATGTATACATGTTAATTCCGGTAACAATATGATGCCAACATAGATTATAAAGAACCTGAATATAATATAGGCGATAAATATATAAAAACCTAAATAAATTAATAAAGTTTTAATGAATTTACAATGTTACAATATTAAAATAAAACATTATTAATATTTAAGTATAAATTATGTTAATTTCTTTTTATTTCAATTATGTTTTTTTCTTGAATTGACCAGGAGTCTGAATACTTTTTTGGATCCATAACCCTCTTCTTTGAGATTTGGCAAGGAATTCATGAAATTGATATATCTTTTTCTTGTTATCGAATTCTGCATCCATTTTTCCCTCATACACAACAGCAAGGCCTTCCTTTATCATTTGTAATCCAATATCCTTCCATCCTCCAACCCACGACCAGTAGACTGTTCTGGCAACACAACGATTATATTGATCTATTCTTAATGGTTTTATCCATACTTTCTTGTTCAACAATCGATATCGAAGCCAATTTAATGCTTCATCGCCAAATGGTTGTCCTTGGTTTCCAAAATGTGCTCTCTCTGGTGCATCAATACCAGATATTCTGATTGGAATAGTCGGTAAACCTCTTCTCCCCTTGTATCGTGGTTTTAAATTCATATAATAACTTGACTTTAACTTCAGATTCCTTTGGGAGGATGACATTGAAGAAATATCTTTTATCCTTTTAGAAAATGACTTGAATGATAGTTGATGGAAAGGTTTATCAGAAGCTGTCATATTTTTTGAATTAATAATTTTCATTGTTGTGTTTGGTTCTAGTTCAGGAATCTTTCTTAACCAGCCCCAACCTCCAAGAATCCCACCAGGTAAGTGATAAAAATGAAAGTTATCCCCATCTCCAACAGCAGTTACTTTCCCATATAACCATTTCTTCCTAAATAAATTAGTTGGAATATCTTTTACATTTCGATATTGTTTAAGATATCTGTTATAAGTTAAATATGACCCACCCAAAAAAGTTAATATAAGTGATGTACCATAGAATGTATTTAAGGATATTGTTATGACTTCATTATTACCATTATTTCGAGTTGACATTGAGACAAAGTTAACGTTAGTATTTACAAGATGATATATATTTTAATAATTTAATATATCTACATGAAAAAGCATACATATCTATTTATTGTAAAGGTCATTTCTTCTGTCGTAAAGCTTTTAAAAGATTGGATATCTTTATAAAAAGTATATAAGTAAAAGAAAAAAAGAAAAAAAGGATACAAATAATTAGATAATATAAATAGTGGCTAAATCAAGATATTAAAATAGACATTTTAAATAGTATGAATTCGTAGTAAAGTTTAAAATCATTAGTACCAATTTCATTATTAATGTACATTCATTAGTCTTTTATATGCAAAGAGGTATGAATATATATATATATATGTTGAATTTAGAGAAAAGTTTAACCCTTTCTTTTTTTATATACTTATAGATCATTTATTAATAATATATTAAGGTTTAGATGACTCAACAACAACCATATTTCAGACTGAAGATACAATATCGAAAAATCGGTAGATATATTAATGTACAAAAAGTGAATTATATTGCCTGACATGTGTTTTACTAATTATAATGTAAATTATTTTAATTAACAGTTTCCTGCCAAAGTTGTAGTGTTATTGTGGCGAGGAAACAAGGAATTTGTTCTCTTTGTTCTATCCACGTAGATAATAATTCTTCCCAATTGCTTAAGTTCAAATTTGATACTAATGTGTTTTTAACTAGATCTAAAACTAGGTACTTATCTGGTCTAAAACAGGAATATATTTTGACTTTGTTATTTTGTTGGAATTCTAGCTTGAAACCAAGTATTGAATTAACTACTTCAATAAACTCTAATGATTTTTTATTAAAAAATTCTCTTAACCTTGTAAATCTTTTATTTGATTTAAATAGTTCTTTTTCGCATTGTCTTAATTCAAACTCCATTGTCTTCACTACTGATAATGGCACACTTTTAATATCTGCTGTTGAGGATTGTAACTTTTTCAATAAATCCTCGTTTTCTTCTTTTAATAAGGCCAATTGTTTTCTTTTTACGAATTGTTCTTTTGCTAATGGATTGTCTCTTAATTGTAATATTCTAATTTTTTTCTCTTTTAATATTATCAATCTTTTCAATTTTTCATCAAGTAATCTGTTTAAGTTCTTATATTTGCCTAAATCTCTATTTAATTTAGCATTTTCTAATTGTAATTCATTTATTCTTTGAGAGTAATATGTTAATCCACTGGACTGCGGGGAGCCTCCTAGCTTACGTTTCTTATTATTACTATCTTTTTCTTCTTTAAGAGAATTTGCCAATTTTTCATTCAATAATTTTAGATCATTTGTTAGCTCCTCTGATCTATTCTTATAATCATCTACAAGAGTCTCTAAACCTTTTTGTACTAATTCTCCATTATTTTTGTTATTATTGTCGTCATTATTCCTACTATCATTACTCAAGGTATCTTGATCAAGTTTAACAAATTCATTTAATTGATTCCTCAATAATTTACATTCCTCATTTATTAGTACTTTCTGTTGTTCATATTCATAATTTAATTTTTTTAAACTTAGAATGTTAATTTCATATGTCTTATTTAAATCTAATAATTGATTTCTTTCTAATGCTAATTCTTCATTTAGAATTTTTAAACTATTAATATTAATATTTAATTGATTGTTTTCTTCAATTAACACCACATTTTCTTTCTTGGTTAAACTTAATTCATGAAGAATCTCACTTGGATTATTTTCTTCTAAGACATAATCCCTATTGTTATTCTCTTGTGAACTATTCTGTTCGTCTTTAATAATATTATTGGTGTCATCATTATGATTGTCTTTATCATTATTTTTTTCTTCTTTTGCTCGATCTTGATCTTCTTTTTGCTCCTGCTCTTCTTTATATAGATTCCATTCTGCTAATTTAGATTTTAATTCTAATAATTCTAATTGAGAATTTTGATAATCTTTTTGTAGCATTTCAAATTCTTGCAACTTCATTTGCAAAGAATCCACTTCAGACTTCCAATATTTACTTAGATCAGAAGAATTCTCCAAAACTTTGATTCTTTCTTCTTGTCTTCTATTAGTTTCTTCTAGTTGTGTTGTATATTTAATTTGAGATTGGAATAGTTTGGTAATCGTGGTTAATTCGTCAGTTTCATTAGTAGATGTGGTATCAATATGTTTATTATTTACATTAGGTCCATTAGAACTAGAACAAGTATCATGACTTGAGTTGCCACTATCATTGTTGTTAACGGTAGTGGTAGTGGTAGTGGTAGTTATGTTAGAATTAGATAATAATTGTTTTAAACATATAATTTCTTCATCTTTTTGATTATTTGCATTGGTCAAGGTAACTATCTCCCTAGATTGATCTCCTATAGTGGCTTCATAACGATCAATTGACTGTTGTAAATTTTGAATTGTAATTTGGTAATTTTCAGCATCTGATTCTAATTTATTTATCTTTTGATCATTATTAATCTTTAAAGTATTAAATGATTGTTTCCTTCCAATTAATTCAGAAGATAATTCCTGAATCTTTTGATTTAACTCTGTCTCCATTTGATTATATTTATTTTCACAATTTGTTAACTGTTCTTGGATTTTTTGTTCTTTCTCTTTCATATATATTACATTACTATTTGATAACTCTAATTCTTCTAATTTAGAATTATAATTCATTTCTAGATGATTATACTTTCTTTCTAATTGTAGTAATTTCAATTCAAAGTTATTCCTTTGGGTTTCTAATTTATACTGTAAAGATAGTATATTGTCCTCATTATTGTCTCCTATTAGGTTATTATTGTCTTTGTTAGAAACGTCATCTATTAAAAGATTATCTTTTTCGATCCCATTAGAAGGTGTGTCTATGAAGGAAGAAGATCTTCCCGAATCATCATCGTCAGAAGAACTGTGTTCATTTTTATTCAATTCGTTCATTTGTATTTAATCAATCACTTGAAAAGATTAAAATGAAAAAAAAGAAAATACAATTGTTATTTATTGTAGTACTAGTAATGCTACAATGTTGCTTTCTTACAGAAAACTTATCAGTCCAATCAAGAATGATTTTAATAGTTCGGTAGAAAACTGTATCTTCGTCTTCTTTTGAAAAATTTCAGTATAATTTGTTGTGTTTTGTTTTATTTTGTTTGATATTTTTTTTTCTAAATTTTCTTTACTTCCCAAAGAGAGAAGAAAATGTGAATTTAAAGGATTGATTAAATTTTTTGTATAGGAAGTGTTTGAGAGAGAATGTATTAATAACTAACTTTTTCTTTCAATAATATGTTTCTTTAACACAAGGTTTTTGAGTAGTTGCAAGTTATTGAGAGAATATATTCTAGTTTAATCTAGTCTATAAAGTAGTTTTCTGTATTTATTTCGATATATTAGTGTTATTTCTCGATTAATTTACAAATAACACCATTTTTTTGTAATAAAAGATTTTAAATGTCCAAAATGTATGTTAAAACTTATTAATATATATATATATCTGTGTGTGTGTTTGTATGAATATTCTTTTTACTAACTTACTGGTTGATAATATAACTGGAACAAGTTAATTCCAATTATTTTTGTTTTGATATGTCCGTATATTACCTTCACTTATGTTCATTTAATTTAAGTTTTTGATTTGATTAGTCCAAGAAGTTTTAGATTATTAGAGGAATTAGAAAAAGGTGAAAAGGGTTTTGGTCCCGAATCCTGTAGTTATGGGTTAGCAAATAGCGATGATATTTCCATGACTAATTGGAATGGAACTATCCTAGGCCCTCCCCATAGTAATCATGAAAATAGAATATATTCGCTAGCTATAGAATGTGGTCCAAATTATCCAGATGAACCTCCAAAAGTCAGATTTATCTCAAAGATTAATTTGCCTTGTGTCGATGATAAGACTGGTAAAGTTATCGTAGATAAATTCCATACTTTACGTGATTGGAAAAGATCTTACACTATGCAAACTTTGCTACTAGATTTAAGAAAAGAAATGGCTACTGCTGCAAATAAGAAATTGGTGCAACCAAAGGAAGATGCAACTTTCTAAAAAAAAAAAATAGTCAAGACACTTTGTCCGTTAATTTTTTGTTTAACTTTATTGCATATTTTTAAGTCATGAAATGCTATATTTTTGACTTACTGTATTTTGTTGTGTTTTGTTTTTAAAATATCAATAAATCGTGGTATGGTTATTATTTTTTGTTTTTTTCTCAGTAAAACTAGCGCTAATGTTAATAATAATAGTACTACTGTTATTACTGAGATATCACAAAATATATATCGAAAAATTTAAACATAATAGATATAACTCATTAAAATAAATAGAAAAAGGTAAAAGATTCGAAAATTACCTATAATCAATCATTTTTTACTTTTTATCATTGCATCTATCTATTTACTTTTGTTCCTAAAAAAATTTTATGATTTATTAGTATTGTTTTACAAACAACAACAATTATCCTTGTGAATAGATTATACTATGTTTTATCCAAACGCCTTCTCCTCAAACATTTTTTTTTCTCATTGTTACTTGACATTTCAACGCTTTTATTTTTCTTGAATAGTTTACATCTATTGAAATCAAATAAATATCGGTTTCAATTAAGAGAAATACTTTGAGGAAAATACTTCTGTCCTTCTTTTGCCTTTTTGCCTTATGCTTTTTCTGTTGTTGTTGTTGTTGTTTTTGCAGTCTCTTTATGTGGTTAAATAGTTGATTTACTACGATATAATAATGTTCATTAGTGGCCCAAATAGGAAAGAAAGTTGCAGGTATGTTATAGTTAAATTAATAGCAATAAATTTGGATAATAAACAAAATGGTACAAATTGATCTATAGCATGATGGTGTTCCAAATCAGATTTTAGTTGTGGGGTTGCGTATCATACAGAATATAAGTTTTCATCACTGCTATTTAGCACTATTTGATTTTACTATTTATGGTCACTAATGATGTTTCATCAGATTTTACAATGGTTGTGTATGTTTTAAATTTATTCACAACAAGGTAACTAATATATGTCTATTTTAATTCTACTATTGAAAATATTTGTAATTATATTGACGTTTCATGTTTTGAATCTATAATGAAGTTAAAGATGATAGTAGTAGAAGTATTAAATTTCAAATAGTAATATCAAAATGCCTCTTCATAGATTTTTCTTTGTTCTTATTCAAAAATATATAAATCATGGTAGATCAGGAAGTTAAATTATCCATTGAGTTTCATATTTCATAATATAAATTTTTCTTACAAATTATAACAACATAAGACAAATAACCATAAAGTTAGATACACATACCCACATATTTATATTAATATTTTTGGTAATTACGAAATTATTTTTTACTGTTAAAAACAGAGGAATCGAATAACACCATTTAAAATAAAGATTTATAAATTAACAAAAATATGAAATTTTCTACTATTGCTTGTCTTTCTACCTTAGTGACTTCCATCTTTGCAGCCCCAGTGGAAACAGTGCAAAATGATACACTTACCATCCCAACAGAAGCTATCATTAATTATTTAGACTTAGAAGGTGCTAAAGATATTGCAATTCTACCAATGTCAAATGCTACTGAGAGTGGTATTTTATTTTTAAATACCACTATTTTAGATCAAGCATTGACTACAAAAAATGAATCAGCTTCTTTATCTAAGAGAGATGCTGATGCTTGGCACTGGATAAGATTGGCTTGGGGTCAACCAATCTACAAAAGAGATGCCATGCCAGAAGCTAATGCTGATGCAGACGCTTGGCACTGGATAAGATTGGCTTGGGGTCAACCAATCTACAAAAGAGATGCCATGCCAGAAGCTAATGCTGATGCAGACGCTTGGCATTGGATTAAATTAGCTTGGGGTCAACCAATCTATTGAAAGTTTCTTTTCTTTTTTTTATTTTTATCTATTTTTTTTCCTATGATACTAGAATGAATCAATCGTAGGTGATCAAATATATTAGTCCCTTTATATTATAAATTTCTCTATTTCTTCTATATAATTCTGTCTTTTTTTGTTCATTTTGATGATTCTATATATGTTTATATAGATATATAACTTTAAACTTTTTAAACAATATATTTTCACCTTTATATCTCGAAGATATTTATATTTGAAATAACAATTTTTTTATTAAAGTAACTCGTAACAGTTAGAAATAAAAAAAGAAATTCATGATATTTGGAAGTGTCAAAATAATATAACTTAAGAAAGGAGATAATATGCATCATCTTGTATATTTTATAAAGTATTTAAAAAATTATTGTTATTTTCAATTCAATAATTTTAAGAGTTGCAAAAGAATGAAGTTAAAAATTATGGAATAACAAAAAGTTTTTCGACTAAATATAAATTAATTTTTCAAAGCCTTTTGTCAAAGTACTGATCACACTTTAAACAAACAATTTCTTGTATTGGCAGAACATAACATAATTCGAAAAAACTATCAAAAGCTCTATGACTTATTAACAACTCATAGACAATATTTTCCTATTAACTCATCAAAATCTAAATTATTCATTATTCACCCAATTTTTATTCAAAGTCATAAAGAATCACATCTGAGATATTGCCAAAATTAGTAATCATGATTGAATAATACAGCTATTAATATATATGTTGCAACTAAAATTCTTGTATTTGTCCTATATATCTAAATACAGAAATATAAATAAAAAAATAGTATATGGTTATTTATACTATTCGGATAAAATTTGTAAGATTATTTTACTAATTTTTTCCATGATCTTAATACATAATCTAAACTCTGAGTAAAATAATCTATTCCAATCTTATCATTAATTTTCTCATCCTTTTATAGTATTAGGGGCTTTAAATTTCCTAATGCAAATTAGTTGATCCTCAATTTTTATTGGAATTATCCGTATGTTTTTGTTCAATATTTTCAACACAGACATTACATATTTATAAATCATCTAGACAAAGTCACTTATAGTTTTTTTTCAAGAATTAAGGAAAATATCCAAATAGTCTTAAAAATCCATATCTTATGATCTTAATGAAATGTCTTCAACTAATAAATTTAATTGAAATAAGTAAAAAATATTATTATTATAACTAATTAATAGCATCGTTGGTTATTTAATTACACATGAATATTTATTGTAATAACATATATTAAACACAAAATATATTCCAAAAAAAGAGAAAAAGCAAATAAGACAATCAAGTTTACAATATACGAAAATTCATTAATGAAAAATAATGCACAAACATATATCCAACATCATGAATCAACAAAAATATTCTTTTGTTATAAACCCACTTCTTTTATCAAATAAAAATGTTATCGAGCATAAGATATATCTCTTTTGATAACTCTAACCTCTATATATTTTTATCTTACCATTTATTAAATAAAGGTTATTTCAGAGAATTTGTTTCTTCTACTATCAAAGAAATATAACCTAGTAATCTTTCTACTTTTGTAAAAATACGGCTATTGGTAAACGCCAAGGCTTCAATCCTACTTCTTAGTGCTACCATCCCTATTTCCAAACATAATTTGTGCATAACTTGAATAGTAATCACCTGAAAATTATCATAAAATCTACTTTGATATGATATATATTGCACTAACAATTCAATAACTGTATCATAATCAAGTGGAATTGGATCATTTAATGTTTCCATCCTAAGAAACAATTCTAGTAAAGTTCTTACACTTACAACATCAAATCTTGCTTTGATACTTGTTCTTAAACATATAATTGCATTATCCCATTGCCATGTCCTTAACATAGTTAATCCCAATAATTCCCATTCAAGACCACTGCGCTTCACATCCTGTTTCTCAGATATATGTGTGGTAATATCCAAATCATCATAAATATCTAAGAATAATTGATCTAGCCATCTTTCGCAAATTCTTTTTTTTCGAATGGTCAAAGGCGTATCTTTTAATCGTACATATCCTTTTATATTTTTATTATTTTCGACACTGTTGCTACCATCATTATTCTCATTCTTATCAGTATTGCTAGTAGAATATTCACTTTCCATAATAAATACTTTAGACCTTAGTTCTAATAATTTATTCCACCCCACCATTAGTACTAGTTCTATCAACAAATTATAAACTTTACGTTGAGACCAATTATATTGTTTTGATATACTATTTCGACTCAATAATTTCATGTCATGTATGGACTCAACTTCCTTAATTGGTACGTAATTTATCAAATTTACAGAATGTGGTCCATAAATTGGACCTATCTTCATACAGATATTATCCCATATGTCTTCTATATAACCTTCCTTTGAATCGTTGGGCATTACAATTCTCCCGAATATAATATTCTTCAATTGACTGTCCTTCATATGTTTCATGGACCTACTTAAAACATCAAACTCATTGGATAAAAGACTTCTTGCCTTATCAGAATGATTTATATCTCCAAGTGGTCTTACATAATATTCATATAGTGCAACTTCGTTTATATAGCCTTTAGTTATTTTATCATATTGTGGGAGGTTTGGCATTGAATTTAATGTAATTAATGCATTTTCATATTGCTGTAATTGAATGTAACATTTACTCAGATAATACCAAGAATCAAAAGAATCCAAGGCCAATTCAGTAGATTTTTTGGCTACAGTTAACGCCAATTCATAATCACCATTTTGTAATAAAAAATCAACTTGTAAATTTAGGAGATCAGACATACAATTCAATAGCTGAAATGAGTTTATATCCTTTGGTTTTAAGCTATCTAATACAGGGAACAAAGGAGCTAATGTATCGTTTAATATTGTAATAAAATCAAAATCTTTTTCGCTATGTTGTTTCAATAATAAAATCAATGCACATTTATAAAATAATCCATTGTTTTCATCTTCAATACTCAAACTATTCAATAAATCAATGGCAAACTCTATCAGATGAGGAACTATAGATATAAATATTGATAAAGCATCCATTAAATAATTATTAAATATCGTCGGATGAACAGATTTAGTACTATCCCATCCAGCATCCAAACACCTGGGTAAATATTTACAAAGTAGAGTAATAATTCTCTCACATACAGAGATACCACCCAAATCTATTCCCAATGGATATTCGACTAGCCCAGGTAGTTTTCTAGAAGGATCATTATTGATAATTAAACTTCTCAAACAAGCACTAACAAACAATTCTTCCCATATTTTCTCAGTTAAGGGAACCTGTGTAACACCATCCGAACAGTTAACTGCATACGAATAGAATGTGGATTTATTATCATATTCATATCGTATCCTTAAATCCACTTTACTAAATATATTTAAGGAACAAAATGTAGCTATGTTATTATGATCTAGACCACTACTGGTCTTCTGGCTTGTCTTCAACATTTTCATTAATGCAATTGCCATGTTTTCATTCGATACATCCATCCCTGTGACATAAAAATATTGCCCTACTTCTTCCTGATTAAAATTATCATAAATAGTGAAATGCATCAAATCTGGTGGACCAAGACCTATCCTATCCATCCTACTAAATTTCTTTAATAAATAATTTCTAAAACCTAAACTTTCACCGAATCTATGTTCTAAAATCCTAGGAACATCCATAGGATTAAATAAAATTTTATTCTGAGTTATCTTTTTACTATCCAACTCCTTGGCCCCCTTTAGGTTAAAACTTTTGGACTTTTTGTTATCATCATTCTTTTCAGATGTAATCTTAGATACAGACTTGTTAGATTTTGAAAACTTGGGTTTCCAAATATAATTCATTTCTCTCCTATTCCAGTAAGTTTCCAACTGCGACAATTTCTCCTAAACTGTTCAATTAAGAAGTAAAATGTCGTACAAAATAGAAAGTGATAGTTAGCACAATATGTGAATAACTTTGTTACGTTATCTCTTACTTTATCTAGATTTAAAATTTCTAACAATAAATTAATATAGTCACTGTTAAAAAAATCTATAGAACAACTTCAATTTTTTTTTGTAAGAAATCTTTTGTACTAAATAAAGCTTGAAAAAAGAGTAACCACAAATTAGAGATATAGAAGATACACAACTTCTGGAACATTAATTTAGCAGTCAGTATATGCTTTACCAACTACTCTGGACTTATTCCTTCAGATATTATTAAAATATTATTTACTGTATTTACAATGCATATATACAAGTTACACATAGTACAAAATATATGTCTATAAATATTGTGATCAAACATTTTTCTTTTTTTGGTAACATCTACATATCTTTTAAAACGTTGGTTAAGCTGTTTTGATTGACTTCTTTCATACGATTGTATTCCATACTGAATTCTGCCCTACCTTGTGTTAAACTTCTTAAAATTCTGTTATATGACAACATATTCTGTAATGGAACCTCTGCCTTAATTACCTTAGTATTTGTATTTTGATATGTATCCTTCGAAATCATAGACAACTCACTCTTTGGGAAGTATATTGCATCTGCATAATTCGAAAACTCTAACAAATCTTTCATAATGTCTCCTGAATTGGAGGAATCTTCAATAGACAATATGTTTGCATTTCTTGCAGATGTCAAATCTTGAGATACTCTACCAATATCACTGGCATTAACTGTTAACGTTAAATTCATAATAGGTTCTAATACATTAAATTGTTCTCCAGGTAGAATCTTTATGGCTTCTTGAATTAAAGATCTAATTATATGTAATATTTCTATAGGTTTTTCTACATCCAATGGAACTTTCCAATCATCTTTAACTCTTACAATACATCCAAACAAGGGGAGACAGGCCACTTTACCACCTCTTTGTAATTCAACCAATGCACTTGATACAATAGAATTCACAATAGATTCAAAAGTTAGAATAGGTTTCCAATCATTTAAATCCGGATCAAAATTCTTATTTTTTTCCATTAGTATGAAATTATTATCATTTTTTAAAGGGATTGACAATCCATTTTTATTTTGATCTTTACTACGTGAACCAATTATAGTATTATCCAATAATGGCTCTATTCTTACAGTAAAATGGTATCCTTGTGACTCCAGTTGAGGCGATGTGCTTACCCATGGTGTTGCTGTTTTCAAAGATTCCTTATATGAAACGGATAATTTTCCTAAATGAACCTTTGCACCCATACCATTAATTAATCTATCACTAGCAATCTCTAAATGTAATTCACCCATTCCGCTTAAAATAGTTTGACCTGTCTCGTTATCTTTTGATAACTGGAGACTAGGATCTTCTGTAATTAATTGTTTCAGACAATATTCCATATGATCCTTGTTTCCTAATGTTTGTGGTTCAACGACCACACTAAATACAGGTGGTGGAATTGTTATTGGATATACCTGTAAACCTAATTCATTTTTAGCCTTTAATACCTTTAGGCCATCTTTTTTACTTGAATGTGACACCAATGTATCGCCTGTGGCAATTGCATCGCCTATTGAAGATCCTGTAAGTACACCAATTTCTCCTGCAGATAAATAATTAATTTCTTGTGTTTTATCAGCATTCATTTTAACCAATTTTCCAATTCTAATCTTTTGACCATTGCTAGAATTATACACAGCGCTTCCATTCCTTAGAACACCGGAATAGACTCTAACAAAATACATAGTTCCACGAATTGGATCAGTTATAATTTTAAATGCTAATGCCATGCACAAATTATTATCATTATTGATTATCAAACCATTTTTCGAATCAACATTAACAGGAACAACTTTGTTTAAATAACTTGTATCCTTTAAATCTGGTACTCTAGCTTCCAATGGGGATGGCAGATAGTCTCTAATAGCATCTAGCAATGGCTGAACCCCAATTTTTTTAAAAGAAGAGCCACAAAGAACTGGAGATACCTTAAGATTTAAAGTAGAAAGTCTTATAGACTTGTTTAGTGATTGTGACGATAATTTTGAACAATCTCCATCTACCATGTCGATATATTCCGATAGAAGATCTTCATCAAACTCTGTTAGTGTTTCAACCAAAGATTCTCTACACTTAATCATATCATCAAAATAAGGCGAATTAGCTTTAATTGGAATCACCTTGATGTTATCTCTAGTTGTATCTTCAATGGAAGAATCCCACTGAAGAAGTACTTGATTAACTACATCTATAACACCGACCAAATCTGGTTCATTGAACCCATTTTCTGATAAATTAAACACTGGGAAATTAATTATTATAGGTCTAGTATGGAGTTTGATTGCAATGGATTTAACTGAGTTATTAAAATTGGCTCCCATTCTATCCATTTTATTAATAAAACAAATCTTAGGTAAAAAATGGCTTAACTTCCAAACTTTTTCAGTCTGAGATTCCACACCAGCAACACCATCCAGAATAGTAACACAACCATCCAACACTTTCAATGTTCTCATAACTTCAAAACAAAAATCTGCATGACCAGGCGTATCTATTAAATTAATTGCACAGTTATCCCCCCAAGGGAATGATATGGCTGCACTTTGGATGGTGATACCTCTTGATCTTTCCTGTGGTAAAAAATCTGTTGTGGTATCACCTGTGTCTACATCTCCCATTCTATTAATCTTACCAGAATAGTAAAGTAGTCTTTCTGTGGTAGTAGTCTTCCCTGCATCAATATGAGCCACAATCCCGATATTCCTTATTTTAGAGAGTGCACTGACGTATCTTTTCTGTTCTATAGACTTTCTCCATATAGGTTGTTTGTACAAAGATGCTTTGGAAACGGATCCCAATATTCTTTCTGTAACCGATCTTGAAAGCATATTTAATGCACAAAGAGCATAGTTTTTCGAACGTTATATACTCAGTTATTTCAACTATTCCTCTCCTCTCTTTCCTCTTCTTCTCCCTCTAGTCATGTCTCCAAGTATTGTTAATTCTTTCGAGTATGATGGTTTACATTTCGATCTTATTTATTGAAAGAAAATGTCGTTCATCAGAAGTGGAAACTCAAGGAAATCAACAAAGGATCACAATTTTTCTTCGGAGTTTTCAAACAAAACACACAATCTGAAATGAGAAGGACCAAAGATTAAATCTGCAGTACTGTCTCTTTAATCTGTAATGAAAACACATGAATAGTATAAACAAATGCATTTTGAAGGTGCCAATCACTGCTGAATATTAAAATTCGAGACGTTATAATATCAGCTTCTATAAAATGTCTTCGTGAAAAAAAATAAAAATTTATAGCTCGCATTATTATATATACAATTTGAATATATTATGCCTTGAAGTTAATCACTTGTTAACAACCATAATGCAATCTGTACTGTTGATTAACTTCAGGTGCTAGCATATAATCCTATGATGAGTTGATTTTCCAACATTTCTAGTTCGATAATGAATGTAATATTCACATTACTCTCTGTATACACACGCTTCTTCGAAGATATCCAGGATACATAACCTAGTGGCTGTCCATTCAAGGATTGATATTGTATTAATCTACAACGAAAAAATGTTCAAGAAATAAATTTAGGACGAAACTGTTGATATTTTTATAGTATAATAAAAATTTTATTCAATATCAGTTGGTATACTTACTAAACAAGATTTTGAATGAGTAAATATCCTTGAATAAATGCTAAATTTACAATCAGGTAAAATAAGAGCATTAAACTAGGGCCTGGGATATACATTATCTACTTCCAAAAAAATCTAAATATCTTATTATTTTCTTACTCTCATATCTATTAACTAGTTTCCCTTCCTAGCGTTGATATCGTTGTTGTGGTTAGAACAAACAATTCATAGCCGTAAAATACCCTACGTTCTTTGCTATACACTATTACATTCTCTCTTGCAATGTATAGTGGTATTGATGCTTGTTATTTACAAATGATTTCTTTATTTTTTTTTTGTTTTTTCTACACCTAACTAAAAAAAAATTGAAATGAGGGTAATTTTTATATACCAATGGTGATAATTTTCTTTCCTTTTTTCCTCTTTTTTTTTTATTTTTTTTTTTTTTTTTCAATTTTTTGACCCTGGAAGCTCCAAATAATTTGATATAAAAAGAGAGATGCTGTTGAAAATCAGCTTCTGTTGGAAGTTCTTCCCGCATTCACTTCTAAATCAAGGCTTTTCTTTTGATTTTTATTTCCGAAGACCCCATCATCAGTAGTGGTTAATACTATCTCAAGATAATATTAATTACCATTTTTGATAGAAACCTAAAGATCAATGATTTGAGTTCTTATGTTAAAGGGAGGTGGTGAAGGATTCGTTCTGATTCGCCTTTCTTTAATTAGTTAATACTGGGATTTGAATTTTTGATACCAAAATTATACCCATAGCTGAATGAACTCTGACCAGCTCCAAACAAGTTGGGCACAGAATTCATTTCGTTTCCGGTTTCTTAGAACAATTTCTATTGTGAGGGAGTTCTCTTTGTCAGAAATACCATCTAGGTGTTTCGGAAGGGAAGGGTGCGTGTTTTCAGAGAATAATGTAATGTTATTTGAGAGTTTGAACTCAACGGTGCCCTCTCTCACGTTAGTACATCATCTTATGGTCCTTGTTCTTCATATGAATCTATTAGGTAATTACCATTCCTATACAACCAAAAACCGGTAGTCTTGTACTTCGAATCTTGATAGATGTTGCAAGTGTTATCTTTCAAACTCTCTTATATATTTGTATTCATTGTGCGATTTCGCTATTAACAAGATACATATATATATAGATACATGATTATATATGTGCGCGTCTAAAAGCACCTACGCTTTCCACCTATGTTTTTAAAATCCCTTTTAACCGTAAAGAAAGGGCATCCCAACAGTATATGTTTGTTTATGCAAGCTATTTTCACCTAGGTGGACTCATTCTGAGACCTTATCTTTTGTTGAAGATGCATTTGTTGTAGTCTGCTTTATATTTTCAGCTTTTGCACCCTCTTCTCGAAGTTCTTGTTGCTTTAATTCCCATTTAAGTCTTTCAGCAGCTCTGTAGATTTTACTTTGCAAGTAAAAACTGCCACCTTTATCTTTACTATTCACATCAAACAAATAATTGAACCTCTTATTAATATTATCCAAACTGAATGAATCGCTATTATTTGGCTCGATATTTAAAATCTTACAACTTTCATCCAGTGTTATACCACCATATTCTTCTTTAGCAGTACGACGCCTATTAGCTTGAGTAGCACTTTGTTTCACAGACTGAGCAGCAGCCTGTTTATATGCTGCAGAAAAAGCTTTCCCAAAAACCTGGGCACCAGTGATAATAACTTGAACAATAGCCCTGTGAGCCATAATGATAATATATTTAATTGTATGTTTCCTTATCTATTTAACTATTTCGTTTCTTTCCTCTTACAAATATAGAGGTGAAATTCTGTTACTTTATTAACACTCCTCCATGATCGATAGATAATAGTACAAAGATCCATCTTCAACTTCGGCTTATGCTAACAGTATTTCAAACTCAGATCTTCTTTTGGTTCACTACTTATTTTTTTTTTTATCATTTATTGAACTATTTATTTTTCTTTTTCCTTTTTTAATACTATAGAACTTCAAGGAGGGTAACTTTTAAACCTAAAAATAACGAAAAAATATAAACAAGTGAGTACATAGTTAATCCGAGACTTTCATATAAACTATCAAAAAAAATGCACATATTTTGTCATGCCATTTCCTATATACTAATGCTATTCATTTATTTTTTTTGCTATGAATATATGTATAAATTTATTATTAATTATTTATCATAATTATCATTGGCAATCATGTATGCAGCTTGTTAATGGTCTGTTTATTCGTTTGTGCTTTTAAAATCTGATGAAATTCTTCTGCGTACTTCTTAATCTTGAGCAATAAACATGTATTTCCATATTTCTTGAAATGACAGGCACAAGGTGACGATTGCCAAATAGTATCAATGCAGTGAATCAACCAATATTTATCCATATCACTTAGGTTATCAAACATTTGATTACCATCTATAATTTGACAAACAGGATGTCTCAAATCCCATTGCCATTTAATTAACAACTCTTCATCTTTCTTAATGTCCCTTGTTGCAACAACAACAAAGTGTATACCAGAGTCATCCTTAGAACTTGGTGGAGTTCTAATGGTCTTTAATTCCACATTAGGTTGACATGATCTTCTCAATTCATTTATCATTATTGCGGAATTGTTACCCTTATAAAGTGCTTTAGAATTTCTTGTATCTATATATATTGGCCAATGTGGATGGAAGAACACTTTTGGTTGTGTGGTCCCCAAAATACGGTATTGGTTAACTGGATCTACGATGTAATTTCTCTGGAAATCAATCTCACCAATAAGTTCAGTAATCATATCACTCTTATTTATATCTTTTTTAGCAAAGACACCTTTCATTGTCTGTATAGAGCCCATATCCTGCGAATTTTGAATAGAATTGGAGTATATGATATCTTTTTCAAATGGTAAATTTAACTGCTTATTCATTTGAATGACCCAATCATCATTGTTATGACCATAAACGAACCCTTGTACATATTTATCCTTATAAATAGACTTTAGCACTGGAATAGAAGATGATTGCAAATTATCTTTTTTGGTTCCAGAAGATCCATTAGATAATAGACTCTCAATTGAGTTTGATTTGGTATTAAATTTTTCAATGCTTTGTAACAATGGTGACGATTTTTTTACGGTGTTCTTTTGATGTGGGTTAGGTGGTTCTCTTTGACATGAATATGGAAAGCTATCCCGTATCTTGGTAAGTTGTGTTGCAACATCCAATTCCGTTTGCGATGCTGTATTTTTAAAGTTTGATTCATTAGATACAAGTCCACCATTGGTATTAACATTAAACGTATTACTATTGCTATTACTATTACTCCTGTTATTGTTAGTACAGTTGTTATTGCTAATATTTATATTAATATTATTATTTTTAGATTTTTTCTTTTTATCAATAATTTTTTTGGAAACTTTGTAATCTTTTATTTTCAGGCCAGGTTGACACACATTACAATAAAACTTGATAGGTAAAATCTCTAATTTATTTATCAATCCATAACATCTCATATGTTGCCATCTATTACAATGATGACATTGTATTAGAATTTTTTTATTATCATTAATATCGATAAGATTTCCATTTACGCCACATTTACATGTCAGAATATTTGTCTGTTTTGGAAGGATATATGACTTAGGAGTTTTATTGTTATTCAGGGTTATATGATTCTTTGAATCCACCTTTGATGCAACATGTCGTTTTTTCTTACTAGGAAATGGATTGGTGACAGCAACAGTTAAAGCAGCAGCAGCTACCAAACCCTTCCTTGAATCGTTATTATTATTATTACTATTGGTGTTGCTAGTGTTAGTAATATTGTTATAATAATTATTATTAGCAGTATTATGTTTTATACTTTCTGATACATCAGATGATAATGTGGTTGAATTTGCATTTCCATTAAGAGAATTTGATATATTAGAAGAAGTAGAACAGAAAGAGTTAGACCCAGTTATTGAATTTGAATGTGAGACTCTTCTCTTTTGTAGATAGGAATTGGAGTTGATATGAGTGTATTCTTTTATTTTAAAATGCTGATTATTACTGATGCTATTATTTGAAGGAATATCACATTGTAAAAGTGTAATGGATGCGGGACCAGGAGATATTAATGGATTAAATGGACTAGTTTCTAACACAGAGGAATTCAGATGTTTTTGGATTTGTTCCCTAACTTCTAATAATTTTAATTGAATAGAATCATTAGATGGAGTCATCTTTACTATTATTATTATTATTATAACCTATCAATATTATTGATTAATTATATACTTATTAACTATTTTCGAACCTCCACTCAAAATAATACAAAAAAAAAAAGAAAAAAAGACCTTCAATCTATTAAGCAGGAAATCAGATAAAATAATCCACAACTGAACACGGAAGAGAGGTATAGTTGGTTGACAATGAAGTATGATGACCACCTCCTAGAAAATCGAGTTAAAGTTATATGGATGTATAAAGTACAAATATATATGTATATATATAGAAGCTCAAAAGATTGTACCACTCTTTGAGATAATGATTAAGTTCATTTCATTTGTATACGAAGCAAAATAGAAGAAGATCAATATGCACACTCGCACATTGAATAGAAGATAAGATACGTCAAGAAACAACAAAACAATATACTTATATTTTTTTTTGTCTTTGTGTTTGTGTGTGTTTGTGTCTGTACGTGCGTGTATTAAACCCAAACCCAAGTGCAAGCCTAAACATCTAACGGTTATGTTTGATGGGCTCTGTTTTGTGTCTATATTAAGTTTATTACACGAAGGGGCTGTAGAAAATAGCGAGAAAACAAAATAAAATGGTGATTTAATGCTACGTCAACATCGAACAACTTCTGTATTACTAAGGATAAATTCAAGAGGCCAGACCGCATCTGGTTGGGTTCTATTCTTTTAGATGGAGTTAATGGAAATTTAATTTTTCGGTAATTTCGTATCGTATAATAACGATAAAAATAAAAGAAAAAAGAAAAAACAAACAAACAAACAGACAAGAGATGAATTTAGACAATAAAAAACAAAACAAAGACAAACTTTTAAAAAGAAAGAGATGGTAAAAAAAAAGACAACAAAAGACTGTTTTAATCCCCTCTTCCCTCTCTGTTTTCCTTCAGAAATTTGCAATCTCACCTAAAAAGTTATCCACAAGATCATTAAATACGGTAGTCTTTTTCTTTTTTATTTTAATTTTTCTTATCTCGAGAAAAATCATTTATTCGATTAAATAGAAAAAAAAAAAGTTTTCCCTAATTAGGGTACAATGTATCGGTGATGTCTATCTACAAGGCTTACCTCTAGGGCTTAGTTTATATTACCATAGGTATTATATAGAAATAGCTGATAATAAACGATTTTAAATACTTTCTACTTTATTTGATAGACAAATAATATATTAATATTAAATCAGAAAAAAGGGGAGGCGAGAGACTGAAAAAATAAATAGATCAAGAAAAGATAACTCTTCCTTGAATATTTTCAGCAAGCTACAGAAGACTAGTTCTTTAACAAAATCATACAATAATGAACATAATTGAAAAGAACTCGTTACTTTTTTTTTTTCTTTTTTTTAAAGATGAACTTTGTTATACTTTAGATGTATTTCAACCAAGAAAATATCTTTTTTAAAACTCTTTATAATATTAATATCGCTTCTATAAAAAGTTAATCGAAATATTCAATAGTCATGTATAATGTAGGGTTAGTTCTGTCCTAGGGGTAGTGACACCTTTGATTTTTCCATTCGTCTCCATTTCTTACTCAGGGTAATTTTGTCAAAACAAGAAAAAAAAGATTCTAACAAGCGTATCTCTAAAAGGAAATCATGGCACAATTTTTAGAGGAGGATTGCAATTTCTAATCGCCTTTATTTTTTTTTTCTTTTTATTTTCTATTTTTACTTTAAATACGAAAGAACACAATTATTATTATTATTTTTTTTTTTTTTTTTGTGTGTGAGAAAATAAAAAAGAAAAAAGAATGGAGAAAGACAAAGAAAAGACAAAATATCAGAAAAAAATCCATTTTTTGTTTCTTAATGGAGTATGTAAGTTTCTTAATTCGGTTAAGAAAGTAAATCGTTTTATATCGTCGTTTAAAAAAGTATATTTCTACTTTTATATCTACGTTCCTATCGTTACTTCCAATTATAAACTGCATATATAATATATTTATTATCTTCTATGACTTGGCTGCGATATGTATACTCTTCTTTTAACTAGGCTCGTTTCTTTCTTATATAAGGAAAACAATATAACTAACAGTTATTTATGTGTCTTTTATGCTCTACTTCTTCTTTTGTTTTTATTTTTTTGTTTTTGTGTTTAAACAACTAACGAGGGAAAACTAAAACGAAACAGAAATAAAATTTGAGAAGACCAAGCATTTTACAAAGTCAAAAGGGGTGAATAATTTTAATCATTGTTTTACAGCTGACGCATTATATCTTATCTGCCTGCTAATGTAACATCTTGGTTTTGTGCTGTTACATTAGGATTCAAGGATATCAAGTAGCGTTATATATTTTAAGAAGAATAAAAAAATAAAAAGAAATAAACATATAAGAAGCATAAATCTCCACTACTAACAGCAATTATTACACACAGTTACTCGAAGCATTGAAACCATCAAATTTATCGTTAATTTTTTAAAAAAAAGAAGATAAATCCACTTAAATAACTCCAACTATTTTTATGATGAATATTAAGAATATAGTTATACAACTTCGACTGTAATTATTCGTTAGTAATGCCAATACTAATAGCATTATTATTGTTATTATTATTACTATTCAAAGGAATTTGAAATGTTTTTTTTCTTTCTTCTAGGATACATTCTCATAGAATATCACTCTGTTCAAATATTGACTAGATATTGTGACTCACTTGACGAAAGATAAAAATAATATCTATTTTATAAACATACGAATTATTTACATCTTAAAAAAAGAGTTTTTTCTACGATTTTCTACTTTCTTTGTAATTGTGTTGTATGGATGTAACTGGATTCGTAGATTCATAATCATATCCTACGATATATGATCTACACATATATCTGAGTTTCTAATAACGAGGCAATTTCAATACTATATGTAAAAGATATAGATTGAATTCTCTCCTCCTAATGTTTGTACTTTATTGTCATTTTCTAAGAATCACTCGTAAAAAAAGACCTTACATATTTTATTTTTACTTTTGTCGGCATACTACCTCGATTCTAATTAAGCTAATGGTAATTGAAACTTTAGAATGACTCGTAAGGAAATTATATTAACGAGAAAATAAAAATGTATCTGCAGGAAGAATGTATACAAAAATATATTCAATGAATACTATTATTATAGAAACAAAAGTGCAGCTAAGTTATTACTAATCTTCTTCGCTGACAATCAAACTTTTATAAGACAAATAATTTTCCTAAAATTTTGGTGCCACATTGTACTTTATATCAAAGAGTGGGAAAAACAATAAAATACTCTGTGAACAAGAACTAATAGCTATGATATTACTTTTTTCTTATTCTTTTAGTGTAGAAGGGTGTATTCATTCAGTCCAAACATATAATACTTTCGTAAATTATTTGTAACAAAAAAAATAAGCAAAACAAAGAGATCGGGAAAACAGAATGAAGCCATAAACTCTTTTAAATTGTCCAAAACTCGTTGGTGTTTCTTGCTTCTTCGTTAATTAACGATACAGAAACAATAAACATCCGGTCTAATTAAGATCTTCTTCCCAATAACATATTTTAATAGTAAATTAAAAAGAAAAAGAAAAAAAATCTTTCCCACAGTTTTTTTTTCTTGGAAAATATGAAAGAAACACATCATTGAGAAACCACGTTAATTCAGAGGAATTGTTATTTATACATAACTGGCATACGAACAAAACATCAATATTGGACTAAGAACTAGATGTTATCTAAATTGTTTGAAAGGTAAAAATTATTTTTTGTGTTATATAGGATCTAAAATATATTTCCATTGAAGATACTTTGGGTTTGGTCGGGGTTTGTTTCAATTATTATGTCGTTTAAAAAATAAAAAAAAGAACATTAACAATACAATTTTGATGATTTATATTTATAAGGAACGACACGCTAGCTAACAATCACCTAAAAGCTGAAAAAAATATATGCCAAAAAAAAAAAAAAGTTATACTCAAGATAAAAAGTACATTAAAAAAAAAATTAACTTCAATCAAATAAGCATAAGTTTAGATAACAAAGAAAAAATAGAGCCTCATATATGATCGGAAGAAACAAAAATACAAGGCCAATGGATAAGTAAATTATAAACCTTGAGATGATTGATGATGCATTAAACTTTATTTGTATATCAATGTTTTCTTAGAAATTATTGTTTTCAGTTATTTAATGATCAACTGGTAAGTTTCATTTTTTTAGCCGTATCTGTTTGTGCACACCTAAGTCTTCTCTTGTTGTATTCATATCTAAGTGTAAAAACTCGAAGGTAGACAAAAGTTTCTTTTTCTCCGTCTCTTTCTTTTTCTTTCTTTCTTTTTTTTTTAACAAGATATGATTAATATTTATAAGCACGAAGTTACTTATTCTCCTGGCTCTAAATTACCTGTACACACTTTATAAACACAATGATTAGCTAAATTGGATAGTTATTCATACCTCTTATTTCATTAATGCTCGTAAAAAATATAACTCGCCTATGTAAAATTATATAGCTACAAAATGCTTATATATACAATACCACCTTTATCCACATTGAAAAGGCTCTAAATTATCATTTCAAAATGTAATATTGCCTACAAATTGACTTCCTCTTGTCTCCTCATGAGGTTTACTATGTTCAATTTCTATATTATCTATAATATTGCTACTGGAAAGATTAAAAAAGGGCTCTTCTTTATGATTTTCAGCAAAATACTTTCTAGCAGTAATATTCATACTAGAGTCAAACGAACTATCTAGTAAATTATTATGTCTATGTTGAATTTCATTTTGAATATTTTTTGAAAGAATATAGGAATTTGGATTTGTTTTATTGTAGTTATCATAATCATTTTTATTAATAGTAACAACATTTGCATTAATCAAACCGGTATACATGGACCCTGTATTAGTTCTTCCATTAGAAGTTTCAAGGTTCATGGGAAATGCATCTGAAAAGTCCTTCATCTGTTCTTGCTGTATCTTAATGTTGAGATTCTCTAACTCTGGATCAGCGTCTTTCCCTACGGTAAAAAAATCTCCATAAGAAGCATGATTAAAGCATTTCTTTAAAATTAATGAGTCACCTTCGTTTGGGACTTCCCTAGGTATAGAATTTTTAAGGTTTAATTCAATTTCTCTGGACAATTCCTTTTTAATTTCCTCCTCCTCTGTATCGTAGATCTCATCTCTAATAAAGCAATTTTTGTTACCATCCTTATAAAATTGATCACTATCATATATCTCATCTATATCAATATCCAAATCTTCATAAGTATCATTATTTTTAACCACTGATAATTTTGTACTTTCAAGAAAAGCATCTGTCGAAGGAACCATTTTCTCAATAGTTGTATCCAAAAGGTTATTCACATCATTTCTTTTATACTCCTTCAAAAATTCATTAACCGTTAGTTTTTCTTCCTTAGGCTTTTCTGATATAAGTTTATTAGATGAATTAGTTGAAGCAAATTGCCAGTTAGGATCCCGTCTTTTTGGTGATTGAGTACACAAGTAGTTCCTAATTTGGGAACTATTCTGCTTCTTATCTTCTAAGTCTTCGTTTTCCACATTTATCTTCAAAGTTTTACCTCTGGACATAAAAGATTTTGAATTCAAACCAGCAAATAACATGGCCTGTTGCATATTACTGATTCCATTAGTCTCATTTGAAGACTCTTTCTGAATAATAGTATTTTGAAAAAATTTAAAATTTTGCAACACACATGCAGAAACTCTTTCATTTGGATCCCACTTTAAACATTGTTCAATAACTTCTGTCAAGTCTCTTAATTGTGGATTAGGCAGGATTGCTCGCATGCTAATCCCTTCTGAAAACGGTAATGTTAAATTTAGTTTATTTAATAACAATAATGATTCCTTCCAAAATCCTCCAAATGGTTCTGAATTAAGCTGAGAAAATTCAGGCGACTTGTAGGGTGTTCCAAGGACTTCTAGGATTCTCCAAACTTGGTCTAGTTCATCATTACCAGGAAATAAAGGCTTAAAAGTAGTAAGTTCAAAAGCAACACAACCAAAAGCCCACATATCTAAAGGTGTGGAATAAAAACCATTCCTTAGCAAAATTTCAGGTGATCGATACCATCTAGTTGAAACATAAGGCGTATATGAATTACAATTGAAAATATTTCTAGCTAAACCAAAATCGGCTAATTTAATGACATAATTATCCTTATAATCACCTGTTTTCAAGTACTGTTTATCAAAATACATAGAGCTTGGAGTCACAAGAATATTCTCCGGTTTAATATCTCTGTGAAAAAAATTGTAAGAATGAATGTGTTTTATAGCAACTAACAATTGTGCCAGGATAGATTTTAAAGAAGGATATGAAAATACTTTATTCTTTCGATGTTTCATCATTTGATACAAATTTTGTTCCATATATTCCATTACTATATGCAATTGATACTTTCTAGTATCAATAAATATTTCAAATATCTGTATTAAATGCAGATTGGGTGCCATTTTCAAAATAAACTTTATTTCTCTAACTTTTTTATAATCATGTAATGTTTTTAGTCTTGTTACCATAGTTTTGATTGCAACCAGGTTTTGACAATGAGTAATTTTATTGGCAGGGAAAAGATTGTCTTGGCACATTAAAGTTGCACCAGAATTATCATTATTCAGCAGACGATTTACATTAAATTGAGATTTAGCTAAAGTCACAGTCCCAAAGGACCCATGACCTAATGCCCGAATAAATATATACCGACCTTCAATTGGTTTCAAAGGAATAGACCTAGGGGGGAAATCCAAATCTGGAGGAATGAAATCACCTGTGTTGGATTCTTCATATTCAGAATATGATGTTTCCATTCTGATCTAAAGGACCAGCTTTATACTAATCACTTTTTTAATATTCGACTTCGTTTTTGAATATCTAGTCACCCTACTGCCTGAAATCAGCTTAAATCGATAAATAAAGAAAAAAAGAATAAGATTTAGCCAAATAAAAGAAGGGTCTAAAAAAATAGTATACCTGTGGCAGAAACGTTAATAATCTATCATATCAACAATTATTTAAGAAAAAAATAACAAGATAAGCACATACTAATAATCTGTCAATACAAATTACCAACCATTACCATATCTTATTTAAAAAAGTAGCAAAATGGCACAAATATTTTAATCAAATTTTGCATGAAAATGTAGCAACTTTGCACAACTCTCATTGTGATACAAAACGAATTTTGTGAAAGGTGTCTAGATATTGTTTGTGAAACTTCATAAATTAGCCGCGCACAAAAAGTAAAATAAAAAAAGATAAGATAAAAAAACATACAATCAAATAAACACATACGCCTTACAGATACGAGAGTATAGAGTATTATCCAACTAGATAAAAAGAGATCCTTGTTTGTGATGTATTAATTGGCGATATTTACCTTTGAAATATTACTAAAAAAAAACAAAACAAAAGAAGACTTAGATCTCTCCTGTATGACCATCATCATACAAATCATATCTTGAAAGAGACAACTTTTTATAAAGACATACCAACCAATACAGATGTATGACTAAAAATAATCTAAAAAACACTAATTAATTACAGTCGATATGCTTGTATATATTAAATTGTGTATAATGTTGCGGATTGTGATTATCTTATATATTGGTGAACAATATAAGGCATTAAACACTCTAAGGTAATCAAAGGGTCATTCTTAATATTTGTATAGCAATAAATTCACAGTAATTTAATTTCTAACTTAATGATATTAAAAGCTATACGCCAAATGATAAATCACATCTCAAAGAAATAAGGGTATTACCGAGCGATGATTCCTTCTACATGTAAACATAAGTTTTTCTATTACTATATGTTTCCAAACTATTATGAGACTTATTCAATCGTTTCATTATTTGTTAAGTATTAGATATATGTTCACCTTTCCTTATTGATATACTAATTTATCAGACAAGATATGCTCTGTAACTTATCACACCTATCTTAAGACTCATTAATGGAAACATTCCCTTTTTATATTATTATCCAATTACACGTATGTATCTATAATCCATATCAAAAAAGAAAAGAAAGAGAAAAAACAATCATTTATCATCACAATGTTATTTACAGATATCAATTTATAAGTGCATGACATTTTATAGTCATTAAGCTTATATATTTTCCCATCACATACACTCTCCCAATACATGATCTAACTCATAGCCGTACAGCAAATCTGATACATTTAAAAAAAAAAATTTCCGAAACCAGCTAGAAAATTTCAAAAGTAACGTATTAAAAAATTTATATATTAAAAAAATTTTTTTTAACAAAAAAAACTAGATGAAAAAAGTGATGAGTTTATGAGTGTTAGATAGAAAAAGCTGTATTTTTTGGTACACTTCTTATAGATTGATATTCCAACTAAAAATAGCAAGCAACCATGTCCTCTTTAAGTGCACAGTTAGCACAAGTTGCTGCTAAAAATGCCACTGTCGCCTTAGATAGAAAAAGAAGGCAGAAACTTCATTCCACCTCTCTTATTTACAATCCAAAAACTGCATCAACTCAAGATTATGAATTCATTTTAGATAATGCATCTAAAGCCTTGAATGATTTGATTGAAATTGAACCTAAATTTGCTATTTTCAATAAATCCTTATTCTCTGAAACGTCGTTATCTATTGACAGAAACGTTCAAACTGCCGAAGAAAATAAAGAGTTAGACAATGCCGTTAATATGTTTTTAATATTAGCTTCTTCTAAGTGGCATCTTGCTCCAACTTTACATGCCACTGAATGGTTGGTTCGTCGTTTTCAAATTCATATCATGAATGCTGAAACGCTTTTATTATCTACTTTGAACTACTACCAAACTCCTGTTTTCAATAGAATTTTAAATATTGTAAAATTACCTCCATTATTTGCACCTTTATCTAATTTCATTAGAAGTGAAAAGTCGGTGACAAATTTGACCATAATTAAGCTATTCAATGATATAGACTTTTTAAAACTATATGTTGATTACCTGAGTAAATGTATCAAGCAAAATTTGACCTATACTAATCAACTATTATTTACAACATGTTGCTTTATTAACTTAATTGCCTTTAACTGCAATCATGAAAGCAAATTGAATTTGTTAGTTCCTGTTTTACTGGAAATATCTGCCAAACTCCTAGGTTCTACCTCTACCGATTGTCAAATAGCAGCTCATACTATTTTAGTTGTATTTGCAACAGCATTGCCATTGAAAAAAATCATTATATTAGCAGCAACTGAGACTATTTTATCTAATTTAAGTTCAGAAGAAGCAAAAAAGTCTGCATTGACAACTATATGTAAACTTTTTCAAACATTAAAAGGACAAGGAAATGTGGAACAGTTACCAATCAAGTTATATAAAATTATTGATAAGCATTTCTCATTTGAAGATTTAGTTGATTTTTTGAAAGAAAATCCTACTCTAGCTGCTGATAAATTTGTTACATGCTATATCAGAGCTATTGCTAGATACGACCATAGCAAATTAACATTAATTGTCAAAATTTTGAAAACCATAAAATTAGAAAAGTTCGAAATCAAATATTTAATTACAGATTTAATTAACCTATCAGAAATTTTGGAAAGTAAAATCCAATTGGCTGAAGTGTTTGAGTACTTTATTTCAGTCAATGAGAAACTAGTTTTAGACTGTTTGAAATTTTTAAATATTACACCTGAAATATTTGAAATTAGATTAACAACGTCTTTATTTTCTAACTTTGAGACAACTATTGAACAATTAGAAAATATTGATGCTGAAAAGGTAGTTGGAAAAGCAAGTGATATTCCATTATTCAAGGAGTTTTTAGAAAAGAATTCTTCTTACATTTACACAGAGAATAAATCTTTACTATGTGAAAATGATGATGTCTTCATCAAATTATTAACACTATTTATTGAAGCTGTTGGTAGACAATATTCACCAGGCCAATTTTTAAATACTTTTTTTACTACTTTAGAAGCAAGAATTACTTTCTTATCTAGAGTTATTATTTCACCATCTACACCGTCCACTTTAAAGATCATTTCTTTGAACCAAATAAGTAAATACCTTCATAACATTGACAAGGATTCTAATGTATTTACATTAGTGCCATGCCTATTTGTGGCCTTAAATGATTTATCTAAAAATGTTAGAGCAAAAGTTAGACAGATTTTAATCCAAGTGGCAAATCGACCACCTTCCAAGCACTACTTCTTATCTAAAAAAATTTATGGGGAAAATGTTGCATTGCAGTTATTAAATCCAAAAGATTCATCGTATTGGTTAAAAAAGTTCCTTGATGATTATGCAGTTGAAAATTATGAAATAGCTGAGCTGTTGATACCCAAAAAGAATTCAAAGGTTTACACTTTATTCTGGGCAAATCAAGCATTACACATTCCTATTCCGTATGCGAAATCTGTTATTTTACAAAATCTAGAGAAATGTAATATTTCGCAAAGTTCTTACGCCAAAATCCTTGAGCCATTTATTTCATCATACATTGAATCAAGAGCAACATGGGAACAAAGGTGCAAACTAAATAAAACAAGTTTTTTTATATTTGAAAAGACTGTTGTAAACTTAATTTCTGTCAAAGAGAAGAACCAATTCATGATTGATTTTGCAATAAACGGTTTGAAATCAGATTGTGAATCACTATCTGAGACAATTGCCGGAAGGTTGATTACAGTATTCAGTTCTTTTAATTTTTCACAACAACTTCAAATTGTTCAATCAATTTTAGATAATACTGTAGAGATGGAACCTATCTATGATTCAATTGGATTGTTACAAAGTCTTCCATTATCTGCTGATATTTTCAGTATTATTTTATCACAGAACAGAATAAATTCAGATGATGATATTAAGATCTTACCAAAAAGAAGAAGAAGACATTCTTCTACAGTCAAGTCAGCCTTTCAAAAGGAGGAAATCACTGTTTTGGCTGAAATTCACCTTCGTAAGATCACAATAATTTTGGAAACATTAGACAAATCTTCTATTAAGGCAACTTCTGAATTATTGTCTTCTCTATTTGTTTTACTGTCTGATCTTGAAACTCTTGATCAGGATGGTGGTCTTCCAGTTTTATATGCGCAAGAAACTTTAACTTCTTGTTTATTGAATACTATTGAGTCAATGAAAAAGTCTGGTATTTCTGAATTTAAGAATATTAGAGCTGATATATTGGTATCTGCAATTCGTAATTCATCATCTCCTCAACTACAAAACAAGTTATTAATGGTAGTGGGTGCTCTAGCTTCGTTGAATTCTGAAATTATATTGCACTCAATTATGCCTATTTTTACGTTTATGGGGGCTCATAGTATTCGTCAAGATGATGCTTTCACACTTCAAGTCGTTCAAAACACTATCAGAACTGTTGTACCAGCATTGTTAAAGAATAAAAAGGCAAATACTTCGGATGAATCAGATATTCTATTAATGAGTTTTGCAACTGCTCTGCAACATGTTCCAAAGCATAGGAGGGTTGCATTATTTTCCACGTTGTTAGAATCCTTGGGTTCCTCAACTTCAATTGGTCCATTTTTATTTCTAGTTGCACAACAATATTCTAATTGTCTAGATAACTTCAAATTGGGTGAAGCTAAAAGTCTAATAGAATTTTGTAAGTCTTTATTAGTGAATTTTATAGTATCCGACCAGTTGTCTGGTATACGTGATTTGCTTCAATTAATTACCAAACTATTAAAATCCACAATTGATGAAGGTTCAAAGAATGACTTAAACTCCGTTGCCTTATTCTCCAATCACATCCTTAATAAACAATTGAGTGAATTAATAGGCTTTGTTCAACATACTTTTTCTTACATAATTAAAATTATTCAGGATGATGATACTGACTTCTTTAATATTAATGGTACATTCAGTTTAAGAGTTCGTGCTGCTTTACTTGATACAGCGTCAGCTAAGGAAACTGTTAGCTCGGTTAAAAGTAAATTTACTTTAATTTTGAAACTGATATTAACTTTTATTAACGACGCAAAGTCGTACAATTTTGATTCAAAGACAAACCCTGAGATATCAAATGATCAGACCACTGATATTAATAATAGTTTGTTCACGATGCTAAACATTGTTTTAAATATGCTTCCAATAAATGAGTTTGTTGAAAGTACTCTACCATTATTAACAGATAGTTCAAATAAAGATATTAAATACCAAATCAGTTTAATAATGGGCGATAAATTTGAAATTGAACCCATTGAAACTGTTGATCCTGCTGTTAAAGTTATCAAGACATTATTAACAAGAATTATGGAAGAGGTGGGTACTCCTGATTTGGCTCAAGTAATGCTGAATACTTTATCGACATTAATTAGTAGATATGGTTCAAACTTAAATGAGAAATTGGTTAATAGAAGTATCAATTTGGCTATTGATCTGCTAAATTCTGAAGTAAACGAGATTCTTGTCTCAGCATTTAGTGTTATTAACAACTGTATTCAAGTATTGGGTATTAAGTCCATTAGTTATTACACTAAGATTGTTCCAGCTGCCATTAAGTTATTCAACAAAACAAAAATGTCTGATGATTCTATGAAACAACAATTACAAGTAGCCATTTTATTGTTAGTGGCAACCTTATTAAAAGTTATTCCAAGTTTTATTACATCAAACTTATCAGATGTCTTTGACGTTATATTATTCAGTGATGAAGTAGACATCACTACTAGACTTTCTGTGGTCGAACTTGTAGTCAAACATATTGATCTAACAGATCTCTTAAAGATGTTATACAAGACATGGTCTAACATTTGTGTTGTACATAATTCTGTTGCTATATCATTATTTTTGAGCTGTTTAGAAAGCACAGTGGATGCAATTGATAAGAAAATTGCTACATCACAATCACCAATCTTTTTTAAATTACTTTTGAAGTTGTTTGAATACAGATCGGTTAGTGAGTTTGACAATAATACTATTAGTAGAATTGAGGCAACAGTTCATCAAACAGCTAATACATATGTTCTTAAAATGAATGATAAAGTGTTTAGGCCATTATTTGTTATAATGGTTAAGTGGGCATTTGAGGGTGAAGGTGTTACTAACAAAAAGATGACAGAAAGTGAGAGATTAATAGCATTCTTTAAGTTCTTTAATAAATTACAAGAAAACTTAAGAGGTATTATAACATCTTATTTTACTTACTTATTAGAATATACTACTAAATTATTGATAAGATTTGTCAACAAGGATATTGAAGATATTACGTTACATCGTTTACTACTAATATCTTTGACATCATCCTTCAAATATGATAAAGATGAATATTGGAAATCTACATCCAGATTTGAACTAATATGTGAACCTTTAGTCAATCAATTAAGCGTTATTGAAAACTCCATTGGAAAATTTTTAGTTAAAGCCATAAGTTCTCTTACAGCTAATAATAGCGGTGTTGAAGAACATAATCAAATCATGAATAAATTACTAGTAACTCATATGAAGGCTACTTGTTCATCAAGAGAAAAATTATGGGCTGTTAGAAGTGTTAAACTAATTTATTCAAAGGTTGGTGAGAGCTGGTTAATATTATTACCTCAATTAGTTCCAACTATTGCTGAATTATTGGAAGACGATGATGAAGAAGTGGAATACGAAGTTAGGACAGGATTAGTCAGGGTAGTAGAAAATGTATTAGGTGAACCGTTTGATAGATATTTAGATTAAGAAGGTAATAATATTTAAATAAAATGTCATTTACTACTAAAATTAAATTCTAATTCATCTGCTTGTCTGATACTTAAAAACATAGAAATAAGTAAATAATACAAGCATTTGTTACTTTATTAAGCGTGTATAATAATAATAAATAAAATCTAATAGGTATGTATTCAATAAATGATCTCAACTATCACATATTAGGTTGGCATATGCTTAGTTGATTGGTGATTATTCCATTTCGCCTCTCTCTTTCTTCCTCATTTCTTGTTCTTTGTGGCATTAAATTGTAACCTGAACGTGAAAGGATACTTTGAAGAGTCCTCCAATAAGAAAATTGACATCCCTTCATGAGAACAACTTTTATCAAGGATTCGAGTTACTTCAGTTATATGGAACACTTTCTTAAAATCGGATGAATATATCTAGCAAGTATTTTTATCAGGAGTTCTTTATCTTTAGCTCATTATAAAGACTTTTTTTATAATCCCATATATATACATATGACTATATGATTTATTTTAACCTAATATAGGTTTCACAATAGTTTCAAAATAGGGTCTTTTTTATCCTAGAATAAATAAGGAATACCAACAAATTGGCAAGTTAATCAAGTAAGACATTTAATCCAACAACTTGAAACCATCTCCCGCCAGTTCACTTTTATCTTCAAATATATATATATATATATATATTATTTCTCATATCTTCTAATCCTATCGTTATTATTATGGGGGAGGTTTTGATTTAACTGCCATGACACATCAGCTAAAGTTGATACCAGCTCTATAAAACAGAAATGCTGATTTCTTTAGGTGTGATGGGATCTTCGACGAAATCTGTACAGATGCTTGTTTAAAGAGGTTCGCGTCAGCAAAACTCACAAGGCGTGAAAAACAAAAAAAAAATTTATGACAGATTTGCAAAGACTGAGATGAGCTCCAAAATTTAAACATTATAGAAAAATGCAAGAAACTGTCGACCACAAAGAGGAAACAAGAAAGAGTATCTGAACCTATTAAATGGAGTTGCAATTTTGTTTTTCTTCAAATTAAATTGGTAACACAAGAAGTTTATATTTTTTCATCAGAAAACACCCCTATTATATACTCATTTATATCATTATTTTGTTCAAGTTGATTTGTTAAAAGTAGTTGTATTGATTCCTTATTGAATAGGGTAATTTTTTTTTCTTTTTATTTATTTCCCACATTATTTCTGTTTTGTTAATATAGTCGTAGAAGCAGGATATTCTAAGTACTATATGAATTCAATACTAGATATATTGTGACTTATTAATAAATTAATAAAAATGGGCCAGGAACAAAATAACGTATCCATAAATAAAAAAGAAAATCCTATTATAGATATTGTTGATAAAAATCCTACAAGTGAACCTGATACAAAAACTTCATCCACTATAAGTGAAATAAATAGTAATAACAAAGGTGACATTGAAAAAAAAGAAAATAAAGAAGAAAAGATAAGTAATAATTCAGAAGTACCCACGTCCCCATCTTCTACAACCCCTAATGGGAAAATAGTATTTAGGAATACTGGTCCCAATGGTTTAGTTAGTGTTGTCAATGTACCAGTTTGTAAAAACTGCTTAACTTCTACCACACCTCTTTGGAGACGTGATGAAAATGGTGCTGTCCTATGTAATGCATGTGGGTTGTTTTTAAAACTTCATGGAAGACCAAGACCTATCAGTCTAAAGACAAATATTATAAAATCTAGGAATAGGAAAAATAATTATCATGGCGAAACTAACAATAATAACCATAATACAACAGATTCTAATAAAAACAAAAAAGAAAATACATCTTCATCTGATAAAAAAAGAAAAAGTTCTTCCCAAAGTACTACTACTAATAATAATACCCCAAATCAATCAAATAGGATAGATAAAAATACCCCTTGCCAGAACTCAAATTCTAATGGAATAAAACCAAGTCAGAATAGTAATAAAAACAACAATAATATACAAAATTCTAACAATACTATAAGCAGTCCTGTACAAGAAAATATAGACAGCAAAGATTTAAATTATAACCAATCCTCTCTCCCCTGCAATGTTCCAAATATACCTGTCGTCGACTCTCTCAGGATCGGAAATAATACAACTCCACATTCAGGTATTATTAATGTTTCATCTCAACTACCTGGTCTATCAAGTATATTAACAAAAATTGATTCTAGGATCATTACAACTGAAAATAATCTTCATCATGAAACATGTATTACTGATAATAAAAACAATAACGGTAATAATAATATTATTAAAATTGAGAATATAGAAAAAAATATCCACAGTATATCTCCCCCAATACTGAATAACGAAGCAAAGCCTTTGACGAACTCCTTTGTGTACAATGAAAATATACTTTTAGGGACAAACCAATCTCAAAACATTACGAATCAACAGTCTATTATAAATAATATGGTACCTATCACTACTCACAATTCGTCTGCAATAAATACACCATTACAAAATCCACAGTATATAGCCCAAAATGTTCCTTTTGAACCTTTGCATAGAAAAATTCAGTTTAATTCCTTAACTAAGAATTTCGTTGATAAACTTCCTGGTGGTGACCACATTATTAATAATATTGGACAACAACCTTCTGAATCTTCGGGTTCATCAGAGGTAAAATCAGACCATTGCCCACAAATTGCATCACCACAACTCCTCCTACAAAAATATTCTGCATCAATTCCGACTATGTCAAAAATGTTACTGTCACCTGAAGTCACTTGTCCCACAAATAATAATAAAAAAAATAAGAAAAGAAAAATATCTGTAGGACATAAGACTAATGAACATTCATTAGAGGAAAGACTACAATATGAAGAGGAAATTATACGATTAAAAACAAGAATTATTGAACTAGAATCAGTTACTGATTTATATCGGAGCCACATTTTTAAGCTAAATGAAAAATGCTATCAATATGAACAGCAGTTAGAAAAGTTAAATAAATAATCTATAATCTTACAACACTCCTAAAATCCACCTTTTGATATATGTTTATTTATCTAGTAGATATTAACAGACGTTTTTACATTATGTAATAAATAGTATCTTGTAATAATGATTAACTTTTTAATTAGTAACAATCACTTTCTTAATTTATAAAGAAGTATAAAGTTCCCATGTATTTACATGTAAGCATTATTATTAATAGGAATAATATCAACATCTTAATTTAGTATATAAATTTTTATATGCATGTACGATCTAGAATATTATTATGAATAGAAACTTTTTAATTTTTTTTTTTTGATTTTAACTTTATCTTTATTAGTATGGATATATTATAAATATGTTAAAATCAACTAATTGCTTGATCATTAAATTGCCCAAGCGTGTATGCTACCATTGGAAAGACTCCCAAGCAAATAATTATCATTATACTGAATAAAATTCACATTCGCATTCAATGAATCCATATTGCCACAATCCCAATGTTTAGACTTAATGCGATCAAATATATGGATTTGTGATGAACCATCTGATACTGCAATATTTTTCGAGTCAAAATCTAAAGATAAAATAGGTGACGAATATTCAAATAGTTGAACTGCCGATCCAATTCTTAAATCCCAAACTCGAACTGTTTTATCTAAGGAACCTGTCACTATATTTTGCAAATCAAATTTCAAACAGGAAATACAGTCTGAATGGCCTATTAATGATCTTACAATTTCCCCACTTCTTAAATCCCAAAGTCTTACTATCCCATCACTGGTACCTGTTGCTAATGCAACATCATAACTTTGTAAGCCACCAATCTTAGGTACCTCGTTATTGTTCACAGTTCGAATATTTCCAGGATAATTACTTACGCTCTTTGGCGATTGGCTAAATAGATTGATAGAATCATTAGATATTAAATCTAAAATTCTTATACATTTACCTGAATGTAAATCCCATTGTCTTATAGTAGAATCCTGAGATCCACTTACTAGATAATGAGAATTAATACTTACATTTGTTACGGAATCCATATGCTCATCAAAACTGTAGACACAAAGGTTTGTATTTGGTTCTGAATATTCATTAAACGTATGAACACTTTTATTCAAATCCCACATTTTTATGGTAGAATCTTTACTTCCAGTAACTAACATATTATAAGATTTATCTAATTCCATACAATAAACTGTGTCATGGTGACCTTTTAGTTCACCTATTTGAATATCTTTTGATAGATCCCATATTTTAATTTCAGGATTATCGTTAGGAGATGAAAATAGATGACCAAATGGTAAATCAAATTGAAATGAGGAAATTGGTGAATTATGGATATTCACAAACGATGATATTTCACTACCAGAGTCGAAATATTGTTGTAATGTGGGTAATATTTTATAATGTATTTTGTTTTTCTCCTGAAAGAATTTAATCAAATTATCTGATGAGTGGATATCATCGTACTCTAAAAATTCTGTTACGGTAATATCCTTATTGGTACTGTTATGAAGTTCAACCGATGATAAGGTTGCGTTGCTTGTATCGTTACTAAATGTAGAATTTCTATTATCAGAGACAGTAGTGGATGAGGTAACTGATGAATTATAATCCATTAGGGTGTCTAAAGTGGTATCATTATGCGATGTACCATTGCCCTTCTCTAAAGAAATTTGGTCATTGATATCATGTAAAGTAGCCATACGATTTTTAATTAACGATAAGTCATTTTCAATATTAATTTCCTTTTCCTCCAAACTGGCAATATTATTAAATAATAAATTTCTTCTAAATTTCAGAGTATTAATCCTTTGATCGATATCCCTAATTTCTGATATGGTAATATTTTTTTGAATCTCATATTTAGTTAATTGATTTTTCATCTTTAATTCGAGGTCTTTTAAAAAAGTAGAAGATTCTGATTTGTCGATAATATCTGTTTGAGAATTACAATTGTCATATGAGTGGCCATTATCGCTCAATAATTTTCTATCATGGATATCACTGTCTTTCTGATTAGAAAGGGATAAAGTTTGAAATCCTTGGTAAAGAGACGGTAGAAGAATATCGTTTGACATCTGCTGAGTATGATTTCCAACGGCAACAACTTGTTTATTTTTTGAAGCAGTAGTGGCAGTAGTAGCAATAGTAGTTTTTCCATCATAATCAAGATCCTTTAATAAGTAGTCATTAATATAAGATAATAATTGGAAAGTTTTTCTTTCATCGATCAGACTATTTTTAAAATATTGGTTACTTGATTGAGTTATATCTCGTGGATTCACAGAGGCAATATTTTTAACAATGTTAACATTATTTGGGTGAAACTTTTTCTCATTTGATTGTTTTAAAGTGGAAGTCATGACTTTATTATAGGGGCCGTCTGGTGATAATATTGTGCTATGTAAATCTGAAGAGTTGGCCAATGCATGTGCTGTCAATGTTATAGTTTTGCCAATGTTAGAAAGTGAACTTATTGTATTTGCTTTGTGGATGCGGTTATCGTTAGAATTAAATGTAATTTTATACCCTCCATCATTTTGAGTGGGCATAATGTAATATAGAGAATTAATCAAGTATTCAGTATAGTTAGTGTTGTTTAATCAGTGAAAAAAATAAAAAAAAATTGTTATATTGAAAGGTCAAATAAACTTCATGCACAGAAACAACTAAGGAAAAGGAATAGATGATTTAGAAGTCAATAAATGAATTAAAAAATAAAAGAAAAAAACAAAAAAACAAAAGAAGAAGAGAGAGAGAGGAGGGAAGAGAGAGAATAACTGTAATTAATTGAATACGGCAATAGCTCGATAATCTATTATCTGTCTTTAATGTTATTAATACGTATCGAACTCTTGCTTTATTTCTTTTCTTCCTCTCAATTACTAAGACCTATTAGTGTAAATTGGATTCTTGTAAAGACAGTTAAAATTCAAAAATATTAATGGTTGGTTAAAAAGAAGCAACTATGAATTACAATAAACAGTACAAAAGCTATTCCAAATAATCAACCAATTGTTAGATCAGTCTGTGCATGCATTTTTCTTCTTGTAATATTAAAATAGAAGGATGACAGAGTTGAAGCTTCCCCTTCTCCTTTAAAATCAGTATACTTTAATTTCTTTGTTGTTTCTCTTTTTCTAATTTCCATTCTCCTTTTTCTTTTCCTTTTTTTTTTTCCCATTTATCGGCTATTGCTTATATAATAACGTGTCATGCAGAATAATATGGACACTGTATAAAGAATTAGACATACAGTAAGTATTTGGGAAGAAACAAAGAGAGAATACCATATACACAAGCACGCACATACACATTTGTGTGTACAATTATGAATGTTGTTATATATATATATATATATATGTTCTAGACTCAATAGTTATCCTTTTTGGTTTTAGTGAATATATGACTTGTTATGCCTACTGGGTGTAAGTGAGTTGTTAAATTTATGATATATTCGAAACACACTTACTTATATGTCTTATTATATATATATATATATATATATATATGCTAATACTTCCCAATTAATTTTACCATGAACTGTATATTGACAAAAAAGACTAACAAAAGATCGATTATTTTTTTTTGTACTTTCAGCATTACATGTTATTTTATCAATCTTTTTTTTTTGTTTGCTTTGTTTTCATTTCATAAATCCACCTTTTGCTTTTTTGAATCCATGGTAATTTCTACCGTATCTTCTAAATCATGTTTATTAGATAGTGTAGAAGACTCATCTGTATCTTTTATTTTTTCCTTTTGGTCCTTGTTTGTTTCGTCATCCTTACTTTCTTCTTCCTCTTCAACTTCTAAATCCTCTTCAGCTTCCTCTTCAGCATCATCATCATCTTCTTCTTCTTCTTCTGCCTCTAAATCAATTTCACCATTTTCATCTTCCTCTACATCGTCGTCATCATCATCTACTTCTTCCTCTTCTTCCACCTCCTCTTCCTCAGCTTCTTCTTCTTCTTCTTCCCCTTCTTCCTCTTCCTCCTCTTCCTCCTCTTCCTCCTCTTCTTCCTCTACTTCATCATCAACTTCTGGTTGTTCAGGTGGATATAAATCACTCTCATTTTCGTTATCCCAAACAATATTGAATCTAGTAACTCTTGGTTTCTCTGCTAAAATATTTCTAACAATATGATCTACTTGAACTTTAACGGGTGGATTTTCTCTCAATTCCTCTGAATCATACTCATTATTTACATAATACCCGACTCGAACAAACTCTTTCCCATCGTATGAACAACTTAACAAAATAACGGTCACAGAGATCAATTCACTGGCGGGAATCAACTCTGCACTTGGTGGATCAGCAGAGAATATGAACTTGTTGACTCCTACAGGTACGGGCCCAACTAAGATGGAATCTAATTCTTGGTCATGTTCCAATGAACGAGAAGACCCGACATAGGTCAATTTCCATTCTAAATCCTTTTGTAATGGCTCTAAACATTCGAAGGTGATTTCGAATTCGTAAGGGTCGGTGAATTTTGCAGGGTTATTTAGTACTTTGATACCTAATAGAGATACAATAGACATGGTATAGATAAAGTGTTGTGGGGGCGTATATATGTGTATATGTGTATACTGTTACCTGTTGCTTTTTTTTTTTTCTCTTTTTTATGTAATAAATCTTTGAACTTCTTGTGTCCTTACCCTCTGTTGTTTAATTGAATTAATTAAAAAGGTTGGTAAGTTATTCTGTTCTTTAAGATGATATACCAAGTAAGTTATTTGAACAGACGAGAATAAAGAAACATTTCAGGAAGAAAGAAAAAAAAGGGAAGAAGTTTTTGAGTGCCAATTATCTTTACTTACTAAAAGGTCAAGACATTGCCATTAATATTAACGTTAATAATATTAATAATATTAATAATACTAACATTATTATTACGATCATTAGTAGTAGTAGTGGTACTATTGATGGTGGTAATTGTTGGACAAAAGATGGAAATAGTATATCTGATTATTGGAATTGAAGCTGACTTGTAGACAGAAAATAAGAAAATAATAAAAAAAAAAAAAAATAGTGGGAAAATCTTCATACAACAAAAATCTGGCAAACGCGTGAAGTTACAAAGAAAAAAAATTGGGGCAAGGCAAAAAACAAAAAAAAAAAAAAAAAAAAAAAGAATTAAAATTAGAATTAGTAACGCGTCAGTCACATGATCACGTACATCCGTACCTCTCCAAATTCAATAGTCTTAAAAAAAGAAAAAAAGAAAAGAAAATGAAGAAAATAGAGCAAACGTTCTGGACCCACTGCTTTCCTGTTCGAGCAGTCAAATTCCAGATCTGAACAAAGTTAATTACATTTCCTTTTCGGGAAGGTAGGCGGCTAACTCTTTCAAGGGAATTTCCGAGATTACAATAGAGAGGAGACCTCCCTTCTCCCCTTTTTCCTTTTATTTTTCTTTTGTTTGTTTTTTTGTGATTTCCTTACAATAATAGTATTAAGACAGGCTCGAACACTTTGCCCTAATCCAACGTGTATTTTAGGTGTTGGGTGAAATGTGCATGGCAAAAAACTTCTTGTGAATTTCCTCTCTTGTATTGGGCGGCTAAAATTCTGGTCTAGAACTCTTTTTTTTTTTCTTTCTCTGCCGCTGAGGTCTTTATTCCACCGCCTTTATCTTGTTTTATTTTTCTTGTTTCTTTTTCAGTGAACGAAGAATATAGAATTATTACCATTTATTGTGGTTGTTGTTGTTGTTCTATTCTCTGGCTGTTAAAGAAGTTGCAAGTTGTTATTTATGCGTGTTTTTGCCACTTTAACTATTTTTTGGGCCAATGTTATGGCCAACAACAGTTAACAAACAATAATAATAATAATAATAATAATAATAATAAAAGAAAAAAGTAACAATAAATAACATTCTTCAAGCTAAAGAATATCTCTTTCCCCACCCCATTCAAAGATGATTCCCGTAATAGTATGTAATAAATACTACAACATACCTATATATATATAGAGAGAGAGAAAGAGAGAAAGAAAGAGATGTGTTTGGGAATGTATGATACTATGTTTCTTGGATAGAGATTTCATTTTGTTAATATTTGTCTTATACTTATTTACTATACAACTCTTCAATTCATACAAATTCGCAAGTATCTAAAAACCAATTGTCGGTCTCGAATAGTATACTAATCCAAATTTACTATCTATTACATTCATTTATCATTTGATATCACGTTTGTCTGCGTGCTTTTTTTTTCCCTTTGAGTTGAATTACTATTGCCAAATCTTATACTATCCACTCTTTTTATTTTATCAAGTTTATCCTTTCCTTTGGTTTTCATTCAATAAACTAACTTTGAATACATTCATTAAGAATTCTTTTCTTTCTTTTTTGCTTTCTTTTTATTATTGACACTTATCCTTTTTTCCATTCCTTTTTTTTTTTAGTTTTTTGTTTCATTTTGTATTTAATTATGAAGTTCTCTCAACTTTTATCACATTTCACCTTTATGTCAACTGCATTGGCTGTCCCCAATGAAATATCTTCTAAGCATCATGATCAACATCCTAACGAGAAACGTGGTGTTGTAGTAGTCACAGAATACGTTGATCAAGACGGTAAAGTTGTGATCCCTCCTGAAAGTATCGTGTCAGCAACTACTTCTGCCGCTACCATTACCAATACTGACACAAATAAACAGACTACGACTACATTATCCCCTGATGGGGCAACTCCCACTTCCACAACAGGTTCATCCACAACTAATAATGCAGCTAATGGTATCTTCAAAGATGGGATTTACAAATGTTCTGAATTTCCATCGTTCGTATCTGGTGTTATACCAGTGGATTGGATCGGTCTAGGTGGTTGGTCATCTATTCAAGATTCAAACGGCCAAACAGTTACAAGTTGTGAAGACGGCATGTATTGTTCTTATGCATGTGATGCTGGGCAAGTTAAGACCCAATGGCCTGAGGACCAACCAGATAATGGTTCCTCTCTAGGTGGGCTGTATTGTAAAAACGGTTATTTGTACAGAACTAATACAAACTTCGATCACCTATGTGAGGATACTAACAGCCAAGTCACTGTGATAAATAATGTGGATATTGGAGAGGTCGTTTTGTGTAGGACTGATTATCCAGGCTCGGAAAACATGGATATCCCAACTGTGGTTGGTACTGGTCAATCACAACCACTAGCTGTGATCGATCAAGACACCTATTATAAGTGGAGTGGAAAACACACTTCTGCACAATATTATGTAAACAACGCTGGTGTCTCAAAGGAAGATGGCTGTATCTGGGGGGACCCTCAATCTGGAGTCGGTAATTGGGCTCCTTTAGTGATAGGTGCAGGCAAGGCTAATGGTCTAACATATATATCCTTGATTCCAAATCCAAATACTGATAAAGGCGCCAATTTCAATATTAAATTCAAAGGGGATGATTTGAACGGCAGCGATAGTTGCTCGTATATTGATGGTAAATTGTCTTCCACCGACGGTTGTACTGTATCTGTTTTATCTGGTTCTCTTGAAATCATATTTTACTGATTTCATAATAAATTTAAAAAAAAAAAAAATCAAAATAAAAATTCTTTTTTTTTTTTTTGTTTTTTTTTGCATAAATTATAGTTCGTTTCTTGTTATTACCACCCATAATTTTTTTTTTCTTTATACTTTCGCTATATACCTTATATTTCTAGATTTGTCTTTGAATTGATACCCACTTATACATCACACATAAATGTATTATTTGTGTTTTCCGTTTTTTTATGTATATCTATACTTTCCTGTATTAATATTGTATCTATATTATATGATTCTACAAAATTTACTTCTATAACTATATATATATGTATATATATATTGCGTGTTGACTTATACTTTTCTAATAATAAGATAGGCGAAACTTCCAATCCTTATTTCTTTGAATTTTGTGATTGTTTAGATTTGATATGGAATTGTACACCCCATAATTCTTTCTTGATACCAAACAATCCACCAAGAATCCTGTTGGAACGTAATCTTTGTCTAGAGAAACATTTGAATCCCTTTGACAACAAAGTCTTCTGTAGATCATGTTCTATAGATTCAACCTCAATAATCAATTTACAAGAGGATTTCTTACCGTTATTGATCTTTTCTGTTCTGATCATTGCCCAATCAATCAAATCGCCTAAAATCCCCGACTTAATATATACTTTTCTACAACCTAAAGTGCTTATCGTGACACAGATTGATGTGTCACTGGACAACACGTGGGATTCACTCACAGAAATTAATGCAATTGGAGTATTTCTATAGACGATGATGTTTGTGTTTTGCAAAACTGTTTCATCTGGAATTTTTTGTTGAGCCAATTGATTCAATTCGACATTAAATAATGGTAACCCATTGGACTTAACGATTTTATCTACCTCTGCTTTATAGACAGTTTCCACTAAACGAGATAATAATGTGAAAATCAAAGAAATTAACATGGTAGAACTAATCAACATGGTGAAAAAATGGGCCTTGTTTAGAAGGAAAAGGTGATATAACCATTGTGTAACAGATAAAAAACCATGAGGGTAGACCAATCTAGGTATCATGATGATCAAAACAATCAAGGTAATGAAACTTAGAACAAAGGGATGCAATAATAAATATTTGTTAGCCAGGGATTGTCTCTGTTTAATGAAATCAACAGAGAGATTTAATGCAGCTGTGGCATATTCGGGGGTTAATGTAGTTTGAAAAATCGTTGGTGGAGAATCTACATCTAATGGTTTATCCAAAGCTGCATCGACCTGTTTAATCCTTGGAATTTTCACCTGATTTTGTACTCTAGCCATGATTGGTTGTTTTTATTTTGTGTAATCTTCTCTCTTATTTGTATATGTTGTTGTAAATTGGAGAAGGGTTATAAATAGAGAATTGAACAGTGTCAATAAAGGTATTTATGATTATAAAATAGAATAGAATAAAAAAAGTGGAAAAGGAAGAATCACTCTGTATTTGTAAATCTAGTTTATTTTTAATTATTTTATTTTCCAATCCCGATACATTGAGCAAAAACCGAGGAAATGAAAGATTGAATAAATGAAGATGAAAAATAAATAAACAAAAACAAAAAATAAAACAAAAACAAACACTCAATAGTAATGTATTTGAAAAACGAAGTTTATCAACTGCTTATATCTCTAAGATAAAAAGGAAAAAAAAAAAAGAAAAAGGCATTTTGATTCATCCTACTACAACATTATTACAGAAACTGACATGGTTCCAAGGACGATATGCCCCAAATCTTTGTCTTAATGATTACATTTACCTTTGGATAAGGGAATAATGTACTTTGTTCTTTGAAATTTATAGAACATAAGAAAATAATATATATATATATTAATTAAATATAATATACTACTCCACTATAAACAAGAAATATAATTTTTTCTTGGGTTAACTTGACAAAGTTCATTTCTTGAAGTACGATGATACTTTTTGCAAGTATCTTCCCAATACCCACCGTCTCAATCCTGTATTCTTTACATATATATATATAGGACATCAGAATGCCATTTTTTACTCAATACAAAATTAGACAGCTGAACTATGCTACACGATTGCAAGAAACGAACTTACCTTTTGTTTATCTTTTCTTTTGGGCCTATATAAAGTCATGGTACAAGATTTAAATATAAGGATAAATAGACATATCCCTATCTTTACATACGGTTGGATCATTAGTCGAACTATGTCTATGCAACAGTTCTATTCTCCAACTAGACGTTTCACTTCACATTGTAGAAAAAAAAATTAATAAATTTACAGATCGTTCCTATATTTCATTTTGTATGTATGACTCTTCGTGTAGTTTTTTCGTCTTTATTGTTTTTTTTTTATTTTTTTTTCTTATTGTGGTTTTTTATTTTTCTTTTTGTTGTTTTTTAAATCCCCTCACAGTTTTCTTTCCCGTTTTATTTCCTTTTGTGGTTACTTGAAAAAAATTATCAATCAGATTAATAAATAAATAAATAAATAAATAAATAAAGAAACAAATATACAAGCAAAAAAAGAAAAGTGTTTGTCTTTTTTATTTTTTTTTGTTTCATTTCTCTCCCGTAACGTTTTCTTTTTGTTTCTCGGTTCATCTGTTTTTTGTTATCGCAATCGTTATCGTGGTCATCATTATCATCATTATCATAGTATTACCATCACGAACCCGGGCTTTCATGACTCTTACTTTTCAATCTTCCTTCGATTGTTAAAAATCACCAGTCTTGCTATTCCCACGCTTTTCGAAAAGTGCTTTTCACTGAACTTAAAATTCATTTTGTCTTATTTATATATGCAATAAATGAATGATTGTGAATGGAAATGCGTGCGATGAACGCGTTGCGACAATATTTTTTGTAGATATAATAGTGAAAAGTAATCAAGGTGTCAGATAATTAATGTCATCTCTCTCTCTTTCTCCCTCTCTCTCTATATATATATACGTATACATAGTTGCATAATTAAGAAAAGTTTGAAGAAATTATAATCGACAACGAACATCCTATTTTTTTTTCTTTTTGTTTTTATATCTTTTTTTTTCCACCAATTTGTGCATGATTTTCCAATAACTATCTAATTCGTTACTTTAATAGTACTGTCTTATATATTAAATTATCTTCTTTAACATTCATTGCATTATACTCAACTTTTTCTTTCTTTCTTTCTTTCTTTTTATTATTACTATTATTATTATAATCTTTTTTTTCCTGATTCTTTTTTGTTTTCAGTTAGTAGTCGTATTTTAACTTCCGACAGAATTTAAGTTCCTCTTTATTCAATCACAGTTTATTATTGAAAAACATAACTTATTTACATACTTTACTATTGTTGTCAGTTAGGTTTTATATTATACTAAAATAAGTTGTAATTTCAGTAGTCAAATAACTATGACCAAATCAAGTCCTTTCATTACTCCAGAAAACTTAGATACGTTTGAAACATCAACATCAGATTTGGTCAATAATAAATCTAATGCTACTCCATCAAGAATAATTAAAGATATTTTAGCTGGTACATCGGGTGGTATCGCTCAAGTTCTGGTGGGTCAGCCGTTTGATACTACAAAAGTTCGTCTACAAACATCCAAATCTGGTACTACATTACTTGATGTGGTCCGTTCTCTTATAAAAAATGAGGGGCCTCTAGCATTTTATAAAGGTACTTTGACTCCATTGGTTGGTGTTGGTATTTGTGTATCTGTGCAGTTTGGTGTCAACGAGGCTATGAAAAGATTCTTTCATCATAGAAATCATGGGTTACCGATCACTCTGCCACAATACTATCTCTGTGGTATGACCGGTGGTCTTGTTAATTCATTTCTTTCGTCTCCTATTGAACACGTTAGAATCAGATTGCAAACACAGAAAAGCAATGGTCTAGACAGAGAGTTTAAAGGTCCTTTAGATTGTATCAGCAAGTTGATAAAACAACGTAGTTTAATGAGAGGACTACCTGTGATGATGCTCAGGGCAGGCCATGGGATAGGTTGTTATTTTCTTGTATACGAAGCATTGATTCAACATGAAATGAAAAAGGGTATAGCGAGAGCAGAATTGCCAGCATGGAAACTTTGTACCTTTGGTGGAATTGCAGGTACAGTGTTATGGATAAGTATTTACCCATTGGACGTTATTAAATCTGTGATACAGACTGATAGATTGCATAACCCTGTATTCAAGAATTCTATGATTAAGGTTGCTAAAAATTTATATGCTAAAGAAGGTCTCAGTGCATTTTTTAAAGGGTTTGTACCAACTTTATTAAGAGCTTCGCCAGCTAATGCTGCCACTTTTGTTACATTCGAATTCGCTTTAAGAATGATGGGATAAACACTTTGAAAGAATTCTTTTTTTTTTTTCTTTCCTATTTAATAGTCGGTTTATTTTATTTCTCGTCTTTTATATATAGATGCATTTTTGTATTTTTTTTATTTTTTTTTTTGGTGAAATTTTGATAGAGAAATTTTTACTACTTATGTAGATAGATAAAAATATGAAAAAAAAAAATTATCATGGTTGTATGTAAAAGGTTTGATTTATGTTTTTTTTATTAATGGATGGGTCTTGATCTTTTTTTCTTCTTCACTTTATAATGTTTATTATGAAGAATAAGATTAGAGGTAATGACTAAAGATAGTCCGAAGTTTAAATCTATATTTAATGGCAGTTTTTATTTTTAAAAAAAAAGGCTTTTCAAACTAATCATAATGCTAGAAATAAAAAAAAAAAGAAGAAAAAAGAAAAAAAAGGGGAGAAGCTATACAAACTATTATTATAGAAGTCTCTTGCTTCTAATTAAACACAAAGAAAAATATATACTAAACATATCATTTCTTGTTAAAAAATATTGAAATATGATTAGAGTTATGTTCGATAATGTAAATTCACCGTACTAAGTGATTAAAAGGTATGAAAATTTATATTAAAGAAAACTCGAAGATAAAATGAGTATACTGTATAATATTGTATCTTGTATATTATTTATGTAAAGAGAAAAAGACCAAGCAATGAAATAACAGTTTATGGTACGACTAATTTCCTACTATAAATAGTTGAGAACTTAGAATACCATCAATATCCTATTGTAAGTTATATTATTTTATCATATTAATTCGAAATGAACAGTAATAGAATTTGTGATTCCAAGACCTTATTTCAACAAAAAAGAAAGAGTATATATATTACTCGTACACTCCTTTATGATAATTTTATTTAGAAGCAGAGAAAAGCAACAAGATAATTAGAAAAAGGGTACAAAAGAATATACTCAGCAGATTAGTAAAATCACCTATAGTTAATAATGGGTGCTTCTATAATAATTTGCAAATTTTATTCTTTTGATTGTAAGCATATATCACACTATGTTTTTTCTTTATGGATAGATCCTTTAAATAGAAGGATAAATATAATATCCATTTATTATTAAAACAATTTTTACACTTTATTGTTATATGATTAGTTATTTTTTAGTGATAACACAACCATATAGAAGGCCAACAAAAGTGGCTATTGTTAGCCTATAGTCATGATGACGATAATTGTTTAATAAAAAATACATTTTGTGTTTCATAGTTTCGTCCATTACACTATATCACTTAAGACACCCTTATTGACTCAGTCCAAAAATGTAAAAATGAACGGAACAAAGAAACAAAGAAAAAAAAGAAACTTTTCTATAAAATTCGAAGAATCTGTAGTGCCATTAGAAAAGTCCGAGCAATTTTTGAGGACATTAAAATAACTCTATTTTCAAAACTTGCTATAACCTTTTTCTTTTTTACTTCTATTTTTTGAGGGTTTGGTAAAGATAAAGAAAATATTTTTGAGCAATATTTTAGGGTTAAATGTAAAAGCTTTAAGGAAAACGAATATAGATGTATCTGATTTTCACTATATAATATAACTGATTACAAGACTTTCTAAAAAACTAGCTAGCTACTTATAATATTAAAAATTTTATTACATGTCTAAATAGAAAAACTATCACTTGAATAAATATACTTATTCTATCAATAGCTTATTGTATATTCTTGGCATAACGAACAGTATTATACTCTCTTAGATACACACATAGAAAAAGAAAAAAAAGTGTTTTAGGGTTTTAAAATAATAGTCCTGAAATTTCGGAAATTAAAAATTCTAACAGTATAGGTTTTTTAAAAAATTCCACAATCTTTCTCTACATAATTAATTAGAAAATCCAAGTAAAACCGTGGTACCGTTTTCTTGATTTCTTTTTTTTTTCACTTGCGCTTCGGGGAATTAGAAAATTTAAACAATAAGTTATTTGCTCAAAAACAGATATTTACTCTATCATAAAAGAAAACAATACAAACCCCACACCAAATCTTCACAGATTAAGAGATCTTTCCACTTCTTAGTTATTAATGTCTTCATTAAATTAAGAAACAATTAACAATTCGGAAATTTAATCTTACAAATCAGGGATGAGACTAATTATGTAATATCAAAGTATACATGGTGACTTATTGAACATTGTAAACTACTGATAAGTAAAATTATCAACATATTGTGAAAGTTTCCATGAATCAAAATGATATAAATACCTTAATGTTGATTGAACTATTCAAAAGTCTTAATTGCATCTTTGTTTATATTCATACTCTACATAAAAAAAAACAAGATCAAGAAACCCAATAATATAAAGAATATCATTCATTTTTGTACTATAAACTAGATTAGAAAAACCTAAAAATAAACGACAAAAAAAATGCCATTTGTAAAAGACTTTACCCCAGTTGCTTTGAAGGACACTACATTATTTAAGCCAATCCAAATTGGTGATATTGAATTGAAACACCGTGCTGTTATGCCTCCATTAACCAGAATGAGAGCACATCACCCAGGTAACATTCCAAACAGAAATTGGGCTGCTGAATATTATGGCCAAAGATCTAGATATCCAGGCACCTTACTTATCACTGAAGGTACATTCATTTCCCCACAGGCAGGTGGGTATGATAACGCACCAGGTATATGGTCCCAGGAACAAGTTGACGAATGGGCTAAAATTTTTAAAAGAGTCCATGACAACAAGTCATTTATCTTTGTTCAAATATGGACTTTAGGTAGACAATCCTTTGCTGACACTCTAGCAAGAGACGGTTTACGTTATGATTCTGCTTCTGATGATATATATATGGATGAAGAACAAAAGGAAAGAGCTTTGAAAGCTAATAACCCACAACATGGTATTACCAAGGATGAAATCAAACAATATATCAAAGAATATGTCAAAGCTGCTAAAAATGCTATTGCTGCTGGTGCAGATGGTGTCGAAATCCATTCTGCTAACGGGTTCCTATTAAACCAATTCTTAGATCCAATCTCTAACAAACGAACTGATGAATATGGTGGTTCAATTGAAAACAGATCTCGTTTCGTATTAGAAGTTGTTGATGCTGTTGTTGAAGCTGTTGGCCACAAGAAAGTCGGTATCAGATTCTCTCCATACGGTCTTCATGGTACTATGTCTGGTGGTGCCGAACCATTAATTGTTGCCCAATATGCCCATGTTATTGGCGAATTGGAAAAAAGAGCTAGACAAGGTAAAAGATTAGCTTATATCCATGTGGTCGAACCACGTGTCACTGATCCATTCTTAGTCGAGGGTGAAGGTGAATACGACCAAGGTACAAATGACTTTGTTTACTCTATTTGGAAAGGTCCAGTTATTAGAGCTGGTAATTTAGCTTTGCACCCAGAAGTCGTTAAGGAACTAGTTAAAGATGACAGAACTTTGGTCGCTTATGGTAGATTCTGGATTGCCAACCCCGATCTCGTTGAAAGATTAGAAAAGGGTTTACCGTTAAACAAATACAATAGAGACACCTTCTATGCTATGACTGATAAGGGATACATAGATTACCCAACTTATGAAGAAGCTGTTAAGTTAGGCTGGGACAAACAATAAATTGTATTTGCTTGTTAGTTCATTAGTTTTTTTGATTTATTTATAATTCATTATAGCAAAGAATCTAGTTTGTAGATCACTAATATACAGTCATATATATTTATAAAAATAAATTCATAATATCATTCATTTTAAAACAGAGATTTTCTATAGTTACTGTTTTTGTGTTAAATTTTATAAATTAAGAATGGTTTACTTTTGTTAATTCTGAACACTTGTCAAACTTTTTGTGCCATAACTAAATCGTAATATGGCTATATTTGAACGCTGGCTTGAGTTTGAAGAAAGATATATCCTTGACTGACAATGAATTTAGGTTGCTCCCAATATATCAATTGTAAACTTTTATACTGGCACTGTAACATATATTTCTATAATTCTATATATATAATTCTATATTTATATGTGCGTAAATGAATTTACATACTTTATGTCTAAACAAATTCATGAGATGAACTACCTGGTATTTTTGCGTAAGGTACCAATTCCAGTTGTTGAAATCTTTCGGCATCTTTGTGATAGTAGAAACCTTGAATGTTCCCCGTAAATTGATCGTGTACAATATAATAATAGCCATCAAATGATGCACCTTCGATAGTATCCATGTCAGGATTCTCAATTAAAAATTTCTCTTTCCATCTCATGAAAATATATCTTTGGTTTAGGTAATCTTTAACATGGTTCGATATCATATTAATGTCGATTGATTTATTATTAAATTGATCAATATCAAACATTTCCTTAAATGCTGGAAAATTCAACCAATGTTCAAAATCGTTGAAATCAAAAGAGGTTAAATCAAGATGATAATCCCATGAAGATGAGAAGAACCCGAAATTATTATCAGTGACAGCAAATGATTCAAAAAATGTAGAAATTTCATCTTGGTAATTTGTCAACCCTTTTATTGATAGAAACCCTGTCATATGTGGCGAAGATATATTGGTTTTATAGTTGTGTTGGACAGGAAAATTAACTGTTTTTAAAGTCACTGTAACTTGATATCTCTTATATCCTGATATTTGATATCCAGTAAATGTCATTGAAGGTTTCAAAAAATTTGTCTGTTTTGAATATTTAATAGGAGGGTCAATTGAAAGAATATCAATATTGGTAGTATCATTAAAAAGAATAGTATGTGAATATGAAGAGGTATCGTTAAATATATATTTTTTATAAGTAGGAAGAGTACCCAATTTATCATCTGTGGAAACAAGTGTAGATAGGGAATCAGTTGAATTATATTTTGAAAGTATTCCAAGTGACATTGAAGAGAGCTTACTTTGGCATTCATATTCTTTAAGTATTTGTGCTAGGTATAACTTTCTTTCGTTATCACTGTTCGATATTCCATTACAAAAATATTGGTTTTCATTTTTTGTTTGATTATGTTTATTGGATTGTAATGTCAAAAGATCATCAGATGAAGGAGTAGATATTAAGTGTTCTCTTTTTTGTCTTTTTAGAAGATGAACATCTTTATGATCTTCATGATCATTTACTTTAGTAGTTTTGTGTCTTATTGATGTTTTTTGGTCAATCATTAATGCAGATATAATATAATTTTGTAATTTTTTTCTTCTAATAATAATATTAACGCATAAAGAAGCAAAATGATACGTTCAAAGAGATCAAATGGAATAATAGGGTTTATTGTTTATGTTGAAAAGAACACACAAAAGAAAAACTTTGTTTGTATTGAGTATATGTATCGTTAGTGTTGCAAAAGATCAAAACAGTATGCTCAATATAAAATCATATTGAAAATGTGGGGGAAACTAAGCAGCTAAATAGGACATAAATACCGGCTATACACTGGATTATTGAATCTTTAAATATAAATAACAAATGCTTGAAGACAGAGTCGACGAGAAAATCATTGCAAATTTTAAATAGTATTCTTGAGTTTTACTATTAAGAAAGACTTTAAAACTGTATTGTTTAGGGATATGAATAAAATAATTTGAGATTAACAAAATAAAAATAAAAAAAAAAAAAAGAAATCACGAGAAAAATAAAATGCATTTTTTTTAAAAAAGAAGAAAAGAAGAAAAGAAATTAAAAAATAAGGGCTGATTGGAAAATTATCCTTTTGAAATCCCCATAAATAAATAAAGAATAAAGGTTTATAAAAAAATGGAATACTATAGAGGAAAACTTTCCTTTATCACTAATTATAGAAACTCTTTTTCCTAAATAACCAGGGGTTGTTATGAACGTGAACTGTACAAGTATCCAATTCCAAACATTGGTAAGTTAGGGTTCAGGTAAAAAAAGAAACAAAACAATCAAAATGCAAAAGAAAAAAAAGAAACTTCATAGGCACTCTTTAAAGGCAATTTATTGGTTCAAGATCTTATCACTGATTATTCTTTAAAAGGACAGGAAAACAATTGTAGATAAGATATTTGTCTGAGATATTTACTGCAATAATATTCTCTTGACAACCCTATATGAGGAGCAAATTGAATATTACATCTAAATGCTATTTTTGTGTGGCACCCTTGCTTTGCTTATATTATGATACCAGAATCGCTTTTTATTGAGTAAAGTTTAGCAATTAATAAAATAAGCTATATAATGAAACACTTGCAGGTAACTTTGTGATATGAAATAGATTAAACTCAAATTGAATAGTTAATTATTTGCCAACAGTCTGAGGAAACTCATTGAAGTGTTTGTGCACTCTCTTTTCCATTGAGTTGATTCTATGTATTTCTCCACCAAAACTTTTTTGATCACTTTTCTCTAGTGAATCTAATTCATAATACATATCAGTCCTATTAACCCATTCCATAAGTTCAGTAAAATTATAGTCATGTGTATTTAATAATAAATTCTTTTAATTTATCTGGAAAAAGCAAAGATTAGGAGGTGGCATAGAGAAAAGTCGTAAACTAGATTTTTTTTATAGGAATCATCTTTGTTTCAAGGTCTGTGAGGGTGTGGACGAGGTCTTTTTCGTATACTACATGACAGTTATATCTAATAAACATAGATAATTAAGTTGAAAGGCCTGGTATGCCAGCATATTTTACTATACTTTGTCCTCTTTGAATTAGAAACGTTGAAAGAAATAGCATTGTTTAAGACTTTTAATTTCTACACTGAATTTTTAACTGAATACTTTTTATAAGAGATTACAGCTTATTGATAGAATATACACCTTATAGTGTTTTTGTTTTTAACAATAAAATAAAATCTTGCCACAGTCGCATTAGAAAAAGCTGCTTTAAACATACTAGAAAGTAGTTTCTTTTCTTTTAGAGGCATTTGTTCATTAATTGAGTTATTATTTATTTATTTATTTCTTTTGGGGAAGCGTTTCCATGATATAATTTCTATTGAATAGTAGTAAAATATTCCCTAACCCCAATGCTTTTTCTTTCACGCCTAAGATTTTAAAACTAATCAAAAATATAACCCTAATTTTAAATATCAAAAAGAGCCCCATTTTTAAATTCCCACTACGAGAATTTCCATATATAAAGATTGTACAAGCCGATTTATTTTTTTTTTTTCGTTTCTTTTTCCTTTTGGTTTGTGAAATAAGCAAAACTTAAATGTGTTGAATTTTCTTTTTCTTCTTTTGTCTTCCTTGATATTCTCTTTGTTGATTATCTCTCTATGCATATACATTATTTTTTTTTTCGGTAAAGCACTTTTCACAATCCAAAAGTAGTTGAAAAAATGTATTTAACACAGAAAAAAGCTTTGGAGTAATTCATATTTTAATACTCATTATTTTTACTTGTTTCTTGTCTTTTTGCCACCATTCCTTTCCCATCCGTTATTGAACAATTTGTTTCCTTAATCCTAGCCCGTGTTGTTCATTATTTCTTTCTTCTTGCTGATCAATAAAAGATTACGGTCGAGGAAGTTTGCAGTTATTTTTTTGAGAATAAGTGAGACAACTCATCAAATAAAACACAGTATTATCTACTTATATTCATCCCCATCTCACAGGATACTATAATAAAGTTAACTTAAAAAAAGGAAAAGAAAAAAGAAAAAATGGTGAGCCCTGCAGTTACAAACATTGTTTTCATGCTTGTCATGATGCAATTATCTCGTCGTATTGATTTAGAAGATGAAACTATTATTATGTACGTTAGAACAGCATATCTAATTTCGGTTGTCTCTGCCTACATTGTTTACCAAATAGTGAAACAAAAAATTGTAGCTAAGAATGATTTGACTAAAGTCAAAGTTGTTACTCCAAAGAACCCAATGAAGCCAGAAGAATCTGAAAAAGTTAAATATATGACTGTTAAAGAGTACGATTTGGAACAAGTAGATCAAGCTATCAAGGGTATTTGGACTGGTGTGGCCATGATGGCTTTTATGCATTTATATATGAAGTACACTAACCCATTATTTATGCAATGTTTGAACCCAATTAAAGGTGCATTGGAACACAATGTTACAAGAATCAATTTATGGGGTGCCAAAGCTGAAGGTGACTTACAAAGACCATTTAAATCACCAAGTATTCTTGATGCTTTCATGAAGAAGCCAGAAGAGAACACTGCTGTTGAAGCTTCCTCTTCCTCCTCCTCATCTCTTTCTTCTTCTAGTGAACCAAAGATTGTCGAACTAAAAGATGAAAAAACTTCCACTACCACCACTACTTCTGAATAAAATGAAGGTGTATATATGCCAAATCCTTATTCAGGTTGTTTTTCCACGTCTCTTATAAATTATTTTTATTGTAAAATCAGATGGATGCATCCAAATATATATATCTATGTACGTATTATATTGCAGTGTATGTATCTAATTGTGCCTGCTCTATTTTTTTTCTTTTTTTCATTTATATATTTTTGATACAATATAATAATTACATTTAAAATCTATTAACCCACGTTACAAACAGTCTTAATGGACTGTTCTATATAGCTTGGAAGAATATAAAAAAAAGGAAGACCTTTGTTAGATATGAAAAAGAGTTAATATTATGATATATTTATTTCACCGATTAGCAATAAGTAAATAAAAAAAAAGCATACAAAATATTAACTTAAAACTTTGTGTAAATAGATGAATGGCAATATCTCATTCATAATATCCAAACTATCATCTTCATTAACTAATATAATAATACGATTTGTTATTGTCATAAAATTTCTTAATAAAATTTGTTTTATGGGTAATTTCATAATGTAGAAACCACTGATATTTTCGATATATTCCACAATCAACTTGCAAAATAATCTGCATTTGTTTATATAATCATCGTTAAATCTGTTATGGTTCTGATTTTCTTGGAATTTATTCCACAAATTCAAACAACTGCTGCTTGAAATCTCAATTGAATATCTATCTAATAATGAATCCTTCTTTTGAGATTCAAACATTATTTTTACTGAATAAAATTGCGAAGCACTTTTACCTGGTATCAGATTATCCAATATATGAAACATGTCACTATTATCAAATGTTACTGGCCATAATATTACACCTGTTTCGTCTTTCAACCATTGAGAAAATTGATTCCACAATTGTTGATTTAAACTAAGATCACTGTTACAACTGGACACAATCATCCTCTGATCATGTATGTTACCATAAAAATGCAATTCGAATTGATCATTTTTTATATAACAACTATAGCTCCCATTTCTTTTTATTGCGTTGTTTTCTTCAAACACCAAATTTATTTGCAACAATTCTTCCAATTCGTAGATATTGTCAGAATTCAAAATAATAAATCGATTTAACCCATAGAAGTTACATTCAGAGGGCATCTGGCTATTGTTGACTAATATATATTACCTAATATTAGACGATGCACAGTATGTTAAAAAAGAAAAATAGAGAACAAAATGTGATGTTGTAAGAAACATCATATGTCCTTCTATCGCCTTTTTTTTAAATCTTTCTGTAATTTTTTTTTTTTTCATTTTTCTTTATGAGTTCACAATAATGATTTAAACATTATATATTCACAGACCGAATAGACAAAGGTATAATTGATATTGAGTATGTGCAACATTACATATGTTAAGATTCCCTACACATATTGTGGATACTCAAAGACTAAACAATATATTACATTTTAAAAAATTATATTTATCAAGTTAACCAAAGCTAGGATCATCCATGGAATAATGTAAATATAAGCATACACACACACACATACAAACATATATATGAGACTGAGTCGAATAGAAATATTATAACAACAATAATTAGAAGAACTTTTCAGGTAAATCTAACCTACCATATCTAAGAAAATTTTCGTCATTATGCTTGTAGGTATTTCGAGAATAACCTAAAACTATTTGATAACAGTGCCTTTTTTTTTAAAAAATCATTAACTGTTTGATGACTTATCAAAAGAGCATTATAGACCTATACGTAGATTGAATCAGCCTGCAAGCACATTCTTGAGACGCGTCAGACACACGCCTTACAATGACTAGAATATACTCTGAATCGTCTATCGGTAGGCTTGTTTAATTGTTTGGCTATTTGTTTGTTGGCATTTTCAGCTTAATTGTTGTAGTCTCCTTGGGATTCCATTCATCTCTTTGTTTGGTCTTGCTTTCAATCGTTTCTTTTTCTTTTTCGGTGAAAAATTTGACCTGTGATGCCTTTGCAGAAATAAAAAAAAAAAAATAATTTTTTTTCTTCACATCTTGCTAATAGATATCGAGCCATCTGTCCTTCTTGGGAAAGACAAATATATAAAAAGGTTACTTGGATACAATGCAAAGATGAGAGTTTCATTTTGCCTGCCTTATAATGTTTGTTTTTTTTGATATGTTGAATTTAGAACAAAGTATAAGAAACAAGCATCAGGTTTAATATCCTTTCCTCCCCCCAAAGAAAAAAATGTCTGAAGAAATTACTCACCCAACTATTGTCGACGGATGGTTCAGAGAAATCTCTGATACCATGTGGCCAGGTCAAGCCATGACCTTAAAGGTTGAAAAGGTCCTTCACCATGAGAAATCTAAATATCAAGATGTTCTTATCTTCAAATCTACTGATTACGGTAATGTCTTGGTCTTAGACAATGCCATTCAAGTTACTGAACGTGACGAATTCTCATACCAAGAAATGATTGCTCATTTAGCTTTAAACTCTCATCCAAATCCAAAGAAGGTTTTAGTCATTGGTGGTGGTGATGGAGGTGTTCTTAGAGAAATTGTTAAGCATGAATCTGTTGAAGAAGCTATTCTTTGTGACATTGATGAAGCTGTCATTAGACTTTCTAAACAATACTTGCCAAACATGGCCGCTTCTTACAACCATCCAAAGGTCAAGGTTCATGTTGGTGATGGTTTCCAGTTCTTAAGGGATTATCAAAACACTTTTGATGTGATTATCACCGATTCTTCAGATCCGGAAGGTCCAGCTGAAAGTTTATTCCAAAAACCATATTTCGAATTATTAAATGATGCTTTGACTGAAAGGGGTGTAATTACTACTCAAGGTGAAAGTTTTTGGTGCCATTTACCTATTATTAAGAAAGTCAAACAAAGTTGTCGTGAAGTGTTCCCAGTCGTTGAATATGCTTGGACTTCTATTCCAACTTATCCAAGTGGTATGATTGGTTTCATGGTTTGTTGTAAGGACAAGAATGCTAATGTCAAGAAACCATTACGTTCTATTCCACCAGAAGAAGAAGAAAAACAATACAAATATTACAGCAAAGCCATTCATGAGGCTTCTTTTGTTCTTCCAACTTGGGTTGCTAAAGAATTAAAATAAATGTGCTGTTAGCATACTTCCTTTTCTAAGGTGACTCTAGTGGTAATTTTACCGTTTATCTGTCTTTTTCTTTCTTTTTTACATTAAATACATTCATATTCTAATATATGTTCATACATATATTTATTATATATATACACATACGTATATATATATAATACTTGTAAAGTTCCTCGCACTGTCAATTTTTCACTATTCTATTGTATGTTGTTATGCTTATTAATAGATAATCTTTGCATCTTTCATACAATTCTCCCAACTTGACTGCCATCTATATCGTGATTCCTTTATAGCTCCTTTTTTCAAACTTTCAGCAATACCTTTATCTTTCACTGCAAATATTATGGATCCATGTAACTCTCTTCTATCAGCAAATTTTAGACCATTGATGTTGTGTTTAACTAATTCATCTAAAGTAGGATAATTAAATGCGATAACTGGAATACCAGATCCGAACATATCCAAAATCTTCATAGGTAGATCAAGTCCTGAGCTTGAATTATGCAATGAAATACCGTAATCACATAGGCTTAGCAATTTGGGGTAGTCTTCTGGACTCAACCATAGAAATTCGATATGGACACGATTCCAACTTTTGAAAGCGTTCACTTCTTTCACAATTTTGGGTTTCAATGGACCCTTTCCTGTAATTAGACATAATATTCTTGGCAATGTCTTGTCAAATTTTTCAAACGAATTTTCATATATCTTTAATGCACCTAATAGAATACTTATATCTTCATCTGGTGTAAATGATGTAGAGGTAACAATAATCTTATCACCACATGATAAGTCAAACCCTTTTGGGATAATATTTTTAAAAAATGGTTCTGAAAGAATAGCTGCAGTCCTTTTTTCTATGATGGACTCAGTATTACTCTTATCAGTGTCTTCATTAGTACTGTTAAAAGGTTTGAATTGAGAAGCTGGTCTATCATATAAAACATAACATCTATTCGAATTGAGCCAAAACTTATTAATAAGAAAATCTTTCATGGTATTAGTTACGGTCAAATTATAATCAGCCATATGGGAAAAAACTAACTCAACAAAAATAGAAATAATTACTAAAGGATGAGAGGTATTCCCATTATATTTCAATCTTAAAATAGAATAAGCTAAATTGTGCCAATCGATAATTAACTTTGTTCCTGTAAGAATCCTGTATAGTGCCACAATAGGTAAAATGGGGATACTTGGTGGATTTTGAATCAGAATATAATTACTACCTCTTAGTTCCCAGAGATGTTTAATAATTCCAAAAAATTGGTAGAATACTTTCTGTATCATTTCAATTATTCCATTCTTTGATGATTTAATTCCTTGTAAAGTATGAATAGTAATATTATTATCTTTTAATATGAATTCAGGTAAGGTACTATCTACATAACCACATAATTCAACTTGAAATCCCTTACTGCTAAAACTTCTTGCATGGTAACATATACGGGGTGAATGACCTAAATCTCCTAATACATATATGATAATTCTTTTTTTCATTGATCCAGACCCAACCAAAATATATGGAATTATGTAATAAACCACTAATGGGATACTTAAATACATAATAATAAGGCTTATTAGCCATTTAGGTAGTTCGATGTCCCACATTGAAACTTCCTTTTTTTTTTACTATAGTACTATTAAATCACGTTAATAAATCGCCAATATTAGTATATTCTTTCTATTGATTTGTGGATGGCTTCTAATGTCAATAATAAACCAATAACAAGCTTCATTAATTATTTAAACCGATTGTTGTCTGAGGAACCCTCATCTGGTATTATTTCCCTTTTTATTCCATTCCAGGCTTTACTATTCGAGTCTTATTGGGAAACTTTTTTTTTATTCTGACAACCCGTTGTAAATGATCAGATTTCGATATTTTTTTAGTTTTTTACTCTAATAAAACCAAATCTAAACTAATAAAGATATCTTGACAGAAGAACGGAAAACTAATCATGATAGACTATAGTGCTTGGTTGGAGGTGTTTTTTGATAGTTAGCTACATTTTCTATTGGTAACTTGTCACTAGTCTTTCACCACAAATAGTTGTAAAAAAGGTTTTCTATTCACTTTACAGTGCAATTATAGCTTTAAGGAACATCCTTTATTGGAATCCACTCGAAAGTTAGCAAGATTAAACAAAACCCAATATAGTGTGAATATCGTCTAAAAACAAGGTTAAGTAAGAAAAAAATAAATAAGAATATAATGTCCTCCAACTTAACTGAAGAACAAATTGCCGAGTTTAAGGAAGCCTTTGCTCTTTTTGACAAGGATAATAATGGTTATATTTCCTCTAGTGAATTAGCTACTGTAATGAGATCTTTAGGGCTTTCACCAAGTGAAGCTGAAGTAGCTGACTTAATGAACGAAATTGATGTAGATGGTAACCATAAAATTGAGTTTAGTGAATTTTTAGCCCTTATGTCCCGTCAGTTAAAATCAACTGATTCCGAACAAGAATTACTCGAAGCCTTCAAAGTTTTTGATAAAAATGGGGATGGTTTAATTTCAGCTGCCGAATTAAAACACGTATTAACATCAATTGGTGAAAAATTAACTGATGCTGAGGTTGATGACATGTTAAAAGAAGTCAGTGACGGTTCAGGAGAGATTGACATTCAACAATTTGCAGCTTTATTATCTAAATAATACTATTGATATCCTTAAATACACGTATCGTTGGTTATGAAGAGAATAAACATTTAAATATCTATCATTAAATATGTTATTAAATATGGAATATATGCACCTAATATATAGTTTTATATATGCACTTGAAAGCAAATATGTTAATAGATACTCTATCGTTGATAATCTTACATGCTTTTTGTTTTGACCCTAAAAATTAGTATCTTTCGAAATATCAGAATTAATCGATGATGATGTGATTTTCAATGCTGGGCAACAAGAACAAGATGTATTAATGTGATACAGTCTTAAAAGAAAACTATTCATCAATTGATTAAAAGGTATATATTTATATAATCTTCATACACAATTTCAGGATATATAAAATAAAAGAAAAAATGTATATTTGTCCATGTAGAAGTTCAAAAATATTGCAAAACAATATCTGTTCAATTAGTATGAATTCTATCATGCGAAGCTGGTACAGCTTCTTTTTTATAAATTGCAAATGGATTTATGTCATCATCATTACTTTGAGAACCTATACTTTCTCTTGAACCATTATCAATCTCATTTGGTAAAGGCATTCTGGCTCTTCGATTTGTAGGAACAAATGTGTCATTATGGTATTTGGGAATTGGAGGTTGTTTCCATGTATTTTGTGGGATTAGTGGCTGTACTCTTCTACTTGGAGGAATTGGTGGTTGTTCTCTAATTAGTGGGGAAGGGGTTTGAATTGATTCTTTCGCAGCCCTCTCTATATGTGGATGATCTACTATAGAATTGGATGTATTAGTCTTCAAACTGTTTATGGATGTTTCATCAGTGGCATCATTGCTGTTCAATATATTGTCAAGATTTTTTGGTTTGGGTTTAACGGCTGGAGGTTGCTTTTTGCTTGCTTCAGAATAATTTTTTAATATAGAAGCCGAATGAGCCTTTTCAAACAAAATTTTATTCAATGCCTGAGGTTTAGGCTTAACTGGAGGTGGTGGTGTACTTTTATGTTTTTTAGTATCATGAATTGACATGTTGGTTATTGTTGAATTTAACTCTTGAATAAAAGTATTAGATGGGTTACTAGGAGAATTAGAATGTGAAGATATATTCTGAACCGGTATTGTTTCTTCTTTCGGTTTATTACTTAGATTTATTGTATCATTATGATTAAATGAAAGTATTGAACGAGACTGTGGCTTGGAAAGATTGTTATAATGACTCGCACTTTGTTCATGTTCATGTATTTCATCTAATTTATCCTGTACATTATTCTTTGAGGTATTTGATCTAAAAGGTTTTGGTGGTGGTTCAAACTCTGAAATTGGGTGAGTTATTGATTTGGTTGAGGGCTCCTCTATGTAGCTTGCTCCTGTATTGATAACAGATTTTTTATCGTTTGATATTGAAGTACTTTGTTTATGTTTTTCTGGTAATGTTGGTGCAGGAAAAGACTCAGCATAGCTTGAAGATGATTTTCTAGTCAATGTCCTACTTTCTCCCACATTAGAATCTCTTCTAAACGGTTTTGGAGGTGGCTGAAACTTAACATTTCTTGCTGTATAGACCCCAGTAATAGGATTATTAGTTTGCATATCATCATTTCCTAAATTGTTTTCCTCTATATTTTGTTCCATAGATTGATTTGAATTGTCTTCTGACTTTTTATTGTTTATATTTCTCTTAGGTAACAATGGCGGTGGTTGACTTATTGATTGATGGTTACCAATAGGAGCAGGGGAATATACTTGTGGAGAATAACTACTATTTACTGATCTACTTCCTTCATTGTCAATACGTCTATGGGGCTGAGGAGGTGGAGAAAAATTAACTATAGGTTCATGATAAGTACCTGAAACAGTGTTATTTACCTTTTCTTCTTCTTTCTTATTTTGTTCTATATTTTCTACAGAATTGTTTGGTGATGTTAAAGTTTCAGACATATCAACTGTAGAAGTTTGAGAAAATTCAGCATTAGTTGTTGTCGCAATCTGACCTATTTCTGGAGAGGAAGAAATTATATTATTTGATGATTGATTGAAAGGAGTATCTCTTTGAGAATGTTTTACTGTAATACTTGGAGAATTTCCTGTTGATGAGTCAGCATTACTTCTGTCTTTATGCATTGGTGGTGGAGCAAATTTACTTAGGTCTACTTCTGGTAAGATAATGGCTGGCTGCTTTTTCTTCTCTTCATATTCTTCTCTATTAAATGGTGTGACCTCAAAGTGAGGGCCTATACTAGATGGTGTAGAATTAATAGATTCTGACCTCTCGAAGTTATTAGTTTGTTGTCTAACTGGTATTGGAGGTCTTGGGGGAGGAACAGGTAAAGGCCTTTGTATTTCATTTAGTAAAGGTTGGGGTTTGAATTGTTGAGTCGCTTGCATATATTGAGTTTGTAATGGAGTATTTCCTAATTGTTGATTTTGTGTGCCATTTTGAAAATTTGCTGTCGAGACATAATTTTGTGAGGATATTGGAACTTCATTATATTGTGCAATATATTGATCATTAGGTTTCTGAGGAGTAATATTGTGAGAAAGAGGTTGCGATAAGTTCTGCTGTTGTTGGTAACCATTTACTTGCAAAGTATCTGTAGTATTGTATTGGTAATTAACATAATTTTGTTGTGGCTGGTTCTGATATTGATTGTTAGCAGCTATTGTTTGCTGATTGACCGCTTGGGTTCCAGGTGGAATATTTAATATGGGTGCTTCGTTTGCACTGACTATTTTTCCATTACCAGCATATTGTTTTTGACCTTGTCTCAATGGAGGAGCAGGAAAACTTTTCGGATCACTTAGTCTGTCAATAGATACTGCGTCATTTCTCTCTGTATCAGAATCAGTGTTATTGTTGTTGTTCTGACCTTTCCCTTTATGAGCATTATATTGGTTTTTACCCAGGTGATAACCAGTCTTGGCAACATATTTAGTTCCCTGATAACCATATTTTCCAGCAGTTAATAATCCTGATTTAATGGAGCCTTTATTTTTGTTCCAAAAATCACTCATTACTTAAATGATAAATCAATAAAGTTAATAATCGTCCAATGGTTTTATGTTTTTGAAAAATCATACTTAATTTAGAAAAATGAACTACGAAACAATTGTTGTCAAGAACTATTAATTAGAACAATTATATAATTGCTATCAAACATTTAAGACTCTATTTTGTAATATCAACTTCTTTCGAACTATAGAAAAATGAAAATTTTGAAAAAAAGGGGTAAGAGAAATAGAAAAATGGAATTTGATAATAACCCAAAGAAAACATAAAAATCAAAGTAAGCAATATAAAAAACAGATAGGAATCTTCCAATATAAGATGATATAACTGTCTGTTCGGTTTTGTTAAATGTAGAATATGGAAGTATTTTTATAACATGAGAATACAAGGATCAAGAATATTTTTTGAAATTTCTTTGTATGTAAGTATATGTGTTATATCTAAAAAACGTCCAAGAATTTCCAAAAAATAATTATTTTAGTCACTAATTTTAGTTAGGTTAAATGAGAGAAATTAGTATTAAAACAATAAAGATCTTTATCTTTCTATATTAGATCTAACAAGGAAACCAGAATATTAAACGCGTGTATATTTTAAAAGGCTTTCCTTTAGATGTAGGGTTTCAAGTTATTATCAAAACTGATAGAAATATTAACAGGAAGGTTATTTTTATATATGACAGATCAAAAAAACATCTATTAAGTTCTTTTCTTAGTTACCCAAAATGAGGTATAATTCACTCATGACACTAAACATAACTTGAATATTCATAATCCAATTGGTCAACATTAGATGCTAGATGACTATTAGTAGTAATTATTTTGATGGTTTCTTTTTCAGAGAAGTGAACATTAGTTATTAGCTTGTCAATAAGGGTTCGTATTTCTTAGATTATCTAAGTGTGTTTTCCATAGGATGATACGTCAGATCATCTAACATTAAATGCTTATTTATTGGTTTTTTAAGATAGTGTTAGAAATGGATAGTGGAAAAGGTAGACATAACTTGGAGAATACGGTACCTTGTCAACTTCAGTAAGATTATTAGCTTTAGATGTTTTTATTGGTAATATACTTTTTCTAACTTATTAATTTAAGTGGTTTGGCACGCTTTTATAGTTTACTTTAGCTAGTTTACATTTCTAAGGATAGAAATTGTACATCTAAGAAGGGAAACCAAAAGAATATTTAAAGGAAAATAAAACTACGTTGATCATCATCGAGATATTGTTTTTTATTGTTTTTGATGGGTATTGTCACAGTGTGCTATTCAACTTTAAAGTTTTCCTTTGTAACATTCCTGATATAACTGTTTAGGGCTTTGTTTAGAAAAATGAGAGTTGACGATATTTTTCTAAACTTTCCTTTTTGAAAAATTTTACAAACATACATAAAAACAGGAGTAACCAACATAAAGTACAAGAGAGCAACCAAGAACAGACAATAACGAACAATAACGAACGAGAATAAGGTACAAGGAACAAAAAAGGTATTACCTAGGTTTAGATATATAGTATATAAGTGTATAACTATTAGGCTATCTGAGATTAGGAATATAGATATATAGACATATAGGAATATTACATCTAGAGATATAGAAAGAGTCTATATCTTATATCTATCCAAGTGAAATATTATTGAGATTTCAACAAGAATTACCGTTATCAGAAACACATAACCTCAGGGTTATTACAACACCCAGAACAAAAAATGAAGGGTGCGAGGTTCGAACTCGCGCGGACACCGTCCAACAGATCTTAAGTCTGCCGCCTTAGACCACTCGGCCAACCCTCCTTGAAGTCCACAATTTGTTGTAGTATGGTATGGTGAAATTCTTTGTGTATTCCAGGGAAGCGCAAATAATATTAATAGTCATTCAAGTAATCAATTATAGGCGATAATATAATTACTAAAATGGTCTTATATATTGAGCGGCTTATATCGAGCTAATTTATTTATCCAAAGTTACTTAACTTGTTACTTGCTTGTTGTTCTCTTTTTGTTCATATATAATATATAAATTATTTACAAGAAACGGTTATGGAAGATGATCTTTTATCTCCAGAAAACGTTGTCCTTTTATATGTTTTCTGGAGCTCGATCGATTATTCAGATTAGTACGTTAATGACTTGACTGATTCACCCTAAAATTTATTACATTAATTTAGGTGCACTAGTGGATTAGAACTGCACCCCAATTCTCTAATCATGGTGATTAGTAATACACGTGGGACTTATTAAAACAATAGGTAAATTCTAGATTTGCCAAAATCTTATGTAATCCAATCTCTTTATTATGCAGCTTCTAATGCTGTAGCACGTGTATGGCTTATTAAGACAATAAATAGTTCTAGATTCATTCAGGATCTTATGTAATCTTGATGGTTATAACTATTCTATTCCACAACAATTGTTTGGTCAGTTCTAATCCACTAGTGCACCTAAATTAATGTAATAAATTTTAGGGTGAATCAGTCAAGTCATTAACGTACTAATCTGAATAATCGATCGAGCTCCAGAAAACATATAAAAGGACAACGTTTTCTGGAGATAAAAGATCATCTTCCATAACCGTTTCTTGTAAATAATTTATATATTATATATGAACAAAAAGAGAACAACAAGCAAGTAACAAGTTAAGTAACTTTGGATAAATAAATTAGCTCGATATAAGCCGCTCAATATATAAGACCATTTTAGTAATTATATTATCGCCTATAATTGATTACTTGAATGACTATTAATATTATTTGCGCTTCCCTGGAATACACAAAGAATTTCACCACCTCATAATACAACAACAATGGTTACTTTTAGGCACTATGGCCGAGTGGTTAAGGCGACAGACTTGAAATCTGTTGGGCTCTGCCCGCGCTGGTTCAAATCCTGCTGGTGTCGATTTTTTGTGTTATAGTTTAACTTAATATCATTATACACGATTTTCCAAAAATTAGATTTGTCTACTCGGACTATTGCTTATATATATAGTACAGTTTATATGCAAAGACAAAACTAAGATTTTCTTTTTATTTTCTCATATTTTATTTATAAAAAGATATTTTTTGAGCCTGGAAGTCCTGCTACAGTGATAAAATTCTTAAGGTATTTATTGTATTCAAAAATGTCTGATCTCTTTTACATAAAATTTGAAAACGTATCTGTGTGTGGAGGTGAAATATTGTAAAAATTGACTTATTAGTTTTTGTTCCTTGTCTTATTATATGATTTCAACTTTTAAAAGATCAATTTATTATCCCTTTTTATTTAATCAGTATTTCCTTTTTAGGTTTTAAAAGTATTATAAATAACATTGTTTAGTAGTTCATTTCTAATTATTTTCTAAATTATTTATATATTTTCATCTAATATTTTTAACATTTTTATTATAAAAAATATTACTCTACTTTGAGTAAAAAGTATGTAGATAAAACCCCTTAGTATCTTAAGGCTCCCTGATGAACGCTTTTATAAATTTTATTAATAATTTTATAATTACTGGAATGACATGTACACTCAATGTATTAAGATGTTGAGATTATTTTATTCAATTTTACTTTTATGTGTATCATTAAAATTAGTTACTAAAGAATTTTTACTAAAATGGAATTAAAATTATTTTATTTATGGAAAATATAATATTATAACTTGTTTATTTTTATATATAATATTATTGTTGGTTAAAAAAAACAAAGAAAAACAGAAACATATTTTATAGAATAATAAGATTTTTGTAATGGTAACAACAATAATAAATATAGTAAAATAATCCCTAATATAATCAAAAATGTTTACATTCCTTCTTTAAATAAGTACACACATATATTAGTATATATTAAGTTGACAATGTTTGTATTAAAAAAATTTATACGAAAACCTGAAAAACATAATCGGTGAACTAGTCATAAGGTATACACATTTGAAAGATAAAAATATAAAGTAGGACTAATGCTCAATAAGAACCGTCACAGTATACAATTTTTAGAGTTCAAAATCTCATTTAGGAAAAAATTATTCTACTTTTATGAATTTCCAAGTTTCCCCATAATTCCATTATATATTTTGTTAAATTACTTATATATGGAGAATGTATGTGTGAGGGGTTATCTCAAATGATATACTAAAATATGGATATTTAATGAGAATGAGCGTCTTTATTCATTGGATATATAGTAAACATTCTCAATATTATATTAAACAGATTTAGTATACAAAATTATAATAAAGTTCTTCACTTTTTTTTTCTCTATATACAACATAGAAATAGTAATATACAAAGATTGCAAATAAGATAAAAATAATGTATGATGAAGTCCTTGGCTTTATATATGTTAACATTTAGCCATTTTCCTCTACGAACAGTAAGATATTTAATAAACAAACTCAACAACCTTTGGTGATCTCTCAACAATTATTACTCAACAATTTATCGTTTAGTGTCTGCTAAAATCTTATTGTTCTATCTATTTCATTATGGAACATTTTATTTCAACAATATTAATTATATATATATAAACACTTATAAATTATATAATTGGTTGATTCTAACTATCAAATAGATTAGTCTTGGATATTTGTCTTGTTTTTTTTTTTGATTAACCTATTAGATAGAATAGGTGTATTAATGCTGATAATTACCTCTTGCACTTCCTCTCAATAATCAAAGATCTCTTAAGTAAGTTTCTTAGTAATTTACCACCAATGTTCATCCGACGATCGTTCGTTCGTTCGAATACACTCACAACCTTGGACCCAGAGTTTCGGTAGTTCCAAGTTCTTTGTCTCGACATTAGAAGTTACCCGCAGACTACGTACTTTAGAATTTCCAGTTAGAACTCCTTACAGTATGTTAATCATTGGCTTTTGAATTGTATAACTCTTAGATAGTTTTTTAACGCATTTCGAGGATGATAAAACTTATAATATATTATAAATAGCAATCCAAATGCTTATTTATAATAATATTTGTTCGATATTTTTGAAAAACCTTAATTTTAAAATGAAATTCTACCAGAATTTTAAATATTTTTATACATTCATTATGCAAAAATACTATTGATACGATCTCTTTCAAAAAATTTTATAAAATTAACTATTTCAAACTAACAATATGAACAGTATAAACAGTATAAAATAGTAAATTTATTGAAATGAAATTAGAGATCTATATGATAATCTAAATTCTTTGTACCAAATGACTGAAAAAAATTTATAACAACATATAAAAGAAGAATTGAAATAAAATACACTACAATGTATATTAGTTATATATATATATATTAAGTATGTAAAACAAAATAAAATAAGCAATGCAATAACAATTCAAAATACTACTAATATCCTATTGTAAGTTCTATTCTCTTATTATATTAATCTAAAATAAATACTAATAGAATATTTGCTACTGAAACCTTACGTTAACAGGATTATCACTAGTCAACCAATATGTTTTTGGTCAAAATGATTGTTTTGATTATAGGACTAAAAAATTATATAAATTTATTAGGCATTAAAATATAAACTATTTTTTTTATTCAAAAATTGATGTAAAACAAAGTCAACAATTAATATTGTGTCAAATATAACTACATAACAATGTAAAATAGAGAAACAAATAATTTTGATCCTTCTTGCTAAAGGAAATATTAAGATTTTAATTGACATGTATTCTTCCTGAATAATTCCTCTGTGATATCAGGAATAGATTGTCGAATAAATTCATATGTCTATTAATGTGATTCATAATATTGGTTATAGAGTACATATAAAGAGTGTTTGTAAAATAAATAAGAAATATTATTTTTTAAATTTACTATGCAAAACATTACTTCTTTCACCTAAATTAAAATGGCTAGGAGTAATACCTGAGTATAATAAAAAAATATAAAAAGCTAATTTCATAAAATTATTACAACACGATATTCTTTGAATTTATTTATAGCTAGCATTCTATAGATACTCATTTAAATACTAAAAATTGCATTTTTTAGACCAATAATTATGCTGAAATCGAACATGCTAGAAAAAATAATAGACCAACTAGATTTTAGTAAACACTAATTGATAAGCAAAAAGTAGAAAATGTATTGTTTGCTTATTAGTAGATGTAAACAAACCTCATCAATAATTTGGTGCTGTACGTATACAAGATAGGCCAGATATGAAAATATATAAAGTCAACATTTTTTTTCATATCATGTTTCTCCCCTTATCATCTTATATACATTATCGTTATATATTATATATATAAATAAAAAAACCGAAGAACTTTATTATAATTTTGTATTCTAAATCTATCTAATATAATTTTAAGAATGTCTACTATATATCCAATGACTACAGGCACTAATTCTCATCAAATCACAACTTGAGGTATCTTTTTCTTTACAACAAATTTTTATGGTAGTATTTATGTTATGTTGTTTCTACATGCCGTTTATTTTTTATAATGTATATTTCGTGATTATTATTGATACCAAAGGTGGTATCCACAATAATTTAGTTTTTGATTTAACAAACTTATATAGAATATCAAGCAAAGATACTACAAGAATGTATTTAGTAACCTTATTATAATATAAACTCAAAATTTTAAAGAAACAAGAATGAAAAAAAAGAAAACTTTCTTGCCAGAAAGAATTTGCATTATTTTAAAATATTATATAGAACATAATTTGAAGAAATATTGTATAATTCGATATAAGTTCCATTACCTTTTTTCTTAGTGATTTTCTTATTGAATGTTGTTGAAACTCTAGCTATATCATATATTTAACGAAACTAAATCAATTAACAGTATCTACAGACAGAAACATGTACCTTATTGCTTTAAAAAAAATAACAAACCTAGAAAAATAAGTCAAAAAGAAAGTTAATACAATATTCTTTTTATTTATAAAGTGTTTTAGATATTAAATAAAAAAAAATAACTCTATATATCTATTCCACCTAAAGATATTCTTAATCCCATAAAAGGTATATTCACAGACCTTTTTATTATTATTGTTTTTGTTGTTGTCATATGTTTCCAAACATTACTCAAAAAATCTTTTTTTTCCTTTCAACAATTAAACTTTTTAGCCAAGTATATACCATGTGCTACATTTTGAAGACGAGCATCTAATTTATACCCCTCCTTTTCAAGTTTAATTAATTCTTCATGAAGATCTGTTAATGGAACTTTAAAACATTCAATAAATTCGTTTTCTTCTAACGCTGGGATTGGATTCTGATTTTCAGGTAATGCCATATCAACTTCAACAACCACAAGAGACATGTTTGTATTAGTAAAACCAGGATCATTGTAGATCACAGGACCTTGTTCAATGATCTTACCAATATAACCTGTTTCTTCTTTTAATTCTCTTAAAGCAGCAGTAGGAACATCCTCATTTGCATCGATTAACCCTGCTGGTACTTCAATACAAACACCTTCTACTGGTGGTCTAAATTGTTTTTGCAAGAGTACTTGATCAGGGGTTCCATCTTTATACCTTAAAATTGTGAACATCCCGATACCATCGATATTTCCAGAATTTCTTGTTGTTCTAACTGCACTATCCCATGCTCTTTCTTTTCCATTTGGATCCTTATAAGTTATTTTTTCCAATCCAATCCATTTACAGTCACTTGTGTCTTTAACCTTTTCAATCTTCAAAATCTTTGCAAGCTCTGGCTTACCTTTTAATACAACCATTTTTGAAAAACGGCTTGAAACAGGAATGATTATTTTGTTTAGTAATACCCAGCTTCTTAGCATTTAACTTAAAATAAAAACCGAAACTAAAAAACATTTGTTCAATACAAAGCCAACTCTGCAACATACAAAAATAATTTCTAACCGAATGAAATAACATCATGATAAACACACTATACATATTAAATAAACTTTCAACAGATCTTTTGCAAATAATGACCTACAGAGTTTTATCTCTCTCCGTTTAGTATTAGAAAGTATTTTCTAATTACAGTTTGTTCCTCCTTCAATTTTATTAGACTTTAAATTTTTTTTCTCATTTTTTGCATTTTTTTTTAAGTTTTAATATTCGAGAAAAATAAAACTACTGTACATAGAAATTTATATCATTACATAGGTAGTTAATACAACAAACCATTTGCCTGCATTTAGATTTGCAATTTCACTAGCCATTGCTTCATAATTTTGTGTAACAAAAATCTATAGAGGGAATATCCTTTTTATCAAGCATGGAGGGGAATGTTAAAGCACAGATACAAAAGTATTTAGTGGAATCAGGAAATTATGAAAAGTATGACTTATTATCCTTCTTCTTTTTTACTCAGTTTTTTAAAATAATTATTTGAAATCAACAGATAGGTGGTTTAGCAACTTCTATCTCAAGTTAGCACCACCAATATGATATGCTCTAATGATGAATTAGATACAACAAATATACATATACATATAACTAATCATTCAACTTTTACTAACATTTACTATTGATTTATATGTCTATCATATCCTTCTTTTTTTCAATGTATTTTTATTTTTTAATATTCCATTCTATTAACAGAATATCGAATTTATTAACTGAAAGGTTATTACAAGATGGATGGATCGATAAGATCAGGACTTTGACAATGGAAGAAATCACAAAGAATGAAAAAGCTGGATATATTGAAATATTGAATAAAATTGAACCACAAGCAATGGGTATGTTTGATAATATTATTAAAATGGATCCTTTACAAATCATATCTATATTTCAAATAAAAGAAAATAAAAAATGGTCACAATTTAGAAGAAACATTTTTATATGAGATGTAGAAGGAAACAAGAATGAAATTTATGCATATAAATACTAACAAAACAATTGTTATTATAAAAAAATTCATGTTTTTATTGAATTACTAAAAAAAACAAAACCCTTATCTATGTACATATGATTGCTAAAGAGATGGTTGCTCCTGATACTAAAGAATTAGTTATGAAACAAATTAGAGACTTCCTTGATGATATTGTTGATACTAAGTAAATTTAGAATTTATCGCTTACATTAATAAGTAAAATGTTGTCATGGGGCTGACAGAAAAGAAGGGAAGGAAGCGAAAAAAACCATAACAAGGATCAACTTAATTGATGATTCTATGTAATAAAACTACACAAATAGAATATCTATAAAAAAAAGAAGTAAAGAAAAAAATAGGTAGATATTCTCCCTTATATAAACACGCACACACAAACATATATATAAATAACACAGCAACTCTATCTAAGATTATCAGCAAATGTAAGTATATAAGTATGCATTATATCATCATGCATCGTAATTCCACCATTTTATAGAAATTGATGAGAGAGACAATACTGTTCCTTCGAGAAATTAATTGCCAGGGCAACCAAAAAATCATTACCCTTTTGAGATATTACACAGAAAAAATTAACAATAGAACAGTGGAAATAAATTTCTTTTTTTTTCTTTATACTTTTTTATCGCTCTGTATAATTGGGGTGTATGTGTTTCTATTGTTTACCAGTACGAATCCATGTGGAAGAAAATGTAATGTGTAGATTTCTGCATATATATATATATAAAATAACTAGTGATGGAGATGAGGTGTGATGAAATGAAAAATGAACTCTTTTTGTTATTAGTTTAAACTCTATCTACTGGATATCTTTTCAAAATACTCGCACATTTTCTCAATATTGACAGAGATCTCTCCTAGTCAGTCTATATAAAAACTGTTATTCTTAAATAGAACTATTGAATAATAAACTTTAATGTTGGAAGAAGGTGGATTTTTACGAAGACCTCAAACTAGATCTAGAACAGGAACTGTTACCAAGAAAGTAAATTATGTTGAAATGTCAGATAGTGATGAAGATGAAGCTACGTTGAAATCACAGTACAGTTCTGATTCAGTAACTGAGGTAAAAATTGCAGATAACAAAAGCAATAACATTGACATAGATACTGACGATGCCGACTATGTAGAAGATAGTTTGACACCTGTGGATGATATACCATATCAACATAACAATTCCAGTACCTCTTCGAGCGAAGATATTAAAAAAGAGGATATAGGTAAGGTTAATACCAAAGCAAATAAAAGAAATGTTGAAGAGGAAGGAAAATTGTTTTCTGCACCTAATAAAGACACTGAATGTATTATTTTGGGCGAAGAAGACGAACCCTTAACAAAGAAACGTAAAGTTACCAGAAAGAGAAAGACATCTACCAAGAAAAAACAACCTAAGTTGACACCTTACCAAAGAAATACACAAAGATTATTTGATAACCATCCCGAATTAAAAAATGTATTCCCAGATCTTCAAAATGCACCAGATTACATGCCTCACCGTACCACACAGCCTGAAGGACTTAGATTGAAACTACTTCCATTTCAACTGGAAGGTTTACATTGGTTATTATCTCAAGAAAATAGTAAGTATAATGGTGGTGTCTTAGCAGATGAAATGGGGATGGGTAAAACTATCCAAACTATTGCATTATTGATGTATGATCGAACCAAGAGGCCGTCTTTGGTTGTGGCTCCTACTATTGCTTTAATTCAATGGAAAAACGAAATTGATCAACACACCCAAGGTAAACTAAAGGTATATTTATTCCATGGAACTAACAAAACTACCAATATCAATGATTTAGCTGACTACGATGTTATATTAACCACATACGCTGTTATTGAATCTGTATTTAGAAAACAAAATTATGGGTTTAGAAGAAAATCAGGTTTAGTCAAAGAAAAATCTGTTTTACATCACATTGATTTTTATAGAGTTATACTAGATGAAGCACATAACATTAAAGATAGACAAAGTAATACAGCAAGAGCCGTAAATATGATAAAAACTCAAAAAAGATGGTGTTTAAGTGGGACACCTTTACAAAATAGGATTGGTGAAATGTATTCACTTATAAGATTTTTAGATATTGAACCATTTTCTAAATATTTTTGCACTAAATGTGATTGTGCATCAAAAGAATGGAAGTTCTCTGATAATATGCACTGTGACCGTTGTAACCATGTTATTATGCAGCATACAAATTTTTTTAACCACTTTATGTTAAAAAATATCCAAAAGTATGGTGTTGAAGGTCCAGGGTTAGAGTCATTCAACAATATTCAATTACTACTTAAAAATATCATGTTAAGGCGAACCAAGGCCGAACGTGCTGATGACCTAGGCTTACCACCAAGGATTGTAACCGTAAGGCGTGACTACTTTAATGAAGAAGAAAAAGATTTATACAGAAGTTTGTATATGGATGTGAAGAGAAAATATAACTCTTATGTTGAACAAGGTGTTGTGTTGAATAATTACGCTAATATCTTCTCATTAATTACGAGAATGAGACAGATTGCAGATCATCCAGATTTGGTGTTGAAGAGGTATAGAAACCAACTCGATGACAACGGTGTAATTATTTGCCAATTATGTGATGATGAGGCAGAGGAACCTATAGAATCAAGATGTCACCATAGATTCTGTAGGTTATGTATCAAAGAATACATTGAATCGTTTATGGAGACAAGCAATAACCGCCTGACTTGTCCTGTTTGTCACATTGGTTTAAGTATTGACCTTACACAACCCTCCTTGGAAGTAGATATAGAAGTATTTAAGAAGCAAAGTATTGTCAGTAGATTAAAGCTCGATGGGTCATGGAGATCGTCAACCAAAATAGAGGCATTGGTTGAAGAACTATATAAATTACGTTCCAAAGTAAAAACTATCAAATCAATTGTGTTTTCTCAGTTCACTAGTATGTTAGACTTGGTAGAGTGGCGTTTAAAAAGAGCGGGGTTCCAAACAGTGAAACTTCAAGGTAGTATGTCACCAGTTCAAAGAGATGAGACAATCAAATACTTTATGAATAATATTCGCTGTGAAGTCTTTTTAGTCAGTTTAAAGGCCGGTGGTGTTGCATTAAATTTGTGCGAGGCTTCGCAAGTTTTCATTTTAGATCCATGGTGGAATCCAAGTGTAGAATGGCAAAGTGGTGATAGAGTCCATAGAATTGGACAATATAGACCGGTGAAGATTACAAGATTCTGTATTGAAGATAGTATAGAATCAAGAATCATAGAGTTACAAGAAAAAAAAGCAAATATGATAAATGCCACAATCAATCAAGATGAAGCCGCAATTAATAGATTAACCCCTGATGATTTACAATTCTTATTTAACAACTAAATATTTGCATTAACACAATTTCTATATGATGAAACAAGTATTTATTTTTTTTTTTTTAAAAATGACTACAATTTTTATATAGTTAGTAATATTATATTTAGGATGAAGCAGAGCTTGAACGAGCACCTGCACCAGATGAAACTAAGTCGATTTGTTCTTGAGAGATTGATATTTCTGGTAAACGTAATTCTGCTGGACCTATTGGAGGTGGAAGATATCCAACCTTAACCAAGAAGGCGATATATATACCGATTTGTTCAAGAGTAGCACCAGCACCTGCAGATTTGTCAATCCCTGTCCATTTAGAATCTTTCTTTAAGGATTCCACTGCATTTGAATCATCCAATTCTGGGGCTCTAGTGTTGCCTGGCAAATCATCTAAGACCATGTGTAACAATGGATATAATGCATTGTCCTTATTTTCATCGATAATAGCAGTCTCTAGAGATTTCCTCCAAGAATCGTAATCTTCAATCTCAACATCATAACCGTATTGTTCTAAGATGAACAAATAGTCCTTGAATAGGATACGTGGATGAGCAGTAACATGAGCAACAGCTAATTCATCTTTCTTTGGTGGATTCAAAGAAGCAGAAACAACAACTTGAGCTACGTGATCAACTGGAACCATATTAACTGTATTGTTAATATCAGGGATTTTACCTAATTGCACAGCACTCTTTAAACATCTTAACAAGAAATCATCTGTATTACAGGAACCGTTCTTAGAGTTACCTGTAACATAACCTGGTCTAATAATACAACCTCTAAGACCTCTTTTACCAGCATGTCTGATAACATATTCTGCTGCCCATTTTGATTGACCATAACCCCCACCTAAACCGGTAGAAGAACCTTGTAAATCATCAGATTCCAAAATGCCTGCTTTACCTTCACCAACTAATTTATCAGATAGCTTAAAGAAGTAATCAGTATCTAAAGTTGAGGTAGAGGAAACAAAATTAAAGAACTTTGCTTTACCTTCAGCAGCCAAATTCATAACATTGATTGTAGAAATAACATTTGCATCTCTCATTTTTAAGTATGGATAAACCCAATGAACTAACGCACCATTATGAATAATTACATCAATAGCATTAGTTAAATTAGCCCATTTTTCATTAGATAGACCAAATTGAGACTTTGATAAATCACCTAAAACAATTTCAATACTTTTTGAGAAACTGTCCTTCCAAGTACCATAAGTAGTTCCTGCCTTAATTAATCTTTCTAAAGCAGCTTTCTCATCTGCAGCACGAACATGAGCATAAACTTTAAAGGATACTGAAACATTAGAACGGTTCAGTAAATTGGCAACAATGTAAGAACCAAGGAAACCAGTTGTACCAGTAACAAAAACGTTAATGTGTTGAGTTACGGCTGGTACAAAGTCTTCACGAGATGGATAAGACACTGGTAAAGTTTCAACTAACTTCTTGGCATCAGCAGCATAATCATATGTTAGGGTAGTTTCCTTTGCAACTTCAACCTTACCAGTCTCTCTAATCTTAGCAATTTCACCGGCAAATGCTTTGATTGTAGGATATTTAAAGATAGTTCCTAATGGTAAATCAATTTTTAATTGCTTCTTTACAGTAAAAATCATTTTAGTAGCCAAAATAGAATGACCACCTAGATCAAAGAAAGAATCATCAACAGAAACAGTGGCTGGTTTTGTTGGTAATACACTCAGCCATATGTCACGAACTGCACGTTCAATATCATTAAACTCGGACTCATCGATTTTAGAGGAAACATTAGCTGCCACCAAATCTAACTGCTTGTTAGTTGGGAATTGCAACTTTGGTTTATCTACTTTACCATTTGGATTTAAAGGTAATTTATCCCAAACAACAATTAGAGATGGAATTGCATAACTAGCTAATCGTTTCTTTAGGAACAATTTAATATCTTTAGCAAGCAAATGATAACCAACTAAACCCTTAACAGTTTGATCAGACTTTAATTCTTCAGGAACTGATGTTTGAAATTTAGCTAGCTCCTCTGGTTTATCAAATCTTGGGACCATAAAAGTAATCAAAGTCTTTTCATTGTCTGAATTATTACGAACCAATGTAATATTTTCTCTAACTAAAGGATGCTGAGAGATGTGAGTATCAATTTCACCTAATTCAATTCTAAAACCTCTAATCTTAACTTGATCATCAGCTCTACCACAACATTCACAATTACCATTTGGTAAATAACGACCTAAATCACCAGTTCTATACATTCTGTCTCTTGGACCCTTCCAGAATTCCCTCCATGGTTCATTATTATCTTTATCTAAATAATCCCAGTGATGTTCATCTACAAACCAATTATTGATGAATTTCTCTTTATTCAAATCAGGTAACCCTCTGTAACCTTCAGCTAAACCACCAGCACGAACGTAGATCTCACCTACTTCACCAACGCCACATATTTGAGTGCGATCATTTCTATTAACAACTAACAACTGAACGTTAAACATACCTCTACCAGCTGGCATGACATCTTTTAATCTTTTTAAGAATTCTGGATCATCGCTCTTTGATTTAACTTCAAAGAAGGATACTGCACGTTGTGTTTCAGTAGTACCATACATATTAACAATACGACAATTTTCTGCTAAAGTTTGTAAACGTAAACAATCACGTTTAGTTAAGATATCTCCTACAAAAAAGGCGTGATGTAGCTTTGGGAAAGGTGTAGTAGCTTGAGCAGTTAAAAGTTGACCCATAGCAGGAGTCAAGTGTGTTACAGTACAGCCATGAACACTCATCCATTCAGCTAGTTTACCTGGCGTGCCAATATCATCCTCAGTTGGAACATATAATTGAGCACCTAAGAATAATGGTGTAAACATATCTCTTTGAATTGGATCATGAGCTATACCACTTAACATAGTGAATTTATCTTCAGATGAAAGATTAAATTGTTTAGACATCCAGTTAAAATAATATGCTAAAGAAAAATGTCTACCCAGGACACCCTTTGGAATACCTTCTGAACCGGAAGTAAAAGATAAAGTTGGGTTAGAATCGGGGCCCACAACTACCCCAGTTCTTGTATCTTTTAAATGCTCATAAGGTGCCAAGACGTCATCTTCTGTTGGTAAACAACCTTCAAGGGAAGCATCATTTTGAATAGCAACAGATGGAATACGAGTAATAACATCTAATTCCTTTTGTATATAATCCTCAACTAATGGATCCAACTGACCTGCAGCTCTAATAACAATCAAACCCTTTGGTTTAGCAACGCCTAAATAAATTGTTTGTCTAGTCGGAGGATAAGCAGGATCAATAACCGAAAAAGTAGCACCTGCCTTTAAGACACCCATAACACAGACCATCAAATCCACCCCTCTAGAGGAGTAAATCATAACAACATCACCTTTTTTAATACCAGTATTAATTAAATAATGAGCCACAATATTTGAAGCACGATTTATGTCTCTATAAGTAAATATACGTGGCTCAATATTTGAAGAAATAGAACCAGTTTCAACAACACATCTTCTGTCAGGAAATTTGTCAGCGTTATCTTGGAAAATATCTTGGATACAGCCAACAAAGTCGCACCAACCTAAATTAGCAGTTGGATCAGGTAAAGCATCTTTTGATGATTCAGTTATTAAATTAATTTTAGTAATGACTTCAACTGGGTTGCTTAAAACAGCAGTCAAAAACTGAGTAAATTGATCTGCCAATATTTGGATTCTTTCAGTGGAATATAATAATTGATTATATGATATGGTTAAAATAGAAGAAGAATTGTTATCTGTAGTTAAATTTATTGCCAAATCTAACAGATGATGGTTAAAACGAGTTAATTTAATACCTTCATCATGCAAGAAAGCCAAACGGAACAATTGTGGACATTTATCTAAATCTTTTTGAGATTGAATAGTTTCTGAAAGCGAATCAAATGAAACATCACTTAATTCAGACAGTTTATCTATTTGTGATTTAATTTCATTATATAATTCTTGGAAAGTCCAATTGGGTAGAATAGTAAATCTTAATACTTTATTGTTGGTTATGTAAAGGACAATATCATCATCACCAGATAGTCTGTAAACTAAAGTAGCCCAAGTACTCAATGCTGAGATATATTTATCTTTGAAAACGGTTTGTGGTAAATCTAATTGAGGAATTTGAAAAGAATAGTCATTTTGTACAGAAAATGGTTCATTTTGAGGACGTAAATAGTCATGTGGTAAAACAGTTAAAGTTGGATTATCCAACAATTGCAACCATGATTGTTGTTCAGAAACCATACTTTTTTTTTCTAATTATACTTAAATATTTCTGCGTCTTATGTTGTCAAATTTAATACTTTTTTGCAATGAAGTATTTTTAATATATTATAGTTGTTGTAGCAACTACTCATGTATATTACGTTTCTTGTATTGGTAGGTGTGGAGCAAATTTTTCTTTAAGAGATGTTAAACAAGAAGAAAAAGGAAAAAGTTATTCATTCACTTATAAGAAAAGCTACATGCATATAGGTATATATATATGCATAGCATTTAAAGTTTATCGAATCGTTTTTAAAAGCTCATAATAAATTACAGGTGACACTGAGTCATCATTTCTTCATAAACATAATAGTTTTACGAAAGGGACTGCTATTTTGTTTCCCGTATATTGTGCGGAAGGACTGAAAATAATTGAGATTCCTCGAGAAAATATAATAATTTTTATTTTCAATCTTAATCTGAAAAATTCCGTTGTATATTTTTTCTTGCTCATAGTGAAAGAAACGGATTAATATCACAAATAGCAAAATTTGAAAAACAAAATTACAATAAGGCAAAAAAAAAAAACAAATTCCATGAAATAAATCCGGTGGAATTTATTAAGTTGTTTGAAATTCAATTAGATGATTAAGTGATTAACTAGATAAAATAAATAAACTTGTATAAAATTTATTTTCACCATTTTTCCTGTCTAAATGACAGTTAATGATATGTATGTTGTTTTTACAAATTAAGAAGTAAGGTAAATACGATTGTTAGTAGATTAACTGAGAACTCTTGGAAATTCTAAAAAGACTTAATTAATTGATATGAAATTTCTGTCCTTTTGCATATTAATAGTTTTTCAATCTGCACCATAATAACGAAGAAAATGTGTTTCATTCTCTTAATTCTATATATATTTATCCACAAATAAATTATAGCATACATGAATATATATACATAAAATATATATACTATTTCAAATTAGAGAAAGTAAAACAATATAATCAATTAATCTGTCAATTTACAGTATACAACATCCAATTATATTTATCCTGTATTCTTTTCAAAGATACATCGATTGATTAATAACTCAACTTTTTATCTTCTTTAAATAGAAATATTGTGAGACTGAATAAGAACATACAAAACTAAACAAAAAAACATTGCTGTCTATATTCTATTCTTTCCTGTTAACAAACCTAACTAATGTCAAATGACAATTGTTTTATGCAGTCTTCACTTTAAAGAAAATTATATACATATGATTGACAAAGAAAAAAGAAACACTAGTATACAAAAGTAAGGACAAAAGTAAAACAAACCTTAGCAAAAAAGTAAAAAAAAATAAAACTTACAAGGGACGTATCGCCTCCTTCCTTATAGGTTCTATTTTTAGGACTACAAAAAAAAAATAGTGAAAATTTTTATTTTCCAAAAAAACGTCTTGATTTTTCTTTTAACCCTTATTTTTTATTTTATTAACGGCATATGTCTTCTACTAAAAATATGGTTCGACAAAAAAGTTTTTCAAAAGACCTACTTTTCATTTAGATATGACATATAGATCCAAAGGTTTCATTATTGTCATATTTTGCAGCAAGGCTCAATTAAATTTAAAAAATAGTAAATTCATATTTTTCCAACAGTAGTCTACAATAAAATTATTATCTTCAAGTAACAATACCTTTATTGATGAATTTGTTTAAGAAATACCCAATCTCTTTTATTGTACAGCAAGTTTTCTTCATGATAGAAAGAGTATTACCAAAATCTGTAAAATGAACTGTGGCAGGGAACCTTTACTATTCTTACCTACATTTTTCAATGTCTCATTCATTTATTGTCATAATCTTTGACTAACTTAATACTTATACAAATCATTCATTTAAAAAGTTTTCAACCATATTGTTATTCAAGGAGATCATGTTTTTTTTTATCTCTAATTCCGCTGATGCACCCAAATATCTTCATACAATATAAATACAGCCCTATTATATTTTATTAACTTATTTCTAATTTTTTTTGCAAAAGTCAAATTTTACAAAACACCCCCAAAACCCTAAATGAAAAAAAAGGAATTATAAAATCGAATAAGGCCCCTTCAAAAAACACCTTGAATGTATATTTTGTATTTTTTTTCTTTGTTTTTATTTGCAAATTCGCTGGAAAAATAAATTAAAAAAATATACTAAACAAAACAAGAGAAACACATAAACACACACAACCATATTTTAGCGATGCCTTCGAAATCTGAAATTTTTTTCATCATCTTCGATTTTTCTGTTGGAAAAGTTTTTTTTTTCATTCTTTATTCATTTCCAAATTTATTATATCGTTTTTGTTTCGTTGTTGAGATGAGTCTCCAGGGATGCTCACCCACGTACTTACACGCCTACTTACCTATGCAGTTTCTTTCTTCGCTCTTCTGTTTTGATATTTGATCTATGCAGAAACTTGGAATAAATTAAAAAAAATTATCAACAAAATATATTGCCTGACAATTATCTAAAATAGCTCTTACATTCTTCACTAAGACTGACCATCTTTATAACATCAATATTATCTATACCAATATTCATCTATACACATCAAAACGTACATATATATATATATATATATATATTATCATTACCTTTGATAGTTTTAAAAAGGAAATTTTTTCCGTCTGAGATTCTAGTTAGAAATAAATTATGTCAAGTTCATTTTGGAAATTTGGACAAGACTACTCTAACGAGTCATCATTAGCTAAGCTACTGAATAATGCTTTTATTAAAATAGAATCTAATGAGATTAGTGATAATAACCAAAATAGAAATAATAGTAGCAGCAAAAATGATACAGAAATAAAGGTGAAATTAGATAGTCCAAAGAATGAAGAAGATCTACAAGAAGAGGATAATGAAGAAAGTAATTCCAAAAAAAATCAACATGTGGAATTACCTGATACAGAGACTGGATTTAAAGATTATGAACCTAATTTGGATGTATTAAATAATCTTTTAGATGAAGAAGAATTGTATACCGAATTGATGTGCTCTAATTTTAAATTATTAATATATCTTAAATATCCAGCTGTTTTATCAAAGTTGATAGACTATGTTATGGTTGATAATATTCTTGCTAAAGATGAAAAGAAAAGAAAAGAATTAATAAATAATGGTGATAGAGATATTAACAAATTAAAAAATATTCCATCAGATATAGTTAACAATAATAATAATAATGAGGAAAATTTTGAGGAAGGAACAGAAAAAATAGAAATAGAAGAAGAAGAAGAAGATATAGAATCTCAAAGAGCTCATATGGCTGCTGAAATTCTTTCTGCTGATGTCTGGCCCATATCTGCAGCCATTATGGAACATGAAGATTTACTAGAAAAATTATGGTCTATAACCAACCTCGCAGGTGAATTACCTATTGAAGCATCAACATATTTTATGAAAATTAATGATAGACTATTAGATATGAATATGTCTGGTATGATTGAATTTATTCTGACTCAAGATAATATTGTTGACAGATTTTTGAATCATATTGATGATCCACCATTGATTGATTTTTTCCTAAAAGTTATCTCTACAGATAAACCAGATATAAATAATGGGGTAATTAAAAGATTAAAAGAGCAAGGACTTATACCGAAATTGATAGAACTATTAAATCCTGAATATAATCATTCTGTCCAGTCTGCAGCTGCAGATTTCTTAAAAGCTTTATTAGCAATTAGTGGCAACTGTGTGGATGAAATTGCCTCGTCTATTGGTCCAAATGAATTGACTAGACAATTAGCATCCCCTAAGGTTATGGAGAGACTCATCCAAATCATGTTAAAAGGTGGTACTTCATTAAATAATGGAGTCGGTATCATTATTGAATTAATAAGGAAAAATAACTCAGATTATGATTATGTACAAATTATGTTTACTACATTAGAGACGCATCCTCCCAATGATAGAGACTCCATATATTTGGGTCATATGTTGAAGTTGTTCCATAAATATATGCCTAAGTTCAATGATATCTTGGTTAATACGTCTATGCCGATCTTAGATACATCATTTGGTAGAATTGAACCTTTAGGGTTTGAAAGATTTAAGATTTGCGAATTAATTGCTGAGTTGTTACATTGTTCTAATATGGGGTTAGTTAATGAAAAGAAAGGTGAAGACATTGTTCTTGAACGTGACAGAGTAAGAGCTAGACTTTTGGCAGATGAAAACGACAATTATAGTGAAAATGATGACGAAGAAAACAGCTCTCGTGAACAAAATGATGTTACAGAAAGTTTGAATTCTTTAACTATTGAGAATGGACCACATCAAAATGAAACAGACAAGTCTTCTATTAACATAGACAACAACTATAACAATATGGAGGAACATAGTGAAGAATTTTCTGAAGTCATCCCAGATGATGAATCTGAGATCGAAAAATTGAAAGAAAAGGCCGTGGTTGGTGATTTGTTGAAAATGTCATTATTAGATACGCAAATTATCACTACTATTATAGAGATGTTTTTTCATTTCTCTTGGAATAATTTCTTACATAATGTTGTATTTGATATTATCCAACAGATATTCAATGGTCCATTAAAATCTGGGTTTAATAGATTTTTAATAAAAGATCTTTTAACTAATACTGAACTTACCAAATTGATTATTGAAGGTGAAAGAGACTGTGTAAGACAAGAAGAGGAAAAAAAACCAAGGTTAGGTTATATCGGCCATCTGACCTTAATAGCGGAAGAGATTGTAAAATTTAGTGCATATCTTGATGAAATGAATATCAACTTCACAACTAATACCATAAATGATTGCTTAGCTGATTCAAATTGGAAGGATTATGTAGAAACTACTCTAAGTAATAGAAGAGAACAATATGATCTTGTCTTAGGTGATATTCCACCAAATGGTGATGGGGAAAATGATGATTATGATGACGGGGATTCAAATGAAGATAGATTCTCTGAACACGTATACGGTACTGAACATATCATTTTCACAAATGACTTAGATGAAGATGGAGAAGATATAGATAATGATAATGAGGATCCATACGAAGACGCTATCAATCATTTACCAGGTGAAAAAGAAGATAATGCTGATGTTAAGGAAGGAGAAGAAAACGTCGACGATGAATATGAAAGTAACAACCATAAAGATTCAACTAGTTTTCTATCTTCATCAGAGTCTGAAAAAAATTTTGTTCAGAATGACAATATACTTATAAATATTACAGACACTACTAAAGGGTTACAAAACAACGAAGAAGAAGAGGAATATGCTGAATATTCAGAGAGAGATAACAAAAACTACTACCAGTACGTTGATTCTAATATGAAGAAAGCAGGCACATATGTAGCGACTATTGACTCTCATCACGATGATGAAGAATCGGAAAATAATGATGGAAAAATGCATCGTAAACAATATAGTCCTAGTAAATTTGGTCAAACAATCACAAAAACTGTTATACCGACATCTCCTGCTGGCTTTTTTGATTATGAGATTAGTTCATCTGACGAAGAAGATAATCTTGTATCAAGCCAAGATTATATCGAACAGAATGATAAACGTAGAAAACTAAGCAAAAGAGGAGGTTATTGTGACGATGAAGAGAATAATGACGATCTTCTTGAAGACACAACATTAAGTGAAACAGCCGCATGGAATGGAGAGTCAAGATCTCCCTCATTTAAATTGAACCGCGTTTCTAATAATAATAAGCCAAGCTTGGCACAATTACATGATGAGGATATTTTCCAGCATCAATTTGAAATGGATATGATGCATGACTCCAGTGTATATCCTGGATTGAGTCGAGTTGACAGTACAACAATAAATGATATCAGTATAGCACATGTGATTCCAATAATGAGTCTACAGGATGAAAGCGATGATGAAGACAACTATTTAGATCCCAATGATGATGGACAATCGTATGCTAAACCAAATAACCCATTATATAATGACACCATGAAAGGTATGGCGTCATATTATTCAAATAGTGTATATTATTCTTCTGAAGGATATACTACTGCTGATAATGGATCCGATGAAGAGGAATCAAGCGAAAATAGTGACGAAGGAGAGATGGATCATAAATTACTAAATAATTTACAAGATAGCTCTATGGAAGAATCTTTTATCTTATACAGATCTGCAAGTCATGACGAAGAAAAGTGGAGTTAACTGATGAGACATAATTTTATTGGGGTATATTAGAGTACAAATTTATATTTCCTTTGATTATTATTGTTGTAAAATTTTCTTGTTTCATCTTATGCCCTTTCATTTTTATTTAGCATTACATTCATGTTTTTAGCGTTTTCTTTGCATCACATCATATTGAAAGCTATTATTGTATAACTATTATAATTTAGACATTAAATATTAATATATGTTTTGAGATTATTTATTTTTTTTGCTTTCCTCATTTTTCATTTGTAAAATTAAGATATTTTACAATTTATATGTTTTTTTCAGTTTTCTTTTCTTTTCTTTTTTTTTGACATTTTCTATTTTGTTCCACTTTGAAGATACCTAGGCTAATAAAATGTAAGGAGTTCTAAGACCAGATACTTTCTTTCAAATTCTTGTTTGCCTATCATATCTTTATCTTTGGTATTGATAAAATTATTGAAAAAACAATAACGAAGAGTCTCTTGGGACCTATTAACAAAAACAACAACATGTCCAATAAAAAAACAATCTCGGCTTTTTCTCCATTAGCACTTTACAATTTAATTTCAGCCATTGGATGGAGTTACATTCTATATAGTGTGATTTTCAACTATCCAAAATTAGGTCAACCACTATTTTTTATAAAGACTAAAAGTATTGTAACATTAGTTCAATGTGGTGCCATTATTGAAATTTTAAACTCTATTTTGGGTATTGTTAGATCCCCAATTTTGACTACAATAGCTCAAGTAGCTTCAAGATTGTTAGTTGTAATTGGTATTTTTCAATTATTACCAGAGAGTGAGAATGCACAAAAGCTCCCATATATTACCTTGTTATTTGCCTGGTCAATTACTGAGATTGTACGTTATATGTTTTATTTCTTTACATTAACTGTCAAAAATGGGGCACCAAAATGCTTAATTTATTTAAGATACAATCTATTTTGGATTTTATACCCCACTGGTGTAACAAGTGAATTATTAATTATTTATTCATCACTTAACTGGGCTCAATCTAAATTTTGTGTTTGGTATAAATGGACTTTGATTGGGTCCATGTTGACCTATATCCCTGGGTTACCAATGTTATTTTTACATATGGTGGCTCAAAGAAAGAAAGTTATGAAAAGTTTAAGGGAAACACATAAGAAACATAATTAAATTTGCCTATATAAGCTATTTCAGATTGCCGACAAGTCTGTATATATCTGCGACAAACATATATACAATATATATCTATATGTAAATTTGTTATCACCTTGGGTGAATATAGTATAACTCTTGAATAAACCAACAAATGGATGAGTACACATCTGGTGAATTACACGCATACATAAGCATGTAGCAATTTCTAGTTTTAATTGTAATCATTATCTAAACTATTTTTTTTTGTTTCAAGGATTTCTTCTGTTAAAAAAAAATACAGGGAAAAAGAAGTATATACACACAAAAAAAAGAAGAATAAAGAAGGGAAAGAAGAAGAAGAAGAAACTATTTAGGTTATCGATAAGGTTAGCAATCTCAAGTTTTACTATAGTATCAGATTTAGATGCTTCTCATTAAAGCTACAAATACGAATTTGTGAGAAAAAAATAGTTATATATTTATTTGATAAGCTTGGAAATAAGCAAAGGAAAAAAAAATAGATAAGAGAGCTGAAAAGATTAAATGATTATGTTGAAGACATTATTTAGACCAATAACTGCAACCAGATTAAATAATTTATTTGTCAAACCACAAAGAAATACTCTATTATCTCTTATGAATATAAATGTGGGTAGTAATAGAAAACATTATTCTACTGAATTAAAGAATGAACAAGAGAATAATACAAGTACATCACAGTCACCCATTGACATAACACCTCTAAAATTAGCTACTGATTTATATGCTGTGTTTAGAATACATAACCGTCCTTATTTAGTCACTGAAGGTGATAAAGTTATTTTACCATTTAAAATGAAACAAGCCGAAGTTGGTGATATTTTAAGACTAACAGATGTTATAACTTTAGGATCACGTAATTTCACATTAAAGGATAATCCAATAGATCCAAGTTTGTATAATTTGAAAGCCACTGTCATTGAAAAGACCAAACGTAAATTTGAAATCAGAGAAGTGACAAAGAGACGGAATAGAAGAGTTCGTCATGCAAAAAGAAAAGGTGACTTGACCATTTTAAGAATTAGTAAATTGGAAGTTGTTTAAGTGAAAATTTCATATAATATACTAATCAGTATTGCCTTTTTCAATCACAAATCCATGTAAATATTATAAAATTTGTACAAAATAGTCCGCCTATATCTATATAAAAAAAATAAATAGTACACATTTTATTCATCTTTTTTTATTCAATTTATTCTTCTTGTTTTCAAACTGATATATATATATATTCAATGCTTAAACAGGTTCAACGACAGAAAATTATAAATTAGAAGAAAGAAGAATGTATTACACCAACACGAAAAAATGTTGGTTATCAGATAATGTCCTGGGTTTTTCCAGTAGCTATAGTGGTTTGGAATTAAGGTTTGTAGAAAATATTATGCAGTTATTTAATTCAGATTAACTTTACATATATAAACTCCGACTCAAAAAACTACGCCAAGATCATTCAATAATGACTTGTTTGCTATATGTTCTCATTACTTTATTATAATTCCATTAGAAGATTATTTAGATCACCTGTTTGAGATTAGCAATTTTATATCTTCTTTTCTTTTAAAGAGAGTAACAATATTAATAATAATAACAACCAACAATAAATATTATAAAAACCAAATTAGGTAGCATAACAACACTACTTTTGTTAGTATAGTTTTCTCTCTCTAGTCTACATACTTTAGACTAGAGAAATCTTCGATTTTCTCTAAAAATTACATTAGACATGCAAAGTAGGCCTGATTTTGTTTCTCGAGGAATCTCATATATCTTGTGTAACCTATTGTTCTTTGTTTGTTTTTCGTTTTGTTTTGTTTTGGTCTGAAGGAAACACGCAAACAAAATAGAAACGCAGAATAGAGGAAAGAATAAAAGACATCGATTCTGCGACATGATGATGGATCAACTTCCCTATTTTTGAGGATATATTTGGTACATTTATTCTTTTCTAATTATCTTATTCTATAAATAAATTTCTAGCTACAATATTCATTAATTTTTTATTCGACCATTTATTCCACAACTCTCTAAACAAACATCTGAAGAAAAGAGGAGGACAGGCAACTATTATTCCATTACATCATCCTATATCGTTTAAACCACAATATAACTTTAAATATATCTCTTTATGTATTTATATTGTACAGAATAATACCTGTGTTTTTCCACTTCCCTCTTTTTTACCAACACTAATGCCTTTTCTTAGAAAAATAACGGGTACTCATCATAGTCATAGCAGATCAAATTCTGGATCATCTTTACTATCACAAATTCAATCTGCTGAAATTTCTCCTAGTTCGTCTAAAAATAGTAACTCAATTCTGTTTAATTCTAATAACTATAATAATGGTAAAAGAATTAATAATGATAAAGGATCTAATATAACGATGGACCGTAACAGCAGCACCACTGCTCCTAATGATGATAATAAAAATCAAGAAATAGTAACCCAACCAAATAATGGTAGTCTACCTGTTAGAAAAAAACAACCACCTCCACCTCCAAACTCACTTGATCATCATCATCAAACAAGAAATACTACAAGAACTTCATATATGTCTAACATCTCTGGTCTATCAAGCTTAACAGAAAATGAAGCAAATATGTTTCACTCTGATTCAATCACATCCTCCTCCTCTTCGTCATCATCGAATATACAATCCAACTATATACCTACTTTTCATGTTAATAATAACGTAAATATACCAGGGACTAGTAACGATTCTTCGTCTTTAAAAAGACCTTCTGTGTCAGGTTCATCAACTCTTTCTGATAATCTAACTCTTTACACTATAGGTGATGATAATAAAAACATTAATACATCACCTACGGCGCCATCATATCATAATCCACTTACTATATCACACAATGAAAATACTGGAAGTTTAGTTGGATCCACTACCTCTAACTCAAATCCAAATTCTAGAAAGTCATCTGATGGGAATAGTGTAAACAGTCTTTCGTTTGATAAATTGATTCTTTCATGGGATCCAACTGACCCTGAAGAATGGACTATGCAGAGGGTTCTACTGTGGTTGAAGTCTCAAGAATTTCCCGATCAATGGATATCATTCTTTAAAAAAAATCAGTTATATGGTAACAAATTTATTCGATTATTAGCATATGATAATTTCCAAATGTATGAACGTTATTTGACAATATCAAAGATGGGATCGTTTACTAGATTTCAAGATCTTTTGAAAAAGACAATGACTAAAAATGTTGATAATATTCATATTATGAGACAAAAAAATTTGGACAAAAGTTTGACAAGTCATAGATCTTTGTCTTCAAATCTAAGAAGTTCAAGTGATAATCTAAGTAAAAATGTACAAAATAATACCAAATCCCCATTGCCAGAAAATGGATTGACGCTAACAAAATCAGTTCCTTCTAAATCTCATACAAGCAATGATTATAAATCAAAGTCAATTCCGAAGAGATATCATCAAAAGACATTAAGTGCTAGTGCATTGTACAGAAGAAGTCTTATATCACTAAGAGGGTCATCCATATCTGCTGGTACATCAGCCACTCTTTCTTCTATGCCATTAAATACCAATAACTACAACAGCACTGATCCAAAAAGTCCAACAAGAGGCAATAAAATCAAATTACATATTCCACAAAAACCATTATCAACTTTAGAAGCTAGTGCAAATTCATTAGTTTCCAATAATAATATCTTAACACCCAGTAGGTCAAATTCATCTCCATTATCCCCCGGAATTTTTCGTAAGAATCATAAAAGCAGTTCTTCTGAATCATCTTTGTTAAATGCTATCTTTGGTTCGTCATCAAATACCCCTACAAACCAGACTACCAATAACACAACGCCACTAAATCATTTGAAACATCATTCTAATCCTGAAAATGAGAGGACACCAGGCCAAAAACCCAATAATACATCGACTTATAATACTCCACATAATAATAAGCATCACTTTTCAAGCCATATTGCATCAATTCAACAACAATATAATTTAAACAAATATCCTAGTCAAAAAAAAAGACATAGTATTTCAAACGATAATCTGATAAATGTTAAAGGTCAAATTAATACTTTAACAGGATTAAATAATGGAGACGCCATCTCAAGTAACTTAAGGCCAATTAAAAACGAAGAAAAAGAGACCTTGTGGGATAAATTGAAACGAAGAAGTCAAATTGGGTTAGGTTATTCAAATAGTACCGCTAACACTCCTACTACGGCTAATACATTAGCAATATCTACGTCATCACTCAATAATAATAACAAGTCAAACACAAGTTTAGTAACTTTAACTACAAATAATATTGAAAATAGCAATACAAACAACACACCCAATGTAACTTCAAAGTTAAATTCGAATTCTGATGTAATGTCCAAAAAGACTAATTCAGAGAGACACAAAGATACTACTTCTTCATTTCAAAAAAATGAAAATTTAGAGAAGATATCAAAGAAGGTGAAGGAGAAAAGCACTTCACTAGATAACGTCAAGAGTCCTTTTCAAGATTATTATCCAATAATTAACAATAATTATCAAGGCAACTCCAAAGATATATTTATATGGATATCCAAAAACAATATTTCATTTGTTTCTTTGAAAGTGAATGGTATAAAAGATGTCAATGAACTTAAAATAACAATCCAAAGTAAGTTATCAATACCTGCTGACCATGATATTGCTATTCATATGACTGATTTTTATAATAATCTTGGTCCTCCTATTCCCAATAAGGTATTAGAAGCAATAAATATTGATGGTTTTGAACAATCTACAATGAAATTTTATATTAAGGAACAAATAAAGACAACAAGTAGACCTAGAACTGCTACATTATCCAATGAACCGAATCAACAATTGAGATCTGTCAGAAGTAGAAATTCTGTAAGATCAGTAGCAAGTAGTATAGTGACAGATGATGTATCTATTGTTACATCATCGTCAGATGTTACATCATTTGATGATCCGTCTGGAGGAACTGGAAGACGTTACCCACAAACACCAAGTATATATTATGACGCCTCCACTTCGAATAAAAGTACAGAAGAAGAACTGAATTATTGGAATATCAAGGACCAACTTCCTTCTGAGAATATCCAAAAACAGTTACTACAAAATTCTGCAGCTATCAATACTGGAAAAATTGATTCTACAATTAATAAATCTAAAAATACAACTCCTAGAAAAAATTCAAAGAGTTCCTTCCATGTACTCATGAAAAATGATACAAACGAAATTAATTTTAACAAAAGAAGAGAATCACCATATGTGATACCAGAATTAGCTCCTAAAAGGGAAGCTCCAAAAGCACCTGCAAATATTTCGCCTCCAAGAACATTATCTCATTATAAATCTGCACCACATCTTAGAAGAACAACAACAAAAATACACAGAAAACCTGTTTCACCTTCAACTAGCAAATTGGTCGGATCTTTTATGCCTGGATCTACTCAAGTTATGGTTCCACAACCCTATAAGGGTGCTACTGACTTTGAAAGAAAAATAAAATCAGAAGACGAAGACATAGTGTTAAATCCTGTATCCAATTTTATGTTGAAGCAGAGACTGGATAGATCTAATTCACATTCATCAATAAACCATCCACTTATTAATAATACACCACCATTTTTGAAGAGAGGTGTCTCCAAACGAATTGTATCATCAGCGTCTGCAGCTGATGTATTTGAGGAAAACGATATAACATTTGCTGATGCTCCTGCTTTATCCGACACGGACAATGACGATACCTCTTCTGATGATATTATATGGTCGAATAATAAGAAACAATCAGAAGACATTACTTCAACAGTTAATAATATTGTATCTAGTACAGACAATAAAGATATCAAACATTCAGTATTATCAGATATATTCCAAAAAGAAGAAGAAAATTATTTATCAGACGATAATTTGGAAAAGAGTAATGGTCTATCTCGTAAGATGACATTAAGGCCATCTCCAGAAGAGGTTTACGAAAATCTAGAAAAATTCTTCCCCCCTGCTTATTTAGATAAACCAATCTTGGAAAATTTAATAGCACCCACTTCTCCAAATTCTAATGCTCAACATTCTTCAGTATCTTCAAAACAAAAAAACACAGATGATGCAGTTATTCCTGTAGATATTTCATACCATAAGCATTTACCTAAGAGAACAAGGACTATCAGAGCTATTGCCAATGAAGCAAACCAAGCCAGAAAGAATTCCATGAAATTAAAAAGACATAATACTAAAATGTGGGGTACCAGAATGGTAGAAATCACAGAAAAGCAATTGGTATCAATTAACAAAAGTAAAAATTCTAAAGGTGAGTACCGAGAATTTGCATGGATGAAGGGGGAAATGATAGGAAAGGGTTCATTTGGAGCTGTCTATTTATGTTTAAATCTGACAACAGGTGAAATGATGGCAGTGAAACAAGTTGAAGTTCCTCAATATAGTTCTCATGATCAAAATATAATTGATATGGTAGAAGCATTGAAATCTGAAGTGAATACTTTGAAGGATTTAGATCATTTAAATATTGTCCAATATCTGGGATTTGAAGAAAAAAACCATATTTATAGCTTGTTTTTGGAATATGTTGCTGGTGGTTCAGTAGGTTCATTAATACGCCTGTATGGCCGTTTTGATGAAAGTTTGATTCGACATTTGACTGTTCAGGTATTAAGGGGTTTGGCATATCTTCATTCTAAAGGTATTTTGCATAGAGATATGAAAGCTGATAATTTACTTCTAGACCAAGATGGTATTTGTAAAATAAGTGATTTTGGTATTTCTAGAAAGTCAAACGATATTTATTCTAATTCTGACATGACAATGAGGGGTACTGTTTTTTGGATGGCCCCAGAAATGGTAGATACAAAACAAGGTTATAGTGCGAAAGTCGACATATGGTCACTAGGATGTGTGGTGCTAGAAATGTTTGCTGGGAAGCGTCCATGGTCCAATTTGGAAGTGGTAGCAGCTATGTTCAAAATTGGGAAATCTAAGTCTGCGCCACCTATTCCTGAAGATACTTTGCCACTGGTTTCACAAGATGGAAGAAATTTCTTGGATTCTTGTTTTGAAATTAATCCAGATTTACGTCCAACAGCTGACAAACTGTTGTCTCATCCTTTTAGTAAAGTTTATGAGTCTTTTGACTTCAAACAAACAAAATTAGCAAATTTTATTAGATCTAATGACATTTTGAACTCCTCTAAGTTAAGAGCTACTTCTCAGGAAGGTTTAAAGAAAGATATATAAATAAACAGTTATATAATTGTATTAATAACTTACTTTTAAAAGGAATATAGATATACTAACAGATAGTTACAAATTTGAATCCCTAACCAAGAAATTTATCATTAAGAGAACTATAATGATGTGTAATTAGAATATTGAATCTTTTGTTGGCACCCTCTAATATAATATCCTTCACCTCATCTGAGAAGGGATTACCTCCCACAAAGTAACGTTCTGCAATTATAAATGTGGCTTCTTCCAGCATGTCTTCTTTTTCAGTTAACCTTATATTCTCCAAAACGCATTTGATAAAACATTCACAGGATATGTCACTCTCATTTTTCACGTTAGGATTTATTAAAATAATATCAATAGAGGATATTTCAAACCAAGACTGATCTTCAAATACAGAGCATAAATTATCAATAAAATGACTATTTTTTTCATTAATGAAAATTGATGTTTTAATGTTGTATTGATTCTTTCTACCTCTATAATTTATTAAAAGGAATAAATATATAGCTAGTAAATCCGATGATGTGATATTAGGGTTTTGTAAAAGCAAATAGAAATTTTTTGTTTTAAATCTGTCAACATTTAGACGATCACTATTATTTGAAATAAGAAATAAAATATTAGACTTCAATTCAGTTAATTGTGAGAAATAATTAGACGGAAGTTCATTTGAACCTAATATATGAGAAAAAATATGGTCAAACGACTTATATCTATCATCATTTAAAACAGAAGAATCCTTTGATTGATAAGATGCTCCTTTTAAGGGGAAAAACACTAAACTAGATTCGATAAGAGATAATGTGTTTATATTTATAGCCTTCTCTTTCATTGTTGAGAATATAACTTCACTTGAAAATGGCACTTTAGCTAGTCTTGCAAACATGAAAAATATTTGTAATAATGAATCTGAATTTGCAGTAAAATGTAGATCATCATTGTATAAAGTTGAAGATTGTAACAGATCAGTTGTTCTTTCGGTTAATAATCTCAAATGGATAGCTTTTAATGGTAAACATTGTTCAAAAATGCAATGATTTTCTTCAATAACTGTAAGAGTTGAAATAGAATCTTCAGTACTATGGGTCAAACTTTTAGTTAATCTTTTGAATCTAGGGAATACTTTACTACTAGAAGAATTGCTATTCTTGGTTAAATTAATATTATTTAGTGGGACTGATACAGGGTTATGTTGATTGTTTCCCAATGTAAAATAATTTAACATTTCCAAACATGCTGATATCTCTTCAGAATTATTAATAATAGTAACAATTTCCGATATTTGAAATACTTTTAAATCTTTATATGTATTTAATTTATTTTTACTAGCTGTAATGGGTACAGTTGATAAGGACTGAATAGATGATGTTTCACTTTCTACATCTTTCTTATTTATTATATCGTTTATTTCCTTTCTATAATGGTCAGGGTATGCAATCATTGTCAATGGAGTCGTAACAAATGTAGATACCAAAGCCATTAGAATAAAAATACCGTAAATTTTCTGATTTATAATTCCTGAGTTTAAACCTACTGTTAAGACAACAATTTCTACAATACCCTTGCATGACATTAATATACCAACAGCAAGTGACTCTCGACAAAATAAACCATTTAATTTTGCTACTATGCAGCCTGAAATTACTTTGCTAGCTATTGCAATCCCAATACAAGCAAAAACAAAACCCCAATCTTTACCTTCATTTAATAAAGTTAAATCTACATTCAATCCCGCAACGGCAAAATATATTGGAATTAAGATTATATTTGGAATATCTTCCATGCGTTCAGCTAATTTGATAACATAATTGTTATCTCTAGGTACAATTAATCCCGCAATAAAAGCGCCAAAAATTGCATGTACTCCGATAATATCAGTAAAGTACGCTGAGACAAACATGATAAATAGAATACACATTGTTGCAAATGGTGAAGGTCTTGATCTATCTAATTCATGTGTCTTTATAAGTGCCCATTTTAAAATATATCTAACTGGATAAAAATATATTAAGAACCATCCAAATGTACATAATAAAATATAAACTGTATTGACCGGATTTGATTCAGAATTTGATAGGATAATACTTAAAGCCAATAAGATCCAACCTAATATATCATTAATAATACCAGCACCTAGTACTATGATACCAGCTCTATCTTTTATGAGTCTTAATTCATTCAGTATTCTACATAACACGGGAAAGGCAGTTACTGACATTGAAACGGCAATAAAGATCATAAAGACTGTGAATTTTATTGTTCTTCCATTTGGATCTTTATTTGCATAATTATGAAATAAAGGTATAGAAATTAAACACCCACATCCAAAAGGGACAGCTAATGTTGCCAAGCCAATAGTTACAGCAGTTTTGATATTTTTCTTTATAAATTGTAAATCAACTTCCAAGCCTAAAAAGAACATAAATAAGATGATCCCTAAGTTTGCAGTTAAACTTAACCCTGGAATAGATGATTTAGGGAAGACAGTGTTTGTATAATTCTGTATTTGGCCAAATACAGTTGGACCCAATATGACCCCTGCAATTACCTCTGAGATAACTTTAGGTTGACGTATTCTCGCAAATATCAGGTGTAAAAGGTTACACATTGCTAATATTAAGCATACTTGGAATAAGAAGAGAGTAACTGGCGATCCTGCATTATATTCAAAAGGGTTCACACCTGAAAGTACACCCCCCACTGATATAGCCATTTGTAATTGTGCAAAAAAAGTATGAACAATCAAAAGAACGTATCAAATAAAACTATAAGTAACCAAAAATATTAAGTAAACGATAAATATGCGTTTGGTTACAGCGATACTCTACTATGTGTATGTTATCAACAATATATGTTTTGAAAAAATATTTTTGTTTCTGTTTTACTAGTAATTGTTGTACTTATTTTCTTACTTGTTGTTAATATATGTTTAAGTCATAATATCCTTGATCCACATATATTTATACAAGCAAATGACGAAGGAAAAATATATGTATATACACATAACAAGTGTATATTTCTGTTACTTTCAACACTCTTTTCCTTATGAACAACTTTAAAAGAAATATCAATAAGCATTAGTTATTATTATTTTATAGAAGGAACTTTAAAATGAGAAAAAAGAAACAAACTAAGAATGCAAGAATAAGGAAACGAAATAAAAAAAAAAAAAAAAAAAAAAAAGAGAGAGAGAGAGAGATACTCTAGGTATTAATAATAAAAAGCAAAGAATATTATTCTATTTCTTATAAAATGGCAAATATATGTTACAAATTGTCATAGACATGGATGTAAATGGGTGGTAACTAATGCAAATTAATTAAAATAGTACTCTTTCTATGGTAAATATTGTATGATGAAACTAAAAAGTGTTCATTTGCACCACTACCTATAACATACATAGAAAAATGGTGTTTTTTTTTCAACAACTTTTATTAATAGTTGACTCATTTTTTCTGCGAGACATTGTATGTAATGAGGATGATGATGAAATTGTAGTAGAAGCGTTTTCATTAAAGCGATTCGATGCATTCGAAGAAGTAGTTTTTTCCAAAATTGTGGATGCATTTTGTTGTTCAGTCATAATGTCATCCATAAGTTTATCAATTGCATCAGATATTCTTAAAAATGCAAAATGTGGTTCATTTAGTGGGAATTTTAATGGTGTTCTATTAGATATCCAAAAATTGTCATTTTCCTGTTTTGTGAGCATCAATTCTTCAGTTGGATATAGATTATGAAGATTAGTCCACTGTTGAAAACTTAATTTGTAACTATTATTTTCTAATGATATCCTATGTAAAATCCTTAGAGACTTAAACAAATGTTTCAATCTTTGTAATTTCTTAAATTCGAGCTTGGGTCTATTACTTACGGTCTTTGTTAAAGATTCTACGGATTCTGAATCCTCGTCATCTAAGGACGGGACAATGTCAAAATCTGTATCATCAGAGTCCGAAATAGAATCTAGATCAGTAAATATATTATTTTGTTTAACGTCCCACGATTTATTTAAGATATCGTCTAATGTACATATAGAACGAGAATCGTGATTTCTATTTTTACAAGAACTACTTTGTTCAAAATTACTATAATTATGATCATTATCATTATAATTATCTCCGTCGTTTTGGTTAATCTTATTTTTATGTCCATTATTCTTTTTAGCTTCCTTGATCATGTTATGTTTACTTTTAACTAATTCTTCAATAATTTCACCATTTGGAATTTTAAATGATACTGGATATAAACTCTTAGATATTTTGATTGTATCAAATCCAATGTGGAAACGTTTAGACAATTGAATGTCTAATTTATTAGACAAAGTAAACAACAAATCACCAGCTGTGGAAATCAAAGCACTCATCAGGGGGATAGCACCGATCCCCCATATGACAAAAAACGCTCTACCTGCACCAGTAGAAGGTGTAAAATCACTACCATAACCAATAGTTAAAAGACATAAAAAACAAAAATACATTGAATTAAAAAAAGACCAATCTTCTGCGAAATGAAATACTAGTGCTCCCAATAACCAGAATCCTATGAAAATAGTCATTGTAGTCAAAATAGAATAGATTTTCCCTCTATTATAGGCTCCCTTTGCGATTCTTTCCATTATTTGGAAACCTTCCTTGTTATCTATAGTTAACTCCCCATTCAATACTTTTTCCCACAGTTTAGTTCTACTTGATTCCAGTCTATGGAAATACCAAACAGGACCAGAAGATCTTTGTATAATTGATCTTGTCATATAAACAATTAACCCAAGGATAAAGATCCCAGATAACGAAAAGAGGAGAATCATGATTTTGGAGGCAACATTAATCGGGAAGATATCACCAAACCCGACGGTTAATAGAGATACGACACAAAAGTATAATGAATTACCAAAAGATATTCCCATTAAACCAGAGAACAAGCCAGCACCCCATATTAACCAAAGTGAAAGAAAGACAGTAAAAACCATAATAATTCTCTCATTTGGTAAGAGATTGAAAGTGGCAGGGTATTTTTTCAACTTATAACCAATAAAATGTATTGTTAAGGTGAAAGTGCATGCTATATATAAGCCAGATGTGAAAGAAGCATACCAAAATCCTAGTGTTCTTGCTTGTCCCTCCTGGATTTCTGAACTGCATATAATTACATCTATCATTAACAGCAGTCCAGCAGCAGTCCATCCGACAATATTAATGAACTGAGATGTGAGATAACTCAGTCTCCTGGAAAAATGACATAAAAGAACCACATTTGATGAAAATCCTAAGACTAAAGATATAACATTGATGGCAAAGATCCCCTTTGGGTCTAATAATTGATTGCTCTCAGTATTATCGTCATGAACTCCGGATTTTGCCGTTCTAGTTTGTCTCCACTTTTCCACTACACAAGCAATAGAAATAGTATTAGCGATAGGACCCAAACATGCAGTTATAACAGGGAAATAGCACGAGACAAAAAACCAAAATACGAATGATTTTTTAGTGGGGTCATCATTAATTATACTGATTCTGTTATTTTTGAATTTGAGAGAATCTCTAACAGCAAAATTCAGAGCATGGATCTCATGTTTGTGTCTCATTCGTTGTTGAGATTCAACGTCACTCATAATTTCATATTTCTCTATATGCTTTTGTTTGTGTGTTGTATCTGTGTTATGTGGTGTTACTTGGTATTACGTGGTGTTATCCAGAGTTAATATGATACGATTTTTTCCTATTTAATTTATTTTAAATTAATTTGATTTTGATGCTTTCTTCAATATAAATAAATTGTCTTATACAGGTATATTTTGATAATTCAGATCTCTTCTCTTTATTAACTGAACCTTCTCATCTTCTATTTCCATTGATCTTGTACTATTTTTGTAGGCAGGAGAGAATGGGAGAAGAGTGAAAAGAAAAAAAATGGGAAAAAAAAATATGGGGGGGGGGGGAGAAATGAAAAACTGGAAAGAATGAAAAAACGATGCGGGTTCGATCGCTGTGGTCTGCGTAATTTCAAATAGGATTGTAGATAGATAAAAGAGTCTTCCAAAAATGCGTTTTACCACTTCTCACTGTGTCTAGTATGCTTCGATGGCTTTCTTTCCAATTGTAATCTACAGGGGGAAGGGCAGAGAGAGGAATGTGGAGGAAGAGAAAGGTTTATTTATTTGGCAGTATAATGAATCTTAATAATAACAACAGGGTTTCTTATGAAATGTTTGCGCCTCCCATTACAAAGTTGTAGTTTATAGTTCTTTCTTCTCATCTCTTGTATCTGCACAACTATTGTTTTAGTGTGTATGGAGTAAGTATTAATAATAATAATAATAATAATAATAATGATAATAATAATAATGTATGGAAATGTGCGTCAAGGAAGAATCGAAGGAAGGAAAATCAAAGAAAAATAAATTTCAAGAAAAAAAAAAAAGAAAGGAAAAATAAAAGGAAAAAAAATAAAAAGCAATAATCATTTTGGCGTTTTGTTTCAACTTACAATATCATCGTGTTGTACTGATAGTATACACGAACTCATTCAATTGATATTAGCAATTCATTATCTAAGTGCAAACATATGCTGATATCCCTTTTATCTTTTCTCGTTTTCACTAGCTCCAATCAATAAAACCATTTTTCTGTTCTTTGGTTTCTTTTTATTTTGTGTTGTTGCCTTTTTTTTTTGTTTTTTAATAATTTGTCAAAATACATCATCTTATATATCGATCTATTAGTTTATCTATTCAATACCTTTGTATATGTGCGTTATAAAGTATGACCACAAATGATGATTTTAATCAATATGATAGAACATTAAGAGGCATATTATCTACTTTAAATAAACAGCAACTATTAGCCACCAAATTCAATCCAACTAAAGCTCTACAAGTGATCGCTGGTCCTGGTACAGGCAAAACAAAAGTTTTGACCTCAAGGGTTGCTTATTTACTGTTACGTCATAACATAAAGCCAAATGAAATTATCGTGACAACTTTCACAAATAAAGCCGCAAAGGAAATGATAGAAAGACTGCAAAGTCTATTTAAAGGTACAGATATTGATTTGAAAAATCTATTCATTGGTACTTTCCATGGGATCTGTTTAAAGATTTTAGGTAGGTTCGGTTATAAAATTGGATTGCAGAATGGTTGGAGGATTATTGAAGAAAGAGAAATCGATAATATAATTAATGAAATTATAAACAATGTACCTGATCAGATCAGAGATTATGCAAATTCTTTTAAAAGATTGATTAATCTTTGTAGACCCAATAAATCTGGCGACAGTTGGACATTAAATTGTCAAATGATTAAAAGAGAGATTTCCAAATTGAAAGCAAACGCAATGATTCCAGAAGAATATAATAACGAACAAGAGCATGACTCTGCATTAGCTTATTTCTACCAAAAGTATCAAGATAAATTACATGAATTGAATGTTTTGGATTTCGATGATCTTTTAATGTACTGTTTCCGTCTTCTAACTAAAGAACGTTGTCTACCTAACATTAAACATGTTTTTGTGGATGAATTCCAAGATACAAACAGTATCCAAATGGATTTAATGTTTTTAATGGCAAGAGGTGATCATCATATCTCAAGAGGTATAACAGTTGTGGGTGATCCTGACCAAAGTATTTACTCCTTTAGAAACGCATTAGACCAAAATTTTCAAGAAATGGTGAATAAATCTCCAATCCCATGTTCTCAGATTGTTTTAATTGAAAATTATAGGTCAACACAAAAGATCTTAAATACAAGTGAGATTTTGATTCAACAACAATTAAAAGGTAGAACTCTGAGAGCTCCCTTGCATGCACAATTCGATTGTGATTTTCCACCGGTTTATATAAATTTCCCTGTTCTTTTTTTACAAGGTCCATCTTTGGCTAAAGAACTATTATATTTAAAGGCTTTACCGAATTTGTTCACTTTTGATGACTTTGCAATCTTAGTTAGACAACGCAGACAAATTAAAAGTATTGAGTCTTCATTGATTGAACATAGAATTCCGTATAAAATAATTAGAGGTAGAGCTTTTTGGGAATTGAAAGAAATTACATCCATGTTGAATCTTCTTCGTTGTCTTCTATCAGATAATGATAAAAGCGCAATTTTACAATCTTTAATCTACCCGTCAAGGGGTCTTGGACAGACAACATTAGAAAAAATCGGGATTAAAATGGATGAAATGAGTCAAAGAAAAAATCTCAATCCATTAATGACACTGAGAAAGATCAATTCTAATCAAATACCATTCAGTATGACTACAAAGATACGATCTGTGATTTCCAATTTTCTTACAATGATCGATAGTTGTAGAACTAATATAGAAGCTAAGGTGACTGAGCCCATGTTAGACAAGCTGTTTGATAAAATGTATCAGGATTCAGGACTAGAGAAAGAATATTTATATGAGGATTGTACTAATAATAAAAAGAAATTACCAAGTGATACAGTGAAAACAATATCAGCTAACTATGGAAATGTAAGACATAAAAATGTCGGGATACTTAAAAGATATTTCCTTGGAATCACACAGATTGAAAGTGACAATGTACCATCCGATGATAAATTAGAAGCTTCGACAATAAGTGGTGTTTGTTTAGATGACATCACTCTTCGTGAATATATCGCCAGGTTTTTTAATTCAATATCAATCTTTAATGCAGCAAATGAGGATTTGCAATATAATGAAAAGGAAACACAGGGAAGAGTTACTATATCCACAATTCATGGCTCAAAAGGTTTAGAGTGGCCTGTGGTTTTTATTCCTGGTTGTGTTGAAGGGATTATACCAAGCATATTCTCCAGGGATGGTGAGGAGAATGGTGATGACGAAAATACTGGTAATAATACTAGTGATGATAAAGGTGATATGAAAGAAGGTGATGACCTAAGCAATTCTTCAAATGGATTCAATAATGGCACCAAACGTCCCAAAAACATCGATGTCACTTTAGATGAAGAACGTAGAATGTTTTTTGTGGCGCAAACAAGGGCAAAAGTACTATTATATCTTTCTTCTATAGATGAAAATGAAGGCAATCCAATGTTAGGGGGACCAAGTCGTTTTTTGACGCCAAATTTACTTGCTACATTGGTTGATGATCAAAAAGTATTTGCAGATATTAAAAATATTAAATCATTATACCATGCAATGAAGAAACCACTTCCTGGGAGAAATATTAGTGAGATATTCTCGTTTAAGACATTACTTCAAGATTATGCCGATTTTATTTCAAATAGGCGTGAAAAAATGGTATGGGGTGGTCAACAAATTTCAAATATTCAAATGTTACGTTTAGAAAGGAATAGGCTCGGTACATCAAGTGCTCTTCTATCAGATTTTAGTACAGCTGCAGATCAGTTAAAAATTGAAACACAACTTAGTGGGACTAAAAATCAATATGCCTCTACACATAAGAAAAGCAAACAGTCAGTAATAAACAATATACAAATGAGTCCTCAAAGAACATATGCACCAACGTCCGGCATTAAAAGATCATCTAGTCCAAGGAAAATCTTTGCTCCGTCTATTGATGATAGAGTATCACCAATTAAAAAGAAACAATATACAGGGAAAGATGAAAGTGTACAACAACGAAGTCTAGTAGATAATAATATTGATAATATTTCTGTTGAGAAGCCTTCTATAAGTAGTAGCAAACCATTGTTTCCTTTAAAGAAAGAGAACTCCTTTGAATATTTGAAGCCTGTTAAAATAGAGGATATAACAGCATCGGAAATTCTACATAATCCTGAGGATTTGACTGTTGATGATAGACCTATAGTTGCCAATGCTAAACTGCTTGCAGACGCCATTATTAATAAAAAGAAAAATCCTAGTGAAGTGCTAATTAAGAAAGAAGTGGGGCAGGAGCTTCAGGACAAAACTCTAAAAGCTAAGACTAAAAAAGATAAACCTTCGAAAACAAAGAGATCATCAATTCCTCAATTCAAAAAGAAGAATGAGAAAACGGATATTACAAGAGAAGCATCATCTAGTCAATTTGATATCTTCTCGCAATTATCAAGGGCTAGGAAAAAACCCAAAATTAAAGACAATGAAATTATTATCATAGATGATTAATCAGGTAATTACTCAGAGATAAAATAAAATAAAAAAATAAACAAATAAATAAAAAATTTACTAATATTCTTTAATGTCATATAATCTATATAGAAATACAATAACAATAAAAATGATATGCATATTATTTCTAAGACAACAGAATTTCTATCTTGTTTATTTGTTTGTTTTTTTTGGTATAATTTGAATTTACAAGTTCTATATGATATTTTATAGCCGAATAAATATCTTTTTAATATATAGCAACACTGCCACAAATGCAATGAATGCTGCATACGTGATCAAAGTAGAGATTGCTAACAAGTCAGACATATCTAATGTGGAAACAGACATGTTAATGAGACCTGTGGTAACGTTAGCCAAAAGAAATAAGATAAGGCCGTTAGTATTCATAGCTTCTATACATAACGATGTTGGTTGACTCATATCTGTTGAATTGTTAAATATTTTATCAATGGCACAATAGATGGCCAAATATCCAGTGTTGAAACTTACAATCCACAAGGTGTAAGGCAAATTAGCGAATCTTCTAGATATATCTTGTGGATGCACTAGAAGAATGAATTTTGTCATCAGAGCGGTAATACAGAACCAAAAAATCAAACCCTTTAATGGCTTTACTGTGGTCATTCTATCCCATCTACTGATTGAACGGGTCTCCTTTGTATTTAGTGGAACAATGGATGCTTTATAAAGATTATTCTTGGTAGGGATATTACCCAATAAATAGCATCCTGTGCTTTGACCCCAAAGAAAAATTGAGCAATAGCCAATAAAGGACACAAGACCTTCTCTGTTAGCGTCAATGATGTTTTCTCTAGAAGATAGAATCAAATAGTTTATAAAGATATTATCCTTAACTAAGAACCATTCGTAGATCCCAGATATCACCAAGGCTATTAAAAATCTTGGGATATAGTCAGCAATTGGGTCTATGATAACTAATACTAAGGGCAATAGAGAAAGAGTCATGAAAAAATTCCAATGGACACCGTATTCTGTCACATGTTCTTGATACTCTAAGTTTTTAACGAAATATAATCTTAAAAGGCCTAAAAACAATAAAGTGTGGCATGATTTAAGTGCATTAAATACACGTTTGTGGAATGAGATTCTTCTGGTTGATTTCAAAGAGGAACGAGCATAGACCAACCCGTTACTGAAAACAAAGGAACCTACCCCCAAGTCCATTAATGAAGTGCCCCATGTTTCCACTTTAGCAAATCTACGTGGGAAGATTGGGAAATCGACTGCTAAAATAGCAAGACATGTCAAAATCAACATGTGTGATCTATAAGTTGTGATATATGATTTTTTGACTAAACTGAAAGTTGTTTGATTGAGTTTAGAGATATTTTTTGAAGGTAGTTTGTTAACTCTATTTTTGGTAGAAGTATAGTATGCTTTACCGAAAATACAGACAATAAGACAAGGAACAATCATGAACGTAATCAACAAACTAATATTACTAGAGTATAGAGTCATCGAAAACAGCAAACAAACCCAATTAAGTGAAAAATCCACAAATGGATTAATATGATTATCAGGAGACACTTTGTTCAAAATTTTTATACATATATAACTGAAGACTGTCACAGAGGACACTAAATTGACTTCTTGGATTGAACTACCATGTAAACCGGTGACAAAATTTTCTTTTCTTTCTTTCAAAGTGGACATATAGATATATATTGTATCAATGTGTGAAAGAGGATTTGATTAGTTTAATACCTCTATGGTTATTATTATACAAAAAAAAAGTCTTATCTATATTCCCAAATGATAAAATTCGATATATACTTATATATATTTATTGACAAAAGTGAAATTATTAAGTAATTATTGTATATTTATTCACTTACGTGTTCAATTTCTTTATTTTCATGTGTTATTTTTTCTTTGACATTAGGGTTTGGTGTGTGTGTTTTTCTCTCATTCCCTGTACCAATAATGACAATAGGGCATATTATTTGAATCAGGTGTTTTTTACATTTTCCTTTAAAAATAAAATAATATTTTAGGGTTAAAAGAAATTAGAAAGGAAAAAAACAAAAAGAGGTGAGCAAGAAAAAAAAAAAAAAGAACAAGAATTCTAAAAACAACGAAGGGGAAAGAAGTAAAGTCATAAGGGAAAAGCCAAATGAAGTTTTCTATACAAAAGTCTGTGATGTTATATGCACAAAAAAACAGAAGAGACTTGTTCAATGTGTCCGTAAGTATATGTGAAATTGGCAGAGCCGGTGTTATCCCCTCCTATTGCCAACAAATCATATAAGACATATACACATGTATATGCATATGCATTAAATATACACATAAATATATATTGTTAGACACAAGATATGATTGCCAATAAAGTATTGTTTAAAGGTGTATTGGAACCATCACGCTACCAAGACCCAAGAACTTATAAGATGACACCAGCCATGATTAGAGCCAGGAAACCTTTCTTTGTACGTAACATGATTGGACTGACTTTCTTCGTTGGTTTGACTGGTGGTATATATTACTATACTTACAATTTCTTACATAAAGATAATGATTTTGATGATGTGCCAATTCCACCAATTGATGAAGAAGAATTGAAACAATTACAAAAAGAATATGAGTTAAGAAAAAATAAATCAAAATAATTAATCACATTACCAAATTGATTATCCATCGACTGAAATATACGTAATATACGAATGTATCCGTACACATTTCACATACCTCGCCTACTTAATCATATTAATGTATATGTATATTTATGTGGTGGTGGTTTTTTTTTTCTTATTTTTTTCATTTTTTTTTTTTATTTTCATTTTGTTTAGTTTTCTTCCTATTCTTTTATCTTTTTTTTTTGTAAATAGATTTTAATCCACTAATATATTTGTTACTGTTTGTTATTATCGCTGTTTCTTTCTTCAAGCTACATGGGTATATATATCTTCGTAGATGGGCTTATATATACATGTTTGGTATATTTACATCACATATATTAGATTTTTTTTGGAAAAAAAAAAATATATATATATATATATAAGAAAAGAAAGTAAAACAAAAAAAATAGCTGGGCAAATATGAAGTTTTCTGGTCATTTCCCATTGGAAGATCAAGTGGTTCTGATTACAGGTGGATCTCAAGGGCTAGGTAAGCAATTTGCTTATAAATATTTCAATGAAACTGAAAGAACTAAAATTATTTTAGTCAGTAGATCAGACAATAAATTGTATAACGTTGTTAGAGATATTGAATCAAATCAAACAAAACCACAAGCTGAGATAAACAATAATGAACCAATTTGTCTATTAAATGAATACCCAGATGATCTATTTTTGAATAGACGAATTTTTTATTTACCTTGTGATCTATCTGATTTTAAAGAAGTGGATAAATTGTTTGGTACTCTATTAGAACATCGTCTATATCCAACTGTTATTTTGAACTGTGTTGGTGGTTCAATACCTAAACATTTTAAAGACCTAACACCCGAGGAATTAGAACTAGGTATTGATCAGAATTATAAAAGTGTTTTGACTTTATCACATACTTTATTAAATAAATTTAATCAATTATCAAATTCACATAAATCTTTCAGTAACAGCACATCATCATCATCAACAACAACAACAGTAGCAAAAACAGCAGAAGTGACCTATAAATGCCATCTAGTCTTGTTTTCAAGTGAAGTCTGTTTTTTCCCATTTATTGGGTATAGTCAATATGCACCATTAAAAGTAGCTATGAAATCTTTAATTAATATATTAAGACAAGAACTCTGTTCATCTGAATATAATGATAATATCAAATTGTCTTGTGTTTACCCAGGAAATTTCAAAAGTGAGGGGTTTGAACTAGAAGAATTGACAAAACCTAAAATTACCAAGATTATTGAAGGTCCATCCTATCCAATTTCATGCATTGAATGTTGTAATAAAATTGTTTATTGGTTAGATATGGGCTATAATGATGTTACTACAGATTTCATCGGGTGGGTTTTGATGTCTGTTGACATGGGACTGAATAAAAATAATAATAAGTCGTTTCTATACTGGTTACAACTGTTAATTGGTGGTCTAGCTAATCTATTGATTGTACCGATTTACATGATTATATGTCAATGGCAAATTAAATCTTATTTTAAAGAATCAAACAAAAATGGTGATGATAGACAAAAGCAAGAATAATAAGTCGTCATTTTACCTTTCTTCCTTTCTTTCTTCCGCCTCATCCTTCTCCTTCATTTCTTTCTGTATAATAATCAAATCTTTATCTTTATTATCATGTAATATTTTGTATATTATACAACATACTTACTCATCAATATTACTCATTGCATTTTTTGTTTTGTGAAAAAAAAAAAATTAAAAAAAAAACTATCAAAGAAAGTGTAGAACTATTTTTTCTTATGAAATTTCTTCTGATATTTTCAAATAAATAAATAAGCTACACTTTCATTTTAACAATCATATTATATATAGCTGTAAATGATTTATATCAAGCAATATCAATCGATACTGTTCACAGTTAATAGTATTATTTAATTTGTGTGTCTAATCATGTTCCAATTTTGTTTGGAATATCTTGAATTATTTGTTTAATATTGTTTTGAAATGTATTATTCATAAAAAAAAAATTCATATATTTTATTAATTCTTCTTCGTAACAAAATGTTGTACGTCCATTGAAAGCTGTAAGAAGATGATTTGTCATCATTGTAGTACCATCGTTCATTTGCTAGCATAAAAGATTTAAATAGTAAGTCATTTTATTCTTGTATGCATTTTATCTAGACAGATTTTAGATAAGACATGCTGTAATTTTACGGTTTCTGGAATCTTATATATACGATCTTTCTTTGAGCCTTTTAAAGTTTGTTGTACTTCATTTATTTTATTTTTTTTTGTTTATAATGATGATAAGATATATGAAGTCAAAATTGTAGGATGCAATGGCTTTTGTCGTAATAACAAGGTATTTGCTAAGGAATTTCCATTTTTCGGCTGTAGTAGAAATTTGTTTCTTTTTGAGTTAACTTTTACATTTCATTCCTTATAAATTGGGGATTTTCAGACTAAATATAAAAATCAACTTTAGAAAACTTTTTTTTTTTTCGAAAAACCATAAACACAAAAAAGAATGCCAGACTTTTTATGAAAAGTCAATAAATATTACTTAATAATATAAATTGTGTTAATTTGATTCTTGTATTGATAATAAGACAAAAGTAAACTGGTGACAAATTACCTGTTCTCAATGCTTTAAGTCAAAATATGTGAATTCATTCCACGGAACCGATCTCTAAAAGTGAAACCTGTTCCCGCGGCAAAACAACAAATTCTTTTTTTATTTTTTTATTTTTTTATGTGTTAGGGTTTCGACTTTCCATTTGGGAAAACATTGGTAAACCCTCATCTTGGCATTTTTTATTCTTTTATAATTCTGTTTTTTTTTTGGTGGTGGGACAATAGAAAGAGGAAAAAAATAAAAAAAAAGTCAAAAAAAAGCAAGAGAATTCTGCGATGAGTTTTACAACAAAGAAATTAAATGTGAATAAAAAAAAAGAAAAATTGAATTATAAGAAGATCCAATTGTGTTAAGAGACGTACAATATAAAATAACAGATCACACACACATATATATCTTGATAGTATATAGAATATTCCACCCATCGATATACCACTACCTATTAGAAACAATGTATACTTGTAATACATGCTGTTTAGAATTCGAAACCAGTGATCTTCAAAGAAATCACATGAAATGTGATTGGCATCGTTATAATCTGAAAAGAAAAGTTGCGCAGTTGCCACCTGTCAGTGAATCTGTGTTCAATGATAAGATGCAACAAATGATATCAAGTAATCAAACAAACAACACTACTTCTAAAAATTCGAGTGGTGATGCAAAACTGTCTAAAAGAGAACAGAAAAGGAAGGAAAAGGAAGCCTTGCTGAAAAAAAAAAGACAATTATTAGAAACGGCAAGACAAAATATATTGAAAGCCATTGAAGAACAACAAAAGCAAGCAGAATTGAATAATGTGATGACTGTGGAAGAGCCTATTCCAATAGCAAATATTATAAAGGATCAACAAATGGAAATAGAAATGAAAGAAGAAAAAGGAGAAGAAGAAGAAAAAGAAGAATTAACTCCTGATCAACTAGCTGAAAAATTGATGAAAGAAAAAATTGCAAATAAAGTAGAGATTCCAATTAACGTATGCTTATTCTGTAATCATAACCAAAGAGAAAAACATCTGTCCACATTCAAAGATATGGATGCAAATATAGATCATATGTTTAGATGCCATGGGTTTTATATTCCAGAACAGAAGTATTTGGTTGACAAAGAAGGATTAATAAAATATATGGCAGAAAAGATTGGTCTCGGTAACGTCTGTTTAGTTTGTTCTTATCAAGGTAAAAATTTAGAAGCTGTTAGAAATCATATGCTAGCCAAAAGACATTGTAAGATCCCGTATGAAACATTAAATGAAAAACTAGAGATATCAGAGTTCTATGATTTCACCAGTACATACTCCAATTATTCAAAGAAATCAAATGATAAAGAAACTACTGTAACTATTAATGCTAATAATATTCCTAGTAATAGTGAAGGGAATGATAACGAAGATGAATGGGAAGACATATCTTCTGATGACGAGGAAGTAGAAGACAAGAATGAAGGAGAAGAAGAAGCAGAGGAAGATATCCCAGAAGAATACTTGTATAATGATGGTATGGCCTTACATCTGCCAACAGGTATAAAAGTTGGTCATAGATCGTTACAACGTTATTTCAACCAATCTTTAAAACCCGAAAAGATATTAACAGAAGGCCAAGGTACTTTGGTGGCTGCAGACACAAGATCCTTCGTTACTGGGTTTGATAAGAAAATTGTTCAAACACAACAAAGGGTCTGGCAGAGTGAAGTTAATGATAAGAAGAGAAATGAAAAACGGTCAGCTAAATTCATTAATCATCAACCCCATTACAGAGATCAATTATTACAATAAAGTATACCAATTATACCCGTGCATTGTTTCACTGTGCTTTGTATAAAGATATATACTATTCATTCCTTCTTCAAGTGTATATTAATCGATAAATTTTTTACATCATTATTTGCTTCATATTACGTCTACACAATCAGATGAACTAGATGGCCCCAGTCCAAACTTCACATATGGTAAACTGGTGTCTATTGTTATTGCAAATTATCCATCAATAATACGTCCTTGAAACATTTAGTAAACTTTCGAATGAAAGAAACGTGGAATATAGAAATGAAAAAAAAAAATAAAAAAATATATAAGAAAAAAAAATAATAAGAAGATAAAATACTGTAGACATGAGAAAAGTAGAGAAATAAAAATGATACTCATAAGATAAAAACAAAAGGAGATTTTCAATCAATCTTCAACTTCTATATTACTTATTAGTTAGTCAAAACTATAGCATTAACGGCTGTTGTTTTATCCCTTCTAACTCCAACTTTTCATATTCTATTTTTTTTTACTTTTGCATCCCTGTTTCCCTTATCCTATAACCTCAAGTAGCATCCAACGAGAGACTATCTTTTTTTTCTCTTTTCATTCGTTCATTTGGATATTTATTAATTTTATAATGTTAAGAGTTCACTGTAATAGTAGAAGACTTTTGACCACCTCAACAAGATTATTAAATGTCAAACTAACAGAGACTGTAAATACAAGCACAACATCAAATACTATCAATGAAATAAAAGGCAAATCTTCTTGTCCAATGGGTACTAAATTAAATTTAGATATCTGGAAGGATCCGAAGAGGGATCCAGTAGCTAAAGCAGATAATGAATATCCAGATTGGTTATGGAATATAATTCCATCTGATCATTCTAAAGGGACAAAGAGTCAAGATGACCCATTTGTTAAAAGAGCTAAAGAATTAAGGAAATTACATAGAAATCAAATCAAGCAAAATAATTACCTAAGTAAGTTGAAATAGTTTATTATTATTACATTTGCTCACTTCCTTTATTTTATTTGTTTCGTATTTATCTTATCCTTTAACTTAGTCGGTATAAACTACAATGAGGATGTGACAGACATTTCACCATCATTAGTTGTAACCAAGAAAAAGAGATGATTCGAAAAAGAATATTTATATTTTGAATAGTGTACTCAACTAACTTCATACTTTAATCATTATATACAGATATATATCATTATCATTCTTAACAAACTTTATGCATTATATAGAGCATAGAACTTTTATCCAAGATGATAATGGCAACCATGTAAATATATTAATAATATTATCAATCAAAAACTATACGAATAATAAAAATACAAGAAGAAATCCGTGTGAATTTGTAAATAGATATGAATAGGTATAATAGGAAATGGTTAATATCAATCCACTTTTATTTATTTATTGTTTTTTTTTTTAAATCTTTTCTTTGGCTCTCTCTTACTGAATTATTAAAAATCAGTGACCCTACCATTGAAAGACCAATCCCCATGCCTTAGTGGATCTTGCTTTGGACCACCGACTTCACCTGTCTTTGGATTCACATCACCCTCAAATTCTGGAATCGTCTTAGTGTATTCTGGTGATATTCTACCAATATCATTTTTATCTTTTAGCGACTTTCTTAAAGCTTCTAAACTCTCTTTATTACCAGGGCTCCCCAATCCAATATTTTCATTGCCACTATTACTAGTACCATTTAATACAGCTTTGTTATATTCTCTAATTGTATCTTCTGCATTGGCTATCTTTTGCAATTTTTCAAATTCTTCTTGTTCTTTCTTTGGTAATTTAGGTGGAGATGGTGTCTCTTTACCATAGTTTATTTGCCTTGATAAAATCAAATTCTGTCTTCTCAGTGATATTAGTTTACTAAAATTAATGACCCTGACTGTTAATCTTGCACGTAACATTTGTACTTCGCTAGACAAGAAACAATTTCAATGTTTTATGAATATTAAAATCGGATAAACCGTTGTCCTCTGTATTATTTTTATTAAGTGTAATGGACAGATCAACTTTCCTACACGTCTAAAGATTCGCTAGCAGAAAGCCAACAGACAAGTATTTCCAACTATGGGAAATGGCACTGATGAGTATATATACATTTCACAGATTAAAAGAAAGGAAGGGGTAATCCTCATAGTGGACCATTATACTTCATATAAAGAAAAAATTGATTACGAAAGTTTAAAAAAGAAAAAAAGAAAAAGAAATCTCACTATTTTTGTGTAAAATATTATGTATTACGCTGAATGAAATCATATAACCCCCACACATATATACATATATCTACATATCTATATACGTTTACAGGAGTGTAATCTTTCAAATACTCATTCTAACACCCTCTAATAAATCTTCAATGATTTGTTGATTCCCATCTTTACCTTGAATGGTACTTAGTATCCCTAAACATTGTAATAATATCAGTTTATCTTCTTCTGTAACACCACTCTCCTCTTCTTCATTCAGAATATAAGTGTAAAAACTTTTTGATACCCCTTCATCACTATGGATGAAATTTTGATAATATGGTAGGACGATCGAATCTCTAAAACATCTCAACAACATATCTTCAATAGAAAATTTCCCGTTGATGCCTACATTGACACTATTACCATTAATATTACTACTACTATTATAATTATTAATATTAACATTAATATTTGGAATAGAAGTTGCTGTGTTAATGCTATAATTATTATTCTTATCATTATTGCTACTGCCACTACCACTGCCACTACCATTATTACTATTATTGCTATAATTGTTATTCCCATTTACATTTAAGTTACCATTACTACGGTTAACTTTGTTAAAATCAATATTCAAGTCTAAAAACATATTATTACCCATTTGTGTAATCAAATTGCTTGATGATGAATTTACACTAGTTGGAGTAATTGCACTTAATGCATTGCTATTATAATCACTATTTTTTTTCATACTAGTATCATCACTATCTAGTCTTCTCAAACCAATAATCTCAGGGGCAAGATAATCGTCAAGGCTTTGCACTTCATTATTCTCATTGTTATCATTGACATTACGCTCATGTTTATCATTATTATAATCATAACTCTTGCTTCTATTTGAGATATGCAAACTAGAGTTGTTTTCATTTTTTCTTTTTGTTAAACTTAATCTATTTCGTTTGTAAACATCATTTAATTTTATTTGATTTTGATAATCTGTCTCTAATGGTAAAAGTACAGCAACAACATCATAATATATTTCTTGATAAAATATTTGCCATAAAACACCTAATCTTTTTAAAGCAGTATTTATTGTATCTTCGTTACTATAATTAAAAACAACTTGATTCTCAAATACATACAATGAAGTTACAATAAATTCTTCTATTTCAAAAATCAACTTAGCCCATGTTATAGCTATCTTTGATCTTGTCTTCAATTTAATATAAAACCTTAAAATACGATTTAAATCTTCTATTTTTGCTGGTAAATGCCATATCCTTTGGTTCTTGAATAATTCTACGACAACACTACAATAAATTCCCCAGATGTTACCTGATAATATGATCAATTCTTGAGTATTGAAATTTCTATAATTGGCTTTCAAGGATGATAAATTTTTTAACAAATCATGTAAAATTGCTACATTTGTAGAATCCAAAATGTCATCTTGTTGAGTGATAGCTAATGCAGCATCATTGGTAGCATTCAAAACACTTGGATTAAATGAATATACGGATTTCCCCGAGTCTATTATTCCACCTGTGGTGCTATGAATAAAATGAACAGGTGATCTATGCCTTCCTATAGAAGAATGTAAAAATTTGCCTAACGAGTTTGGTATAACAGGCTCTGTTGTATCTTTAAGATGCTGACTGCTTTTACTACGGAATATTTTTTTTGTAAATTTAATAAATGGGTTATTTTTATTAGCACTATTACTATTACTATTATTGTTGTTGTTGCCACCACCACTACTATGACTAATAGTAGAGATAAGTGACAGAGTGGCGTTTGAAGTATTTCTTCTCATCGAATTACCCGTAGTACGCTCCCTATTAGTACGGGTTTTATCAACATTAAGATTATTTGAAGATATCGTTTCTTGATCACTAAGATTAATTAGGGAATTTGTGATTAAAGTATCAGAATTCTTTCTCAACTGATTATTACTATTGGTATCATTATAAGCAATAGTAATCTTACTATTACTATTGTTATTCCTAGGTAACTGTTTATCACTATCGTCTCTGATTTTTGTCAAACTGAATATGGAATCCCTTCTTCTTTTGTAAGGTTCAACATTAGTCTCTACATTTGAATGTAATGGTGTAAAATCATTAGTAGTATGTCTTAACCTTAAAGAATGCAATGGTCCAAACGATCTCAAAGATTTATCAAAGGAATCTGAACTTTTTCTTATTGGTTTTATATTTGTCTTCCTAACAATATTGGAAGAATCATCAGGACTATTTAATGTTTTGCTATTATTGTTCGTAGATGCTGTAGTGTTTGTATCATGCTTATTAGAGTGTGTTACGGGCATAGTTGTGGAATGTGCATTTGACGAAGCAGAAGATATAGAAGATCTATCCGATGTTATACTAATATTGGATTTTTTTGATTTGGGACCTCGGAAAATGGATTGAAATCCTACATTAGACCATTTAGGTATATTATTTTTGCTTGACAGATCCCTGTATTTATCATTAACATTTTTATTCAATTTTTGCAAGTTATCATAATTACTTGAAATTACATCTTTATCAATAATACTACTACTAGTCAATGGTTTATTTGTGTCAACACTGTCATTTACTGTCTCTACAGTCAAATTAGATAGTGCAGATGTAGTTGTATTACTAAGTCTACTGTTACCACGTTCTCGCGAAGGTTTTTCACCCACTATTATAGTTTGAGGGATGATATCAGATGATATACTATAAACTCGTGGTTTTTCTTTCTTGGGACTAATTCCAATTACACTTTTATCTATAGTTTCAGGTGGACTTGATGAAGAGCGTAGCTTCACACTTTCCCCCTTTCTTATAGTAGTCACTGGTAATTGTGTGTCAACTTTATGTTCCAATTTAGTACTCATATTGTTAGTAATTGCTTGAATATACTGATATCTGTGTACTGTGACGACTGCCAACAGGAACTTTTTCGAGAAAATGACACTGACGATAAATTACTATAACTTATTGAAAACAAAACAACCCTTACAATGTCTGGTTCACGTGTCTAAATAACGGTGGTCTCTCAAATAATGATTCATCTCACGTTGCTTCATTTATGTATACATTACATCTGATATATCTTCCCTTAACATACCCACATTTCTACGTATATCATATTGTAAAAAGACTTTATGACTTTTGGGTGCCAGAATATCTCAATTTCTTCACATTTAAAGATTTGAAAAAATAATTTTAGATATGATAATAAGGTAGGATGGGAACACCAAAAACGTAGAATCACAAGTTGACAACAAATTAATGAACAAAATACGCACATTCGTAATTAGTTTGGTAGCGTTTATATTCTTATTTCTATATCTAATCATGAACTCCCTCATATTACATAAATAAACAATAAAACTATAGAATATTAAAAGAAGAAAGATATATTTATTGATCATGTTCGACCCATTAGACTTATATGATGGATCTGAAATGAATATTGCTGCAAACAAATTTACTATAGAATTTAACATTTCTGATAACACATTATCTTCTGATTATAAGTATGAGGACTCCAGCATGAAAAATATTAATGACGATGAAGAGAACGTTCCAATAACAGTTTTAGATTTACCATCAGTAAGATATGCTACACCCAATATAATCTTTACTGTTCTAAAATTATTGCGTAATGACAATCAGTTGAATTTCAAAAGTGAAACTACTCTGAATGCTAACAGCACCATAATTAACAATGATGATGATTATGCCACTACTCTTACACACACAGAATTAGAAGAGTTTTGCTTGAAAAGAGATATAGATCAAAAATGTCTGGAAGAAATAGTTCAATGGTACACTACAAAATGGCCAAATTCTCTATTGAATACAATAACAAAGATAATAACTAAAATACCGTGTCTGAAAACAACGGAATCAAAGGATAAATTACTAAACTATTATACCTCCATTCTTCGATTCTTTGAGCAATATACTTCTCAGAATTCAAATGAAACAGATCTAATTGAATCAATATTAAAAGAGGCTAGCAAGAGAATAAGTGAATCCTGTGGTAGAACTGCATTACCTTCCATACATCGTAACTTTCAATTTAATAATTTACAAACAATTATAAAGTTATATGAACCATCTTTAACAGCAGATAATCTAGGATGGAAAACTTGGGGATCTTCAATGATCCTATCACAAGGACTAGTCGAAAAAGACGAAAATTTTAATATTGAATACTCTAAAGGCTCATGTTCTCTAAGAGTACTTGAATTAGGCTCTGGGACAGGATTAGTCGGTATTGCATGGGCTACTAAATGGAAAGAGTTATATAAAAACGAGAATGCTAATATTGAAATTTTTTTGACGGATCTACCAGAAATTGTTGATAATTTAAGACAAAACGTTAAGGATAATGAACTCGATGGATTAGTTCAAGTAGATGTATTAGACTGGACTGATCCTAGCACATTTATAGAAAAATATGGAGATAATAAATTTGACATAATTTTAGTGGCAGATCCAATATATTCACCAGAGCATCCTAAATGGGTTGTTAATATGATTGATAAATTTATGAAACCAAATGGAGTGTGCCATTTACAGATTCCTATAAGAAAAAAATATGCCAAAGAAAGACAATCATTAAATAATCTTTTAAAAGATGCAAACCTATCTATCATAGAACAAAAATATGAGGAAGGCTATGACGATTGGGGACTAGTTACATATTTATATAGAAAAATTATACGTGGATAATACAACTATATAATATTAATCAATGATAATTGTAGATATATTCCCTTCGTAGGTGTCACATATCCATATCAGTTTATCTCTCTATTATATTTTTATATAAACAATTATACGTTAACCACATGATAGATCTTCTACACAATCTTCTTCTTTTTTGTGTAGATATATTGTTCCTTTCCCCTTTCCTGTTTTTTTTTTTTCTGATTATTGACTAAAAGAACTTGCAACAATTGGTTGTTCTACTCTATTTGTATCGACATTATTACAAACCTTAACATATTCAGCCTTTAATGGTTTATACCAAACATTTAAAACTTCAGGGGACAATTTTATCAAAGCATCTATAATTTCACTTCTTAATTGTACAGTTTCTGGCTCTTTTATATGATTATCATTATTGTCAATTAAATTTGTCATAACCTTCGGCAATTGGTAAATCAAGTAGTTTATTGAATATTCATATTTTGTCATTTTCTCTAAAAGAACCATTTGCTCTAAATAAGGTAATGAAAGTATTGATTCTGCGTCCAATTTATTTTGGATTAATTCAAATGTACTCTTACTTGAAATCAAATTTCTAAAAATTAGTAATTGTGTTGCAGTCAAAACAACATAATTATCTATAATTGATCTGTAGAACCTGTACAAATAGTCTGGATTAATAAATGATAAATAATCATTAATAAATTCATTTTCTATTGATACATGTAAATATTTTTCATCTAGGTCCTTAAATATTTGCATATCTGATTCAATTGACGAAGATGGTAAATATGAAACTTCTTGAAAGAATTTGAAAACTGGGATCTTGGCAAAATATATTAAATCAGGGTATTGATCTCTTTGATCAAAAATTGAACCCATTAAAAATATAATTGGTTTTAAATATTCTAATAGCCAATAATAATTCTGGTTATTCCTAATATAAGTAAACCATTCACTATAATATTTAATTATATGCAAGAACAATAAAATATCGTCATGAAGGATTTTTAATATTGTATCATTGGAGAAAATAAATATATTGGAATTAAATTCATTTTGTGAATGCATATTTTCTAGTAAAATGTTTAATAAATTTAATAATCTAACTGTAGGGGTTGGCTTCAAATTTTTCTTGATTACCTCTAACAATTTATAGTTATTTTTTAATATGTTATCTCTTATTAATTGATCAGACAGTAATCTCACCCAAATTTTATCAATCTCATTAATTATACTAATCGATATGTCTTCATTAAAATATAAATCTAACAGAATATCAAATATTATTGTAGAAGCAAAGATTCCTTTTGGATAGGAATTTGATATAATTAAACATGCAGATTGAATTAAAGGAACTGTACCAGATTTTAATGCCATTTGTAAATCTCCAATATTGAAAATTTTTAAAATATCTTCAAATGAAGTCAAATTAATCAAAATATTTAAAAATTCTGATAATGTATCATAATCTAAATTTTCAATTATAGAAGAAGAAGAAGAAAGTGAAGAAGAAAACAGTAACAGTTTTTTAATCGATAACAATGTCTGTTCAGTAGAAAACGGGATTTTTGTCAGAACATTTAATTGTAATGAGCATTGAGTAATGGTGGTGTTCAATTTTTCAACCAATTTATTGACATCATTGGCATTTTTAGAAACAAGATTTGCCACTAAATCATTAAACTTTCGAATAAGTTCTTCAATCTCAGTCATCTTTAAATATATATATATATATACGTAAATATGAGCTTTTTGTTCTAGTAATTCATTATATACTTAATAATATTAAGTATTTACAGTTTTCTTCGTTTCTCCATATCATCTATATAATCTACAGATTTTGCGATTCTAATCCTTTTATTTGTTTAGTTATTTCTTTTTTTCCCTTTTCCTTTCGCTATTTTTTCTATGAACTCTTCTTCTTTTTTTTTTTTTTTTTTTTGAAAATATATAACATACAGAAAATACGATATTGAATAGTCAACTGAAGAACATTAATGTAAGATGCTACACTATATATCAGAGAGTAGATATTATTTGGAAGGTTATCACTAATAACAATGATAATATGTTTGTTAGTTATGTCTACAATTCCATTAGTTTATTATTGCTGTTGTGACTAATGGAAGAGAAAGAATCTATGCTATTTGAATCAACCAAAATATAGTCCATCTTTTCTCTATCAATACATTTAATATAGTCCCATACAATTCTAACTAATAGATATATTTTTATTGGTAGAAAAGACACAATATATCTCCATTTATTATATTGACTATTGTTACTATCATAATTATTCTCTCTAACCAGAATTAAAGATTCATTATTGAATTTTATATTTAATAAATCCAACTTTACTAATTCATCTTCAAGCATATTGTATCTATGATATGGTGGATATCTTTGCACAAATTTATATTGACTAAACGGCAATTTCTGTTTTATGGATGATTGTAACCATTGCCTGATATCCTGCAAAGTATCGTTTTTAAGATCAAAATTGTGTACAAACGTGTTTTGATCTAATGCTTCAACTATAACAATTTTCATTTTATCTTATTTTTTACTTGTCGACTTTTTTTAACTCTCACACATTTACATATGAAGGAATATTATTACTACTAGTATTATTTCTTTTGTCTTTTTGTGGTACTCTGGTTGGTAATATAATCTAAACTATCTACTGTCAAATATATCTACCACCATAAATAGAACAATTTGTAGCCATGCCTATTGGAACACACACATAAATACATACATGCATATATATATTTATATATATACATATTATGTATTATACATATAATATGTAAGCTCTTTTCTTTGTTTATTTCACTGTGGATGTCAGGGATGGAGAAACCCGTAAATTCCGATAGCAATGCTTGTGAGGGATTTTTTTCCCTTTATTTGGCAGTACAATAGGAGACCGAAAAAATTAATACAATACAAAACAAAAGATCTCCAGTTGCTTTTTGTTTTCTTCAGCAGATCTTACAGCAATGCATGTATGGCAATGATATTCTTTGTTTATTTAACCTTTACGACAATACATCCTGCTTGATAACAAAGACTGTTACCAAACCTACGAAATACGACACATACACAGATACATATATATGTCTAAATATACTTGGTAAGTAGAGATGCGTAGTTTTTATCTATTTTTTCTTTGTTTGTCTTAAGAAACTTTAAACACAATAAAATGCGATCAAAATCTGATCTCATCGCTTTTTTTTTCTCGAGGAAAAGACTGAAAGTCACTTGGAAAAAATATAGAAAAGTAAACAACAACGACAACACCAAATTAATATATATGCATACATCTATACATGTCAATAATTAGTGGTCAAGGACACTTGGATATTATTACATAACATATAATCTCCATATAAACTAACACAATTTTATTTTTGCTTTTTTCCTTCATTTTTTTTGTGTACTTGACTCCCCATGGATGGTGACATCATTCCAAGTCAGATAATTGAAGACCAAGATATCATACCTCAGATTGATGGATTTACATTAGGTGAGACTTTAGGACAAGGATCCTTTGGAATAATAAAATCTGCATCTTTAAAAGATGATAATATTGACAATAATGAATCTTCCACAGTTGTCGCAATCAAATTTATTGATTTGATTAAGTGTAAACAAAACGGTATCAAAGACAAGAAAATATATAAGGAAGTCCTGCTACATTCAAAATGTTCCAATCATCCAAATATCTTAAAACTCTTGGATTATAATATCAAAAATGACTACCTTTATTTGATCTTGGAGATGGCTGATGGAGGTGACCTTTTTGATAAAATTGAACCAGATATAGGCGTAGATAACGATGTAGCACAATTTTATTTCCAACAACTAATTAATGCAATATCTTTCTTACACAATAATCATGGTATTGCACATAGAGACATCAAACCTGAAAATATTTTGTTGGATAGGTATGGTAATTTAAAACTAGCAGATTTTGGTTTTGCTACAAAATTTAAAAATAAAGATGGAACTCTAAAACAATTTTATGATACTGTTGGATCACCACCTTACATGGCTCCTGAAATCTTTACTTCATCTAAAGCAGATAAATATCATGCAAATTTAACAGATATCTGGTCTATTGGTATTTTTGTCTTTGTTCTTCTGACTGGAGAAATACCGTGGCAATTGCCAACTAAAGAGGATTCAAACTTCCGAAATTTTATTGATCACAATGGTAATATAATTCATTCTAGTCCTTGGTGCAAGATCAATTTAACTCATTTAAGTCTATTAAGAAAATTATTGCAGTTTGATCCCCTAAAAAGATTAACCATAATTAATTTACAGAAACATCCATGGTATTATAAACACAACAAATTTGCGAATTCTAACATGCTTTGTAAAGATCCTTATGGTTTGGCAAAAGCTTTAATGTCAAATTTGAAAGTCTCTCTAACAAACAAAACTTTTGATACTCTAATGACTCAAGATCCTTTAATTGTAGACAACTCTATTAAATGGAACTATAAGTTTCCTGGAAATAGGCATAGTAATAAAATGATATCCACACAACCTTTACAAAATGATGTTGCAAATTTACAAACAACTGAGCTAAATAATTTCAATTCTAAACTGACACAATACCAACACTTTGATAATAATATTGTCTTTAACACTCAATATGAGACATTTTATATTCCAAAAAAGATAGAAAAAAAATGGTTAGATCTTATAAGCAATGATGTAGCCATTTTACAATTTACAAATAATCATGATAATAATTCTAGGGTCGACCAGTATAAAAATATGGATTTAAAGTTTAGACCTTTCAATTTAACAAAATTTTATTCTCTAGAATCAATGGATACTGTCTTATCGTTTTTAGAAAATTCTTTACATTTATGTGGTATACCTGTTAAACCTGATTTATTTGATACTTATTTAAAATTAATAGATGACTGTGATGTTGACAAGACAATATTCCCTTTACAGATAAATATTAGAACTGTAGATAGAAGATTCTCTACTTTAAATGGATCAATCGTTATTAATTTAATTAATAATCAATTGAAAGTTCTTGAATTTCAAAGAAAGAAGGGTGATCCATTAGAATGGCGTAGACTTTTCAAAAAGATTGCTGTATGTTGTAAAGATATCATACTAGTACCCAATAAGAATTGAATTAACAAAAAAAAAGCATGAAAAAAAAGTGGGTACCCTAATCCACAAAATAAATTGTAATAATATCAGACGTAATCTTTATATCGATATAATATATTAATATTTAGTAATGCATTAATTTATAAATTTTACAACAACTATATTTTTTTATAATAAATATCAATTGTAAGTATATATACATGAAAATAGAATATTTTTTCTCAATAAAAAGATAAAAATAATGAAAATATAGGAAGAAGTAGATAATATCTATCAAAATTTCCTATGGCTACTTCAATCTCAAACACTCCTATATTTCATCAGTGTTATAATATTCTAATTTCATCATAAAATCAAGTAATTCAACCCGTAAATTTCTTCTTTCTGCAATTGGTATAGCTGCTAAATCTGCTGCAGAAAAATTATGTAGTCTACTAACTAACTTTCTAGTTTTCTTTGAAGGGAAATGATTCTTTAAAGAAGATATAGCTTCCCTTGAATTTCCATTTTTACCTACATTATCATTTTCCTTTTGATGGTCTTCTTCACTATTAATAATGTACGAATCTTGTAGAAAATCCTCATTCTCTATTTGTTCTTTATATTTAGTAGTCTTATTTTGTGAGTTCTTGTTGTCCTCAATAACTGCGATATTATTACCATTACCATTCTTTATATTTAACACCAGATGATTTTGATTCTCTGGAATAGCCTGCAAAACATCTGTCTGAGCTGATTCTTGAACCTTCATATTATTGATATTCATAGTTTCTTGACTGGTTTGTCTATCATGTAATTTTAAGGAATTAAAGATTGGAATACGGATTGTGTTTGTCTCTTCTTCCTTGATATCTTTAACGGTATTCTCTTTTGTTATTGCTGATATTCGTTCAGTACTTTCATTTTCTGTCTCCTTATGTTCTTCCTTATCTTTGACTTCTTTATTCACAAACTTGTTTGTTACATTCAAACTTCTGTCGATATTAATATTATCAGTTGATAGTGACTGAGATTCATGATTATTTATCTGTTCAGTTTCTTTATTCGATTGACAAAATAAATCATTATTAGGTATTTCAGTATTATTATGTATATTTAACCCTGCTACTGCCCTATTATCGTCTAAAGAATTGTGCATTTCAACAGCTTCTAAATTTTCTCTTTGTTTGTGTTCAGTATTGTCTAAGCATACATGATTTTGAATTATATTAGATACATCTTTTTCTTGTGATGTAATATTTTCATGAACATCACTTACAATAATATGTATATTGTTTGTTTTCATATTTACATCACTATTACTATCACTAATACTATGTGATTGAGATACAGATAAGTTACGCTCTTCAGTTAACAAGCTTGACACAGATGAAGAAAGTTTATTTATAAGAAAAGTTTTACTATCATCAACTATTTTGTTCACCTTGGATCTTTTATCTGTAGTACATATAACATCTGGATGTTGAGACAAACCCTCTAACTCAAGTGATAGTTTTTCTGAAATTCTTCTAATTGGTGAGGAAAAGATCAAACTATTACTTTCATTTTTTAGATCAACCTCTTTCGAAACTGGGGATGATAAAAATTTTGAATGACCTGTCTTTATAGTCAATCCTTTTAGTAACTTTTCATTTTTGCTAGTGTCAAATATTTTATGAATATCAATCCCAGGATTTATATCCTGTGTTGGTTCTATTTTAGTTTTATTTATATGTGATAGTCTCTCAACTTCCTTTATTGTCGAAGAATTATCATTATTTCCAACAAGTTTATTCTCTTTATTATTCACATCTTCAGGAAAAGATAATACTACTTCTTCTGTATTTTTATCTTTTTTATCTATATTTTCTGAATCCAATAACGATTGTATACTACATCTAGTGAAATTAATCTGTGTACTAGTGGCTACTTTTAATTGAGCTTGTTTTTCTGTAGAACGTTTACTAGTAAAATTATTTTTCCTCTTCACTAAACTCGTAGCTTCATTAAAAGACATACAGTTACTGGATGTAATTATTTTATTTTCTACACTAGAGATGCTAGTAAGCGAAGTTGGCATCACCTCGTTTACCATATCGTGACAGACTATATCAATTTTTTGAGTTACTGGCACTTGTATCTCAGCTTTGTCATTTTCTTGATTTATAGTATTCTGTAAATATTCTTTTGAAGAAGAAGTTATTTCAATTTTATCCTTCTTAGAATTTTTGGATATTTCTAAATTTGTTTTATACAACCTTTCTAATTCTAAATTTATTTTAATTATTTGATTGGAGTAGCATGATTTATCTGATTCTTTACCAAGAGCTTTTGGTATACTTTCCAACAACTCTATTTTAAAATCAGATTTTATAAAAGGAAAATAGGAAACAACAGAATTCAAAACATTCACCAAAATAGTGCCGTCATCACTACGTATTTTTGTTAAAATATCTCTGAATAGCTTCAACTTCTTATTTTTTTGTATCTCTGATAATCCTGTTGTATCATCAAACAAAAAGAAAACAATGACATCAATAAACTTATTCAGATCACTATATTTCTTCAAATTTAAGAAAGCTCTAATTAATGATATTCTAAAATCTGCATCTTTGTTTTTAAACATCTGACTTATTGCTTGGTCTATCAATCCGTCTATTTTACCCCCATTGGAACACAGATTAACTATAAGACTGATAGGAAAATAACTCATTATTTCGTATACTTTTGCATTATGGTTTGAAAAAAACATTTCCACATAATTAATATTTGTAAAATGTAAGGTGTGTTCTATAACAATACTAAATACATCCCAGTTCATTTCTTCATATGCTTTATTCAGTAATTTCAAAATCATCTTCTTTTGATCATCCTGAGAAAAATCACTCGATGAGTTAAACAAAATAGAGAAAAACAACTCAGATTTGTTTATTACAGAAACTAATCCTTCTTCTTTTAATAACCTATCCAGTACATAATTTTTTTTTTCATTGGATATCATTGATATATGTTGAGTGAGAAATGGCAACAAAGATTGTTGGGAGTCTTTATTGACGTATGGATAAAAACTCGGCTCCATAGTTTCTAAGATATCCGGGTGGTCCAGTGTAAACACTTGAATAAAAGTAGACATCCCCTTTTCATACAAAATAGGCAATGTATTAATAAATAATGAGTGTTGGAAGGGTGATACCTCTTTTATAAGATCAATTGTAAAGTTCAACAATTTAGGGTCATTTGTGGAAAGACAACCATTAATGAAACATTGCAAAGAATTTGGGGGCCATGAAATACATTTAGAAAAAAAAATGTCAAAGTATGATTGTTCCATTCTTGAAAATATTGTTAGAAAATTGTCAATTATGGATGTTTCTGGGATAGTTTTAATAAAATCTATTAATACCTTAAAAGATCTAAAATCCATGGTAGGTGATAAGAGTGTCGAACTTAACCAATTGACAATATATTTGTGGCAATATTCATCAGGAATATCTAAAAACTTGTAAAATATCAAAAGTTCAGGTAATTGACTTCGCATGGATTTAATTATATCTTTCAATAAACTAACTACAATATCAGTACCATCAAATTTTATCATTTTAAAATGTCCAAAATAATTCGCTAAATGGTTGTCTTCTTCTGTAAATATAAGCGATGAAAATTTCATAAATAATGTGGGAGAAAGTGTAGAAAAAATATCAATCGAATTCAAAGGTAGGTGGCAAATATTTTTCAGGTAAAAAGATACTAATTCAGTTAATTCTATAAAAGTAGATGACTTTATTTGTGCTTCTGGTGTTGCATTAATTAAAGCATAGAGCAGAGCTAAACAATCTATCTCTTTACCATATTCTTTTATAAGTTTAGTGGTGAAATCTTTTACCATTGGATACCATACATTTTCTAGATTTGTTGGTAAAGAAGGTATTTCATTCAAATGTATTCCAACTGTTGCAATAACTTTGATAGGAACCACTTGTTGAGGGTTGGATAATTTATCTTTATAATTTGAGGAAGGTTGCTTAACTATAACAGTCCCGCCTAATAACCTGATGAATATATCACAGATTAGCTTTTGCAATTCATTATTAGTGGATTTGAAAGAGAGAACTCGTTCAAACATCGGAATAATTAATTCATTCCAAATATTACAAAACAACGGTTTAGCAGAGTCAATGGATAACTTTGAATTATAAAAATAACATGCAATTGTATAAGTGATTGCTCTAGTTATAAATGAAACACCAACTGAAATATTTTGTAGAAATACTGCGTGTTGAGACATAAAAAACGGGATATCAAGAATCTTATAACATTTAACTCTTTCTTCAGAAGAAAGTTTATGCATATTCATACATATTGGATAAATTAATATCCTCCATGATTTTAAAGCCAAAAGTTTGGCATGATCACTGTCAGATTCAAAAGCGAGTTTATTTAAAGTCAACCATTTATTATTTTTTATGCAAATATTAATAAATGTTTGTATCATTGTAGTATTACTAAACAATATTCCCACTAAAGTTAACCAAAGATCCATGGCGATCTTATAAGATTTTTTGGTTTGCAATAAATATACTATGTGATGAAACAATAATGTTTCAAGGGTAACAGCATCAATGTTAACATCTTTTGGTATAGACATAATATTTGTGTAAGATTGCTGAAGTTTTTTGAAATATTGTGGTGAAAATACATTTTTAACAGGAGTATTAACAATTGTAGAATACAACTCTTTTATGCTGATATTGCTTGTGTCATATATTTTTTTTAATAGATCCAATAGTAGAGAAATCGAAATAATACTTAATTTTTCAGAATAAGTATCATATTCAATAATTATTTGCGGTAAGAGATCACTACATAACCAAATATCCATATGTTTTATCATCAAGTTTGGAAATTTATTCAATAAAGACTTGACATAATATACCTTTTCTAACATATAGTTTTGACTATTAATGGCTTTAATATTTGGTATAGCATGAATTAAATTAACAATTTCGGGCCTAGTGGCGTAGTAAGTATAAAACTTTTCCTCTTTCAAAAAAGTAAGATTGGAAATAAGAATTGGTTTATTGGATTTAATATCAGTTAATGCATTTAAAGAATATTGGTAGATTATTTTAATTTCTGATTGTATATCATTATTATTGGATAACCATTTGACAATTTTAAAATTTGATAAGAGAATGGTAAAAAACTTCACTATTTGATAATATAACCTGGAAACAAATGGATCTTTCGGATTATCGTTATCATTTTTGTTATCATGATTTTTATCATCTTTTATCACATTGTCATTTTCTTTATCCATCTTTGTTTCTTTATTTTTCTTAAGATTTTTACTTTTGCTATTTTGACCTGTTAAAATATTATTACTATTGGTTATTATGTCATTTTTTAATAACTTCTTTTGTGTCAAATTCCATTGTGGTATACAAATTTTTATAATTTTTATGAAATTCTCGATTAAAATATTAATCTTTTTTTCATTTACATCATTTATATTTTTCATTGTAATAATAGGTATAATATTGTTAAAAGTTGCATAGATTTCGAATCTTTTTTCATTATACGGATATGAATCATGCTCCAATATAAATAATCCACCTATAATAATATTTTTGAATTCTATTAAATTTCTGCTATCAGATAAACTATGTATTTCACCACTTGCCCAATATTCAAGTTGAAATGGATCGTCAATATTAGTAGATGCAGTAGTAGTAGTAGGAAGATTTGCATTATCGATTGTGGAATCTTTATTAGTTATATTAAGAATATTTTTATTATTTATAATAAATTGTGAAGGATTGTTATTAAGACTAATATCACTAGTGCTTTTATTTTTCTTACGATTATGATTATTATTATTTGATATCATTGATGCATTTTTAGATATATTTATCTCATTCTTTTTTTTTAATATTGATTTTGGAGGTGATTTATTAATTCTTGGCGAGGATGCTATAATACTGTTAAAATCTTGTTGATATTGCGGTACTCTAGTAGGTGAACCATTGAAATAAAAACTATTTTTAAGTGGCGATGATTCAATTTCAATATGATCTGAGAATGAAACAGTTTTTTTGATCGGAGAAGAATTTAAATTATTGTTATCTTCATCTTCAGTTTCAGCCAGATTATTTTGATTAAACAATTGTCTACTTATTATATTGTTTTGTGTCACAGTTTTTCTTCTCTTCGGTGTTGGTGATTCATAACTATTACAGTTACTACTATTGTTATTGAAACTTTGATTATTAATATTATCTTGATTTTTTGGACTTATCTTGATTTTAAGATTATTAGGATTACTAGAATTATTGCTATTTTCTATTATAGCCGGTAAAGTTTGGTTGTTAAGCCAGGGTAAAGAATTTGAAGACTGTTCATTATTTTTTAAAGATCTTTTTGAAATGTGTTTGTCCAACACTTCTAAAGCACGTAAATTTCTTTTAGAAGATGATTTAGGTGGCATTTTATTATCTAAATAAAACCTATAGATCGAATTGAATTGTTAGAATCGTTCTTTTTTTTTATTAGTCATCTAATTGAATGGAAGAAATAAATTTTTCCCAATAAAAAAAAAAATTAAAAATAAAAAAACAATCAATAATCCAACTTGCCAAATAATTAATTTCACTCCCTTCTCTTCGTCTTCCAATTTTTTATTAGACTTTATTATGCCTGGAAACCTTGCATCAAATTGATTTGTATCATTATCTCATACGATTATTCTAAAATACTTCGAATTTTTGTCGCAATATTTTCGTTTTGATTCTGAAATTTTTCAAGTGATTTTTTTTTGTCTTTTTTTTTATGAAAATGATTTTATTTTTTGTTAGGTCCTTATCTCATTGCGTCAGTCATTTTCTCGTTTTTTATGTGGTGACATTATTAGCGATAAGAACATGTCAATATATATGAAGAGTTCTAAAAATTACAGGCCAGTGTGAGATTGAAGGAATCTGGGAATAGGGCTATATATATATGTATATTTATGTATATTAAGTGAAGAATGGCATTCACATGGAAAGTTGTATTTCTAGGAGAATCATCGGTGGGTAAAACATCCATCATAACCAGATATATAACAGGGCAGTTCCTTAGAGATAATGCAACGATTGGAGCTGCGTTCATTTCACATCAATTAAAAATATCTTCTGAGCACATTGTGCAATTGGAGATATGGGATACCGCTGGCCAAGAAAGATATAGATCTTTGACCACAATGTATTATCGTAATACGAATGTGGCTATTGTTGTTTTTGACTTATCTAATTTTCATATCGATGCTACTTTGAATGATATCGATATATGGATTGAGAAACTATATGAATATAATAATATTCCTAATAATGATAATGATAAACTGAATATAATAATCGTGGGTAATAAAATCGATCTATTGGAGGAAAATGATGATATGTTGGCTATTAGAGAAACAATGCTACGATATCTGGATATCAAAAAAAATCAAGATTATAACAATATTGTTTTAAAATATTTAGAGGTAAGTGCAAAGACAGGAGAGAATGTGTCAAATTTATTTGAAAATGTTATTGTTGATTTAATTCCAAAGGATAAATTATATTTCAATGATAATAATAATAACAATAATATAATATCATTAGGCATTGATTCAAAGAAGGATAAATATATAAAGAATCGACAATGCAATTGTTGACCATGGAAACTGGACAATAATATATATTGCAAGAGAGTATTAAAAGTTCATAAAATTTTTACTGATTACACACTTTACAATATAAACCATGAAAATATGTATTCTTTCTTGATTTATGTATACATACGTGTGTGTTTATTATTCATAGTACTTAGATGATGGTTATAATAAGTTAATTAATTTACTTATAATTCACCAGGAACAGGGAATTGCCCGACCCAATTATAGATTTCGTCAGCCAATTCTTTGACTTCTCTTGATTCCTTGCATAATTGTTTGAATCTGTTCAATCTCTCTGTTGGTGTCAATGGTTTGTCCTCAATAGAAGAATCTGAACCAGAAGTTTTGGCAGTTTCCTGTTGTTTCAAGTCTAAGGCTAATTTTCTAGCTTTATCAATGTATTCTGCAACTTTAGCAAAATCTTTCTCTTGGAAACCTCTTGTAGTCATGGCAGGAGTACCTACTCTTAAGCCAGATGGGAACATAGCGGATTTATCAGTTGGAATGGTATTTTTATTAGCAGCAATATTGATATGTTGTAAAATAGCCTCCAATCTGGCACCATCAACATCAGTCTCAGACAAGTCAATTAAAATCAAATGGTTGTCAGTTCCGCCAGACACCAATTTGAAGCCACGGTTACGCAATTCTTTAGCAAAATATTTAGAGTTGCTGACGATTCTCTTTTGATATTCTTTAAATTCTGGGGTCATTGCTTGTTTCAAAGCTACGGACAATGCAGATATTGTGTGATTGTGTGGGCCACCTTGATGGCCAGGGAACACTGAGAAATTGATCTTTTTATCGAATGGATACATGATCTGCTTTCCCTTTGCAGTAGTCCTTTCGACCCCCTTTCTGTAAAAGATCATTGCACCACGAGGACCTCTCAAGGATTTATGTGTGGTAGTTGTGACAATATCAGAGTACGGGAATGGAGATGGGATCACTTCTGCGGCAACAAGCCCAGAGATATGAGCCATGTCACTTAAAAGATAGGCACCACATTCTCTAGCTATTTTCTGAAATCTTTCATAGTCGATCAAACGAGAATAGGCGGAGGTACCGGCTACAATAATCTTAGGTCTAAACAATTTAGAAGTCTTAGATAAAGCCTCATAGTCGATTAAACCGGTGGATAGATCTAATCTATATGGCATAGATTGGAAATACTTGGAGATGAAACTGATTGGAGTCCCAGAATTGAGACTGTAACCGTGTGATAGATGGCCACCGTGAGGTAGGTCAAGACCCATCAATCTATCACCGACATTCATGATAGACGAATAGGCGTATAAGTTAGCAGGAGCACCGCTCAATGGTTGTACGTTGACCCCCCATTCGTTTGGATCTAATTTATACAATTCTAAAGCCCTACGTTGACAAAGTGATTCCATTTCATCTATATATTGGTTACCACCGTAATAACGGGCGCCTGGGTAGCCTTCAGAATATTTATTTTGAAATTCAGAACCTAAAAGATCCATAACAGATTTGGAAGTAAAGTTTTCGGATGGAATCAGAGTAATTGAATGTTTTTGTCTCAATTTTTCCTTTTGTAAAATGGAATACATTTCAGGATCAATATCTTGGACATGTTTTGATACTAAAACCTGATCTTTTGAGACAGATGATTTCAAAATTACAGAGGTTAAGGAGAATGATCTAGTGGTTAATGCTTGTGCAGCTTTTTTGGAAGATAATCTCGCAAGCATATTTAGGTGACTGGTACGTTGCCTGGTTGGTTATGTGAGTGTTTGAAATCTAACGAGACTTAAAACCCAACAACACATATTTAATAAGCAATAGTCAGTCAATTAATCAATCAATCAATTAAGTTTACATCTTCTTTTCAAATCGATGAAAGGAAGCCAAGGAGAAGAGAAGAAGAGTCATATTAAGATGCAATGCGATGGCTGCATAATGGAGGGGAAGAAAATAGAGATGAGGCGGAAATACACCACCGACATTGCTCTTTCTCTTTCTTTAATTTTCGGTTTTTTGATTTTGATGCATTCTTTTTTTTTTTTGCTTGTTTGTTTGTTTTGGATTATCGAAAGAAAAAACAAGACACCGAAAGCCGGGGAGGGGGGGAGAAAAGATCAAAAAGAAAAATTAAGCAGAATTCCACATGAAACCATTTTGAATCTCTGTATAAAACTTGCGTGTATGTATGTGTGTTTTAATCTTCATTTGTAGGTTGTTTGGAAAGTTGATCAGTTGTGAACTGAAAGTTGTTGACTAATTTGTTAAAATTACAGGCGGTTTCTCGAGAAGGATAATAATAATCACAATACCGTTACTGATACTACTATGACATTGATTAAAAAGGTTGGTTTACCTGTATTATTTGGTATGGGTACATATTATGTTTGCATTTCCGATCAATATAAAAATTTTTGTAATAGCAAATGTTTCTGGACACGAACCAATGAGCAAGTAAGACAAATCTTGGATCATTCACAAGAGACACATTTTCTTCATGATTATTCTAAATTATTTCAAAATAATGATTCTGTATCTAATGCAAACACTGTAGAAAATAAGGGTGGTGAAAATATTATCAACACAACTAGTAACGTACAATTACTGTTAGTATTAAGCAAAGTAGAATTATTGAAAGATATATGGAACTACCAAGTTTATAAACTCTGGAATTGGCTATATTCTTCATAATGTTTATACAGCATACCTCTATAGGTATATCAGTTATATTTTAATATTCTTTATTTATTTATTTAGTCATGTCTATAATTTTAAATATTGAAAGAACATTTAGAAACTTTACTTCTTTATTTTTTTTTATTTTTCTTTCCTATCTCGATTTTACATGTGAAATTTTATATTTTCCCTTGATCAAATAAATTTACATGTAAGATATTTGCTACTGTAATCAATTGGTTCGATGCACGATCTTCAATAACCATAATAGATTAAGAAACTCCCACATAGAGAAAGAGAAAGAAGTTCGAAAAAAAATGACTGAACAAAGAGAAGAAATTGATCTGGTGGATATTCCAGATTCTCATATTAATTATGACGATGCAATCGAATACTGGACCAATATTCCTGCTACAGTCAATGGTGTGCTTGGTGGTTACGGTGAACAAACAGTGGTTCCTACCATGGATGTCCTTGGTTCATCATTCTTTCTACGTAAATTAAAATCCAGAATGATATGTCCCAGTGGAATGATAAAATATGGGGTTGACATCGGTGCTGGAATAGGTAGAATAACCAGAGATATGTTACATAAATACTGTGATAAGATCGATTTGGTGGAACCTGTAGAACCCTTTGTCAAGCAGATGCAAGATGTAGAATTGGCTGATTTGATTGCTGAAGGGAAGATTGGCACCATTTATAAACTTGGAATGCAAGATTGGACTCCTGAAAAAGGCAAATACTGGGTCATTTGGTGTCAGTGGTGTGTTGGTCATTTGCCAGATAAGGAATTTGTTCAATTTTTGAAAAGATGTAAAGATGGGTTACAGTCTAACGGCACAATCATTGTCAAAGAAAATAATACTCCATTTGACAAAGACGATTTTGATGAAACCGATTCTAGCGTTACTAGATCAGATAAGAAATTCAGACAATTGTTTGAAGAGAGTGGGTTGAAACTTATCGCAACGGAAAAACAAAAGGGTTTACCAAAGGAACTATACACTGTAAGAATGTACGCTTTAAAACCACAATAATATCAAAATAGAAATTTAAAAAACTAATAAATAATAGAAAAAAAAAAGAAAGGAAAAGAAATACACACACACACACACACATACATACATACATACATATATATATATATATATATATATATATATATACAGGGATATTACATCAATGATATAGAATATTAATATTATCATCAAATCAATTTCTTACCTGAATACAATTTTTATATATTTGTTGACGTATGTGCGTACTATATGTATATATTTACTATCACAAATCACTAGTAATTTCTCATCAGAAATTGCCCAATGAATATCTTAAATAAGTATAGGGCCACTTAATTGCACGTTTGTTATCAGTTAGTTTTCATCTAGCTAATATCAGCAACACTTGTCTTGTATGAATTATCAGAATCCTTTAAAGTTCAAACAAATGCTAAAAAGCCAAAAAAAAAAAACGAAAAAAAAAAAACCGGATACGTCAATTTTGTCAATTTCTGAAGTTTCAAGAAATTTTAGATAAAAAAAGAAGAAAAAAGAAAAGAAAACAGAAGATTTGTTGGTGTAAACAAATAAAAGTTACAAAACGATACATTAAAGTGTCATATGTTTAATTAGTCTTTACCTTGAACAGACTAGAGGAAAGAGTATTTGTGTGAGAATCCATCCAACCAAAAAGTCTACCAACTATTTCTATATTAATTTATATATATTTGTTGTTTTTACTTATTCCATTGAAGGGGATATTATTGTTTTAATTTAATATTTTCCAGTAAGCAATGATTAGTTCTGGCAGTGAATTTCAAACGATTCATGATGATTCACAAGATTCAATGGCTTTATCTCCTCAATTAAGTGAAATAAATTCCCAATTCTCAAATTTTGATCCAAATTTGGATAGTATGAATCATGCTGGTGGGAATAATAATAATAACAATAATAACAATAATAACAATAATAATAATAATAATAATAATGAAAGTAATAATAACCCATCTATTTTAACAAATAATACTACTAATTCTTTCAATGACGGTACATCAACTCAGCTAGTTAACAGAATTCAAGATAGCGAGTTATTGCAAAGTGCCGCAATCCAAAAAGTACTCAATTCTGATGTTGCGATCAATGCCCTGTTATTTAAATTTAAACAGTCGTTATTGACCTGCGAAGAGTTTATTAAATTTCTAAGAAAGAAATATATGTTTGAAGATGAACATACCCAAGAACTTTTAAAGCATTATAGAAACTTCTTTCAAGCAAGTAATGGTGTTTCTTCCTTAAAAAAGACTTTCCATGATATTTTACAATTTGATGGGAAATTAGGACAGGTAAAGCAAAGTTATGTCAAAGCATTACAAAAAATGTACGATGAAATAAGTTCTCTATTATTAACGATGACTAAAGTCAGAAAGTCTATTAAAGAAAATTCAAAAAGATTGGAGAAAGAAGTCATGGATTCTATTCATAACGCTGAAAAAGCACAAAGCCGTTATAATTCCTTATGTCAAGATTACGAAAAGTTAAGAATGGAAGATCCAACAAAGACGAAATTGACTTTGAGGGGTTCAAAGACAACAAGAGAGCAAGAAGAGGAGTTGTTAAGGAAAATAGATATTGCAGACCAAGATTACAGATCAAAGGTTGACCATGCTAATTCGTTAAGGGATAATTTTTTACAAAGAGAGAGACCTCATATTGTGACAGAACTGAAAAATTTGATTCTTGAAATGGATACTGCTATGGCAATACAATTACAAAAGTATACTATATATACAGAGAATTTGATTTTGAATAGTGGTGTTACAATAACTCCCTTCAATAAGTTGGAAAAATCTATGAAATCAATTGCCTCTTCTGTACGAAACGAGAGAGATCTTTATATAATGCTAAACAAATATAATAGTGGTAATAAAAACACTTTATTAATTAATAAAAACTTGATTCCAATTAATTATAAAATTCATCCATCTATGGAGAGACGAGCAGCTGCTAAAAAAAAGTCTGCTCCTAAATTTGCAGTTGATCCATCTAGGAACTCAATTCCAAAAAGACAAATATCAACACATAATGATTCTCCTTTCACTAACACATCAATATCACCAACAGCGTTTGTTAGACCGATGGCTTTAAATAAAAACCAGTCTTTACCCAATTCAGAATCCTTCTCCACTGCTATATCACATGTTTCCACGCCATTAACACCATCTACATCAAGTTATTCCTTAGTCCTGAATAATAAACCTTCCAGCTCATATAACAATATTAATAGTCATAAAAAAAATAATAATAATGAAGGTAATAGTGGTGATACTAACACTAGTGATACTATAAGTAGCAACACAACCAAGGATAATAGCCCACAAAGATTCCCATCATTAGATCCAGGCAAAAAAGAATATCGATTACCAAGTATACCGGCAACATTAGCATCTCTTAACACAGATGATTCAGATAGACCAGTATCACATGTACAGACTATTTCTAGTTTACCACCTGGTATACAAAATAATTTCAAAACATTTAATGTACCTTTAGAGAATCTCATTGAATTTGAACAAGATATGGTTCCAACTATAGTATCCCAGTGTATATATGTGGTAGATAAGTATGGGCTAGATTTAGAGGGTATCTATAGAAGATCAGCAAATGTATTAGATGTTAGTAAATTAAAAGAGGAAATCGATACAGACCCATCGAATATTTCTATGATTTTACCACCCAAGGACTACACTGATGCAGATATTTATTTAGTTGGATCCCTACTAAAAACTTTTTTTGCCAGTCTTCCTGACACTTTATTACCTCACAGTATATCAAATGAATTAAAGACTTGCTTTGCTATTGATGATTATACAACTAAAAAGAATTTTATGCATGGGTTGTTATATAAATTACCTGATGCACAATATTGGACTTTAAGATCATTATTATTTCATTTAAAAAGAGTGTTGGCTCATGAAGAACATAATAGAATGAATTTGAAAGCTTTATGTATAATATGGGGTCCTACGATTATTCCACCAAATGATGACGACGTTAATGATGTCAATTATCAAATTGCTTTAATGGAGGTATTAATCAATGTGGCTGATCAGGCTTTTGAACCTGAGTAATCTATTTTGCTTTAGGTTAAGTTATAAATCGTAATTATAATACAACTATTCATACTGGGTAAAAATAGTAAAAAACAAATACAAACTGTTACAAGTAGCAAAGAGAAGTTATCATATCTTATATAAAAATAATAATTTTTACTAGTAATATATAAGTGAATATAACTAAATTAGACAATTAAAGTTTTAATAAAAAATATTAATTCATAATAATTCTATATATATATGCGTCTATAAAGAGATTTATATAATTTATTTGAAATTAAAGTCTTAAAATATTTGAATCTAAGCCTGAACAATCATATGCATAGTTGAATCTTATCTTATTTTTATCTTTTATTAATAATTTTAATCCTATTAACTTGTTTAAGGAAGAAAAAAACTGTTTACTTTGCGGTTTGGTGATTTTAATAGTACTAATAAAACCTTCTATGGTCATTACATCATTTTTGTTAAAACAATATAGTATTGCAGCAATGGACATATTAGTCTCAACTAATAGATAAGATCCATCAGATAGCTTGATAGGAGTTTCAAGCAAAACATAATGAATTGCTGTATTATTTTCTATCACTCTAGAAGTTGATGCTAATTCAGCAATTACTGTTTGCCATCTTTTCTTGAAGCCATTTGTGGCCCAAAACGTTTTTAACGGTGCTGCATTTATATTTACATAATGCTGTGGGATAAGTATACATGTAAATATAGAACCATTACTCAAATATTTTTTATTCTCAATAGCATCTTCTATAAACTTCAATAATTTATTTTTATCATCAATACATTCTTTCTTTAGGTTCAAATAAATATGTGAATTAAATTCCTTAATAATATGACCAAGTTGATCATCTATCGATGGTTTTACAATTATTTTAATAAATCTTGGTAGCCAATAACTTTTAAGAAATATTTCATAGTTTGGACAATATCTTTTTATAAAATAACTCAAATATGGGTAGTCATAGTCAGTGTCATTATCCATACTTTTATTTGCATAATGTTCCTTGAATTGGTAATATTTCTGGTTAAGAAATTTTGCAAGAGAGCTATAATATTTATTTGGTGATCCTTCGATGGTTTTTAAAAAATGTTTACGAAGTTCTTCTAACAGCATAGAATAATATTCTTTACTTTGAATATGTGGTCCAGGATCTAAAGATTTGATTTGTTGAAATGTGTCTTCAAAATTATCAGGCTTGAATATTATCTTATTTATTGTTACAAAATTAAATCCAAAGTCATCGTCTATTTGGTGAAGTTGTGTATCAGATATATTTAATTCCATCCAGTAACGTCTCTTTGGAGAATCGTTATATTTAAGTCTGAAAGCATCTTTCCATAATGAATGATACATTGTATAGTCAATCCATCCTTTCTGTTCATTTTTTAATAGAATTAATAGGATTTCAGAATCTGCAAAAATCTCTTGAAAGCCCATGACTCGAAATTGATTTCTAATATTAGAACCCAAAAAAGTTCCAAATTTAATAAAGTTAGACCAAATCTGAATAACAGTATCAAATTTGCCAGTATTCGATATTTTTGCAATATATGAGACAAAATTTTCTCTCATCCTCTTAATCATTTGTTCCATTGAACCTGTTTGTAGAGAATTATATTTATCATACTCACATAAAAATTTGGCAAAATCTACCAATTGATATATCTGCATCTCATTGCCATTGATGTTTTCAATAAGATTTTTCCATATTGCTTCCTCTAATGGAATCTTACTATAAAAGTTTGAAGATTTGAAGTAAGCAATAATCTGACTTTTAGAAAAAAATATTGGAGAGATCTTCATGGATAACTCATCTTGGGCTTTCTTTAACGAGTTAAGTGTATTGGATAACAAGTCAATTTTGCATTCAAAATTTTTCATAACTAGCAAGATATCTTCAAATGTCAAATCATTACATCTTTCTAACTCCTTTATGATCTCATTAATTCTTTTCTTAAAAAAATCATGCAGAATGACATACACATAGGTACATGCTGTTTGCTTGGAAAACTTTGTATTGAATTTTTTGATTAATAAGCTGATGTTATCAACAATAGTATATATGTTATGAGGGGTATTTATAGTCCATAATTTAGTCAATTCATCATTGAGAGCGTCACGAAGTCTTATTGAAATATTGCCTCGCTGTTGTTTAGAAGCTTTTGTTGGTGAAACCATTTAGGAAAAAAAGCCAAAAAAACTAGTTTCACTATGAAAAATCGAGTATTAATAGATTAGGTTGTAGTTTTGCATGCCTTCATTGTTAATTTATCTTAAAATAAGATTTCCAAGTTTTTGTTTTTTGTTTTCATGAAATGATGATTTGCTTTGAATATGTTTGTTTTCATGCATATAACTGATTTTTATTTGGTTTGTCTTTTTTTTAAAAAAAATATCAGCCTAAAATGCCAAAGTAAAAAAAAATGCAGACAAATGATTAATCGAAATCTATTATTTGTTACATGTTGTATGGTTGTTTTAAAAGAAGAGTATTGATAGACTGAAAGTTATTGCTGGGGTGTACTTTTCGTTACAAAATAGACTAGACTATTGTATTATAACAATCAAAGCTTTTTGAGTGATTGGCACCTTGTTAATTCAGTAGTTTTTTGTTTCCATTGAAATATGCTTGTTCAAAATCAAGTAGACCAAGCTAGAGAATTGGCAAATCAATTTAAGAAACAAGGTCATTTTGATAAATTGAAATCAGAGATTCTCTCTAGAGAATCAAACATCAAGACAAAAGAAAATGTTACAGTACCTGGCTCTTTGGAAACAGTATTAAAAAATGTAACAACCTCGATAGTGAAAGATATGGTATCTAAAGATGAGGATTTGATTTTCAAGAATAGGGGATCGACAAGTGCTTTATTGGAAGCACAATTACTTAAAGATGATTATAAAAAATTTGGAGAGGGCAAAAATGGGATCGAACTAAATAGATATTTACAATCTTGCATCAACGACCCAGATTTGTATGAAACTATATACAAGGAATTAGCTCAATTAGTTTCAAAAGAAAATATTATAGTGACGAATACTCCTAATAATAGTCAATAATATAGGTTTTCCCGAATCTGTTACATATTTATACAAGTGAAAAAGAAGATAAATATACAGACATGTTACAGAAATTAGGTGATTTCTTTGCATTTGGTGATCTCGTTATTTTGCGGCAGATCATAGGCAAAATCTTCGACATAGAGAACACCTTTTCTGTCTAGGATATATAAAACATAACCATCGCAGCTAAATCTCATTGAAGCAGATTCATGTGCCCTATATGCATCTGCAACCATTTCTACAACCACAGTTCTTCTCTTTTCGTTATCAATTATTGTGGGTGCTGACACTAAGTACACCGAACCATTTTTATCTAAGAATGCTATAGAATCATTTCTGGATGATATTTCACATTTATGGATTTTATAGCCCAAATCAGAAAATCTATTGAGTAAAGTTGGTTGTGCAACACTAGTTAAATTACTGATATCTTCAATCTTTGTGTTTACGATAATAGCAGGTGAATTGAATGCTGTGGATGTAACACACATTAAACTGGGGTTTCCAGGAAACAATTTTGTATCTGTAATGCCTTCAGATTCTAAAGATGTATCAATTGATCTTAAACTCTTCATAATAAGTCTAGGTTCATTTACATTTTTCAAGGAAATAATTAGGAAGCGAGATTCCATGGTAGTTGAACATGATAAATATCGTCCATCTGTTGATAACTGTATAGTATTTATCGGGTCTCTGTAAGGTAAAGCGACTGTAATAGGTGATGGAAAATCATACTGAGAAATCATATTATTTTTTCCTATTCTATGGAGTGTAATTAGAGCTTGTTCGGAATTAGTTTTTCTATCTTTACCTACAATACCGCAAGCTATTATAGTGCCAGAGGGATCAATATCAATGCATCTTATGTAATATTTAGAACTATAATAATGAATCATTTTACCATTATTATTTAAATCAAATACTTGAATTGAATTTTTAATGTCACTAATAACTAAGAAATTATTAGAAAGCTTACAATAGATGTATTCGCCAAATATTATGTTTTCTTTTTCTACTCCTAATATGGTAGAGTCTAATTGATTTAAATGATCAAAAGCAGAACCATATTCACCTGTATTTCTCCCACAGAAAAGTAATGTTGGCGGATTTTTGTATACATTTTGTGGTATTGAATAAACTTCCCATTTATGTTTAGAGATTAAAGCAAATTTCGAACAATCAGGTGATATTGATGTATTAATAAACAATTTTGATTTAGTTTTTAAAAATTTTGAATGCGTTTTAAAAATGTATCTTTTTCTGTATATTGGGAAACAATTTGCAAAATAATATTCTTTTTTTTCATCTAAAGGTACAGATAGTTGTACTTTTGTGTTATCAGTTGTGTTGCCAGTCCCTTTGGATTGATCATATGCAGATTCTTGGGACAACTGACTTGCAATTATTGTATTTGAATTATTAGTTAAACTAGCATTCTCTGAAAGATAATCAGACTTCTTATCCTGGTTATTAACTATATCTCTTTGTGTATTGTTTGAATCTAGAGAGTTATCTAATGGGATATCCTCTAACTCTCTATTAGAAACATTTTTATTGATTTGTTCTTGTGAATTTACTTCTGATGCAATCTTGTAAAATAGATTTATTAAATTTATTTGATTCCTGTTTATATCTCTAGATGATAGATTTAGTATAGCTCTTTGTTGTACCACTTCATTATATTTAATCGAAGGAAAGGATAAAAAAGGGCTACTAGCAGTGCTGTCAACTTTCTTATTTACTGGATCAGTCGATATATTTTGTGATTGACTATCATAGTCCGGACAGTTAACAATGCTAGCATTTGTCACTAGATTTGCATTTTTATTTACTGTGCTCTGACTATTTAGTGATTCCTCATAATTAATCCTATCAGCAGTAATTTTTTCCTCTATGTCATCTTTGAACGATTGTATTTGTAAGTATATGTTACGTAAAGGTTTCACTGGACCTACAATGGATACGTTTTGTTTGTTGCATAATGGACAATGTATTAGATCATTTTTTGTTATTTTAATAATATCGTAGTATAAAGACTCAGCTATGCAGCAACCGCAAGTTAAAATTGAACAATCTTCCACAATACAATAACCGAGACCATATATATAATGGCCAAGTTGTTGATTAAATTCACAGGAAAATAATTGTTTCGGAAGTAATAAGTTTTGTTCTATTGTTTTTATCAAATGTGTTGTATCTGGCATATATTGTGCATATATGATAATTGAATTTATCCAATATAAAGAAAGGGACCAATAAATATTATCTTTGGTAATGTTAAAATTTAACAAAATGAGTTGATTATAAACTTGAAAGTTTAATTGTTTTTCTTTTGTCCTCGCAGTTACCGATCGAAATTTTCGACCTCGAGAAAACGGAAATAAAACAAGCAAAAACCAGAAAGAAGATGATGGAGAAAGGGAACGAAAGGGAAAGATCCTAAAGAACACAGCAAGTTTGTTATATTTGGGGTTGTGGGGTTAATACTATCAGTGTACTTTTTTTTTTTTCAGCTGGTTCGTACGTGATACGCTTGATATCTATTATTGACTTGATTGTTTCTAACTTTAGTGGTAACAGAGAGGATAAGTGAAAGGGAAAGGAAAACAAGTGTAAGTAAACAACAAAAAAACACAATTAAAACATTTTTTGTAAAATGGGATCACGACCTTCTAAACAAGAGACTGCAGTCAAATTTTCTATGGTAGGGAGTAACTTAAACTTCTCAGATGATGTACTTAAAAGATTGGCTCAATCTAATGAAACCGATTTCTCAAGAAATGAGGAAGCAGAAAGATTGTTAGAAAAGGAGGTTAATAAAAGACTGATTCAATTGGAGAAGGAAACTTTAAAGAATTTCGAGGAGCATTTGAAGACCTCTTTAATATTGAGTGAAATTGAGCCTGAACCACTAACTTCAGGCTCTTTGGATAATAAAATTCAGAAGCTAGAGGAAAAATTGAAAAAACTACAATCAACGCAACAAGATGTCCTTGATGATAATGGTAAAAAAATTAGAGAAGAGCTTCTGAATTGTTTAATTGATAATAAAGGTAAACCTTTGAACTGTTATGATTATATACAACAGTTTAATAAAGTTGTTAATCAATCATAATTGTAATGAAGGGGGAAACGATTTATTTCCCGTCTGGTGTGGTAGTGTATTTAATTATTCTTTCCTATGAATCTTCCTTTCTTATTTGTATATATACTTTGCTATCTCTTTTTTTTTTTATTTTTTATTTTATATTCTTTAGTACTATGAACTGTTATTACATCTACATGTATATATAGAAATTGTGGAAGTTGTAATTAAAATGTATATAATATTATTTATCGGTTCAAGTTCTTAAACAAAAAAAAAATCGTAAAATAATAATAATAATTCTGATAATTCTAGTGATGTAAGTGAAATGTCCATATTCATTTTTTTATTTTAGTTTTTTTTTTATAATCCAAATCCTTTGTATAAAAGGATTAAAGCACTATCACTTTCACCACCACCAGCTAAAGATTCAATTTTATCTTTTTCAATAATACTAACCTTGTCATCATTGAATTTATACCAGATATTATCATCATGATCAGCTCTAATAAAAGCTTGATAATGGCCAGACTCTGAATTAGCACCTTGGTGTGTTATGACGCCAACTAAATCATAAACACATGATGGATTTTCACCTTTTTGTAAATTGTTAGGAAAATGTTTCTTAAATTCATCTAACCAATATTGTTTTTTGCTTTCTTGAAGAGCCTTCTCTGTCTCCATTTCTTCCTTTGGTGTCATTACAACACCATTACTTAATGGGTCGACTTTACGTTTTTTGGATTCTCTTTCTGCTTCCTCCTTTTCCTTTTCAATTTTCCTTAATTCCTCACGGACTTTAATTTTTTCTTGTTGATATTCACTTGTTAATAATTCTGAAACATCCAATTGAAATGGGAATGTGACCTTACGTAAAATTTTAGATTTTTTGCCACTTGATCTTTTCCAAAAGAATCTGACAAATTGGACAGTTAAGAATTTAGGTAATTTGATTATTTCCTTTTTAACTAAAAAATCAGAATTGTTACCAGTAATCTCTGATCTCTTTTCAATAATTTCATTCAAAGAATCAATCAATCCGTTTCTTAAGAAATTTGTAGATCCAGAAATATGACATTGTAATTTAAAATCATCTTCATCTTCTCTTATAGTGATATCATTTTCATTATGTTTGTCTTTGATAGTAGTTCTGAATTTGATTCTAAAATCTTCAGAAAATTTATCACCAAATACCACAGTCAGTGAATGAAATAGCTGGGTAAACAATTCTTCTGCATCTTGTTGTTTAAAAAATCCAGATTGTGGATCTCTTTCAGCAAACTGAGGATAAGTCTTTCTAAGAATGTTTAAAAGAACTAAAGGCATAATAGATTGGAATTTCTTATTCTTTAAACCCTCAAAACAACGCTTGATTTCTTGTACTAATTTGTGATGAATTTCATCTTGTGGATTAATGCTTGTAAAAGTGCTTTGATTATAGCTTAGAATTAATTCTCTTAATTGATGTAAACTATATAACCCCTGTAATGTAGCATTCAAATAGCATGTATTCCCCATATTCTTGAAACCAATAGGTAAATCGTTTATCTTTTGTAACTGTTGATCAGGAGAAAGGTCTTCGATAAAGTGGCTCCTCTCCTTTGGTTTTGAAATCAAATTTGCATCCGAAGTGCCTAATAACATTACTGTTGATCCATTCTTAATTAGACTGGATAAATTTGAAACATTTGGATCAGTTAAACCCGTTTTTACCATATACTTTTGGCGCTCAATTGGAACTGAGGTCAACTGTTCAATCTGTTCTTTTAATTGACCAACGGTTGTATCATCAGTGATCTTAATAGAATATGTTTTACCAGCATGTTTAATATTAAATTCTAACGACATTATTGACTGATTCTCTGAAGTTGTAACAAAATTCTTTTTTTTTTTGGATTTCTATAAAGCCTCTTGATGATCCTTCAATGAACCACATTGCTGAGGAACAGATCGAAAGAAGAGATTCACATATTATAGACACTTCTTTGTTTATTTCAATGAAAAAGGGTTCACTTTCAAAAAGAAATGTCTAAATTTTGATCGCCACTCGCTGTAAAGCAATTCCCACTTCGAAATTCTGAAAATAGAAAAACAGTGAAAAGTGGGAAAAAAAAAAAAAGAAAAAGAAAAACAGCTTAAAAAAAATTTTGGTAAGACGTATCTGCAAAAGTTATTGAGACCATCTAGATTGATTCATCATTGAGTCTTTTTGCTTTTTTGCCAGTTGATTGTATTTGAGAGTGCGATTGTTAATTGCAGGAGGGTGAATCCTAATAGCCCAAGATAATAGACATTGTTTAATCATTTATATATTTAAAGTTGCTTTACGTTATTTTTTCTTTTTATTGCCCACCTGCTAAAATAATATCGAGGCGAATTTACAAATGAGTACATCGACTGTCGTTCCTCCTAGAAAGAGATTATCTGAAGGTCTAACTGTTACTCAAAAAGTTTTCATCAGATCTAGAAATGGTGGTGCTACTAAGATAGTTAGAGAACACTATCTAAGAAATGATATTCCTTGTCTTTCAAAAGCATGTGATAGTTGTCAAGAAATTGTTGTTCCCGATGCTTCTAATCAATTGCCAAAGTTTGTATTATCTGAATTACCACAACCTCTACCTAATGGCATTGGGAAACATTATGTTGTTCTTGACACAAATATCATTCTTTTAGCTATTGATCTTTTGGAGAATCCAGATTGTTTTTTTGATGTTATTGTTCCACAGATTGTGTTGGATGAAGTTAGAAATAGGTCTTATCCAGTTTATACGAGACTAAGAACTCTCTGTAGAGATAGCGATGATAAGAAGAGGTTTATTGTTTTTCATAATGAATTTAATGAAAACACGTTCATTACCAGAAGGGAAAATGAAACTATCAACGATAGAAATGATAGAGCCATTAGAAAAACATGTGAATGGTATGCATCCCATTTAACTAAGCATGGTATAAAAATTGTCTTAGTATCTAACGATAGATTAAATAGAGAAGCTGCTCAAAGGAAACAGGAAAATCAGGCATATGTGACAAAGAGTCTTTTTGAATATGTCAGTTTACTGCCTAATGGCGAAGATATTAAAGATTTGATTCCAAATACAGATTCAACAGAACTTTCAGATAATAAGGATGAGGAGGGTTTATCAGAATTTGTTTTCCCAGAATATTATTCCACAGCAAGAATCATGGGTGGTATCAAAAATGGAGTCTTGTACCAAGGTACTATTCAAATATCAGAATATAACTTTTTGGAAGGTAGTATATCGTTACCAAGATTTTCTAAACCTGTCTTGGTTGTTGGACAGAAAAATTTAAATAGAGCTTTTAACGGGGATCAGGTCGTTGTAGAACTATTACCAGAATCGGAATGGAAGGCACCATCTTCTATTGCAATGGATTCAGAACATTTCGACGTAAATGATAATCCAGACGTTGATGAAAGTGAAGAGTTAACTGATAAGACAAATAGCATCATAATTTCTGATAAGCAACGTCGTTTATTAGCAAGGGATGCTATTCATGCTCAAAAATCCAAAAAGGTTCAACCAACAGCTAGAGTTGTGGCAGTCACTAGAAGATCATGGAGACAATATGTTGGTCAAATTGCACCAAGTTCAGTTGATTTGAAAAATGGTGGTACTCAAAATGTATTTGTGATTTTAATGAATAAATGTCTTCCAAAAATCAGGATTCGTACTAGGCGTGCAGTTGAATTATTGGATAAAAGAATTGTTATTTCTGTAGACTCTTGGCCGACTACTCATAAATATCCATTAGGTCATTTTGTCAGAGATTTGGGTGGCATAGAAACAGTCGAAGCTGAGACTGAAGCTTTGTTATTAGAACATGATGTGGAATATAGACCATTTTCTAAGAAAGTTTTAGAGTGTCTACCAAAAGAGGGTCATGATTGGAAAGCACCTGCAGATTTAAGGGACCTAGAAGCCAATAGTAAGGATCCATTGTTAAAGAATAGGAAGGATTTAAGAGATAGATTGATTTGTAGTATCGATCCACCTGGTTGTGTAGATATTGATGATGCTTTGCATGCAAAAAAATTGCCAAATGGTAATTGGGAAGTTGGTGTCCATATTGCAGACGTTACTCATTTTGTTAAACCAGGTTCGGCTGTTGATGCAGAAGCTGCTTCTAGGGGTACATCTGTTTATTTAGTAGATAAAAGAATTGATATGTTGCCGATGTTATTAGGTACAGATTTATGTTCTTTGAAACCATATGTTGATAGATATGCTTTTTCTGTCATTTGGGAATTAGACGATAATGCAGACATTGTCAATGTTGATTTTACTAAATCGGTTATTAGATCTAGAGAAGCATTTTCATATGAACAAGCACAGATTAGAATTGATAATCTTGAACAAAAAGATGAATTGACATTAGGTATGAGGGCATTACTTAATTTTTCTATAAAGTTGAAAAATAAACGTTTGGCTGCTGGTGCATTAAATTTGGCATCGCCAGAAGTTAAAGTTCATATGGATAGTGAAACTTCCGATCCAGGTGAAGTTGAAATAAAAAAATTGTTAGCTACTAATTCTTTAGTTGAAGAGTTTATGTTGTTAGCCAATATATCGGTTGCTAGAAAGATCTATGATGCATTCCCTCAAACAGCAATGTTGAGAAGACATGCTGCACCACCTGCCACCAATTTCGAAATTCTTAATGAGATGTTACAAAGAAGGAAGGGGATGTCTATATCGTTAGAGTCTTCTAAAGCATTAGCAGATTCATTAGATCGTTGTGAAGATCCAAAAGATCCATATTTCAATACCTTGGTTCGTATCATGTCTACACGTTGCATGATGGCAGCACAATATTTCTATTCTGGTGCATATTCATACCCAGATTTCAAACATTATGGTTTGGCAGTGGATATATATACACATTTCACATCACCAATTAGACGTTATTGTGACGTGGTGGCACATAGACAACTTGCAGGTGCGATCGGTTATGAGCCATTGAGTTTAGTTCACAGAGATAAACATAAAATGGATATGATTTGTCGAAATATTAATAAGAGGCATAGAAATGCACAATTTGCTGGTAGGGCTAGTATTGAATATTATGTGGGTCAAGTAATGAGAAACAATGAATCAACCGAGTCAGGCTATGTTATTAAAGTGTTCAATAACGGTATTGTGGTGTTAGTACCTAAATTTGGGGTAGAAGGGTTGATAAGATTGGAGAATTTGACAAATGATGTTAATGGAGCCGAATATGATGAAGTTGAATTTAAATTATCTTTTAAGGACAAAAATTCCGGAAAAATTAGAGACGTTTATGTTTTTGATAATGTTGAGGTACAAGTGAAATCTGTGCTAGATCCTATAACTAGCAAGCGTAAAGCGGAACTACTACTTAAATAAATACAAAATTATGTACAATATATAGAAACGTGAATATCATATAGAAAAAGGAGATAGGTAAAACATATTTCTAGGGGAAGGTTGTCTTGTCTTGAGAAAACAAATATAAATATTAATTTAACAATAAGTTAGATTAAGGTATATAATACTATTGTATGGTAGAATTGCTGCTAATTTTAGCAGTAACAGTACAATAATATTGTATCTTTGGATCGCTTTAAAAAAAAATATTTTAATATCTGCAACTTTTTAGGTTTGTCATAACTTTACATTACTCTGTCCAAATATATAAATGAGTTAAATAAAAAAAAGAGGGAAAAGAAATCATTAAAAAGAAACAAAAGAGAGCCTTTTGTAAAAAAAAGAAAAAGCTAAATACGGTTGATTTTGAAGTCAATTAAAAAATAAAGTTCATATTTACAAGTTATTGATGAATGTTACACAAATAGAATAATCATTATGACTCGCAAGAATTGTAAATAGGCCATACCATGAAAAATTAAATCTAGAATATTTGTCTTGTGATGTAAAAATTTAGCCATGGATTAGAATTCTTTAGTTGATTTCAAATTTATTGTTTTTTGATCTTCTTTTTTATTTTAGATCGAAATTTTCGTTTGTTTCATTGTAATTTATTCTATCATAATCCAATGGACAGCTATTGAATATCTATGTAATTGCATAAAGGTTTTGGATAAATAAGTCAAGGCTAGATTGGAATCTAGTATGTGTGTTTTAGCGAATTGTAGCGGATTTCAGATTCCATGTGTTTGATAATAAGAGTTTTTTTATTATTGAAGTTTCTATAAAGGATTGTTCTTACTTTTACAAAAAACGAAAAAATATTTTATGTTTCATTTTTTTTATGTTTTTTCCACTAGAGAAAGTTTTCCGGAGATTTGAAGAATTGAAAAATTTTTAACAAGAGCTGTTGAAAGAAATGTAACATGTTCGCATTACATAGAATGTTCTATAATGAAATAAATAGAACAATAAGATTTTAGCAGACACTAAACGATAAATTGTTGAGTAATAATCATTGAGAAGTCACCAAAAGTTGTTGAGTTTGTTTATTAAATATCTTACTGTTCGTAGAGGAAAATGGCTTAATGTTAACATATATAAAGCCAAGGATTTCATCATACATTATTTTTATCTTATTTACAATCTTTGTATATTATTATTTCTATATTGTATACAGAGAAAGAAAGTGAAAAACTTTATTATAATTTTGTATACTAAATCTGTTTAATATAATATTGAGAATGCTTACTATATATCCAATGAATACAGGCGCTCATTCTCAACACTGTGTATCTACACGAATCCAGTAAAAAAATAAAGCAAGCACTTACAACTCAATGATATGTACCATAAACATCAAAACTAGGAGCTCCAAATTCTATCAGTGTCAATTGTTGTCTCTGGACTATATATTGTATTCATAAGTTATAGAATATGTACTTTTTCATTTAACTACTAATTAAGTTATCCACTATTTTAGTTTGTTATGATATTTATTGTGAACTAACCAGGATTCAAGAAAAGAAGTCAATTAGGTCTTGAGAAATACTAATTAAGGTTTTATGATACTTACCAAAAAACTATCTTAGTTTGAATTTCAAATAATGTTCAGTAATATGAATGTCAACAATGATTTAATCTTTCAGTTTGGGAATTATATAATCTTTGAAATTATAGGTTATCTGGTTTGCCAGAAATTCACAGTGAACGGCCCAGATAGTAGTAGAAGATCTATCAGCAATATCACTTCTCCAAACAGACAGTAGAATATTATAAGATTTCCAATCATTTCTTACAAGTAAATATTTACTAACTAGTAAAGTGGGACTCTGTATATACAACCGTACAAGCACTTGGACATAACTTATAAGACATTGGTATTCCTGGCTATCACTCACGAGTAAATTAGATTTCGCTCACAATTAACTTAGATTTGTTTATGTTCTTTATAATTATGTTTATTTCTGATATATATAGCAGTGTGTGATAAATCTTCAGGGGAGAAGGGTGAATCCTGTTTGGGTTTTTTTAATCAAAATGTTTCTTTTGATTTTTTTTATTTTGAAAATTTTCTTTTTTGAAACTAAAATTTGGATTAAAACACGACTGGGAAAAAGGTAAGAATGGAATTGAAATTACACACAGATTTATCCAACTCTCGCATTTGGACAGATGCTAGATTGGTGACCTGGTTTGTGACAATTGAAACATAACTTATATTCTAAACATAAACGGTATAGGTCCTCTTTATCACGCTTAGAAGAAGTGTCATACGATGATTTTGTCTCAGTAGAATTGTGAGATCTTCCTCTTCTAAAAGCAGATGCATGAGCAGAATATGTAGAATAACCTCTACGATTACGGTAGGAGGTGCGGATAGCCATGCCAGTATCATCATTAGCCTCAACTGTGACTGGAGAAGAGTCAGATGAAACTTTACTTGTAATGTTCAGAAAAATAGGATCTATCAAACGGCGTTCACATCTACGAGCTAACTCTACAGCTTCATATAATGTAATTGGAATTTGCGAAATGACTACCTTTCTAGTGTCTGGTTTTAAGCCTTTAATAAAATAACGAACCAATTCTGGTTTACTTATGGCACCATCTGGTAACAGATCCTTATATTGGTAGAATTCTTTAATGTATCCATCAATGTTGTCGTGTTGGGACAGCAAACGAAGTTTACGACCAACATTGTTTGTATCTATTTGGGCACCAAAGTAGGCAGAAAAGTGGGATACGAAATTAGAATAAGATGTCGTATGAATATCGTGATCAACAACATATATATAGAACCATTGAGTAGCTTTACTACCAATATTGTCAAAGAAGATACAAATTTTGCGAAAATCATCTGTGACATTAAATAAACTAAACTTTAACTCTAAAGATAACAAAAATTCGCGTAAGGTAAAGACTGAACGAGTTGAACCTGTGAAAAGTTGAGCGACCTTTATGGCTTGAACGAAGATAGGATTGGTTGGGAATTCGGACATGATGGACAGATATTTTGGCGACGCTACCAGTTGTTATAGTTTGGACTTAGGACCAATTCTTTTAACAATACTATTGAACGAATAGTAAGGGCAATAACAAATATATAAGAATGTTATATATATCTAGGAAAGTTAAGGATTTATTGCCTGTTTTTTTTATTATGTTTATATACAACATATATATTATTTACGAAAAACCTGTTATGGAAGATGATCTTTTATCTCCAGAAAACGTTGTCCTTTTATATGTTTTCTGGAGTTCGATCAATTATTCAGATTTGTATATTAACGAGCTTAGTGATCCAAACCCTAAATTTTATTACATTAATCTAGGTGCACTAGTGGATTAGAACTGCACCCCAATTCTTTAATCATAGTAATTGTTATTATTCTATTCTACAACAAAAAATGTGGTTTAATCCTCTCGGTAGCCAAGTTGGTTTAAGGCGCAAGACTGTAAAGGGGATCTGGTATGGATCGTCGAGTAATCTTGAGATCGGGTGTTCGACTCACCCCCGGGAGATATTTTTACTACTTTTGTGACATGTGAAATTCTTGTGTAGAGTATAGTTTATGTACAACAGATGAAGACCCACTATGAGAGATATACTCTTCAAGAACTCTAAAATAGATAAGTGATTCTTGGTTGGGTGTCCATGTATGATACATCAACTTTACTCCACACTCAGGGAGTAACTAACGTACGCATATATACTTATGCTTATACTTATATAAATAAGAAAAACAAGAACGTCATTGTCGACTAAAGAGTTTTCAAGATTGTCCAGAGTGATATCAAGACAGTATATATCGCACAATTCTGTAACATATATGCAAGAAGTCATGAGCAATTGTATATATGGAAATATATACATTTTTTCTTAGAATATAAGATAAGATCAAATTATTTTTGATTCCTTTCCATCCGTAAGATATATAAATATAACTCTTTATTAGATGAAGTGCACACAGATAAGTATTACATATATAACTATGAAAAACAAGAATGTTTTGGGTATAGAGTTTGCAAGATCTTCTATTTTAATATTAGAACCATTTATAAAATAATACATCATATGGAGATAGGAAAGACTATTTTTTTTTTGGTCTTAACTTATTGTATAGTACATTTTACATACTTTGATAATATTTTCTTGAATATTGGATATTTAGTGTTGGATAAAATTATAACCTTTAAAAAGATATATATACTATTACTCATATTAATATAACTGTGTATATTAATAATAAACAAAGGTATATAATCTATTTGTTAAATTTTTGTCTACTGTATTCCCTGAACCTTTATTTTTTCGTAGGTATATAAAGAAAAATTTTAGTTTTACAAGTTCTTTTATAATAGCAACACCTTACATTAATGTTTTCCAAAAAATGTTGAATGATTTTTCAAGCAAAATGATTAGCATCAAGATAGATTCCATAAAATTTTTTCTTAACATTTTAAAAACCACATATTCAATTCTTAATTTTTTCTTTTATAACTGTTAAGTATTTGAGAACGTTCAGATTGATTTTTAAATATATTTAGCATAAGAAGATCACCAAATGCAAGTATAGTGAAATTGTTGTATAATTCACATAAAAAATACTAACTAGAATTAAAACTATGAAAAAATTTATAAACTAGTTTATCTAAGGTAAATAAATATTATATCTGCGATGGAAGATGTTTTGCTTTTACCTAATAACTGAGAAAATTAAATTGATTTTAATAAAAAAACTAAATTTAGAGTATTTATTTTACTTTCAATTTGTTAGGATATGGGGTTAACAAAAAATACGAAATATTATACATCAAAGTATTGCTATGTTGGTATAATATATCATATATGTGTGCTTCTATAGTTCTTTTTTATCTCTCATAACAATTTAATATTTTAAAACCTGACATTTAATATACTCAATAGATTAGATTAACCTATCATTATCATTTAACTTTGGAAAAATGAAATTTACATCATATTTACCATATTTCATAATAGAATAGCTATCTAATTTGTAAATTAAATTTATAAATATACTCTTTCATCTTTTCTAAATTACTTAATTCTATTATAATAAATCATTTTGTCTAATATTCCACACGATAATCCGTCCATAATCTTACAATTGTTACATAAGATCTACATTAATTATGTAAATTACCCAGCCTCCATAAATTTCTTTTCTTTTCAATAAAAATATAGCAGTTAAAACAAATTAACTAGCATTTGTTATTCAATCAGATTTTTTATATATGAAATTCATAATATATTGTGGTTTATTCAATCCCTTTGTTTAGTGACATTAATGCCAATTTCATTGAAGCATATTTTTCTGCTTAATAGAACCTTTTAAGTTTCATAGATAATTATTTTGTTTATTTATGAAATTGTAATGTAATACTTCTTATTCTCCTTATAATTGTTTATGTAGATTTATAATTTATGCAAAAGAAACTAAATATAGCATGGTATAAGGATTTCTCCTGAATTATGTCTAACACTATTATATTTTAGTGCCATTTTCCCACCATTATCAGAAGGTTGACTCCATGCAATAAATTGTTTATCTACAATCTTTCCAAAAATTGTGTTTTGCCTCGCAGCATTTAATAATTTTGTTGCAATTCCATTCAATCTTTGAGATTTGCAAACCCATATTCTCGATATACCTAATATAAACTGTGGTCTTGACTGTTGAACAATGACTTTGTTTTTATATATCATCCAACGTCCTCTATCCTTCTCTAACATTTCAATGGTAACAGCACCTACAGCTTTTCCATTCTTCACATAAATAAATGCTTTTCCTGTACCATTTTCTTGAGACCAAAAGGAATTTTCATCATGAGGTGCATTTAATTCATTATTTACTAGTGTCATGATATCTAATGTTGCATTAACTTCGGCACTATGATTTGGCCTTACCATAACAATCCTTTCATCATTGGTAAAACAACTATCTTGCGATAACAAAGGTGTTGACAATAATCCATCTACCGAATCCTCCACTAAATAAACTTGTTGTCCCCAATTAGTCGACCATTTTCTTCCATTTATCCTTAAATCATGAAACTTGTCATGCATCATAATATCTTCATGCGATTGATTGGAATATGTCATTCCACATTTTGTACATTCTATAACTTTATTTGGATTTTTACTTGGAAATGCTAATTTGGCTTGAAAAAATCTAGATTTGTTATTTATTTTAGCCCTGATACTTTTTCCATTTCCAGTTTTTTGTTTTCGATTTGTGTTTTTCTCCAACACCATAATTTGAATCTGTAAGGTGATAACAACTTCCTATTGGCCCTTTTTTGAATAATTTATTTTTTACCTCTATAGTGTATTATTGTATCATAATATTGATCGTTATTATTAGCATGTTGTTTCAAACAAAACAAAAACTGTGCCTACAGAAGCTTGGTCTTCATCTATACAAAACTAAAAAAAATATGATATAATGTATATATATCTATATATAAGTTACTACAATTTATCAAAAACCGTCCGAAATGTCTAATGGTCAAATTTTTGATATATATATATATATATATATATACATAATATAAAGATCATTATATTGAAGCAGTAATGGTTTTTTTTTTTGTAGAAATTGCACAAAGATCCGGCTTACTTATTTTTTTTTTTCCGAAAATTATATAATAATATTTTAGAAAATCTTCCTATCAGATGAGTCATTTAAAGATTATAATTGTTCGAAAAGATTACAAACTTTAACAATGTCAATTAACAAAGGAAAATATCTATATTGCAAGCAAAAAAATGAATTTTTGTTAGTAGTTGTTAAGAAAAAGAAAAACACTGATCTTTTCCAAGTAAGTAAATAGTTTATTTTATGGCTTTAGCTGTTTTTAACAAAGGAAAAGACTTGTTGTTGAATATAGTCGAGATATTGTGTATAAAAAGGCAAGAGTGGTAGAGAACAAGAAAAGCAAAGATGTATTCCCATCATTCACATTCAGGAAGTTACTGTCAACATGGAAGCAGTCCCTTAGAATCCATGATTGAACAGGCAGAAACTTTACAAATGAAATTATTTTGTTTAACTGAACATATACCAAGAAAGAATGCAAAATACTTGTATCCAGAAGAAAAAAACGATTCTACTGATACGGTTAACTTGACTAGATTGGAAGATGATTTCACCAATTTTGTGTTACATGCACAAAAAATCAAAAGGGAGAGATCTGATGGACCTACTAAATATATTATTGGTATGGAAATAGAAAGTTGTGACGATGATCAAATAATGTATACTAAGGAAATTATGAATAAATATGAAGGTATTATAAAATTTTGTGTGGGATCAGTACACCATGTCAATGGAATTCCTATTGATTTTGATTCAGATTTTTGGAATTTGGCTTTAAAATCATGTGATAATAATATAAAGACCTTTTTAATAACATACTTTAACGATCAGTATAAAATGTTACAGGTCATTCAACCTTTAATTGTGGGTCATTTTGATGTCTACAAACTTTTTTTACCAAAGGATTTAGAAATTGATTGTGAAAGTGGTGAAGTAGTTGATCGAAATGTCAAAGACCAGTCTTTATCCACGATTCGTAATACTAAAACAATAAAAGATATTCCGTCATTAATCAATCATTGGGATGAGGTGAAAGATGTGGTTGTTAGGAATCTAAAATTTATTAGTTCATATGGTGGTCTATTAGAGATAAATACATCTGCATTGCGTAAGAATCTAGAGGAACCATACCCAGGGAAGGATATTTGTGCTTTAGCAAAAGAGTATTCTGGATCGAAATTTGTACTTAGTGATGATTCGCATTCTGTATCTCAAGTAGCAACATGTTATCTTAAAGCATTACATTTTATTACGGATATTATTCAGTTAGAGAAGGTTTACTATTTGAATGAAACAGCTGCTGGACATTTGGAGATTTTACATAGGTCGATTGAAGAATTTAAGAATGACCCGTTCTGGTTAAATAAAAAATTAACTTAAACTTATATCAATCATTTGTATAGCTACAAACACAGATTTGAAACCATTTATACATACATATATATGTATATATATAATGTTTAAAGAAAATGATTTTATGACAAATGGAATTTAACCTCTGTCTTTGATTCGTTATTATTGAAGTACTGACGAAAGAACAAGAAGATACGGATAGAGAAATGTAGTCATTTACAATAAAAACAGAGTTTACTAATATTATTTTCTATTTAACCTAAAATTTAGTAGATAGTTATTGCTTACATCTGTGATAGTAGTAACTGCAATAATAATAGTTCCACAGATATAGAATTTATTCTACTAGTAGTTTGACATAAGAATCAAAATGATTTATAATACTTGATTTATTTCTTTTCTTCTTTTTTCACCCCGCCCATCGCCTTTATTATTGGTTCCTTATGTTTTTGTATTGTATTCTTTCCATCTATCTATCCACGTATCTATCTATCTATATATATATATAAATGTGCATATATATGTATATATATATATCATGTACTGGGTGACTGTAAAACAAAAAACAAAGGAAAAAAATAAAAAAATAGGTATCCCTTTTTTTCTTCCTTTCGTCCAGCTTTCCTTCCATTCAAGCGAAGCAAAACACAAAACACAAAACAATGAATGAAAACTGAAAAGTAAGAGGCCAAAAGCTGTTCGAGGTTTTGGTTATTGTAGTTGTTGTTTTGGCTCGAGGGTTGTTTGGACGTATTTTTCACATCCCATTGTTTTTCCGCCTTCCTCCTCCCCTTGTCTTACAATCGTTGTTACCCGTTAACACCACTGTACTTTGTTTCAACACAACCACTATTGATTGAACAAACGAATACATAGAAAAGCATATTTCCTCCCTCAACTGAATCTATTCAATGACAGTCTCCAGTCTCTTTTGCTTCTTTTTTATGGGTTCTGTTGATGTTCACCAATGTGCTAGTTTCTGTCCACATTGCTCCCCGAAACTCCGTGGAATGAGTACTTTCATTCCCTTTCTCATTTAATAAACCATTCTCCTTAACTTCTAATCATGGAGTGATAATATATATATATATCATTATCATCATCAGTATCTTCTTTCACATAACTTCTTGTAATGTTTTCTTGTTGTATTAAAGCACCTCTTCGAGTCTCATTTATTGTATCTTCATCCTCGCGCGTATTCTTCCCCAAATAAAAGAAAAGGTGACAATAAACAACAACCAAAAAAAAAAGAAAAGAAAAGAAGTTAAAAATTAATCTAGTACTATTACAAATGGTCAAGAAAAATTTAAAAAGTGTTCAACTGCAAGTCACTGTCGACTCCAGCCCGCAATTCCCACCTTCTACTACTACTCCAAAGGATATCTTAACTAAGGATGCTTTGGAATTCATCGTTCTTCTACACAGAACCTTTAACGAAAGACGTAAAGATCTACTAAACAAAAGACAGATCGTCCAAAATGGTTTGGATTCTGGCTCTTATAAATTCCATTTCCTTGAAGAGACCTCAAATATTAGAAATGACATCTCTTGGAAAGGCGCTATCCCAGCCCCTGGCCTGATCGACAGGTCCACGGAAATCACCGGCCCACCACTAAGAAACATGCTGATCAACGCACTGAACTCAGACGTCAAAACGTATATGACTGATTTCGAGGATTCCCTGGCTCCAACCTGGAACAACATCATCTATGGCCAAGTGAATCTCTTTGACGCCATCAGGAACCAAATTAATTTCGTTTCTTCAAAAGGTAAAGAGTACAGATTGAACAACGATATCTCTGCACTCCCAACTTTGATCGTCAGACCTCGTGGTTGGCATCTCGTGGAAAAACATTTGTTAGTCGATAATGAACCAATGAGTGCCTCAATTTTCGATTTTGGTCTATATTTTTTTCATAACGCCCACAAGTTGCTTGAAATCGGCAAAGGTCCATATTTCTATTTGCCCAAAATGGAACACCATCTTGAAGCTAAGTTATGGAACGATATCTTCTGTGTCGCACAAGACTACCTAAGCATCCCACGGGGCACCGTCAGAGCCACCGTTCTGATCGAAACTCTACCTGCCGCTTTCCAAATGGAGGAAATCATCTTCCAACTAAGAGACCACTCAAGTGGTTTGAACTGTGGCCGTTGGGATTACATCTTCTCTACCATCAAAAGATTAAGAAACTTACCCCAACATCTTTTACCGGATAGAGACCAAGTCACTATGACCTCCCCCTTTATGGACGCCTACGTCAGATTGTTGATTAACACATGCCATCGTAGAGGTGTCCACGCTATGGGTGGTATGGCTGCCCATATCCCCATCAAAGACAATCCTGAGGCTAATGAAATTGCGATGAGCAAAGTTCGTAACGACAAGTTGAGAGAACTGGCCAAGGGACATGACGGTTCTTGGATTGCCCACCCTGCTTTAGCCTCGATTTGTAACGATGTGTTCATCAACATGGGAACACCGAACCAAATCTATAACATCCCCGATCTTTCTGATTTTCGTTCAAGTGAATTAACCAACACTAACATCATTGACGGTAAAATCACCATTGATGGTATTAGACAAAATCTGGATATTGGATTGCAATACATGGAAGCTTGGTTAAGAGGCTCCGGCTGTGTTCCAATCAATAATTTAATGGAGGATGCTGCTACTGCAGAGGTGTCTCGTTGCCAATTATACCAATGGGTAAAACATGGTGCCACTTTAAGTGACACTGGCGAAAGAGTCACTGCTGAATTAACTTCCAAGATCTTAAATGAACAAGTGGCAAAATTGCAAGCCTCTAGTCCCGTTGGTGACAAGAATAAATTTGCTGTAGCAGCTAAGTATTTCTTACCTGAGATTATAGGTGAAAATTTTAGTGAATTCTTAACTTCTTTATTGTATGATGAAATTGTCACCATCACCTCAAACAGTAATGAATACATTTCTAGCTTAAATGAATCAAGCAAGTTATGAGATGTGAAAGATTATAACATGTTGGATGTTAGTATGTCTCAAGTTTATCCATTGATATATGTGTATATACATCTATATTTATATATTCTTTTAGTGCTTATTTTTTTTTTCTCTTTTAGTATTTATTTTAGCAACTTCTTCATCTGCCTGAACCAAAACTGATATAAACCCTCACAAAAACGTACACTACATCGCTTTATTGAAACTTAATATACATATTAAAGGGTATAATTCTTTAACTAATACACATATATATATACTTATTCATATTATGGCAAAAGAAAGACTTTCTGAACTATTTATTTGGATATAAAGTACAGAAAACAAAACCAAACTTTCCTCTACTTAACAAAAGTCTTTTTATTAGTTCCTCATAAAGTTCTGTTATTAGTTAAGAATAAACAAATAAACAGTCAAACATTATATTCATTAAACTATTATATACATACATACATATATATATATATATATTAAATAAACAAATTATGACAATAAATATAACGCTATCGGAGTATCATAAAACGTTAGAATATTATCAAAAATACTATTAAAATGTACCTAATATTATCAATTATATAATTCACTCTTCAAGAAGTCTTAAAAGAACAGCTTGTACAAGTTCTTTAGCATTATTATTTTCAAAAAATTCATGTTCACCGTCCACAATTTTCCATTCCTTAACTTTTGTAGAAATTTTTGTAAGTTGTCTTTGCCAATCTCCCCATAATGAGGATTTTTTAATCATCTCTTTTGAACTGACAACACTTAATTTAACATTTCTTATTTTTTCGTTAGATTGCAAAATATCTCTATAACTTAATAATGAACTTGTTAAAGTTTCTGCAAATTTTGTTCTTAAAAACTTACCTTCATGTATCATGTCTTTACCAACCAGTCTTTCGCTCGACCCACGACGTTTGATAAGCCATGAATAATGCGAATCTAACCCAATTGTTGACCAAAGTCCATGCCACCAAATCTTATAACCTTTCCTCTTCCCAATCTCTTTTTCAATAAGTCTAAGACTTAATTGACTATCACTAAGAGAACCTTTATCGTTCCCATCATCATCATCACGACCATCTCCAGGAAACAACCTTGAAAGATAGTTTTTCTTCAGAAGTTCTTCATGCCAAGATTCGATCAACATTAATCCAGAACATAACTCCCTATTATCACCCACAAAGGTTCTTGCAACAAGACCACCATAGTCATATCCAATGACTAAAAAGGGACCATTCAGTTTCATATCTTCCACTAATGCATACCTTAACGCTTCACTCGAATCCTTAAGAGACCAGGGCATAGAAACAGAATCGCTCAATCCGTATCCTACTCTATCATACATACAAATCCTTTCAACATGACCAAGAAGATATAACTCCTCAAGCCATCTACCAGATTTATAAGAAGTTTCTTCTCCACCATGCTCATAGATAATAATTGGTTGCGTTGAATCAACATTATCTAATCCATAACATCTTAAATGTATCGTTCTTCTATGATCTTGGCCAATAAAGAAATAACGATTAGGTTTATTCATGTTATGGGTGTCAATAGTGAAAAGCAATGTATTTAAAGTATTCAAAATTAGTAGAAGTAGCAGTATAATTTTGCATGCATTTCGAAAACCTATTATTAACCATTCCTTCATAGTATGTCTATTTTGATTAAAAATACCATTTAATTGATTAGCATAACCCTTTAACTTGTATGATTGTATTAAATTTAAGGCAAAAGTCAATATCAACCAACTAAAAACAGTCAATGTTAGACCACTCATCCTATATCTTGTATATTGAGTACTAGAAAGTATCAAAATATCAATTATGGGAACTACAAATAACAGGGTATTAATTTTACAATCTATTGTAGAAAGTAACCCAATATCAGTAAACCATACGTTAAAACAGTTCCCACTTAAAGCTATCACTAATAAAACAAAATTGTCAAACGACTCATTTCTACTAGATGGAGGAAACAATTCAACAAAAAACTCACTAACAAGAACACAAACAAGGAAAAGAATATTAATAAATATAACTAAGTGTAAAAACCACCTCCAATTACGCAAAAACAATAAATACTTTTGACGAGTCTCCACTCTTTCACTCTGCCCGGAATATTGCTCAGAATCTTCCTCTCTCTGGTTGATATTATTTCTTTCACCTAGTCTATTCTGTGACACACTATTATACGAATCAGAGGCTGGTATCTTAGTTCCCAGTTGTCTGTGCGATTTTCCAGGATGATTTATTTTTGAACTAGAAATTAGCGGTTCAGATTCATTTTCCAAGTTCGCATTTGTATCAACTTCTGGTGAATATCTTCTTGTATCCACCAAATTAGTTCCATGCACAGGAATTGCTTCATTTGGTGGCATTAGACCATTATCATAACCTCTTGAATTCATTGAATTTTATCTGCACTTTATTTGGAGTTTTCAACCTTTATATTTTAATAACTATACTATAAAAATAAAATATTTGGACCTTTTCGATGGATTTTCACCTATATCCATATGTCTTCAAAAATATTTACTCTCTAATTCTGTTACAAAACAAATTTTTAGTTAGTATAACCAACTTTACTCATGTGTCTGTCTTCCTATAGGAAGATGAGTCGTGCTCCCTTCAAAAAAAAAAGGCAACAGATATATAAAAAGTTGTACAAACACACATATATACAAATGCACATACATATAGACGTCTAATATAGGGATAAGAAACCAAAAGACGATAGTTATGTAAATTTATGAATACTAATGTTCATTAATATTATGCTGTCCTATTTTATACTGCATATAGATATATAGCTGGCTCATAAGCCAATTTTAAGATACCAGATGTGCGATTCTTCAATTATATTTACATATATATAAATATATATATACAATCATATATGCATGTATGTGTGTATGAACTTACTTGTTTATACATATATTTTTAAAAATAAGAAGTGTTTCTTATAATGTATACATATAATGAGTAATAAAAACCTATTCCATATCAGAAAGATTATAAATGCAAAAGTTGGTACTTTTCTACCTATTTATCGTAGTCAACCATTTTAAATTGGACAGAACCTTGTGATATTATATTTTTCCTATCGTCTAATTTCCCGGTACTGTTAATATCTTGCTTTTCTGTCGTCGGTATATTGTCGTTCAATGGCTGAGAATCTTCTTTATACTTACTTTTACCTCTACCCCTAATACCTTTATTAGAATTTTTATAAACAGATGCAAAATAATCTAATAATGTTTTTTCTTCTTCTGATATTGTTTGAGTAGAATCCAGATCTGCCATTCTTTTAGTCAAATACATTACTGTCTCTAAGTGAAATCTGTTTTGATGTGATTTCATGTTACCTAATTGAGTGAAAGATTTAAAGCAATTATCCAATTTACAAACATATGGCTTAACGTCTCTATGAATCACCCTATGTGCATCCAAATTACCCTTTCTAGCAAATTTCTTATGGCAAATATCACACTCATAAGGTTTTTCGCCTGTATGTAACCTTTGATGTGTTCTTAAATTGCCACCTTGAGTAAATCTTTTACCACACCAACTACATTCAAATGGTTTTTCTCCACGGTGTGATCTCATATGTACTTCCAAATGGGTCACTTGAATAAACTTCTTCTTACATATCGAACATTCATGTTGTTTAACACCGTTGACACCTATTGGTTTCTCCACACCACCAACTAAAGTAGCTCTATCTGGGATAACACCAGAATGCTCACTTAAGATCAACTCACCATCCTTTGTTGTGGTAATTTTTTCTGTAATACCATTCTTTCTAGCTTCAAGGATAAGCATCAACTGATCAATTTTTGTAGAACCTAATAATTGTCTTGGATCTTTATCATCCTTCGATACCGGCTTTGATAACTGCAAAGGTGATGAATGGATCTTAACAGAATTCTCCTGAACCAATGTATTTGTGTTTAAAATATTATCAGTTTTACCAATTAAAGCCTTTTTAGTTGTTGTTTTTGATTTTCTAACTTTTTTGATTGTATTATTATTATTACCATTCTCAGGGCTAAAATCTTTTCCATTCTTTATATTTTTATCATCACTGCTTTTTCCATGAATCTTACTCTTGTTTACTTGCTCATTCTTTTTCATATCATTTGAGAAGGATAAATCACTACTTAATTTAGGATCAGTTATAGAAATATTATTATTGTTATTGGTGGTAGTGGTGGTGGCAGTACCATTATTAAATGACTGAGTCAATACTTTGTTTGGATCATTTTCCCAAGTGTTTGATAAATCCATAACAGAAGAGACCCTTGATAGTCCAGACGGATACAAAGGTGCACTTTGTTGATGAAGGTATGGGTGAATATTTGACAATTGGCCTGTAGTGTGATTTACAGGTAAGATCTGTGATGGCAAAGTTGTTTGATGGTTGAAACTATTCATTGTACTGCTACCAATAGAATGAATACTATTATTTCTTTGGGTACTCATGTTTGAATTGTTAATAATATTAGATGGATGCGTTGTATTTGGCAGAGGCAGAGTAGGTACATCCATCGAAGTTCTAATTGAAGAATTTCTTGATCTACTAAAGATGAAATCATTAAAATCCTCTGGACCATTAGTGTACTTAATTGAATCACGCCTTGAATTATTTATAAACGGATCAAACTCAAAATTAGAAACTGTACTGGGTAATCTAGATAATATGCCACTAGAGTACATATTATTATTATTACTATTATTACCATTATTGGTATTATTTATGGTAGTACTAGCAGTTGTCGTAGATGTTGTTGTGTTTGTTGAAGACATACTAGTATTATTATTAGAATTGGCACTGTTTTCTGTGGTGGAAGCTGGTACAATTGTACTAACACTAGATGATTTAATTGTATTACTTGTTGATGGCAACATTGCAGGTGGTTTCATATTATATTGTGATAAATTCTTACTACCTAAGACATTGCCTGGCGGATGTGCAATACTAGGGTCACCAATAGAAGTATTTGTATTATTACTATTATTACTATTATTACTGTTGTTAATTGCATCATTCTTTTTACTTATTTGATAATTCGTGGTTGATCCAGATTGTTGAAAATAATCCAATTCATTATGAGTCCCCGTAATTGGATCGCTAGGGTTCAAATTTGTGTTTGAACTTGTAGGTGCAATTTGTGGAGAAGGTAAAGAAGAGTCCCTTGGTTCAATAAGAATCGAATCCCTCTTTTGAGAAGAACCTGCTAATGGTTGGAAAGAATAGCCGTTGCTAATATTAAAACCACTACTTGGAAGGGTAGTTGCAGTAGTTGTAGTTGTATTACCAGTTGAAATGGTAGTAGAAATGGATGCGGATCCAGAAGTAGATGGTGCTTTGGCAGTAGTGGTGGGCGTGCTTGCGTTAGAAACAATTCCTGTTGGGGTTGTTACCGTTGAAACAGAATTACTTCCTTGTTGATATAATAAGGGGTTGCTTACATTGATGCCGGCACCAATTGAATTAAAACTTTGAGATAAGGAAGGTAATTTCTTGGTATTATTAGAATTAGTCTTATTGTTAATCATATTTTTTGGTTTCGAATCTTCATTTGAATTTGAACTTAGATTAGTATTTGAATTTAGATTTTTATCTATATTAGTTGTATTTGTGTCTATGGTGTTTATAGTAGATTTCTCAGATTTTGTATCGGTTAAAAATGGTGTTAGGGAGGATTCTTGTGCTAAAGTGGGAGGAAGATGACTCAAAGTCATAAAATCACCGATGGATTCTCTTCTAAAACTATTGATATTATACCTATTGGAATCTATATTTCTTGGTGACATATATTAAGAAAGAAGGAGCTAATGTTTTAAAAAACTGATGATATAAAAAATTTTCTTTCTTGCTCTCTTATATTCCGTATAAAAAATTGTCACACCAATTTACAGATTGTTTGGTTCAGCTAAATTGATAAAAAAACAAAAAATAACAGCGAGTATAAGTAAGAGCAGTATTCACCTTGTATAGTAGTATCGTTCAATGCAATGTTTATTTACCCAATCAAGTTCCCATTCACTTTCCCAACTGATAAATTTGTTTCGATTCTTATCAACAAGAAAAAAGAAACGAAACAGAAAAAAATTTCTTTTTTTTTTGCTTTTTCTTCCAAAACGGCAAGTTGTCATGGAAACAGATTTTTATTTCCGGGTAATAGACTGAACAAACAACAAATTTTTTTTTTCTTTTCAATGTAGAAAGAACCAAATCCTCAGAGAAAATGAAATAACAAAACAAGATTTTAATAGATCCTGTGTCACTGTTCAAATGAATTGTTACAAACAAGACAGATTTGTTGAAGCTATTTGATTGAAGATATATTACCTATACATAACTGCAAAAAAAAAAAAAAAAGAAAAGAAAAGAAAACTACAAGTAAAAGTTATCGAGATACAAAACATAATTATTAAACAATGAGTAGTGGTGTTGTAGACAAAAAGAACAAAAAGGAAGATGAAGATGTTGTGATGGAAGGTGGTGAATCTACAGCTGGTTTGCCTTCACAAAACCAGCATGTTAAAACAGAAGAAGAAGAAGAAGAAGAAGAAGAAGAAGAACTAGATAAAGAAAAAATTAGAATTTTACCTCAAGCTACCTCAGAGGATGGTACATCTGCATCATTCCAGATTTCTAATGAAGATCATACATTAGGTAATGCTTTACGTTATATGATTATGAAGAATCCTGAAGTCGAGTTTTGTGGTTATTCTATACCACATCCATCTGAAGACTTTTTAAATCTTAGAATCCAAACATATGGTGATATCACTGCTGTTGATGCTTTAAAAAAAGGGTTGCAAGATTTAATGGATTTATGTGATGTTGTAGAAGAAAAATTCACACAAAGAATAAGAGAGATGTAAAATTATAAATAACGAATAATAACAATAACAACCGCAATGGCCATTGACTTGCTTTATACTAGGTAATAGCGAAGAAGACTTTTTACTTCATACACTGCAATTTCTCATGTACTATATAATACGTATAAATCATTATTAATACATACGATAATAATACCAAAAATATTGATCATATCATAAATATGCTACACTACACTGATGTATTACTATTTCATTCATTTGATTATGTTATTCAGTGTGGTGTACGGGCGATGAGCAAAGAAGAATTATATTTTTTCTTTTGTTTCTTTATTAAAAGAAAAAAAAAATATTCAAAAAAGAAAATTACTGCAACAAAAAAATAAAAGAAAAATTTTTTATTTGTTATTTTTTCATTATTTATATAAAGAGATACCATTGCTTGAAATTTGAAGCTTGGTGATTTTGGGTCTTCTTCAAGATTATTGAGTTTATTTAGTGTTTTCCTTTTTTTATTCTATTTTCTTGTTTCATTCATCATACAACACTTACGGTTTTATTACTGTGTATATTTATTGAAAAGTCAAGAATAAAACAACAATAAGCTATATATATACGTCCGTACATAAATATATACAGATTATAGATCGATATGACTTATCCTAGAAACCAACAATTTAACAGATCTAATTATAATCATCGTGGTGGTGATTTCCGTGGTGGTAGGGCCTCTGACGCTAATTCCTATAATCACCGTGGCAAGGGTTTCGGTGGTGGCCGTGGTGACTACAATTCTAGATCGTCCAATTTATCTAAACCACAAGAATTGGTAAAACCAAATTGGGACGTTGAATTACCAAACTTACCAACATTTGAAAAAAATTTCTATGTTGAACATGAGTCCGTTAGAAATAGATCAGACAAAGAAATCGAACAATTTAGAAAAGAAAATGAAATGACTGTATCCGGTTCTAATATTCCTAAACCAATTACATCCTTTGATGAAGCTGGATTCCCAGATTATGTGTTAAAAGAAGTTAAAGCTGAAGGTTTTGAAAAACCTACCGGTATTCAATGTCAAGGTTGGCCAATGGCTTTGTCTGGTAGAGATATGATCGGTATTGCTGCTACTGGGTCCGGTAAGACTCTATCCTACTGTTTACCAGGTATTGTTCATATTAATGCGCAACCTCTATTACAGCCAGGTGATGGTCCAATTGTTTTAGTCTTGGCTCCAACCAGAGAGTTAGCTGTTCAAATTCAAAAGGAATGTTCCAAATTTGGTCACAGTTCTCGTATCAGAAACACTTGTGTTTATGGTGGTGTTCCTCGTGGTCAACAAATAAGAGATTTACATCGTGGTGCTGAAATCGTAATTGCCACTCCAGGTAGATTAATCGATATGTTAGAATTAGGTAAGACTAATTTGAAGAGAGTTACCTATTTAGTTCTTGATGAAGCTGATAGAATGTTGGATATGGGGTTCGAGCCACAAATTAGAAAGATTGTCGACCAAATTAGGCCTGATAGACAAACTTTAATGTGGTCTGCTACCTGGCCAAAAGAAGTTAAGCAATTAGCTGCTGATTATTTGAGTAATCCAATCCAAGTTCAAATTGGATCTTTAGAGTTAGCTGCATCCCATAATATTACTCAATTAGTTGAAGTGGTTACTGATTTTGAAAAGAGAGATCGTCTAGTTAAGCATTTGGAGACTGCGTCACAAGATAAGGAATCTAAGATTTTAGTTTTTGCATCTACCAAGAGAACCTGTGACGATATTACCAAATATTTAAGAGAAGATGGTTGGCCAGCTTTAGCTATTCATGGTGATAAAGATCAAAGAGAGCGTGACTGGGTTTTGAACGAATTTAGATCCGGAAGATCTCCAATTATGGTTGCCACTGATGTTGCAGCTAGAGGTATTGGTATGTTAACTTTTTTTTTAATTTTTATGTGTGTTACTAACTTTTCTTTCATTTGTTTTTTCATCTCTATTAAGGACAATTTATTAAATGATAAAATGATAATATTCCAATTTTTAACAATGATTAACGATACAATTATGCACACTCTATGTTGGATACATATGATCCTGCCTAATTTTTTTTTTATTTTTTGTACAGTGAGGAAAATATGAATGAATATTATATATGACTATCATATAACTACTATGACTGAGGAGTACAACTCTGATGAGGTAGAATGCATTTGATGGAAAGATGTTGAATGACATGGTGAGTTTATTCTCAAGCATATCTATTTTTTGTTTTCATCTATTATTTTTATTTTTTGAACGGTGATATTAAAGGCAAATAATATGAGAATATTGTAAATTTATCAGACAAATAAATCATCATGTCGTATTACAGCAGGTTTCTTTTCAGGTAATGCATTTAAATATTAGAACTTGATATTGAAAGAAGTTGATTGTCGTTTGAAGCAAAATACAGGTGAATATGGCTTCTATTATTTTATTTGTTTTATGTGTTTTATATGGTGATAATATATCGAAGATTAATGCTGCGGGTGGAGAAAGAGAAAAGCAAAAAATAAATAGAATAATATTATCGAAACGACGATGATCTTTTCTTTAACCTCTATAGTAGTTTGAAATAATTGTAATTTCTGTTTATATTCATTCCTTATCTTTCTTTTTCCTGTTTTTTTTTTTTTATTTTTATTTTTATGTTATTTTATTATTGTTACTTGATTGCTGTTTCTTTGATCGACAATCTAAAATGGACAGTTAATAATAATAAAAGATTATTAAAAATAATAGGAGGGGGTAAGAATGAATATTTATTTTACAAAAATTAGTCTGTATAATATTTATCTTTATTTTTCGTAATAGAAATAAATATTTTTTCCCATCACTGTATAAATTATAGTATTGCTTCTGATTAAGAAGATATGGTAGAAGAGATTACAGTAGAATAGGCAAGAAATGTGTTCAACTATTTTTACATGAGAAAGATGATAAAAATGAAAGAAAAGTTGCAGTGAAACTATGATGTTTTTGTAAATTAATTTGGTTTATATAATAACATCATAAAAATCAATAAAAAAATACATGAGAGAAACTGAATATACTAACAAAATAAACTTTTCCTTCCAAATGTTCTAGGTAAGTTCTTTATTAATTTATTTTATTTGCATATTTATTGAATCAGATGTCAAAGGTATTAATTTCGTTATTAATTATGATATGCCAGGTAACATTGAAGATTATGTTCATAGAATTGGTAGAACTGGTAGAGCTGGTGCTAAAGGTACTGCTATTTCTTTCTTCACAGAAGAAAACAAATCACTTGGTGCTCCATTAATTTCTATCATGAGAGAAGCCAAACAAAATGTTCCAGAGGATTTATTGAAATATGATAGGAGACCAAGAGGTCCACATCCAAGATATGGTGGCCGTGGTTACAGTAATGGTGGTTATCGTAGAGGTAACTATGGTGGCCGTGGCGGTTATGGTGGTTATAGACAAAGAGATTCTGGTTGGGCTGGCAGACGTTAAATCTACAGAAAAGGAAAAGCTCAACATATATGTGTATATGTATTTATATATCTATCCAAAACCTGTATATTAGACTTTTTTCACTTATTTTATGATATAAATCATTTGTGTTGATAGAAAACAAAAAAAAAAAAACAAGAAAATAATGATGGTAACTTTATTATTATTAAAAGTATAAATTGATAGTAATCTTTATAACAAGACGTATGTTAAATCAAACAAATATATATAAAATAAATAAAGAAATAATATATAAGAAATAAATAATAGTTAAAGAAATATTGTAAACTGGTATTTATAATTAAATATAGGTCATGTAATGCATTATATTAGTTGAAATATGGATGTATATTTTGTATAGATGCTGTTGTTGTACATATACACATTGCAGCATAATGGAAATATTTTAATATGTGTATGTTGTTTCTGTGTGCTTTTCTTTTGTTTTTGTTTTTTGTTTTCAGAAAATATAAATGAAAGAGAGAAAAAAGTGCTTCGCTTGTTTAGTTATTTAAAACGTAGTAACCAATGATCAAACAAGCAATAGATAAGACCATAGCAAAAGTTGGACTACCTTCGGATTTTTTGACAGTTTCAGCTGGTTGAGTTTCCTTCTTAGACAAAGGTTTACTATTTGGATCCATGTCACCAATGTATTTACCTTTTAAGATTTTCATAGCATCATCAGAATGGCCAATATCTAAGAAACTTTCAGTAGCATCACCACCAGCATTTTCAAAAATGATTTCTTCACCACCTGGGTGTTCATCTAAGAAATTAGTTATATCGTAGACTTTGCCATCAATCACTATCCAAGCATCTTCAACTTTGTTATGTTTAGCAACTTCTTCATAAGTGTATAGAGTGACAGCCATTTTTCCTTTTTTTTTTGTGTATATCTAGGTTATTCTTTTTTTTATTTCTATTTATTAAATCCTTGTTTGTGGTTTCTTGATTCTTTGGTGTTGTGCTGTTGCAGGAAAAGGTTTACGTAATCTAAATCAGAACTACGGGACGCAAGAATACGTAGCAAGATCGAGACAGACAAGTTTAGGTAGTGTTTAAATATTAAGCGAACTCAAAATAAAGAAGCAAAAATTTTCACATTAGTTTTAAGTTTCTCGATTCTTTTCTTTTCTTTTTCCGTGTTTTTAGTTTTTTTTTTTCTTTTTTGCTTTCTTTCTTTATCCATAGATTTCGGACCGATACGATGAGGGAAGATATTATTACTATGGTCGAAGGTAACGGGAGAGAAAAAGACCAAAAAGATAGAGATGGAGACGGCCACACACATACACGCAGAGTATTACATACTCTGCCTCTCTCATTCATCATATACCCTTGTTTGAGAAGTAGTGTCATATCCACTATAATTAATGTTTGTAATTTTCTTTGTTTTTGCTCGACTTCGGGTTTTAACGGAGATTTCGAAAGAAAGGAGACAGAGAGAAAAGACGAAGAATAATAAAATTTCCCTCCCCCTCCATTTTTTTTTTTTTTTTTTTCAATTAGTAAAGTTAAATTCAGTCCGATTCAATTCGATTTTTTCTTTTCCCTTTTTCTTTATACGAGAGCACAGGAAGAAGAAATCCTCGACGAAAAATACAAGCAAAAGACACAAAGAAACAAACAAAAAAAAGAAAAAATAAAAAACGAAACAAGATCAAATATGAAAATAAACGGAGACAACAAAGACGAACAAATTGGCGGCTTTGGGGTTGTGAGAACAGGAATTCCGTTTAAATCCGGAAGGAGGGGAAGGGCGAAGGAATTCTTTAATCCACATTCCCTATATTATTATGCGAAATCATATACCAATCTACGTAATTGAAGTTTCTTCCTGTCATTTAAATCGCTATATTTTCTGTAGCAAAAGGACAAATGCATATACATACTTGTTTTTATTTTAGCAGGAAGTTAATTGCTCTGATCCTTTTTTTTTTCTTGTTGATAGGAGTGTTAAAAAACAAAAAAACAACAAAGATATTCTATATATACTTTGATATGTAATATACAGCTCCGCAATAAATAAATATCGGTCTATTCTATGGATCTTCAATAATACATTTGTAAGAAATACAACATGTAAACCATCTACTAGTAAATAAGAACAAACGCAAGCATGTGTGTGAAAAGGAAAAAAAAACGAAACAATCACTAGGTTTTAAGTTTTATCAAATATTTTACAATATACAACATATACAATATGGAAAGGTTAACAATATTTGTTTTTTTTTCTTATTTTAATTCTAATTTACCCTTATTTTTTCGATAATGTGCACTTCTTTTTTTTTTTACCATTTGAAATCAATTCCAGATTTCTCTAATTTATCCATTCTTTCTTTATGTCTGATATCAGATGCCTCTTCAATCTCCTTTTTACTCTTTTTATATTTATTTTCATTAAATGATCTCTTCTTGTATTTATAAAGTTTTTCGATTTTTGACCCCTTCTCCATTAGACGAACCTGTAATAAATGTCCCATCAACAAATAATTATTCATAGTCTCTTGTGCAATCTTGGCATCATCTTTATTAGCGAATTCTATGAACCCATAATGTCTCGAATTGCCTGTCTTCTTATTTCTAGCTAATCTAACTTCTTTCAAATCCCCGAATTGGGAGAAATATTTACTTAATTCCTTCTCATAGAAACCATTTGGCAATCTACTAACATAAATGATTGAGGAATATTCATTTGTATTCTTTTTGCCCTTACCATTCAAATTGTTTTCTTGTGCTTCATCTTTATTTTTTTTTTTTTTCTTGCTTGGATCTAGTTTCTTAATTGTATGTTGTTGTGCATTGACTTCTTCTTCTAAATCAGATAACCCTTCCATTATTTCATCTTCTGAAGATGAAGATGACGATGAAAATGATTCATTATCACTTTCTTCTACTTTTTGTACAGGGGTTTTTTCTTCTTTTTCTTGTTTTTTGATATTGGTCAATTTTACCATTTTGCTCTTATTCTTGTAACTATTCAGTCTCTGGCTTATTCAATTATTGTGAACAATTTGATCTGTATCTATATAAAAATACACTGTTTTTAATTGTTATAGTGTATAATGCACATTTAACTTCAGTAGCATTTTCTTTTTCTGTGAGTATTTACCTCATCGCTAAATTTTTTATCTTTAAGTCTTTTACAAATTAAAAAAAAAAAAAATTTTCTTTACTTTTCAATCGTGATCTACGAACATACTTTCAACTATGCCATAAATGTGTATACATAATCTAATAAAACAGAAATACCGTTTATCTATAATGCCTATACATATATATGTATATAATTGCTTCTAATATATCCAACTGCCTTATATCAATTTCCTATTCAAGCTTACTTTTAACCTCAGCATTTGACATCTCTATGTTGTTATGTTTTCTTGATTTTATATCAGCATCTGACCCAGCTTCCCACCTATTCTTGAAATTCCAATTCATTTCTTCACCTTTGGACAAAAATGAAGTATTTCCATTCATTACTAATTTCCATTCACTAGAATAAAAATCTTCACTTCCACCATCTTTAATCAGATCATATCTATCTAGTGAACAACTACCATTTCTGATCATAGTTCCCTTTTCATCAATTCCCATTCTTGCATTAGGAAATTTCAATAGATTCATCCCTAAAGCTGCTTTGGTGGCTGCATGAGTTACAAGTATGATACTTTCAACCTTAGGAAACTTCTTCTCTACATTTTTCATAAAAATTGGCCAGAATTCTTTACATCGATTAAAAATATCCTCTTCTGTTTCACCTTGCAAACTTGGCATTTTACTGTCTTCCCATCCTTCAGATATCAGACCAGGGAAAAATTTGCTGATTAGTGTATTATTTGCTGGTATGGGGATTACGTCTCTATCCGGTTTAAACCATTCACCTAATCCTCTGTCGACGTATAATTCTATGTTTAGTGCCTTTACTGTAGGTTCGATTGTCTGTAAACAACGATAGAATGGTGATGTGAAGGCAACATTCGGTTTGATTGCTAGAGTCTCAATGTATTTACATAGTTCTTCTGCTTGCTCCAAACCATGGGCTGCTAATGGAACATCATTTTCAATACCTGTTGGTGGTTCCGGGTAAGGACCAGTTGGCAGCCAGTTGGACCTATAGCCATGTCTTGCAATATAAATGGTTTTGACGGTCATGCTGTGGTTGTTTGTTATATTCTAATAGCTGTACCTCTTCTACTTTCGTATACAGCTCTTTTGGCTTTCTTTCATATGCACTCACTTTACTGAGAAATTGTTTTGTTAAATATAATAAATTCCATTATCCAAATATTTCACAGCTCGAAGGGTTTTAGAAAAAGAAATAAAAATAAATATTCAAAAGAAAGTAAAAAAATAAAAAAAAAAAAAAATAAGAACATCCCTTATGACTCAAATAAGACTAAAAAACAGCATGATGTAAATTTTATTCATGTAAGACAACTCCATGCTACGCAAATATATCTTTTGAAATATTGAATTTTTAATAAAATAAAATTGTATCATTTAAATTTCTATCCATATATACTAACATGTCTAAAGGAAGAAAAAAATAAACGAGAAGAACAAAGAAATACTTATTTCTCGATATTTATCTTCTTGAGTGATGCCTTTTTGGTAGGAACAGGTGGTGCTAATTTTATTTTCCCCTTCACTAATAGTGGCTCAGATGAAGAAAGCTGTAATACTTCTTGTTGTATATCTTTTGTAGGTGGGTTAGTTGATCTAACTTTTCTTGGTGACGATGAATCTACAACCATTTCCAACATTGATGATAATTCATCATCTGAATCATCTATTGCATGGCCCAACAATAATGAATCTTCATATTCAAATGTATCATCCGATGAATTATCAGGTATTGAAGAAGTAATTTTACGACTTGGAGGTAATGAAGGCAGTGGTTTTTTAACTCTATCATTAGAAGTGGTAGATGTAGAAGATTGATTATTCAAGGGTTTCAATTCTACTGGGTCTCTAGTTGATCCTATGTTTGTGGTACTTTTAATAGACTTAGAAGCTCTTGATAAGGGTGGTGGTGGTGACACCATGGAGTTAGTTGTTGACAATGATTCATTCGAATTACTTATCATATTTTTGTTTAAATTTGATTTACAGTTAGGAGCAAAAAAATCAGCACTTATATGTTTTCCTAAGGCAAGTCCATCTTTCATTTGATTATTCGAAGCTTTAACTTTCTTATTCAAGAAAATATCTGATCTAGGGGTTAATCCAACTAAGGATATATCCTTACTCTCATTTATACCTTGTGGTATTTGTATGTTTTTGTGAATATTTTTCTTTTGATTTTTATAGTCTATTTGCAATTGGTTGATTAAGGATAATTTCTTCGTATCATTTATAAAGGCAATATTGACCCTATATGCTGCAAACACAGGTCTGTGATCACTTAACTTTAATGGCGCATCTGAGTAAGCTAATGGATGAAGATTTGATCCTCTATATATGATTCTATCTGTCCAAGAAGGTGTTCTCGCTTTTTCTGAGGTATCATATAGATCTGTCCCAACATCATACTTGTAAGTTGGGTGGAATTGTAAAGTTGGTTCACAAAAATTCGGAAATATTTGTCCTGCATTCAATACTTGTGTTAACTGATCATATCTTAACAATGATTCAATATAGTTAGGTTGCTGTTCAGATAGCTTTTTTCTAACATTAAAATTATCTAAGTCTATCCTATAGTTAAAATCACCAAGCCAAAAAATAGAGTCATGTTGATCAATAGTTCTCCCACCAGTGAAGGAAATATTCTTACTGATAGACAGATAATCATTGGCTCTTTCTTCAATATTGTTTGCCCCTGCAGATAAGTGGGCATTAACAAAACAAAATGAAGTATCAGAATAATTGAATCTAATTGCAACTGCACCTTTGTTTCCTGTCATACCTTTAAACCCAGTTTTCTTTGTTGAGCCTTCGACTTGTTTCACATGATTCATTTTATCTTCTTTAACAAATAAAAGAATAATTAATGATGCCATTTGTTCAGCCCTGAGTAAAACATAGTTTTCTTCATATTTGTTTAAGCAATCCATCACAAGGTTTTCCCAAAGTGAATTTTTAGAATAATCGACATTCAAAATGGAGCTTGCTGTCAACTCGATCACTTCTTGTAAACCTAACACTACGATATCTGGTTTAAATTTATCACCGATTGGAAATAGCCACTCTGATAAATCTGCATGTTTATTACTTCTGCCCCCAACATTATAAGTACCGACAAATAGATTCATGTTAGAGAACGTTGTAAATTCTTCAGAAAATTTATTTAATTCTTCTGTTATATATGTATTCTCCGGATCAAATATTTCTACTGGTCGTTGATAAGATAATTTACCTAATAACCCATCAATATTCTGCTGTTTACCCTTATCAACAAAATTATTTAAATACAATCTACTAACTGACTTTGTAGCATCTGATATAGCCCCTGCTAGTGACATCTTTCCCTTTCTTGTAAAAGAGGATTTTAGGGCATTAGTACCTGTATATATTTGAGAGATTTGATCTCCATGATCTGCCCAAAGAATATTATGTTTTTTTATATATTCAGAGTTATCGCTAATTCTACTTTGCGAAACAATGTTAAAATCTGTAAGAAATAATTTTAAAATCTCATATGACAATAATTGTTGGACTAGATTTGTTCTGTCTAAACAATCTAAACAATTTGTTCTAAAGCATCCACTTTGTTTTGAAATTATTTTATTTTCTCTTACATCAAACGAAAAGTATCCGTTATTTAATATAGATGTTTTTATAATTGGAATTAATTTTCTTGCTGCCAAAAAACCATCTTGGGATGTTTCTCTATGAAAATCAAATTCTGTAAGAAGAACTTGTTTATCTAATTTAACACTTTTAGATACAGATAGCTGCCTCCTGTATCTTTTAGTCAATTCAAACTCAGAAGGTTTATCTGATAAGAGGTTAACAATATGTATAGTACCATATTTAGCTGCTAAGTCTTGAAAATGTAAATCAAAAGCACCACGAGTAGCTTCTACTGATCTGGTTATTTGAATTTTTGGATTAATTAATGATGCATCCTGTTCCCAAAACAATGGAACACTACCTCTTACTTGTGTGTATGAATAACCATATTCATTCGAATACAAAATAAATTCATTTTCAACAAAATTTGCCACGTGTCCATCGTCATCTATGCCACGTACGTTATATCGTGTACCTGCTCTTTTCCAACTTTGTTTAGATATTATGGTCATTGAAACTTTCCAATCTTGAATATAAGTTATTACTGTCTCTGCAAAGCCTCTTATAATAGTAGTTAAAAATCTATTTTTATCTAAAATTCTCTGTGTAGATTTATCAGCCCTGTCTCTATAGAGCATTATTTCCCTTAACATAAAATTATTCCACATAAATTCTTCTCTACAACATTCGGTGGAACTAATATTATCAGTGCCCGTTTCATTATCCACATGCTTCTTTTTACTATTAATCAATCCTCGGTCTTGTAATATTGATGTTATATCGAAATCTGCACTATAAAAAAATGAACCATTAGATAACAATTTTTTGTATTGATAACAGGGGTGTTGTTGCAGTGGTATAGAATTAGAATAAGCTGACCTGTCTAAATCATAACCTTCAATATTGGTTTTATAGGTGTCATTATCACTTTCATTGCCATGGTTGTTGAATTGTTGGTCTAATGGTCTTCCCTGTGAATCCAAATCTATAAAATCCCATCTAGAATCCGTTAGACAATGAAAATCAACAGCATAGATTTTATTTACTGTTTCTCCAGGTATAGGCGATGCCACTTTTGAGGCACCTGTTATTGTACCAATAAAAATATTGTTGTCAACTTCAATCAATCCAATAAACCCAAATATTTCACGATACGTTAATCTCTTGTACCCTTGATTTTTCAATTCCTCTCTTGGCACCAAAGTCAATGAACATGATTTTGATCTGGTGTCAAAACCGTTTATAGCTTGGAAAATCAATGCATGTGATTCGGATACTAATGCAATTCTTTTATCTTCTGAATGTCTATTCGATACATATAACCTCATTTAGGGAAAGATGAAAATAGATGTCGATGAAACAAAAATTAAATAGGAATTAGAAGCTAGTTTCTTCTCAATGTGGTGTTTTGTAAATCACTCAAGGCGTTTGGACGATTGTGATAATAGAGATAAGAACAATTAAATGAGTGTAGAAAGTATCTTTCAAAGTAAGTCTGAGTATTGTATATACGTACTTTGTCACCTAATGTAAAACTTTTGTGTAGCAGACTTCTTCACTCTTCCTATTTGTTTTCTTTATTTTTAAAGATATTATGAATCATGGTTAAAAAAGAAAATGGAAGGATTTTTGTAAAATAGTAAAAAAATCACAAGAGATCTTACCAAATCAGAAAATTGTCGCAGATATGAAAAAAAAGGAGTCAAAGGCAGTTGCAGAAAGTGGGAAGAAGGTATAGAGAGGGTATAATAAAAAGTAAACAGGATAAAACGCAGGTATTCATACCATAAATACGTAAACGTGATGATTATTTTTGATGAATGGATTGATAGTGGTACATAAAATTTTAATATCTTCTTTTTCTAATAATTGTCTTTTTTTTCTTCTATTTCTTTTATTTTGAGATATGTATAAGTATAAGTATATATATATATATATGTATGTATGTATGTATGTGTGTATATGTATAAGGATATGAATAATAGTGTATTTATTATTACTTAGTTAAAGGAAGATGGGATAGAGACTTCGCCGGATTTAATTGCGTTGTTAATAGAGGAGAAAATAGCTCTTACGGATGCATCAGAGACATCCTCAGCAACACCGATACCCCATTGGTAGCACTTCTCGTTATCAGATTCACGTTTGTAAGTTAGATTGACGTAAGAAGCGGCTTGAGTGGAGGAACCAGAACCTAAGGCATGTTCAGTGTAATTGGAGACAGCGAACCTGCAGTTCAATAATTTGGAGACAGCATCAACTAGGGACGAAATTGGACCATTACCAGTACCTTTTATAGCATGTTCTTTACCATTAATTTTAACTTTACCGGTTAAGATTCTGCGTTCGTTTCCATGTTTAACGACATCATAGTCGATCAGTTTAATAGTGTTGGCATACTCGTTGTTGTAGTTGTAATGTTCTCTTAGGACGTTTGTAATTTCTTCGGCCTTTAATTCTCTGCCTAGCTTATCAGCATTGCTTTGAACGACGTTGGAGAATTCGATTTGCATTGGTCTTGGAAGATCTAGACCAAGAGATCTCAAAATGACCCAAGCAGCACCACCTTTACCGGATTGAGAGTTGACTCTAATGACAGCTTCATAGTCTCTGCCGATATCCTTTGGATCCAATGGTAAGTAAGGCATTCTCCAGAAATCGTTTGAGACACCATTAGCTTTATTCTTTTCACGTAATGCGAAACCTTTCTTGATAGCGTCTTGGTGTGAACCAGAGAAAGCGGAAACCACTAGATCACCACCGTATGGAGCTCTCTGTGGTACAGGGATTTTATTACAACGTTCCACGACCTCTTTGATTGTGGTCATATCGGAGAAATCCAGTTTTGGAGAGACCCCCTGGGTGTACATATTTAGGGCAACGGTGACGATATCTACGTTACCCGTACGTTCACCATTGCCAAAGATACAACCTTCGACACGGTCTGCACCAGCCAATAAACCTAGTTCGGTGGCTGCTACAGCACAGCCTCTGTCGTTATGGGTGTGCGTTGAGATGCAAACTTTTTCACGTTCAGTGATATTGTTGGCGAAATATTCGATTTGATCAGCATAGACGTTTGGAGTGGCCACTTCCACGGTGGCAGGTAAATTGAAAATGATTGGGTTATCCACGGTAGGTTCCCAAGCGGCCTTGACGGCTTCACAAATTTTGACTGCGAAATCTGTTGGTGTATCACTGAAACATTCTGGAGAGAACTCGTAGGACCAGATAGTAGACTGTTGGTTAGGATCGTCCTTGGTTAACTTTCTGACAAGCTTGGTTGCCTCAACAGCTTTTTCAATGGCTTCCTCCTGTGACATGTTGAAGACTATTTCTCTGAACATGTCGCTTGTGGCCAAGTATGTGTGAATGGTGGCTCTCTTGGCACCACTCAAGGCTTCTACCGTTCTTCTAATCAGATGTTCACGTGACTGTACCAGTGCTTGGATGGTGACATCGTCTGGAGCGTTTTCCACAGCGTACCGTGTGAAATCGAAGTCGGTTTGTGAGGCAGAGGGGAAGGCCACTTCTATTTCTTTGAAGCCCATGGAGATCAGTTTATGGAAATACTCTTTCTTTTGTTCTACAGACATTGGGTCAGGCAGAGACTGGTTACCGTCTCTTAGATCTGTGGAAAGCCAACGGGGCGGTTTAGTGATTCTGTTGTTTGGCCATTTTCTGTTTTGGATGTTTGGAGATATGAAAGGTTTATATTTTTTGGATGGGTCTTTTAACATGTTTTTGAAGGATGGTTTGAAAGGAGGGATGGATCTTGAGGATCTTGTGAGATGCTCTGCTAGAGCGATGATAGTTTGCTTTACCATAGTTTTTTATGTTATGTTATATTATATTGTGTTGTGTTGTGTTATGTTAGGTTATGTAAGATCTGATATGAGATGTGATAATGCAACGAAAATATTTCAGTTTGTTTATATGTTATGCTATGTTATGCTGAGCTATGTTATGTTATATTTTATTATTATTATTATTATTATTATTATTATTATTATTATTATTATTATTATTATTATTTATTTCATAGAGGGAAGTAAGCTTAATAAAAGGTGAATAAGAAAAAAAGAAAAAAGAAAAAAGCAGGAACCTGCTCGAGGGAAGAAAGTTAAGAGAGAAGAAATGGAACGAAAGACATAATCTAGATATATATGTTTTAACTTTTTATAATCTTGAAAGACAAAGAGAAGGGAAAGAGAGGAAAAAAGATTATGTGATAGTAATAGTAATAGTAGTAGTAGTAGTAATAGTAGTAAAAGTAATTGAAGACAAAGATTTGATTTCAAGAACAAGTGAGTCATACAGGCCGGCACAGGGATAATTAGAAATTCTACTAAGAAAGATGGAGAGAACGACTATATAGAATGCGGATGCGGATGTGGAGTGGACACCGAAGAAATAAAAAAAGATAAAATAAAAAAAAGATTTGTTGTTGTTTTCTGTTTGGATTTTAACTCCGTCTCTTGCTGGCTTTGAGGAACACTGGACTTTGGTTTTGAATTGTGAGAGATTTGTGACTGACTCATCCATCCATCCATCGATCCGGTGGTTGGGGAGGGTAACGCGACTTCCTTTCTCCTTGTTTTGCGGTCAGACAAAGAATAAATGTAATATATGCGAGATAGAATGACGTATCTTCGGCAACCAAAAGAGAGAAAGAGTAGGAAAAAAAATAAAACAAAAAAAGAAAGTCTTCCTTCCGGTACCGCTCAAGCAAAAACAAAACAAGGATTAAAGGACTAAAAGGCAACAACGAAAAATATTACCCTGTGGCTGTTGTTGCACCCACACACCCACGTCATCTATATAATATTTTCTTGTTGAGTAAAATAGAAGGGAGAAAAGGGGAGAAGCCACTATCTCCATTGTCATCGCCACCGCCATCGCCGTTGCTGTGATTTGTGATTTATGATTCGTTGGTCCGTGTTGTTCACGGGAAATTTCTTTTTTCTTTTTTCTTTTTTCTTTTTTATTTCTCCTTTTTTCACACAGTTTGTTTTATTTTCTTGTTTTTATTCTTTTTTTTTTTTTTTATCACCTGTTAAATATTGAAAGTGTGTGTGTTTTGTGATCAACTTTACTGAAAACTGTGTAAAAACTTGTATACAACAACTGTGTACATTCTGTTTGTTTATATTATGTGTTTTGACATCGGCCTTCTTTTTTTTTTTTTTTTTTTATTTACTAGTCCTAATGCATTATATTTTGTCACATTTGGATTATAAACAGATTTATCCTTCAAGCTATTAATTTAATAATATATTAAGATCAGTGGAATAATAAAAATAAAAATAAAAGATATACAGAAAGAGCACGAGAGTGAAAATAAAAGTGACAAAGATCTTTAGATTTGATATTGTTACATCACATTAGGCAAACCAATTCGTATTAATACTATCTATTCAATCAATTAAATTTAATCCTTGTCGATTATACATACATTTCCCTTTTTTTTTTTTCTTTTGTGTTTTTTTTTTTTGGGTCTTTCGTTTCGTTTCGTTTTGTTTTGTTTTGTTTTGATTAAAATATGAGTCAGGATTATAGGAAAAATTATGTTTCTTTATATGGTAACTCTGATGATGAGGAGGAGGATGGGGTAGATGATCATATTCATGGTAATAAACTGGATTTAGTAGATAAATTAAAATTTAATATCAATACAGATACAGATACAGATACTAATACTAATACTAATAATAATAGTGTTAAAGATATCCATGATAAAGATAAAAATAGAAATAAGAATAAGGATAAATCTATCTTATCAATGAATAATAATAATAATAATAATAATAATAATAATAATGACTTTACTTCAAATATTTTATTAGAACAATTAGCATACGTCGATAATTTCTTACCAAACGTTAATCATGATTTTATGAATTTAAATAGTTGGATACTAAATGAAAATAATCAAAGAAATACTCATATAAAGTTTGATAATAATGGTAATAGTAATAATGATATATCTGATAATTTTAATACTAATAATACTTCCTCACCATCCTCTATCTTTATTAATAACCCATTTATGTTGGATGAACAGTTGGCTGCTGAATTAAGTGCTTTTGCCGATGATGTCTTTATATTTCCTGATGAAGATAAACCAAAATTAAATAACAATAATAATAATAACGGTGATAGTGATGATGATAAGATTAATAATATTAATAGTGCTAATATAAATGAAAATATTCAAAATAACATTAATAGTAATAGTAGTAGTAGTAGTAAGAATTATAATAATAATAATAATAATAATAATAATAATAATAATAATAATAATAATAATAATAATAATAAAAATTCTCATTATTTATCACAGAGAAGAAATACGTTTCTAACTTCACAGTATGATTATTCTAAATCAAGGTGCTCTTCGAAAAAGGATAATAAGTTAATATCAAATAATAGTAATAATAGTAGTAGTAATAATAACAGTAATAATAACAATACAGACATTGAAGTATCTACATTTTCTCCAGAAGTTACTTCTACTACAGTTAATCAGCATACCGATAATAATGCTAATATAACAAATACTCAGCATATTGCAAGTACTAGTAACCTTACAAATCAAATTTCTTCAACCTCTGTACCTTTATCAATAACAGAAAAAAAAAAAGAAACAGAAATAGAAATAGAAATAGAAACAACAACAACAATAAATGATAATAATAATAATAATAATAATAATAATAATAATAATAATAATAATAATAATAATAATAATAATAATAATACAATTTCACAAATTCAAGTGCCTGACTATTCTAAAATGTCTACTGAATTTTTGGTCACATTATTGCCTCGTGTAACAATACCACAATCTGTGAATGATTTATTAATTAAATCTGGACTTACTAATGATCAAATTATCTCTTTATCTGCAATTATGGCGTATCATCAACAACATTTTAACAACAGTAATAGATTTCCAGTTAAAAATTATGATAGGACAAAACTGCTAAATAAAATAAATCAATTGCATGATACAAATCCAATTAAATCATGCTCTATTATACTGTTACATTTGGCAGACAGCATCAAATCACAAAATAATAAACATGTATCCAATTTGAAAGATGCTCGTAGTCATTCCAGTAAAGATGAAATTATGTCATTAATCGAAGCAAGTAATAAGGAGGTTAATGAACTAAAAGCTAAATTGGACAAAAAAATTATCAAGACTCAGAAGCTAAAACAGGAAATGAATAATTTAACAGAAAAAAATGTTGTGGATCATTCTATCGATAGTAATTATCTTCCTAACAATAACGTATATATTCCAGATTTTAAACCATTATTCCATAATCTTGATCATAATAGAACCACTCAAACTGATGTCCTCACTACCAGCAAATCACAGAATAATAAGAAAAGATCATCACCTCAGCTAGGTATTGCTCATAATGAGAGCGATGACAATAAATTATCTCAAATAGATTCTAACAAAAAGCAAAAAAAGCAAAAAGAATTGGAGAATACCATTCAGCAATTGGGTAATTTAGCAAATTCACTACAAAGTAGAATCCAATCATTAGAATCAGAGAACGAGCTGCTAAAAGAATTTTTAATAAGTTTCACTGGTGAGATTGGTGGCGCTGAAAAGATGGAGTCAATTAAACAAAAACTCCTGAAAAAAATTCAAAAGGATTAATTTATATGCTTTCTTTTTTTTCTGTTATATTCTTTTATAATCTTAGGCTTATAGATTTTATATGAAAATAAATAATATTTCAAATTCTTTCTGGGAACAAATAAATTGTTATGTTGGATTTAATTGTGAATAACAGATAAATAAAAATGTTTACTTATTCAGCATTGATTGTAAAATTGCAATTTACCTGTTAGGACTATTTATTGTAGTAGATGTTGAGAGGAATATTACGTTGGTAAAAAATGAATGAAACAAAACGAATTATGTGTAGCAATTCTTAATAGGAGGGATTTTAACAATATTAGTATATATATATGTATATATATGCATATCAATAATATAAAGCAATAACAAAAAAAAGAAATTTTTCAGTCATATAATACTACAGTATGTAATAATGGGGCATATTTTTTTCTTTTGTATTATGTAAGAGTTGTTGTATGTAAAGGGATGAATCATATCAATTAGTATAAGCATAAACACTCTTACGTAAGCTCTATATATCACTAATTAATAACCCTGGTGTAGTATTATTACTTCTTGTTGTTGTTCTTGTGTGACATTAAGAAGTAACTCTTAATATCATTACTAAGATGTATTTAAATAAGATGATTACCCCTGGCATATCTCTCAATAATCAAAGGCCTCTTGATAAGATTTGATATAATTACCACTCCCTGGAAATTCTCCAATCAGATTTAATACCTTATACGAGCCACTGCGCACATGGCTGTACCAATCCTCCATCCAGACACTTAGGTGTTACCCTCGGAATTGCGTATCTATTGGATTTTCAGTTAGGTTCCTTACACTGTATTTCCTATACCAGTTTTTTATATATTTTTGAAAAAGGCCTGTATTTGAAAAAAATATATATCATCATTTTGCATTCATGTTTTACTAAAAATCTTTTTCAAAAATATATAAATAAAGTTTAGTGTAAGGAGCCTTAACTGGAAATCCTGAAATACGTAGTCTGCGGGTAACGCCTAATGTCGAGGCGAAGGACTTGGAACAACCGAAACTCTGGGCTCAAGGTTCTGAGTGTATTCGAACGAACATATGATCATCGGATGGACATTGGTGGCAAATTATTAAGAAGCTTACTTAAGAGACCCTTGATTATTGAGAGATAGTGCCAGAGATAATTATCAGCATTAATATTCATAATCTATCTAATAGGTTAAGAAGAACAAGACAAATATCCAAGACTAATCTATTTAATAGTTAGAATTAACCAATTATATAATTTATAAGTGTTTATATATATGATTAATATCCATATTTTAGTATATTACTCGAGATAACCCTTACATTTGGTAATAGTCTAGAATACACAGTATAATTTATACAATCATCATCTGAATAATAATTGTTGTAAATTTAATTCATTTTTCCAAACTGTTGTATAATTATATGTTAATAACTATTATCAATTCTTTTAGTCAACTGTAATAATAGTGATTTTTTCTTTTGCAAAAAAAAGTTGTGAACATTTGTCAATATAAATTTTTAAATTGATTTCTTATTTTCTAGTGTATATCCGAATTTTATAATAGAGTATTTTTTATTTTGCTTTACCATAAAAATAATGCAAATTAACAAGAATTTAAATGCTAGTTAATTAAGGTCTACAAAAAGTTAAATAGAGCTGTAAGAAATTCCAATTCAGTTTGGAAATAAATTACCATTTTTCCAAAACAGATAAGAAGAAACATAACAATTAACCACAATGTGACAGTCAATTGTTCAAGATGTTCCGGTTTCGGTATTAACAAATTATTAGTTCATATTTGAATCATTAAATGTGGTCGTTTGAAAATAAAAGTTTAATACTGTCATTTCCGTAAGAATTATTTTTTAATTAGTTTTCTGTATGCTATGTGGTGGGCAGATGTACCACAATATTGGAAAGACACTTTATTTTTCACCAAATATGTTTTTCACAGCTTTGAAGAAAAATGAAAATCTTAAAAGAAAACTTGAAATAAATATAAAAATGTATACTGTACACACTATATAATAAGTATATACATGTAGTTAGTACACAATAAAACAAGCATCTATAACTTAATGATGTCTGCCATTACCATGGATGCTGAGGACTCCAAATTCCAACAAGATTGATACATTAAAGGATTAGTAATCCAAACCCTAAAATTTATTACATTATGTTGGAAAATGAGAGTTTATTACTGTCATTTTCATAAGAATTATTTTTAATTAGTTTTTCTATATATTATGTGGTGTACGGATGTACATAATATCAGGAAAACATTTTAATTGTCACCAAATATGTCTTTCGAAGATTTGAAAAGAAATGAAAAACTTTAAAAGAAAACTTAAAGTAAATAAAAGAATGTATACTGAATACACTATATAATAAATATCTACAGGTATTTAATACAAAAATGTTGGAAAATGAGAGTTTATTACTGTCATTTTCATAAGAATTATTTTTAATTAGTTTTTCTATATATTATGTGGTGTACGGATGTACATAATATCAGGAAAACATTTTAATTGTCACCAAATATGTCTTTCGAAGATTTGAAAAGAAATGAAAAACTTTAAAAGAAAACTTAAAGTAAATAAAAGAATGTATACTGAATACACTATATAATAAATATGTACAGGTATTTAATACAAAAACATAACAAGTATCTATAACTTAATGATGTCTATCATTACCATGGACGCAGAAGGCTCCAAATTCCAACAAAAAACATAACAAGTATCTATAACTTAATGATGTCTATCATTACCATGGACGCAGAAGGCTCCAAATTCCAACACATTAATTTAGGTGCACTAGTGGATTAGAACTGCACCCCAATTCTCTAATCATGGTAATTAGTAATACACGTGGGACTTATTAAAACAATAGGTAAATTCTAGATTTGCCAAAATCTTATGTAATCTAATCTTTTTATTATGCAGCATCTAATGTTGTAGCATGGGTTTGGCTTATTAATACAATAATTAGTTCTAGGTTCATTCAGGATCTTATGTAATCTTGATGGTTATAACTATCCTATTCCACAACGAAGAATAGGAGATTTGCTTCTATGGCCAAGTTGGTAAGGCGCCACACTAGTAATGTGGAGATCATCGGTTCGAATCCGATTGGAAGCAAAACTTTTTGCTTCTGTATGTAATAACCCTGAGGTTATGTGTTTCTGATAACAGTAGTTCTGATTGAAATCTCAATAATATTTCACTTGGATAGATATAAGAATAGACTCTTTCTATATCTCTAGCTGTAATATTCCTATATATATATATATCTATATATCCTTAATCTAAGTTAACCTAATAGTATACACTTATATACTATCTCTAAACCTAGGTAGTCCTTGGTTCCTTTTTCTTCTTCTTCTTGGTTGCTCTCTTGTACTTATGTGGGTTACTCCTGTTTTTATGTGTGTTTGTAAAATTTTGCAAAAAGGAAAGTTTAGAAAAATATCGTCAACCCTCATTTTTCTAAACAAGCCCTAACAGTAATATCAGGGATATTACACATATTATAATTGCAAAAATAAATGCTCTGGGGGAGGTTCGAACTCTCGACCTTCAGATTATGAGACTGACGCTCTTCCTACTGAGCTACCAAAGCTGCACTAATTATTGTTGTGGAATAGAATAGTTATAACCATCAAGATTACATAAGATCCTGAATGAATCTAGAACCAATTAGTGTATTAATAAGCCATACATGTGCTACAACATTAGATGCTGCATAATAAAAAGATTGGATTACATAAGATCTTGGCAAATCTAGAATTTACCTATTGTTTTATTAAGTCCCACGTGTATTACTAATCACCATGATTAGAGAATTGGGATGCAGTTCTAATCCAGTAGTGCACCTAAATTAATATAATAAATTTTAGGGTTTGAATCAGTCAAGTCATTAATGTAGTAATCTGAATAATCGATCGAGCTCCAGAAAACATATAAAAGGACAACGTTTTCAGGAGATAAAAGATCATCTTCCATAATCGTTTCTTGTAAATAATTTATATATTATGTATAAACAAAATAGAACAAGCAAGTAACAAGTCAAGTAACTTCGAATAAGTACATTAGCTCGATATAAGCCGCTTAATATATAAGACCGTTTTAGTAATTATACTATCGACTATAGTTGATTACTGTCTCGATTATTTGAATTACTATTAATATTATTTGCGCTTCCCTGGAATACACAAAGAACTTCACCACACCATACTACAACAACTGGTAGCGTTTATTTCATCATGTCCTCGAATAATTTAAATATGAACGAATTTTTAGACGCTATTGATGCATCTACGGCTACAGAACATCATACCACCGCACCAACCACTACTCCTGCTCCAACTACTAACCTAACCGCTGACCCTACTTCTGCTCCTGCTCCAGTCCCATCCGATTCCAAATACTACAGTACTGCTCCAATGCGCTTCTCTGGTCGCTATGATTTATTTAAACTACCAGATTTCCTTGTTACTGTCGAAGCACAACTTTATGCTCGAAACCTCCAAACAGATGTGGATCGTATAGCTTTTTTTGGCCGAAACTTAACTGGACCCGCTGCTCAATGGTATGTCCAATGGATCCGTAATCATGACCAACATTCCTATGAACAATTCCTTGTGGATTTTAAAAATAAGTTTATTGGTATGATCGACCCTCATGCCATCCTCAATGCGTTCCAACGCTTGAAGGAAGCTACCGTTGGCATTGACGCTTATAATCAAAAGTTTTCACAACTATTAGCTTTGATGCCTTCAAACATTTGGACTCCCAAGGGAGAATTACTTTTTTATTATCGCGGTCTTACTCCTGATACTGCCCGTATGGTAGCTCTAGCTCGCCCTACCACTGTTGATGCTGCTATGGAAGCTGCCAGTGAAACAGTTTCCATCACCAACCGTTCATTTCCTACCTTCACCACCTATGATATGGATGGAGACATCCATATGACCGCTGCTCTTAACCCAGTCCCTATGGACTCT